ATAGATTTAACAAAATTAAAAACAAAAAAAATAAACTCGACAACCTACGATTTATAATTTAATTTTATTTAATGACACTAGGGGCAAGCAGCGTGTTCGCTGTATATTAGCCTGATCACGGTAGATTTCGCCGTAAATAAAATCCTTGGAAATATTGTTTCACATTAATGTTTTTAAGCTTAGGCACGTGATTTGAAGAGAGAACTCCAACAATATAGTTACCAACCAGCCCCCCGATTTAACATGCTCGTTCCGTGTAAGCTAGTTAAGCGTGGCATGATGCATTTTCCAAGACGCCGTTATCTAAGCACCAATCACTGCTAAGTATTTTTCCTCTATCGCACTATTATCAATTACATGGTGTTCACGCGTTCGTTAAACTTACTACGGTTTTTCCGCTGTTTGATAGATATGCCGAAATTGCATTAGAGTTAGATATTGTGCTTGTTTTCTTCCTCAATTTTTTTTTTTTGTGTGTGTTTTTTTTCTTTTGCTTGAGACCGTTCATTTCTTTATTAATACACATTTTTTTATATTGATTCTCTTATGTTGTTTACTTTCTCATATACCATCAGAACATGTAAGCAAATTTGAGAAAAAATAAAACAAAAAAAGCGGATAAACTGCACTAAAAAGAAATGGAAAAGTAGCCATTGCATAAGAAGGAGAGTTGAGCCTTTTCGATTTCTGCAACGCTAGTTTTTCCTGAACGGTCTTGATATTATGTAGTAACGTAGGACAGTATGTACATAATATGATTCACTATTAAATTGCCTTCATCTAGGTAACTGACACACCCTTTCTATTGCTATGATTGGCTATTTTTCGCTTAATACACACGTGCACTTCATTTTGAGTGCTTAATCTTAAAAACGCACACTGGTTACCCATGTTTTACCCCTTAGCCTCCTTAGTCAGCCTAGCTAACGTAGCATTGATACAGGCCAAAAAAGTCTCCTGAGCCAGAATCGAACTAGCGACAACCGGTAGCAATAGAAAGCAGTTACAGCCGGTGTGATAGCCAACTACACCATCAGGAGCTACTTCGACTTACCTGAAAAAGTAAGTCTATATATTTGAAGATAAATTCAATAAAACGAATACTGAAAGGGGTGGGACTGAACCCACGAGCTTTCGCACTAGTGAACGATACGACCTTTACAAACCTTAACTAGCTCCATAACCACTCGGACACCCTTCTATAGCATAGTGTATCCAATATTAGACTTTCATATAGATGTTATTGAGAATGCCAAAATAACTGGTTTTGCTGTTGCATGACATATGACACACTAAAATTACCATTGATCACATACATTTATGATAAAGCTTCGTTTCAGTGCCACTTTATGCTTACTGAATAATTACAACATTCGTAAAGATTTGTATGGCACTACCTTCGTTCTCAATACATTCTTAAATACCATGGTGTTAACGTACTTGCTCTCCTTAAGCCCCGGTAGTAATCAGTATTGTAAGTTTACGGAAAGTCAATCTAATTACTTGCTCAATACATGCCTTGTTCGTACAAAACGACTGCGCTTATTAAGTTAAAAAAGGTTTGTACGTAACTCCGTTGCGGGAGTCGAACCCGACCACGTCGGTGAAGCGACGGATCCTAGCCGTTGGACCACAACGGATGCATCAGATCCTCATGTGTTAAGATTTATATAAGCAGTAGATATAATTGCAATTTTTATGTAAAAGTGTCACAAACCGGGATCGAACCGGTGACCAACAGATCTTCAGTCTGTCATGCTCCAACTACACCATTGCGACCAAGTCAAGGTTAATAAAATACTTTAACTAGAAGTTATAATTATGATTTAAAATCGATACTCGTGAGCTTTACCCCAAAGCATATTAATTACTTCAACACTGTGCTATTAAAACAATCAAAAACGATCCCGCAGGAGTCGAACCTGGAATCTCTTGATTGCACGTAACCGTAGTCAAGCGCCTTAACCATTGGGCCACGAGACCTCATTATCCACCAGACTTATGATGCATATTATAAAGAGTGTTTTATTATTTCACTTGAATCAATTATGATAATCGCAGTTTGTTAAACCTTTACTGAAGCATGAGAAGTTATAATGTTATTTTCGTAATGAAAGTACGTTATAAATGAAGGGATTATTGATTTTCGCTAAACTTTGCTTTCTAAGGTATTTATAACTTAGTAGATAAACAGAAATAAGTTTATAGAGATTTATGTGTCTACTGTGAGTAAGCAAGTCCCGTGTGGCTCAATCGGTTTAGAGCGTCTGACTCTTACGCAGATCAATCAGAAGGTTGCGAGTTCGAGTCTCGCCATGGAGGTACTTTTCTCCTTTTTGGTCTAAGGGCCATAAATTCTACATAGTTTGTAAGGAAAACAAAGAACATGCTTTGGCCGGGAATCGAACCCGGTCGATTCGATGGCAACGAATCATTATACCACTAAACCACCAAAGCCTCTTATGCACATAAGGGAGCTACTGTTTCTAGTATACTTGAAATTTAGTATTTGACTTTCGGTTAGATTTGAAATACAAATCCCTTTCTATTCCGCCAAGAGCTGCAGCAAACAGAATAGTTGGTCGCTTTATAGCATGTTGAGTACCCCCTTCTGTCGAAGTTTATAAATATGTGTCTTATTTAGTAAGACAGGCTATTAAAAGAATGGCGTAGGCAAAAGTTTCTGCTATAGGAATTTATTCAGTGCAAGTGTAACTTGTGGTCGCATGATGTAGTCGGTTATCATGTCGATCTAATAGCTTTAGCTGTCAGTCGAATGTCGCCGGTTCGAGCCCGGCTGTGACCATTTTGCATAGCTGCAGTCATGATATCAGTGTTTATGATTTCAAGATGTTTGTGTTCCTCTTAAGCTTTTGCCGTTTTTGGTTAAAGATAAAATAACGCCAAATCCCAGTCTATAAGAGTAAAATAGCGGCAATTAGTTCAGGTCGTACTGGGAATCGAACCCAGGTCTCAGGAAAGTTTTCCTGCTCAGCGCGAGCAATCAAAATCCTACGTGCTAACCATTACACCATACAACCTATGCTTGTTATTCTTACTTATTGTCATTCCCGAATTAACTTTTTTACCTAAGCAAGTGCGTAGAAAAACCTTATTACGTTCACAGGTGATACAAGAGATTGAAATGTATCATAGAATAAATAAGATTTTAAAAACTAAAGAGACATCTACGGCCATACCTAGGCGAAAACACCAGTTCCCGTCCGATCACTGCAGTTAAGCGTCTGAGGGCTTCGTTAGTACTCCGGGGTGCTGTAGGTTTTTTCACTTTTGCTGCTCATTTTCCTCTCTAATCTATTTCCCCATTCACTGCCACCTTATTATCTTGTTTTCCTTCTTTATGTAACTCGTTTCTCATATAAGGAAATTCTTTTATTAAAGCTGTGCGGTTTCCCGTTATCTTTCTTATTACTACTGAATAGTCAATAAAGAGGCGAAATACCTAGGCGAAAACACCAGTTTAAAAGTAAGTGTCTCCGTGGAATCGAACCCCGCCGCATCGGTGAGAGCGATGAATCCTAGCCACTGGACCATGACGATTATCCATATCCACCTAGTATTTAGGACTTTAAGTAAGTATGCACTATGTAATTGTAAATTGTAAAACTTATAATGACCAGTGAGGGATTGAACCCTCGCATCTTACGATACAGCAAGACTGTTTGGACAAGTCCAAGGATAGCTTGAGTGCTGCGCCATAGACCGCTCGGCCAACTGGCCTTATTAAGTTCGTTGGACTACATGAACATAATATATTATACTCAGCAACTTAGGTTAAATGATGCAAGCTTGAAAAGGTGTAATTACCGGTTGCTGATTTGGGAGAGAATGCCATATTAACCAGTCGATTAGAATACCATATATGTGCATTTGGCGAACACAATGTTAAAAGACCCGGTCAGGGAGGACTCGAACCCTCGACCTCACGATTAACAGTCGTGCGCAATAACCAACTATGCTACCCGACCCTATTGCGAGATAGTTCGCATTTGCTCCTGGTGAGGCTCGAACTCACGACCTTCCCCTGTCACACAGCACGGTATGAGAGGGATGCTACCACAACTGAGCTACAGAAGCACCTTTCTCGTCTTGGAGACGCAAGCAATATATGCTTAATAACATATGTGTGACTATAATAGTATGCCTTACTTGCTCCCCGTCAATAATAATGAGCTTAGTGACTTTCATCACATAGTAAAAGCTTGAATTCATTAATGAACGTCTTGCGTGTTTTATACAGTTAAAGAATGTGATAATATTACATATACGCCAGGTGCTGGTGTAGCTCTTATAGCTCAGTGGTAGAGCGCTTGCCTAGTAAGCAAGAGGCCCAGTGTTCGAGTCACTGTTGGAGCAAGTTTTAACAATCTTACTACTGACAACAACGTGTGGGTATTTCGATAATCCCAAATCTCAATTACAGAACCAAGAACAACCTCCAGTGTCAACTGTGTGGGTGTAATAACATAGCTTATTCCAACAAATGACATAAACTGCCTTTATATATTTAGTAAACGCTAAGGTTACAGCAAATCTCCTTTAGTATAGGGGTATACACCAGCCTGTCACGCTGGCAGCCCGGATCCCGGAGGGAGAGAAGTTTTATTGTTTGATGTTTGTATGCTTGACTTTATATATCGTAAACAACCGAGGCTTGCAGTTAAGGCACTATGCCTGAGTGGTTAAAGGGACAGACTAGAATCTGTTGCGGTCTCCGCGCGCAGGTTCAAATCCTGCTGGTGTCGTTTTTTTATAGTATTTAGTAATATTAGTGAGTTTAAGTAACCATGATGTGATTATCAATAATTTGGTTGCTCTTTTATGTGTAAGTTGACTTTTGGCACTAAACTGAAGTTGATTTGATTAATTTTAAATACTACTCAGTGTTGTGAGAAGTCAATTATTCTTCATCATGAGCAGTAGTTCGATAGCTTAACGTAGCCAACAGCAGACTCAAAAAGGAAAAAGTTGATTGTGCCAGGACTCGAACCTGGGACCTCTGCGAACACGTTGATGTTAAGCAGAAATTATAACCATCTAAACCACACAACCAGTTGCTTGGCGACTATTGTCATTGATCACTGTAACATTATTTGCATAGTCTTGATGCATTTTTGAGGAGTAACAAAGATAAATATGGTTCATTAGGTGTGGATAGGCAATTGGTGAATTGATATAACCAGTGGCAAGAACTAGAATATATATATACCATAGATATGGGATTTGTAAAAAAAAGTGGACAAGCCAGAACTGGGACCTCTTCCAATTCAAGCGAAATGCTAAGGAAGCGTGATAACCATCTACACCACATGCCCTTTACACCCTAAGGGGAAAGTATTACTTACTTATTTTCAAATTATTTCTTAGATTTTGCTCAAAAGTTATGTTTAGCTTACAAATTACTTCTCTATCCCTGTTTTATTTATACGGCTTGGTTTTTTAGTATTTTTCACAGATGACTTTGTTTTTCTGCATTATTTGAAGCAAATAAATATGGCTGTACTCATGTTCTTAGACTCTATAGATTTAACAAAATAAAAACAAAAAATAACTCGACAACCTACGATTTATAATTTAATTTTATTAATGACACTAGGGGCAAGCAGCGTGTTCGCTGTATATTAGCCTGATCACGGTAGATTTCGCCGTAATAAAATCCTTGGAAATATTGTTTCACATTAATGTTTTAAGCTTAGGCACGTGATTTGAAGAGAGAACTCCAACAATATAGTTACCAACCAGCCCCCGATTTAACATGCTCGTTCCGTGTAAGCTAGTTAAGCGTGGCATGATGCATTTCCAAGACGCCGTTATCTAAGCACCAATCACTGCTAAGTATTTTCCTCTATCGCACTATTATCAATTACATGGTGTTCACGCGTTCGTTAAACTTACTACGGTTTTTCCGCTGTTTGATAGATATGCCGAAATTGCATTAGAGTTAGTTATGATATTGTGCTTGTTTCTTCCTCCAATTTTTTTTTTTTTTGTTGTTTTTTTTCTTTGCTTGATTCATTTCTTTATTAATAATACACATTTTTTTTTTATGTTGTTACTTTCTCATATACCATCAGAACTTGTTTACTTTCTTGAGAAAAAATAAAAACAAAAAAAAAAAAGCGGAATAAAAAAAAGAAATGGAAAAGTAGCCATTGCATAATAAAGAAGGAGAGTTGAGTCCTTTTCTTGCAACGCTAGTTTTCCTTGAACGGTCTTGATATTATGTAGTAACGTAGGACAGTATGTACAATAATATGATTCACTATTAAATTGCCTTCATCTAGGTAACTGACACACCCTTTCTATTGCTATGATTGGCTATTTTCGCTTAATACACACGTGCACTTCTATTTGAGTGCTTAATCTTAAAACGACACACTGGTTACCCATGTTTTACCCCTTAGCCTCCTTAGTCAGCCTAGCTAACGTAGCATTGATACAGGCCAAAAAAGTCTCCTGAGCCAGAATCGAACTAGCGACCAACCGGTAGCAATAGAAAGCAGTTACAGCCGGGTGTGATAGCCAACTACACCATCAGGAGCTACTTCGACTTTACCTGAAAAGTAAGTCTATATATTTGAAGATAAATTCATAAAAACGAATACTGAAAGGGTGGGACTCGAACCCACGAGCTTTCGCACTAGTGAACGATACAACCTTGTTGGTCAAACCTTAACTAGCTCCATAACCACTCGGACACCTTCCTTATAGCATAGTGTATCCAATATTAGACTTTCATATAGATGTTATTGAGAATGCCAAAATAACTGGTTTTGCTGTTGCATGACATATGACACACTAAAATTACCATTGATCACATACATTTATGATAAGCTTTCGTTTCAGTGCCACTTTATGCTTACTGAATAATTACAACATTCGTAAAGATTTGATGGCACTACCTTCGTTCTCAATACATTCTTAATACCATGGTGTTAACGTACTTGCTCTCCTTAAGCCCCGGTAGTAATCAGTATTTGTAAGTTTACGGAAGTCAATCTAATTACTTGCTCATAACATGCCTTGTTCGTCAAAAACGACTGCGCTTATTAAGTTAAAAAGGTTTGTACGTAACTCCGTTGCGGGGAGTCGAACCCCGACACGTCGGTGAAAGCGACGGATCCTAGCCGTTGGACCACAACGGATGCACCTAGTCTTCATGTGTACAATAGTAACTTGATCAGCTATTATTGCACTAATTTTATGTAAAAGTGTCACAAACCGGGATCGAACCGGTGACCAACAGATCTTCAGTCTGTCATGCTCCAACTACACCATTGCGACCAAGGTTAATAAAATACTTTAACTAGAAGTTATAATTATGATTTAAAAAATACGATACTCTTTTCATGATACATATTAATTACTTCAACACTGTGCTATTAAACAATCAAAACGATCCCGCCAGGAGTCGAACCTGGAATCTCTTGATTGCACGTAACCGTAGTCAAGCGCCTTAACCATTGGCCACGAGACCTCATTATCACCAGACTTATGATGCATATTATAAAGAGTGTTTTATTATTCACTTGAATCAATTATGATAATCGCAGTTTGTAAACCTTTACTGAAGCATGAGAAGTTATAATGTTATTTTTCGAATGAAAGTACGTTATAAATGAAGGGATTATTGATTTCGCTAAACTTTGCTTTCTAAGGTATTTATAACTTAGTAGATAAACAGAATAAGTTTATAGAGATTTATGTGTCTACTGTGAGTAAGCAAGTCCCGTGTGGCTCAATCGGTTTAGAGCGTCTGACTCTTACGCAGATCAATCAGAAGGTTGCGAGTTCGAGTCTCGCCATGGGAGGTACTTTTCTCCTTTTTGGTCTAAGGGCCATAAATTCTACATAGAAGATGAATAACCTGTCACTGAATTGCCGGGAATCGAACCCGGGTCGATTCGATGGCAACGAATCATTATACCACTAAACACCAAAGCCTCTATGCACATAAGGGAGCTACTGTTTCTAGTATACTTGAAATTTAGTATTTGACTTTCGGTTAGATTTGAAATACAAATCCCTTTCTATTCGCCAAGAGCTGCAGCAAACAGAATAGTTGGTCGCTTTATAGCATGTTGAGTACCCCTTCTGTCGAAGTTTATAAATATGTGTCTTATTAGTAAGACAGGCTATTAAAAGAATGGCGTAGGCAAAAGTTTCTGCTATAGGAATTTATTCAGTGCAAGTGTTAACTTGTGGTCGCATGATGTATCGGTTATCATGTCGATCTAATAGCTTTAGCTGTCAGTCGAATGTCGCCGGTTCGAGCCCGGCTGTGACCATTTTGCATAGCTGCAGTCATGATATCAGTGTTTATGATTTCAAGATGTTGTGTTCCTCTTAAGCTTTGCCGTTTTGGTTTAAAGATAAAAATACGCCAAATCCCAGTCTATAAGAGTAAATAGCGGCAATAGTTCAGGTCGTACTGGGAATCGAACCCAGGTCTCAGGAAAGTTTCCTGCTCAGCGCGAGCAATCAAATCCTACGTGCTAACCATTACACCATACAACGCTATGGCTAGGTTATCAGCAAAATACATTCATAAGAATGATATTGTGAACAATAAATTGTTCGAAGTGCTGTAGGTTTTTCTTTTTGTTTTAAGTTTTTATTAAAGCTGTGCGGTCTTATAAATTATATAACTTTTATAATATGAAACAGACATCTACGGCCATACCTAGGCGAAACACCAGTTCCCGTCCGATCACTGCAGTTAAGCGTCTGAGGGCTCGTTAGTACTGCGGTTGGAGACAACGCGGGAATCCGGGGTGCTGTAGGTTTTTTCTTTTGGTTTTACTTCATTATCCGCTCTTCTCGTTTTAACTTTTTTACCTAAGCAAGTGCGTAGAAAAATTTCTTTTTTGTTTTAAGTTCCTATAGTGATTCTGTCTTATTTCATATACTATATAATTTTTGGCAAACTAAGAAGACATCTACGGCCATACCTAGGCGAAACACCAGTTCCCGTCCGATCACTGCAGTTAAGCGTCTGAGGGCTCGTTAGTACTGCGGTTGCATTTTATGCTTGTTATTCTTACTTAACTTATTGTCATTCCCGTTTTACCTTCACTGCTATCTTGTCTAGTGATGCTGCTCTAATTAAGTACTGTACAAAACCAAGCGTTACTGTTTTTTGGGTGTTGCTGAAAAAAGATACCTAGGCGAAACACCAGTTCCCGTCCGATCACTGCAGTTAAGCGTCTGAGGGCTCGTTAGTACTGCGGTTGGAGACAACGCGGGAATAGGTTTTTTCACTTTTGCTCATTTTTCCTCTCTAATCTATCTTGTCTAGTGTCTAGTGATGCTGCTTGTTCATTATTATCTTGTTTTTCCTTTATCTTTTTTCAATGAATATATCACTTATAGATTTATGCTCATTTGTTTCCCGTATCTTTCTTATTACTACTGAATAGTCAATAAAGACGCAAGAATCAACTTACAATGAATAAGCTAAAATTAAAGTAGTGTCTCCGTCAGGGGGAATCGAACCCCCGCGCATCGGTGAGAGCGATGAATCCTAGCCACTGGACCATGACGGATTATCCATATCACCCTAGTATTTAGGACTTTAAGAAGTATGCACTATGTAATTGTAAATTGTAAAACTTATAATGACCAGTGAGGGATTCGAACCCTGCATCTTACGATACAGCAAGACTTGTTGGACAAGTCCAAGGATAGCTTGAGTGCTGCGCATAGACCGCTCGGCCAACTGGCCTTATTAAGTTCGTTGGACTACATGACATAATATATTATACTCAGCAACTTAGGTAAATGATGCAAGCTTGAAAAGGTGTAATTACCGGTTGCTGATTTGGGAGAGATGCCATATTAACCAGTCGATTAGAATACCATATATGTGCATTGGCGAACACAATGTTAAAAGACCCGGTCAGGGAGGGACTCGAACCCTCGACCTCACGATTAACAGTCGTGCGCAATAACCAACTATGCTACCGACCCTATTTGCGAGATAGTTCGCATTTGCTCCTGGTGAGGCTCGAACTCACGACTTCCCCTGTCACACAGCACGGTATGAGAGGGATGCTACCACAACTGAGCTACAGAAGCACCTTTCTCGTCTTGGAGACGCAAGCAATATATGCTTAATAACATATGTGTGACTATAATAGTATGCCCTTACTTGCTCCCGTCAATAATAATGAGCTTAGTGACTTTCATCACATAAGTAAAAGCTTGAATTTCATTAATGAACGTCTTGCGTGTTTTTATACAGTTAAAGAATGTGATAATATTTACATATACGCAGGTGCTGGTGTAGCTCTTATAGCTCAGTGGTAGAGCGCTTGCCTAGTAAGCAAGAGGCCCAGTGTTCGAGTCACTGTTGGAGCAAGTTTTAACAATCTTACTACTGACAACAACGTGTGGGTATTTCGATAATCCCAAATCTCAATTACAGAACCAAGAACAACCTCCAGTGTCAACTGTGTGGGTGTAATAACATAGCTTATTCCAACAATGACATAAAACTGCCTTTATATATTTGTAAAACGCTAAGGTTACAGCAAATCTCCTTTAGTATAGGGGTATACACCAGCCTGTCACGCTGGCAGCCCGGGTTCGAATCCCGGAGGAGAGAAGTTTTATGTTTGATGTTTGTATGCTTGACTTTATATATCGTTAAACACCGAGGCTGCAATTAAGGCACTATGCCTGAGTGGTTAAAGGACAGACTAGAAATCTGTTTCCGCGCGCAGGTTCAAATCCTGCTGCTGGTGTCGTTTTTTTCGACTTACTGTTGCTGCTTGGGAACGCTTGTAAGCTGGGATTATCAATAATTTGGTTGTCTTTTTATGTGTAAGTTGCTGTGGCTACAAGAAAAATTTTAAATACTACTCAGTGTGTGAGAAGTCAATTATTCTTCATCATGAGCAGAGTTCGATAGCTTAACGTAGCCAACAGCAGACTCAAAAGGAAAAAGTTGATTGTGCCAGGACTGAACCTGGGACCGTCTGCGAACACGTTGATGTTAAGCAGAATTATAACCATCTAAACCACACAACCAGTTGCTTGGCGACTATTGTTCATTGATCACTGTAACATATTTTGCATAGTCTTGATGCATTTTTTTGAGGAGTAACAAAGATAAATATGGTTCATTAGGTGTGGATAGGCAATTGGTGAATTGATATAACCAGTGGGCAAGAACTAGAATATATATATACATAGATATGGGATTTGTAAAAAGTGGACAAGCCAGAACTCGAATCTGGGACCTCTTCCAATTCAAGCGAAATGCTAAGGAAGCGTGATAACCATCTACACCACATGCCCTTTACACCCTAAGGGGAAATATTACTTACTTATTTCAAATTATTTCTTAGATTTTGCTCAAAGTTATGTTTAGCTTACAAATTACTTCTCTATCCCTGTTTATTTATACGGCTTGGTTTTTAGTATTTTCACAGATGACTTTGTTTTCTGCATTATTTGAAGCAAATAATATGGCTGTACTCATGTTCTTAGACTCTATAGATTTAACAAATTAAAACAAAAATAACTCGACAACCTACGATTTATAATTAATTTATTAATGACACTAGGGCAAGCAGCGTGTTCGCTGTATATTAGCCTGATCACGGTAGATTTCGCCGTAATAAAATCCTTGGAAATATTGTTTCACATTAATGTTTTAAGCTTAGGCACGTGATTTGAAGAGAGAACTCAACAATATAGTTACCAACCAGCCCCCGATTTAACATGCTCGTTCCGTGTAAGCTAGTTAAGCGTGGCATGATGCATTTCCAAGACGCCGTTATCTAAGCACCAATCACTGCTAAGTATTTTCCTCTATCGCACTATTATCAATTACATGGTGTTCACGCGTTCGTTAAACTTACTACGGTTTTTTCCGCTGTTTGATAGATATGCCGAAATTGCATTAGAGTTAGTTATGATATTGTGCTTGTTTTCTTCCTCCTAATTTTTTTTGTGTGTGTGTTTTTCTTTTTTGCTTCTTTGTAGTACCGTTTCTTTTTCTTTATTGATTCTCTTATGTTGTTTACTTCTCATATACCATCAGAACATGTAAGCAAATTTGAGAAAAATAAAACAAAAAGCGGATAAAACTGCACTAAAGAATGGAAAGTAGCCATTGCATAAAGAAGGAGAGTTGAGCCTTTTCGATTTCTTGCAACGCTAGTTTTCCTTGAACGGTCTTGATATTATGTAGTAACGTAGGACAGTATGTACAATAATATGATTCACTATTAAATTGCCTTCATCTAGGTAACTGACACACCCTTTCTATTGCTATGATTGGCTATTTTTCGCTTAATACACACGTGCACTTCTATTTTGAGTGCTTAATCTTAAAACGACACACTGGTTACCCATGTTTTACCCCTTAGCCTCCTTTAGTCAGCCTAGCTAACGATACAGGCCAAAAAAAGTCTCCTGAGCCAGAATCGAACTAGCGACCAACCGGTAGCAATAGAAAGCAGTTACAGCCGGGTGTGATAGCGAGAAATTAAATATTAATAGTGAAAAAGGGTATCAACATTCGAGCCAAGTCTCATTACAGGCATGAGTAAGCTCCATCAACAAGTAAATCCGAACCTGAAGTAAAGCTGGATGCGTCGCTGGCTAGATATACGTACGCGCCCTTCAATTCGTCTGGTTTAGCCATACGTTTGAAAGGAGATGTTCTTATCCACTCCTCTCTTAAGCTGCTCTCTGACATATCCGTTATAATATAGCCGGGGGAAACTGTATTCACACGAGCAAAATCAGCCCATTCGATCGCCAAAGATTTGCATAGTTGGATGACAGCAGCTTTAGACGCATTATACGCACATTGTTTCTGAGGTACGTTAACAATGCTTCCAGACATGGAAGCAGTAGCAATGAAGCTGCCGAAACCCTGACGCTTAAAGACTTTGCCCGCAGCCCTTGCAGCGAGAAATACACCATTAACATTCAAGGCAAAAGTTCGGTTAAACTCTTCAGTCGTCATGTCAATGCCAGATTTAGATATGCAGATACCTGCATTAGATACAACAACATCCAGATTTCCCGACATCGCTATGTTACTAATAACGTCTTGTATGCTTTTTTCATCGGTAGCATCACAATGAACTGCAAAAACAGGGACATCATATTTTTCAGCTAGATCCTTCGCCATCTTCTTGCAGTTGTTGCTCGATTTGTATGTAAAGTACACGGTGGCTCCCGCTTCAGCAAACGCACGGACAACAGCAGCACCGATACCACGACTACCGCCCAAAACCAGAGTTATCTTTCCTTTTAGACTGAATAAGTCCATGACACTGGTAGCCTCAATATTATTTGGGATGGCGGGCATTTTTACTGAATGAAATTTACTGAGGAAAGCAAGTTGGGTATTTTTTGTACTGTCTCCTGCGAAGTTCCTTTTTATTGCAAGAAGAGGTGGTGCGTTTGTTGTCGAACATAAATCAAATTTCAACTGCTAGTACAAGCTTACGTAAGCCGGTATATCAATATCCGATCGACTACCGGCAATAAACCGCATAGTCAAAAAAACTATTCCTTGCGCCTTCCCGATAACTCATTTTAGCAAGCAAAAGTGCCTCCACTAATCCTCCTACGAACAGCCGCCTTCTCGAAACCATAACACGCACCGCCATTTATTAAATGAAACCACACACGTCGACCGATACAACACACCACATTGAGTCAATACACAGTGTCCGAACGAAACTATAACCACGTTTGTTAAGACTATTATTCATGAAATCTATGACATAGACACCACCAGACGTGTGAGCAGCTCAGAATAGATATTTCTTCAGTACTTCAGACAGTGTGAATACAATTTGAAAAATATTATCATCATCGATGGACACAACGAAAAATAACACTCCCGCACTCCAACTTCAACAAAAGAAAAAGACGTAACTGCAATGTTAGAATATTTTCGACGGCCGGTGAAAAGGCACTGGTCAGCAAGACTCGAAATCAGCAACTAAAAACCATCCCCAGTGTACAGTTGGAGTATGTAGGTCATTATAAGTCCGCCCGTTACGTCTCAAAATCATCATCCCAGACCCTGTGAGAGACATACCTATTAAGACACAGCATTCAAACGTACATAACTACCTAGAATTGTTAGCGATTGAAAAAAAGAAAGAATGAGCGAGATGCGACTGGCAAAATCAGACAAGGCTGAAACTTAAAAATACGAACAAATTCCGCACGGATGGACTCTGGAATGTTTGTCGTTCTGTCATCATCTAATGCACCTCGTCATCAAAGGAACGCAGACTTACAACTAGCGAAATCCAGGCGACTTCCTAAACCACTTTTAGGCCTGCACACTAGACACGGTGCGAAGTGTGTGAGAGGTTGTGTTTATATGCAATTTTGTGACTGCTTAATCGAAACGAGCGTAATTCGCGATTATACTCGCTATTATACTCGCTATAAAGGATATGAAATTTGACAAATAACGCACCCGTACGCAGTGGAAGCATATTGTTTGCAACGTGTTATTTCAAAAATGAGAAATCGTAAAATCAATATTAATCAAATTTATATATAGGGCCAGAACCCGTTTCTCCATCATATATCCAAATGTTATCCATTGGATATTCACGATTTCCGAGAACATTAAGAGCATCTTGGGATATGATTCCGCCAACAACAGAAGCTATGGGCGCCCATTCAAATTCACAATTCCGCATAAACCTCCTGCTTCTGTTAGTTTTTAGTAGAATATGATTGAGACATACTCGAAGAATGTATTGGGAAAGAGTTTGTCCGGTTCTAAGTGCAGGCGAATAGCTTCGTTAACGATGGCCTCTGTACCAGCACATGGGCTTTTTAGTTTGGCTAAGGTAACGTTAGTAGTAGATTATATAGTTGGTCAATGGAAGAAGGCGTACCCAGCAAAGCAGGAAGACAAGGACTTATTCGTGCTGCCTTGCGTTTGGAGATTTTGTCACCGATTACGCAAAGGATTGCCTCCGAAAGTGGTTTTTGTCTTACAGACTTTTCTTCTTGTACTTTCTTATTTTCTTGAGTGCGTTCTCTATGTTTTGTTTTGTTAGCAGTGTACGGAAATATTGCAAGTATGACAAATCGCGTACATGATAAATGTGTGTTTTCTCAAGTCGGTAAATGCGAAACCATACATTCCAAAGACTGAGACAAAGTAGAATGGTACTGCAGCTTTATGTGACATGTCATTCACAGTTAACACCGTTTGTAACGGTAATTGGGTAGCGATAATTACACTGTATTCGGCCAATTCATCTTGGGAAAGAGTAGATGCACTTTTTTCGTTAACAGTAACTTTTACAAGTGGATTGTAAGATGCAATTTTTTTGGCAGCGGCATGGGCCCTACCGCATCCGATATCGGATTTATCTAACAGAAATTGTGTAGCAACATCTTCATCCGTCACTAAGTTTTCATCTTGAAAACAAAGTTCTCCGACTCCAGCGAGAACTATATTTTTTGCAATTTCATTTGCTAATGGACTCACTGTCAGTAGCAACACCCGAGCACGTTTAATACTATTCTGTTAGGAGATAATCATGAATTTGACTTACGCTTCCTGAGCACTAAACCCCCATAGCCGAATCTGTCTATCATATAAAGCAACCTCGTCTGCCTCCATGCTTCTTTCTGTTAAGTGTTTGCAGTTTCTATTCGTTACTCTCAATTTAAGATTTGTTGGTTTACTTCCTCAGTTGCACTGCTATTCGTGCACTACCCTTCCTATGTTGCTATTCTATTCAGCAGGTCCGTTCTACGAGTTCTACTACAAAAGAGCAAGCCAGTCATCTACTTGAACCAATGTAATCTTATACTGCTTCGGAACAAAAATTGTATTAAAAAGTGTTTCATGGACGAATGTGCTATAAAAGTGATACGAGAAGTTATAACTTATTCAACAGAGAAAGCGATAAATGAGACTTCACGGGCATGAATAAAAGCCAATTGAGAGCTAGGATGCAGTTCGAGTTTCTGCCTCGAGTGTCTCCACCGCCTCACGTTCCGTTTCAGCTTCTATAGCATCTTGATTAAGTTGAGAATAACCGAAGTGTCTTTCTTGTCTCACGTAGTAAAGACAAAGCATTAATAAGGTTCCCTGTAAAGACGCGCTTATAAGGTACATTATGTAAGAAGACCAATTCGTCCCTGGAAGTTGAGAAATAATGTACGTAATTAAGAAACCTCCAGGTGTTTGAACTAACATCATCGGTATACTAAGAGCCCCATGAGATTTCTGTATAAAAACTTGGACGATCTGCGGAACATACTGAATAACAGCGAATAATGATGCAGTAGTTCCCAAAACACTGGCCCATGCGATATTTCCACGAAGAACAGTCAACGATACGAGAAAACTGGATAAGGCCCAAATAACGTTTAGCACGAGTACAAATGTTACTTGGCGCCACAGCTTGCTTTTTGTTATAGAGAGAGGTTGTGCAACTGGAAACCCATCTTCAGTGGCGGCAGAAACAAAGTGAATGGGACGAGGGAGGAACATCCAATACGAGAAGACAATACAAGAAATTGAAAATACCTGAACGGCAACTTGTATGATACCAACAGAATTAGCTATACATTGAAAATGATCGTATTCATGCGTGCAACAGTAGCGCAATGGTCCGACCTCTAAAGTCACAATGTTGTCTAGCGTATGCACGACTCCTAGAAAACCTAAAGTCAAGTAGGTAAAACTAAGGCCACGAGATGAACCAAGACGAATTATCCGAGATACCTGTAACATATATGAATAAAACATTCCAATGATTAATGCGCACGCGGATATAAAACTAGTGAAAGAAGAGGAAGGACAAAATGGTTCCTCTTCAAACACTGAGAATTGTCCATTCTCTGAAAACATAGCCCCCACTAGTATTTTAACTGTGTGTGTTTAATCAGACCCGTATCGAATTGTTTCCAAAGTCAAATACTTTGCTCTTACAAATAGAATAAGATACTCCTTTACTAGTCGTTCCTTAAACAATTTCGCAACAATTCGTGAGTGTAGTAGGAAAACCAATATTGTCCTCCTTTTCCAGTATAATCTCGTACAAAAAAGTGTTTTTCGTACGTCGTTTTACGATATTTGTTATAGGGAGGTTTAGCTGCGTGCTACGTCAATGATCACTTAATCTATAGTAAACACATCTACTGAGGCTTAAAAGATAAATGTTAGACAAGTATGTGTATTATCTAAGGAGCAAAGTGTCTTTCAAATACCTATATTCTGTGTATTTTCATCTTATAATTGTCACTATTTAGCAAGCCACCTTTGTCGATTATGATTTATCAAGCTTTGTTTGAAGGAATTTATATCTTTCGATGGCATGCAGAAGCTAATAAGTATAGACTATTGTACACGTTTCAAACTGCGTAGAGGTTACTGTTGTCGTTCATAAAAAAGAAAACGGGCTCCTGCTCCGACTGAATGAACGAAAGCGCATTTTTGCTCTGTCTACGTGCGGCGGTTTCTAAATAAACTGGTCACATTAATAGCGCATTATTTGACTTCAGTATGTCGTTTTGCAAGCTGAAGTTCTTATACGAATTAATTATTACTCATATATGTTTAGAAGTAGTAAATTAATAAATATGAGTTCTCTAAATGCTCAGCTATTTTCAATAATGTTGTCTCTCATTTATTTTATGTTCCATGAATGCGAGAATCGCCATGGAAAAATTTATTTGAGTGGCAGAATGACACCGTAATTTGTTAACATAAACAGAAATAATTTTTTTTATACATGCTTAACAATGTCCTTACTTTCCGATTACTCGTTTAGGTGACATGCCGTCCCATCTCCACTCTATGAGTATTTACGAAGTAAATATGGTGAGTCCGAGGTTGGGGTCACGCTTCACACCGTACACCACTTGCTCGGCAGAAATTGTCATAGAATTCATTCAAATCCAGTCCTTTACAGGAAAATCCTACATAAATCGATATTCTAAATGTCTAAAAACATGGGAGATCCGTATTCCTTTTCCTTAAGAAAGTTCAAGCTTGTTTTTTTGGGCGAGCAGTCGGTCGGAAAAACATCATTAATTACGCGTTTTATGTATGACCAGTTTGACAATACATACCAAGTATGTTGTAAAAGACGGTTATTGTGTTTCTCCATATTGCTAACGTTTGTAAATAAAGGCAACAATAGGTATCGATTTTCTGAGCAAAACAATGTATCTTGAGGATCGCACGGTGCGTCTTCAGCTTTGGGACACGGCTGGTCAGGAACGTTTTCGTTCTTTAATTCCTTCTTACATTCGTGATTCTTCCGTGGCTATTATCGTTTATGATATTACGAGTAAGTATGTTCGAGTATTGCTTGTTTTAACACTCTCATAGATCACAACTCGTTTGTGAACACCGAGAAATGGATAGATGATGTTCGCGCGGAACGAAGCGATGATGTTATTATTGTGCTTGTAGGTAACAAAACAGATCTTGCTGAAAAAAGGTATGTACAGCATTGAGCCAGAGCCGTTCTACTATTTTATTGACTAACCTCTTAAAGACAAGTTTCACTGGAAGAGGGCGAACAAAAGGCTAAAGAGCTTGGAATTATGCATATGGAAACAAGCGCCAAAGCTGGCTATAACGTGAAACAACTTTTCAGACGTATTGCACAAATGCTTCCTGGGATGGAGAATGTGGATACGCAAAATACTCAAATGATTGACGTTAGCATACAGCCTAACACAGATGAAAGCTCATGCAATTGTTAGTATTTATACGCATCTCAGCGTTATCCGTATACTCAATTTGCCATTTCCGAAGATATAAATCTTAATGTAACGATTGCTAAGTTAACTGTGCTGGAAGCTGGTTGAAAATGCATTAATGTTCGCAACATTCTCTGAATTCCCTAACTCGTTTCAATGATATTCAGTTATAGTATGCTATTTGTAAGCGGTCGACAATAAGATCAGTAGCTAGTACTTGAGTGCTTAAACTTCGATATTTAGACCCTACAAAAATTGTTTGCTGTCTACATTTATTAGTGATAGAACACTAAGATTGAAAATACTTTCCAAATTCAAAAGCTTCCAAAGAATTAAGAATTTCGCATTGCTCATCCAAAAGTTCTGGTATTTCATCTTTTGCAAACCGAAGGACTGCTTCGGCAGGGACCCAAATCACATGCATACCAGCAGCTTTTGCACTTTTTACACCTGGAATGCTATCTTCAAAAGCAAGACATTCTTCCGGCTTGACTGGTTCCAAGCCATTAGCTTGAAGTTGCTCGTTAATGAGATTAAGCGTTTGGAGCCAAATATCGGGGTACGGTTTACCACGCCCTTCGGGAATCCTTTTATCATCCCCAGTGATGATACGTGAACCAAAACAACGAAATAAATGCTGCAGGTATTCTGTCTTCATGCGAAAGTTCTCGGTATTGGAAGATGTTGCTAACTAACACAAACATTAGCAAACACAACTATTCAATTTACTTACACCAATTGGAATATTGCGGTTCTCAAGATTAGTGATCAAGCTCTCAACTCCTGGCATCAGCTTAACATTTTTCCAATACTTTGCCTGAGATAAAGTGTTAGTTACTGGAACGGCAACTTCATCGCGTCTTTTGTACCCGTATAACTTGTTGTTCATCAACAAATTGTTGAGGTGTCATTGGAATACCAGACCATTCAATAACAACGCGAGCCGCTTCATGTCCTGGTCGTCCTTTAACATGTTAATGTTAAAGTGATTGAGAATAAATCATACCCATCATTTGCACCTTGACAGGAAGGATGAGAGGCCCTTTACCGTAGCGCGCTAAAATTTGATCTGTTACTAATTAGCTTTCTGAAGATTGCTCAATCGAATATTAACACGTACTTGTGGTCTCGGTGTAAACTTCTTCGCTGTCAATTAATAAGCCCTGTTTTTCTTATTGTCAATAAAGTCTCAAGTAACAGTACAAAAACAATAGAAAATTTAGAAAACAACAAACATACGTCCATATCGAAAAGGCAAGCGCGATAGCTTCGTTTTTCAGACATTATCACCAATTATATAAAACTACGTAGTAACAGAAAAATCGATGCTTTAAGCGGTAAAAGCTTGATGTTAAAGAGCTCCACTGAAGAGAAACAGAATCTAGATGATGTTTTGGAAAGAAACACAAGCAGAACAGGTTTAATCAACCAAATAATTACTTTTTTTCAAAATCACACTTGGTGTGTACATAACATGAAAAAGATTGCACCTGTCAACATTTAAAAACCCAACGACGATCTTTAAGGTTAACAAAAATAAATTGGACTTCTACTCATTACAGAAAGTTAAAATTGCTGTTCCAAAAGTAATATACTACGACTTACGTTTATTCTCGGATGTGAAGAACAGTTAACGACATCATCTGTTACCAATAAACATTCAGCCCAAGAGATTAATTCATTTGCATTTATACAAACCAAAGCTCAGTCTTCCACCATTGGCATTAAAATAATGTTCAGAAAGGCTTAAAGTTGAAATGGAAGATGAGCGAGTACGATATCCAAAATAAGATAATACCAAAAGAACGAAAGAACGACTATTATGTCTTGATGAAAAGTAATCTGTAGCATAACCTCTATTGGAAAAATCAGAACTTACTTATAAATTTAAGGGTAAGGAGTTGTAAAAATGAATTGATAAAAGTAGACAACGGAGTAATTTAAAGCATCAATCATCAAGAGGATTAGGAAAAATAACAGACCCTGCAATATAAGAATGCAGGTCGATGTCTCGAGCAAATTTGGAACCAAGCAAAATCGGCGGTTGGCAGTTATCATCATTAATAACTGAGAACTTAAGAATGAACGTCTCATCCAACCATTCAACCTTTGCATTCGTTGTACCAATAACCTTTCTTTTCTTTCCATTGACATAAACGTAAAGCACTTCATGATCTAAGGTATTCAGTACCAAGTTAAGGGCCTTCTGGATTTTAACTGTTATGACATTATCTGCACCATCTTTGTCAATCAGAGCAGGATACGATTCTTCAGAGGGAAGAAATTGAAGAAAGGTTGAGTATTTTTTGCCCTTTTCATAAGTGAAGAGAAGGTTGTGCATTTCAAGTGTTCGGGATATAAACTCTTGCTGATACCTATTCAGGTCACTCTCTTGAGAATCCCAATCATCATTCTCATCATTCTCATCATCCTCATGATCATTTTCATCGCTCCCTTCATTGAGCAACGTGTGTTCATTTTTACAATCGTTTTTGTCGTTACTTATTGAATTTGAGTACTTCACTTCTAGAGAATTTGTTGAATTCTGATCCTTTAATCCTATTCTTGACCTAGACTTATCTTGGAGGGTATTCACATTTTGTGAATTAGTTTCAACATCTTCGTCCTGAGTTAATCCACTTGTGGAACTGTTCCATGCGGATTTAGTGTGATCATGGCATTTAGAGATATCTAGCAACGGTTGCGTATAATCATTATCAACTGAGACGCTGTTGCATAGTGCATTTACGAATTTTGCAAATCCGCCACTAGGGGCTGTCGAGTAAGCAATATTAATGTTCTCTGCAGGAAAGTACCCGGAGACAGCAAATTTAATAAGGTCGTCCCTAGAACAACTTTTGACAAAACCAAATATCTTATCTTTTGCATGTTTGGGGTTACCACTTTTAAGTGCTTGAACGAGTTCAAACCAACGTGAAGAAGAGTTATGCTCTTCAATGATCTTAACGAAATTATGAAAAGCGGGATTCGTTACCACGGTCTGAAAAATCGATGGACAAAGATCGGTGCACTCAAAAGGAAGCAGGTGTACATAATAGGCAATTTTTCGAAGTTCACAATTCATAACATTTGGAACTTTCTGAGCTAAATGATCAATAATTTCACGATATTCGAGAAAACGATTTCCTGGTACGAAGGGCTTAGGCTTAAGCGAAAGAGGTATCACATTGCTAATCCTGAAACCGTAATTTCGTAGTTGCCTGTGTAAATTTTGTGGTTTTCCCACATTAAATCGAAATTGTTCCAGATCATGTCCAGATGTTGCCTTTTGAGTATCCAAGTCCGCGAGTTTTTCTAGCTTCTCCTCAAAACATTGTACTTTAAACTTAAGACTAGCAAGCTCGCGACGCATTTCGATAATCCTTGCTTGCTTTATTGAAGAATTTAGAATATTTGTTTTGTAAGATTTTGGCTGCTGCGGCGAGCCCGGTGTTTTATTTCTTGATTTTGCATTATTTGTGTATCGTTTATGAGAGGAAGACATTGATTTCTGTAACAGACTGTTGACAAACTGTTGTCTTTAAATATCGTATCTTTATAGTAAACGTAAAAGGTTAGTCTTTGCGAAGTTTACGTTGAAATTTTCAAGTTTTACAGCACGTTTAGGATGCCGTAGAGCGACTCCAACAAAGGGTAGAACCGCAGAAAAGAGACGATGCGTTCAGTGGAATTTAAGAAATAATTTAAACCACCCGATATTTTAAAACAGCTTTTGTGGTGTTAAGCTTATGACGATAAATACATAAGCCAACTAAATAAACGTTTGTATATCATTATTGCGACAAAGGAAATTCAACGGTTTATGTTTAGTTTTTACTGATGCTTTTGTTGTTACATTTTATGTGTGAGGCTTACTTAACGTCAACAAATAAGAATATCTTTTTCATAAATGCTATTCAATGTGAAAACCAAAATGGATTCAGTAATTGAATATAGCACGTATAATATATCCGATGACCCAGTAATCGGTATCGTGACTATGCAAAAAAGAAACGGTTCATCTACAACCGCAATAACATCATCTGGTAATTGAGAACAAGAACAGCTGTGAATTCACAAATGTGTGACACTAAGCTATCATTCATGCATATGAAAGTAGGAAGCAGGCTTTTATGAATTTAAGTGTGGCGACAGAACTGACACAACAGTATCACAGAAAAAAAAAATCCTTTAAGCAAGAAAGAATCGGCCTAGTTACTTTTGCAATACGACATTCGTAACGATTTAGTTTTTAACCTTAAGAAACCATTAACTTTATTTGTGATAATAAACAGCAAGAATCAGAATGCTTTATACAGCTAATACATCCAATAATTGGTATTATTAGATTTACCATTATGTGTATAAGATATCTTACAATTAGTGCAAACTTGTCACATTGTGATAATAATGATCAACGAAACTTAGAAAAAAAAACAATTACGATTCGCTGTTTTGAGTGAAGGATCTGTTAGTGAACCATAAGCGTATATCTAACTTTATAATCTTTGTGATAAATTTTTAACCTCACGCATATAACTATTATCTCTTATAAATAACAAAGTCTGCACATTCTTTTATAGCCAGGCTCCAATAAAAAGCAAGTATAAGACATTTATTAACTAACACAACTACGAAACGTAAGCCCATTTTGATCCACAATTTTGCCAGTACTAGATCCATAGTCGATGTTACACAAAATTTCAATCGTGCATGACACATTTATAGATGATTAAAACGGGTTGATACAATTACGATATACGTCAAACGCGGTTGAAATTTGACTTTAATACTTACGCTTCAGCAAGCAAAACAAGACTAAAATCGTTCCTGCTATCTATAATCAGGCAAATACATATCTTGCGTGTCCGACGGAAACGGTATAATTATACCGCGGACTCATTCAAAAAATAAATTGAGGACAAGCAACTAAAAGACTTCAAAATTAACAATTGCGTTTATCCATTCAGTATAAAAACACCGTAAAAAAGTTCATTATTTTACCCAAATCCTCTCCAATTTTTTAGTCTAAATTCGAAGGTAATACGTTAGACTCTAAGCAGCATCAGCAGAAATTCCTTCATGCACGGCACCGTTAGCACCATTACGTTCAGTGGCAGTAACGTAACCCGTACGAATAACAAAATCACCAAAAGGCTCATTGTCTTGCCTTTCAAGGGCATAACGTTTAATAATCGGTCGCAAAAGATCCAATATTTCTTTCTCTTGGACCGAAGCCTTATACAACTTGTTAAGACGCTCACCGGAGTGTCCACCGCCAAGAAGAAGATTGTAAGTGTTAGGAGCTTTACCAACACAAGCAATTTCAGCAACCCAAGGTCTTGAACAACCATTACCGCAGCCAGTCATACGCATCGTAATGCTGTCTTTGGTAAGTCCTGCCTCATTAATGATATCCTCGACCTTCGTAATCAGCTTGGGCAAATAACGTTCACTCTCAGCCATTGCGTAACCACATGTAGGAAGAGCAACACAAGCAGCGGACGATAAACGAAGACCCGTGAACGCAGTATTATCGAGTTTATACTTAGCAAGATGCGCATTTACCCAAGGAAGCTCGGACTCACTAACGTTATGCAAGATCATGTGCTGATTAGCAGTCATGCGGAACTCAGCCTTTGAACCGGTGTCTAACAATTTCTCAGCTAGTTCACGCATGCCAGTTTTGAACTGAAGTTGAGCGGTATCCTCAATGCGGCCATTTTCAATGAAGATAGTGCGCGAGTAAGTACCCAGATCCGTTTTAGCCCAACCACCGAAATCATCAGTATTATCAACGAAAGGCTGCTGAGGACGAGCCGGTTCAAACTTGAAACCGGCATTTCTTTCGGTCTCTGCGACAAATTTCTCGAAAGTCATGGTATCAACAGTGTATTTGATTCGAGCATGCTTACGGTTTTCGCGATCACCATTATCACGTTGAACAATAAGGATTGCTTTGAGAATGTCCAAAGTCTTGGCAACGGGGACATAACCAGCAAGATCACCTAAACGAGGATAGGTCTTCTTGTTGTTATGAGTCGTACCTAAACCACCGCCAATATAAACGTTAAATCCTTCAAGAATATCTCCGTCCTCTGAAGTAATAGCAACAAGACCGACATCGTTAATATAGACGTCGATGTCGTTGTGAGGGGGAACAGCAATACCAACCTTAAACTTTCTAGGAAGGTACGTAGGTCCATAAAGGGGTTCAACATCTTGAACAGCCTCACCAGCAACCTTGCGCTTTTCAACAGTTTCAGGATCCTCAATCCAAATTTCGTGATAGGCGGATGTGGATGGTAATAAACCCTCACTAGCCTCCTTTGCAACATCATAAATCTGCTTATGGAGTTTGGTGTTCGTAGGAATACAGGCGGCAGTAACATTACGGCAAACATCGCCTGAGGCGCCTAATGTAGTCAACATAACTTTGACAATCGCGCGAATAGAGCTTCTCAAATTACCCTTAAGAACACCATGACTCTGGAACGTTTGCCGGGTAGTAATTTTCAGAGTTTTGTTTCCCCATTTTGTAGAAATATCATCAAGTGCAATATACTGTTCAGCAGAGCAAACTCCACCAGGCATACGCAGACGAAGCATGAAAGTGTAAGCAGGCTCCAAACCCTGCTTTTTACGCTCATCACGGATATCACGGTCATCTTGCATATACATACCATGGAACTTCACCAACACACTGTCACTCTCTGAAACAGCGCCAGTAGTCGTATCGGCAAGACCTTCCATAATAGTACCACGAAGATAATTAGAGGTTCTCTTGATGTCTTCAGCAGTAACAGGTGCTGGCTCATTAATGTCGACATCAACGTTGTCGAGACCCAAGCTGGCCCATAATTCAGGCTCCCAAACGTTGTAAGCAGTTGCCCAACCATCAGGATCTTGATCGTTACCCAAACCCAGTGAGATCAAAGGATGCGCACCCAATTCAGCCAAGCGAGCATCCAGTTGCTTAGAAGGACGATTGTAGTAAATCTTATCCTCCTTACGAGGCCAGTAATCATAGTCGCCGAAACCAAAGACGGCAAAGTTAAGCTTGCTTAAAGACAAATCAACATTGCCCTTAAGTTCCTTCCAAAATTCCCGACCATTTTGAGGGAATTCACCTTGACCGGCGGTACTGACCAAGAACACAACATTCTCCTCCTTTTCAAGTTCAGAAAGAGGAAAATCGTCCATGGCCATTACCTTACTCTTCGATCCACGGGCAGTGGCACGACCATTTAAGCGCTTAGCAACACCTTCAGACACACCTCCATCAGAGGCATACAAAATGGTCAATTGTGGACCGGAAAGACCCTCCAATAAACGATTCAAAGCCGCACGCGCATCAAGCTTTTGTTGTTCACGAACCTTCGCACCAAATGACTCAGTAAGTGTCTTTGCAAGTCTTGGCTCACGGAGCGTAAGTTGAGTAAGATAATTATCACGATCCAAGAACTTCTTTAATTCATCACGAACGCGTTCGGAGTCAAGCTGGAAATCAGAATATTCACCATCCTTCAATGCAGGTGTCCAACGATACAGAGGCCAATAGCCAGCGTCAACAGCACACTTTGTCTCCTTCATAACAGTTATAGCATCATCCTCTGAAGTAAAGTAAGGGAGGTAACCAAGCACAACCGATGGTCCTTTGAATTTATCAGCCTCCAACAGCGCTGCCAACACTTGAGTGTAGGAACTGTATATGGCGACTGAGGCCACATAAGCGTTTCCAAAGTTCATAGCGTACAAACCTATGTCCTTTTTACGTTGAAGAACATCATTACGAGTGCTGTAAGGCTGCGTATCAATCACCAATAAGTTTACATTGGCCTCATCACAAAGGGCTTGGTGAACGGCAGAGTTACCAAGATCATACGCCCATGCATCCGATCCAATAATCCAGTGAGATTTCTTCACAAAATAGTGAGATTCAGAGAGCAATTCTTGTACTGAAGGTGCGGAATCCTTCTTTAAAGCTTCAATAACCAATGTAGGATCGAGTGTAGAATCCTCGTTGTTAACAGAAACTAGCCAATTAGAGAGAGCCTCAAGAGTCTCATTGTTCGTAATAGCACCTCCCTTCAAAAGTTTACCAATTCGCGAACAAAAGTGTTCACGATTCTTCTCGTATTCAAGCACAGAACCCAACGCAAATTGAGGAGAGATTACCAATTGTGCTGGAATAGATTTAGCAGATGCAAGACTCGAATCGTTGGCAACACGCAAACGAGCTTTGAAAACGCGTTGCAACAATTTGTGATAGGTCTCCTCTATAAGAGGAGGAGTCGGAACCAGCGACTCTTCCTTGACGGAGCCATAAACAAAACGAAGATCGGAGGCAGAGGGGATTGGTTTCTTCAACTCTTGAAGCAAAGAAGCAATCAATTTTACGGCATCTGTCTCCGCACTGAGAGCATATTGAGCAGACAAAAGTTCAATAGCAGAGTTTCTGCTCTTAAGTTCAACAAGTACGTCCAAATACAGCTGTTCCCACTTCTTTGGAAGAGCAGAAACTTGCTCCAAAACAACAAGGCGTTTAACTGACTCGGGCAAAACTTGAATAAGTTCATCAAAAAGCCAAGGACGCAAGACACGAACAGAAAGAGTAGCCAACTTGCTATCAGTTGCAGCGGAATTCAACAAGCCTGCAGAGCTGCCAAACGAAAGAAGCACAGTGGAAGCATCGGCGGGGCCGTTAAAATCAAATGGTGAGATACCAAGCTCTTTAATAGCTGCAACGGCCGATTGGATTTTAGCGGAACGTTGCGAAGTTGTTTGAATAGGAGTCGAGCCACGAATCTTGAAGGATTCACCAAAAGCATCACGAGCCCAATCCATTTCGTCCTTTGTTGGAAGCAGTGCAACATCCTCGAGAGCATAGGCACCCTTAGATACAGGAGTGTAGAAATGCAAAACACCGGTATTCAATTTCAAAGCAAGCTTGTGTGCCTGGGCCGCCGTCCGAATAGTGTCTGCAATAGAAGCACTAGCATCAGCTGCATTGTTGCCAGAGAACAGGATAAGAAAACCCGTGTCACGGACTGCGGCAAAATCAAAAGTTTCAGTAGAACCAAGGGCAATGTGGACGACAACAGGAGTATTAGCTAGAGTGTAGAGATGAGGGGTAGCAAAAAAAAGAGAGTCGGAAGCGGCTACAACAGCGTCGAGATGGGGTCTTTCAGCTGTGATGGGATGGGAAGAAGCGTCAGCGACATAAATGAAAGGGTCAGCATGCGCTTTAAGGTTTTGCACGATAGGGCGATAGCCAGAAGCATTTAAAGTTTCATTTTCCTGAAGATTCCGAACTGCCTTTAAACTGTCGGCAGTCAACGCAGTCTTTGTAGACTCAATAACATACAGAAAATCGGCCGAACGATAGGCGATGCGAGCCACAGCTTCTTGAGCACTAGTAAGTTTTGTAGTAATACCCATTTTTGCTTATCGGGCCTTTTCTTGTAACAAAAAACAGAGAAAACGAAAATAGGAAACGTATGAAATGGCCCAAAGGCGGTTATTGGATATTGTTTCAGTCGATTGAAAAAGAATGCAAAGCACAGACAAGATCAGCCGGGAGAAATGGTTTCTTAGGATCAGACTCCTCCAAAGTTAATGAACCAGGGAAAGACAGATCAGCACAAGTTTACTTTTAACAAATTGCTGAAAATAATGGAAGAAAAAACCACAACCGTAACTCGTTTTTCTTTAATATGGTTACCGACTGCAGAAATGTTCCTGTTTTAATGGAGACTAATGGTAGTCGCTGATGTGAAAAGCGCGGTGTTTTGTCAACAACTTGGATAGATCCCGCAAATTGTATTTCAATTGGCGATTCTTTTTTTTTCTTTGCACTTTACGTCTCGATTGCCTCGCGACTATGCGGAAAATGGATAAGGAAAGAAAGCACTTGGCTGTCGTCTGTGGACCAACGGTAGTGCTTTTATTAATCAAGGTAGCCAGTGATTGCGTGATGAAGTCGCAATTGTGGTTGCTAATTACACACGTTAGACGAATGCATGGTGGTGAATTTCGCGTGCCCGATCCATCGTCAACCACTAACACGGAATGTATTAGCCAACCTTCAGGTGTGTTGTCGTGTACTCTGCCGTCCCCAGCATGCTGTTCGTATCACAACGCAGCAATTGCAGTCATTTTGAAAGATACAAGTGTAGGCAGGCACAGATGTAGATATGATAGTGAGAACCCACTTAAAAAATGGTGCGGGAAGTTTCATTGGAATAAGAGAACGTATAACAAGGAAGCTATAAAGGGATACGGAAGAGGAGCAAACTAGCCGCCAAAATAACGGTGAGTCCTTTGGCCTTAAGTGATAAGCGTAGAAGGGTTCACAAAGTACCAATTAATAACGAGTGTTGTCATTTAAAAATTTAGAACGGCCTTTGAAAATTCAAAAGCTTGCACAAATTGCGATGAGTAAAGGTGTAGTCGTGGAAACATCTACCGCACCCGACGTTGTTTCGAGATTCTCCATTCATCAGGCTTCTCAAAACGATTAAATAAGGGAATAATCTTCTCTTTTTGTTTTGCTTTTGAGACATGATTGACATCCGCAAGTTTGTAAAAATTAGGTGCCACTTCAGTCAACCATCGCGGGTTGATAGTACTCACTGTGTGCATGTATTCTTTTGATGTTTGTATGAGTTCGTGATAAATTACCCATTCAGCTGGTTTACCAAACAAGACCCCACTGGGATGCATAAACACAGGAGCATTCTCAACCAAGGTTTTGTAGCAGCCTTCGCGAGAATCCCTTTTGGCTACATTAGTAAAGTGTCCGGAGCACAAAGCTTTAAGAATGGATTCACGATTCCGCCCGCATGATATTATCGGATGCTTATGCCGATCCATAAGACGAGCAAGTTGATTTCGGACGTCCTCCGCTCGTCGCATTCCGCGAGCCTGGATGTAATTGTCATAACACCAACTGTCTGAACATCGGTTACTTTTCCACGCAAAGTACACATTCAAAAGTGTGAGATGGTCACTCTCCGGATTCGAAAACTGAGCTCTATGGCGATCAGCCTCTTGCTGCTTTTCACGCGGACGGCTCCATATATTCGGAACACTAAGCATGGCGATAATGCTTAGAATTTCGTCTGAACATCCATATTCAACGCTCTTTAACAGCACTTTGGATAATTGCGGTTCCATAGGGAAATCAGCCATCTTTCTGCCCAACGGAGTTAGCAAACCATCATCATCTAGAGCGGAGAGCGCGTAAAGATTCTCTAGTGCAGCAATCATTGTTTGCGCCGGTGGCGGATCCATAAAATCAAAGTTTAATAGATCATTTATGCCCATAGCTTTTAACATAAGGATGGTATGTGACAAATTTTGCCGCTGTATCTCAGGAATCGGGCTAACAAGCATTTCGTTGCGAAACGCACTTTCAGTATATAGTCGATAGCATTTACCGGGACCTGTACGACCTGCACGACCACTACGTTGACGTGCTTGGGCCTGTGAAATCGGTGTAACAACAAGAGAGTCCATTCCCAGTTTTGGGTCATAGCAACTCTGTTTGACAAAGCCAGGATCGACAACATAATAAATGCCATCAATAGTCAAACTTGTTTCAGCAATGTTAGTTGCTAAAATTACTTTTCTCCCTCCTGGTGGTGCAGGTTCGAAAATACGACTTTTGGAATTTCCGAGGGAAGTGCCGAGTACACGGGCAATATAACAAGTTCTGGAATCATATTTCCTAATGCTTTTACTCGCTCATGAAGAATTTCACAACTCGTATCAATTTCTTCCTGACCTGTTAGAAAAACCAGTATGTCACCAGGACCTTCAGTTAAATGGATCTGCAAAACAGTGAGTAAAGCAGCATCCAAGTAATCTGGTTCTGGCTCCTTTGTGTAAAGAATTTCGACGGGATATGAACGGCCCGGGATAGTAAAGATGGGACATTTGTGGAAATAACTTGAGAATCTTTCTGCGTCCAAAGTTGCGGATGTTACAATTAGCTTTAGATCCTTCCGTTTTAAAACGGCGCTTTTTAACAATCCGAATAGAACGTCCGTGGCAACAGTACGTTCGTGTGCTTCATCAAGAATGACGACAGAATATTGATGTAGCAGTGGATCGACAAGACACTCGCGTTGTAACATGCCATCTGTCATATACTTGATTCGAGTGAGATTGCTAGTACGATCTTCAAAACGTATAGTATAACCAACTTCTTCGCCAACACGACAGCCGACTTCCTCTGCAACACGTTTTGCAACCGACATGGCCGCAACACGGCGAGGCTGCGTACAAGCAATCTTTTTGCTTCCACGGGTATAACCTTCTTCTGCCAAGTATTGAGTAATTTGAGTCGTTTTTCCTGAACCTGTTTCACCAAGGAGAACAAGAACCTGGTTACTTGCGACAGCTTCTAAGAATTGTTGACGAAGCTTGTATACAGGTAAGCTTTCGCGCTGTTCATTGATACTAAGCATGGTACGTTTTCCATAGGAAACAAACGCGGGCTTTGAGTCATTACGCCAGCTTGGCAAAGCAGATGCTACTTCTTTAGCTGCAGCCGTTTGTACATCCTGAGCAAATTTCCGGTCTTCCGGGCGTGCCATTGAGTCCTGCCAAGAAAGAGCCAGGTCTTGCGTGGAGAGTTCCTCTTTTGCTTTTGCCTTTGCGGCCTGCTGACGGGCTTCACGACGCTCACTTGCTAGTACTTGACCTTGCATAGCCGCTCTCGAAAGTGATCCGTCAGGAGCCTTAACAATTTTTATAGGAGAAAGCTTAAGTGATTGTTTTGTCTGTCCAGCCAGAAAACTTGGTTCATCCTCGCGGACCTCAATTTCAACATCTTCTTCCTCTTCTGGGTCAATCTCAGCAACTTTTGAAGTTTGAAAATCATCTTCAATCCCAGGTATAGTATCAAGTGAAACAGCGCCCGAAGCTGCTAACTGTTGTAATTCCCAAAGCTCTGGCGAGGCCAAGCGTTTCCTATGCATAGGCATTTTTTCACTTGAGGAATGGTAACTTGGTGACGCTTCATCTGCTAATGAACCAAGCGGCACCGAGTTTGCTCCGCTAGCTGATATGCTATTTTTTTGAGGAAGTTTTAGATCCTCCCCTGTTTCCTGATCCACATCCTTCATTGACAGACTGTACTTCTTCATCGCCTCGTCGATTTTTATGACTTTGACATAGACGCGTTCGCCGTAGGCGACGACATCAGAAGGGTGTTCCACTCGACGATTCTGTTGTATATTTGAGATATGAACAAGTCCGCTCGTGCGTTGGCGAATTCCGTCTAAGGTGACAAACACGCCAAAATCCTTAATTCCAGATACAACGCCAGTATATACGCCATTTATTTTTGGTTTATCTTCCAAGTAGCTTGAGCGCGAATTGCGGCGCGAAGATAAAAAAGAGCGTTCATCATTATTACGCAGATACCTATTTTCTCTGTCCCCATGTGAGCGATTCCGTAAATTAGGTGAATGCTGTCGCTCACCAAAAGGCTGAGAATAGGCTGTTTTATATGTTCGGTCAGTATTGTTGAACCCACCAGCAGATTCATCATTGCTTTCATTTTCTTTTTGAGAGTAATTAATTTGGTTAGGAATTTGCAGAGCAGGAAAAAGATCTTTCTTCCTAAGTTGCTCTGATGATTCTGTTAGAACTGAATGTTCAGTTGTTGTAGAATCCTTAGATTGGCCATGTGTCCTAGTCTCATTTTCATGCCCATTGTTTTTTTGGTATCGAGGATGCAAATCCTTTATAAGTCGGTCTAGCGTCCTCAAAAAACTGTCTGCGAATTCCCCGCCAACAACATGCACGTTCTCTTTAAATTCTTCAAAATTTTTTGAGTTTTCGTGTATATTTATAATGAATTCTGCCAACGTTTTGTCTTCAATACTAAAATGGTTGTATAATTCTGATGCAACTTTTGAAACCACGGATAAATACTCCAACTGCTCTAATTCATCCATTCCCTATAAAAATTGACCATAAAAGGTATAAATAATGTACAGTAATTAGCGGGAAGAGGTGCACGGGAATAGACTCAACTTGTGGCAACGTTCCAGAATATTGCAGGATTTTGCGATCTACACACGAGGAGGACGTATGGCAAAGCGACAAACTGACACAACCAATACGGTATTCATACACAGGATTATTGACGAACCTCTTTTTCCACAATACTTTTAAGTGCTTTAAAGGCAGCACGACCATAGCTAGCCCAGAGAGTGAGAGTATCCCTAGGGACTAATAATAATGACTATTTTAACACCTTACCAACCCTATGTACAAAAAACAAAACAAAACATAGTACCCATTATCCTAAGGTATTTAAAAACTTAGGCGCTTGCAGAATTGACAACGACCGTGTCTGTAAAATCCGAAAGCGGGGTATCAGGGTTAAAGATAGAGCTGCTCTCCCAGTGAACAGGCTCACCAGATTCAAGGAACCGGTCCAGTACACCGGCACTAGCAGCCACAAGACCAAAAAGAGGAACCGAGGGGTTAAGAGGCTTGGAAAGGTATTCAGGATGATACTGAACACCGACATAATAGGGGTGATCCTTCTTTTCAATAATCTCCATACGCTCTCCGCGATCATCCTTACCAATAAAGGTAAGACCGGCGGTTTGAATACGTTCAATGTATTCTGGGTTAACTTCGTAACGGTGACGATGACGTTCGAGAACTTCAGCACGATTACCATACAGCTTACGGAGCTTACTCCATTCAGAGCCAGCCTGGAAAACAGTAGGACGAAGACCCAAACGCATAGTGCCTCCCAACTTGTCCTTACTAATTTCGGGCATGTAAATAACAACAGGCTCCTTGGCATCAGGGTCAAACTCGGAAGATGTAGCTTCTAAAAAATGTTAGCTCTCGACCATCAACACAAAACGACGTATGCGAAATCATGCAAAAAATGACGCCAAAAGCGAATATGTAGCACTTGTCTACAGTTGCAAACCTGGGTATGGCGTTTACAACCTCTAGTAAGTGCGGGTGCATGCAATCTCGCAGACGTAGTTCAGTCGTCCAAATAACTATACATACCTTCAATACCGCAAACATTGCGTGCATACTCAATAACAGCAACTTGGAGACCCAAGCAGATACCGAGATAGGGGGTATTGTTTTCACGGGCCCACTTGGCAGCGGCAATCATTCCTTCAATGCCACGAGTGCCAAAACCTCCTGGAACAAGAATGCCATCAGCCGAACACACCAAATGCCAAGCCTTGTGATACCGAAGAGGATCGGTATTATTCGTTTCGTTTTCTAAGTCCGCGGCCTCGACCCATTGCAAGTCGAGCTTACGGCCACATCTCATGGCCGAATGCTCAAGAGACTTAATGACGGAAATGTAAGAATCTTGAAGATGTGTGTACTTGCCCACAAGCACAATTGAGACCTTTTTGAACAGACGATCATGACCAGAAGTAAGTTGCTTCCAAGAGGCCCACATGGAAGCACCAGCCTGGACTCGAGCGGTATTGTTGCGGATGGCTTGCAAGAGCATACGCTTATTCAAAAACGGTCGAGCTTCTCTTCCAACAATTGTGGAACATGGTAGGTAGAGGAAACATCATGTACAGCCAGGACCTGCTCTGGACCAACATGACAGAAAAGAGAGATCTTGTCAATCACGCCCTTTTCCAAAGGCTCCTTACAACGGCAGGCAATAAGGTCGGGTGAAATGCCCAAGCTACGCAAATCACGGATGGCTTGTTGAGTAGGCTTCGTTTTTTGTTCACCGTTGATAACGGGCACCAAAGAAACATGAATAGACACGAAGTTTTCATGACCAACACGGAACTGAAATTGACGCATGGCTTCAACGAAAGGTGCGGACTCGATATCGCCAACCGTACCACCAAGCTCAATTATACAAACATCGGGCTCCTCACCTGTCTCGTCAACGGGAATTCGAGCGACACGCTCGATCCAATCTTGAATCTCGTTGGTAACATGAGGGACAATTTGAACGGTTTTTCCCAAGTAATCACCACGACGCTCCTTCTCAATTACACGAGAATAAACTTTGCCTGTAGTGATGTTGTTATCGCGGGTAAGAGTAACGTTCAAATAACGCTCATAGTTTCCGAGATCCAAATCAACTTCGCCACCGTCGTTCAAAACGAAGACCTCTCCATGTTCCAAAGGAGACATGGTACCAGCATCGATGTTCATGTAAGGATCAATTTTAATACTGGTAACTTTTAAACCCAAGGTCTTCAAAAGAAGACCAGTAGAAGAGGCGATAACACCCTTGCCGATGCCACTAATAACACCACCGGATACTAAGACGTACTTCATCGTGTGCTGTTCCCCTGATGCTTGCTCCAAGTAGGTGGTACGTGGAGGACAGAAACGTGAGGTAGATGGTTGCTATTTATGGTGGATGTGTTTTGGTGGTGATGAACCCCCACAAGTAACCCACAGGTAACATGCTTCATTCCGATTTACTACTATGTTGAGTATGTGCAAACCGTTGTATATTTATGTAAATAAAGACAAGTTCGTTAACTTCTTAGTTAACCAGAAAAGTTATAATTCATTAATTGTGTCCGGCAATTTTTGTGGCTGTTAATTTTTGATTTATGTTATAACAAAAACCACCATAAGAGACAATAGTCAGTAAATCAAAGACGTAGAAATCCATAGTAATGCTTTACTCTTTTGGGTCCAATGGAAATTTTCAACTAGGACTTAATCATCACGAGGATGTTGCTGTTCCCACAAAAGTTGGATTTGCTGGAACTGTAAAAGCAATTGCTTGTGGCGGAAATCACACATTACTGCTGGACAAACAGAATAAGGTTTGGGCGACAGGTTTAAACTCTAGCCTTCAGTGTGGTCAACCCTTTTGGCATAAAAAGAAGGCAGTCGATCATGTCATTGGCTTTCAACCAATACTTACGAGCATTTGTTGCTCTTTAATTTCAGCTGGTTGGGAGTTCACTTTAGTCGTTGATTTGTCCCAAAAAATGCTATTCACTTGCGGTGTTGGACCTCATGGGGAACTTGGTCTAGGTGTGAAGGGACCAAAATCCTTTTCTCAAGTACCTATTCCTCTTGAGACTGGTGAAATAATTATTTCAATGGCAGCCGGACTTAAACACTGGGTCTGTGTTACCAGCGCTGGTCGCTTATACGGTTGTGGAGACGGGCGAAAGGGGCAATTGAGTTCAAAGGTCATAAATACAGTATCACAACCTGTACTTATTGGAGTATTCCCTGGCGCAAAGAAAGTTGTTTGTGGAGTGCAATTTACTGGTATTTTGTTCAATTCCGGTGAACTCAAAATACTCGGAAACACGAAATGGCGCATAACAGATGAGTATGCAGCGTGGGTTGCAAATGAAGACAACAGGCAGCTTCAGATTGTTGATGTTTCATCAAACTGGTCAACACTGACGCTTCTGACCGATAAAGGGAATTGCCTGGCCTTCGGCAGGGGCGACCGTGCACAGAAAGCACATTCTCGTTTAGAACAACCAGTTCACCAGGTCTCGGGCGGTAGTGAACATAACATTGTATTGTTGGAAACTAGACAAGCAATAGTTTACGGTTGGAATGAACACGGGAACGCTGGTCTTCAACATCGTAAAGATGTCTATACGGCAGTCCCACTAAAGCTCGACGCTCCTGTAACGTTGGTTGCAGCTGGCTACGCAACTAGCTGGATAGTGACAGAAAGCGCAAGTACCGATAATAATTCACCAGCTGTCTAGTTCATGAACCGATTTCAATTGTGAAACAATAAGCTATCAGAAGAGTAAATGAGTTGTTTAGTGTGCTAAGCAACGATTGACAAATATCAATGAAGGAGAAGGGAAAGCTGTTCCTGTCTCTTATGTGCGCAAATAGAAAAGACTGTACTTATGCACGCTTCCTCATCAAGAGAAATTAGCGTGTAAAAAATAAAAGGAAGGAGTTAATAGCTGTGCTGCAGTTTCTTTTTTTTTTTTTCGTAATGAATTCGTATTCTAAGCAGGCCCAATGTAGTGCGCAAGAACAAGTACAGCAAGCACGGTAATAATTTTCTTCCAGTGTCGTTTTATTACATTTTCTTGATTCTGATTTGCGCCTACAGACGATCTTGCTCCTTCGCTTGTTGTGGTCTCCTCATGATCTGCATTACCGATGGCAGGAGTAATCGGTCCATCAGCATTTAAATTATCTTCAAGGGAGCTTCCCGGGGGAAGATTGTTTGCTGCAATATCCTCATTATTTTTTTCAACTAGCTCAGGAAAAATTCGAGCAAATTTCGGATTTTGCTGAGCATTAAAACGCTTAGAGTCGCGTGCAAAATCTTGTCTTGTAGCTCGTGTTGCGGTAAGGCCACCGGTAAGCATTTCTTCCGAAGTCATAAACGAAATTAGTCCTACGAGGATAGTAGAAACCATCCATGAAGGATTCCATAAATTGGGGTGGAAGTCTGAAAACGACAAACAAAGTTTTGTGTTCGTACGGAAACGACCACTTGGAGTAACCATACGAATTGCTGGGGGCTTGTACGGATATTCACTTGGAAAAGTGAGAGTACCTTTAGAATTTGGATTGTTAGCTGTAAGTATTCAAAATTGCTTCAAAAATGTGTACCATGATACTGGCCACCCTCGTATGGCGTATCTGGTGGGCCAGTAATGATATAATGCCATTCTAGAATGTTGTCTGGAGCGGGACGGGCTTCAACAAATTCGACCGGATTTTTCTGAATCATCATGTATTCCTTCATTAACTTCAGGGTGTCAGTTGATAGTTGTAACAAAAAATACAATCTTACCCTTCTGTAAGCAGCTTTCGATGCCATTTTTGCGAGTTCACTGGTACGACTGACGTGGGACACAATTGGTACTAGTAGGGATGGATGGTGAGGATTTCAGTGGATTATATCAATAAATCAGATGCTTCCGTCTTAAAGATACGTAGCACCCATGTGAGTCTTATTTTGCGTCTCTCAAGTGAACAAACAGTATAGATTTGATATCTAGAGTACATATAGTTTTTTCGATTCAACAGCCGAAAAAAACATCTATTATGTTGCATCGAGGAACCAATAACTAATCAAGAGAACGGTTATGTGTATATTAATAAGTATCTATAAACAAATACAGCTAAATGAAAACTTTTGTTTGACTCGCCAACTTACAGCCATGAGTATCTTGTTCTACCGCTAATGGTGAAATATTTACCTTCGCCTGACTTACCTTGCCGCTCTCGCTAACCCCGCCTGCTTAACAAATGAAATCGGCAAATGCCCTGCGCCAAGTTTATAGTTTTCAGCTATGACAGTGCTATGACATTGGCTATGACGTATCTATCACTCTTATATATTCTCGACGTGCTCAGGTGTTCGTTCCTTTCCCATTCACGTTTTTTTGAACAAAATGAGCTCGAATTGCGTGGTAGTACATAATATTTCTAATGAAGTTACCGAGAAACAAATCTCTGATTTCTTTTCTTTCTGCGGAAAGGTTGCTGATATTTCGTTAAAGAGTGAAGGAACAACTCAGACGGCCACTATTGAGTTTGAACGTGCTAGTGCTACGAAGACCGCACTGCTCCTCCAGGATGCCGTGCTTGGAACGAACAGAATTCAAGTTGTAAAGGCTGACTCTTCAAAAGGTTCTGTAAGTTCCTCGGAGGAGGGAACACCTAGTGACACAGCTACTACTCAGGAAGAGAAGCCCCGTGCTGCTATTTTTGCAGAATTGCTCAGCCGTGGATATCACTTGAGCGATGTCACGATTGAAAAGGGTCTTGAACTGGACCAGAAGCATGGCGTTTCCTCTCGATTCAAGGGCTTGCTTGAGTCAGCCCTTGCTGGTGTAAAAAATATGGACGCTAGATACCATGTATCTGAGAAGGCGAACGAAATTGATAACAAGTTGTCTATTTCAAACCGGTTCCATCGGACAGCAGCATTTTTGAATGGTTATATTCAAAGAGCTATGGATACTAATGCTGGTCAAAAGGTTCAATCTGCTTTCAATGAGGGTCGTAGCCATATTCTTGGCATCCACAACGAAGCACGCCGTTTGGCTGACTTGAAGGCAGGAAAAACTGTTCCTGATGCTACAACTGCCAAGGACGAGACACTTGGCGCTGCTGCCGTTGAAGGCGAGAAAGCAACTAAAGCAACGACGGCAGAGTCCGCTCTTCCCGCTGCTGAACCGGTTATTACCTCCTCGGGCACACTGGCAGAGGCCGACGCGCACGGTGCCGCCGAAAAATCTGAAAAGACGGCTTTAGACGCAAAACCCGCTGCCACGGACTAGATTGGTTTGTTTTGCCAGTTGCTCGTTCGCTTCATTGCTATGTGCATAGACTTTAAGCAGTACAAGTTCTGCTGGTCCTTTTGTCATCATTGATGAGTCGTTACAATATTTATTTTAAATAGTTTTGAGAAGTTCTACAGTTGCCTACTGTTAGTTTAATAATGTCTACGCTCTGTTTATTGCCTTTCGCCAATTAGCATAGCCAGCCCACAAGTTTGTCTGTGCAAACGTTTATTACTAGTACAGCCTAGCAACATACAATATTCTCTGTTACAGCCAAGGTGTACTAAGAAATAGTTTTTACATGAATCATAATGTCTTTTACTCATGAAGGTAATGCACGAAGAACGGGCAAATGCGATGGTCGGTTTTTCTGCGGAGGTATGGGTAAACGAAAATAAGGCAGGGTTGGATAAAACAATTCGGCGGTTACAGTGCGCTCACTGTCCGCCTTGAGTAATGAAAACAAGAAACGAAAAAAGTGCTGCAGTACCAAGCAAGCACTTCTGAGAGTAGCGAGTGTCTAATCCTCTCACTGAGCTGCTAGGTTGCTACCATCATTTTGAGACTCAGTAAACTCTCCGTCTGTGGTATTTTTTACCGAAGAAGCACCTCCCATGTTGAAGCGAATCTTTATGGTTTCTGCTGGCGGTGGAGGGGGAGGAATTTCCAACACTTGGCCAAGCTGTTCGGCTTTACGCACAGAAGCCTTCTCAACTTGTTCGAGCAAAAATGCACGCTCAAGTCGAGCCCGCCGAATTGCTCTTTTCACGGCCTCTAATTTGGAATTCAGAGCAGCATTGTCATCTTGAATCTCCTGAATTCGAGCTTTGAGATCTTTACATTTCTGACGGTACTTTTTTTCTGTATGCGACACAATTCGTTAGTCAAATGAAAACCAATACTCCAACGAATTCAAATTTAATTAAGCCACAATGACAAAATAATGAATGCGAAGCTAGCAGCAGCAAAACAAACCTTCCGATTTGGAAACAACAGGTGCCAGGTGATGAGGCTGCATTTTTGTTTCTCCTAGCAGCAGACAGTGGCAAGCAAACGCACAAAAACAGCCCTGTGTGATAGCAGCGGTGGTGGTGATAAAGATGAAGCGGAAAAAGTGGGGTAACTTAATGTGGGGGCATAGACGAGCAGCAAAATAACAAGACAGAAAAGTAAAGTTGTAACGGAAGACGGTAGTTAGAAATAGAAATTGACAGAGTAGTGCAATGGACATTTAAAGAACAGAAGGCCAAATAAAAATCATTGAGAAAAGAACGACACAACATAGAGTTATCACATTAGCATAAATGTGTAAAGCAGCGTAGAAACGACGCATATGAAAAGTACAGTTTACAAGAGTTAACCTTCCACAAAATTTGCAGCTTCCTCCCGAGTGATGGGCTGAACAGAGGAGACTTTGTGATTAAATAAAACGCCAAAAAAGCTGTCAGCTTGTTTGATCATCTCTGGACGGAAGGTGGTACAAATGAATTGGCTTGTTTGCGAGAGCTCCTTCACCATTGCTGCTATAGCAGTTCGATATTGGGCATCAAGGTTTGCGTCGCACTCATCAAGGATATTAAAAGGTGCTGGGTCGCAGCGCTGAATAGCAAAGATAAGCGTCAGAGCACAAAGTGACTTTTGACCTCCACTTAACTGTTGGATATTAAGTTGTTCGTCATCCTTGCTGTTGAAGGAAACAGAAATAGAAACTCCCGTGTAATTGTCAACTGAAGAATTTGGTTGAGAAAATAAGGATGCACCTGTAACAGAGCTATCATCAACATCCATGTCATCATCACCCTGGCTTGCTTTTTGTTCAAGATTGATGCGACGTTTCATCACAAGTTGTCCCCGTCCTGCAGGAACAAGCTTTTCGAATATCTCGCTGAAATTCTTAGCCACTTGTTTGAACGTTCGTTCAATTGCTTCATCTTTTCGTTGATCAAGGACAACGGTTAATTCTTGAATAGATTCCTGCGAACGCTTCAATTCGTCACGACGTTGAGTGAGTGAGTCCCGCTGCTTTGTAAAGCTCGTATATTGTTCAAATGCCTTTTTGTTCACATGTCCAAATGATTTTAGATCAGCGCATACCTTATGATATTTCTTGACAACCGCATTGGAGCTTGAAGAGGCATATTTTTCATATGCGTCATCTGGAAGTACACCGAGGGTTCGGATATTGTCATTGCATTCCTTCTGACGAGCAAGTAGCAGACTTTTCTTCGCCGCGGTCCGTTCCGTTAATTTGGTATCTCGTTCAATAGATTGAGCGGTCTCCTTTTGCGTGTCTTCCAATTTTTGTATTTTGGACTGAACATCATCTAAGTTTGCTTTAACACCTTGAATACGCTGCGTCAAAGCCTCATTTTGCTCTTCTAAGGAGGCAATTCTAGTTTTCAGCTTTTGAAGCGCGGACAACTTGCGCTTCATTTCACCACTTTCATTTGAACGTGTAATGAGATTAACGCTCTCCTCAAGTGTTTTTCGACGCAGGTATAAGTTTGTGTGCAGCTCAGTTTCAATAGCGATTTTCTTTTCCTCTAGTTCAATCCGCTTCTTGTTTAAGTCCTCATATAAAGGTTTGACTTCACCAAGTTCTTTTAACTTAGTAGCTAAGGAAAGTTGTTCTTCTTTCGACAGCACATTCTGGAAAGGTGACTTCAACTCCTCGAGGAAACCATCGCGTTGTCGTTTCATCTTCAGACACTCTGTTTGGATAGCATCAAGCATCTGACCTTTTTTATCTTTCAGTGCCTGTAGTTCAACAATCTCACGAGCTAGAGTGGACTCTTCATTCCGAAGCGGCTCAAAATCAACAGAATGCTGTTGAAAGGCCACTTCTTTTTTCTGTATGGCGTCAATGCAAGCTGTGATCTCTTGATCCAATCTTGCAATATCAATTTCAACTTGGCGTAGCTGTTGTACATAATTTTCGTGAATAGTGCGACACTTATTAACCGAATCCAATGATTCCAATCGAGAGTTACGGAAATCTCGATAACCGCCTGTTAAAGCACCCCTCTTGTCTGAACGATCACCATTTAGTGTGACGCCGTTGAGGTGGTGCGAACGCGCATACTGAGAAGCGACATCCAACGAGGGACAAACAACTGTTTTTCCAAAAACCTGCATAAAAGCTGGCTCGAATTTAGCATCAAACTTAAGTCGTTTTACGAGCGGCAGAGCATCGCTTGCTTCAGGATAATTGACGGGCTTGGGATGAAGTTTGTTCAACGGCATAAACGTTACCCGGCCAGCATTTTCCTTGTACATGACTTCGAGGATATTGCTCGCCGTTTCGTCAGAGTCCACTACAATATGAAAAAGACTGTTTCCAGCAGTCGCTTCCACAGCAACTTTAAAGCGATCATCAACAGTGAACAGTTCACATAGTGGACCAAAATAACCTTCAATTTTTAAACGCTTGGCAATTTCTGCCACGGCCCTTAAACCGTTTGCCATATGACGATCCATAGTAGATAATAATTTCTGCTCGGCCTTTAACATATCATTTTGTGCAGTATTGATGAGCGATTTGAGCTTTGATTCATTACGCCAGGCCTCCTTACGTTGATCCAACAAATCATCACGATTTTCTTGCTCCTCAGAAAGATTAGAAGAAATCTGTGAAAACACGTCCTGCCGAGTCTGTAGTAAATCCATAAGTTCTGCTTCTCGCGCCTTTTTATTACGAATATTGGCATCAACGTCGTCAATTTCCTTCCTCACAAAGTCTCCCGAAGCTTCTTGCTCTTTTAAGTCGGCATCAAGGATACTAATTTGATTGTTTAGCCATGCGTCACGCTCTTCGTTGCTGTTAAATTGAGTTCCACGACCACGTTTATCCGACAGGAGTCGTGTTTCACTTTCAAGGGAGTGTAAGTGTGCACGGACTTCAGTTTCTTTACTCAACAATTGTTCAAAGACGGGAAGTATATTGCTCAACTGTTGCTCTTTTTCGTCAATAAGCTTCACAAGACTAGCTAACGCTTTTTGCTTATCTTCACGTTCATGACTGGAGCCCTCTAAAGCTTGTGACAACTGATCACGATCTGACTGCATTGCTGCGTGTGATTGTACGCAGGAGCTGTATTCTTCTTCAAGTTGACCCTTTTCCAATTCATGCAAAGAAAGTGCATGTTTCAGTTCGACGACTTCAGCACGCAACTCTTCCAAGCGTCGTTCACGGTCCATAAACTTTTTAGCGTTTGCATCGGTTTGCTGTTGAGCATTTGTGTGGTCTTGCTCAAGTGTCTCCAGCGCGTTAGTGATTTCCTCGTTTTCCCGAGAATAAATTGTGTACTCGAGACACCGGCGCTCATTATCTTTTCTGTAGAATTCATTAAGTTCATTCTTTTCCTCGCCAAGTTCATCCAACCGTTCCTCAATGTAGCTGAGTAATTCATCAATTTTCTCAGCCTTGAGCTTAGTTTCGTCCATAATCTTTAGCGATTCCGCTCGACGTTGATCATAAACCTGTGTTCCCGCAACCTCCTTCAGCAAAGCTAGTCTTTCAGAATCCTTAGCATTCGTAAGAGAGGTTACCCGACCCTGAGGAACAATGTAATATGGATTGGAACGCGAGAAACCCGCAGACTCAAGCAGATTAATGACCTCAGTTTTCGTAACTGTTTTCCGATCGAGTGAGTACTCGTCTTTTTTCATTCCAATGGTTCTGCGAAGAATAACATCCGGCTTTCCAGTGGGGAAACGATTGTCCTCATTGTCGAAGGTGATCTCAACGTATGCACTTAGAACCGTCGAACCTGGACCTTCGTGTAACAGAGCCTGCCGCTCTTCGCGACTTAAATGTGTGTATGCATCACTTAACACAAATCGAATAGCAGCGAAAAAGTTGCTTTTACCAGATCCATTCCTTCCAACAACAACATTGTGATGTGGACTTAAAGGTTCAATCGCGGTATAATCTTTGTAGGATTTAAATCCCTGTATTGCAATCTAAAAGAAAACATGTTAGTAGCTATACCGTAGCAAGTGCATACCTTTTTAATGTGCATTACACGATGAGGTTGTGTGTTAATGGTAGGAGTGAGACGCGTCCACCCTAAAATCATGTCGCGTCGCGTACCAACGCCTACGCGTCGCAAAAATGTTCTGTTAAAAGAAAATTGTTCATATACGAAGTCACCTATTATATAACCTAAATCCACACGTTCTTGTAATTATTTCTGTTACATGTGCAACTGCTGCATTGTTTATGACTAGGGTTGCTATTAATATGATTATTAGATAAACATCTTATACTATAAACAAGAGTTATTCATCAGTTTGTTTTCTTGTTGATTCTCAAGTGAATTCATAAGAATGTGACATTTCATAGGGAGTTCCACTTGGTCTTACTCTAAATTTTTTTCTGATGCCACACACCAACCTAGCAGAAACTTGCTAAAAATGGCAGAGTTTACCACTGATGCCAACGCTCCTTTAAGAACAGAACTTAATGTGGGTGATGAGTTTGTCGAGGATTATGATTCTTCGGAGGATTTCGACAACTTTGATGATGTTGACGACGTCTTAGAAAATGGTCGTCATTTTAATCGACAAGCGCCGCTAGGAGCGAAAGGAGTATCTACCTTGAATCCAGGCGTTGCGCATGAAGAATCTGTGCAAAAACTTAACTCTTACATGTCTCGTATTCATGTCGAAGACGGCTTTGAGGGACCTAGCAAGTTGCAATCTACGAAGGACAAAAGTGACAGAGCAACTTCAGAACAGGTACTGGATCCTCGCACACGCATGATATTGTTGAAAATGATCAATAGTGGAGCCATATACGAAATCAATGGCTGCATTAGCACAGGAAAGGAAGCAAATGTATATCATGCCATCACGGAAACTGGTGAACACCGTGCTATCAAAATTTACAAAACATCTATTCTTGTATTTAAGGATCGCGATCGTTACGTCTCAGGCGAGTTTCGTTTTCGGCACGGCTATAATCGTCGGAACCCCAGAAAAATGGTAAAGACTTGGGCTGAAAAGGAGATGAGAAATTTGAAACGTGTTTATTCTTCTGGGATTCCGAGTCCGGAACCTCTTGCTCTGAAGCAACACGTCCTGCTTATGAAATTTCTGGGTAACAAGAGCGGTTGGCCTTATCCACGTCTTAAAGATGCAGGCCTTTCTGCTGAAGATGCTAGCAGGGTGTACCGACAGGTGGCCCGCCATATGCGGACGCTGTATCACGTTTGCCATCTCGTCCATGCTGACTTGTCCGAGTACAACATGCTTTACCATAAAGGAAAGGTTTATATCATTGATGTGTCACAATCTGTGGAACATGACCATCCTCACAGTCTTGAATTCCTCAGAATGGACATCACGAACGTTACAACTTTCTTCCGTCGTTTGGGAGCAGCAACACTGCCTTTAAGTCAATTGTACCAATTTATTACAGAGGAAGGTAGTGTTGAAAAAGCGGATATGCAGCAACGCATAAGTGAGCTGTTTGAAAACCAGCTGGAAGAGAACGAGGAGGACGAGAAGGTGTTCCTGAAGTCCTACATTCCCCAAACGCTAGAGCAAGTCTACGACATTGATCGTGATACACTGCTGGTACATGAGGGACAAGGAAGTAATCTAGTGTACAGCCACTTGTTAAGCACTGCTGCAGATACAGAGACGCAAAACGACGAACAAACTGTTCATGAGTCAGAGGATGAAAACGAAGACAACTCCTACAACACCGAAGATGGAAGTGAGAGCAACCCTGATAGCGCTGGTGAAGAGTCTGAAATTGAAAGTGACAAACCAAGAGCTGGAAAAGCCCGAAAGCAGGCTGAAACTGCTGAAGAAAAACGTGCTCGAAAGCAAAAAGTTCGTGAAGAAAAGCGGGAAAAGCGGAAAAACAAAATGTCCAAATATGAAAAGAAAAGACGCATAAAAAATAGCAGCGCCAAGAAGTAAAGGAATCCATTATGACTTCAGCAAGGTAAAGCTCGAATTCACAAAGGGAAAAGGTTTTGATAGAGGACTATACATCAATAATTGTTTGTCATACGGGAAAATAAAATAGTTTTTGTGGTTCTTGTTATCATCAATAATAATAGGGGAGTGAAACATGTTCCAAAAGCATCATTAGTGTTTTGTAGACCGATCTTCAATATCAGGCAATTCCGAATATTGATGTTCGGTAATCTCAAAATGGAGAGGAGGATCTGTAACAGCGGGCCAAAGAGTTTGAGGCAGAAAATCGCCATGACGATTAAGGAAAGCAACACGAGCCTCAGACTCGCCGCTTTGTTCCTTTTCCAGTTTCGTGACAAAGTCCCGCACAAGACCGCGCATCCGTGTTTCATATGCTCTACGCCTTCGGACCTCATCCAACAATGAGTTGTAAGTCTTGGCGAACTGGGTGTAATGGTTGCGCAACTGGATTAGCTCCTGTGCAAGCTGGGGAATTTCGATCCCGGTTTGTGCTTTAATTAGTTCATGGGCAGCCTCATGGCGTTGGTTCGTAAGCTCGTTTTTATTCAGTTCTTCAGCCAATGGTTCTAATTGAACAGATGCAGCCTGAATATTCGAGCTATAATCGTTCACAGACTGTTGAAATGCCCGAGTGCTATCTAGACCAGATTTGAGTTGGGCGAGGACCACAGGAAGGTGTTCACTATCCTCACGTAAGACTTCAACAAGTTCACGGGAAGCTGCTTCATCCAACGTCGAATAAATTTCAACCGCCTTCGTGCACTGTTCATAATGTTGAGCTACTTGAAAGAGCAAATCGGCTAGTTCCTCGGCTACGGAATTGTTAGTAGGAACCGCAAACTCCAAGTTAGTGTTAAGTAGGCGTGTACGGTACTGAGAGCAAAGGCCTTCGTCCAGTAAGCCCACTAAACGTTCATAGGCATTCCAAACGCTGTCGGTAACGCAACGCAGACGTGTCTTTAAGTCCTCTAGAGCAGTGTCGTCAACAAACGCGTACAGATTGTCATGATTGCAGCCAAAGGCTAGATCAACAGATGTCTCACGTAACCGTTTTAGCGCAGCCTCCAATTGTTCGTGCAACTGACTTAGCTGGTTGAATGTAGGATGTTTCTGAACCAAACTGAGCAATTGTTGGATAAGTGCCGTGGAGGCGTCCAATCGCGAACATTGGGAAGCTGTCAACTTTGAAAGCTCTTTTAGACGCTCATGCTGTTTCTGATAGTGCTGTAGCATGTTCATTGCTTCCTCGTCAATTCTGTGCGCGGCTTCACAGTACTGTTGTGCCTGCGATAACGCGTTCTTGGCCTGAATCGCCCATTCTGACAGCTGATCCATAGAACAGGGACCTGGACGAAGAACAGTCAGCCAACGTTAGTTTGTAACAACTATTTCAGAAAGATAGATGCTGATGAGTGAAAAAATATCAAAATATAATGTTGTGAACAAGATAGGTGAGTGTTTATCGATTCCACGAGACGTGCGCTTCGTGTGGCAACGAAATACGCGACCAAAACGTTCACCTAACTATATGCTACTGCGCGTGCAAAAAGTTGTGCGCGAAACCTCAAGTACTAACACAATTCCAATCCTGTGTATGGGATGTGGTGGTGTTGTTAGTGTATGAATAAACACAGCTTCGGAGTTATCTGCAAGCCACGACTGACCAAATGAAAGTCAAACGTTAGAACGAATTTCTCAACAGGAGATTACTCGTGTGCGGAAGTACAAAATATTTGTTGGGGTTTCGTCAAGAAATGGGACAGTCGTTTCGCCATGAAATTTGGCCTGTCAACAAAGACGCAGATCAGTGCAACAAATTGCGTAAGAAGGCATCAGCACGTACAAGAGAAGGCAAATGAAACATTATGAAAGTGCACGAGAAAAAAAAATAACGAGCACAAATGCGTGGCATGAAGATCCAGGCAATTGATGATGACGGTTAGGTGTTACCACACTTCTCTTTTTATTTGTTCCTCGACCACAAAACAATCGCCAAGCCATCATTAGTGAATGCCAGGCAAACCACTTGGCACGCGGCTCTTGTACTCCTTGTAAGCATCTCCAAAGAAAGTAGTCAAATGTTGCTCTTCATAGTGAATACGACTGTCAAAGAAGCGCCAGAGAACGTAGCCAAAGATAGCAGTGCTGAAAACGTTGCGCAGACACAACTGTGTTCCCAATGCCCACACAAAAAAGCCAGCATAGGAAGGATGGCGCACGTAATGGTAAATACCATCGGTTACAAGCTTGTGTTCTTGTTTTTTTTCAGTAGCAACAACGTGTGAGAACGACTCGCCGGCGTGAATCATGGCAAAAGAACGCAATGCTTGTCCAATAACGACTGCTACTAAGCCGACAAGGAGCATGATTAAACGAATGCTAGCGCAGATCCATCTAGGCATAAACAACTTGCTCAGCAACCCGGGACCAGAGTTTCCTCGGCAGAGACAATATTCAATAACGCCAAGCAACATCGCGTACCAATAAGAGTTACCATTGTTGAGAATAAATGAATCGAATGAGAGCTTAGATGGTTGGAATCGAGCTGTGATGAGGTATTCCAACAAGTGAAATAAAGCCAGTTGAGCCAAAAACAAAGAAAGACCAAAACGAGTGAAGAGCCAAAACACAAGGCCTGATCCGAATATACAGCCTAGTGTTGCTGCAGTCAACGCGGTCAAGCCTACTGCTGAAGTCGTATGCATCTTAGACGTGTCAGACATGGTTGGAAAAAACAAACCGGGTCTTCCCAATACAAGTATTTTCTGTGTAGTGAGCGAATTCTCCCCTCACGCGTAACCCTCTCTTTAAACAAACAGTTAGTAAGGGATGTTTCAAGCCGGGAAACAGCATCAAATAAGCCAGAAGCCCAAGCTAATTCCCAACTAACTCTACCCAGACAAGCAAGCACACTATTTCGACCCTCCAAAAAAACTCAAAAAACGATTCCAAAAAAATGTCAAAACTTTAAACTATATACCAAAAAGACTACAAAAAGCAAACACGTCAGAATACACCAGCTGCCCTACACGACGGGACCGTCCAGAGGACGAGAAACCCGAGGCGTAAGAGATCATCGCTGAAGGGGGAGAACAGAACCTGAAAAGAGATCCTGTTGTCCCTCCCGAAGAAAGAATTGTCTCACCTCTTCGGGCAACGGTGCTTCCAATCATCATCCGTGTTGAGTTCTGTGGCTAGGTTAGGAAACCCAAGCCGGACGTATACTATAGAAATGATCCTATGGAGTATCGTCGATGGTTTTCTGTGGAGCGAGCCGTGCCCTTTTATAGTGTTTTCGTGTGGGGAAAAGCAGTCACACTTTCGGCTTTCCATTGGACAGTATCAATTAATCGCGTGTCGTTTAAGCTCTCGATTAGTTGAAATAGCATATAGAAAGCTGGGGCGCTTTTCGTACTTGGTGTAGTCAAATAAATAAAGACTTATGAAGGGATATGCTTCGGAACAGTAGTATAGGGATTGTGAGTTGAGCTGTCCGGTGGTGCGCGAGTGAAGGGTTGCAGATTCCTGAAATGTCTTCAAGAAGTCACCTTAATAAGTCTCTTGTTTGCAACATTTAACATGCATACACACGCAGAGAAAGGATATGTTTGTACAATGTGGGGATCTACGAGATGGTCACTGTAGTAAATGCTGTTTTGTGTGAGACAAATAACGATTTGGTATACCAGAGGCGCCGACACAATTGATTTTTTTTCTCGTTTCAGCGTTAATGGTATGAAGCGAGTACTTTCAAAATTGAGTTGAATGTTAAGAACAAGGCGTTGATGATCATGTCGCACCTTCTAAGTAGTCGAACTACTAACCCGCTGTAACGTGTGCCCTGTACTACAAATCCAAGCTTGCTGTTGTTATTGTTCATTTCGGTCCTAATACACCTAGTACATACTATTATGGCAATAAAAAAAATTAATGACGTCTACGCACACTTCTAATGTACTGGGGTGCTAAAACAATTGGTTCGTCAAGCTCAGTAGCAAATGCACTCACGGCGGCAGGATTGCGCAAATGAGCGCGTCCAACGAATACGACGTCAGCTCTTTCCTCCTTCAAAACGCTTTCAATAGATTTTCCATCGCAGAACAAACCGACGGTGCCAACAGCCAATCCAGGAACCGCTTTCTTGACGGCCTCGGCGAAAGGAACTTGAAAGAAGGGTTTCACGGGAATTTGTTGGGCAGAGTCGGCGCCACCAGTACTGACATTTAAGAAATCGACACCGGCATCTTTCAATAATTTAGCCATTTTGACCAAGTCAGTCACCTCCCAACCCTTGCCGGGTTCAAGCCAGTCGGTACCGTTGATACGGTAAAACAATGGCATGTCCTCAGGAATAATCTTGCGGATAGAGTTCGTAACCTCAAGAGGGTACTTGACACGGTTTTCAAAACTGCCACCGTACTCATCGGTACGAGTGTTTGAAGCAGGAGAGCTCATAGAAGATAGGAAATAACCATGAGCTCCATGAATCTCGACAAAGTCAAAACCAGCGGTTACCGCGCGCTTTGTTGCACTGACAAAGTCGTCATGGATGCGCTTGAGGTCGGCCTTTGAGGCTGCCTTAGGTTTTGCATAACCCTCTTGAAAGGGGACATCGGTAGGACCGTATACATTATTTGGCCAGCCGCCCTCCGACTCGTCAACAAGATGGTTACAAACACCACGTGTACAGCTAGCCTTCCGGCCAGCATGAGCCAATTGGATACCAATTTTTTGGCCGTATGAATGAGCAAAGTCGACAATCCGTTTCATCGGGCTGATCTGTTCGTCCTTCCACAATCCTAGACAACCAGGGGAAATACGACCCTCCGGAGACACAGCAGTAGCCTCCATGACAATGCAGCCGGGACCGCGAATAGCCAGTGATCCATAATGGACAAAGTGGAAGTCATCGGCCATGCCATCAACAGCACAGAACATACACATGGGAGGTACCCATATACGGTTGTGAAAGGTCACACCTCTCAAAGTCAAAGGAGTGAATGCAACGGTTTTAGGTGTGGATTCGGCTGCACCTGCACTGATATTTTTGGTCATGGTCGTAAAAAAAAAAAACAAAAGAAATGATAAATAAAGGCTGATTTAGATATTTAACGGCGGAAGATGTACAAGAAGGAAAATACCAAAACTCTCCAGAAACCGAATTAATTTGCAACCAAATGTGGAATCGTCCTTGTGTGCTAAGTTAGCATTGGATTTCGGGGCCCTTTAAATCAAGGGGCTTCAGCCGCTGCTTACTTCAGCATAGTCGCTATGCTGACAAATCCAGTTCTTTAGCGCAAACTCTGCGACGGATGAACCAATAAATTGATGAGCGCCACCGGAAAGCGAGTTTTAAAAATGCGCCATATAAGCTATAGGTCTGTCGATTAAGGTAATTGCCGAGACCCTCGCACTTGTTTCTTGTTGAGACTATGGCAAACCGTAACATGAAATGGCTGGCCGGATAAAAGCGAATTAACCACAAGTGGGATTTCCAGAAAAATAAAAAGAATAAAACTGAAATAAAATATAAATACAAACGAATTACTGTCTTGGTTGAAATAGTTTCAATTACGACAGAATCAGTTTGTCCGATTTTAAAAAATTGATACAGAACTGCTCTGATTTATGAATTATTTATGCTCCAATAACAATTGCTACCTTGTTTCAGCGTAGAAGAATACCTTTACGAAAGTGGACGGTCGACATATGTATTCGTATTAACACTGGAGTAAACATCTCTTAGTAAATGCTTGGATTAACGGGAGCAAAAACAAATGTTTTTTTTTTTTTTATATTATATCATACTATTGTTATAACGTATACAGTTGTTAAAAACCGCAGTTATAATCTTACAACACTTAATTTACCATTGTCTGTGCAATTAATTTCCAGCGTATACTGGTTACGACATTTTTACAACGTTTCATGAAATTAATATGGGACTCATTTCGTGCTGACCCCGTTTAACTAGTCTTTCTGTGGAGGTTATCTAGTTTGTTTTGTTTTGTAATGGATTACTCAACCCGGCTAGCTTCAATGAAACCAAAAACAACAAAACCAAGCTTTTCCAGAATATCAACGACAACTCTTCTTGGACAAAGTCTTATTCCCTAAAACACATCGTAAACGCTTCCGAGTCAAAACTCACAGGACGAGTTCTACCACATCCCGGTGGATTATTCACCACATAGGACACTTAAGGAAAATAGACCTTTTTTTGATAATTTGTTCGCCAAAAACATGTCTGATGGGAGCTTAAATGAAAAGTTAAAAGGTTATCTGCAAGATAGACGAATTGACGAGCTCGTCCGAACGGGGAAAAATGACACTTTGACGACAAATGCATTTCTTGACTCCAGCTTGAAAAAAAACACAGCTTTTATGAAGCGTTGCAGATCATCGCTAAACAGCGATAATATTGATCTGTTTTTAAAAGACATTAAGACTTTGTCTTTGGAAAAATATATTCCTGAGATAGCAACAGCAATTGTCGAGGGAATGTCCAAATGTAAAACTTCTTCCGACATTTCTGCAGCAGCAAAAATAGCATACTGCTTGCATCAAAGATTTTTTACAAAGTTTTCGACGCCAATGTTGGCCCAGCTGTATTTCAACATATTCTTTTTGGGTAATTTTAACGCTGCGGCTCAAACATGTACCTTCGTTGAACCAAAGGAAAAGGAGCGTCAGGCTTTCTATACACGGCAACGGAACATTGTGCGTGTGCTGATTGAGTTGTGGCTTCGAGGTGTTGTTCATACTGCAAAAGATTTTGTCGACTTGTTACCGTCGTTAAGCGCTCTTTCAAGACGATCCAGAAAGGTTTGGTTCCAAAGCTATGACATGGACAAACCTATTGTTTTTGTTGCTTTCACTGAGATAGTGCGTAATGATGCGAAATTTGCTTCCTTGCCTGTTGTGCATGGCATCGTAAAACATTATTCCGATATTCTATTCAGTGATCCGTCCAGTAACATTGAGACTGATAACCGAGCCTTGTTGGATGCGATCTGTCCTCCAGAGTGGCGTTCATCATTCCGTTCTACTCTGCAGCATTATTATGAAAAGTTACTGAACTACCTACAAACTTACCATGCTGAATATATGAAACGGAAGAAACAGACACATGATCTGGCTGTAAACAGAGGAGAAGTTAATGAAGAGCGGATGCACGATCTTTCAGAAATGCTAAAAGTACAAGAACGCATTTATTCATCCTGTGAGCTTATAGCCAATGTTCTGCAATTGGAGAAACCTGATATTCCCTCAGAAGATAGTTCCGCTAACGCAAATGCATCTGTCGTTGCCGGGCTGAGTTCCTCATATTCCAAACTCACTCCTCTTGAACGGTCTGACAGTATTTGGGAGCACGATGATGAACGCAAGTTTTACGAGGACCTTCTTAATCTTTCTACAATGGTCCCAGAATCACTTCTGCCGAGCATTCCTTCCAACATTGACACGGGCTCCGTTGAACACATGAGAGATGCATCTATCGAAACGTTACCAATAACTGCTTCGTCCGAATTAAACTCGTTGTCCGACCTTTCTGATTCCGATGACAGTGAAGATGGCATACTATCAATCAAAACAAGTACGGAAGATGTCAAATCAACTACCTCGGTTGCAGCTCAGGTGAATGCTTATTTACTTAACTTGCCTACCCTAAATAACCCGGAAGCAATAGACAAAGCTGCAGTGGAATTTTGTTTTATAAATTCAAAGGCTTCAAGGAACAGATTAATTAAGACGCTCACGAGCGTCAATCGAACACGGTCTGATCTCCTACCGTACTATTGCCGGCTGGTTGCTATTCTAAAACAGATTTCACCAGACATAGCTAATGCACTGGTTGATTACGCCCGTCGTTCTTTTAAACGTATGTTGAAGAAAAAGGCTAAACACGAGTATCACTCACGGGTATTGACTATTCGTTACATTTCGGAGCTTACAAAGTTTCGTGTAATGCCTCTACATATCACCTTCCATTGTTTTCGACTTGCATTAACCGAATTTACCTCGTTTAATATTGAAGTATTGTCATTAATGCTTGAAAATTGTGGCCGATTTCTATTTCGTTTACCCGAATCCTCGGCACAAATGCTGACGCTGTTGGAAACGATTCAGCGCAAAAAAGATGCCTCTGTTTTGGCTCCTCAAGACCAATTACTTCTTGACAACGCATTGTACCATGTAAATCCGCCTAAACGTGCTTTAATCGAGGTTCGTACACGGCCAATACTGGAACAGTATCTTTGTAACGTTATTTACAAGCAATTAAATACGAAAACCTATCGGGCAGTTGCTGAAAGAATTCGGAAGATAAAATGGGGGGAACAAGAAAACACTCTTTTTAGAGTGCTTGCTGAAGTATGGCACATCCAATTTGACAATTTAAAGGCTCTGGCTCTTTTGATACAGGAGCTCATTCGGTATCATCCCGAAGACTGTTATGAGTACATTGATGATTTATTTGAAGATATACTTTTGGGAGTGGAAACCCGACAGGCATCTGAAAGCCAAAAAATCATGTCACGCGCTCGGTTGCTTGGTGAATTATACGCTTCCAAGGTTCTTGATGCTACTGCCATATTTAATCTTTTATTCTCTCTACTTCAATTGGTTAATACTTCATCCAATAATTCTAATACAGGGAGTCAGAATGCCACTTTAATGGAAATTGAAAATCACTTTGTGTGCCGTGTAATTTGCACCATTCTCAATGCTTGTGGACCCAGTATTGGAAAAGGAAAAAAGAAAAAACCGATGAACACTCTGTTACTACTACTTCAATGTCAATGTCTGAAAGAAGTTAATGTTCCGCTGGATGTTGTATTCGATATTCGCGATACTATTAAGGTTATACGTCCTAAACTGCCGTTATACAAAACCTTAGCCGAAGTACAATCGGCTTTAGAGAATGACAAGCTAAAGGCCCAGACTGATCATAGTTCAGTTGGCGAAACAACGTCGGTTGGAGGGGACGCTGATCACGCAAAGCTTTCTGATTTAGAAGACGCGTTTGACAGTGACAGTATGACGAGTGAAGTATCTTTGCTTTCCGGTGACATGGTACGTAGTCTTTTATTTCTCATTTACCGCTGAATCTTAACTAACCGATTTACTAGGAAACTATGGAAGAAGAGCCTTCAAAGTTAGGCTCCATACATACACAGAGTGACATATCTGTGGATGAAGAGTTTGAAACAGCCTTTGCGAAAATGATGAACGAAAGCATGACACCACGTCAATATGAACGAAAACCCATGTTTGAGGTTCCGCTTCCTTTACTACGCTATTCCAAGAAGGATGATGGCTCCTCTTCACCTGGGGATGACAAAGGGGAAAGTGTTAAATTCACCATGATAACTCGCCGTGGTAACCGTCAGCAAACACGCTCGTTAAACGTGCCTTCTTCTTCTGCGTTTGCCATGTCAACAAAGAGTAGGCAAGATGAAGAAAGAATGGAAAGGAAACGAATGAAAGACCTTGTGTTGAGTTATGAATTGATGGATTCTTAATAATGGGCCCTAATCTTAAAATTTGCTGAACTGCAATAATACCAGTCTTACGTAGATTAGCAGCAGTTTTATCTAACAGCAGGGCTATGCTACTATGTCTACTTAATTATACAAGTCGTGCACATTGACCAGGTTTCTTTATTCTTATGGTGTAATTGAACCCTGGTTCGAATCTCAGCGACAACACATTTCTTACCTACTTCGATCCACAGTTTAAGAACGGTACAGACGTTAATTAGGCAAAACTTGGCGTTTCCCGCTTAAAATGTTTAATATCCGGACTCCCTTGTTTGGTATGAAAGTTGTAATAGGAATCTGTTTCCGTTTGTAGCATCTGTTAATGATTTTATTCAGTTTGTTTGCTATTGTTAAATGCAGTAGCTATCCTGTCAGAAGATCGCTTTTTAGGGCGTCTGGGGTTGTCTCACCGCAGCGATTTCGGTTTTGGTGAGAGTAAGGATACTGTCAAATCCCGTGTGTTAAATCTTATTCGAGCCATCCGTACAGTAATGACCTGTATGTGATCCACTTACGAAGTTTAATTCCGGCTTTCGATTAACCTTATTTAGTTCCCTTGATTGGAATTAATGCTATTGTCATTGTTTACAAGCTTATTCTCGGCTAATGATATAAATATTTGTGGACGATGCAATCTTGCCAAAAAAATCAGGAATTATACACGATTTGAACGAAGATCAGTACAGGTGTACTGATTCAATCGAATCAATAGTAGCATATGAGAGTGTTACCAAGATCCGGCATTTGCTACTGAATTCTGGGGTAGAAATAAGTTTTCAATTCTTCACCTACTCGACTTGTCCTCAGATGAATGTACTAGAAACGGTCCATATTATTTAAAAGTAGGATAAGGTTTTAGTTTCATTCATTCATACATCTGTTTATTCTGGCTAATTGTTGATAAGTTTTTGACTTTTAACCGAATTGCTTATTTAACTTTAAAAACCTTATCTTATTTAAAGCCGAGTCATGTGCTGTGAAATATTTTGAACAGCTAATATTCTTGCTTAGGTCACGGCAAGCGACGAACAACAGCCGAATATTCGCTTAATAAGCCTATCATGAAGAAGTATTTCCTTTACCGATCCCAAGCGAATATTGTAATTTGCCATGAGTACGGGTTCAAACACTTGCCCTCTGCCAACATCACGCTGGCGCCTTTCAGTTTTGAGTTACGATCACTGACTTCATGCAATTGAATGGAAACGAATCAGGGAATGATAATGTAATTGATTTGACAGGGTCCTCTCCGCCAAGGGAAGCTTCAGACCCGAATCCTGTTATAATTGATGTCGACGCGATCCCAGACGACGCGATTCCGCTCTCGGAATCCTCACAACGAGCTGCTCAACATGGAACACGTCGTGCAAGAACGAGAAGGAGGCGTATAAATGGTTCAAATGTTCAGTCAATGCTTGAGGACATTGTATACCTTGGTCCACAATTGCTGACGAGACGAATCTTTCAGTCTCGAAGAGTGCCCGAGTCAATTGCTCGTAACTCGTTGACAGAACGTAATATTCCAGGATACATTCCTGCTCAGTTTTTTACAATTTTCTCAAACAGGCTGCGTTACACATTGGCTAATCATCCTATGCTGTTTGAGCAAGGATACTTCAACGACACAAATGTCGAGCCCGAAGAAAGCTATATTGATCGGGCAAAAGCAGAGTACACTCCCCCAAAGCCCGCAAGAGCTGGTTTCTCGCGGTCAATTAATCCATCCACAGTCTTGCTGTGTCCAGGATGTCAAGAGGAGCTTGGTGCTTCAAAAAATGCCCAGAAAGCAACGCTTTGGGCTACAAAGTGCGGCCACGTATATTGTGGTCTTTGCAAAGATGCTATAAAGAACGCAAAACGCACGGAGCGAAAATGTGCTGTACCCTCTTGCCGACAGTCACTAGTATCAAAAAATGCTTTGTTTCAACTGTACCTTTAAACGTGAAGCCTTCTATGATAAGAACAACAAAGCGCTTCTTGTTCGGAAAACGTGAGTTTTTTCTAATCGTCTCCTATGCTTAATTAATATCCTCGCTCTTGTTTATTAATTCCTTTTCATCAAAGTCGTTTCCTAAAAGTGATTTCAGAATGCCGATTGCTTCTTTGTGCTTGACACTTTTTGACATATCAGTATCTATTTATATTAGCAAGATGTCCATTCATGTTTGTTCGTTCGTACCGCGCAAGTTTTGAATGCGTGAAATGAAGGACTGCAAGTCACCAGCAAGCAAACCATCGTCTTCTTGATCTTCCATTTCGCTGTCATCCTCGTTTGAGGTGCTGTTGTCGGAACAACTTATAAGAGTTGTCGTTTCTTCTTCGTCTTCTTTCTGCCAGTCGCAACACTGTAGCCACTCTTTCACTCGTTGATGGCCTACCGATTCTGCATGATTGTTATTGGATTTTCTGTTTTGACCGTTTAACTCACCATTGTACTGATTCGAGCCTGTTTCCTCAAGGACCACGTATTCAAGGATAGAGTTATCGGGAATGTTTTGGTTCCTTCCTCCTTCAGTTTGTACGGCTATGACGCTTATGTCTTCTTCCAAATTCTCTACATAATTTTCCCACTGCTTCCACTCTGTTTCGTCGAATTCACGGAAGGTGAAGATGATGGCTGCCAAAAATTCACGCACTTCTTTTGCTTCATCTGACCGGTATTCTGAAATCGTTTTGTTTATATCTTCATACTCGTCGACCCACACATCCACGTCAGTTTCGTAGTACGAATTTTTGATGGTGAATTTATGCGTGAGACCGGCGTGCGAGTCTTCAGTGTTTGTTTCTAAGTGCTCGGGCGTGCTACCAGTCAGCTCTTTAAGTTTAATGTTAAGTTAGTAAAAGGGGAATTCAATCATTTCATTGCACATACGCTGCAGTAATGACATTTTGCCAGAATGTCTTTTGCCAATTATTAACAGCTTCTTTTGCATTTTTAGCTCAAAAAAAATTTTATGGCTTATCCTAACACTCGCAGTACTCTTGATGGATTTCTAATTATCCGATTGTATTTGGTGCCCTGTGGTGACCCCTTGAACCATTTCCTATACTGTTTTTGCGTGGGTCGTGGTGCTGCAGGCCACTGCTACCAACACCACCATAAACTTGCCCGGCTCGTACCGGTGTCTGCCAAAAATTGAATTACGTGCGAATCTTGAAATTGCGGTGCAAACACTGTGAATGAACGTCGGATTAATTACGAATACGTGTACCGAGGACGACGTCTTGAATATTTTACGAAGATTTTTTTGTAACTGTTGATTATAAAGAAGTTTGCATCTTGTAAAAAAAAACAACTTTAGTCTTAAACTCGTGAACACTCCGAGTTATTGAAACAGCAATGTCCTTTTCAAACGCTACTTTTGAGCAAGTTTTGGACGACTTGTCCGTTCGTTTCCTTCTAAACATTCCAAGTGAAGAAAAGAATAGTATTGAGCGTCTGTGTTTTCAAATTGAACAAGCTCATTGGTATTACGAAGATTTTATTAGAGCAGAAAATGACCAATTACCTTCTTTAGGTCTTCGCGTTTTTAGTGCAAAGCTTTTTTCTCATTGTCCTTTACTTTGGAAATGGAGCAAGGTACATGAAGAAGCATTTGATGATTTTTTGCGCTACAAAACTCGTATCCCAGTCCGCGGAGCAATTATGTTGAACAAGGAAATGGACAAGTGTCTCTTGGTTAAAGGTTGGAAAGCTTCATCTGGATGGGGGTTTCCTAAAGGGAAAATTAACAAGGATGAAGCTGATGTGGATTGTGCCATCCGTGAAGTTTATGAAGAGACAGGATTTGACAGCACGAACTGGATTAACGAAAAGGATTTTATTGAACTTACGATCCGTGAACAAAATATACGTCTGTACATTATCCCCGACCTACCTATGGAAACGGTCTTTGAGTCACAAACTCGTAAAGAAATTAGCAAAATTGAGTGGCATCTGCTGGCAGATTTACCTACTTTCAAACAATCGAAGTCTGAAACGAAGAACAAATTTTATATGGTGATTCCTTTTCTTGCCCCGTTAAAGAAATGGATTAGAAAACGTTTGGTTTCCCTGGAGTCGAAGGTTCAAGCAACGAAAGCCTCCACACAATTGCTTTCTCTACTGAAGGAGCCTTCATCCACTGCAACTGTAGCAGAGTCTGCAAATGAAAAATTGCTGAATATGTTGAGAACACCGGTGCAAACACAGTCTCAACTTGCTGCTCCGGCACGGGCATTGCCTACTGCAACTTCTGAAGAAAAACTGTTAGCTCTTATTCGTGGTCCGGCTGCTCCCACTGCTTCCACTATTCAGGCACCACCACCGCCCGATGATTACAAGGCATGCATATTAAACATGTTGAATAGTGGGTTGTCGGCTCATCAGTCTGCTGCACCTATGTCCATGCCTCCGTTACCGGTACCTAACATGCACCCGTCTACGACGCAGTTTCAGTCCCCTGTGATGAATTTTGCGCCTACTGCTCCCTTTTTTGGCATGTCTCCGTATCAAAATTTTGCTCAGCTTCATCCAGCACAAGGAATGTATCCGGTGATGAGTGGACCCTCTACGCCTCAGGCATCTCGGCAAATGGAATCAACCATACCTTTGGATCCTCATATACAACAAATTATGTCAAACTCAACAGATCCTTCCGGGACGTTGCCGTTCACTGATCCAGCAATCATAAAAACGAATTTGCAGCCCGCCAATTTTGAACTTCCTCCAATGAGGTCTTTTGCTGCTCCTCCGCAGGCAATGCCGCTGCCAAGTCAGTCCGATTCTTCTGTACCAACTCCTGGTGAATTACCATCACCTTCAACAATGTACCATCAAGTGTTTCATCCACCTTCTATGACTGCAGTAACTACATTTGAGAAGTTGGAAAAGAATGCTGCTTCTAAAGGAAATTCTGATAATAATACGCAAGAGCGTATTGTTGGGCATAAGAAGCAGAAACCATTCACGGATGACTCCCGTGAAGCTGAACAAAAGTCGAAAGGTCAGGCGTCTAAACAAGACAGTAACCCTTCGGTGCAGCTGCTCAACATTTTGACCAAAGCTGCAGAGCTTTCTCTTAATGAAAAACGACAAGTGAAGTCGAAATCTGTTGCTGAAGCGTCTCGTACGCAATCGACGAAATTACAGCCCACCGTTAGTAGTCCTTATAAAACTTCTAACCAATTTTCCAAGGGCGCAACAAAGAAAAAGTCACCAAGGGTATCTACTCCAAAACGCCGTAACGGTTTGTCCGGCGGCAAGCAAACGTTTTCTCCGAAGCCGGTGTCTCCTTTTGGCAATAAGGAACTGACGCCTACTAATGTTAAGATTCTAAAACGAGAACCGGTGAGCAAAACTCGAACAACTGCTAACGATTCCTTGTTTATGGACTACTTAAAATCAGTTGTCACAAACACCAATCCCACTGGCGCCCCTTAACCGTCTTGACATATCATAATTGTTTACCAAGAAAATACTTGCAAAGTTTAAACTACAATGTAACCAGAGCCTTTCCTACCTAAATTGGTCTTCCTTCCGTCTTTCTTCACAGCCTTGACAAATATATTGTGTGGCTTCTCTTTCAGATATAACCACCAAAATTGCTCCACCAAAATTCTACTTGGTTAAGCAATTAAGTGTGGTCTGCGCTTCTGCAACAGCGCGTGGCACGAATGACTGAGAAATTGCCGCCTAATATTTTAGCGCTTTTTGCTCCTCGACCGCAGCTTCGTTATCTCCCCCCTACAGATGTTTCTCCGGGAGAACGCGCGACTCCTCGCGTTTCTGGGATAGCTGCTTATTTGCAGTTTGCAAAAACTCATGACAACGACTATAAGCCAACACAAAGCTTGGAAGAGCAAAGATTGTTGAGAAAAGAGGAAAAACAGCGCAAACATGTAGAAAAATTGAGAGAAATGCGAAAACGCTGGAATCCAGACGAAGACAGGAATATTGTCGGAGATCCTTACAAGACCATCTTTATAGGAAGACTTAGTTACGACACAAAAGAATCCGAGATCGAAAGGGAATTTATTCGTTATGGTCCTATCGATCGTATTCGTATTGTCCGTGACAAAGATTCGGACAAACCTCGTGGATACGCTTTTGTCGTTTTTGAACGTGAACGGGATTTAAAAGCAGCATATCGTGCCAGTGACCGACTATACATCAATGGCAGAAAGGTTGTTGTAGATGTGGAGCGGGGCCGTACTGTAAAAGACTGGTATCCTCGTCGTTTGGGAGGCGGCCTTGGCGGTCGTCACTACACAGCAGAACCAAAACGTTTTGAGCGTGGTTCTCGTTACCGGGGAGGAAGTTCCGTTGGGAGAGGAGGATTCCGTGGAAGCTTCCGTGGAGCAAGCAATTCTTCGACCGGATCCAATGGACCGCGGGGTTTCAGCCAACCACGTCGTAGTCGTACTGCTGGTCTTGGTTATGAAAGACGTGACAGAGCGAGCTCTCCTAAAAGGCGTAGGTACTACTAAAGCTCTGCTAACGAGAATGTCTTTTTATAGTTTACTATGCTACGTTAAAAGTTGATGATATTATTGTACATATAAATTGATACCTGAACCGTAAACATGCTAAAACAATACTGTACATTTCATTTAAACTGGAGTACTGTTTGCAACGCGTCAACACTGCTATAGAATGATGGGCTCGCGAACTACGTGTACAACTTGCCAATAACCAACAACTATATCTGAAGAAATGCAGCTTTCAGATATTTCTTCTTGGGCCACAACAGCTGTGGCTGGCATTGTGCTTGGATTCTTGATGGGAAGAACGTGTTCATGTCAATCTAAGACGGCAAGCTGTGACAATTGTGTTAAAACAAGAAAAAGGGAAAACAAAATTGAGGAGAACAAAGACACGAACGAGAACTCCACTACTGAAAAAATTGGCAAAGAAGAAGAAGAAGAAGAAGAAGAAGAAGAATATGATGAATTTGAAATGTTGCCAGCTAAGGCATTAAATGAATCCTCGCCTCTGTATGAGTTAGCGCGATCTGAGGGTCAGGCAAAAATGGTTTTGGTTGTAAGAACGGACCTCGGAATGACAAAGGGCAAAGTTGCTGCTCAGTGTGCTCATGCTGCTTTGGCATGTTACAGAATGGCAACGCGTGTTGATCCAAAATTGCTTCAATTCTGGGAAAGAACTGGACAAGCAAAAATTGCCTTGCAAGCTCATTCGGAAGAAGAATTGGAACTGCTGCAAGCACAGGCCCTTTCTCTTGGTCTCTGTGCATACATTATCCATGATGCTGGACGCACCCAAATTGCTAGTGGTTCCGCTACTGTTTTGGGTATTGGACCAGGCCCTATCAGTGTTGTGAACCAAGTTACTGGAAAATTACGTTTGTTTTAAGTGTAATAAGTATGATGTATAACATGCTAATCTACATTAAAGCAGCGTTTTCAAGTATTGGCTGTTTACCTAGTACAGCTGCATCTTGACGGTGACAAAAGTCCTCGTAAAAAGTTTTATATTCCAACATTTATTGACAGAACACCGAGTCATCAGACGTTTCTTTTCATTAAAAATTTGTTTCAATGTCATAAAACCAAACCGTAGGTCGCTGTTACTTCAGCACATCCAAAAGGACTTGAAGAACTGTGTAACTATCAAAGGTTAAAAAGAAAGAAACCTCGACAATTAAAGCGATCCCGAAAAAGGTGATCTAAACTAAATATAGGCGACTATCTCCACAGCTACTGATTCTGTGGAAGATAAATCTTAGTATCGTATAAATTGAGTGGGCGTCGTCGTCCCTATAAAAAATTTTCATAAGCTACAAAGTGTGTGTTTCTGAAGCATCACCTCCTTCCTAGAAACCACAGCGCCAAAAAATGTCGCAGCAGCTTAGAAACGCCTTTAAGAGGGCTAAAGACGAAAACCGTAACGTTCTTGTTACATTCATTACTTGTGGTTTTCCCACTGAAGATGAAACGGTAAAAATTATGAAGGGTCTCCAAGACGGAGGTGCCGATATCATTGAATTGGGTGTCCCCTTCTCGGACGCCGTCGCTGATGGACCTACCATCTGCCATGCCAATGAAGTTGCTCTGAAGAACAACGTTACCCTGCTTAGTACAATTGAAACGGTCAAGAAGGCTCGTGCTGCCGGTGTGTCTGTTCCTGTTGTTCTTATGGGTTATTACAACCCTGTAAACCACTTGGGTGACGAGAGAACGATTCAACTCTCTAAGGAAGCTGGTGCTAACGGTTTCATTATCGTTGACTTGCCTCCCGAGGAAGCCATTGGATTCCGTGCTTCTTGTGTCAAGCATGGAATGAGTTTCGTTCCTCTTGTTGCTCCCTCCACGACTGACAAGCGTATGCAATTGTTGATCGGTATTGCCGACTCTTTCATCTACGTTGTCTCTCGTATGGGCATGACTGGCTCCACTGCTAAGGGAAAGATTAGCGAGGGCCTGCCTGAGCTGTGCAGTCGTGTGCGTAAATTTGCCGGAGAAAAGCCTTTGGCTGTTGGCTTTGGTGTCAACACCAACGAGCACTTTAAGTATGTTGGCAGTGTTGCCAACGGTGTTGTTGTTGGCAGTAAGATTATTGATGTCGTCAAGAACGCTGGTCCCGGTACTGCTGCTGAGGCTGTAAAGACCTACTGTTTGTATCTCGCTGGCCGTGATGCCAACAGTGTCAAGGAGTTGCCTGCTAGCTCTGCTGAGACCGACTCTGCTGCCCTTGGTGCTGTTGCCGACGCTGTGGCTGCTGACCTTCCTGAGGTTGCAAGCGAGACTTTCTTGCCCCCTAAGTACGGTGAGTTCGGTGGTATGTATGTTCCTGAAGCATTGGTTCAATGTCTTACGGAGCTTGAGGATTGCTTCTATAAGGCCATAAATAGTGTGTCTTTCTGGGAGGAATTCCGCTCTTACTATGACTACATGGGCCGTCCTAGTTCTCTTGATCTTGCCGACCGTCTTACGGATTACTGTGGAGGTGCTCGCATCTGGTTGAAGCGCGAGGACTTGAACCATGGTGGCTCTCACAAAATTAACAATGCCATGGGTCAAATTCTTTTGGCCAAGCGTCTTGGTAAGAATCGTATTATTGCCGAGACTGGTGCTGGTCAACACGGTGTCGCCACTGCCATTGTTGCTGCCAAGATGGGTATGAAGTGTACAATTTATATGGGTGCTGAGGATTGTCGTCGTCAAGCCCTGAATGTCTTCCGTATCCGCCTTCTTGGTGCCGAAGTTATCCCCGTCACTTCTGGTACTCAAACTCTTCGTGATGCCGTTAATGAGGCTCTCCGTGCCTGGGTCGAGCAAATTGACACTACTCATTATTTGATCGGTTCTGCCATCGGTCCCCACCCCTTCCCTACTATCGTTAAGACGTTCCAATCTGTCATTGGCAAGGAAACCAAGCAACAACTGATGAAGAAGGTTGGCAAGCTTCCCGACGCTGTTGTTGCTTGTGTCGGCGGTGGTTCCAACTCCATCGGTATGTTCGCACCTTTCAAGGAGGACAAGTCTGTTCGTCTTTTGGGTTGTGAAGCCGGCGGTGATGGTATTGATACTCCTCGTCACAGTGCTACTCTTTCCAAGGGTCAAATCGGTGTTTTCCATGGTGTCCGTACCTATGTTCTTCAGCATGAGGATGGTCAAATTCAAGACACTTACTCCATTTCCGCTGGTTTGGATTATCCTGGTGTTGGTCCCGAGCTCGCTGAGCTGAAGGCGACTGGTCGCGGTGAGTTCATTGCCGTCACTGATGCTCAATGTCTGGAAGGTTTCCGTGCTCTTTGCCAATACGAGGGTATTCTTCCCGCTTTGGAATCATCTCATGCCATCTACGGTGGTATGCAATTGGCTAAGACTTTGGGCAAGGACAAGGATGTTGTTATTTGCGTGTCTGGTCGTGGTGACAAGGATGTACAAAGCATTGCCGAAAAACTTCCCGAGCTTGGTCCCAAAATTGGTTGGGATTTGCGTTTCTAAACGCTCGCAGCCATACCCTCTGTGACGAATTGATGCTTTCCAGTTGTTGCTGCTATTTCATATCCCTTTTTCCTGAGTTTTGTACTACGGCAGCGCTTTTTCTTGCGACTGCTTGTTTGGTGTGGTTTAATATTTTGATTGCCATTCTACCTCGTCTTTTTGGTGCTCGACACATCGTAGAAATCGATGTTTTTGTTTGATTACTGCTACCTCGTTTGTTGCCTATTGTCGACTGCATTTGTGAATTCATCAGTGCATGAAATAGCTCTATTACAATTCCCGCAATCCATCACCTAATACTAAAAGATAAAAGATGTTTTTTATATTATTTTTTAAAATAGTCGTCTACCGTTTAGCTGTTAAAAGCTCATTGCCGGTCTTAGTACTGTTTTTGGTGCCCCTAATGTGCTTTTGCCATGCTGCGCCAGCTCCCGCGGTGTACGCGCGGCTTGCTCGCTCTCGTCATTCATTGGAGCAGTATGATGTCATTGCTGGACTTGGGTCGCAAAAAATCGCGTTTGCCGAAACCTTAGTTTCAACATACCACGCTACTGCAAAACTAAAATTCGCCCAATTGCTGCTAAACGAATCAACGGAACACTGAAAACGAGGCGTTTGCAGGGTCCGCAGGGCATTTTTTGTTTTTTTGATTTTATCCGAAAAGAATTGACCGGTTTTTGAGAGTTTTGAGCGGCTTCATTAAAAAACAAAACTCCATGTTTCTTTCAGTTAAATTGTTCGATTACATTGAAGATTGGACTTACTTCATCTCATAACAGTGGAATTTTTTTCTGTTCTGCACTGTAACTGAAGAATTGTACTAATTTTCTTGTTTTGACTAGCTTTGAGTTTATTTTTCGGTCCACAATTGGATGAAGAATATGCAGTTTCCCTCACCTAGTCACAATGTTTATGGGTTACAAGATGGTTCTACGCAAGTACCTGATCCTAAAAGCGGACAATTTGTCAGCGAGTTGCCGCTCCAGTCGCAGCAAATTACTTTTGACGACGGCCAGCGAAAGAAGAAAAAGCATAAACTGACACCACAGCAATCAGGTATCCTCACACGTGAATTTGAGGCTGACAGGCATCCCTCTATGGAAAGGCGAAAGTACCTTGCTGAGTTTTGCCATCTCCCCAAGAAAACAATTGACGTTTGGTTTCAAAATCAACGAGCCAAATTAAAGGCTCGAACAAGACAAGAGGAGGCTAAAGTACAAGAAAACTTTTTCCTCAATCCGAAACTGGCAATAATCGCAGGCTCTAATTTTGGAGACATGAATAAAGAGGCCGCAACGAGAATGGTAAGTGCACCACAAGAAGCATCGGCTTCAGTTCAGGTTAGTGGAGGTAAAATACTTGAAGGAGACGATGGTTTGGCAGCGTTTCCCTGCAAGTTATTACTTATTGGCGAATGGAAACGGTATCAAGCTACACAGGATGACATTTCTTGCTATTATTCGACACGAAAGGCATTTATTGTTTATATACTTCGTTATCGTGAAGTTGAATATGGAATCAAGGTACCTTTCTCAACAATTGAATCCATTCATGTAAATATGGCTTCAAGCATAGAGCTAAATCCTGAAAAACAAAAAGCTTTAAAGCAATCACCTTCGCAAGAATCACCCCTATGGCTTCAGCTTATCATCCATCTTTCTGTGCCCCCGCAATTCTTTGCAACGGTTAACTTTCAACGGCAACAATGTATGGACTTTACAGAGGGTCAACAAGCATCTCGTATTTTGATCCATTCTTTGTATGGTGAATTTCAGCCGACTTTTCGCGTAATTGAGGACATAAAAGAGCGTTCACCAGAGCTGGGTTCGGTCATTTACTATTCAAAAGCATTATTACATTCACATGCAATATCTACCGGTACTTTAGGGGAATCTGCGAAACAAATGTCTCCGATTGGACAAAATAAAGAAGCTACAACAAGTGCACCAGCACCTATGATGAGAGAAACGACAGCTCCTGCTCAACCCGACGTTTCATTCGATGGTAATCATCATTTAAAAAGTTATCCCCAAAATCGGGGCTTCGCTTCTGTCGCAGCACAAAATCAAGGTTATATGCCTCATGAGTACGCGGGAGCAATGCCGCCAAATTACAATATTGCTCGTCAGCAAAAGCAGCCGTCGGTCGGTGCACTCCAGTCTTTTCCTCCCACTAGTCAAGAGAATTTTGCTCAAATGGAAGTGCCATTGATGGGTGAAACTCCTTTCTTAGCTGCTTTTGTCCCTCCTACTGGAACAGAAGCCGAAGACATGTATGATGGTTTTCCGACAACGACAGCGACAGCACCAAACGAATCTACCCCACAGTTGCCTATTTCGCAAATTCCTTTCTCGTCCGATGCACATCTGTTGGCGGTTCCGGAATGGAATGTAGAGGATCTTGCAGCATTTCGAGACACGGGTAATGAACAGCCTGTGGCCTACCCCTCGTCATTTCCTGCAAATGCGCCTGATGGGCAAGAGTATACATCGTACGGACTGAACCATAGTTCGCCTGCAGACATCTCAATGATCCCTCATCAACTTGATCCAGCCCAATTTGAAGGACATCCACCAAATGTCTCTTCTCATCCTGCCCAAGCGCCCTCCAATTATTCGTTTTCCACATTTGGTGCTCATCCTTCACAAAGAATGAACCCTGCAACCTCATTGGATTCTGCAAGTACTGCTTTTCCAAATCAACAACCATCCTCCGAACATCTTACGTACCGAAACAAACAGAACCCGAACCCGTATTTTCCCTAAACCTTTAGAGAACGTTTCTTTTTTTTTTTGAGTGTGGCCTCCCTTTTTCTTGAGTAGAATCCGGTTACTGTTCCTTATTTTTCATGTTTAAATGTAATCTTATGTATATAGTTATGAATAATATTTTCCTTATCTCTGAACTTTCAACTGACAATATCAAGAAAAAGTCGTGTTAATGATAAAGTTCTTTTTTCTATCAATAGTATACCGTATTGAGTAATAAAGCTTCATGCCGGGTACATAATTTATCTTAAAGAAATGCATTTTGGCAGAAATGACTTCTTCGTTAACAAATCATCTTGTTTGATTCTATTCGTTATTAGAATCTATAACTGCAAAAACTACTAAACGGGGATCTCTTTGTGTTTGTTAAGCATCACTGTTCCTTTATCCCGACACTCCACTTCATTGAGAAATGACCAACAAAAAACCCTGGTAGCACCTTCCTGCCGATAATTAAAATGGCATTAAGTTTCTATCGATGACTTAATTCATCGAAACGAAAATAAAATAAATGATCAGTGCGAATGTGATATATTCGCTCAATCATAATGAAGTCACTCGGTCTCTTATTTGTTAACGACACATTGACAACACATTGACAGCACTTCTGAAGTAATAATGATTAGCACAAGGGTTTCGAGTTATTTAAGAGTATGAAGTCCATACTTCACTCTTGATTGGATTTTTTTCAACCTCTCGTTCCCGAGTATTGTAATCAAGAATTGAACGAGTATATTAATATTCACTCTTAAATACAATGAAGGTTGCGGTTCCGACCAATGTGGATCGCCAGGAAGAGGAGCTAGAGAACAGCTACAGAATGTATGCTGTCTCTACTGCTCTTTGGAATGGTAAAATGCCTACAAACCGCCAGATTACTGGCTTTATGAATCGGCTTCTTCAGTTTTCAAAAGACAAAACAACAGATGAGGAACTGTCAGCGGACGGAAAAGATTTCTTCCGTACGTTTCAGCAAGTTATAACCATTTGGAACCGGATAATTACCAAGAAGAACAATGGTGAGCTTTTGCAAAACGCTCTTAACGAATTCAGTGAATCTTCCATCGACGCTTCCAAGGAAGGCGGTATTGATGTCCCCGGTAGGGACGAGTTAACTGAGCTTGGTCACGATGCAAAAGATTTGTTCTTCTTGTTTGTGAATAATGGTCGATTCCGTAAATTGGCCAAGGAACTTGTTGGTCTCCTTGGACACAAGGGAGCAGGCCTTGCCGAAGACAAATATAATAAATTTGACGAACAACGAGGTGCCTATGATGGCTCTAAATCTCAAGCTGATGGTGATGAGAGCGATGAGGACACCCCAGACCTGTCCCTTGACCAAAGCGATGATGATGAATCAGCTTCTTCCGAAAGTGACGGTTCTCCTCAGTACATGTCCGGAGGCCGCAGCGGCAGAGAAATTATTGATGACAGTGTGTATGATAATATGGAGGAAACCACAACCATAGAGCATCCTGCCGATCACGACTTGTTTATTCGGACGGTTATCTCAGAATCGCAGACGACCCAACCTAAGAAGTCTGTGGCCTTTCAACCTCAGCCCGAGGATGAAGGAAAGTCAAAGCAGAAGCAACAGACGAAACAGCAATCACGTTCTGACCAGGGCGGTAACCAAAAGGACAAGTCTGATAAAAAATCTTCTCAGGAAAAGAAGCCGCGTCGTGCTGAGCGAGTGATGGACAGTTTTCTGGGAGACAAAAAGGAAGACGTTTTGGAGGATCTTCGTCGTGTGGTAACAGAAGTTCAATCTCAACCGAAGTATCAGAAGGCTGCTTCAAGCATTTTGCGGATGATTGAACACTATACAAAGTCTTTAAATCAGTCAACTGAGGACCTTGAAATCCATCCCAACAGCCATTCCAAGCGCGCAGTAAAGAATCTGCGTGCTCTTGTTGAGCAAACTCTGAATCATAAAATGGACGGAATTGTTTCTACTATCAAGCAGCTGAATCGTGATGCAAAGAAGGACAAGGAACTATCTCAGCTCTTTAGAAGAGCTTATAAGTTCGCCCGTAAGTGTGTACTCCAGAAAGGGTACATTGTTTCGAAAGACTCCAATCGTGCGTATGATAAATTGCAGAAGGATTACGAAAGAATGTTGAAGGAGAAATACAAAACTCATTGGGATCGCTTTCATTCGGAGTTAAACGATGTTATGGATGCCGCCTCCAATGACGCTGACATGAATGAACTTAGTTCCAAGGGAAAGAAATTGTATTCTATGCTCATAAAACATGAGGGTGGTCAGGCAAGTGTTCGCACAGGTTTATTGCTTGAAGTCACGCGCGCTTCTCTTCCCAATTTGCTGGAAACGATTCAGTATTTTCCAATTCCTCGAGTTGAGATCCAGGAAGAAAAATTCGATGTTGTCTTGGAGAATTTAAATCTGCAAACGCTTAACATTTTACCTAAAATTGCCGAATTTCGCACAGACAGCATGCTTCGTTTTTCTATGAGAGATCTTGGCACAGCTACTAGAAGAAATGTATTTTTCTTCCATCTTTCGAATGTTCAATGCGACTTTAAGAATGTAAACTACTACGTTAAACGTAAACGTGGTTTTCCTTCATTTGCCGATGTTGGCATTATTGACTTGATTATGGGAAACCAAGGAATGGTTGTTGATTTGGCTATTACAGTATTGGATACGAAAGAAATGGAAGAAACAGGACATTTGTTCTCTGTTGATACAGTGCAAACAACTCTTCATTCGTTGAAGCTTAAGGTTCACAAGTCAAGACACAAGATTCTTCTTAGTCTCTTAAAACCTTCTTTAATGATGTACATGAAGCACTCTATACAAAGATCCACTGAACTTCAAATACGGAAAATGTTGGAACAAGTGAGCGTGGAGTCGTATACCGTTCACCAAAATGCTAAGGCTGAAATGAAAAAGGAAGCAAAGAAACCCAAGAAGGACCAACAATCAAGAACCCGCGTTTATTTCCAAAATGTTATTTCACGTGTATCCGAACTTCGAGAGACACGCAAAAAGAAATCTCACCCATCTCCTCTGCGCTTGGTTATGAATGAGAAGGGCTCTAGATTGAGCGAAATTGAATTGCCGTCTAGAAACTTACAACGGACGGAGTTTTACAGACAACAAGCTCTTAGTGGAGAAGGCTGGAGATCATCGATATTCGATTCTCTCTCAGGTGATACCAGTTCTTTAGAAGCTGGCCAACCAACTCCTGCAAATGAGCGGTTATACCAGCGCACGAAGAAGCAGACAAAACGCCATCGTCGGGATTCTTACGATGATTATGCTGCAGGTGGAGAAATGCCACAGGCCGGATTGCAAGCAGCCTCTTATCCTCCCGTTGGTTCATATACGCAAAGAGAACCCTTAACTCCTACTGACGGCATTTTGGAAAGTTACGTGTTGCAACGTCCAACTGAAACTACACCGTCGGGAATGCGTGAGGAGCATCGGACAGTAGTGGCATCCTCAACTTAGGTTTTTTGCACCTATCTAATAAGCCGCTGAGAAATATACTTCAAATGTCTTGTCCTTCATTTGCGTTATGGCATGTATTTATATGTACCACATTTATCGGAAGCTTTGCTTGGCTTTCAAGGATAATCTTACGCTTTGTTATAGCAAGAGAAACAAAACTCTCTCTAAATTTATGCTTTTTGATTGGCTCACACCTTTTTTGACTTTTCTAAAGTCGCATTCTCGCTCTCTAACTAATGTTGTTTAATAATAACGAGTTGAGGTGTCTTTGTAATGTCAGAGGTTAAGATTAGTATTTAGTTTTATTGGCGTTTTAGCTGCATGAAATAATTATGAAATACGAAAATAGCAATGCTTATTCAGGAAGTAGTAAGCTGTATTTGTTTTATATATGTAGAAGTTTCCAAAAAATATATATATATATTACGACGGATCCACACACTTACTTCAAGTGTGTGCTCAAATTGCCGACAAAATAATACGTATCCAACTAAATGGTGCACTAGAAGTCTATAAAGTTTTAGCTCCAATATATTATTTAAATATCTTTTTAGCAGAATACTACAAAGGAAGCATTTTGCCAATATGCATAGGCGTTGATATACATAATCATTAAACATTAAATCATTTAAGCAATAAGAAAAGATTGTAGCCGAACTCGTCGCAAAAACTTATTGCAAGTACATTTTTTGTAAGAATTAAGAAAGGTGTCGTATCGTAAATGGATTCATGACAGTTTTGACTCTCAGTTCCCAAAATATTAGAAGTCGTCTTAAAAAATTGATCATTGACGAACAGACATTTTAAGACCGTATCATCTTTTCTAAAGAGAATTGACTGCTTCTCTTAGATGAGGACGAAATAGGAGTAAGGTTATCGAGGCAAACCGAGGAAGCTGATAATGGTGTATAGCAAGAATGCGCAGTCGTTTTGGATACATTTCGTAATGAGCGCATATTGCTAAGGGTATTTTGAATGTTGACAGTTTGAGACAAAGGAGTCGAAGGCATACTGTCAGTTGTTGAAAATACAGAGGAAGAGGCACTTTGTTGGATCGTCGTTTCACTATCAGCGGCTTGCATTTCATCAACAGGAATTAATGGTCTGCGAATCGGTCGTGGAATTGTCAACGCTTCAAGTACTATTTTTTTCTCTGGCTTCAATGAAGGTTGAATCTCAGTTGAAATAACCAATTCATTCTGCTTCTCTTCTTCTTGTGTAATACTTGTTATAGATATTGACGCGTCTTTATAGGTATCGTCAGAAGGGATGCTTGAATCACCTTCAGTCGAAGAATTAACAGTCGGACTTGAAGAAGAAAGCGATTTTCCGTTTTCTGTTAATGTTCTCGATTGACAAGAGTTCTCCGGATGTAAAAGGACGAGAGGATCTTTTGAATTAGTGGAACCATGTTTATCTGATCCGACCCAAACCATCATTGAATTGACGTATTCCGCCGTGTCAGGGTCCCATGATGGATCGCGATTATTGGTAAGCTTCATCGCTTTCAGACTATTCTCCATTTCTCGTCTTCCGTTTAACACATTTAGTCGTTCAGCCACGTGCATAATAGCTGCTCGATTGCTCTCAAACAATATACTTGTACAACTTTTGCGATTGATAACAGGCATTGACTTTTTTGAAGAAAACTTGTTTGCCTTTATAACACGTTTAATCGAAGAACGTATACGGTTAAGCAAGTTCCGTTTCTTTCCTTTTCTTGTGGACCGTGTACCGCCAGTTGAGGGCTTGTCAATTTGTTGCACAAGACATATTGAACCATTGGCATCCATCAGAACAGTAACAGTAGAAAAAATGCTTCTCCGAAGCTCAGGAATTTCCGGCGCTTTTGATTCCAACCATAACCATTTTATCGTGGAACTGCAATTTACTTCAAATGCTTCAGAAAAGTCATATTGAGAAACAAGACTCTGTTCCAACGTAGGGTATTGTATCAGAGGACTAGGCTCCTCAGCAATCATATCGTTGTTCACGAAAAGTCTAAGTTCATTATTGGCGACAGAAGAAGCAATTGGGCGGTCAAAACCATTTTCCAAGAAGCCTAACCATGCTGATTCTTGAGCATTAAATGCAATCTGCGAAGAATTAGTTCGCGACATTCTTTTTAGCAATAGCAAACACTCGCTGTGCAAACGGTCTCTGCCAATTGGGAATGAACTTCGAACATGACTAGGAAGCTGCATTTTTGAAATAATGTCAACAACCTCAAGCGGAGATGTTGGTTGCGGACCTTGATTTGTCATAATGTTGATAACACGGTAACTCTCCGTATTGAAGTTTTTGGCAACAGGAGGATAGCTGTGGTTTCGAAGCTGTGTTTGAAGGGACATCGGCAACAAAGAGAAACTGTGCTCATCTCTTTTGTCTGTACCTCGCAAGTATGCTAGGAGTAATCTAAGACAAGCATTTGTGCACCTAGAGACATAATGTTAGTAACCCTATACTCAACGCATATATCATACTTATTCCAGTAAGCCAAACCATCTTCAAGATCCATGCACGGCCATGAAAATGCCCAACAGCTGCTCAACTGTGCGATAACCTCCAAAGAGGTTGACTTTTTTGGGACTGACTCTGATGGAAGACGAGCAGCCATGCTTGCAAGAAGCCGAACAAACCCTTGAATCACATTAAAGTGGCTATTATTGCGAGCTGCAAGCTTCATAAATATGGTAAATCCATCCATTGGATGTTTTGCGTAAGAATCTGCTTCTTCAAATAGGCGATAGCAGCGCCAGCTCACAACTCCGCCTGGAATTCGATAAAATAACCATTTTGTAACAGAAATAAGACCCTCTGTACTTAATAACGTAACACGTTTCTTAAGTTCATCCGCATTCCAAGGTCGACCTTCAGATTGATTGCCCGTGTAATAATCTCGAAGAAATCCTCGAGTTTCCCATGCGTTTACACGATTAGAAGGACATGTCAGCAACTCCAAGTCAAGCTTTAAGTTAGAGTCTTTCCGTTCGTTAGCATTTGAAGCTGAAAAAGGATCAGGCTTGTCTGTGTTTATAGATTACCTAAGAGCTCCAAGCGTTTAGCACATTCGACGATGAGCTTCTCTGCTTTAACGACATCTATTTGTTCTTGCTCGAATACTTGCATTTTGCAAAGGAGACATTGCAAGTCTCAAGCAAACGATACTATTCATATTTTCTAGACAAAGAGACTTTACCATTAAAGAAAACGCGTCGCGACGCGTTTGTCATTCCCCGATAAAGTGTATTATGTCAGGGAATACAATACGTGCGGCTTGAAAAAAAAAACAATAGTAACTAAATATACAGCATATACTACTTTAGGTAGTATACAAAATTGTACGTACCATGATAGTGTAAAATCTATTGTATTTTTATGCGGTAAGTAGAATTGTGTTTCACCACTTTGGCAATCCTTCGCCAGTGGATTTCCTGTCCACAACCATGACCGAGCAAGACACCGTGGTTGAACAGGTATGAACTTAGTCGTGACAGTTTTGCATGCAAACATATGCGAAACCGAGTTTTTGAGAAGTTTAACTAATTATTTTAACAGCCGCTCGATATCAATTCGTCTTTATTGACGAAAAAGAAAAAATCTAAAAAGTCTGTGGCTTTCGACGATGAAGTTGAAGCTTTGACGGAGAAGAAGAGCTCTAAGGGCCAGGAAGACGGCGATGCTGCCAAGAGTGAAGCTGCTGCTGCTGCCACGGAACCCGTCACGGAGGCCGAGGTCGATGAATTGAAGGATATGTTTGCTAGCATGAAGAAGAAGAAGAAGTCCAAGAAGAGTTCTTCCTCTTCGTCTGAGAGCAGCTCTAAGGCCACTGAGGATGGTGAGCTTGACTTCTCTTCGATGAAGAAGAAAAAGAAGAAGAAGAAGAGCGCCGATTTGTCTGCTTTTGAGAAGGAGTTGGAAGCTTCTTCCTCGAAGGAATCTGGTGTTAAGAACCAAGTGTTTGACGAGGAAACTATGGGTGAACACGAGTGGATTAAAAGCGACCGTGACTACTACTACCCCGAGTTGTTGAACCGTTTCTTCACATTGTTGCGTCAAAACAATCCCGAGCTTGCTGGTGAGAAGCGGAAGTACACGATTGTTCCTCCCTCCGTTCACCGTGAAGGTAATAAAAAGACTATTTTCGCCAACATCAACGACATCTCCAAGCGTATGCACCGGTCTTTGGAACATGTTATTCAATTCTTGTTCGCTGAGTTGGGTACCAGTGGCAGTGTTGACGGTTCCTCTCGCCTTATTATTAAGGGTCGTTTCCAGCAAAAGCAAATTGAGAACGTTCTTCGTCGTTATATTGTGGAATATGTTACTTGCAAGACTTGTAAGTCGCCTGATACCATCCTGACGAAGGAAAACAGAATCTATTTCATGACTTGCGAGGTAAGTTTTATTGATATCGTGGTGTTCACAAGTGCCACGTACATCATGGTTGTTCAAATGTATGCTAATTATTATTCCAGGCTTGTGGTTCTACTCGTTCTGTCCAAGCTATTAAGACTGGTTACCAAGCCCAAATTGGAAAGAGAAGACATATGGCTTAGAGGGGTTATGTGCTATATAGTTTATCTACAACAACAAAATTTTTGCCAAAGAAGAATGTACTTGGTCGATGAAGTGTCGATGTAAAAGATATGTTTTCAAACTATTTAAACTGCGTTACATTGGGGTTTCGTGAAAAATCCTGTTTCATCTGGTGCGCTTTTATGGCATTTGTTTGCGTGCTTCCACCAGAAGATTTCCATAATTTTAGGGTCTTTGTTTTTTCGTCCTGTTTCGTCTAATTAGTATGTTTCTCGGACTGGCTTCGTCTGGCTTACCCTGACATCCTATCCAACGCCGGCATTGGTGACATTTTCCTTGGATGATGGTCTTACGGTCAGGTATGCCAATGGTTCGTTTTGGGCGTCCAAGTGGTACAGTTCGGAATGCAGTTGGTGGCAGGTATTGCTGACCTTTTGTGTTGATACCGTGCGCGAAATTCATGTGGTACCAATAGGCACTTGTCTTTGTCCGAAGCCAGACCTCCTTCTTCGCTTCAAAGCAGACCGGGCACAAAGCTTCCTTCTCCATACCTGCTCCTTTAGAGTAACGTGGCGTATAGAGGTCGTAATCAGGCAGATTCTCTGTATAAACAACACCAGAATCGTCGGTAGCAGGAGTGTATATTGAAGTGGGCGCAGGAATAGACACATAAAAGAGAGGGAACAGTGGATTGATCGGGAAGTTGGGTGGTAGTGTTCTGTAATGCTGTAATTGCAGAGTGCCGCCGTCTGGTTTTGAAGGTACCGGCCATGTTTTACCATAATGTATGTACGGCGAGTTTATCTGCGTAGAGGCCAAATACACAGGCGGTAATTGATTTTCCGTGTCATTCACTGAGTCAGTGAGATACGTTGGTGCTGCATTTAATCCACAGGCAAAAAAATCAGTCGTTTCATGTGGTTCAAGCGCGTCTAGTGTTTGCTGCGTTTGCTGTGTTTGTGGTTGTCGTTGTTGTAATTGCTGTTGTTGATATTGAAAATGCAATTGGTTTAATGTGTTTGAATTTATGGGGGTTAGTAGTTCATGAATGGTTTGAGAGGGTCGTGATCGTTTTAAAGTTTTTGCTTTCACTTCTAAAGAGTCAATTGGTAAGGATGGAGGCGGGATGAAGAGTATACCTTCATGTTGAGGAATTGCGTTTAATGAAGGGTTCGAATGAATGTATGGTGAAAAAACAAGAGAGGGCTCAGGAACTTCAGAGAGGTAAGAATTGTTTTCAGAAATAAACTGTTCAATATCACTAAGCTCCATTAAAACTGAAGGAGAAAAAAAGAGAATTAAACCGCAGAGTATACGGAAAGGGAAAGGAAGGAAGTTGAGTCGCGACGCGTTTTATACAAAAATTAATTATTGCGGGGAGAAGCACGCGGAGCGAAGGAAAAATAAAGTTGCGCGAAACATAAAGGTTTACGTTAAGCGGAATATGTGCCGGCGGGGAGGGATCGCGCTGGAGATCTAGAGTTACACGAATAGGACAGAGGGAGTAAGAACAGCAATGAGTAGAACAAAGGTTTTATTCTCAAAACTGAATGCCACCGTATACAAAGAAGATCTACGAGATACAATTCAGCTGCTTGTTGGTGCACAAAGCTCAAAGTGTGTAATCCCGTGAAAGCCCGTTTTCAAGTCATAAGAACTTTGTACAGCAAAAGATAATTTGATACAACACTCAACAACTCTTTGAAACACTCAATTGTACACACTAATCATCACTGTCCTTTTTTTTCGCGCGGAAAACATAATCATATCAATATAAACAACGAGAACAACTTCAATAAAATGAATGAACCAAAACAGAAAAACGAAAAAGAAAAAAACTAACAGAAGGAAAGAAGCGCGACAACATAGATTGCGGGTTAACAACACTCGGATTTTTGGACATCCCGGATAACGCTACATCATCCATGAAGAAGAGTCATTGAAGATGTCAAAAGTCCAAAGAGTAAAAGGACAGATGTCAAAGGATAACACCCGTATTTAGGAACAGTACGCTGCGAAGCTTCTGTCCGTCAAGGGTTGAGGGAAGATACCGTTGTCAACAAGCTCGCCCATATCCCAACCAGGAGCCGTCTTCTCGGTCTTCGCGGTCCAGAAGAACCATCCACGACCGCGCTCGTATTGGTCAAGTTGAGTCTCAATGTACTGACGAACTTGAGAACGGAAATCGGCGGTCCAATTGTTAATATCAGTGTTGCATGTTCCCACATAGTAAGAGTTCGTGAACGTGCCGTCATAACGAGCACCGGTGTCCATACCATTCAACCATTTGGCACAGTCGTCCAAGGCTGCACTCCACTCGCCAGTGACGACAAGGAACGGAGAAGAAGCAATCGAGTTGCCGAAATTGCAGATCGAGTTCAGATGGTCGGTAAACGACATGGCACACTGACCGCTTGAGAACACCTCGTAATGATGCGTGTCGAGAATCAAGTCGTAGGAACTGGGGTCGAGCAAGCCCTCATTCCAATCAGAGAGAGAAATGTAACCATCGTGGAAAACAGTTGCAACAGTACTAGAGAGCGAGGAAATTTGGTTGTATGCATCGCGGTCGTATTGCTTCAGCCAGGCAAGGTCGAGGTTAGCTGCCAAAGGCTCGTTAAGCGTCTCAATACCAATAACAACATCGGCATATGCGGATTGTGTATACTTTTGGATAATAGTCGAGATCACTCGGTACGTTCTCGCAACAGTGTCACCTTTTTGCCAGCCGATACCGCCACGTTTTCCAGAGTTATCAAATCCGTTCTGGCTGCCTGGGGCACCGTGCAAATCAATCCACACCTTCAGACCAACGCTCCGAGCCCACGATATGGCTTGGTCAAGCCAGTACTCTTGTCCTTGAACGAAAGGCTCATAATCCGCGACGCTAAACGCCCAGTAGCCGATAGGAATACGGACAACGTTAACGCCCCAACCAGCGATGCGGGCGAAGTCGTCGTATGTGTAAAAGGTGCTCCAATGCTCATTCAGCTGCTTCTGAGCCTCCTCCGCACCGAGAAACTCGCAGAATGTCCACTCATCAACCGCAACGTTCGCTTGTCCCTCGAATTGTTGAAAAAGACTAGGTGTAATCCACGGCTCCAGCACGAGCCAGCCGCCAATGTTTACACCGCGGATAATTTCTGTCGTATAATCGAAAACAGGATTGTTACGCTTTTGAATTGTCAAGGCATCAGCCGAAAAGCTTAAAACGCTAAGACCGAGGAGAAAACGGCCTAGCGATTTCCAAACACTCTTAAACATTTTGCGAAAGAAAGCGAGGAAATGAAAAATTCAGTGAAAAATGAAAAAGAATGACAGCGCCTGTGTGGGGAACACCGTTCACTGCCGTCAAAAAAACCGTCTTTGTCTTTGGTTTCCTTTATTAGACAAAGATCCAATTACAAATCTGCGGATGCGGGCTTTCAAAGCGTTTGTCTGCGAATCCAATCAACACGTTTACCGGGAATAACCTCTGTGTCGCTGCACACAATCACTGATGATTGCCAGTGAATGTCCGAGTGTGTGTTAATGAAGAAGAGAAGAGAAAGCTGTGGCTCTTATAAACCAAAATTCTGAACAAATGTAAACAAATAAACACTGACGGCGATTATGGCGCAATTCGCAACTAAGCCGGCCGACAACAGACGAGCGGCTCTACCAAAACAAAACAAAGTTAAACAAAACAGAAACCAAAGGAATGGCTGTTAGGGTATCCAAAACACAAAATGCTCTTATGATCGTGTGACCGCGTGTGCGTGAACCGGCGCAGCAAAGAAGAATGTTAGAGTCGCCTGAATGGAACGGTCTCCGGGGCAATATTTATATACAAAAACCACGTTTCTATTTATAGCTTTAAGCTATCGATGACGATGACTAGTGGGAAACCCAAATTGGGTACGTCATTAGAGTACCTATCGAAGGGGTGCAGCCGTACGTGCGAGGTCGTGTGAGCAGGCGTTGCTTTAACAAACTTTAGAAGTGAAAATAGTTAAAAGTGTTAACCATGTAGAATGCAACTAGTATGTTAAACTGTAGTAAATTACCCTGGTCCCTGAGGCTAGACCATCGATGTCATCTATCCCATGCTATAACAAACGTTGAAACGTATGTCCGGGAATCCGCGAGAAGGGGACACATACCAGCCAATCAGCACGTAAAGCGACGTGTGCGCAGGAAACCGCCGAAGAACGCCGACAAGGAAACCAATCAAACATCTCAACGTCACGTCACAAGCGAAAAGAGGCCGACGGCCCAATCAGAAAAAAACAGAAATTCCGTCGACCCTGACCCCACAAATCCAAAACACCACTCCAGAACCCCGCAAAACTACCGCTAAACCAATCATCATTACGAAGATCATCAAACATTCACACAAATGGTCCTCAGAACATGCTTTATTGCAGCTTAAATAAGCTGGCTAGCGCTCGCAATGCAATCTCATTTTTACTTGGTGACTTGCCAGACACGGATAAGGTTATCAGTCCAGCCAGAGAACAAGGTTTGGCCATCAGCAGACCAGGCAAGAGAGATACACTCGGGCTCAGCGCTCTTCTTACCAACGCCGACGAAGTCGACAGTAAGCTCATCAACCTTCTCTTGAGACTCCAAGTCGAAGATACGGATGGAAGAGCCGGTGGCAGCGCACAACCAGTAACGGTTGGGAGAGAAGACAACAGCGTTGATGTTGGTCTTGGCCTCCAAAGAGTACAAGTGCTTGTTCTCGTTAAGGTCCCAAAGCATCAAGACACCGTCCTTACCGCCGGAGGCGCAAAGGGAACCATCGGGGGAGATGGTGACGGCGTTGATGTAGCCGGTGTGACCGTGGTGGGTGGTGCGGAGAGCGAAAGACTCCAAATCCCAGACCTAAGCAAGTGGTTAGTACGCATGCAATAGACGCGATAGGAAGACCATTCGTTTGTAGAAAAGCCTCGAAAAGAAGAAAGTTCAGTGCACTTGCGGTGTTTTTCTGTCTCATCGCTCCGAAGAACTCTGAAGTAGCAAATATTGTAGAAACATCATAACGGATCCCAACTTTTCGCAGAGCCCTCAAACAAACGAACAGCTGTGTTGCACATACCTTAACAACCTTGTCCCAACCAGCAGAAACAAAGGTGACATTGTCGGGGTTGGGAGAGAAGCGGACGCAAGAAACCCAGTCAGAGTGACCACCCTCGGTGATGGTGTACTTGCAGTTACCGATGATGTTCCAGATCTTGATGGTCTTGTCACGGGAACCAGAGACAACTTGACGGTTGTCGGGAGAGAAGGAGACGGACAAGACATCACTGGTGTGACCAACAAACTGGTGAGTGCAAACACCCTCCTCGAGGTCCCAGAGACGGATGGTCTTGTCCCAGGAAGCGGACAAGGCGTAACGGCTGTCGTAGGACAAAGAGCAGTCAGAGACGAAGTGGTTGTGACCAGTCAAACGTCTCTGAGCGACACCGTAGTTGACATCGTCACGGGTAAGGTTCCACTGCATTTGTTAGCGAAAAGGTGAAAACACACAGACAGGCTCGGCGCGGCAAAGGCGTGCCGGGTCGTCACAGTTCATACCAAGATGATGGTCTTGTCACGAGAACCGGAAAGAAGAATGTCAGGGTTCTCAGGAGCAGTGGAGAGGGAGGTAACCCATCCAGAATGACCTTCGAGCGTTGCACGGAGCACAAGTTGTTCTGGCATGTTGACTGGTCGTGATGTCTTGGAGAAAGGAGATTTTGGTTTAAATTGTATGTATATAGTATGTGACTGTTTTTGTGATTAGGGTAGGGTAGTTAACACAGTGCGTTACGCCTCCGTAAATAGACATCACATACCACCGTGGTGCACAACATAACGTGTCGCGTGTGCCTACACACCAGGTGGTGGTAAGTGGTGGTGCCGCGCAAAACCCCGGACACCTCATCGCGGCACGGACCTCGGCCTCTCCTTGTCATCTAGCTGTCGCTAAATCTCGCTAGAGCGCACTATTCTACAGATCCCGCAGGTGATACGCTGGTTCATTCATTAATATACAAAACCGAGTCGTCGAGTAGGCGGGCGACGGGAACGGTGGAAAAAACGCACAGAGTGCAACGGCAGACGGCCCGAAGGGCTGCTGCCCAGAAACGGCCGTCTGCGCGCATCAAGGCCAAGAAAAGGCAAAAACGGGCATGAACTCATTACACTCCAGGACTTATGCGCGTTCGTACGCGTTCTTGTGGCAGCACGAAGAGTCGCTGTCTGAGCCAGAGTCACTGTCGCTCTCTTCGGAAGAGCTTTCATCAAACTCACGCAGCTTGTGGTAGATGCAGCAAACTATAGTTGGTTCTGTTAGCAAAGTGAAAAGTGTTATTATCGCAAACGCGGATTTTGACGCGTTCGGCCGAAACCTTAATTCGCAAGTTGAGCCAATCAACACGCAACATAGGAGCGGTCGAAAACGCGTGAAAATCGGTCGCGCTTTTCAGCAGCATACTCTTCGATTTTTTTTTGTTAAGGTGTTCGTTGTCGACTGTATTTTGCGACCAATGGACACGGCGTCCACTCGTCTCACCACGAAGATGCAGGACAACCGGCTCGTCTTGCACGGCCGGCGTAGTCGTCGTCGTTGTCGCCGTCTGCTCGTCTGTCGACGCCTGTGTTGCTTGCATTCTCGTGCTCTGTGGATATGTGGGATGGTGAGTGGGGGTGCGGGGGAGTGCTCGGGATGCGGAGACGGGATAGTTAAGAGGAAAAGACAGATGGGTCCTGGCCCTGAGCGTGGTGGAGAAGTGGGGGGTTATAAGGTGCTACGGTTCAAGTAGTACGGGCGGTAGCGGCAGCAGGGGAAGGGAGAAAGCTGCGGTGGGAAGGTGCGACGACGTGTGTTGACGTGTGTTGCCGGACGTTGTAGTAGGAGTAGGTAAGAAGCAAGTGTGACACTGGGTCACACACACACACAAATAAACTGCCACTTAAGAGAAACAAAACGAGAGGAGCCCTCCGAGCCTTCCAACAGCGTTAATGTCGGAATCTTGAACGAGTTGATTGCAGGCCTGCGCTGCAACAGAACACGGGATCGTTTAGGCCTTTGACGCGTTAACAAAGTCAATTCCGACAACGCGTCTCGTAACGCCTGCTGAATTGGAATGATGGGTGCGTGGTAGAAGACACCGTTTACTGTTTTTGTACGTTGCGTGTGTGTTTGTGCGTGTATGTATGTCTGTGTGCGTCCACTACTGCCGTGCATAGGATCGTCTCCTGAGCTGGAGGCGGGGTACCGTTAGGGTAGGGTTCGAGGTTGCCACAGTCACACACATATATAAACAAAAAACTTCCCCTCGACTTTCCCTTGTACATCATGGTGGTAAGTGAGAGACCCTCCAACATTCGAAATCTTGGGGTGGCCTAAGATGTTTAGAGTCGTGGTCGGCTAACGCGAAACAGTTGGCTGTTGACTTATTGAACCCTTCGCCCGAGTCTGAGCTTAAGAAGCACAAGCTCAAGCAGCTCGTCCAGAGCCCTCGCAGCTACTTTATGGTATGTACCAACTGAAGCACGAGAGCGGCACTGCGCGGTTAGTGAACTTGGACAGCGGCAGCAACGATGGGTGCATTCGTAGCTGTAGGATGGTGTAATTTTGGAATGTTTTCTAAAGTTTTTGTCGTTTTTTGCAGAGATAGTCTTGGGGTTCCTCTACTCGCACTCCGTTGTTGCCTGCCTCGTTTTTTTCGCTTGCAAAGTGTTTTTTCTCGCTCCTCGCCTTTTTGAGTAGTTTGCTAATGTTTGTGCAGGACGTCAAGTGCTCTGGCTGTTTCAACATCACCACAGTCTTCTCCCATGCCCAGACCGTTGTCATCTGCGGTTCCTGTGCCACGGTTCTCTGCCAACCCACTGGTGGTAAGGCCCGTTTGATGGAGGGCTGCTCTTTCCGTAGAAAAAACTAGACGGCTAGAGCAGAATTGCCGCTAGCATGTAGTTCGGCGCAGCTGCCGCTGTGCAACATGTTTGGCTTTCCGTCAAAACCGTTATCATATGTTTCGCTTGGAATTTCGCTGGCGTGTTTGCTATGCTTCGTTCTTTGGGTTTGAACATCTTGCGTCGCTAGCTTCCTGTTTCGTGCATTCGTAGTCGAGGAAACACTCGCTCGCACTTAATCCATCCTGGTTTATTCGGATGTTCTGTGGGCTGAACCGGGCGGGCGGTGCTTGTAGTTTGAGTTTGTGGGTTTGCGGTGGGTGTTTTATAGTAGTTTGTGAACGCGGTTGACCGTGCCGGAGTCTGGATTCGTCCCGTGTTCTCTTTGGCGTTTCCGGTTTAAAGCTTGCTTGCTCCATTACGGTTCTGTCTTCGTCAACCAAATTTCATTCATTCCGTAGCATCATTAGCAATAGTCCGGACGTTTGTTGGCAGGAATACAGTGTGGGTATTGGTCATGCCATTGCATATACAATTAGCGCTGCGTTCTCACGATTTACCCGTTGCGATGCATCGTCCAACGAACACCGTGGAATAAAACTACGAGAACGCCGCAGTTTAGCGAAAGCCGCAGAGTAGCAATCGCAATTTTGCCTTCGTCTCTATCATAGCCGCCTTACACGACCGGATTCAGACGGCCAACAAGCTCAGGATAGCGGTCGGTCAGGGCAATTTGTGTGCGAGTAGCTTCGGAGTATGAGAATGCATTTACCATCTCGCTTTCTGTGCGAGCAAGGTCTGCAGACTTCTCAAAGTATTTGAGTGCCTCGACAGGCTTGCCCTGCTGCAACAAGAACTGAGCCATGCTGGCCACAGCAATGTCACACTCCGGATCGGCATCGAGGGCTTGTTGACAAAGCTTCTCAGCTTGGTCCACATCGCGCTTAGCCTGGAAAACGGTCAGAGCCTTGTTGATGAGGGGCATAGCATTCATGACATTCTGTGCTGATTTCTTCTTGCCGAGCTCGATGGCGCGATCAAAGTGATCCAAAGCCTCGTCAAACTTTTGTTGGTCAAGCAGAATTTCACCATAGTAGTTGTACACTTCTCCGCTGTCAGGGAAGCGCTCCTTGCACATCTCGAACGTCTTTACGGCTTCTTCAACCTCGTTTGATTTGTATTGCGCAACGGCGAGTTGGATGTAACCGTAAATGAACGTGTCGTCCAATTCATTAGATTTGCGATAATCCTTGATTGCTTTAGCAAAGTCACCAGAGATGAAGTGAACTTGAGCACGATGGTAATACAGATCAGGGTCTGTGGTAGATACGGACTCGGCCTTTTCAAATGTCTTCCACATCTTGTCGCGCTCGTTCTCGTCTAAGTATGCAGCACCAAGTCGAACATAAGGTTGAATGAAAGTGGGATCAAGCTCAATGGCTTTCTCAAAGTCGGCAATTGACTCCTTCGAGTCACCAGAAACAAACTTGTATGTACCAACAAGGTTATATGCACGAGCAGAAAGCTTATCCGAACTGCAGCCAGTAGCGCATGCCTTGTTCACCAGTTCTTGAGACTCAGCAAACTTGCCTTGCTCAAGAGCCTCAATAGACGCAGCCAAGGCGGCATCACCCTCGTTTCCGTTTTCATACTCCAAAGCAGGTTGAGCTCTGAAAGAATCGAGATATGTCCGAATAAATGTTGCGCTAGGCAGTTTGCGTTCACGCGTCTTCATGAGTGCTTCAGCTTTGCGTTCGGCAACCTTCTTCAGCAAACGTTCAACGCTTGCGGTTAAGGCCTCGTTGGTGAATCCATCAAAAATACAAGAAACAGTGCAATCCATTAGAGCCTCATCCAGGCGATCCAGTTGCTCGTACGCAGCTGCTCGACGGTTCAGGGCTTTCACATACGTGGGGTTCATGCTCAAAGCCTCTGAAGTATCAGATACTACCTTGTTATAATCACCAATAGCAGCAAAACAAGCTGCACGGTTGGAGAAGTAAATTGGGTCCCGGTTGTAAATAATAGCCTGTGTGTACAGCTCAATGGCTTTCACATAGTCCTTACGGCCATAAGCAAGATTGCCTTCCGTTTTCAGTTCCGTAGCAAGTTTTTCTCGCTCTTCTTGCGACATTTCCTTCAGCTTTTGAGCTGTGAGTGCAATTTTTTCATCATCCACCTTCTTCTTGGACTTCTTCTTTTTGTTCTTTTTCTTTTTCAAGGAAGCAGCAGCCTCTGCTGCTCCCGCTGCAGCCAAGTCCGTCTTCGCATCGACCGCTTCAGACTGACTCACAGGCTCTTGCTTTGTCTCAGTTACAGAGGATGTCTGCTTTTCAGCAGTATCAACATTTTCCTCCGACTGTGGCATTTTCTTCAACTTTTCGTCCGAAGGAATCTTACGATACTTCTTCGACTTCTTCGACTTTTGTTTTTGTGTGTGAACATAATAAACACCGCCGACGCCAGCGCAGACAGCAAGAATGCCCGTGGTGTACACGAGCTTCTTGTGTCGCTCAACAAACGAGGTAAATGAGGACCATAAACCGTGATTCTCAGCAGGAACGCTGACACTAACTATTGCCGGCTCAGGCATGTTGATGGTTCTGGGCAGGAATTTTTTGTGGAGCTGGTTTATCAAGTGAATCGTGTTCCTTAGCAACACCAAAACCTTATTTCGCGAAGATAACAGACGCGTCGCGTAAACATGTGTAAGTGAATTCCCAATGAAGAGGGACTGGACTCGGAGAGTTTTAATATGCAATAAACTGGAATTGTATGAGGAGTTGTCTTTGTAGACGCAACATTAGGTGAGACGGTGGGACGGACGGAAAACTGGCAGCGGTCGGTGTATGTATAACAAGGTGTTGATACCATAGATAAATCAGAGTAGATCTCAAAAATGGATAATTGTGTATAGTCTATCGACGACGACGACGAAATCGGCCTCCAGCTTTCCCTTTTCGTAATTTGTATGCTGTATAGTTTGAGCTAACTTGGAGACCAATTGTGAGGTTGCCCTTAATTTTTCGTCTTTTTGCTGGCTTCTCAGTAACTTTAGACGGCAATATTGTGGACTCGCTTGGAACACCGTCCATAGATGTAGTGTTCGGCATCACTTCTTCGTCGTCTTCGTCAGTACCAATCTCTTCTTCTTCGTCAATTGCTTCTAATGGTTGCAAATGACTCTTTGCGTTGGGTACAGATGGAGGTACTGTAACGATTTGCGGGTTAGTAAATAAGATAAATGAGACTAAAAAAAATGGCTTACGTTTGACACGTCTATGTTGACGTTTTACTTTGAGTTTCCGAACTTGTGGCTCCTGTGAACCTTGTTCCTTTGACGTTGTCTCATCTGTCTCTGTATCGCGGGCTAGAAGTAGGAACGGGTTTAGGGGATCTTCATCATAATTATCCGCATTTGCGGACTTTTCATCGCTTTCCAATTCGTGCAATACATCTTCCTCATCCTTTCCATACTCATCCTCCATAGCCTTAAGCTCCTTAAGGAGCGTTGAAAGCCCGCGTTTTGGAGGCGCGAAATGGAAAAGGTCGGGTGAAGAGGGAACGGCCATTCGCAGAGTTGTGGGAGTTTCCATGATTTTGTTTTGCTTTCTTGGCGTTGGAATGTTGGCTTTCGTTGGCGTGGTAAAGAGTGGACTGGGAGGGACTGGACTGTTGTCGGAGGGAAGCACAAGAGACACATCTTGTTTGGAAGGAGAGGGTTTTAAAGGAGAAATGTCTTCAAAAATTTGAATCGGTTTTCTAGTGAGTTGCGGTGTTGGGCCGAGAATGGTTCTTTCTACGCTTCCCGGAGTTCTTAAAATAGCAGAGTGTCTTGGCGTCACATTTTCAATCGATTGAAATGGTCGTTTCCGTGAAGTATCAGGACTGGCTGGAGGCTTCAACGGAAGAGAACTCCGCCTTTTGATTTGGTTATATTCTTTATACAGTTGAGCTGAACATTAAAGTTAGAAGATAATTGTAAAATACTGTAATTCAACATTCACATACCAATTCTCGGGTTTGCTTTTACATCTTCCCTGCCGGGTTTTCTCTGATTATTCTTAAAGAAGTTGTGTTCCCAGTGTTTTAATTCAGTTTTAATTTCTGTCTTTTTTATTCCGGTGGGCGAATTTGGCGGCATCCCACATTAAAACAGTAAATTATTATATAACCAAAAGATTATAATTGTTATACAGAGTAGGCTGTTATCCTATATGATGATTTCTAGGGGAAATTTAGTTTGCAACTAAAAGCAAAGAAAGTTGAACTTTTTGTATAGGTTGTTAGGGACTTAAGCTGGAGGATGTAAACAAATAGACTTAAATTCACGGTAAGACGCGAAAAAAAAAAGACATTAAAACACGCGTTTTATTTGTAAAAAAGGAAAAAAGCTTTGCTATTTGTCATCAAAAACGTAGTTTAAAAAGCTTATTGTTCATACGAAACTTTATATCTTTTGCTTTTACACCTTCGTCGTTGGTTCATTAACGACTCCAAGAATTCTTTGTATACCTTAGTACGAAACAGTCTACAAACTAACAAACCAATTCAAGTCTTCCGCTTCGTTGGCTTTATATTCATCCTTTGGTAACTTGATAGGAGTCTTTTGTAATGGATGGTGAGGAGGACGAGAATTTGGATGAGCTAATTGCAAGCGGACAACTGGATGAGCTGTAAGTTCTGCGTATGATAAACATGAATTATGATCTAACCTTCGTTTAAAGCGTCCAAAAAGAATATGTAGATAAGGAAATGATGACACAATACTACAAACATTTGTTTCCTTGGAAACTATTATTTCAATGGCTCAATCACGGAGTTATTCCTTCAAACGACTTTACCCATAGGGAATTTGCGTTCACTTTACAAAATGATGCCTATTTGCGTTACTTATCGTTTCCAACTTTTGACGATCTGAAAAAAGAAGCTGTACAAATGACACCCAGTCGGTTTGAGATTGGGCCAGTTTACAGTGCAAATCCCCGCGATCGCAAGACATTAAAAAAAGCATCTTTTAAACCTCTTGAGAAGGAGTTGGTATTTGATATTGATATGACTGACTACGATGATGTCCGTACTTGCTGTAGCAAAGCAAATGTCTGTCCAAAGTGTTGGCTATTTATGACGGTCGCAATGAAGGTTCTTGATACAACGTTCAGAGAAGACTTTGGTTTTGAACACATTCTGTGGGTATACTCAGGTCGTCGAGGCATTCATGCTTGGATTTGTGATGAGAAAGCACGACAGCTTGATGACCGTGGACGAAGAATGATTGCTGGATACCTACAAGTAGTGGTAGGAGATGTTCAAGGAGGAGTTCGTGTGAATGGGCTCAAACGACCCTTACATCCTTTCATTTCACGATCATTAGAACTTTTGAGCGAGAGTTTTGCTCAGACTATTCTTCGGGAACAAGATCCGTGGCGTTCAGAAGAAGGTGCTGAACGACTGTTGAAGGCGCTGCCAGACAAAGGTCTTGTTGCGGCATTACGAAAAAAATGGTCTGTTGATCTTGAACGGCCAAGTATCAGCAAATGGGCAGATATCGATTCAGTGGCATCGGCCGGTGTTTCAAAAACACTTGATCCGGTGACACTTAAGAACGCGAAACAAGACATAGTACTCAGTTATATGTATCCGCGACTTGATGTTGAAGTGTCTAAGCATCTAAATCACTTGCTTAAATCCCCCTTCTGTGTGCATCCAGGAACAGGTCGAATTTGCGTTCCCATCCGCATGGAGGACGCAGGTAGCTTCAACCCATTAGAGGTTCCTGTTTTGCAAACATTGTTGCAGGAGCTTGACGAGAAAGGCGATGTGGAAAAAACCAGTCTTAACTCTTATATTTCACATTTTCGGGGGTTCTGTAATCAGTTACTAGCAGAGACCTCACGGAAAAAGCGCAAACAGGGAGACATGACATTCTAAAAGGGTATATTCAAGTTACAATATCCATACTGCTAATCACAAATTGTGCCAAAAATGTTAAATAAAAAAGTAATGGAATTTTAATGATGTTAATGAGTGCGAGTAGCATAACATGATGCTTACTGCTTGTCGGTATCAGCTTTAGTCGATGTGATATTGTCTACTTTTGACTCTTCTGAATCTTCATTGAGAGTTGTTTCAACATGCTCAGCAGATTTTTTTTCGTCATCCAAGTCAGTCACACGGTCAACTTCGTCCCCATCAAGCTCACTTGCTGTAGTACTATGACTTTTCGGTTGAAGTCCCTTCCGTTTGGGAATAATTTCCAAAAATGCACGTTCCCAGTCTCGATATTCGAGCCAAAGCGAAAGAATTTCAAAGACTTGATTAACAGTTAAAATCTTTCTGTCTGACATCTGAATATACTGTCCGATGGGAAGACGTGCAGTTTTGATTCCTTGCTTTTCAGCTTTATCATTGCAAAGATTCTTATAGCGATTCTTGTCAACAATGGCACCAATAATATAAATTTTGTCCTCATCCAACTCTGTGATATCGTTTTCTGAGTCAGCAGACAAGTACACAAGCTTATCTTTTTCCTCTTTAAAGACTTCCATATAGTCCTCTTCCACCGACTTCATCCGTTTCCAGTTGTTTTGCTGTCCTTTCAGCACGAACTCTTGGCGTTCTTTCAAACGCCCACCAAAGCTGGTAGCGTACAGATGTACGGGCCGAATGGCAGTTCTGTTTGCTGAATAACAGCGCGTTACTTGTTGACACAGGGAATTTATTTCCTTATAGTTCATGAGGTCATCAAAAGCACAATCAAGCACCACTCTCATGTTACTTGGAACAACCTTTCCGGGACGCAGTTTTTTCTTCTGACTGGGAACTTCTTCACCAGCTTCCTTTTTACGCTTTCTCTCCTCTTTACGAGCTTTCTTTTTTTCACGACGTAACCGAGCACGCTCTTCACGACCGGCTTCCCATTCTTGCTGACGACGAAGACGTTTCAAAGCAGATTTGCTCATTTGAACAGGCTCCTCAGCATTAATTGATGAAGATTCTTGAGATGTTGAGTTTGAAGATTTGGTTTCTTCCAAACCTTCTTTTGCAGCTTCCGATTCAGTAGACTGAACCGGAACCAGTTCCTTTTCCACGACAGACATAGTACTCCGGAATTCTATAAGTTTTTGGCCAAAATTTACAGTATAATTATACTGTTTTTGAAGATTTTCACTGTCAGTGGTATTGGTGGAAACCACTCGTTGTGAATTGGTACCAGAGCAGGAAAAAAACACAAAAACTCGTTCTCGTTAACGTTCAAAGAAGAAACAGATCTGAATTTGAAGCATATTTTTCGTTTTATAAATATAAGCAATGTCTACTGAGGAAAATGACTCACGGATGGACGTAGAAGCAAACGAGTTCATTGACAACGACAATGCTGAGACAGAAAGGGATGTGCCCGAAAAATCGAAGCTAGATAGTCTTCGAAGGAATCCCACAGATCAAAAACCCTCGCTTGCCGAGTACATGGATCAATTAACAAAGGACTATGCTGAAGAACTGGATGAACTTCGTCAACGCGAGATTTTTGATGACAGTAAGCTCCAAATGCTGATTCGCTCCTTACGCGCAGGTCACAAAATCTTTGAATAAATAAAATAAAGGAGAAAGCTAAATTCTGTTCCATAAACCAACATTTATTGAAGTCTATATCTGAAGCAAGGATCTTTACAAAAACATAGGCTGACTATAAGTTGGTGCAATAGGGAACACAAATACATTGGGCCCATCAATGTACCATTTTTGGATGAGTGTGCTTAAAAATTCATTGAGTTCTTACGAACTGGATATTGTAGGATCTATAAATAAAGTTGTAGCAAATAGGAGGATCGGTCTTAACTATTATGATTCGGAGGGAGAGAGTATTATCACACAGAATGTTATTTTGTTGAGGAGGGGAATTGCACTTCGAAGAAGACGGAGGTAATGCAGCATGATTTTTTGTTATCACAGCTTTGTCAAACTTTAAAAGGAACTGGACATAGATACGTGGTAAATTCAAATTTGGACTAACCTGTATACTCATCTTCTGCACCTGAAAAGGTGTCAGTAGCGGAATAAAATTCAGTAAGCTCGTCAGACGATTCGACATCGGCGAATTCTTCAGCTCGCGTCTGTTGCAAAACAGTCTTTTCAGCCTTCCGTTTCTGCTTTCGCAGAAGCTTCTGTTCCTGTTTTACCACTTTGATATGCTTTTTGCTTCTTTCGTGCGAAAGTAATTGCTGCTGCGTCTTGAATGTTTTCCTACAATGAGTGCAAAAAAAGGTTTCATTTTGGGCAGCGGCGACACTGTCGTTTTCGCTTAGACTCTCCTCATCCTCATCAGAATAAGGCGCGGCACACCGCACTTGTGTCCATTCAGGTAGAGAAACGGAGGCTAATGTTTGCTGGTTTAATCGACGGTCACGTATGCTTTGTAGGCGTGACGAAGCCTGTAGTTGGTCGTAGCGTTCTTGTTCACTCAGAACAACGACATTCTGCTTGCGAGGGTCAAGTTCTCCCATGCGACGAATAAGTTGCCGGACCAAGTCATTGTAAGATGCTTTCGCATTTTGAATAATTCGCAAGTTTTCGCGCCGCATGATCTTCTTTACTGCATTCTCTCGCTCGTCTTCCTCCTTATACAAGCGTTCCCAATCGAACGTCTTGATTGTGTTGAAACGCTGCCATTGTTGGTAAAACTGCTTTACTCGCGACCAAGGCAGAAATAGATTGGGATCATAAAGCGGCAAAGTCTTTCTGGAATTAGAAACGGTCGCGGGATCTGCAGACGCAGCGGCGACATCTTCGTCCTTTTTTAACAATTCAATGAATGAACACCAACCACTAAGGATTTTGTACGTTTCACTATTCTTCCATTGTAACGAATCTAAAACAGCAAGCTCTCTTCTCAAATCATCTTCGTGAACCTTGTATTGCTGGCGGATGGCAGTTCGTTCATACCACTTTCGTTCGGTGTCGCTTGTCAGGATATCGTAGGCAGTGCTTATACGAGAGAATATGGCATGGCACTCATCATTACCAGGATTCCGATCAGGGTGATACCGTAAGGCAAGTTTCCTACGGGTTAGAAAGAACAGGAACCCAGTCCAGAACCAATCCAATCGTACCTGTAGCTTCTCTTTACTTCTTCGATCGTAGCATCCTCCGGGACCCGCAACACGTTAAAACACTCGGAAATATCCATCACCAAAAGAACGGAGATGAGTATGAAGATGGTTATTTCACAGAGGGAAGGGAAAACGGGAGAAGTGTCACGTTCTTGCAACAAAACAAATAATAGGTGTAACGTGAATAAGCAGGTGTTTGGCCAAGAGGTGGAAAATACCGAATATTCTGTGCCATAAAAAAATTCAAAGAAACCAAAACTAATTCAAAAATAAAAAAAAAGGAAAAAAAAATGTATATAACAGTAATAATCAAGGAAAAATAAAATATCGTATTCACATTTACAGACAGACAGCTAAATTCAAAAAATGCACAATAAAACTGTCAAAACACTCGAGCCAAGCTCGTTAGTTTCTCCGTGCACCTGTTCTGGCACCCATCACCTTTGGTGGTGAGTATCGCCCACTCATGCATGCTGATTTTGCAGTGTGTCGCTTATCGATTCGTCCTCGGCAATTATCGCTAACCCGCGTGCCTAACCCCACTATCTGCCGGGCTGTCCCCTCCGCTTCTAGGCTAGATGCATTCCGCGGTCGTTCCGCCATGTTCCCGTCCACAACGTATACTTTATGGCAGCCCCCGCGAGGAACCTCTCCTCTACATATATCTTCGCATTGTCCATAGCAGTGCAATCAATTGAGTTCGCAATTCAACCACCTATGAGTTCACACGCATAGTAACCCAACGTTTGGTGTGAAGTCTCTCTCAAAACCGTATTTGTTTATTAGACCAATTTCAATTTTTTCCTTAGACGCCGCGACTATTGGCTTGACCTTGTTCATTGTCTACGCTGGACTTTTCATCACCTTTAACCTATGAAATCGCGATCACCTTGTTTTTAATCGTGAAATTGTTTAGGAAAAGACCAAATCCTGTTTTTCTTTGTTTGTGATAGAACGCAAAATTAAGGGCTGAAACGTACCGTTCTTGTACTACACGCAAACGATTATTTTAACCGGTTTTTCGTTCGTGTCGTTCGCCTAAAATTGTTTATAAAAGTGACTTTCCCTGCTGTTGGATGTGCCTAGGGTCCTTACTTCAGGAGTTTATTTGTCTCAGCAGTCTCATTCTACCCATTCTCGTCCTTCCCCCCCACAAACTCTATTCGGAACGTGTTTCTGGTAGCATAGAATCCCCTACGTTTAAGCGCGTGTGTCTTTCTGTGTCTCAGGAACTTTTCTTCAATCGTCGAAGCTGTACATCGGAGTCATCGGAGTTGTATTACCCTTCGCATATCGCAATTTGCTTCTTCCTTTGACGCCCCCTACGAGTTGACTGTTTCAAATTTATTAAGTGGAACTGTCGCTGCTGTCTGTGTTATTATACTACTCTTTTTTTTCATATAGAAAGGCTCATAGCGGAATCTGTTTACACAAGAACCAGGATGAAGTTTGGCCACAACTTTCAACGCGCTTTGGAGAATGACATGCCTCAGGACTGGCAAAGTGCCGCCATTCAGTACAAGGCTCTTAAGAAATGCATTAAGCGGTTCGTCTGTGAACTGTCGTCCCTAGGGCTCAGTATGGAAACGATCCGTGACATCATTGTTTCCAATGCCACCCCTGCAGGTCAGGGAAAGGTGCAACCCATTACTTTGGAGTATTCTTTGGCCGGGCGGAAAGGAAACATTAGCCCAAGGCTTATTGTCCGCATCGATCTAGATGCCGTTAAGTCTGACGAGCGCGCAAAGGCTGTCATGAAACAGCTGTGCGTCAGCAGACGAGACCCTTCGTTTCAAACGAAGACAACAGGCGGAAAGCCAGTCGCAGAAGTCATGGAGGATGAACACTGCAAATGCTGCGAGCATTCCGACAACGAGGAACAGAATGCAAACTTGCAGACAATGGAGCTTGCCTTGTCCGAGGACCGTGAGTTTTTCTCTAGTCTTATGGCAGAACTCCGGAATGTCGAGAACCTGCAGGAGCAGCAACGCGTTTCACTGTTCAACGAAATCGAAAAGCTCAGCAAGCAGATTTCAAAAGTGACTTCGCCCCTTCATCATTCAACCAATCATTCCCTCTACCGCTGGCGGAAAATCTTTCAATTGTACATAGAAGCTGACATTTTTATGTCAAGCAAAGAGTGCGAGAAGCATGCAATCCGGTCTCCTGAACTCGCCGCCCAGCATTTGCGCTGGTTCGATGAACAGGTGTGTCGTTCCAAGTGCTTACCCGCATCCTCCAAACATAGAGACGTCGTTCTTTACAAAGAGTTCATTAGTCTGAACATGCGTTTGCTGCAAGCAACTTCCTTCCAAACAATGAACAAGCTTGCAGTGACGAAGATCTTAAAAAAGTTCGATAAACGCACTTGTCTCACTGCACAGCCTCTTTTCTTTAAGTGTGTTGCTAGTGATCCCTTCCTTATGGCCGACAATGTCGGCAAGGCAATCTGTTTCACCCTCTCCAATTCTCTGTTATCCATCGTTCCGCAACTGCAAGATTTCGAATGCCCCGTGTGTGCCAGCATCGCGTACAAACCCGTGCGTTTGAAATGCTCGCACGTTTTCTGTCTTCATTGTTTAATCATTCTCCAGCGACAAAAGAACCGGTTCTGTCCCCTTTGTCGTGCCGAGGACGTGATGAAGGCTAATTCGCTAAACGTTGATCATGCGCTTACGAATTTTATGGAAACGTACTTCCCCAAAGAAATTAAGGAGAAGATGCAGGACAACGAGGATGAGGAGTTGGGCATTGTCCGCGTTGTCGCGGACACAAATGCTTGTACTATTATGTGATTACTCCTTGCGCGTCAGGATGTTTTGTTAGATGTTTCATCTGGACAGCAAGCAACTGCTTGTCAAACAGCTTTTGGTCCTTCGTACAAAAGAACCATTAAACAAGTTGTTTGCGCGTTCGTTTCCTTCTATCTATTTGTTTCTCTTCATGTTTACCAATTTGTTGCCGGATAAATGGTGCCTAACTGTGTGGGTTTGTTCCTGAATATTTGTCTTTGTTTTCAATGGTGGCTCAAGTTTTTTTATTTTATTATTTCTATTATTTATTGAATAATGATTGCATGTTTTTTTCTCAAACTCTTGTTTGTATTTTTTTAGTCTAAGGAGTGAGGATGCTGCAGTCCTTTATCATAATTACACTACTATGCTCGTTCCAGCTTGCTATACAATCACATTTCTGATTACCATTTACATAGGGAGGGCGTACACTTTAATTGGTCATTCGTTACGGAGCCAGAAAGCATCAACGGGGTTACATCTCGTCTCATAGACAGAGGAATGACACCAAAAATAGGCGGTTTGAGCAATGAAGAACAAATTCTAGGTGACCCGAGACGAACAACGGAAAACACCAATTTTCTTCCACAAAAAAAGTTCACGTCGAGAGGTTGTTGAAGAAACAATCATGAGTAGACCAAGAGCACGAAGAACACCTACGATACAGGGTTCCGTATGGATTACAGCAAATTCTGTAAAGTCGTCTTCTTCAGAAGCGAGTGAACCTAAGAAGAAGGAGAAAGACGTTGAAGAACTCAAGGACTCTAAAAAGCAGGAAGAGACGAGCACCGAAGAAGAATCCGTCCGTGTTGAAACGGAGGATCCGATTACAAGCTCTCCGGAAGATGATGGCGAAGCAGAAGAAGAAAACGTTGAGGAGCCTGTGACAGAAACACAAACAGAAGAGGGTTATGACAGCTATGCTGCTTCCGAAGCATCTGGCGAACACGTTGCAAGCACTCCACGCAGTTGGACACACCGCACACGTTCTAAGCGGAAAGCCTCGTACGTGGATGATGACGAGGAAGAAGAAGAGGAGGAAGAGCCTGAAGACGAAGAGGAGGACATGGATTTTGAAAGCGAAACTTTCGCACAGCCTAGCACGCCTATTCACCGGATGACGAAGCGTCAGCGTGCAAAGCAAGGCTTTTTAGAGGAAGGCGAGGATGAGTTGCTTGAGCTGCCTTTAGAGACTTCCGGACGCAAGAAACTGACTCCTGAAGAGATGGCGTTGCGTCGTATTGAGAACGCACGCAAACGCAAGAACCAGAGCGAACAACGGTTAGAGGAAGAAAAGCAAGAAACTATCAATCGCTTGCTGAAGCGACAGGCTACTACTGGGCGTAATGGCCGTTCTCGAAGACGCGGAACCTCTACTTCGAGCAGTAGTGAACAGTCTGAAGTCAAACACAAGGAGCGGACTTACATGTATCAACCATTTGCTACGATCAGCTGGCGAAGTACGAAAGATGGAGAGTCTTTGGGCATTCCTCAACCGCTGGTTCGGTTCTTTTAAATGTGTTCTAGCTTTCCGACAACACCTTTCCCTCGTCATTCACACTACTGTCTCATTTCTGGTCTACAATCCTCCTAACCCGACCCTTCCTATGTTTTTCACATTATTTTAATTTCCCTACCCTTCCGCTGCCAAGTACCGAACTGCCTGCTTTCATTGCCCTAACATTATCCGCGTTCACGACACTTACTTCCAAACCAGCTTTACGCATTCCAACGTGCCTTCATATTATCTTGAACTGATCCAATAGAAAATAAGCGACTCTTAAAGGAGACTGGTGTTCGTATATTCGCAATACTCGCGTGTTCTGCGGCAACCTTGTTTGCACAAAATGTCTATCAGCGCTATTTCTTTATGACTGGCTCATCACTTACAATCCGGCGTTCCGAATATATCTATATGGTATAATTGTCTCGCTATAAACACATCACCGATTAAACCGAAACACATCTGTTTGCTGATAGACGGTGCGCAACTCAAGGGACGCTAGTTTACGATCTGATTTCACTTCCGATTAAAGAAAAGTTTCCTTTTCTTTTTAAACGTAGTTCAAGCTGAAGCGCTTTATTCGAACAATTATGTCAGGCTCAAAGCCAGCTCTGTTGCCCAGCGCTCGTTTGGCAGCTAATCGGCCAGACGTTTGGACCTTTATCAACCAGACAGCGGCACAATGCAAAGTACCTCCCGTGTCTCTTAGTCAAGGTTTTTTCAATTACAATCCGCCTCAGTTTATTTTGGATGCGGCAAAACGTGCCATTGATGATGTTTCTTGCAACCAGTACCAACACACTCGCGGCCGTTTGAATCTTCGTAAACAATTATCAAAGACCTACTCACCTTTGTATAACCGTGAGCTTGATCCCGAAAGCCAAATTCTTGTCACAACTGGCGCAAACGAAGGCTTTTTAAGCGCATTTGCTGCTTTTCTCAACCCTGGAGATGAGGTAATCGTTATGGAGCCTTTTTTTGACCAGTATATCAGTAACATTACGATGTATGGCGGTGTTCCCGTTTATGTCCCAATCATTCCTCCTGCCGCTGGCTCGGAACGGCCTGTTTCAGCTTCGGAATGGAAGCTGGACATGCAACGTTTGCGTGCAGCAATAACGAGCAAAACTCGCATGCTTGTAATTAACACTCCCCACAATCCACTGGGCAAAGTCTTTTCCAGAGAAGAGCTCCTGGAAATTGCTGACGTGGTCCTTGAAAACAATTTGGTGGTTGTCTCAGATGAGGTGTACGAACGTTTAACTTATGTTGATGAGTTTCCTCGTTTGGCAACATTGCGTCCCGAGCTCTTCAAACATGTAATCGCTGTCGGTTCCGCTGGCAAAACTTTTGGCGTTACAGGTTGGCGAATTGGATGGCTAATTGGAGATGCTCATCTTATTAAGTATTGTTCAGCGGCACACACTCGTATTTGTTTTGCTACGAACGGACCAATGCAGCAGGCTATTGCGGACTCCTTAGCCGTCGCCGATCAGTACAATTACTTCAGCGAGTATGTTGACAGCTACAAAAAGCGTTTCCGTGTTTTGGCCGATGTTTTCGACGAGCTCGGCTTGCCGTATTCGCAGCCTGAGGGAACGTATTACACCATGGTTAACTTTTCCAAGGTCAAGGTTCCCGAGGACTATCCCGTCCCTGACGCAATCAAGGACAGACCCCGTGACTTCAAGATTGCTCTTTGGCTCATGAAGGAGATTGGTATCGCTACAATTCCTCCGACAGAATTCTTCACTGACGAAGACGCTCACATTGCCGACACGTACCTGCGTTTTGCCTTCTGTAAAACGTTTGATGAGTTGGAAGAGGGTGCCAGACGTCTCCGGAAGCTTAAAGAGTACATGTAAGTTACGTATGAATTTGTTGAAATGGAAATCCCACAATCAAGAACAATGCTAAATTACCGTACTTGTTCATTCAGACACTCCGGCAGGGCGTAAAGTCAGACAAAATAAGAATGTGTTACGTTTGTTATTAGAGCTGAATGGCTTGTTCTTCTTCAACATCGTCTACGTTATCAAAGGCCATACGATCCGTGAATTTGATGTTGCAGATGCTTTGCATGCTTAATATTCCTTGTAACAAAGATTCGTAGTTCCCTTCTTTGGCTGATTCAACTGGGATTTCTAGAGTGTCGAAAACCCCGTCGACTTTATCCTCTTTGTACTCCAAAGTGATTGCACTTTTTTCCGCAGCTGCCATTGTCAAAAAAAAGTTCTTTTAGCAGTTGCAGCAAATTTTGTTAACCGAAAAGGATTCCTGCTTATCGCTCTTCGTTTGAACTTAAGGTTCGCTTAGAATATTAGACTTTTCGCATGTTTTCAATGGGCGACTCTATATCGTCACTCTGTTTAGTATATGACCTCGATGCCTAAATGTAAACAGAAATTTCCTGAGGCCAAGTGCGACAATACCGTCATGGATAAAGCACGAAAACGTATCCATGAAGTGTCTTAAGTATGAGAAAATCTCCATGTTTTTGTTTTCCAATGTCTCGGAAAAAGAGCTCAGAAAACAATTCAGGATCCCTCTCAGAAAAAAAAGTTCAGAGACAATCATTACATGCCAATGGAGTAAGCACGAAACAGAAGGTACTCTCAAGATGTCGAAACTCATTGCATATACGAGAACACAAGAAGGGACCAGTTACAATTCAAAGTTGTTGGGATGAATTCTATGCTACAGTTCGTCCTCTTATCGAAGCGCTGAAACAAAATAAGAAATTCAGTATCGAATCCACTATAGAAACAAGTAATGACGTACTGAACCAATGCATACGCCTTTGTTCATCAAAGGCTGATGTGGATCAACTCCTTCAATTAATGCTGCATGATATCCGAGTAGACGTGATAGCAGTTCAGAGTTATTTGCATGATGAAACCAATAATTTTTCATTATCTAGTTTGCTACAGCGTTGGACGTTGTTTTACACACACGTATTACCATATTTGGAAAGTCTTTTTGTGCCGGTTTCGGAACTCATGCAGTTGGATAATACTGCTGGTTCTTCAATGGCCCGCCTGTCGGTTGACCAAACAATCTCATTAAAAAATGTGCATATGATGCTCCTTGTCTGTTTTCGAAACTACATTTTTGTTCCCCAACTGTTACAATTCGATGCTTCTGTGTTTATTTCCGCGACTTCTTCTGAAGCACTAGAGGTTTATCAAATGCTAAACATACTACGCCTTCTGCACACGAACGATAAATACCAGAAAGTCATTGAACGGATGCTGCTTTCAGTTTCGGTTAGAAGATTCTAAAAAAAAAAGAACAGAAGTGGTGATCATTTCTCGGATATTGTCCAGTTTAGCTTGTAAAATTTTTCGTTTCTGTTCGTTTCTGTCTCGTTTTAATACTACATCCTTTTTAACCTTTTAGCAGAAGCCGAAAACTCTGGTGAAACAAGTTCAGTCTGTCAACATTCTAATCTAAAATGCTATACTCATTTTAGAAGAGCATAAACAAACAAATTTAGTAAGTGAAGCGCGTTTGTAATTAATTTTCCCTTCATTTGAATATAACAGCCATAAAGCTGTCTCTTTCAACAGATATGCATTGTGTAGTATCATGAGTTTGATGAATAATATGCGTAGATAAAGTAGGGGCTATTCCTTCAGTGAATGTTAAACCTTCAGCCATTTAAACAGAAGGGGAAGGGGGTGCGTCGCCAAATATCCAATGCCTGCATATATGATAATTCGAGCAACAGTTTCGTGGTCAAATCTAATAGGGTGAGGGTGATCACGATGAGCGGTGGAAACGCCTAATCCAGTCGTGTTTTGTTGATTGAATACAGAATCCGCAGCAGTTTTAATTCCCCGTTGGCTAATGCGAATTGGTTCTAAATCCTCTTTTCCAAGAAAATGGAATACCCTTATAAGAACTTTCAGAAGAATAAATTTACCCAATTCTTTCCACAGCCCAACAACTGGAACGCCTGATTTATATAGTTAATAACGCGCGTAATTTGTGTAGTTGTAATCTCCATACCTATGCAAATCCGAGTAATAAGTACAATAAGCGATTGAGAAGCAGGCATTTTTAGGTAGTTGTACGTTTTTGCGGTACTAGCCCATGAACCGATACTGATTCCGAGTATTACTGCAACGAAAGAAATACTATCTTCAATGCAAATACAGTTCTCAACTGCGTCTGGCAATGCCCATATCAAAAAGATACAGAGAACGAAAGAGATCAAGGGGACTGATTGGTTAACATGTGTCTTAAAGGACAACATACCTAAGATAGAGGGACTAAAGAACAAATCGTCAAAGAAGGATCGATAAGTCCAGCGGAAGTAAGCAAGAATCACTCCCATGACACAACCAGAAGATATATCTGTTTTTGTTTAGCAGAGAGTTTTTTGCATTGGATAATTACTTACCAAGAAAGCCGTGCATGCCGCAATACAAACGGCCTATCATGATGGAGAAGGCATAAAGAAAGATAACAGAAATGAGAGTAAATGTTTGCCATAAAGGAACATCACGAGAATAATGCAACACCGTGAATAGCGAATAAGTGGCTGTAGAAACGGCATTCATGGTATGAGTGCTGGGAAAACCATACTCAAAATTAGCGCCCTTGGTATAGGATATACGTTTAACAGGTGGAGAACGGGGCCGGGGAAGACAGCAATAGTCCTTAATGAAGCCGGTTATATAGCACCCCGATGCAAATAATTGAACCATCCTTTTTTGCTGTCAGTGTTTACCATAAAATAATAGCGTTAATACGTACGCAATTGTAAAACTCAAATGACCACTCCAGAAACTAATAGGCAATGAAATTAAAAAGAAGAAGTGAGTACCAAAAAATGCACTTAAAGCAAAGTATGTATCAAGAGAAGGTTTACGGAATCGCTTCTTCACCCATGTTAGTCATATTTCGTTACAGCAAACGCACTTGAAGACTGCTTATAAGAGGCGTTTCTCCTCGAATAATTGGATACAGAATCGTGCGAATCCGAAACCTCATAACATCGTTAAATTTGGAACGATAATATTCTGCCTTTAGATTCCCCAAATGAGCAGAAGCATGTTCTTTCCGTACACTACCATGTTTCTCCTTAGAAACAGTAGTCATTTGGCTGTTTTCGTGAACGTGGTTCTTACAGTGCTTCGCTGGGCACTGCACGCAGGCAATAGTAAGTTATGAAGAAACTACACCAGACCAATGCAAAAGACTTAGTATAAAAATATACTATCGAATATGGGTTTTATTTTTGTAAACGTAATTACCAAAACATATGTATCAGCTGAAATTATATCAGTTTTTCCGGTCAATTTAGCCTGAATTTGCTTTGAAGGCAAAAACATTAGTCACTGTATCCAAATTATTAAGTTCACTAGTAATAACCGTAGCTTTAGACGAATTTCCCTTCATGTAACCCAAAACCTTTTAAATAACATTAGGATGAAGTTTTTCAAACAATTTATGATGCTTACCATTCCTGGAGATGTATGTGCATAACCAAACGTTACCAGCACATTGGCTTTTCCTAAGCGTTCAAGCTTCGTGAATATTGACCCAACCATTGGATCTGCTACATACTTATTCGTGTGATGATCTAGCAAGGTTAGAACAAATAACAGTATCGCAGTCAAACACATACGTTGTACATTGCGTGTTAGCTCTTTTAATGACGACCATTCTTCCGAAGAATCTAATAGACTTTGACAGACACTGGAAGCAAACTGAGTACGTATAATAAGCTCTCCGCTTCCCGTCACAGTAGATGCACACATGCTTTTATCGCTGCTTCCTTCAATCCAAAAGCCACAACCTGGTAAAGCAGAAGGACCAATCCTGCCTTGATGCTTTAAGATGTTTCCTCCACTGCTGCATGCGATCGCCATATTTCCATATCTATCAATGCATATTGCACCAACGGTATCAGAAAACATATGTTTTTCAATTTCAACGCGGCGTTCTTTCCAGTGCCTGTATGTCCTTAAAGATGTTTCTGTTATTAATTTTTCTGGAGGGTATGTTGGCAAAGCATGCTGTTCCATAAAGTCTTTGACACCATCATGAACCAGAAAGCAGGGCGGTTGTAGCCCTAAGGGACTCAACTTGTGCTGAGAAAGCAAGAGTTTTTCACATATTTGTATAGGGTTTTTAGCTACTCTGCAATCACCAATACTAGCACATAAGTTGTCCGTGGAACGCATTAAACCAGCGTCACAACTAACATAGCCATGTTGATTTAAATTTGAGCCTGTTCCACAATTGGTATGTGGATTATCTTCCATAGACATTATAGCTTTCACGACTGCTTCCATGCAATCGCATCCATTTTTAAGTGCCTCAACTGCTATCTGACAAGCGCTTTACTGGTTATTAGAGATGTTTGAGTAATTCAACATACAGGCGTATGGCGGTCGTGGCCTGAGTTCTTTTCTTATTTGAGTATGCTCCTGCACCTGCATGCACGATAATGAATTCTGAACTCATGAAAAAATAGAAAAACAAGTTTTGTCACCAAAAATGCATGAGCGAAGTTTGTGTATCACCCTTACTCTTCAAAAAAGTAATTTAGCAACAATAGAAAGATATTAACTAAAAGTTGGTAAGTCATCATCTGGTGAATTGGTCTTTTAAATTTTATGTTGATGGATGAATGAATTCCCAATTTTGGGAATAAGATAACAATTCATTTAACCTTCCTCCGTAACAAAAAATCTCATAAATAAATAGTGCTCTTTGAGCAATTTGGTCTGATGTGAAATGTAAAAGAGGACCGCCAATTTCTTTTTGGTACTCCGTTATATCAAACCAAGAGTCACGGAAAAGAGTGATCATGCGGAAAAGCTCCAAATCCTCTAAATTATTCCAGAAATGGTGAACGGATTCAGTTATAGGAGAGGGATGTTGTATCCGCGGTTTCTTGGTTTTAGGCAAATTGCATTCATGTGCAAGAAGTATGTCATCACTTGAGTTCGTGGACAAATCACTTTCTGAATCGGCGTGCTTCGCAGATACTTTTTTATCGGCTTCTTCTTTAAGGAGAATAGTCTCAAAAAGTTCGGCGTCCTTTTTTGATGATGATTCATCCTCAGAATAAGATGAATTAGATGTTTCAATGATTCTGTCTTTAAGATCAGTAGTAGTTCCTACTGTTCCGTTAGGTATCGGTTTCACATTGATAGGTTTTTCGATCTTTAAAATTGGAGGATGAAAATTAAGTTTATGTTGAGAAAGAAGCCAGACTGCGCGCTGAAAAGTGCGCCGAAACTCCTGCTGTTTTAGCATTGGTTTTCTATTTTCTCTCTCGATTTTCGACCTTCGTCGTTTAATCGCATTATGAAGAGCTGTCCAATGATAAACATCATCTTTGGGAAACAATGAGGCCAAACGAGATTTGGAAGGAAAAAGAATGTCAAGCAACTTTTTTCTGTCATCTTCGCTATTTAAAAGTCGATAGAAAGCAAGGGTACTTGACTCAATAAATGTACGTGTCAGGATTCTTAATGAGTCAGGTAATCCGATATAAAACTTAAATGAAAACAATGAAATGTAGCGAAAAGCTGGATAATTCCTTAATGGATCAACGAGACATAACTTTAATATTCCAATGCATAGTTCATAAGCCTTCAAGAAATTCTGCGGATTCTTAAAATCACCAGAAATGAGTGCTCCGGTGGAAATTCCATACATGTTGCGTAGTCTTTGTTGGAAATCTTCTAGTTTTCTTGAGGACTTTAAGCTTATTGGCATGTCAGATGTTTTTGAGTCAGTGATTTTCTTTAAGAATTTTGACCATTCACTTAAGTGCGAGACTGTCTCTTCAGTAAGTGTTTTCAGATCATGGATTACTTCTGCTTCCTTAAAGTTTTCGTTTTTTTCACAGAGGTGATCTTCGCGCAGTTGTGATTCATTAAGTGTCGCATCTTGATTTGTGCCAAGAACTTGCTTAAAAAGTTCGGTTATTTTCATCTTTTTCATGTAAATTGTGTTTAGATCCACTCAAAGTAACAGAAAGAGATGAACCTTTGGCATCAATATTTTATTTGAATGAAAAAGGAAATGTTTTCTGTGAAGGAGGTTATGTCTCGATAATTGCGTGAAAGCGTTAAAGCGAGAAACGATAAACACTCAAAAGGCAAAAACTAGTTTCTGTTCAGATGAAAAAGTGTAACGTAATCTCATTAACATATAAAAATAATATTAAGTTGTCTCCCATTCGAAATTTAAAAGAAAATAATCGTACATAAATGGTTACTTAGCTAAAACCCATTCGTATATAGACCATGCTATCGTGGAACTTAATGTTTTTCTTACCACCCTTAGTCCGAAGCCATCAAAAAAACCTTTAATTCCTTCTTCTTTTAGAATCATTTTCGATGCTTGTACGAAATTTCGGTATCGATCAGGATAAACCTGTACTCTCGTTTTCAACAGATCAAAAGGGTTTGTGAGAATAGTAGCTGCAGTACCTGATATAAGGCCCGACACTACATTGATGGTATTTTTAAATTCAAGTTGCGAATCTTGATTCCGCTGCATCACTCTCACAAGATTTGATAACTTTTCCTTTCCTTTCTCGTAGAAGAAAACGTAAATACCAGCATGCGGGGCATCACGAAGAGCTGTTGCGCCGAAACCTCTGAAATAGCCTGATATTCCTTCTTTTTTCCATATGTCCTTCACTGCTTCAAGGAACGAATTGTAAGAATAATGGCTGCTCTAAAAGTCGGTTAGTAATTTGAGAAACAGAGCAAGCTATAAAGTGGTTTTGTTTCCCTTACTTCATATCGAACTTTTAAAACTGTAACAGGCATAAAGAAAAACCCCACAATTGAACGAGCAGCAGCACCCATCCAGAAGTTTTGCTTAGCACTAAAATGAGCCCCGCCATCACCAAATGAGGTACGCAATAGATTCAGCGTATAAAAGTAACAGGATACTCCAGTTGTTGATCTCAAGATTGAAGGAAAGGTTCCTCTCCATAAAGACATGACGCCTCCATCACTTTTGCATACTCTAACTATTATTCTGAATAAGGATTCATGTTTTCCTTGCTGTAATCGAGTTTTTAACAAGTCTAGAGGTTGTAGTGCCGCACTTGAAACAAAACCGGCTACCGCCCCTGCAGCTAAATGATTGTTTTTGTGGGGAGATGAGTGTTCTTTCCTTTTTAGAGACATCAAAGAGTTCTCTTAAAATCGTAATTTGTTTATGCTCAGACGTTCTGAGGAGAGCTTTTGGAAAATGAGGACTAACCGTTGTTAACGTATAGTCAAAAACAATATCTTCAGTAAAGTAAATTTAACAGTTAAAAATGAGAAGAAGAGTTATTCCCAGTTTACGTAAACTCATAAACTGCGTAAACAAATATATTTGTATGTACAATGGTCATTTAAACTTCATATATAAACACTTGTGAGTAACGAGTTTCGTCCACCATGAGATGTGTCTTGTTCGATAGGGTTAGCAGTATATGCTAATAATAACATGATATGCACCATTTGAAGTGATAGGAAGTACTAGGACATCACTTGACGTTGTTGTTGTACGCGATATGTACAGCAACAGTAGAGCAGGTATCTTCCGGGAAACGTTGAATAATACGGCACCAGTTTTATGTTCGCATTCTAAGGGAATTGATCAGATTTGCAATTGATACCACTTTCGAAGACCTGGATTTGTTACGTTTAAGTTTTATGAATTAATTCATAGATTAAGAGACTATCTACGAGGAACGGATAGACAAAGTTTAACATAAAATATCAAACACTATATTAATTGTTTAAACTTATTCGAGATATTGCGCTTTCTAAATTGTTTTTAACATTAAAATACTCAATTATTGCTTAATATATATTCAGACATATATTCGGATTCTATAAAAACGGTTTAAGTTTTAATATCGAAGTTGTCTAACCAATATCGATTCACCACGTGCGAATGCTGAACCATTATAAATTTCCTTGTTCCAAAAATACGCAACGTATGACTTATATACTTGCTGCCTCGGTGAATAGACTTCCGAAACATTGACTGAGTCTCCCGTGATAAAATTACTGAGATTGTGGAACTGTAGGAACAACGCTTTAATGTCCTTATCAACGATAATTGGTATGGTTATTCTAGAGCCACTGAGTCTTGTTATGAAATTGGCAGTAATCAGATAATTTGATATGTAAGGTCTGCCATTAACATTTATGCCTAAATCAAGTCTTCATTATACAATAAATAAAAGATCTATAGTCGATAAATAAGTAGTGTTAAAAATTCTATTCTTTTTAATCCTTTCAGGAATAACAAAATGAATTCTCGAATACGATAAAGTGAATATGAATATCGCTATGCTAAAGTTAAATTCTGGGCATGCAAATACTGTGAGAAATGACCAGTTATTGTAGTAAATTGATATATTATTCTTTTTAATGAATATTAATTAAGCCTGCTTAATGCCATGACTTTGCATATGAGCGGAGGGACAAATATGATATGTTATAAATATAAGTCCTTCATAAGCTTCTTAAATCGTTGAGTTTTGCTTTTCGAGCAATTAATATTTTGGTTGTTTCTTCTGAAGATGTGATCTTTGCTAGATTTGATTAACCACCTTTAAAACAATTACCTATGTGCTTTTTTTAGAATTAAGCACTGTTAAAGCGGTTCATAAAAAGAATTATTTGCTTACTGGCAACTTTGTTCTGCTGCCAATTTTATCTCATAATTTACTCAAGTATGATACCAGACTTTTAGTGTTTTATTCATAGCTTCCAATACGCATTGCGTATTTGGAAGTGTCCATAATGAAGGAGGAACGTCTATGCATAATCGACTACGAGAATGGAACATGCTCTCATCGAAAACATTTCCTCCGTAAATATTTTCAATTTTACGCAATTGATGCTTATAAACAATATACTGACATTTGATGCAATTATAGCCAAATCAGTCAACAATATTTCAGTTTACCTCATCCCACTTCAACGACAGAATGGAAAGCAACACCCGATTCCATAAGATTAAGAGCTAATAACGTTAAGATTCGAATGGAAAATAACTACATTAATAATTCTAGTATCCACTTTTAAGCCTTATAAGATACAGCCAATAAATTTAACCCAATGTGTAGCCGAAAAAAGGAGTAATAACCGAAACCGTGCCGATGCAGTTTTGAGAATTAAAAATAATTACAAAGGTCATGAAGGAACATAAAATATTTCGCGAGTACAGGCATGCGTATGACATGAGTCGACATAAAACAATTAGTTTTGTTTCTTGCCAAACTTTCTGACAGCCAGGAGACAAACAAGTCCAATACCCGACAAAACTGCGCCAACAATCCAATTTAATCGATAAGCCTCTCCCATGTTAGTAAGTAACTCCGTCTTCTCCGTTTGAGGGAGGGCGCTAATCTGGTCCGAAGATAACTTCGCTAAAGTGCTGTTTCCTTTATATGTCGAAGTAAGGTCTTGAGTATAAATAACTTTACCGACAATAATGCCGACACTTCCACCAACATTTCTGACAAACATAACTACCGAGGTAACAACGGCCATATATTGCGGAGGAGTTGCAGCCTGTGAAGCAAGGAGGGGAGGCAAAAACATACATCCGGCTCCAACCGGAAAGATCAAACTGAGCCCGATAATTTTTCCAACGGGACTTGTGTAAACGATATTAATGAGTGCGCCCATACCGGCGGTCATAAATACCCAACCGAAGTACATGGGGATCATAAAGTTTTTTGTTCTCTTAATAAACATTCCTGTAGCAAAAGAGAATGTAGATACCAAGAATGCTGGTGCTATAATATGAACACCGGATATAATAGGGCTGTTACCTTTAACATTTTGATAAAACTCCGGTAAATAGTAGGCAAACAACATGTAGTTGTAATTGTGCAGGAAAACTGTAAGCAATAATGCACATTTGGATAAACCATTGAACATGAAGGGTGGAAGAATTTGATTTCTTTTGGTTGTCGCTTCCCAAAAAGCACATATAATTAATAAGACCACACCAACGACAATGTAAGCAATCACATTGGCTTGGCTCCAGTGGTTACTGGTAGAACCAACTGAAAGTCCAAGTAAAAGGAGAACAATTCCGAGAATACATGTAAAAAGACCGACGAAGTCGAAAGTCTTAAGAAATTGTTGATACGTAGTCCGTGGACGAACGGGAAGATGGAGGAAAAATACAAGGAGTGCGACACAAACACCACCAGTTGGCAAGTTAATGAAGAAAATCCAGCGCCATGTTGTACGCTGACAAATGATACCTCCTAGGAGTGGACCGACGACAGAAGCGATACCCCATACCGAAGCGATGAAGGATATGTAGAAAGACCGGTTGGCAAGTGTGGTAATATCCGAAATAACAATGAAACACAACGAAGTAATGCCACCTCCGCCAATTCCTTGAACAGCACGACAAACAATGAGCATAATCATGGACTTGCTAGCTCCACAGAGTGCGCTACCCAGAAGAAAGAAGAAGATGCTGCTATACAAAACGACTTTACGACCCAGTATATCGGAGGCAACACCCAGGAAAGGAAGAACGGCTGTCAGAGCTAACGTGTACGAGGAACCAATCCAAGAGTAGTCAATGTCACTTGCCATGTCCCGCACAATGGTAGGAATTGCAGTAGTAACGATAGTACTATCCAGAGCAGCAAGGAAAACAGTCATCAATATACCAACCATGACGACTGGCATATTGTTTTCAGGGATTTCACCTCCCGACTGAACATCCTCTTTCTCGCTACTCAATTGTTTCTCAAGGTCAGCGGTTGAATCCGAAGAAATCAATGTGGTATTTGTGGAGATTTCAACATTTTGTTTTTCCTTACCCTCATCACTCAATGATGTGGGACAGTTTCGAAATTCTTCCATATTCATATAAAGGTTCGGGCAAAATAGACGAGAAAAATGAAAGAAAGCTGAGCGCGTTAATGCCAGACGATACGGGAATCAAACGAGAATAATAAAGCGTTGAGACTGAACGAATTGAATATATATATATTTTTTTTTTGGAATCTTCTGTTCTGATTAAAAAAGAAACTTTGGATAGTAAGCGATTTTTTAAAAACACAACCACAGAAATAAGTAGTGAACAGACAATGATGCCAACAAGAATGAATAAACCAGAACCGTCTTTTCACCAACTAAATGTATTCATGAACAAAGCAAACTTTTTACTCTTTAACTTAATCGAGAAGTGATAAAAGGGACTTAAGCCAAGTCCTATTTCTCAATGAGATTCCCTTTTTATTTAGAAAAGTCCGTTTTTATGTATTTTCAATATATAAGAGAACTTTCGTTACCCCTATTAGTCTACAATCAAGGGGAGAACCCGCGTCCTTAAATACCGCGGGGCAAGCGCAATAAATCAAGTCTTAGTCCCTGAGGTGTTCCAATGATCAGATTGCTTACATAAGATCTAGACGTGTATTGGTTGTACTAACGACTTAAGATTATCGCTTGACCCGAAAAATTTTCGTTCAAGTTTGCACCTTAACCAATAAAGAAAATAAGCGCAAGCATAGCGACCAAAAGCCGAAAAGCCGACGGAAGGCACTACGTAATTACTCAATTCATTCCTAACAATGCATTGAACGATTCTGATAGAATTCATGTGCTACAACAATCTACGAACAATCCATGAAGAATTATTTAATCTTCGTAGTTCCCGGCAAAGAAAATTAACTGCCTCCTCAGCTTTGAACTTCCACGTCGATCCAAAGATCTGATTTTTTTATGTCAGAATATTTGACTTACGAGTTCCACAAATAAGATTGAACAAAGTGCCAAACAAATCTGAGTAGATCAAAACTACATTAATAACTTAAACCAAGAAACTATGCGTGAAATGTAAGAAACGCTATGCGACCTATTTTTGTTCGTTATCCACAATAATCTGTTGGCTATCGAAATGCATCTTGTTTTACCTGGTGGAATGACAAAGTCGCATCTCTTCTCGTTAAGCAAGCAAGTAGGTTGATGACAATAACCTAATAGCATGATTTAGCGTTACGAGCCTTTTAACTGAGCCCCGAATGCGTTTCTCCGTAGACTTTAATTATGATAGCAAAAAACTGTGCTCCCGGCGAGGATCGAACTCGCGATTTTCACGTAGCATACCTGGTAAGAGGTGTACCATATAAGCATGAGGCCTTAACCAACTTGGCCACGGGAACTCGATTACTTTGCTACCCAATAATAATATACATATTATTTGTTATAAGACTTAACAAAAAGGAACACCACAGGACTATCACACAACATAAACCCTAGACCACAACAAAAGACCACTCACCATGCAACAAACACTTCTTCTAAATGCTCTTAATTATGAATCATTAAGTTTGCAAAACTTGCAACTACCGTAATAGTAAATCTCTAATATCCGGCACCTGCCAAATAATCAGCCAAAGCCTCTGCGTTTCGTTAGTAACAATAGAATCACGGTCACATGGGACGATATTACATCCGCAAAACAACGCACCTGTGATTTTGGCAGCCTCTCCAGGAAGAGTCGTCTCAGGATAGTGAGAAATCAAAATTGCCAATTTGGTAGAGACACAAATAATTCCCTCCTTCTGCAATTTACCGTAAATAGAACGACCCTCAGCACGGATGGTGATGTATTTCTGACCAGCAAGATGGATACCAGTTCCAAACATACTGGGGGGGTCTTGGAAACCGGCGGCGAGACTCTTCAACTCATCAGCGCCAAGGTTGAAGTTAGGAGAGATGGCCCAGACACTGTCGCCGGCACGAGAGACGATAGCTGCTTTATCGATCTTGCCAGTACCGGTAAGAGAGGTATCAACGTAAGCTATAACATACGTTAGCCTTTGTACTTATGAAACTCCTGTAGCTGTAATGATGCTTCTTACCTTGCCAAGACATTGTTTTCTATAGAGGGAGAGTGAGTTAAAGGAGTGTGTGTGGTAAAGGAAAGATATGTGTGGAGCGTGCTGGTTACGGCTCCTCGTCATAGCCACGTCGGGCCACGGCCGACTCGGCCAAACTCACCACCAAAAGATTAAGCGAGATGGGCTGGTTACCCGTCTCGCATGCGAAGAAAAACTAACAAAGCAACGGGAAAGGTAGAGAAGAATAAGCCATTTTTAGGAAGAGATGCAGAATACAATGGTCACATTCTACACCCCATCAAAAAAAGACGAAATCTGGGGGTAACACTTACACAATTCCACCGAACCTCACACCAAACTGCCTTCAAAATATTCTAAGTGCTACTTTACAAGACATACAAACATTAAGCTTGTTGTTAGCCGGACATACGTTCATTTTTAAGAGACACAAAATTAGCCAAGGACGAGAATAGCATAGCATGAGATGGAATACGAGTGTGCGTACAAGCGTTGATATGAGTACTTACGCTTCTTGTATGCGCACTCACGTCTAATTTGCCTCAGAGCGGTTTCCTCTATTGTCGTTGTTGCCGCCACGGTCGTTCCGTCTCTTCACGGCACCACCCTTGTCTCTGCGTCTGTTGTCTTGAGGGTTGTTGTGCTGTGTTTTTTGTTCGTAGACCTTTTCGTTTGCCTCACCCAATTGGGCAACCTTTTCGCTAAGTTGAATAGCCAGAATCTCCAAACGATTCAGTTCAACACGCTCAAAAACAACAGCACCATGCACCTCATCCAATGCAGCATGAATCTCGCGCTTCGACAAAAGACGGGAAATAATGACGGTGATGCGCTCCAAAGGCAAGTCGAAGGTCTCAGCGAGGAAAGAGAGTGACATAGAATCATAGAAGGCGGCGTATGTGAGGAGATAAGTGCGCAAACCTTCTTCGCGAATCTTTTCGCTCAACATGCTCTTAATAGACTCAGTGTCAGCCATTAAATTCCAAATCTTGATAGAATGGATGAACTCCTCGCAACGACGCCAGTCGCCGTCAGACAAAGCCTTAGAAGCCTGCATGATGAATTCGCGGGTATTTTCAGGAGGACCAGTGAAGCTTTGACGGTCGTTGTACTCCAACATACGACGGAACGGCCGGCTGATCACCTTTTTGCGTGCATCGGAAGCGGCAGACAGAGCAGCAGCCATAGCGGGAATCTCCATAAGCATAGAGCACGTCAGGTATACACACTCCAACAGCTCAAGGTTGATATGCATGTGGAAGGGGAGAACGAGTTGTCTATCAAGACGATCAGGTTCAGGAGCAGCTTGCCCGAACTTGGGTGTTTGAATACCTTGACCCAAAAGCTCCTTAACGCGACCAGTGGTAGAAACATCTTGCAGAGCGGATTGAGCCTCTTGAACCATTCCGTTACGGAACGCGCAGAAACCAATTTGAACCATGGTGCGGTTGTGCAAAATCTGAGTCGCAATATCGGCTGCATGCACAGTGTCCTGCAAGTGAGACATGAGAAGCATGTCCCGAGCCTTGTAGAATCTGTTTTGAAGAGCTTCGTGGTAGATATGACACAACATAGCACGAGTACGGAGCAGACTCGTTCCATTCTTGTACAAGTATACACAGAGAGCGTGAATCAAGTCATCAGGGGTGCTTGTCAAGGCACGAGGAGTGATGGTAAGATCAAAGGTAGCGGGGAATGAGCTCCAGGCTGCCTCCTCGTTAGCACGGATGACTTGCTCTGTCTTGTAGTACAAGCGGTCAAGACGACGCATGATGAGACGCGCAGTGTTGTTTACAACATTAATGCGCTCAAGATACGATTGGGTCTTCACAATCAATTTGTAGAGATCGGTCTCGTTCTTAAGACGCTCAATGTACTCGGGGGAATGAGGATCAATCATTTGAAGAGAACGAGTAAACTCGTCATCAAGACGCTCCAAAAATGATATCATGCTACCTTGAACACGGAGGACACCGTCGACAGCGTTCGCGGCGACATTGTCGTCATCCTCAAAGTCATCCTCTATGTCTTCAACAACAACAATCTTACGGTTCTTGTCCATAACATCCAGCATCTCAATCAACTCCTTCAAAGCAAAGTTCCATTGCTCCACGGGCATGTATTGACCAGAGGGGCTCAAATCAAAACGAGCCGAGATGAGAGCCACCTTAACGCGAAGACGTTGGTAATCAGTAACGGCAACGGAGGCAAGCTTTTCGAGGATACGAATTTGTTCGGCACGGTCAGTGCTCTTTTTACCGCGAGCCTCATAGATAGTTCGCAAGTGCTTGAAAATATCAGCAGGCTTGATCTCATCAGCCTTGCCCAAACCATCGGTAGCAACAGGAGCAACAATGCCACGAGTAGCGACACCGTCAACGATAATCTCATCTTGACCAGCCTTAGCATTCGACGTCTTCACAACGTCTGCGATTTCCACAGGCTTCAGGAAAGCAACAGGATCTTGGCGGTAGCGTTCGATCTCCCGAGCAAATTGTCTGTTGTTCTTGCGCACGCGTTGTTTAAGAGTGTTGAACGCACGGGCATTGGCAGCATCCAGCTTCTTGACAAAAGCCTTGTCAGCAGACTCTAACAGCTCATCCAATTTAGAGATAAGTTCAATATACTTAGGAGGGCGCTGGCCAGCCTGCGCACACTTTTGAGAAATCTTGTTAAGGTGATCAAACTCGTTAGAAACGACAACCCACTTGTTTGACTTGCTAGACGAATCAATCGTCTGAATACAGGTGTCCAGCTCCTCCAGGCGCTTGTCTCTAGCACTCTTCACCACACGACGACCATCTTCTTCGTCACTGCTCTCATCACTGCTCTCACCGCCACGGAGGAACTTTGAGGCAGCCGACTTGCTCTCGTCAGGCTTGGCAGTGGTCTTCAAGAAACCCGCAGGTCCTTTAGGACGCTCTTCCTCATCTTCACTCGACTCCTCTTCCTCAGATTCCTGTTCGCTCTCAGACTCACTTTCTGATTCGGACGACTCGCCTTCTGAGTCAGAAGCCTCCGAGCTATCAGATTCGCTTTCAGATTCGCTCTCAGAATCGGAAGACTCGGATTCAGATTCGGATGAAGAAGATTCAGAGGACTCTGAAGACTCAGACTCCGTCTCGGAGTCATCGCTGGAGCTCTCCTCAGAGGAACTGTTTTCCGCAGAGGAGGATGAATAGACAGAGCTCTCCTCGGAGGAGCTTTCAGACTCACTGTCACTGTCACTAGAACCTCCTTTGAAGAATCTGGACATGTTGGTGGTTGGCAAGTTTTTTTTGTTGAGGGACTAGGAAGGGTGAGGTGCTGAGCGCTCCATTAAGGTTACCGAATTCACCGAACATCACCGGAAATTCCCCGTCAAGAGTTTTCAACGAAAATTCGTAATGTGGATATTACAAGGTGCATTAAGAACCACTAAAGCTTATAAAGAGAACTAACATACCACAGTATATTAACATAACACATTGTAACAACATATCCGTTAAAGGACGTTTCTCAGCGACTACTTTTAAGAACTGGCAATTACCACCAACCTAGAGTACACAACTGTTACTTTCTGCTTGGTGATACAAAAATTTAAAATGGAAGCTGTTTCCAAGAAGGATCTTTTGAAAAAAGGTGCGAGACTTTGCCGTCTTTAAGTTAAAAAATCTTACTTGTGAGTCGCGTTATTAACCTACCAGTTGTTAACAAAGAGAACACCTCCGTGTTTGTCAGCATTGGCGTCTTTGTTGGTGCTGTTGCTCTTTTCCATTCACGTGTGGGAAAATACTTTGTTCCGCAATTGTAAGAAACCATGTACGCCGTTAAAACAGGCTGAAAAATATAATAGTTTCAATCGCCCAAATGTACGTGAGCAATGCCGATACCATGATCGACACGATCTGCAAAAAAAGGGTTCATGTGACCACTTAAAAGCTTATTGTTGTTTAAAAATAATTCGCCGAGAACTATGACGTATGGATGCCCCTGGGTTCTATGGCCGACCCATCATCACCTACGGTGCTCGGGGTACATCAGCCTTCCGTTGTCGTACTCTTCACACCATCCGAGCGGCAAGGTACAGAGAACGTGTTTACTGCCGTCCTTCGCTTTGCAAACTTACAATTCCTCTTTATATTTACGCTGTTGTATTTGTTAGTACTCTAAATTTTTTTCTCGCGTTGTTTTACCTTTGTTATAACAAAGTTCACTGATCCCGCACAAAATAGCGTTTTTTCGCTTTCAAAGTTTCAGTTATTCTACAAACCTTCACAACACTTTGTCTAATAACCTGTGTTTTACCTTTTGGAAACTGTTTTTCTCTAATTCTTTAAGAGTTTTTCCGTCGCAAGATTTACGCGTCTGCTAGGTTGCCCTAACCATTGGTTATTTGTTGCTACAGAGAATATGAGTAAGAATTCGCCAATTTTACCTTCCTGGAACAAGTCCGACGCGTCAAAGCTTTTGAAGGAGCAGCATGATTTACTATCTGTGCCACAGAATAAATCGACTTCACACATACGGCATATTTCCTACCCCGGAAATGCTACTGCTCAAGCTGTTGCTCCACCTAAACAGCGAGTCATGCGTCGTGTCAATCCTTTGGGGGGTTATTTAAGTCCATTGGAATGCGCTACCATTCATTTGGCTGAGACATACCGGATCTGTAATCCAAATTTCCAGTTCTCTTCCAACCAAAATCCTCGTAGACCACTGACAAAACCTAGCGAGGGTGTTTATAACCACGGTTACGACAACAAAGATTCAGACTATATTCTGTATGTCAATGACGTTCTTGGAATTGACGAGGGCCGCAAATATCTTGTACTCGATATCTTGGGAAAGGGTACGTTCGGTCAAGTTGTAAAATGTCAAGATTTGAAAACACAGCGGATCGTTGCAATTAAAGTGATAAAAAATAAACCCGCTTTTTACAACCAATGTATTATGGAAGTTTCTATCCTTGAACTTTTAAACACTAAATGGGATCCTGATGATACGAAGCACATTCTTCGCCTTTATGACCAATTCATGCACAAGAATCATTTATGTCTAATATTTGAACTACTGAATGTCAACTTGTACGAATTAATAAAGCAGAACCACTTTCGTGGGCTGCACTTGAACTTGGTTCGGTCGTTCGCGTCACAGCTTTTAACGTGTGCGTCTGTACTGAAGCAAGCACGAATTATTCATTGTGATTTAAAGCCTGAGAATATATTGCTCGAAGATCTGTCCTCGCCTAAAATTAAGGTAATTGATTTTGGAAGTGCATGCCATGAGCGGCAAACGGTATACACTTACATTCAATCACGTTTTTATCGAAGTCCAGAAGTTATACTTGGTCTGCATTATAACTGCAGTATAGATATCTGGTCCATTGGATGTATCTTAGCTGAACTTTTTTTGGGACTCCCATTGTTTCCTGGAAATTCCGAATATAACCAGTTGACACGTATAATTGATATGCTTGGTTACCCACCACAGTGGATGTTGGAAATGGGAAAAAATACACGCAAGTACTTCAATTGCGAGTTAGCGAATGGTAAAAAGGTGTACCAGTTAAAGTCGCTTTCACAGTTCTCGCGTGAAAATGACACCAACGAGCAGCCAGGAAAACAGTATTTTCGTGAGAAGACGCTTGAGGACTTGATCATGAACTACAGCCGACGGAAAGGGCAACAACTTTCTCCAGAAGAAGAGGAAGAACGGATGTGCTTTATAGACTTTTTGAAAGGATTTTTGAATTTGAATCAACTCAAACGTTGGACTCCTGATCAAGCAAAACAGCATCCTTTTATTACACAGGAGAGTTTTATGAATTATTACATGAAACGGCATGGTTCGTATGTTGCACCTCCGACCCGGGTTCAACGTACTCGTTCACACACTATTGGCAATCAATCTATGGTTCCACCGACACTTCAACGCGCAAATGCTTATGTTACACCTGATCCAGCAAATGTTCCACACACGCTCCCTCAATATATACCACCTCCTTCGGATTCTGGCGAGAGCGATTCTAAGCCAAATAGCGATAGTACCCAAACGTAAAACAGTCTCACTGGAGTGCAAAAGGAACCAAACATTTATAACTATGCACAAAGTGGCTTTTGGATATGAGCTCTGAAGGTAAATGACACCCTTTTAGATTCCCTTTCGTTCTTTTCTCAACGAAGAAATAATGAAGGGAACGACTATGTACTGTGTAGAGGTTGCTCGTACGTGAAGTTTTTCGTTCACTATGTCCTTGCAAATCAAGGATATTAAAAGTATGTTGCACTTTATTTCATCGTTTTTATTTTCATATTTTATCTCCCTGCTTTATCCAAATTGGGCTGTTCCGCGTGTTATTTTAATGTCGCTCTATCCTGTAAATCTTCGGCACCATTTAAAGAAACCTCTATCTATTTTGTTCGTCATCATCAACTTGCTAGAATGGAGAGGTTGTTTTTTTACGACCATATTATAAAGAAAAGGGTATTAACTACCACTAATTTATAAATTGTGATGTTTTCAGTATCTGTTTAATTTATATATCGTATTGTTTAGGTATTACTTATAGGTACTTTTTTTGCGCTGAGAGAGTATCTGTCCCCCTCCTTTCTAGTATGGCACGAAATAGCTTACGCAAAGGGACTCTTTCGTCCGTAAAACCAAGTCTTGAAGACCTTAATGACACTTCGGAGGAAGATTATGAGGTGGAAGACGTTATGTCTGAAGTAGAAAGCACTGATGAAGCAAATGACGAAAGCGAAGAAAAAACGGACTTGGAAAGTACACAAAGACGTAAGGAACCTGAATAAGCATTGATCTTGTCTAACTATCTTTAGAATTAAAATCTATTCCGTTTTCAGAGCTTTTGGAAGCTCAAAGGGCCTTGAAAAGCGAAAAAGTCAAATTTACACAAAAAAATGGAGCGAAGTTATCGAAAAACAGAAGAAGACATGAGTCACCGAGTGACAGCGAAGATGATGATGATGACAGAAACGACAGAAGCAAACATGCTCCTGTAGAAATGTCTAGCAAACGAGCCGTTCCAAGATTTCGCGAAGTTGTTCATGTACCGAAGCCTCTCAGGCGCGACCCAAGATTCGATACTCTTTCTGGTAACTTAAATGTCGACAAGGTGAAAAATAACTACGGTTTCGTTATGGAATATCGCTTATCAGAAATTAAGCAGCTCGAACAAGAGTTGAAGTCTTGTCGTGAACAAGAACGCCGTGAACGGATAAAAGAAGCCCTTAAATCACTGCGGTCCAAGCTTGAAAGAAGAAAAGAGGATGAACGGACTGCTAGGGTCTTAAAAGAACATCGTCAATCAGAGAAGGAAAAGATTCGCCAAGGCAAAAAGCCCTTTTATCTCAAAAAGTCTGAGCAGAAGAAGCTTTTGCAACTTGATAAATACAAAAGTATGGAAGGCACGAAGGCGCTGGATCGCTATATGGAAAAGAAACAAAAGAGACGTGCCCAGAAAGAAAAGAAACGTTTGCCTCGTGCAAGACCAGACAGAGCATAAACACGCTCAGTCATTTCTTTTACTTTCAATTTCGTTTTGGAGCATTGGTGCATCACTTTTCATATTTGTTAATGCAGTGCTTTTTGTAGATATTAATTATAAAATTCTCATTAAAGCTCGTTCTAATTTCAAAAATAAGTATAATGGTTAAAGGTTGAAGAAGTGTTATGTCGTTCTTTAGTGCCTATGCTTCTGACATTGGCAATGAAAACCAACTACACACTGAGGAGCTTGAATACAAGGACGAAAATTAGTGCTATTATCATTAGGATCAGAAAACAGATGAAACGAAGACGCCCTGTGTTATGTTGTGTTTGTTCAGCCTTCTTCAGTTCTTTCTCGGCAGAATGTGCATAGTTTTGAGTTCGTTCGATATTGTAATCAATACGATCAATTAAGGCTCCCTGATCAATGACTAGTGTTTGAAGCTCTTGGAACATTTGAGCTAATTCCAGAATTCCTTCAGCAATTTTCGCTATTGCCCGTTCATTTTCAATTGCGTTTTGATCTTCACCTTGTTCTTCCATAAGAGCAGCCTGTTGAATAGTCGATTTTGAAATAGCAACATCAGAAACAGCATCATCCATGGGTGAGATGTCAGTCGTAAAATCATTTAGTCCACGTATCCGTTTTAAGTAAAGTGATTGCTTCTTTCTAAAACTCGTACTAGCCTGTTGAATTCGGCCAGCTATGCTCGTTATAAAGTTTGCTGCAACTCTTGCTTCTGGACCTTTAGCTTGGGCACTTTGTTTTCGAACTTGCTGCAGCAGCTTTTGGCAACGCTGAAAGTCACTAGTAATCTCAATATTGAGCTGTTGAATTCTCTGCTCCATCTCACTTTTGTCAGAGAAACTAGGTAACAAATGCTTAGAATGGTACTTATCGAGCACAGCGATATTCTGCTTAGCATTCTCTAGCAAACCATCAACACTGGCTTCAATATCTAACCAAGAAGGAGGAAGAATATCCATCTCAATGGCAACATTGTTATTCTCACCCTGTTGCACAAGTTTGCTTCGTTCATCATCCGGATCCCAAAAGTGCTGGCTCAAAGCGCTTCCATGATGAACATATGATTGTCTAAATGTAATGTACAGTGCTGTTCTGTCCCGATAGGCCATGCTCGTCGAAAGAAAGATCACAATGGGCAACTAATGAAGGAAAGCAAATAGGTCAAGGATTACCAAAAGTTTTCGAACTTGTACACTATCTGAATTAATTCCTTGCAAATAACGAATGAGTTTGTGTAGTTTTCTCCTATAAAAATGCAAAAACGTGCCAAAAGACAGATATTACTAGAAAGCTGGCTCAAGCGTACTCCGAGCGACGCGGGCGAACAAGATAGCAAATATTACTACATTTTGACGCTTTTTAATAAACATTACACTCAATATTAAATTGAACAAAAGGAAGTGAAATGAAAGAATTGTGTTACATTGGTTTTGCTTTTATGAGAAAAAAAAGATACTTTTTTTATTAATTTTACATTAGACAGGCTTTTTCAATATGTAAAATTTACATGAATTGTATACTGTGCTTTTTTTCTGTTATTGGAAGCGTTTGAAGCGTTGAAATAATTATTATTTTCTTCCTCTCAATGTTTTCCCTAAATTAAGCCAACTTGCAAAAAATGGAGGAGTCGCAAAAATCGGAGCTTTTTTTCTCTTTAATGAGGATAGTTTGCGCTCAAACTCTTCGTGCAGCAGGTATAGACAAAACGAAACGATCTTTATTGGATTCTTTGACTGATGTGGTAATTCGTTATATTGCTCTTCTTAGTGAATTGACCATGGAAAAAGCGGAACTCTGTAGGCGTCGTCAATGCGAAGTTACGGACTTTCGTTGTGCATTAGAAGATTTACAAATGCTTGATGGTTCAAAAGAAGATGTTGTTGAAATGATTGAATGGTTCAAAGGGCCACAAGTCCAAGAATTACGGAGGGTCTCTGGATTTGATAATGATTTGGATGAACGTGGAAAACCGAGAGACTGGCTGACTAGTTTGTTAAACAAACAAGTCCGTGTAAGTGGGCCTGAGCGTTTCCATGATACTGTCTTCGCCCCTTACATTCAAAACATGGAACCTAGAAAGCCTTAAAATGTTTTTCTGCAAACGCTATATTTAAAAATGCTATTTAATTTCTTGGTTTATTACGTCTTGAATTCGATGGGATAAAAAATTATGTTCAGCGTTCCTTGTTTAATCAGTGTAAAGCTTGTTAGGTTTTGGGACGGGAATCCACAAGTCCAAAGCTGTGCTATACTTCCACATTATATCATTGTTTTCCTTGTACCAGTCCGTTTCCCAAGGTGCTTCTTCCGTTGGTAAAGGAAGTTGATAATCCAAAAGCGAGTTGTATGCTTCCAAACTCGAAGAAAGAGGATTTTCTTCACCAATTGCTTGTCTCATAATTCGGTATTTGATCAACAGTGACTTTATGACTACTGGTTTGAAAAAACGACTCTCGGTAATGCTCAAGGATCGGATTCCTGAGTTGGATAACATAGGCGTTGCATTCTCCTCTATTCCTTTTTTGGTAAATTGCGGGCATACGCTTGCTCTTTCATCACATGCAATTGGCTCAACCTTTATGATCTGAATTTTATCCTCTTTTTTAAATGGAATAAGTACAGAATCAGTGTTTGAGGAACGTAACACCCCCGGGCTTGAATCCCTCCCTTTGCAGCTTTCCAATAATTCTTGCTTTTCTTCAGACGCTTGTTGGTTAAGCCATTTTGGATCAATAAATTCCATCCGCACTGGACTTGAAGGCACTTCCCAAGGTCGTAAATGTACGGTCTCATTGGGCGTTTTAAATCTCGGGAGGGAGTCTTGTTTCACCGGTTCCAATACTTCTTTCAAAATATTAGGGTTCAGAATCTCGTTGTGCAATGAGGCAAATGGAAAGTGAACAGGTGAAGACAATAGCTCTCTTTGATTTGTACGAATAGGACTTGATGCTCGGGTGACCGGTGTGCTGCTAAAACGTTCACCCTTCTTTTTCGGAGAGAGGTAGGGTGATGGCCTGTTGCTTAATACTCGTCGTCTTGTGGCACCCGTTTTTCTGTGACCCATGTGTGCTGTTGGGAAGTCGGATTCTTGCTCAAAACGTTGATTGAGATATAAGCTATCGATATAAGCAGAATCTCTCGACATTTGATCAATCAAAAAAGCGTTATCATGATCATGGGTGTTTAGTTGTTGCTGCATGACATCTCCATAGCATACATCATCCTGGTTTTCTATTTGTTGAAATGGTTGACCAGCAATTCGGATTATTTCTTCATGAATGCTATCCATAGTCTCTTCATGACCTGTTTTTATGTTTGTGTTTTCTTCGTAGAAGTCACTTTCCAAGTACCGCCAGCTTGGTAACGGGTAAGGATCTTTTACGTTTGCAATATGTTCCTTGTCTATCGAAATATCTGTCTGTAAAGATTCTCGACAAGGCGAAGTCATCAATACCGGTGAAAGGTTTCTTTCTATTGCTTGCAATTCGTTCTTTGGCTTTTTTATGTTTTCAAAAAACTCTGGTACGTTTGTGTCAGTGTCGTAACTTGGATTGCTAGATTTTGAAGCCGTTTCAGAACTGTGATTTTTACTCTCGGCGTTTTCCCATAAAACGTTTGTATTTTGTTCTTCCAATTTGCACGCATTTGATTGCCTTGAATCGGTTAATACGTTTATGTCATCTCCTAAACTTGGATCCATCATTTTGCCCTCTTAACACTCAAAAACAGAGTGTGTAGGCTTGTCTTTCTTTTGGTGACCACTGTGACTTCAAAAGAATTAAGAAACAAGTTTAATGATTTGTTTACATTGGAATGCGAAAAAGTTGTTTACATTTAATAAAGGTTTTCATAACAAATTGTAAGCAAAGTGTAACGATTTATTATTAAATCCATGAGATTTTTTTTAGTATAACCTTAACTAATTAATCGCTCTGTTTTGAATAGAGTTTTATTTAAGTACGACGCGGGTTTTTAAGGAGCACACACATACACACCATTGGGGTTGCAGCAAACATCGGATAAGACCGCAACTCAAAATGCTGAAACCTGGTAATGGATTCGCTTTTAAGCTGGTTTTGGCAGTAACAGTGCTGTTCTGTGTCTTTACACGTACTGCTGCCAGTAGAGGTGATCAACTCCTTATCTTTCAAAAATGTGTGAACAATTGTATCAGCAAAAACTGTGTCGGCGATGGTAGCGACACTGATGGTCTTTCTTGGTATTTGAAGCTAACCCATTGGACCTGTGGAAGTAATTGTGATTACTCATGCCAAGGAATTGTTTCTCAAATGCTGAAAGAGGCCAAACTTCCCGCTGAACAATTTCACGGAAAATGGTATTTCATTCGGTTCTTTGGAATTCAGGAGTTGCTAAGTGTACTGTTTTCTATTTTCAATTTCATTACTCATTATCGTGGAATGAAGAAAATCATCAGACTTGTTCCAGATAGTCATCCGAACAAAAAAAGGTACATTGCTTGGTGCATCGTTGGTATGAATGCTTGGTTATGGAGCTCTGTGTTTCATGTCCGGGATACGAAATTGACAGAGAAGTTGGATTACTTTTCTGCAGGCGGTTTCGTTTTGTTTGGTTTGTACAACACAGTTATGCTACTCTTTCGTATTGATAAATGGCGTTTTGGCGGCTTCATTACTTTTATTTGGTCTGTCATATGTGGTACGGCTTATATTCTTCATATTAGCTACCTTTCATTCTATACATTTGACTATGGATATAACATGCTTGCTAATGTTATCGTTGGCCTTCTTCAAAACTTGCTTTGGTTCTATTATTCATGGTCACATCGTAAACTTGGACCATCATGGACTACGTGGCCCGCATTCATTGTCATATCTTTGATGGCTGCAATGTCGCTCGAATTGTTTGATTTCGCTCCTTTGGCTGACTTGCTAGACGCACACGCTTTATGGCACTTATCGACTGTCCCAATCACTTACTACCTCTATGAATTTTTGGTTCGTGAATCACAATATTCTATGATGCAAGAAAAGCTTGCCAACTGATGTGCTTAACATTAAACGTTGGGTACCTACAGTTTCGTTACGAAACTTGATTTTCCTAAGCGATTGTAAAAGATACAGTTGTTAAAACAAGTACTGATTGCTCTTTGAAGGATGCATAATCCGTCCTTCCTACTCAAAATGCAGATCGGCTACTGAAGTTTTTTACTTTACAACTTTACGTTAATTAATTACGACCACCAGTTATGTATCAAACCCCATTCCATTGATTAACAAAATGCATCAAAATAAACTTTTAAACAAATAAGGCAAAATTTCAACCTTGCAATGATCGTGCTTTTTTAGGTATTGTTTCCTTCACATGTTAAGAATTCTTTTTAGAAGTAAGACTTCAGTTTTCTCAATCTATTTGTTCTTCCCGATCCATATCATCATGCTTGCGTTTGCCTTTTCCCCTTCCTTTCATCTTCCTCTTTTCATGAATCTCCTTCATTTGAATGATGGCCTCGCGCTGTGCTTCACCAACACGTTCCGAAAGGAGCAAGACATCTTCTTTTGGTGCGTCGTATTCTTCCATCTTTTTTTGAATGGCAGCTTCAATACGTAAAAACGGTTCCAGGTCATACTGTGTTACCAAAGCGATGGATTTACCAGAACGACCCGCACGAGCAGTTCGACCAACCCGATGAATGTAAGCCTTTGAATCGGTCGGTATGTCGTAATTAATAACAGCATCCACTAGGGGAATATCTAAACCACGAGCAGCTACATCTGTAGCTACAAGAATGGACCGAGCGCCTGACTTGAACTTGTTCAAGGCTCCCAAACGACTACTCTGTGACAGTTGACCATGAAGCGGAATGGCTGAAAAGCCAAGAGAACGCAATAATATGGCAACTCGCTGTGTATCGTTCACCGTTCGCGTGAAGATGATCATTGACTGACCTGCCATCTCGTTTACAATGTAAACAAGATAGGTATCCTTGTGTTTAAAAGGGAAGAATAAGTACTTTTGCAAAAGTGTATCCACAGTACTAAACTTTGAAGACACTGCGATACGTACAGGGTTGTGGAGCGATGCACGCTGAAGTTTTTCAACTTTACTGGTCATCGTAGCAGAAAACAAAAAAGTGCGTCGCTCCTTGGGGATAACCTTCAGGATTTTATCAATAATTGGACCGAAATCCATGTCTAAAAGACGATCTGCTTCGTCCATAACAAGGTATTTTAGATTCCGGAGACTAAAACCTTTTGTATTTTCCAAATGATCCATTAAACGACCAGGGGTACAAACAAGGATATGTGGTTTCTTTGATATAGCCACTGCTTGAGTTACCATATCCATTCCACCAACGATAACAACACTTTTAACACCCATAGCACCGCCCAAAGCTTCGAATTGTTCGGAAATTTGGTATGCCAGCTCTCTAGTAGGGGCTAAAACGACGCCAAAAAAAGGACACGGGTTCTCCCAAAGGGCTTGAATAACAGGGATAGCAAAGGCAGCCGTCTTTCCGCTACCAGTTTGAGCGAGACCAATGATATCTTGTTGCTTCAAAGCAGCAGGAATCGCTTCCTTTTGAATCGCTGACGGGGCCTTGAAATTAAGCTTCTCACAGGCTTCACAAATCTCATCGATCACTCCCTAAACGTGTTAGTTTAGTGTAATTTAAAAGAAGCTGAATGAAACAAAACTTCTTACCAATTCTTTAAAAGTAACGCCTTCGACTTGCTCAACAGCAGAGTCGTTTGTTTTAGGCACTTCATCTTCTTTTGTGATGGCTTTTGTGCTTATTTTAGCACCTTTTGCGGAAGTTTTCCGTTTTTTTTCGACAGTTGTCATTTTTGTGTGTGGAGGAAGATTCAAAGTATTGAAGAGAAAACTAGACATATAAAAATAAAGGCAAACAGAACTTTGACCTTAATACATAACATGTGTCTCAATCATAAGTTTTTTTTATCAAAGAATTGTTGATTGATAACGAGTTTTAGATTAAGTATTATTATAGAATTGAAATTGAAAAATAAAAGCAAAAAAGAGTTTCCTCTCATGAATGCTTGGAAAGGCCCGAAGCAAATGTTTTTTCAAGATGTTTTGAAACACGAAAGGTTGGCAAATGGCATTCTCTTACATTGAGAGGATTGGAAAATACAAACATACTTGCTTAACAGTAAAAGAGTTCGTATAGTGAACTGAATGAAAGTAATATCTTCAAAACAAGTATATTAGTACTTAAAAAAATAATAGTATTAGCAATCACGACGCTTTTAATTTGAGACCACGGTGTCACATTTTTCTAAGAATAACTTTTCTAGACAAACGTAATTAAAAAAAGGCAAGTTCATTTACCGAACATGACAAAGTGGATTTTACATTCAGTAGGCAAATTTGTAAGTTATTTTTAAAGACATCTATTATAGACAATAACACCGGAAAACTTTTCCCAGTTGAAGGCTATTATTGTGATGTAAGGAAAAGTTGAATTGTATTACGAATATACAGTGTGAACTGTTACACTTGGATTTTGAACGCTTGCCTGATTTGAACTTGGCATTGAAAACGACAAATAACAAGCTGTAGTATGTAAAAACAGAAGGCTATAGTGAAATTTGACCAATTAAGCCAGTCCGCCTTAGTAATTTCTGAGAAGTGTCAAGGAACAGTATTATTTATTCTTTATATTCAAACCATTTTTTGCCACCCGTATGCTGAGCCAGTTCCCGTGGCCAAGTTGGTTAAGGCCTCATGCTTATATGGTACACCTCTTACCAGGTATGCTACGTGAAAATCGCGAGTTCGATCCTCGCCGGGAGCACTAGTTTTTCTATTCTTTCTCACTTGGATTTCAGAATGAGCATTATTCTTTCCCAATTCGAGCCAACTTGAATCCCAAATCTTATTTTACTGTAATGCCTCATTGTCTTTACCTACCTACCGGTCGAGCTTTTTCCTCAGCAGTATCGTCCAGGTGTTTGTCCTCAGCGGAGAAGACCCGCGTATCGTTTCGATTTGACCAATAATCACGACGACGGTAAGAGGTTATCTCGCGAGAACGCTCGTAACGACGCGAAGAGCGATATGATTCATGCCCAGAACTCGAGTCGAGTGATAGATTATGATCGTTTCGAAAGCTTCGATCACTGTGGCCTCTGATTCGTTCGCGAGTCTCAGAATTTCGCTTACCTCGGTGTGAATCTTCGTGTGAGTCGTTCGAGAGACGCTGGCGAAAAGCAGACACCAAGGCCTTAATCTCTTCGTCCGTCTTCCCAGACTCTTGTAATTCTTCTCGGTAGGCCAAAACCTTTGATTCCAACAACCTTTTCTGCTCGTGTTCACTGATTGAGGGGTCAATTGATTTTTTTGGCTCCAGTTTTTGCAACGAACGCATTTCATACGGAGCTCGCCGTTTCACATACGACAAGTTCTTCATTACATAGCCATTCGTTCCCGATCCACGGGGAGTCGGCAATCCAATTCCATTATATGACTAAAAATCGTTAGCTTCTGCTGTTGTAGACGCGTGTCGAATTCATTCACGTACCATTTTCTAGTTTTACAGTTTTGGTTCTCACGGTGGGCTACACCAGTTATTATTGCTCCAGAAGAATCTTCCTTCTCAGTTTGTTCGCACTGGAAGATGAATATATACTTCCAGAGAGAATATGGTAAGTCCAAATAACAAACCACGACACACAAAAGTAGTGGTTTTTTGTTTTGAAGTACTTCTTGCTAATGATACCTTTTCCTTGCAGTTGGTCTGGGTGAAGTTCAACGGTTCCAGGTTCAATTCTCGCCGTCCTCCCTTTATTCCACAACATCTACGAACGCCACTTCTACCGAAAGCCCGAGACAGAATCCGGACATTGTTGCTACGAAAAAGAACACCACCACAGCGGCTCGGTCGATCAAGCCTACCACAGTCGATCCCGCAGATCATCCAACAGCTTCGAATAATGACGCAAGCAGAGGCCATGGTCCATTAATAAACTGTCCCTCCCCCACAGTCGCTAGTGAAAACGCAAATCCCCCTGCTGAGGAAGAAATTGTCCAATCGCCGCCCCCCTCCCCAGCTCTAAAGGTCGCAAAGGCGCCTGCTATATGGATTCGCGTAAAAAACAAGGAAGCACGATATCGAACAGCAGCTTACTTTCAAGGACCGTTCACTCTTTGCGTAAGCATTTGGAATGATGCATTTCCCTTGGGTTCGAAAGCTTTCTTAAGATTTGAGCCGAATTTGCTGCCGTCTACCAGCATGTGGGTTTGTGTCCCAGGTGCCGCTTTTGACAATGAAATGCCCGTATTTATTGAAATTGCCAGTCAGGCTATCTTTCGGAAGATTGACATTTCCTTTGAACTAGCAATTGGTCTCAGCGAAGAAAGTATTCGGGCATTTTCGGCTGCTGAGGTAGACAAAATTGAAGCGTTCCCTAATTTGCACGTTCAGCATTGGCAGCCTGCTGACCTTTGGCGGATTTCTGATCGCCTTTTGCATACCACATCTTCTCACTTGGTTGTATTAACCCATGGAATGCACGCTAATCTCACAGCTGATATGCTGTATCTGAATGAAAGTATAAAACAAGCAGCCCAAGCAGTCGACGAACCTGTTGTTGTTCGTGGTTTTTCTGGAAACACGTGCGAGACTGAAAAGGGTGTCCGCTATTTAGGCGCGCGTTTAGGAAAGTGGCTTCTTGATATTGTTGGATGGAAATCGAGCTCTTTTCCTCGCTATTCCCACATCAGTCTAGTGGGACATTCACTTGGTGGTTTAATACAGACGTTTGCCGCTGGTTACGTGCACGCTCATACAAAGGGTCAATTCTTTAAAGTCATCCATCCCGTGCATTTTGTCACACTAGCAACTCCATGGCTCGGTGAGTCTGGCGAGCATCCGTCTTATGTGGGTCGAATTTTGTCTTACGGTGTTATAGGAAAAACCGGTCAAGATTTATCGCTTATGCATACCTCGCACAAAGTTGATCCAAGACCTCTGCTGCTGCTGATGTCTGATCCCGCTTCCCCGTTTTATCAAGCTCTTTCCTTTTTCAAGCATCGGTCCCTATACGCAAACACTGCTAATGACTACGTTGTTCCATTTGGTACAAGCGCCATGGAACCTCATTCACTAGGCCAGCGAACACAGTATATGCGTGATAATGCATTACAATCCGTTGTTACTGAGGAACCAAAAAGCACTCAACAATCTGCCTCTTCCGGAACGTCTTTTCTTTCCACTTTCCGATCTTTGAAGGCATTCTTTTTACCCCAATCAAAAGCGCAAGTACCTCAAGGAGTGGAACCATCACAACCGGAGAATGTTCCAATAAATCTGAAGGAAGAACATGCGTCTAACTTTGTTTCCTCTGAAACATTCACTGCGGAGTTCCTGCAGACAACTAATGTTAGCAACAATGCTGCCACCAAACTTCTACAGACAGTAAACAGTTTGTTACTTCCTCCCGTACCAACGTCCGATTTTTTCCTTGACTGCCATCTTAGAAATGTTATATTACATGACCAATTACACCCCGCGAAATCGTTATCGATTGCGTTTGAGGACTCGCAAAGCAATGATCAGTTTTTAAAGGACGAACATTCAATTTCCCGCAATTGGTCTACACTAAGTTGGCGCAAGGTTTTTGTTCGTTTAGACGGTGATGCGCACAATAGTCTAATCGTAAGAAGACGCTTTCCAAATGCTTATGGGTAAGTACCATCATGCAAATTCTCAGTGACGTTTTTACTAACTACTTCAGATGGGCCGCCGTTGATCATCTTACAAAACTACTATTCCCTCAAAATAACATGGACACTTATGGTTCTACTTGGCCTGAAATTGATGAAACCACTACTGCTGTATGGTTGAGCGAGTTGTACGACGACGACAAAATATAAGTTTTAGATTCATCATGTTTTAACCGATGTACTTCATTCCCTCACTTCAACATATCTATATACATCTTCCTCCATCCCTCTTCAACCCATCTGCTCACCACAGAATTCTTTAATAAAAGACAATGCAAATGATATTTTTATTTGACGTCGTTAGATATTACAAGTAAATACACCGACAGCGACTGCATCACTGTCCCCTAGGATATTAAACAAGGACGTGAATTCGGACTCTTATATGTAAACGGATATTTTAGGTCGTCAATTTTCGGCATTTAGTGCTCAGCGATAGCAACAGAAACACTTTGAATGTCGTCGTGAGAAATGCTAACAGACACGTTCTTAACACCAGCATTATCTGCAGCCTCCTTGGCTGCACCATGCAGCTGAACAGTAGGGGCACCGCTCTCAGATGCCACAATTTCGATGTCCTTCAACGAAGCACCAGCACCTTGACCCTTGACGCCCAAACTCTTGAAAACGGCCTCCTTAGCGGACCATCTACCAGCATAACTGGCTTGAGGGTTGGGGGTGGAAGAGCAGTAAGAACGCTCAGCTTCGGTGAAGTTACGTTCAAGGAACGTGTCATTGCTGACATTAATGGCAGCAATCAACTCTACATCAACGCCAACGGTTTGAGAGCTACCAGCAAGAGCCTTCGTCATAGAATCAAGCATGCTTGCGGTCTTAGAGACGGAGGCAGGTTGCTTCTTGGGCTTGGGCTTACCAGAAGCATACTTGTACGTGTTCGTCTTTTCATCCAAGTAAGCACGAGCCTCAGGGTTAAGGTAAACAATCTTCTCTTGCTCGGCAGTGTAAGGAGGATGATCCTTAGCACGGAACAGATTGTTGTTGACAAGAGCATCATGAGTATAGCGGTAAGAAGCCTGGTAACGAATCTTTGTCTTAGCAATATAAGCCTCGTATGTATCCTTATCCAAAGTGGCAAGGACATAGTCAGGATGAATAGCGATAATTTGACCACCAACTTGACCAAAACCGAAGGCAGTGACGGAACCAGCACGAACACCATCAGTTTGGATACCTTGACTGGGGAACATCACATGATCGAAACGTTCCATGTAGGCATCAATGTTATCAGCGTTACGATTACCAGGAACGTAACCAGTTTGCAGAATTTGCAAAACACCGTTCAACATCCATGCACCGGCACCACCCTTGCTATGACCAGTAAGATACTTCTGGAACACACCCAAGATAGGGTTACCCTTAGAACGGTTAAGATGTTTAAGTTGGCTGTCGAGGACATCACACTCATTCTTCTCGTTAGCAACGGTAGATGTGCCGTGGAAAGAGGCAACGCCAATATCATCGACACCAAGACCCCAAACAGCCAAAGCGCCACGGATTGGAGCAATGGAAGGATCCTTTCTCCAGAAGTCATTTCCGAAGGTTGCGAGAGCCTCCTTATCTTGGCGTGCAATTTCCTTCTTGATATGAGCAACGCGCTCGAGACGGTAGTCATCAATGTTCACACTAGGATCTTGAGACTTGATGGCAGAGAGCTCCTCATCGAGGTAAAGGTACTCCTGCTCAGCCCAGTCAGAAATTTGTTGACGACGCAACTTCAGTTGACGAGCACGATACTTAATATCCAACAAGGGAGAGGGGAACTTTGATTGCAACTCGCGGGCTCCTGTGAGAACACCCTTTCCAGGAGCAGGAACGGAACGACCTTGCTTGTCCATGGCAGTGTTGGCATAACCAATAATACCGTAAATGGGAACACCCATTTCAATAGCCAATTTGGCTTGCATGACAATTTCCACACCAGCACCTTGAGCCTCCATGAAACCATCACGAGTGGTGGTTGCAGGACGAGACATCTCGGCAGGGGTACGTCCACGCTCAGTTTCCTTGATAGAGTTAGAGGTGGCACCCATGTTGGCGAATTCATAGGAACCCTCCTCAGAGAAATCATCGAAACCACCAGCAATACAGATCTTAGCCTTACCGGAGGAGATCATTTCAACAGCGGCGTCAACAGACTCAACGGCAGTAGCGCATGCACCAACAGGAGTCTTAATAGGACCAGAAGAAGAAAGCAACAACATGTTGATCCAGGCACTAGCACTGTTGATGAAAGATTCTTGAAGAATATCCTTTTGCACGGGCTTGTCACACCAGCGGTCCTTGTACATTCCACGAAGAGCGCTCATACCACCGACACCAGAACCGACGGCGTTACCAAGTTCAGAAACGTGGATGTACTTGTAACACTCGTAAGGATCTGTAATACCAGAAGACACAAGAGCCTCCACAGTAGACACAAGTACATACAAGGTAGTGGGGTCAACTTGAGAAACAATGTCCTCAGGAATACCATATCTCTTAGGATCCCAACCACGAGGAATTTGGCCAGCAACAAACCGATCAAAACGAAGGGCCTTAGGAACCAACAGACTGGTACCACGTTTGAAGCGAACGGACCACTCAGTTGAATCGGGAATTGCGAAGATCTCAACCTTATCACCATGCTTCAACTTGAATTCATGTGCAGCATCCTTAGAGGCCTCAAAAGGTTCGAGATCATGATCGATAACAACCTCTTGGAGCAGCTCTTTCTTCTCAGGGTGGTAATCGTTAAACATATCAGACTCCACAATACGAATACCACAATGCTCAATCATGTAGCTCTCATACTTGCTCTTAACATCCTTATCATCGACGGGCTCACCAGTCTTTGCGTCAACCCAGCCGGAGTAGGGCTTTCCGTTCTTCAACGTACCGTTAAAGTTCTTGATGAGACCCATGATCCAAGCAAGCTCGACACAACCCTCGAGAGAGAATTCACCAAAACACTCCATATCCCAACGTGTACGGGAGTTACCCCAAGGACCAACCTCGGAGAAACCAGTGACAACGGCAACTCTTTCCAAGTCAACCATACCACGAAGATGGCTGAGATGAGCATATGCTTCATAGGGCTTGGCTTTAGGGAATTCGAACTTGAGATTGGCACGAGGTTGGATGGCAGTCTTGTGATAAATGGCATCCGAGCCAGGACCGTTCAGAACATTGTGGTCAAATGCAGCCTCAGCAGCAACTGCCTTACGAATCTCAGCAGTTTGGATCAACTCAGTACGAAGACGTGTGCTGAGATCCTTGATGGAGGGAAGAAGCTCTAAACCACCATTGAGGTTGGCATAAACAGGTTCGGTTTGGCAAATGTTAACAATCTTCTGAGACATGAGACCCAAAATGTTGAAAGCCATCTCAGCTTGAGAGAAGGTACGAACACCATACTTCTCAATTCCTTGAGCGACGATGTTGTTAGGTGCCATAAGACCAGTACCACGAGTCCAGCCGATAACAGCTCCGCAGATAAGGAGGTAGTTCGACCAAGACTCAGAACTCCAACGGTTGAATAAAGCTTCCAGAGCCAACTTAGATTCAGAATACATACCATCGTTACCGAAGGTTCCGTGGTTGGGAGACAGAGGAAGAATGACTTGAGCAGGGCGAGTGTCAAAGCCACGAGCAGCTTTCTCCACCTTGACGGCACCGAGAAGGCGCATGACGTTGGTGAGCATGATGCGGTGAGCCAATTCTGAACGAGAGTCAATGTTGTCAATTTCTCTGCCGTTCTCTGGAATGGCGGCAAAAGGAACGATATAGTCAAGATTCCAGCCAAGACCATCTTTTTCATCAAAAATGTACTTAACCAAAGCCTCAACATCTTGCTTCGAAGCCTGGTTGAAAGGAACAACAATCAAAGAAGAACCACGGCTACCATAACGAGTAAACAAAGACTGGTAGAACTCAGTAACCTTGCGGGAATAGCGGGAAGTGGTGACGATAACGCGAGCACCACCAGCAAGAAGGCCTTTAACGATCTGAACACCAATTGAACCAGCACCAGCACCAGTAACCAAGGCGCATTTGCCGTGGAAAGTGATACCATTCTTGGCACCGTTCTCGAGAACGTCCAAGTAAGCGGCAGTCAAGGTCTTGTTGAATTCCCAAGCCTCGCCAGACTTACGGCACAGATGCAAGAATGGAATAGTTTCTTTGGCGGGAGTCTTGTCGTTGCCAGAGGGAAGACGAATATTAAGATTGCGCAGAACTTGGGCATAGAGTTGCTTGACTTGCAGTTTGGAAGAGCGAGTCATTTTGTTCTGAGAAGTAATAATGCGATAGATGCGAGCAAGGTCATCCTGGACCTTAGCCTTACTCTTAGAAGCAGGAGGAACCTTACCACCACGTGCCATTTCAGCAACGTATTGCTCAAGCTTACGAACACCAGAGCGAGGAACCTCTTCATAGTTCAGGTTGCCGCGCTCGTCAATTTCGGTTGATGGAGCTGTAGGGTAGTTCACATCCTTGAAAACAGGAGGCTTCTCAATGGCCTCCTTGCAGTTATCGATTAATTGCTGACCGAGCTCCTTCGCCAATTGGTAGGTGGCACCCTTGTCAGAGGGGCAATGATCAATGTGGTATTGCATGAACTCAAGAAGAACTGGGTTAGCACGGTTCATAACAGCAATGCAACGAGAAACGATTTCACGATCGACGAGTTTAAGACGACCGAAAATAATATCATAAAACATTTTAAGAGCATCTTGACGAGCCCAGTTCCACTCAGAGTCGTAAACACGGGCCTTAAGGGGAGAAAAGATGGGGGATATACCAGAGGCATAAAATTCGCCATGCTCGTTGTTCCAGAGGTCCAATTGAGCACGAAGGGCATCAGAAACTGCTCTCTCGGCAACAGCAGCCTTGTCACCGGCACGCAAATCTTTGTTCAGGTAGTTGGCAAACAACTCTAACTGCTGTGTAACAAGCTTAGTGTTGCTTTGAGTGAGCTTCTTGAAAGTAGCCTCATCAATGACGGCTGCCTGACCACCACCACTTGAGCTGGCGGCAGCGGGTGCAGAAAGAGTGATGCCGTTGCGAGAGGCATACTTTTGTGCAACGGTGTCAAGCCAAGCCTTAGCTTCTGCCTCAGATCCAATACGAGCAGCAGGTTCCATGGTCAAACCCAAGAGCAAAACGGAGTTAGTACGACCAGTGGCCAAGCCAAAACGATTCTTCAGGTAAGCACGAACAGCACTGTTGCTGAAACCACCAGGCATCTTCGAGGAAATCATACGGGAAATGAGTGAAGAAGATTGTTTACCCAATTGGCCAGAGAAGCTAGTTTGCATCGTAGCTCCAAGCTCATCCAGAGGAGTTTCCTCTGGCTTCTCGGGAGTGCTACCAAATTCCTTTTGCAGGTCACCGAGAATTTCATTCTGAAGCGTAGACTTACCGCCAACCAAGTCCTTAATGGCCTTTTGGGGAGAGACCTCGTCGACAGTCTTTTTGAGTTTCTGGGCGACAAGAATGTGGAGGACGTCGACTGCCTTAGGAAGTTCGTCGGGAAGCTCTGCTGCTGCCGCAACAGGTTCAGAAGCGGCTGGAGCAGGGGCAGCTGCAGGAGCGGCTGGGGCGGCAGCCGCCGGTGTGGGAGCAGCGGCTGCAACTGGCTCAGGAGCTACTTCTTGAGGCTCTTCATTCTCGATATTGTAATAGATGTTCTTCTTATCGCGAGAATAGCACAAAACCTCACGGTTCATACTAAGAGCAGCATCAATGTTCTCATATTTCATTTTCAGAGTACGTTGAGCCATTCCAGCCAGCGTAGGGCTGGGACCAATTTCAACCAAACGCTCCGATGAGTATGGAGGAGACAACAGGACATCCTGAGTTTCAATCCATCTGACGGGAGATGCAAATTGGTAGGCCAAAAGCTCCAAAAGAAGCGTGTGAGCCAATTCCTGCTCGACTTCAGGTCTCATTATTCTATAGGTAAATAGTCTCGTCGAAGCCTAGTCCTTTTGAGGTGTAGGTTCCGGGTGAGTTGCACAGAGGAGTGGCAGGTGGATTGAATACGTGGTGTAGCGTGAGTAAAAATCAGCGAATGAGCGTCGTCCATTTTCCGCGGTGTTTCCTTGGCTAGTCCGTGGCGCGAAAGTGGTCAATAGTGTGTGAATTGGCACATCACATGAATTTTGGTCGTGTGATGCTGTAATTTTTTTAAACGAGTTACTAAAAATATAATTAAGTCTTATTTCTAAGGTTTAGTGATTGTATTGTGCTTTTAAATCATTTTTATTATTTTATTGTTGTTTTTGTTTTTTCTGTTTTTTTTTTTCTCATGTACTTTATTTTCCTTTGTATTTTTTTTTGAACGATTTAATTTATTAGTAAACTTCATGTAAACTCAATAGAAAAAACTTAGTGTACTAAGAATTGTTTTTTTTACTTAAAGGAAATGAATATATTATAACTTTAGTGACTGACCATTTTAGATATTATTCTATTGGTCAATGGATTAAATTAGAGCATTCCGTGCGGAAAGTGTGTCTTTTATACATTTATTAAACCGACTTGCTCTATTTCGCTTCTTGTACGGGTAGGACTCACAAATGCGTAGGCAAAGGCGCGTAAATATTTGTTTAAGACTTTGTAATCTTCATTATTCAGTGAGTGTTGATATACAGTTTTAGCGCCTTTACGTCTTTCAACTATTTATTCATTCGCGAAGATATAGCCTTCGCTATCAAAAACAAGATTACTCATGTTTGTTAGCTCTATAACATGTTCAACAAAAAGATTGAGTATTCTTTTCTGCTTGCATCTTTGCGTAGTTAACTATGTTTGGATTGATTACCGTGCGGATGTCAATATACAAGCCAAGCCAAGTTTCGGAATTTCCGATATTTGTTTAAGCCTTATGCATTTTATGTGTTTGGCTAAGAATTATCCTGTTCCTTCAAACTGTATTACGTATAGATACTTCTGTAGTCTCCTACATAATTTCCTCGTCTTTCGGTCAATTAGTGTTTATTAACCAATGACACTCTGTTAGAAGACGTACTAATCATTCAGCAAATCTTTTTTTTTTAACTAAGTATCCCAGTAAAAAAACCAATTCTCATCAACTTCTTTTTCCCTTTGTTGGGGTGCTTTGCTTTTTACTTCATTTGATTGGTGTAGTAGGACGGCCAGATTCGACGTACGAGTTCGAGTCCTGCCTTTTCCATATACGCACAGTTAGTGCCAGTCGATTTCTTGGCGAAGTCACTAACCATTTCCTACTGCTCGAGACTACGCTATTAAACAAGGCTTAGGGAAGAATAAACGCTTCGTTGCGACTGCCTTATGGATTAGCCTGCCGAGTTTATGAGCAAATGAATGAACTTCTCCTGACTTCTTCTGTTTCTGATTCTCATATTAGTTCTAGGGAATGGACCAATTCAAGTTTGGATTCAGTTAAAGAAGACAACAGGAGCGTTTCTGTTGTTTGTTTAAGTGTCAATGACGCAGCCGTCGAAGGAATAGGCAGTACTAGTCTGTCAAAAACAGATGTCATCCATGGGCTTCATGTGACGAATTCGACAGTACTTCAAAAACCAGATCAAGACACATCAGGGGATAATGCTTTTGACAAATTGGTCGACTCGTTGCGTCTTCTCAATGAGTCCGACTCTGACTCTCTTTCAGAAGACCTTCATGAGAGTATAATGCGACATATCAATCCTACCACTAATCAAAACAACAAATCGGCTCCAAGTGCCATAGTCCCGCCAGCAGAAAAGGAACAAAATCTAATTGCTATTGATATTCCCAATGCTGAATCCGAAGCACGTTCCTCATATGCTCAGCGTCATCAATTTCGCCCGCGAAGGCCAGAGCAACAGCGGCCGTATACATTTGATTACCTAAAACACAAAATGGAATTCAGTCGTCTTGGTTTGCAGCCTATTGTAGTACCCCATGGTTCCATTGAACCACAAAATGCTACGAATAAACACAAACATGTTAAGCTTTTTTCTAGAAAAACGCATAAGGCTGTGACACATGATTCACATGTCCACGTTCCTCGGAAAGCACAATCTCATCACCGAACCCGACGAATAATTCTATCAGATGAGGATGATGCTGCTGTCATGCATAATTCCGATAGCTCTCATTCATCCGATACTGCAGCTTCCTCATCTTCCGACCAAGAAAACGTACAATCTCAAGATCAGTTTACTACTTTGAAGCGAAAGCTTCGTGGTGTACTCCCCCCTTCGTTTCTTACCGTTGCGGCAAAGAAAACTGTAAACGAAAACAATGACCGCCGCTACGAAAGAACACCATCTAATACTATTTGCAGTACGCTGACTTCTAAGCCTGCTAAAGGTGTAGCTCGGCGAAAGCTGGGTCATCATAACAGCATTTCTATCCCCATCAACATTGACTCATCAAGCAGTGAAGAGACTATTGAAACCGCTTCGTTTAGTGTAGTTTCAGGATCAGAATATGCAGAAACACCTTCGGTAGATTTTAAAGATGACTGGTCCGAAAACGATCCAGTCGACGATCTATGGGTCAAACGGAATGCAAGCACGCGCTCCTTGCCAGTTGCACGCGCTTCTCCAAATACTCTTCCAAGAAAGAAACGTAAGGTTTCAAGAATCTCTCGCTTTCCGAGAATCAATCTTGTTACTGTAGCTGATAACTATGTCCGTGAGTCTGGAATCAAGGCACCAAAATTTCTGCGACTTGCAGCTCGCTCTTCGCGCTTTCATGGAAAACGACGAAGCAAACAAACTCCAGTAGGCAAGGTTTTTTTATTTGCAAGTACCATTGATCAAGCTGACGTGGATAATGTACTAAAAAAATGGAAAAGTGGGAGTCACCCAGCTTTACACTTGCACGCTTCTCGACAATTAAGTGATGCTTCATTACCTAGGTTCAGGCGAGCAAAAATCGCCAAGCCTGAGGTACCACAAAAACAAAATATTCCGCGTGACATTGCTGGACCCGCATTGCCACAACGATCAGTGGTCAGAGACAGTCTGCTTCAGAAGAAGCAAACCAAACTTCATGATCGAAGTGAGGTCTTTGGTGTACTTGAAAGTCTTTTGACTGCATCCAGTAGTACAACTAACGAGCATTTGAAAGAAGGTGAAACAACTTGCAATCGAGAAACAATTACATTTCACCCTGGCCAACTATTAAGTAAAAGCGAACCTAAAGCATCCCATCGTCGTCGAAAAATTATTGCAAAGCACCACACACTATCTTTATTCAGTGCTTTCAAAAAGTCAGAAAGTCACAACGTAGAAAGACAAGTAACGCTCCCGAAACTTTGGAGCCGAGGTACTAATTGGTCAACAACGTTTAATATTATCCCCATACAAAATGGAATATCGCTTCCTGCAGACTCATTTATCCGACAAGGTGGCCTTGCTGCTATCCTAAAAAATGACTTAAGCTTGCACCCATTACGGAGTGTTACGTGCTTTTCCACTTTCTTTTCCATTACTCATCCGCTCGAGTCTACCATAGAATCCGCAAAATCGTGCCTAGTTATGATTTTGGATAACTTACCAAGTGTCACCACCCAACAAATTCGTGACCTATACACTTTGTTGGGATTTCTAACGGCCATTGTCCTCTATGTTCAGAGTGAAAGCTTACACCTGCAAGTTATTTCAACTATTATCTCGGAAATGACTTTAGCTTTTGACCGCGTCGTTACTATATCCTGCACTATTAATTCTGAGCAAACAGAGGTTATGTACGTTATTCTTGTCTTTTATCTTATACTGTGCTATCAAGTTGACAAGAATGAAACACATTATGCTACAAGATTTCGACCTTTGGCACGGGACCTTGTCGCTAAACTCATAGAGAACGATCAGGACTCCCTTGCTGAATGTTATCGTTTTGTACGTGGTACCTCAGAGAAGTCTTTCATGGATACTCTTCTTCTTGAGGTTTGGATTGTTATACGCTTAATTGTAACAAATACTACTAATGACATGTTCTCATTCTGGGATATTGTTAACTCCATCCTTGAAATAGCGGAGACGGATAACAAAGACGTAATCTTTCATCTTGAAAAGAAATGGTGTACTATAATAACGCTCATTCCAATGCTACAGTTCTCTTTAAATGGGCAAGCTGAGTCACCCAAAGGTAATGAGAACTGGGATATGGTTGTCAAGTTATGCCGCCAAACATTGGAATTATATGCGAAAAGGAAGGAATCTGGTCTAGATCCTAAATATATGAGGACCGTGTTTTTGCGAGTTCATATGCTTGTTTCTGAATGGAAATGGTTTCATGCGAATCTTGTCTTAGCATTATTTTTTGATTTCTTCAGCCGAAGACGTTTCATAAACTTGTCTAGTGAGAACACATTCGATCTTACCCCCGATTTTCCACGTTTCATACAAAGGCTTGACCAAAATCTTCCATTATCTATAAGTCCGCTAGACACATGTTTTGTTATATTCTTGAAGACGGTTGTATTGACTATCAATGGCTTGAAGATGGACAACAGTAATGTTTTACAAATAAGACGTCTCATTTCACGTCTGCAACCGTTGCACTTTCGCCAGTATCCACGAGACAAGCCTTTTACCATGCTTGATTTTATGTCGCTTCTCCATATTCATTCATTACTCATCTCTTTATTCTGGGCTTCTCCGAAGGAGTGTCAGTTCTCAATAAAACGCATTCATGATAGTGTCGTATTTGAAAACTCTCATGTGAAAGCCCGACTAATAAGCCTTAAATCCTGGTCACATCTAATGAGGTTTATTATGCGGTGTTCTGATCGTGATCAGCTTAAACAGTGTATTGATTGGTATGACAGACTGCTTGAAACAAGTTTAAACGAATACAATGAGCTGCTTCATGTGAATCCTCGCGACACACACTCAATGTTTGAAGAAAAGCTGTTTGTTTATTCTAAGAAACAAGTGGAAAAGAGTATTATATTCTGCTATTATTGCGTTCAAGATTTAATACCTAATGTAACTGAGTATTTACATTCTACGATTTCCCTTTTGACAGAGAAGAATACCAAGCTTGTTTTACAGAGTACTAATTCTCTTCCAGTTAGCGTGATTGATGCTTGTATTGCATTTCTGCTAAAATTCTTTCATTATCAACTCAACTGTTCTATTCCTAAGATTGCTAAACTGATTGATAATTCGGCCATCAGTAGCCAGGATTCTTTCTTTCAAAATGATGAAATGGCGGATGAAGAGCTTTATTTGGAGCAGGAAAAACTTGAACGCATTAGTGAAATTGCCTTTTTTCTACGTGATAATGTTACGCCTTACATTTATCAGACACTTTCAGACTGGGTAGGAACAGATAACCCCGAAGAGATTAGCCGAGACTCTTTGCTGCAATTAATGGAATGCATGGTCACGTCTGCATCTATTACGGTTGAAGCTGGCATTCGTTCTTGGAGTTTCTACGTCGACTATGGCAGTGAGTCTTGGGAACGTATACGGTCGACGAGACTTAAGCGACAATTCACTGTAGATTTTTACACCTTGTTAGCAGCGACAAATAGCTCTTTTCTTCGTGAGCAACATGAGAAACTTCTTAATGTGTGGTTCGAATCTCTTGGTTCGTTAATTGAACCTCGAGGTGCTCAACTTACGGAGCTTTTACTTAATCATGATGGTCAAAATGAACTGCTTCACAACCTACCCATAGCAAAAAGAGGTGATAAAGCCATTTATACCGTTGAAGAGCATGAATTTAAACAACTTCAACCGACCATTTTAACTACAGTCTTTTCAAACATGTCTTCATTGTATGAAAAGTCTCTTCGCGAAGCTACAAAGCAAAACTCGAACTTCTTACAGAGGACGTTTGCGCAATATTTAACATCTTTATTATCTACTATGCAAAACGAGTATGAGGATCTTTTGCATTCCGGCCAGGAAAGAAGCGTCTTTATAAAAGCTTCACAAAGAATTATAGGCGACATTCTTCAGTATTGCAGCACATTTGCCAACGAGAAAGTTTTACCGCCATTGCGTTTTTTTCTCGATGCAACAAAATTTCCCCAACCACCTGAGCGTCTCAAGTATTCAGCTTCTCGCTTATGCGCGTATGCAAGAAAAGGACTTAATACGTATGCAGGACAACAATCATTAATTGGATTTATTAAAGCTAATTGTGATGTTGCCCTGATAGATGATCGAGAGCAGGATTTCGTCATTCTCGTTCGCCTAGCAATGGGAGATAATTCTTCAACACCTTCTTGTGTTCAATGGGATACACAAGTATCAGAACTGCGCAATTTCATCCTTATAGAAGTATTAGGAAGTTATCTAACAGATTCTGTTTCTGTTATGCCTCATTATGCCCGGCTCATAATCAAAGCAATGGCTCATACATATTCAACGTTCTGTTCCATGCGTTTCATTTCTGGTTTAGGTTCTTATTTTTTAAAGGAAGTATGGTCTATTTCTCCTTTTATCGTTCAAAGTATTGACAGACTGGTTTACAGAAATCGTGGTCTTGCTGGACAAATGCTCATGCTGGCCGCGAGTATCGTTTCAGTAACACTATCGTTACCAAGACTTCCCTTTTCAAATAAGATATTACAGCTGTATGCAAACATCTGTCGTGATTTTTGGCTTGAATTAGCTTGGTCCATAAAAGGGATAGACCGACCTCCAGAGGTAAGACCCAATGCTACTTCTTCACAGTCGGTTCCAAGCAATGCAATGTTGGTAAGAAAACAGTGTCTAAGTGATTGGATATTTACATCTTCTGGATATCGTCATCGTACGCGTCAGAAGATATTGCTCGATGTTAAAGAAAACGAACAAGAAGAATCATTCTGGGAGGGTATAACTCAATTATCTTTTCAATTCTTAAACTCTGAACCGACTTTTTTAGATCCCGAATTTGCATTTTTTAAACAGTCTCTACGTACCTTTAAGCTGAACAACATAGAAGCGGTATCTGCCTTTGTCACACGATCCCTTAAACTTTTTGGACTTTCATGGCTTTTATGTGATACAACAACCTTGGATGATTGTATTTTATGACTAGATCTATGTCTCTTTCTCCTTACTCTCGTATTGAGAAAGAGATGTAAAACATGTGCTATAGACAATATATTAAGTGTTCATTTATTAGCGGCTACTAGTATATTAAAAATAGTAAAATTGATTCATAACTTCTTTAAGTGTAAGTTGCTTTTGGTATGTACATTTTTTTATTTTAGAATTTTGACAAAACACATAATGATTGAAAAATAACAATACCAAACAAATAATAAATCTAACTTCATTCAAAAAAAACAAAAAAAAATTGGGTTTCTCTCAATGTCGCAGTGTCATCCTTGTGCAGGGGCCATGCTCTAGACGGGTGTTAGTGGAACTCGAACTCACGACCTTAGGGGGGTACTTACAATCTTCTCTGTATCGTTTCAATTTGACCAAAGTGATCCGAAGATCGATAGTTGCTTTTTAAAAAACATTATATACCATTTCTTTGACGTCATTGTCGCCACTTATAATAAGAACTTATACTATTCCAAGTAAGTAAAGAGATATATCCGACCCGTATTCTGTAGGTCTTGAGCACTTTTAGAGCATTATTATACGTTCAAAAGTGTTTAACAACATAGAGTACCTCTAAGTATGTAGTCACAGAAAGAGTTACGAACAAGAAAAAGTAATTTTATTGGATAGACGAAGTTAAAATGCCTTCTTAAACAAAAAGCTAATACTCTCACCATTATGGGTTCTTCTAATGGCCTCTGCAATGGCACCACTGATGTCAACAATAACGAGCTTATGGTAAATTTCAATGGCCTCACGATCAAGTGGATAGGTGTTAGTAACAACAATCTATACAGCGTTAGTAAAATACTACTTTGACCAGAACAAACCTTATCAATGAAAGGACAGGCATGCAAAATAGCCAAACAATTATTCTGAAAGATGCCATGGGTTCCAATGATTATTACTCTTTTAGCTCCGCAACGCTTGATCATATGTTCGGCAGCTACGACAAACGTCGTAGGATTTTCTACCATATCATCGAGCAAAAGAGCAGTTTTTTCCATTTACGTCACCAACCAGGGTAATCATGCGTTCCGTGCAGATTGAGGCACTGGCCGCATTGAGTTCCTCTTCCTCATCATCATCGTAGATGGGAGTCTCATCAGGAATAGGGGTCATAGTGCCGCTGGGCAAACACTCAGAGCGGGGGGTTTCTGGACGAGAGCTATCAACCTCAAATTCTTCATCTACAACATGACCAAAAATGAAACGGGAGGTGTGGACTCGACGACGACCCATATGGCTTTGAGGAGCTGCAATTGTCAACTCCTCCATCTGACTTTCTTCCATGAACGATTCTTCCATGAAAGTAGAGTGCTGGAGATGCGAACTACGCTGCTTATCAGTGTTAATAAGTGCAAAATCCAGATTCAATGTATCGGCCAAACTTGTAACACGCTTGGCACCACCGGGCTTTTTTGACACTACAACAGCGTTTTCCCAGTCTTCAACATTATGGCGAATCCACTCAGCAATGTTGGGTTCAGCATAAAGGTTGTCGACAGGTCGAGTAAAGAAGCCTTGCATTTGAGAAGCATGCAAATCCATCGTAATAACATGATCAACGCCAGCAACTGACAACAAATTGGCAACCACTGGTAAATGTTTGTTAGAAAAATACTTTTGTTTCAGCAAGAAAATGCAAAGTCAATCAGAATAATTGATTAACTCTCCAAGTTTCACCTTCTCAATACTTACTTCTGGCAGTGATAGCGTCACGATACTTCTTCATTTTTGATTGCTTAGAGTAAGGGAAATATGGCATAACAGCGGTGATTCTGCGAGCAGAACCACCCTTACAAGCACTAATGAGAATAAGCAACTCCATTAGACTGTCGTTGACCGTTTTGCTGCCACTTTGGATAATAAATACATCCTGATCACGAACAGATTGATGAATCACTACACTAGTTTCACCATTTGCAAAACGTTTTAAAGAAACAGGTGCAGGAGTCACACCAAGCCGAGAAGCAATCAATGCCACAAGGTCGGGGTGCGAACTACCTCCAATCAAAGTTGCACTTTTCATTTTCACAGAAACTTTCACTGAGAAACAGAGTTGAACCAATATGAACTAACACCTAAACAAAAACTCACAACGCCAGATTTCTGCGAGCCAATAGGCCAAGGGTAATCGTTCTGGTCAAGTTACATGTCCGCCAACTAATGTTGTTTTTGGTGGAGCAAAGTTGCGGAAGTTGATTAATGAAATAAGATAATTTGGCGTAATAATGAAATTGGCAGGGTTCCACACAGAAATTGTACGATTATTTCCATCACATTTGTTTTGAGTTTTGGAACCTAATCATATATATAATACACAGGTTTGAAAACAACTGCTTTTCTTTTTTTCATACACGTACACAAGGGACGCGACGAAACCTTCACCAACTTCAAAATGCAATCCATCTTGTCAAAATACACAGAAATTCGGCCACAAGTGGACTCTTCGTCAGAAGATAATCATGAGCATTTTAAAAATCAATTTGATGTGATGCCTATTGAAGGAGCTTCGCTTTACTTGCGAAACCTTACTGATGGATCTCAAAGTAAACATTGTCGCATTAATATGAACCACGGTACTACGACATTGGCGTTCCGTTATAAGCATGGAATCGTTGTATGTGTTGATTCACGTGCTTCAGCGGGTCCTTTGGTCGCTTCCCAAACAGTGAAAAAGGTTATTGAGATCAATCCTTATCTCTTGGGTACTATGGCAGGTGGTGCTGCTGATTGTCAATTCTGGGAAACGGTTCTAGGTATGGAATGTCGTTTGCATCAGCTCCGCAATCATGAGCTTATTTCTGTTTCTTCTGCTAGCAAAATTCTATCAAACATTGTTTATTCTTACAAGGGCTATGGTCTCAGCATGGGTACTATGCTTGCTGGCACTGGAAAGGGCGGTACTGCCCTCTTCTATATTGACAGTGATGGTACTCGACTTGAAGGCGACCTCTTTTCTGTAGGTTCCGGTTCAACATTTGCCTATGGTGTTCTGGATGCTGGATACCGTTGGGATCTTTCCAAGGAAGAAGCTCTTTATTTGGGAAAACGTTCTATCCTTGCTGCTACTCATCGTGATGCTTACTCTGGTGGTACCATTAATTTGTATCATATTGACGAAGAAGGTTGGAAGTTCCATGGTAACTTCGACGTTGATGAGCTTATTTGGGAGACGAAAGCGAAGGAAGGGTCTTTTGCTCACATTCCTACCCGTGAGTAGAATTTTATTTCAGCTTTAACATGTATTGATTGTTGAATCATGAAAAATTAGTCCTTGCTTGTGTCAGACCCGTCTTTTCAAACGAGACACTTTGTCTACTATTGGCAAAGTATGTTTGACTAATGTAATCGTTTTCGTCAACGAGCTTAGATTAACGATACTTTGTTAAGATGTCATTCTTTAGGGCTTAATGAAGGAATGGACTATACGAAAACTGCATACTGTAGAAAATGAAATGCGTCTATGATTTATAACAGTAGAAAACTTTTTGTTGTTTAAGCCCTAACAATTTACATATTAAGGAATAACGAATTTTGTCAGTCGCGAATATAAGCGCTTTTTGTTCGTTAGTCACCTTGACCACAGCAATTTCGGAGATTCTTCACGATATCTTTGTAAAACATACAAACAGTGAGCTGTGTTTCTTTATTAACTTTAGTCTTTTAACGACTGCTTATTTTTGGCTACTTACCGTATTTTCTACGATCAATTAAAACAATTATTATCGCAATGAGTGATACTTCTACGGATAACGAAGAAAATGCTAAACAATTACAACAGCAGACACAAAAAACTATAATCGATGACCCAAATGTTGAACAAATTGAAGCTGATGAAGATTTACTTTCAGAGTTGCCGAATGATATTGATGTTCGTGCGTTTAGACTATCCAGAACATGTTCTCGTATTAACGTATTATAAAGGCTATAGACTTGATCAATGCAAGAGTTTCGAGCATGGGAAATCTTGGACTGCAGAGATTTACCAATTTAGAGAATTTATGCCTTCGCCAAAATCGAATTCATAAAATTGAATGTGTTCCGACAAGCTTGAAAGAATTGGATCTTTACGACAATCTTATTACAAAAATTGAAGGTTTGGAACAGAGCACAGATCTGATTAATTTGGATCTGTCATTCAATAATATCAAGAAAATTAAGAATGTTGATCATCTAAAGAATTTGGAAAATTTGTACTTTGTACAGAACCGCATTCGAAAGATTGAGAATTTAGAGGGCCTAAGTAAACTAACTAACCTTGAACTTGGTGGAAACAAAATCCGTGTTATCGAGAACTTGGATACTCTTAAGAATTTAAAGGAATTATGGTTAGGAAAGAACAAGATTACTGTACTACAGAACTTGGAAAATCTCACAAACTTGCGACTTCTTTCAATTCAATCCAATCGTATACTGCGTTTTGAAAATTTATCTGGTTTGGCTAATTGTTTGGAAGAACTTTATATTTCGTACAATGGTCTGACATCTCTGGAAGGAATTGAAGTGCTTACAAACTTGCGAACTCTTGACGTTTCAAATAACCGTATTGAACATCTTACCCATCTGAAGGGCTTAAAGCATCTTGAAGAATTGTGGGCAAGCAACAACCAGATCTCTTCATTTGCAGAAGTCGAAGAGCAACTCGGTGATAAAGAAGAGCTGAACACCGTGTACTTTGAAGGAAATCCGTTACAGACATCCAATCGCGCTGCGTATGTCAACAAAGTTCGACTTTGTTTACCCCAAATTCGCCAACTAGATGCTACCTTTTTGTCCGCTCAAACTACTTTTGCGAAACCTTAAGATCTTTGATTGGTCACATACCGAACGTTTACTTTGCATTTTTGCTCCTAAAAAATGCAATAATAGTTTATGATGATTTATCTGAATAAAATAATTTACAAAAGAGCGTTTAACGTTTTGGGTTGAATATGTAGGAATGATGATGTATTTAGTTTTGGCGATAAAACATCATACTTTAGCTCTTATGCTAAATAATGACAATATAAATAACAGTAATGCATTTTGCATGTGGATCGTATAATAATCATATATAAAAATTGTACTCAGTAGTGTACACTCGGTTGATCAAGTTTTAGAATACATAAACTCATCTAAAACCTTGAGAACATCCGCAGTTCTCCGAAGATTATAGGGAACTGATGTCTTTGACAAAGGCTTTGAACCCATCGAAATTGACAATTTGTTTGTAAGTAAAGCATTTTTTTTACAGCGAGAACACAATTTCCAGTAAATTTGTGCAAGTCGCAATCTGCAAGAGATAGAGTCGTTTGATTTACATGCATCCAGCATATATTTATACACAATTAAACCTCTTTGCCAATATTTGTGCTTGATACAATCGTAAAGGAAAAGTTCACAAATCCGAAAATCAAAATAATGTCGCCGATGTGCTACTGCATAAAGTATTGAAATAAGACACTTGTTGTCGTTTCTAATAGCGACTTTGAGAACAGATGCATAAAACTGACTAGCATACGGTTCAGTCAATTGGGGGTAATTATGTTTGAAGAAAATCATTAAGGCATCCCATCGCTGTTGATTAACGTAAAGCTCGGTAACTAAAGAAACTGTTTCATCATTAACGGGCACCTCAGCAAGTCTCATAGCTTGCCATACGATGTCAACGGCAAAATAAAACCGTCGAGACAAAAAACGCGCAAGTAAAAAGTTATAATGAGAGACAGAATTCGGCAAAAAGTTGGTTTTAAGTGCACCTGATAGGTTTGAAAGCCAGCTTCCAACGTCCTCAGATTGAAGCATTCGGTCCAATTCGCCTAAGGAAAGCAATGCTTTTGGACATTTGCATGACAGTATGTTCATATCCTGTAAAGTCAAGAGAAGCGGAGCCCGTAGATGTCGAATAGTTGTTAAGGCCTTACGTTTCAAAACATACTCTCTCCGAAAGTAATATTTTTGCTCAACACTCTTTGCATCATGATAGTGCTGTGCAAGAGATAAAAGATCATTTTGAACCGAACATAAAAGCTTTGCTAACTTTTCAAAATTTCGAGAAAGCTGTAGAGAGACATATTTTTCAGTTCGGTAAACATAAGGACCACTTCTCGTTGAAAAGTATCTCTTATAGACGATATCCTGACTGAACAGTTTATGGTGATTGTAACTCAGTACATGCGAAATATTGTAGATAAAAAAAGAAATTAGTGATACGGCGTCATGTTTCGCTTGTGTTACTCCTCGAATTAAGCGTATAGAGGAATGAACGTTTTTAAATACACAGTCTGAATTGATGGAAAGCATAAGCAAAGAAACGTTAAAACACGTTCTGTGGCTGTAAAAATGTCATGTACTGACTTATTAAAGCCTGCAAACTCATGGATTATTCAAGCTGAGAAAATGTTGTTGTTTGTTATTTTATGTTGATTACAACTACGTAAGGAGAAAGGTTTTGTATGTTAAGGGAATCAAAAATATCATGTTTAAAGAACAAATTCGTACTGTTTATGAAACTTTTACATACTATTAATTCATTAAACGAGACCAGACTTAGCTTCAGAGCTCATATAGTCGTTGGACCATCGATGGGCACTTGCTCTTCCCCAAACACACCGTCATCATCACAAACATAACTGAACACATTGATTAATAAGCAGTCTCTGCCGTTTAATTAAAGAAGGTCAGCTATTGTAATTGAACTGTGAGAAATATTTCTTACGTTTGCCCAAAGAATGATCAATTGACAATCCCTACGTGATGACCCTTCATGTTAGCAATTGGAAAAGACTGTCTCTCTATCATAAACGAGATCGAACACGTTGTTTTAATAGATCATTTACTTGCGTCTCAAGTCGGGAATCTTACATTGTTGCCGGTTATAGCGATGGAAGTATCCATATCTTGAAAGATACGTTTGAAAACTTTCAAACTCTCGAACTTCCATTGAAAGTTACCGTTCAGCAAATTATATGGTTATCGGCAGACTCTTTTGTGACGCTTTCAAGTGTTCCAGACCACGACTCTGAAAGCAATGTGATTATATATTGTTATAAGCTTATACGGGAACCGGCAACTGATAGTTCCAGAGATGAATTTGTTCTTGTGAATGAACATATAATCGCTGTGAGGGAACCACCGTATCCAATTACAGCATTTGATTTGAGTTTGGATGCGAGGACGTTAATCTGTGGTTTTGCAAGCGGACTCGTTATCTCCATAAAAGGCGATTTCTTGCGAGATCGCTCTTTACGTTTGTCTGTTCTCCATCAACTTAAAGAACCCGTTACTAATGTGAAATTTGACATACAAGAACCGAATCTGCTCTATGTTGCTACAACCGGTAAACTTATTACAATTAGTGGAAAGGTTGTTAGTGTGTTAGATCATCTTGGCGTTGCCATGAACTGCATGGACAAGTTTAATACACCATTGACGCGGGACTCTGTCAGTTATTCTCTCGTTTGTGCACGCTCTGAGACAGTCAGCTTTATTCGTGCGAACACGCTAGATTCTTTCTTATTGTTTTATGGGGAGAAACACTATGCTTGTGTCAATGGCGATATCCTTGCAATCGTCTTCACGCCTTCTGCCAAAAGTAATTCTAAAGGAACTGTTGTTCCTGGCATAGGCTATGACAAAAAGAGTGAAACGCTCTGTAGAATTATGCTTCTAGACATCAAGCAGCAGTTAATTGTTTGGGAAGACATTGTCCCTACACATGTGGCACATGTACTTTCTCGTGGATCAAAGACATTTATTCTTACAGTGGATGGCTACGTGCAAGAACTTGAAGCACTCAGTCTACAGAAGGAGCTCAAACTATTAACAAAGCGCAGCATGTTTGATATTGCTTTGGAATTGGCAGAGCAGCATCGCATTCCCCTTGAGGAACGACGCAAACTGGTGCTACAATATGCGGACTATCTTTTTCGTCAAGGGAGTTTCTCTGAAGCTGTTAAATATTATATTTCCGAAATTCAATCTTGTCGTGCAACGGAAATATGCCGAAAATTCCTCGAGGTTAATGAGATTGGCAATCTTGTTCGATTTTTAGAAGCTCTTAATTTTCATTTACTTGCAAGTCAGGACCATTTGATGCTTCTTCTTTCAAGTTACATCAAGTTAAAAAGATACTCCTCTATTGAACATCTTCTTGACAAAGGCGGATTTAATATAATGTCGGCTTATGACATTTGTTATAAGTCTGGACTATATGAACAAGCATTACGTCTTGCCAAAGCGAACGGGCTACATGAACGGGTGATTGACTTGCTTGTTGAAGAAGGAAAATATTTAATGGCCATCGAGTATCTCAAACAGATGGAGCCGGACGTTTTAGAAAGTTTACTCCTCATTTCTGGTCATAGTCTTATTTCAAATTTACCGAAAGAGACAACAGAATTATTCATTTCATATTATACAGGCACTTATTATCCGATTCGTAAAGAACAAAAAGACACAAACCTCAAGCAAACCAAGTCCGCACCTTACTTCTTATCCTTAATGCCTTACTCCAATCCATTGGTTAGTCTTGATGGTGTAATCCCCGAACAAAGTACCCATGAAGACGGTGTTACCAAAACTCCTGAAAGTGCAAAGACATCGCTTGCTGAACTTCCAAATCCGCAAAACTGTTTTCATATATTCGTTCAGCACATTGATTGTTTCATTGTTTTCTTAGAATCCCTGTTAACAAAAACGAACACAGAGCATCAGACTTTTATAGCGACTTCCTTGTTTGAAGCGTACGTCCGAAAATCCCGCAATGACATTTCCGCTGAAGGTGCTATCTATGAAAAGAAAGCAAATGCGTTGTTGTCTGAAAGTGAAGTGCATTTAGATTTAAATCGTGTATTTCTCATTTCACAGATCCTGGATTTTGACGAAGGCGTACGGTATGTTCAAGGAAAAACTGGTCAGATGCTTGATATGTTTCGTTCATATTGCCAAAAAAATGATGTGAATCGAGCATTAGCGATGTTACGAACACACGGGAATGAAGTTCAAGAACTTTACACTATAATGCTGAATTATTTCTGTACTGATGGCAATGTTGATGGGTGGGAAAAGGAGTTCCAGAAGGTGCTTCAATTTGTCATTACAAACAGATTAGTATCAACTCCTCAGCTCGTAGACATACTAAGTCGTTCATCTTCTTTGACTTTTGGTGATATAAAACAAGCACTACGGAACATGCTTCGTTTCTTTGAAAGTGCCATCGGAGCAAATGGACGCCAAATAGAGGGGAAAAACCGCCGCATTCATGCTATCTCGGAACAACTTCAGATTTTGAAAAGTAGTGCTTTTGTCGTACAAGAGACTGTTTGTTCTGCCTGTGGATCTGAACTGGAGCCACCTGTAGTTCATTTTCGCTGTCACCATTCCTATCACATGCGTTGCATTGAGGACGAGTGTCCTCACTGCAAATGGTCCTCGCAGCTCTAACAAAATGTTATACCAATTGCGCCCTTCTACCCCGCTTTGCATTTCCTAGCAATAGGATATTATAGACAATTATAAAAAAAAGTTCTAAAATCCGCAAATTCTCGTCTCAGTGAAGAATGTAATTGAATCGATTTAGCTTTATACGTTTCATTATTCTATAACTTTACCAAAATGATAGGGAAAGATTAAGAAGACTTATTCTGAAGTAACAAAAACAGCAAACTGGTTAAAGCACTTCCTAAAAGTGCACATTCTGCAGTGTATGTACTGAACTGTTTTTGACTAAATACCAGCGGATCTGGAGAAAATATATAGTTAAAAACTTGATGAATGGTATTCAAAAAAGTTGACCAAGAAGTGAATGATATGCGGGGACATTCGCCAACAAACTCCGTAAATGTGTTGTAAGACGAAACACTAACGTCTTTATTTTTCTTCTCGGAGGGCTCGTCAATATGAGGCAAGGTTTTCACTGTTGAATCAGGAGCCGAATGCTGAGTTGTATTCATCATGCTTTCCAGCTTTTTCATTTGTAGAGACTGCGTTTCATATTGACTTTTGTTTTCTTTATCAATGTATACCATCGCTTGATGTAGCCAACGTCTCCGTTTTTTTGGCTCTAAAATTAATTGTACAACGACAAACAAAATTAAGTTAATGCCCATGAGACCCCAAGTTCCCCATGTACTTGCTCTTCGAATTTTATCACTCCAGACTTGTTCTTCATGATAACGCGTCAGAATTGCTTGAACAAGTGAGTCTTGTGCCTCGTCTACTTGCTCTTCTGCTTGCTCCATTTTTTTCTGTGAATCGGATTCCAATGTCTTATTAGAATGGTCATTTCGGTATAAAGCCGTAAACCTCTCTAAATCTGTCGGACTCCAAGAGCTTTGCCTTTGTAACAGTTCATTTACCTCTCGTTGGCTATTCGACCGTTTTTGAACAGCATCCAAATAGGCCTTTCGGGCCTGCAATGCAAGACTCCGTTTGTCTTTAAGTAATCTTTCATGTGTTGTTATTGCAACTTTTAGCTGCTCAATTTTAGAATATCCGGTTAAATTATTCACATGTTGACTGCATGAATTCAGAACCTGTGTAAATTTTAAATTTCGAAATTGAAGTGGCCGTAAATGAATTACACGATTCCGTACGGTTTGGATAACTGTTTGTAATCGAGGCCACATGACTAGTTATTTATACGGGAATGTACAAGGCATGTAGTTTGCAGTATCACAGCGTTACTTCTTCAGTCACTCAGCTTCACCTATAACAGCGGAAAAATCACCGTAACTCGTACTAAGAAAAAATGACTACTAACAAACAGCAACTGATTGTATTCAGTGACTTTGACGGTACGAGTATTCAAACAGACATCTTGAAATTAACCTTTAGGTACTATTACCGTTCAGGATTCCAATGACTATTTGACGGGTACGATTTAAAATACAGTCCTTTTAGTGGATACAGTATCATCTTTGAAATTGTCCACTTTTCTGGCTTTTTCGCCCATGGTTATTTACGCGGAGTCTATAATTGGGCAAATGTTACTTCTCTTCAATACTAACCATTAGACAATCATGGTTTTGGCTATGACAAGCGTATGGTCTTGCACAAACAAATTCTAAACGGAACACTTTCTTTCCGGTATATACTTACTAAATATGAACCGAGTTTTAATTACTAACATTTTGCATCAGTGATGGCTTTAAGCAAATGTTAGACAGCTCAAAGCTCACTTATGAGGAGTGCTTGGACGTTTTAAAAAAGAATATAGCTATTGATCCACACTTTTCTGAGTTTTACAAGTGGTGCTTGGACAATGGTATTCGTTTGGTCATTTTATCTAGTGGAATGGAACCCTTCATTCGTGCCCTTTTCGCTGTGTACTTGGGTGAAGATGAGGCAAAGAAGATTGAAATTGTGTCGAACGGAATAGATGTGAAGCCCGATGGTAAATGGAGCATCGTTTACCATGACAATAGTCACTTTGGACATGATAAAAGTCTTACTATAAGACCATATGCAGAGCTTTCTGAAGATGAGCGCCCTTTGATGGTTTATTGTGGAGATGGCACTTCTGATTTGAGTGCTGCTAAGGAAACACAGTTACTGTTTGCTAAGAAAGGACGTGATTTGATTACTTACTGCAAGAGGGAGAATGTTCCCTATGTTGAGTTTGAAACGTTTGCTGATATCCATGATTGTGTAAAACAAATTCTCGCTGATCCTTCCAAGCTCAAGACTTTAGCCGAACATTAAATTCGGTCAGCTATGGCTATTGACAAAGGTGCCTTCAACTTTTTGGAAACATGATCACTTGTGACACATCACCAGTGATGTACAGTATAGCCCTGGATTTTGTTCAATAAATTTGGATACATTCAATTTGACAACTGTGCCTCTTGCTTGGCGAATAGCGTAATAGTGATTTTATTACAATATTTTGTAACCAAAAGTAAATTTTTCAACATTTTCATTTAATTATGCTGATTTAGAGCAGTGGCATCCGGTATGCAAGACAATTTTACATGGGTTACTTTACATAAATCTCTTAAGGTGCTTTTCCTATAACCACGAGTCGTCATCGAACCATCTCTTACCGTAGCATTTCGTCGTGCAGCAGCATCAATATTATTAATTCATCAACATAAAATCATAACAAAAAGTCACCTTGTAATGGGGGACTTAATCATAATGCAAAGTTTTTACCAAAAGAACCCAATCAAAGCGCTGTTGATAACATACATAATCTAAGATATAAAAATCTTAAGCTTGAAAACTAAAAACAATGTTAGTAACGAAGACAGAAGGCAAACTTACGAGAATTGGTGTATCAAAGGGCAAGAGCCTCCGCTACTGTAATTAACACTGAAACAATAGTAATGACCTGAAAGCGAAGCAATATGAATCTGAGAACTTGGACCATAAAAATAAATACTTCCTGCAAAAGTAGTTTCAGGGATTCTTGCAGTAGCAAAATCTCGCTGAGCTTCTGATATACGAGCCAGTCGAGATGAGAGACTTTTTGACCATGAGTTTGATGTCGAATGCACTTTCGGAACTTCAGCATTTAAGCCATGTTTTCCTGAAGTTTCAGGCAAACGGTATATATGAACAGTTCCATTTTCAGATACGCTCGCTAAAAAAGCCAAGTCAGGATGAAAGGCGAGAGCATTCACGGAAGCATGTTTGTAACCTCTTCGCAGTAAACATATCAAATTTCCTTCTGGTACTGTAAAGACCTTAATCACTGTACCCTTTTTTGAAGATGTGGCTATCAACTTCCCATTTGGATGAAGGGCTATACAAGAAACCTCAGTAGAATGTGCCTTTATAAGCGCAACAACATCAGCATCTTCCATATTTACTATGTCACAGTTTCCAGCATTGACTTTGTTTGGAAATGCCATATATCGCCGATCAACTGTAACCGCCGTAGGCAGGCAAGTTGATGTTTGTAAAATATTAAGCAAATGCAAATCATTCAAAGAATACAGGAAAAGTTGCTTATCCAATAAAACAACTAATCTGTCACTCGTCAATCGAACATGGAAAATCGAACTAGGAAAATACAGTTCAGCTATAATCGAATCCGTCTTTTTCACGACTGTTAGTACAGGAACGAACACATAAAAAAATAGAAACAAACCTTTACGTCTACTAAACGAAGCATTCTTGGTGATTTAGGGACTAGTTGGACAAGTGCTATGAGGGAAGTTGCATGAAGCATTTCAACGATTTGAACAGGATCCGTCTCTTCATGATAATAAGTCAGTAGATGTATCGCAGTTTTCCCCACAAGAACCTACCTTTAGAATAACACAGTGCAAAAGGATGACTTTTATAGATCCGGAACCCTTGTTCCGAGCCAACAGCAAGAAAACTGTAACAATTTAGTTTTAGTAATTCTTTCACACAAGGAAAACATACGTGTAATCCTGATTCCATGAGCAGCTCAATATATCGTTTGGCATGAGGAGTATAAAACTTTACTGAAGTAAGGTTGGATGCCGAAAAAGCATAGCACGCTTCTCGAATTTGATAATGTTTCTTCTAATAGGACAGTTTACACAAGACCAAAGTCCAAAATGAGAAACTGTAACCTGAAATAAAAAGCCTTAAACGGAAAACAAAAGAAGAAAAGCAAGGTGAACCGTAAACAATGGTTAAATTGTTAAACAAAACTCCAAAAATAGTTGCTATCACATGAATGGATGTTGGTCCTATATTTTATCGAGTATTCGCCGCTCGATCAAAAGTTGGCCACAAAACCGCAGACGAATGCTTTACTTTAAGATACTAGTGAGCAGAATGCTAATCTGCCTAAATTGACGGGAAACTGCGATACAATTGCGGTTTGTGTGTTAAACGGCGACCAGCTCCTTATTGAAGCTGAAACTGCGCGCTCCAGGGCTTCACTTTTGTTGTGTGGCACTAATAGTTGGTGGAATATAATAACGAGAAATAACAAACTGTAATGCAACACATGCTAGGCTATGGTGAATAACATTACAACCTATTCCCCAAAGAACCCTTCATCTCTGGCTGGGAAACGACCTAATACTTCACTAAAGCCAACGACAAATTGGTGGTTGTGGTTTAACGCTTTTAATTGTACATTACTATTGGGTTAAAATTGGCATAAATTTCTAGCATCCTGTTTCTTTGTGTTTAGGTACTGACTGCGACAATTTACAGATTCTATGCTGCTTTCCCAAGTGAAGAAGACCGAATCCTCATAGCTCATTTTTATTTTTTTGCGGTTTTGTTTTTAGATCCCCTCTCTTACTCTTTTTGTGTCATTGCTTTTTGTTTTTTTGACGCTGTTCGTTACTACAGTCATTTTTGAAGCATTCATCTTTTTTCCTACGTATTCAATGATGATGGCACAAGCAACACTTACGAAGTCTGAATGGGAGTGTGAATTTAGTAAGGTGATAGCATTCAGGGACCGTGTTCTTGTTAAAGATGCTTCGGATCATATACAAAATCAAGTGCCAAAACAGCGAGTGTATACTATTTTGGACAGTCAACTGGAAGAGCTTCGTAAAAAAACACGGGATTCTATTCGGAAGAAAAAATTGGCGACAAAACTCAAGTCCAAACTTGAACTTATTAAAAAGCAAAAGGTGCGCGTTGCTCGAGCTCACGGGGAAATAGAAGACGTGGAAGATGCAGCTTTGGGTAATACTGGAGATACTTTTAACGGAGTTACGGCTTCTAATCCATCTGTGGGAAAAGACAGAAATGTTACGGCAGCCACAAACTTAACCGCCTTGCAAAGTCCATCATCACGGAAGAGTAGGGAAACCGAGCTAAAATTCCGGTCTCCTAACAAGCCTTCACTATCTCCGGTTTCAATTCCAACAAGTAAATCGCCAATTTCTGAGACCACTATGATTTCTCCGCCGTCTTCAGCTAAGTCTGCATTTCCTGTTTCTGCTCCTTCTCCTCCTCTTCCCTCCAATGACCTGCCGCCTCTTCCGCATATGCGCCGCACTTCTGAGCAATTGAAGTATTCTGTGAGTGACGCCCCCTACATAACAGAAAAAGTCCATCAACAACCACTTTCTCCGCCCGTTTCCGCGAAGCCAGATTCACCAGCGCCTATAAAACATGAACCGTCCTCTCCCTATGTTGCACAAACGATGGCAGAAACATACCACCACTGGGAACGTATGGCTCAGTTGTCTTCATCGAAACCTCAAACTCAGCCTATGGGAACTGATGCTTCTTCGTATGCTTCCACTTCGTTGTATGAACCATCACAAATTGATGTTCAACAGGCAACTGAATATGGGTCTCATCCCGTTGCTTATTCTCCCTCGCGTAGCGATTACGGTGTTGTCGCGGAAGTTCGTGAGCGACCTGTAACCTCTCCAAAATGTTTACCTTTTCGACCGTTTAATGAGGTCCATCAAGCTGAATGGTCTTATCCGAATTATACTCCGCAACGTACCACTTCACCTTTCAGTCCTTATTATCATCGGCGTGTCCATTTAAATCATCAACGGGCTATGAGTCGATATGCGCCTTATGTCCGTCCACCTCCATCTTATGAAACTTCTTATTACGCCGTCCCATCAGCGCCTGTTCCGATGTACACCGCAAAAGTTTGGGAGCCACAAACTGCTTGTTCACACATGCCTCCCTTACAACCACCTCCTTCTCAACTTTCTCCTCCGTACTCTGCACCGTCTTATCGGCGGCCTTCTAGTTATGCTGGCGATCCATATTCGTATGGAGATGCGTATGGTTACTAAATCTCCTGGTGTAGATGAGATTACGATGCTTCAAAACATGCTGCGTGGAATGAATCTTGAATTGAAATTTTGGGCTCATTCCGTATCTTGTTATTTCCACTCTCGCCTATCCTACCTTCTTGCTGTACATAATATCTGTTTTCTTCTTTAGTTTAGGTATTTCTGTGTTTTTGGAGCTTTATGATACTTGTTTATGTTTTCTATTCAGTAATCTAGAGTAATTAGTAAGAACGTCTTTTACACCATACCGCGTGCTTACCTCATGAGTGATTTCTCTTTGTTTGCTATAATATTTGATATCCTTTCGAGTTTGTTTAAAACCATTTCAATTACTTCACGGCTATAGGTGTATAGCACATCTTCATCATAAATTTGAATATTAGACTCTCAATCAGAGAGTTTGTGCATTGGGTCTTATGAAACCTACCATTGTAAGTATCTTTGCAAACAAAAACTAATTTTTAGTATTTTGATGGCTTCCATTTTTCTGGGATAGTATTTTATTTTACGAATGTTTGCACAGTTTAAGAACCGATTTAACTATCGAGTATTAGTAAATCCACTTAGTCCAGACATTTACACCAATTGGATTGCAAACGGGATTACCGCCATATCGTCTATTCCTAAAGAAAACATCGATGTACTGGTCTTAGCTTCGGCTTGGCATCGAACGAATGAGAAATTTGTTACACATTTACCGGCTCTGAATAGAGGAGCAATTGTTCTGTTTGTTGACCAGCCGTTTCCCGTTATTGAACAAGCTCAGCGAAATCTTTTGGGCAGTAAGTTTTACGGAAAGGTAAATCTGTGCGAGTTTTCGCGCTCAAATAGTATGTTCCGGACACGAACAGGCGATAGTCTATTCACGTTTACTCCGACCTCTTATTTGCGAAGGCCTGTCACAGAAAGGAATAATGGTATCACGGTTCCAAGTCGTCCTGCTATGGCTTTCTTTGAAGCGGTACTCAAAACAAAATTCTTAGCCGTGAACATAATTTCCCATGATGCTTTTCTTTTAAACAACTTAACTAACATTTGTGTTTATCCAGCAATGTTAGCTACATCTGTTGTCTTTCAAGATTTGCCTACTATTGCAACATCTGAAGCGCCACCTAAATATATGGTTCTGCAATTACTAAAGGAATTTGCTTCGGCCATCAACAGTATTCCCATTCAAAATTGCTTTTTGCAGCAACAACTTTCATTCGAAAAAATGAAGAGACGTACCTTCAGCCTTTTGCAAACGTATTCGGCCTTCTTAAAGGATTATAAAAACCCTTTTAATCGCTCCAGCTTTCTTACTAGTTTAATATTCCTGTACAATTACCTACTAACAATGGGAAACGCATCTGGGCTTGAAATGGAAATAACAAATTTAGTATACACTCGCTTAAAAGGTTTATTGAATGCAGATGTACTAGATGATGTTTTGGTTAATGAAGATATGCTAACTAAACGGGAATGATTCATGACAGTTGCTGCATTAAGATGCTTCGAAAGCCGAAGTGATAAATGTATTAAGGTCTGTTTTTCCGAATTTAATGTACTGTATGATTGTTAGTAATAATGATTTTCGATGATTTAGTCCAGATGTTTCTTACTTTTTCTCTCTTCTTTGTGAAATCCGAGTTAGCGTAACGGTCATAAAAACGCTCATATAGTGGAACGACAGTCTTCAAAACTTCCCGTAACAAAGTAGGAGCCGTTTCAGGGTCAAAGCGAACTTGAGCTTTATGGATTTCAACAACCTGTGTTATCTGTTCATTGAAATTTCTGAATCTTTCCTTCAAAGTCTCACGATCTTTAGCTGCCATACCAGTCTTGTTGGACGATGACTTAGTGTACGTTGCATCAAGCAAATTTTGTGAGCACTTATTCCATATATCCATATATGCAGAAGTAAAACGTTGTTTGCAATCTGAAAGTCGGGTAATCAAATTCTCGTACAGTGTTTCATTTAAAGTTAGCGCCCGTAAAGCATGGTCAATGTGATAGAATACAAGAAGCACTTGGGCCGACGCAAAGCTCGGTGGTTGCGTAGTGGCCTTCGCATACACTCGTACTGACTCGATGTAGTTTTCTATGCAATCCATCACATAATTGGTAACAATTTCAATGCCAGCCGCATCAGCCATATGATTTGGTGAATCTAAAGGAATATTCTGTTCGTTTCTCCATCCCCAGTTTCCAATTCGTTGGAAAAGGTAAAAAGCATGTTCACTGCTACACAATATTGAAAGATATTCAGTGACTCCAGCTGTTTCTTCATCAATCCGATCTAGCGAAAGCTTAAGGGAAGTATTGTTCGTACAAATTGATTCGTAGAATGTAACGATGTTGCTTGAAATAAGTTTTTCAATCTTCTTTTTTATGCGAACTAAGCACATAGTAAGGGCCTCATCTTCGAACGGCATGTCTTTCGCGAGAACAGTTATAACTGTACTCAAGTTTCCTACCATAGGAAAGAGGATGTAATTATCATAAACATAACGATCGTTGTATATTTGAAACACTTGCTGGAAGACCGTGTTAACCATATCTACAACTCGATTGACGATAAGTGGATATAGTTGTTTCGCATCAGCAAGCCCATATATTTCGATAAGTTCATTAGCCTCTAACGGTAAGAGGCGAACTAATGCAGCACTGTAAATACTAATTTCGTCACTCATGTTTTGTGATGCTTGGTTACGTAGCAGAGCTACATCGACGTTTTTTCCAACTTCCTGTAAGATGCCACTTAGGTATTCACTTCTGCTTGAAATGTAAAGAGTATCAATTTCAGAAGAGCAAGAACACGGTATCAATACGTCTTTATCGAAGGAGTGTATCAGTGAAACAAAAGCTTTCAATTCAACAGTTGGAAAGGCCCATTGATACTTCCAATCGAGAACATCGATTGGATCCTGATTCATATGATTGAAGCTGCTAAGTTGCGTAATGCATAGGGACTGTAAAGTTTGAATGCCACTCTTCAGTAACTCATTTATGCGATCAATGGCAGAGCTAAGATAAGAGAGATTGTCATTCTCAAGGTGAATCTTCAATTCACATATTTGTCTTAGTGTTTCCATCACCCCGTCCAGTTGTTCCATAGGTTCCGAATCTGTTTGCTCGCATCGCTTGACTTGATCTTCTAAAGCAGAAAACTGAAGATAAACTTCACGAATCGTTTCCAATCTTTTTAGGGCAGTATTAACATCTAATAACTGTCAGAATTAAATCAAGTTTTACTTAACTACATACTTTTGGAAATACGATTATAATTCGTGATATCACCATGTACTTTAGATGTCGTTTGCTGCAAAGTTTTCAAACGGCCTTCCATAGAACCTAGCAGTAAAGATATATCTGACACCTTTTTCGACACTGCTACCAGGTTTTTCTGAAACGTATCATATTCACCGACCTTCTTAAATTAGCCTTTAATAATAGCAATAAAACAACAAACCTGCATGACGTTCAGCAGTATAATAGCTTAAAGTATATGAAATGCTATTGTTAAAAGATACTTGTCATAGAGTTCTAGGTTTCAGGCAAATAAGTGAACTTGTCGGTTAGTATGTTAAGGGTTCATACAAGAAATAGGCCGGTGCAGGAAACATGCCTACAGAGCCGGTAATTTTTAGATTAAATGTGAAGATTTATGGCAACTACTTAGTGATTCATTAGATAAGTTCTTAGAATACGAAATTTTAATAGTTATCAGAAAATTTCAGTTAATGTTAATTTACATTAAAGTGTTGTCAATTCATAGTGTATTGTGCTTGCATAATACTCTGGAAACCGTATGCTTTTGCTTTTTAATAAACCAAGGAAATCGTTCCGTTTGTTTCCGCTGAAAAAGCAAAAAAATGCGTACAGAATATCTTGACTTGGCGTAACCGGCTGATGAATGATATTTTTAAGTTCCTCAAGCGCCAGTTCCTCTTTATTGTTGAGCAGCAAAATATACGCATGTGCTTCTAGTAATGTTGTAGAAGGCTTAATGTTTGTTTGCCGGCATTCATTTAAAACTGCATCTGCAATCTGTAATGATAAAACATCAGCGGCGTATTGCATAACAATTTCAAAAACACTTGGATTAAGCAAGTGCGGTTTTGCTTTAATCGAATTGTAAGAAGAAAACAGAAGAGTTGGACTCTTCACCCTTAAAGCTGTCAACATCAAAGTCAGATGTGTGACATAAAGAACACGGTCTTCCTCATGTTTTAGTAGGGCACTAAGGTATTCAGGCAGGTTCACGCCTCCTTCGTATTTTTGCGTTAGGGCGAAGACAAATGGCTTTAAAGCTCTAGGTTTAGGAAGCTTATCCGAAAATGCACAGTAAGCCGTAAGCGCTTGCAATGGCATACCGTTGGAGCAGAATGCTTCAATAATCGCAGCAGCAGCTGTTCCAGGAAGTAGTAGGCCTTCCTTTTTCTGATGGTTATACAATTGTAAAGCCGCATTAACCTCACCATGTGAACATAGGGTGTAGAAGACAAATTTTGTTAGTGTCATCGTCGAAAGTGATATTCCAAGTTGATTTAACAATTGAAGTACATGCTTTGTTCCTTCGCAATGCTGAAAATAAGCAAAATAGTATAGTAGTTCGTTAAAACTTTCCTTGAAAACGAGAGCTTTTGGAGAACCAGCTTGCTTATCATTTGGTAAATTTGGAAGTATTGTTAATACCGGTTTAATAAGGTCATAAAGAGTATTAGGTGAAGGACTTAAAGAGAGAGCGTCTTTTTGGAGGAAATCTGAAACATATTGCTTTAACAACTTCCACGTTATGAGATTTTGCTGAATAAGAAAGTTTAAGAGTTCCTGATTCTTCGATTGTAATACAATTCGTACAAGCTGTGACTGAAATTTTTCATTAGTAACGACTTCGCATTTGATTGCCGTTTTATATAACCTAACAGCCAAATCTGCGTTATTATTTTTTTCGGCAACCGATAATGCTTCATAAAAAAATGCTTTACACGGGGCTAAATTGCCCTCTGAATAAAGGTTGAGAGCTGCGTAAACGTCAGATGATTTGGCATTTTTGTTAAACAATTGGCCTGTTCGCTTAGGAGTAAAAACCAATACATTTTGATCATAGCTTTTACTCGAAGATAATTTTTCATCAGACGGCTTTCTTATATTCGGTGCATTTGTCATTAGATTATTTATGCGTACAGCAGCAGAAAAGCTTATTGCTCGTACTAAGGTGCCTCGTGCATAAAAAGGATGGAATGCAAAATAGTGAAACACTTTTTGACAAATTAGATTCATAATTCTTCCATAAATTAGTATAACAAAACATAGATTACCGTAGCATTTGGTAACTGTTATAAGGGAAAACGATTCACAGCAATGATGAATAAACAGACGAGAACAAGATTATTCAGAATGACCTAAATAAAAATGAAGCAGCACATCGACTTAGTACACAAAAGATTCAATGCTTCGTATTCCCCCTTTAAAACGAAGAAGATGTGCTCGCTTTTCCATTTAATATTTCATGCCTGGGACAGTGTTCTATTTAGACTACGTCATTTCTCGTTAGATTCCTTTAGCAGAGCTTAAATTTTAAAGTTTTCGCTTCGAAACAGACCTAATATGCAGAATAAATAGTGCTACATGACTCTTCTTTTAGACATTAGAACGTCGCACACAATCAGCGCAGTGTCGCTCAAATGTGATTGTACTTCTGTACCTTGCTTAAACCACAGAAGTGAGTCTTAAACGTGAAAATGTATGATTTGCCTCATTGCACTTAAGGTTACAAACACTAAAAAAAAAGCAAACCCCAAGCAGAATATGAAGAAAAAGTGAAAGTAAAGGAAATAAAAGTTAAGTTCCTTCATGTATGTATAACCTGAGTTCCAATCCTTGCAATTTCAAGGAATTGGACTCCCCGAAAATTTTTGCAGTTATAACGTTAAAATGTGACGTCTTTGAAAGACCATGTTGGCGCTCGCCTTCGCTTTTTGGCATACCGTTTCTCCGAACATGTATGTTTTGTATAAAAAGATGGTTGAATACGTGGTAATTAATTTTGTTGGCTGAGCTTATACCTCCAACCCTCAACATATAACTTCCTCGTTTCAAATACATCAGAATACCTGAAATTATTCCCCTTCTTTCGTGAAAAATAAGTACATTTCTTAGGAAAAACAACTTTATTCTCGTTTGCTACTCACATTTCAACTCAAAACATCATTTACGATACTAGTTGAAAATTAAGAATTAGTGTAAAGAGACAGTATAAAGCGACAAATTGTACTTGCATTTCCACGTCAAGTTGGCAGCTTTGGCTACTCACATATTAAACGGCCAGTCAATCTTTAGATAATGACCTTTCGTCCTAATCGTTTTCGCCGCAGAAATTCTGAGGAACCATTATCTCAAGCTTTCCTTCGTGACAATGGTGACTTGATTGAGGAGGAAAATGAAGATGAACAAGACAACCAAACGTTAGGTGAGAAACAGACGGAATCGTTGCATGAGGACGATGATGACGAAGAAGTTGCCGCGGAATTTCACACGGTTCGCAGAAACACTTCTGCACTTTCTCTGTTTGCACCCTCTTCTCAACCTGTTTCCGCACAAGGCTCGAATTCGATAAGAAGCAATCAATATCTTACCGTCAATACCGGTCATTTAAGAGTTCCTTCCACGCGGACATCGGATGAAGCCAATTCTCCAATTTCCACCTATACTTATGATACTAATCCGTCTTTTCTTCCCAGTCCCCCTGCATCTTTAAATGGTGACAACTTGCGCCGTCCCACTTTGGACCGTAGTTATTCGGCTCCTCTTATAGAAAATCCGATTACAACAGGACGACTTCCAAGTATTGATTCGGCTTCCCGACAGGATCTACCCCTACTTGATCGGAACTTACTTCCTTCCTCTACAAACGAAGCTTACAAGCTTGTCGCCGCACATACATCTGCTCGTTTGGAGCACATGCGTTTGTTTGCACAGCGGGCTAAGGAAACCAGTACGCCGGATGATACCGACGAACTCGAGAAGGAATTTACCACAGACACCCGCGAGCATTATCGAGGAGGTGTTTTGTCAAACCTACTCAAGCTTTATACACACACAGACGTTGCCGCTTCCAGCCGTAACGTAAAAACTTCTTCTTCGCGACAAAAAAAATGGCAAAAGCATAAAAAAGTTAACTCTTCCACCCACTCCCTCAGCGACCTCTTTCAGGCATCAAACTCAACTTTTCTGGCGCCTATAACTGCTAGTCAATCACGCGATGACCTTGCTCTTTTCCAAAAACCGTCTCCTCGTTCGCATATTAAATTTGCTCTTCCTTCTTATCACAAAAAGCCGAAGCCTTCAGATGACGAGTTGAAGATTACCGTTCACCTCGCCGACATTTTACAGCGGCAAATGTACATTTTAAAACTATGCCGAGGCTTGATGATATATGGTGCACCAAGTCACAGATTGGAGGAACAGTTGGTTGCTACAGCAAGAGTGCTCGAGATTGAGAGCCAATTTCTGTATGTCCCCGGTTGCACTCTTATTTCTTTTGGTGATATCAATACACACACTTCTGATATGCACATCGTTCGGGTCAATCAAACTATAGATCTTGGCAAACTGAAATTAGTGCATCAAATTTATAAAGATGTTTTGCACGACCTGATGAGTGTAGAGGAAGCAATTAAGAACCTTGACGATATCTTCAAAGCAAAATCCTATTTTAGAAACTGGTTAATTATTGTCATGTACGGTTTCGCTAGTGTCACTATTCTTCCCATCGCCTTTGAAGGCGGTTGGCTTGACTTACCCCTTGCTTTTGTCCTTGGGGTACTTGTCGGGATATTACAAATTTATGTTGCTCCAAGATCGACAACATACAATAGCTTGATTGAAGTTACTGGCGCTATCCTCACTTCATTTCTTAGTCGAGCTCTAGGAAGTATTGCTCGGGGCACCGGAAAATTATTCTGTTTCTCTGCTTTGGCAGAAGGTGCCATCGTCGTGATTTTGCCTGGGTACATTGTTTTATGTGGTTCTCTTGAATTACAGAGTAAAAATATCGTTGCTGGAAGTGTGCGAATGTTTTATGCTATCATATATTCCCTATTTTTAAGTTTTGGCATCGCTATTGGATCCGCTTTATATGGATGGATGGATCACAATGCAACCATGGACGTTCATTGCCCAGCATCTTCACAACTTGACGCGAAATGGAGAATTTTGTTTGTACCTTTGTTCACGCTTTGTCTGTTAATGATTAATCAAGCACGACCAGCTCAATGGCCAGTCGCTACATTCATTTCGTGTGCCGGCTATGCAGTGAATTATTTCTCCTCCCTTCATTTTGGATCAACTCAAATTGCCAACGCTATTGGTGCATTTGCCATTGGTTGTCTGGGAAACATATATTCCCGATTAGGAAAGGGTCTAGCATTTGCGGCTGTACTTCCAGCAATATTCGTTCAAGTACCCTCAGGACTTGCAGCTCAGGGCGGCCTATCAGCAGGGTTACAGGTTGCTAGCTTAGCAACAAACAGCACTACTTCCACATCATCATCTTCTTCTACGTCACAGTACAGCTCCCTTCTCTTTGGTTTGGCAATGGTACAGCTAGCAATTGGTATCTCAGTGGGGCTTTTCGCTTCGGCCATGGTCATTTATCCTTTCGGAAAGCGCCGCTCAGGGCTTTTTAGTTTTTAATACTTGTCAATAACTTTTTAATCTTTTCGTTTCAAGTTTTGTATATAATTAATAGAAAATAAATTTACTAATCAACATTATATCATTATATAAAGCTACAGCTAAGGTTCTTAGTGCTTTTTAAGAAATTTACCACAGTGTGCTAATATGTGTTACACCAGAGAGGAACAGTTTATGCCCCACCCTTACTTGTGAAATTGGCGGAATGCTGCAGTAATAACTTGCCTTTACCAAGCTGCATACAATAAAGCTTTTAATGGAAACAACTAAAATTAGTTGTGACGAGCTTAGCGTCTCGCAGAACCTGTTGTATCTTGTCCAATGCCTTGTTAATGGAGATATTGCAAATGCTCGGCGTTTATCTCAATTTCTAAAGCTTAATTTCAATACTTGGCTATATCTTATGAACAAATACATACCAGAAGTTGCACCTCTGAAGTCGTATCTTGGCTATCTAAATGAAATTGATTATAACACAGCCCTCAAGGAACCTGTATCTTTTGAATTGCAGTGTTCCGAGGTTCCTATGGACGAGCTGTGTCAGCTTCGGTTAAAGAACTTGCATCTGGATAATCTGGACGAATTGCAAAAGCCGTCAGATCTTTCGGAATTCTATATTTCACGAGCCTCACAAATCATGAGTGTTACAAATTTAGTCGAGCTTGCGGACTCGTTGACGAGTAATGATGATGTCCCCGTTACAGTGAGCATTTGGAATAAGGAAAAACTCGGTCTTTTAAAAAAATTAAGAACCTACAGCTCATCAGATTTGAAGTTGGAAGATCTCGGTCAAATGTCTATTCGCGACATCGTTTCCCTCTGCTTTCCGAACATGAACACAAGCAATTGTGTTGATATAATGGACATAATTATAAAGGATGCGATTAGTTCAAACAGCTCAAAACAGGAAGCATTGGCTTTCGTCTGGGAAAAACTACTTCAGCATACAAAAACAGAGGGTTTGGAAGTTATCGCACATCTGCTTGAACTGTGGAAGGTCGAGGAGGATATTTTCAGAAAGCTATCTCAAGTTGCAATCGCTTCATGCTATGTTTGGAATGATAGTACACCGGAAACATGTTCATTTATTCACGATATTGTCCGGTGCATTGAAGAACACATTCCATTTGACGAAGATGCTTTTCTAATGTTAGATGAGGAGCCTCAATTTCAAAGCAAGGATTTACTGAAGGATGACAACAAACTCACAACGAGCAGTCCAGCCGCTATTAACTATTTGCTAGCTCTTACAGATGTTGTTGGATTTTGTCGAGAATTTTCGGTATTTCCCGTACCTAGTGTCCGCATTGGCTTGCAGATGTGTTTTAGCAATGAAGATATGCAAATGACTTTCTTGAAGAGATTGATTACATCTAATCAACATTGGTCTACCAAACGTTCAGAAGCTGACTGGTCTTATCTTTTGCTAACGATGTTGGAGTTTCAGCGTCGACGTGTACTCTTTACTAAATTGTCACCGGATACCTTACGGCTACAGGTTTTGTATCACATGCTCATATTGATGAAATTTAGTACCATACGAACGATGACATCTATGTTTGAAATTGAAAAACTTCCAACGGAAGGTGCTCTTCGTTGTATGGAGGATGCTTTTTTCCATTTTTATGATAAATGCAATGCGGCCAGTCGGAATACAGCTCACACGGAGGCGGCTGCCTCTGTTTTAGACACATTCCGTGAACATAAAGATTTATGTGAAAGGAGACAGTCGCTCTCTGCTCTTCTTAAAGTATTTGAGTTATTAAGAGAGTTGCAGGCACCGTCATTTGTTCGTGATCTTCGTTCTGAAGACACTACGAAAACAGACATACATGTTCTGATCCCGTCATTGTTGAAAACACATGTCAAGGCTTACAAAGCTCTGGACAACGTCTTAGCGCTCGGCGTTGAGCTACTGAAGCTGCGTGGCGAGTTTCAATATGAAAATCCTTTGAATCAAATTCAAGACTTGACGCTATATGTCGCTAGATTATGTATTGAAGCATCCCTTCAAGCTACAGATCTAGTATGTGCAAGAGAGTATTTGAATGACCATATTGAACCGCTTGCGGAAAAATCACCGAAAGCCAAAGATCTTTACTGGCGCACTGCCTATGATATTGGTAAATGTCCAGCCATTACAGCTACCGCACGTGAAGTTCGAAGCGATATGCTTCAACTTGCCATAGCAAAGGCACCAAAGGATATGTTACCGGAAATTTTTGACTATTGGACCCAGTTTGAGGAAGAAAATGACACAGCGGCTAACATGAAAGAAAAGGACATTGAAGATGATTATGTGGATGACTTTGAATGGCCCGTTGATGAGGATGACGATGATGAACCTATCTATAGGAACCAGCCAGAAAAAACGAACAGCTCACGGCATAACAATGTTCGTGAAAATATTGCTGACAAAGTTACAAGCACATTGACAAACGGAATTGGATGGGTGCTTGGGGTCCCAAGGGAATGAGAATCTATACTCTAATATTGCATCGGCACAACAATAACTCTGTACGCTCGTTAATTTTATAAATTTAAGTTTATGACACTGCGGTTCAAGGAAAAAAGTGTAATATTAAGAGTAAGGAAAAAAAGAAAGATACCTGTATTTATTACGTATATTAGTGGTAGATAGTAAGAGCGGTATGTATGAAACTCCCGGTAGACTTTAGTCATTCCTTAATACGTTAGTAAAGTTACATTGCAAAGTGTGCTTAAACGTACCAGACCTGACTCATTAAACGTTGAACCGTAGAAAGAGCCTCAAAACGGACTTCCGAGTTGGAGTGATTCATTAGCTGCATAATGATAGGCTTGGCACCATATTTTATGACAAAGCTGCGACCCTCTGGATAATGTTGCAGATAACAACCAATATCATGACAAGCAACTGCCAAACTCTTCACATCTTGAGGGTTTTGAAGAATGTTAATGAGTTGTTTCAACACAGCAGAATCATCGTCGTTCAGTTTCTTCACATTTCTAGCCCAAAATTCTTCTGATCGGTGAGACGGCGACCAATGCAAATGTCCGCTCTCGACTTCGGTTTTGTATATATCAAAGTTGGAAAGCTGACGAGAGCACTCAGCCAGAGTTTCATCCAAGTAAGTAAGGCTAGCCACGAGATCCTCATCAGACCACTTACGATGCTGAAGGGTTTTAACAAGACTGTCCACACGTTCCAGCAAAACTGTACTTGCATTCTCTTCACGTGCGTATTTAAGCAAGTTCACGAAAATAGCTAGAACAATGCGATAGATCTTTTCTTTTTGATCAGCACGAGCAATCTCAGCCAACAATGAAATGCATGAGAACCGCTTGTTCATCTCCTTGGCAATTTCTGGTTCAAAACTGAGAAGCCACAAATTCAAGAGACCATAGTAAAGCAACTGAGGATCGCCCGACACTGTTCGGAGCATCTCCACAAGGCGCATAGAACACGACTTTTCAGTCCAAAAGGCACGGCGGTGGGGTTTTAAGTACAAAATGGCCACTACACATTGTGCTGCAAAAAGCTTCAATTGAGTGTCGGCAGAATCAGACAACAAGGAGCCCAGGTATTCCAAAACGAACGTAAATTCTTTGGCAGCTGTGCATGGTTGATACACGCAGGCCAAGGCAAACAGTTTAACAAACAAAAGCTTTTCGTCAGAAGCCAAGCTCTCTATCCAACTAAGATGTAGGTTGTTAGTCAAGGTCTCGAGAATTAAAAAAAAATAAATAGGGATAAATGTAACAGAAATAAGCATAGCGAGCTTTGGTAATATCGTGACATAATTTGCATTTCACTCATCATCTTACCTTTTGGAGCCAAGCATCTCAAAAAACAAGGGAACAAATATGTTTGCCCAGTCTCTGGATACTACCATTGTTGTTAGTAAACAGCAGCCAATGTCAGCATTGTAATATAGCCATACCCAAAAGAATGTCGGAAATATTGATGCAAGCAAACGCAAAAATATCATCGTGTCCTTCAATTTGTAACATCTTTAAAAAGACCTGTGTATAGGCATCACCATTCTGAGAGAGTTTCCTTGTTAACAATCACGTTGAGAGGGAAAGGATTGATGAAATTGTATATACCTCTAACACAACCTGGACGCGTGCATCCAGGTTAAGACCATCTAGTTTGAGCACCTTTTCGCAAAGTTTCTCGTCAATGACATGTGAACGCTCATAGGCTCTCCAGGGAATAGCTCTGGTGCGAGCATTGGAAGCAACTTCGTCAACAAGTTGATTGTTTAACATGGCAGGAGGAGGCGTGCTGACCTCCTGTTTCCGGAGAAGTTAGTTATCATGCAGTTTCAATAAAAGAATGTACTTACCATTGTTTGTAAGCTTGTCATGACTGCAATTACAAAAAAAAAGGACAAAAGTTGGTTCTGGCTAATTGGCGGAGTGTCTACTACTGGGTCGTTGCCTAGTCAAAGCCTAAGAGCCGGGTGCTCCGCGGAATTGCCGAGGAGCCACACACGCGTCGGTAAACATATAAATGCAAAAAACCCAAGGAAAAAATGCGGCTGATGAATTGTTTGTTGAGCAGTGTTTTAAACGCCTAATGGTAAAACTTACAGAAAACAAGGTTTGATTAGCTGAGTCAATGTACGTTTTTTTGGGAGTATAGACAATGTTTTTTTCGTTTAACCGTTATGAAACGATTGTGAGATTTTCTGAGTCCGCAGAAGTCACCTTTTCGATTATCGGAACGGACTGACAAACGAAAAGGTTGTTTAAACCTCGTGAGCCCCTGAAACAGCTGCACACACTTCTGGCTAACCTTTCGCCGGCGTTTGTCTTACAGTTTTTGTCGAGTATTTCCCCCCATTCCTACGGGATAAAAGTATTTCATACTGACAAAGAGAAGCTTTCTTTCTATACACAACAGCCTGCGCCGTATCGAATTGCCGACCTAGACAATTAAAAGGAAAATACGCACACTCTTACACAACGCAAAAAGACTACACGAAATGGTTGACGTTGTTGACCTCCTCGTTGCAGGGTTTTTTAGCAGTACTATTACTTACATTTGCTACACGGTGTATGCGCCAAAATGGAACTGGACACTACGCTATAGCGGACATAGCGGGGAATTCAACAGCGACACTAAAGCTGCCGTTAAGGACACAAAGGAGGAAAGTTCGTGGTACCAGCTTCTTCGTTGTTCTGTTCCCAAGCACTGGTTCTGGCAGTTCTATGCTTATGGTCTGGGTATCGTTGCATTCATTTGGTATTCGCCATGGTCTTCTTGGAGAGAACATTCAAGATTGCTTGCGGCGCTTTTACCAGACTGGAAGGCTACTCAGTTGATGAAAGAGGACATCGGAACACGCATCGCGGTTACTATTTTTACTGTTCACGTTCTGCAACGTCTCATTGAAAGCCTGCGCTTCCGTCGCGGCAGTGCTCGCATCCTCCTTTGCCAGTACATTTTTGGATTCGCCTTCTACACGGCGATCCCTTTTTCTTTGTTCGGACATGCAAGCTCTAAGAAGTCAACAAGCGCTCTCAACGTCGTTACTGGCACCATTATAAGTGTATTTGGATGTATATGGCAAGGAGCCTGCCACGAATACCTTATCTCTAAAAAGCACTGCAAGGGCTATGTCCCATTAACAGGCAGCGGTTTTCGCTGGCTAAAAGGAGCCCATTTCTTCGGTGAATGGGTTATTTATCTTGGCTTTGCTTTCCTCGTTCCGCACTGGCAGTCGTGCCTGGCATTCGTGTCCGTGTTTTTCAGTATGCTAAACATTGCCACGTCGTACGCAGCAACCCAAGACAAATACAGCCCTGAGCATACTCATCGCCGGATTGTAGTTCCCTTCATCTACTGAGATGCGACGAGAACTTAAAAGAGGTGAATTTTGATAGTATTCAAGCACGTTTGTAGGAACACGAAACCATAAACATCCCTTTTGACGGTTCAGCATCTCCTCTTTCCATTATATTCGAAACTCAGTCGACATGGTTTCTCCATCATTAAGCCATGGAACGCGTAAAACATCTCCAAATCCCGCTGGCAGAACCTCGCAACGCGGCAACATGGCGAATTCATTAAGAACGTTGGCGTCCCAAGTAACTGTATAGGACGATTAATGCAAACATCAACACGCCAAGGGTAGTAACAAACTGATAAAGCTGGTCGTCTGTGATCATCTTCAACGCGGTACAGGTGGAGGGGAAGTCCGGGACCAACCTCCTCAGGCCGCTAAGCTTTACAAGTGGGGCGTATAGTGGGGTGCAACTAGCGGGTTCGCTTTGCAGGTGAGGGAGCTGAATGCGGGAGTTGCTTGTACGGGTTTACCGTGTCGTTAAGTTGTGGTATGGCATACTACGGCACTCTAAGGCGCTCGGTAAACCAACGAATTCCCTGATGCTGCATTCACCTTTAAGCTTCGCTAAGCGAGAGTTGGATGACGTAGGCGGTCCGTTATCGCATCCTGTTTAATCACGTCTTCGCGAGCGCTTTTCGAATCGCAGACAACGATGAATATACGACGCAGACGAAAACGTCTCACAGTCGTGCTAGGTGCAGCCAATACTAATTCACAGTGCGTCAGCGTCTGCCGACAGTGGATACTCTACTCATGTCTTATTCGCAAGATGACGTAATATATGACGTAAGCGTCGCAAACTATTGTCAGCTTGGAAACAGAGTATGACAAAGAAGTCGCTCTAGAACGTGTCGTTGATGGTAAGCTGACTTAGTCCCTTGCCGATCCTCCGCGCCTATAAAAGGCTGCCCGACCTCGTCAACGAGAGCTCAGAACACGCAGTCACATCATTCTGTGAGCACAACAAAACTATTCGTGTACCTCTTAACGAGAACCAACTCTACTAAACTTCAACCCACAAAAGACATCCAAAATGGTCCAACAAATTACCTCTGTCGACGAATTCCAAACCGCCATTAACGGCTCTGGTCTTGTCGTTATCGACTTCTTCGCTACTTGGTGTGGTCCCTGCAAGGCTATTGCTCCCAAGGTCGACCAACTCTCCAAGACCTACACTGACGCCACCTTCTACAAGGTTGACGTTGAGGAGCTGAGCGAGGTCGCTGTCACCGCCAACGTTCAAGCTATGCCCACCTTCGTTTTCTACAAGGCCGGCCAAAAGGTTGCCGACGTCGTCGGTGCCAACCCCGCCAAGTTGGAGGCTACCATTAAGCAAAACTTGTAAGGTGAAACGCCTCCCTTGTGTATTTTAATGTACGAGATAATGAGATGATGGTGATGTCGCTTGTGCGGCTTACTTTGTTCTGAACCCGATGCCGTTGTAGGGAGTGTCAGGTGTAATAGTGTTAGGGGTGGTGGCTGCCCTCAGTTGTAGTGTAGAACATTCGCTTATTGCCTGCGTAGCACGTTTTGCGTATTCTAGGTTTCACAGACGACGTTGGTTGAGAAACTAACAACGTCGACATGAAATCATGCTCGCACTTGTTCCGTCTCCCAAACACGTTTTATTTTGTTGCTAGTTGTACGGGAAGAACGCTTTTCCACAGCGAATTTCTCATCAATTATTGCTCGAATTGACTTTTTGAAGGTTCATTGGACTGAGCTTTTTGGAATTGCAAAGTGCACTTCTATAAACGTCTTCTGGACTTAATAACATCCTTGTTGCTGGCGGGCTTTCTTGTATTTGGAACACCACAAGTACGTACGATCGACTGATTGATTTTGTGTACTCTCTGCACCTAGTGAGTGCTCTTTTCTCGATAGTCACTTCAAAATGGTTCGGGTTCCAGATTTTATGAACCAATTGTTCCGCATGCGGTCCAGAGGTTTGTTGAGTGGTCTCAGCGTGTTGCTCGCCGAGTTTCCTCTTGTTATGGCCATCATAGCTCGTGTTCCGTATACAGAGATCGATTGGACTGCATACATGGAGCAAGTCCAGCTGTTTTTATCTGGTGTTCGGAATTACAAAGAACTTGTAGGCTGTACGGGTCCTCTCGTGTATCCTGGAGGCCATGTTTTGCTGTACACAATACTCTATTACTTAACCAACGGGGGCAACAACATATTGTTGGCTCAAGGCATCTTTGCTGTGGTTTACTGTACTTGTGTATTTACAGTAGGGCTTATTTTAAGAACAGTAAGAGCCCCGCTCTACTTGTATGGACTCCTGATTCTCTCAAAAAGATTGCACAGTATTTTCATTCTTCGGTTGTTTAATGATTCCTTTAACAGTCTTTTCGCAGCTCTTGCAATTCTGTTTGCCTGCAATAAACGCTTCTTTTGGGCGTCCATCATGCTCAGTTTGGCGTGTTCTGTCAAAATGTCGTCTCTCCTTTACTTTCCTTCGTACTTTGTGATATTGCTGCAAGCTGTCGGACCCAAAAAGACCTGGCTTCATGCGTTTCTCATTGTGCTTATACAGGTTGCTGTCTCGCTGCCTTTCATCAGCTATTTCTCAAATTATTGGCTTCAGGCTTTTGATTTCGGGCGCATGTTCGACTACACTTGGACAGTCAACTGGCGGTTTGTTTCAAAGGAATTGTTTGAATCAAACATCTTTTCTACAGGCTTGTTATTGATTCATATTTCGTTTGTTCTTATTTTCGCTTTCACTCGATGGAACCGGATTACGAAAGCTGGCCCCATTGCTATGACCAAATCGATGCTTACTCTGAAACCATTACAACCAGTAACAGCAATGACACCTCAGTTCATACTTACTGCTCTTGCCGCGTCCAACCTCCTTGGTATTGTTTGTTCACGCTCTCTGCACTACCAATTCTACGCTTGGTTTGCATGGTACACGCCTTACCTGATGTACCAAGCTGGATTCAATGCAATAATGGTGATCGGATTGTCAATGCTTCAGGAGCACGCTTGGAACGTTTTCCCGAGCACCGTTTCTTCCTCCATTCTCGCCGTTTCCATCCCTGCACTCACTCTCGCAAAGTTGTACCAGTCTACCGATAACAGAATTCGTTCCTAAATTCCCTCCGCAAAAAAAGACAAACCACTACGCATCTATAGCCCACAAACTGTAACACAACAAACTAATAAACATACATGACGAATAGGACAAGCAGATGAGGCAGCACGCGAAAAATGAGCAAGTAAAAATGGCAGCAATTATATAAAAACTAACTAGAAAGAGAAATTGACCACAAAGCATAATGTCGCAAGTCGTTGTTTCATATTCTAATGAAAGTTCACATCAATATGATTCAGGGGATTGACAGATTGGTAATTCATTTGCTTAATCATAAACAACCTTGACGACATTTGCCACGTGATGTCCACGCTCCCATTCAATGACCACCCACACCGACGAACAAGACCATGCACTTCAACATCGCAAACCTCAAGCAGTAGACCGGACGGGTAAGCCAATACTGCTAAAGCAGCAGCTCTTGCAGCTTTATATGCAGCAATCGAAAAACGCCGTCACAGAAACGTGGTTGTATGACGTCATGCGTGAAATTCAATTTTCAACGCGTCGTCGTAATAGAAAGCGCGCTGAGAGATGCGTGTCCTAGCAGATGACATTTCATTGTTTGTGTTACCGTGTGACAATTTAACGTCTCATTCTATCAGTAAGTCAACATAGAGTGTCACTTTGGTTGTAGTAGTACATTACAAATTCGGTTAGTGTTGTTTCCTTTGGCTTCGTTGGGAATTGAAGAAGACGCGTTCCGGAAAACACACAGAAATCAATTTAAAAGTTATTAGTATTGCAATTAAACAATATACAAAAAACGCGTTAATTGATAAGACAAAAGTCTAAACTGCTATTTCACTGCATCTTGTCGTGAATTATGCGCTTTACAAACCAATAAAAGCGATTCTTATGCTTCATATTCACCTGTCCTTTACCTATTACAGCATGGCTAAAGCAAGGGAATCAAGCAAGAGTAAAAGCTTAAAAGGCGAAGCCGGTTAGTTGGAACACTCTTGTAAACGGATTTGAAATTGACAATTTTGTTGTAGCCGAAAAAATGATTTTTGATTATCTTCGAAAAACAAACAGACCCTATTCTGCAAGTACTTCCATTGATTTTTAATTTACCCGTTGTCTTTTTTTGCTAACTTTGAAGCCGACATTAGTGCTAATTTAAAAAATGCCGTAACAAAAACCGTAGCTCAAAGGACTTTAGAGCAATTACGTGAAGCAGGAATGATTCACGGAAAGAACTACGGTATGCAAGATATTCGTCAATCCAGAATGCAGTCTTAACAACTTCTCATGCCACAGGAAAGCAAATAGTTTATGTTTGTCTTCAGGAGGAAGACGCATCGGCCAGCCCTGAAGAGTTAGGGAAAATGGACGCGCGTATTAAAGAACTCCGCGAGCAAGAAGATTCGCTTAAAACGGAATGCAAACATTTGAGTGAAGGTATCTTAATTCTCGTATCTCATTAAATCTTTGCGAAAATAAAAAAAACATGGACTAACTTTATACAGAACTGCACTCTATCACGAATGTTCTCACAAATAACCAACTTAAAAGTGCAATTGAAAAAGCAAAAACACAACTTGATGAATTAAACGAACAGTTTGTTAATGAGAGCCATGGTAAAGAAGAGCTGGAAAGTGTCACGGAAGACGAACAGATTGCTATAGCTAAAAACCATGAATTTGTCAAGAAAAGCTACAAAGCGCGAAAAAAAATGTTTTACAATGTTTGGAATTTGTTTGCCGATAATTTGGAATCACCAATAGAGTTGTGGACCAAATTAGGTTTTGAGAAAGACGAACTTGAATAAAGTGTCTAACTCGCGCGACCAAACTCCTGATGTCTGTGTTGCTTAATTGCGTGTGCAGGCGACAAAATACGCGCTGATGGTAACCTCCACTACGTGAAATTAAGCGGGTGTGGAAATTAAACAACTTTTTAAAAGCATACAGCTTATAAACTACGCTATTAACTTTCCAAGCTGTCTACCGTTTAGTTTTTTGTTACTATGGGTCCTCTCCGCTTCAATTATCGACCTGGTTTCACATTGCATGTCCGAGGGTTTTCTGAGTCAATGACAGCGGAGGCCCTTGGACAAGAATTTGAAAAGTACGATACCTTTGCGAATTTGAAAACTTGCGCGACTACCCTAATATTCAACCCGGCTAACACGAACGAGATTTGGTCGAATTGTGCGCTGCGATATTCCCGTATTTAGAACACCCGCAACTCGCCGGTATGTCAACACGTAAATTGTGTACAGTTCGAAAATAAATTATCTAACAATTATAGATATGCGTTTGTAGAATTTGAGGAACGAAGGGACGCAGAGGCCGCGCATTCTCGAATGCATCGCACGCGGCTAAATGATGACATCTTACATGTCGAATGGGCTCGTTTGAGAGACAGATTCGACCGTGGGGATCGTTTTCAGCAACGACCAAGAGGACCTGCTGCTTCTGGAAACAGAGATTCTTGGCCAGGTCGACGAATGGAAGCATCACCTCCCACCACCGGCGCCAACGGAGAAGAGATAAAGGAGAGGCCTAGATATGATGAATCTTCAACCAAGACACGGGACATTGAAAGTGCTGCAGATGAAGGGAACGCCAAAGAAAGTGAGTCTTCGGTAAAAGCTCACCGGTCGCCAGCTTCAGTGTCCGAAGAAGGTCAAACAACTGAGGTGGTAGCAGCCCCCATGAACACAGAATCCGAACATACTGATAATTAATGAATTCGGAAGATGCTTATTAAAAAAAAACAATTACTTTGCCCTAATGCGTACTAGGGACTCACGCAACTTCTTCTGAGTTTGCACGTTGCATAGGAACATCATGACGAGGTACCTTATTGAGGCTTTCTGTTTGAGAAAGATAATGCGACATTTCTTGGATTTGTTGCTCTAAGGTCGCACGTTCCAATGAACAATCTTTTCTCGCTGCATCACGGAAAACAATGAACGACTGACCGTTATTTTCATCTCGTTGAAATTCAATATCATCGTTTCCTTGCTGCAAAACGCGCAATGCCAGCAAGGGAGGTAATGCCAATTTGTCTGCAACTTTCAAAAGAGATATCGATTTGTACATTTTTTTTAAAGACCGTACTAAATGTCTTGGATACTGTTCAAGTGCGAACAGTATGAACGGTATCATTTCATCCTAAATTATCAGTGTTAGTTCAAACGGATAATCAATACTCTTAAATTTGTGTACGCGAAAATACACATACCATCTCAAACTGTCTCCAAAACTGTGTGCACACCTTTTTCAAGTGCTCTGCACCCTTAGAAAAGGCTTCAACAAACTGCGTATAAGGCATTAAATGTTTCTTCAGTGATGATGTCAAATTACAAGCGACAGCTTCAAATTTGAAGGGCTAAATCGGGAGACGAAACTGTCAGCAATCCGTTGGAAGTTTTCAGCTTAACGTACGTGTCCAGAGAGTGCAACTTGTAAAAGTATGAAGCTTGCCAGACATTCTTTGTATTCATCAGATACGCTAACATTTGGAATGCTTATAGCCTGTTTACAAAAAAAAAGTTAGTCTCTGTCTCATGCGCAATAAATACTTCGTACCGACAAGTACCATTCTCTAGCCCTCTGGTAATCTCTTGTCTTTAGGGAAATATAAGCACCAAAGCGGCAAAAGTTTAGCAATGTATCTGCAGGAAGACTCTTGACACGAAAAGATTAGCATTAAACAGAGTCTAAAGGTGAGGAATTAAGCCAAAGAAATGCACAAATCAACTTCTGGCTTTCGAATTTTAATTACTTCAAGAATAGTAGTCCATTGGAGAACGAGTTGACCACGACTCACGTCGTTTCTTCTAAGCAATTCCCGTAAAAGAGCAGTATGCAAACAGCACACTGGGGTTGATATAATCTTTTTTGTCAATGCCTCCAAGAGAGCGTTTGAGTACTGATGGTTAGCTTATATTCAAAGCCATCAAGGTTATATACATCATCGTTCTTTAGACACCATTCTCCCACTCGAGCGATAGCAAGAGTAACTAATTTTGCCCAAGGTTAGCCATAATATATGAGCAAATGGACCATTGTAGCTGCTTAAATATTCATCATACTTGGAGCGTCGTACAGTACCAGTTCTGGCTGCGTCAGAAACGGGATTTTCTCAATCAATCGTGGATATATGACTTCCGGGTTATCAAGATAGTTGAATGGTAATGAATCTAAATTGTTCATGATTTCTCTTTCACAATTCCTTATACGTCGCCAGCTGGTTATATAGATAACAATGCTCTTACTAAAGAATAAACACGTCGCGCAATCAATTATTAGTGAGACTACAAAACCGCTTGCCCCTAAAATAACGAGCTATTTTAGACTCTACTGAAATGTATTGAGTTCACTAAATCTTTTTAACCAAATTCTTTATACTACGTTAACCAAAAAAAGAAGTGAACCGAGCTCCGTGGAAGTCCAGGAAGAAATTTATAATAATAATTAATTGACAATGTTATCCATCCGTGTATCCTCCATGCCAAAAAAATCTATCACGTAAGAAAACCTTTACGTCAACATATACCCGTCTTGGGGACAATTATTTCTTTCCCATGTCCAGAACTCGTTTGATCGTATATTAAAGAAGATTGGTGTGTAGTCCCAATAAAAGCAGAGCACACATAGAGAAGACACATCCTCAAAGTATACCAAAAAATCGCTCTACCACATGAGATTGTCGTTGAAGCCGTACAACGTACGATTGTAACCAAATAAATAAAAAAAAAACAAAAGGAGCGTGTATGCGACATCCATTTGCGACTTTTTTAAATGCACCGATACAGCATGCCTCCTGTGCTCCCCTTAAGGAACGCGGTTAGTGGGCTATCATCCAGCCGAATATAAAACACTCAACTAAATTGCCCCTTCAACGAAAACTAGCAAGATGTAAATAGCTTGCCACGTTCATGGGCACAGCGAGCTTGAACGAGGACAATCCGTTATTTAACCAGACGTTCTTTTAAAAACCAGTTCACAGTTTCTCAACTCTGTAAGCAACAATAATCAACGAACGAAGGCAGTGTGGCATCAACTATTTGTACACACTAGGTCACAACAGTAAAAGAACGTGGGGGCAAAAGTTGATTGTAAGAAAAGATAAAAAAACTTTGTTTCCAAAGTCAGTGCGGACCATATCAATAATTATTTGAACAAGCGTTTAAGCTTGTGAAAGAAACGTCGAATAAAATTGCGGTGTTTCTTTTCCATACCGGATTTTTGTGAGGCAGATAAAGCTTTTTGTTTTGTAACTGGAGGATTTGGCGTGGCTACACTTTGATATGGTACAGCAATTAAGCTTGGGTTTGAGTTACGAATGTGGAGCTTTTCATACACCATGCTTTGTGGACGCAAGGAATTCCGCGCGTCCCGAGTGAGGCCCGTACGATTAGATGAAGGAGGGTGGGCCGTCCCAACTCCCGACGTGCCATACGAACGTAAACGAGGACTGTGAACAGTATTTGCTCGCGAAAGATACTGGTTGCGAATGCGACGATAGCTGCTTTCAGAATCCGTATCATCTGCAACAATTGCTCGACGAGGCTCCATCTCTCTGTCGGGGTTGATTAGCAAGGAGTTACGGTATACTCGCTGCCAATGGTCATCATTATCAGGAACATTCTTCACAACAGGCATCGGCTCCTCTGGTGGCTGCTCAGGCGGCACTGTTCGAAAAGATGCATTCTCAAACTGGGAGGAGTTGCGCTGATGTGCTGTCGATCGAACAGGCGAAGATGAACCCAGTTGTAACTCCTCCCGCGGATTTTCCATTTCCATAGAACGTTTCCGGAGGGCATTAAGAATGTGTTTCTTGTGGAGGCTGAATCCATCGTGGACAGCTGCACAAACCTTAGAGGTTTGCTTACCTTTTGTCTGTTGCTCTTGCTGCGGTTGCTTGGAAAGAGCATCTCTATAGCTCTCCTCAGGCTCCTGCAACCGTGGCGTACTCACGTTTCTACCAACAGACCTGGTACGCTTAATGTCATTGGTCAAGTACGGATCGGGAGGTAAACGAGAAACAGCATCAAGACTTCTGCGAGTCTTGGCCAATATACCGGGACCCGTCGCGTTAGGCAAGGTAGTCCCAGTATATACCGGCTCGTAAGAAGCGTCATTGAGAGACGATGTAAATCCTTCAGGCTCATCGGAAAATCTCGAATCCTGATGAGTCAATGCATCACCAACATCGGAAATGAATCTTGCAGGGTCCACCTCAAGCACCTGGTCATTATCAACAAAGCTGATGCGATTGGGATTTCGAGCGAAACTATCGTCTCGACGATTTCGAGAACCGTGACGACGAGCAGACTTCAGTGGAATCTCCGGTGTCTCTTCCTCGGATCCGCTCGACACCGTTCTACGTTGGTTCTCCCGACGATGTCGGTCAAGTGAAGGCAGAGTCTCCTTCAACTCTTCAATTTGATGCAAACGACTCCGAGTTTGCGAACGCGTTGCCGAAGTTCGACGACTGCGATTATTTAAAGTAGATTCCTCATCCAGATCGTTCCAAGTACTCCAACGACGCCGATCCAATTCGTATTCGTCTGGTTGAGAAGCTGACTCTGGTTTTGGCTGCGAAACTGAGCGTTTCCGAGTGAACGCGGAAATGCTGTAGTCATTCATTCCGCCAATGTAGTCGTTAAGCCCACGCACATTTTCAGTTTGATAAGTTTGCATCTGCACAGTTTTCTGCCATACAAATGGCGTTCTTAGATCTCAAATGACAGTTGGCCTGTGCTTGTTCTTGGCAGACTGATTTCCTTCCGCCGTACTTGATCCGGGTCCTATGCGTTGATAATGACGCAACGGATTTACGCAAAGGCGCACGTGGACAACTTGTGGGTCAATCGAAGCGGGGCAAAGGAGCAAACGACGAAGCGCAGCAAGCCACACTATAGCCGATACTGAAGTACAGTGTTGCGTAGACCGGAAACCGGAAGTAGAAAATAGGAAGAAGGGAAAGAGTCCAGAGGAAGTGGGAGCCTTGAAAAGTGTTGGTGGTTCAGTGAACCATGAGTTGGGGTTACCTCCAATTCTGCGTTGTGCCAGGTAATCAGGACTTAAGCGCTTATCGTTTCGAGGTGCCCGAGTCCATTTTGCTAAGCTTTTTGAAAGAGTATTGTAATCCCGAGGAACAAACCGTGCAGCACGGAGATAAAAGAGAATGCGTGTAATCTGTTTCAAGTCAAAGTTCCTAGTTCTTGAGCAGCGACTCGGCTCAAGATTCCGATTCCGAAAAACCAATGACTCGATACTCGCGAATAAATGTTAAGTACACCTGTAACCGTTTAAATTCATACGCATCAGCGTATGGGGGATTAATGAAATGAAAATTAAAAAAGAAAGAAAAAAAGAAAAGGTGGTTTGACCGGGCTTTTTTTTGTCATAATAGCTCTCGTTTTCTGTGTCTTTGAGCATTGCATCTTCACTATCGAGACGCAGAAAAACATCCAGAAAGTGTGTGCTAAAACTTTTGACTTTTTTTTTGGCTAATTATGCGGTCAAAAGAATAGACGCTGTGGCACAATTGTACACATTGAATGTGCTCATTCAGGCAATCTTCATGAGCAACTGGTTTTTATGTTTTTTTTTTGCTCTTTTTGCATAAATAAGGAAAAAGAAAAGAAACAAGAACGTTTAAAACATACATCATGCAATCATAACAAAACTGTTAATGAGCAGGGTCTTCTAATTTGAGGGAGGGACTTGCCAATTCAGGCGATGAATGACAGGGTGATAAAGAGGGTTGGGTTGAAGTGGGTGATGACTTTGACGAAGGTTTTCGCATGAATCCATCAAAGTGTGAGGCAATGTTGCTGTCGAGACTGGAAAGCGACACGGACTCGGATGCCATGGAATATGAGGAAGAGCTGTTTTTCTTGCGTGACTTTTTTCCTTTAGACGAAGAGCGACGTGACGAGAAATCCATCTTAGAACAATCAGCAGCGACAGCAGCCGCCGTTGCCACTGATCCAGAATCCCAAAAACCAAAACCCGGGTTAGCATAATTAAGACCAGTCCCTGCATTACCAACGTAGGGGTATGAGTAGTCCATATAAGAAGGTGACGCCTTCAGAAAAGGGTGTTGTTGTTGTTGTTGCTGAGCGGAATAGTAATAGGCATAAGTATATGGATCCACATACGTGGTGAAGGGTGACGTTGACAAACCGTGCGGGTGCATAACAGGTTGACCATCATAGGGGGCAGTGGGAATAGCGATGTTAGAACAAGGCGGGGCAGGCGGGCTAGGGAAAAGGTAGGATGAGGATGTCCTTTGACGACCGGCGGAAGAGGTAGGAGAGGGTGAAGGGTCGGAGATAGGATGATACGAAGGACCATTCCCAGAAACACTGGCAGACATAGCTTTGGCAGCGGTAGCTGGCGTGGGCGCAGGAGCAGTCCTAGCAGACGTTTTTGATGCACCGGAGTCAGCGATATAGGGAAAATAAGGCAAGCCAGGCTGAGAAACAAATGAGATAGCAGGCTCTCTAGAAAGACCAACCATGTGGATGTCAGAGGATGAAACAGATTCATCACCGGACGAGGGAAAAGTAAACGCAGCAAACGCGTTTTCAAACAATGACTCGTCCGCCAAGTAATGAAACGCCCGTCGGAATTCAAGCTGTAGGCCTTTGACAGTGATGTCGTCAGCCGTATTGGCAAGATTGCGAGATGTGCGGAAGGGCTCTTCAACACAGAACCCGTTGTTCACATGAAACTGCCAACCCTTGGCCCTTTTCGAGAGAATGGTTCCTCGACGAACTGAAAGCACACCATGTTCAAAGTCAAAACTGTAACCAAAAAAACGAAAAAACTCTACGAGAAGCGTGCCAACGGACTCGGTGTTGCGATCACCAAAACCACGAACGAGATCAACATCGTCAAAAAACGAAGCGTCCATCCCTTCAACTATTGTGCTTTCATTTTGCAGATGTGGCATCATTTGCAAACTTGGCACTATTGGCGGCCGTCGCATCTGCAAGAAGTTGACAATCATGCAGCTCAAGGTGTAGGAAGTGAGAGTACCGCCGCCAGCAGCGTCATTTAAGCACCTTCGCTTTGCCCAGTGCTTTATGATCATTATCAATTGTCGCACCCGAATGTCTGCGTCAACATATGTCCGCATCATTCGCGTATTCGAAATAGACAAGATGTTGTTGATGTTGCAATCTGACGCCAGTTTGTATTCTGGGTCCCAAAACTTCACAATAGGTACTTTTGCACGAGGTATACATACAACCTGCTGCATACCATTCTGTGAAAAAATTGACGCTAACTCACAGGTTGTTGGTGCCGATTTTTTCACATCACACACGATACACAGATCCACATCTGCGTCCCGAGATGCCAACATTGAACTTGTCGATCCAAACACTTTTACCGACAGGCTATGGTCAGGACGTGCCTTTTTTAAGATATCGTCGACCTTTTTCACAAACTGTGCGCGCCGTTTCAGCTCCTCCTCATTAAGTACCAACGAATCAACCAGTTTTTCCACCCGAGACGTAATGAATCGTTCGTTTATTTTGTGTAAAGGCGTTAACAGCAGCGGATGCACCGGCAGCAACGGCTCTGTGCCTAAACTGTAAGGAATTCGGCGCTTAAAATTGAGGATCCCAGTCTCAAACTCACAAGCAACATTGCGTGTATCTACTGAACACATGCTTAGAGAAGGAAGAGGTTCAGAGCACCAGTGTTCGTCAGACTTGGTGTGTGCTGAAAGTGTGTGCGTTAGTTGGCATGGTAACGAGGAGTCAAGGTAGGAGTTGTAGAAAGTGTGGGTGGTAGCCAGTGTGATGAGCGAGTTGTGCAAGGGGGTGAAAGAGCGCAGAAATATGGCTAAATATTGGTAGCTGCGACTATCGCATTCAGTTAAATACAAAATTAAAACAGCGAAGATCAAGTTTAGTTGAGAATAAAATAACAAAAAAGGTGACCCCTAAGCGACTTGAACGCTTGACTTTGAGATAGTCACAGCCGCAGCCGGAGCTGTCGCAGTCATAACATTGGAATCTCACACTCTACCAACTGAGTTAAGGGGCCCCGACAGCAATTTGCTCTGAGTGTATTAAATGTGTTTGAAGGCTTTTGTTCTTAGTTATTAAATAATGAATAACTTTTTTCTTCAAACATTCCCATTTAAGCTTCGGTTAACTGAAATCTTAATGTTATGCGCAATAAGTTAAAAGTTATTTGTTGAAAGAAATCAAGTATTGATCAACGAATTATAACCATTAAACCCTTGCATAGTTACACTAACTATTTGATAAATAATGTACTGCTTACTAATCCGTATTTTTAATGTTTGTAAACTAGTGGGTAACAAAGTTCAATAATTTCACAGGATGTGCAAATGTAAAGTGATAACTTGGAGTCAATGGCTTAAGTCAGTTTCTTCAGAGACAACGATTAATTCGATTAAAGACTATGATTTGAAGAATATACAGTCTCTAGTCTACTTGACGAAAGGTGGCTTCCCCTTGCTTAAGCTGTCTACAGAATCATGTTCAATCCACTGAGTATTAATTCTTAATAAAGCAATTTACAAACCTTAAATGCCGCACATTTCTTCGCCATTTTGTTATTCCAAATGCGGAACCCCTCATGCTTACGCAAGAGATGCCGAGAAGTTCGTGCGACTGTCTTTATACGAAAGGAAATATAAGCATGCCTCCTCTCCCTTGCCTCACAAGAATCGCAATGGAAAAGTTACTCGAAGAGTTTCTGAATTCATGTCCCAATTCCAAACAGCCCATCATAATTGATCACTTGCAACAAAAACGAAAGCGATTATGTTACACTGACACTAACAAAAAACCGGTCTGCATTGAACTTGAGGCGTCTGATACAGATTTGTTGCAAAAAATGCAAATGTTCAAGTACGTGCTGGGAAGTCGCTTCCTCATGTTTGTCACGTCTCCCTCCACATTACTAATAGTTTATCAGCTACGTATGCTCCCTGTCGGCCGACCCAAACCAAGAATCGGCTTTCGAGTGCCTTAAGATATAGCGCCTGCCTACGGCCATTTACGACTTATACACTACACCCAAGCATAAGGCTTAAAACACATAAAGAACAGTCATAACGTTAATTGTATAGAGTAACAAGACATTAAAAGGTTTCATGGGCGAACAAACGGAATGACAGCTGAAGAAGTGATGAGAAAACGTTGCTAACAAGGCTTTCACACAGTCAGCCTCAATTGACTCTAAGACTCCTTTTAACACCACTCACGGGGGTTGCTAGCTGCGTCAATAAGAGCAAGATGGCGGGGCTCAGTAGGCTTGTATTGATAGCGCCAAGAGGCATGTAAGGGAAGGGTCATGAGAATGCTCTCCACACGGGGTTCGGGAGCACGGAGACCGAACCAGGTGCCGCGGTCATACATAATGTTGAACTCGACATAGTAACCACGGCGAACCTGCTGGAATTCTTTATCCTTTTCGGTGAAGGGCATTTCCTTACGCTTCTCCATGATGGGAACGTAAGAGGGGAGGAAAGCATAAGCACAATCCTTGACAAACTGGAAGATTTCTTCGGCGTCCTTGTCATTGAAGTCATCAAAGAAGATTCCGCCGACACCGCGCATTTGCTTACGGTGCTTGATGGTGAAATACTCGTCACACCACTTCTTGAAACGAGGATAGTAAGAAGGGTCATGCTTGTCACACACGTCCTTGTGAACCTTATGGAAGTGCACAGCATCCTCTTCAAACAGCACACTGGGAGTTAAGTCAGCACCACCGCCGAACCACCAGACCTTCTTGCCATCGGTGTTGGTCAACTCAAAGTAACGATAATTCAAGTGGGTGGTGGGAGCCATAGGGTTGCGAGGGTGAAGAACCATACTGATGCCTGTGGCATAGAAAGGAAGCTCTACAGCCGTACGATCAATACCATCATGGCTATCGCACATGTGTTGAACGGCAGCCTGGTTCAACATGCCGTGAACAACGCTAGTATTGACACCACCTTTTTCAAAGACGTTTCCATCCTGGATGACACAGCTAATGCCGTAGCCGCCATTTTCCTTTGTCCATTTATCCTGGAAAAACTTTTGGCCATCGATCTTCTCAAGACCGGCAACAATTTCTTGTTGCACGGCGAGGATCATTTGGGCCATTTTATCCTTCATGTCGTTGGTCATTATGTCTAAAGTGAATTGAGTGTGACTGAGTCGCTTTTGTGTTTTTACAAAGTGTGCCTACAATGCTAACTAAATAGCCGGGAAGTTTATTGCAAAAGACGGGATGTGTAAAGATCGGAAAGGGACGTGAGAATCAAGGTTGCTACGCGGATTTCGCTGCCGATTTATAGCGCCAGTAGGCGAGACATGTCGTGGAGAAATCAACTGATTTATTCAAACAGTCACGGTATATGAGCTGTTTTTGTCGATCGTACGCTCTTCCGGTTTTCGGCTTTGCGTTTTGGTGTAGCATTTCTGCCGCATTTCCCCACACGGGGCATTCTAAACTGTAACACGTAAGCCTATACGAGGGCTTCAATCGCAGCATATCATAGTCGCTTTGTCCCGGGTATACATGCAGGTATTAATCCATCTTGTAACGAGAAGATGTATGGGGATGAAGAAAGAGATTAGCGTGTGTGTGTGCGGTTCCTCATGAAATTTTCTAATCGCTTATGTCTGTGTGTCATCCTTACTACTACGCACTTTGGTTACCCGGAGCTACCAACGTCATGCGGATGGCTGCGACTCAATTTAGTAGATAAACTGACACATTCTTTCGTCATATTCTATGAACTCCGCGGGCTTTTGACCATCATTAAAAGATGAAGTGCATATTCGAACAGTTTTAATGACCTCATCGTCGCGTGTGACATTTGAGGTGAATGTGGGATAGAGACCCTTGGGAATGTGGGGACAGAGAGAAGCAAATTATCGATGGTGTCTTTTTTGAGTTTCTTTATGTTTTGTATTGGAGATGTATCTGTTGGCTAGAGAACTAGTCGTGTTAAGGCTAGATAGTGCGTGAGTTACTTCCTTTGCTAACAACGAAAATAAGAAATCTATGTTTCGTATTTCCGGGCTTCGTTTTCCCGGCTAATTCAAACCTTATGTATACTTTATTTATAAGGAAATAAAAAATGCTGTTTATCGAGCGACGCACTCAAACAACCAGATTTAAAAGCAATGTATGTTTGTATCATTCATTGTTAATTCAATAAGCTTTCAGCTCTAATCAGCATTCCTTTTAAAGATTATTTGCATTGTGGGTTCATATAAAAACTTTCTTGTTATAATTACTAAGTATAGATAACGCTGACACAATTAGCTTGTTTGAGAATTTCGCAAAAACCTTTAGTACTTGTATTAACTGCACGAGCCCAACGGTATATGTGTGAAATTTAAATTGAACTGTCCGTCATGCAGTTGGAGACGTCCGACCCGTTTAATTTTAAAAACTGAGATTTGTGTGTCATTGTTATCAGTTTTTATGGATAATTAGACATCTTATAAATAGATGTCTGTGAAATAAAATGTTTTTATTCGTAGTCTAAACATGTAGTAGAAAAGCCATGTATATTCTAAGTCACCGGTCTAAAAACTTTAGATATGTAATTTATAGACATCACATCAAAATGTATAACTTACACTTGCTCATTTTTCACGAAAACAAATACAAACATGTACTTGACAACAACTGACTTTTCCACTGTTCTCTTCAAACCCAATTTTTCTACGCACCTTTGACACTTACAACCCTAGAGAACCGATAATTAGCAGCTATATAAGTAGAATATTTGGTTTATTAACGTAAAGTGATAATTGATATCGATACAGTTGCGAAAGGATTATGCCCAACGCCGTTTACAAAAATAATTAATAAAAAAAAAAAAAGGCTGAATCCAAAATACATAATTAGCATCTTCAGCTCTTCGTAAATTCGTTAAAAATCGTAAAAAGGAGCTTCGTGTTCAATAAGCCGCAAAAAGCATTCATCAAACATGTTAAGCTTATCCACGTGAAACTTTAATTCGGCCGTACCTTTCTCCAACCCCAGCAGAAAGTGGTGTCTTTCACAAACCGTCTTTGAATAAACCAACACTATTTTCGAAACATCACGGTTTCTATTACTAGTATAACCCTCTAACGGCTGTGACTCCCAAGTTCCAAGTTGTTCATATTCGGCGAAATTTCTACTTCTTTGATAATCGGCATTTTAATACAGTAAATAACCGATCAATCTACATCCTGGACTCCCGGATTTCCTATGACCAGCGTGGAATGCTGGGATGATGATCCTGACTTTGAGTCAGATATTGACAATATTAGCCTTTTCGCTCACTCCCTAGCAACAACTGCCAGCGCGAATGCAGACGGGAGTTCTTGCTCGAATGCATCAGATAATCATAAGTTTTTGGACGCCGAAACCATAAGACAAGCGCAACAGGCGGATAGCCATCGTCGCGTTGAAGAGTGGACTAGAAGCTTTGCTGAAAATGCGAAAGACTTCATGTTAGAGGAAGAAGACGGTTTCGACTTTGGCGATAGTGACACCGAAAACGAACATACGCTTCGTTTTCGGAATGCCTCTTTCGGCAAAACAAAAGGGGAAACTCTAACGGCCTCTTCTACATTGAAGGGAGAAACGTTAACACCGGCTGGTCAATCAACTAGACCAAGACATTCGTCAACGTCATCACGTCTCTCTAAACATAATCCACTTATGGGCGTGCGCAACGTTAGCGATCTACAAAGCATTTTTACGTCCTCAACAGCAAGCACCGTTCCGGGATACGAAAGTGATTTTGGTGACGATTCAGCGTTTGACGGCTTGGATTTTGGTGACAGTGATGATATAGATTTAGCCGAACAGTTGAAAAAACTCAGCTCAAAACGCTATGGCTGCTGCATCGATTGTGGGAAGCATGCTAACAAAAGTGCTTCTTGCATACCAATCTCTCCTAGTCAAGCTGATAGCGCATTCTGGGATGAAGATTTGAATTGTGACGAACGGTCTTTACCTTAAGAAGTCTTCAAATCATTCATCAAAAAGTCATGCACCGAATCAGCGTCATCCCTATATTGTTTCCACAGTATCTTTTCAGCCAAAGTCACCATCAAAAATGTATCCTTCATGCAAGGAAGTCTTCCCTTCTCTTTCTTATTCCTCTAATTCTGATACCCAGCAGCAGTTATCCACTCCCCCTCGTACCCCTCCAGCTTTTGCGGAAAAGCGATATTTTTCAAAAACTCGTTCCCATGACGCTCAAATGCACTCCGTTTCAACAGTCAGTGGTGGCACTCCCTATCTACAACAAATTCGCTCCTCATCTTCTTCTCCGTCGAAAGGGAAGCGTATGACTTCAAGTCAAAAATCATCGACTTGGATACAGAAGGATTCTAAAGAATTGCCCGATAGTCAAGCATATCTTGATTTCAAAACTCTACGCCTAGCTGCAATTCAATCAGGTTTCCGTACGAAACCCCGAAAGGTGCGACATTGGGGTGATGGGAATGAATTGGATATGCTAGAAGATCTACCAGTCGATGAGCAAGCCGAAAAAAGATACACCGTTGAACCAGTTGGTCGTGGTGCACCCCGGATTGCTGGTGCTTTTAAATCCTCGCCAGATTCATCTCCCACGAAACGGCTTTCACACACTGGTACTTCTCAGCCATCTCGTGTATCCTTTCACCATGTCCAAAATGCACTGTCAAGCAAAAAAATCGCGCCCAGACTTGCATCTCGTAAGAAAGAATCTCAATCTCACAAACCGCATAAACAACCGACATTAATCAAAAACTTGAACTCACCAAATGTTCCTCGTACCGTCGGTGAAATGCGTTACAATCCAGCCAAAAAATGCTGGGAGGGTAATGATCATTCAGTCCGTGATTTTGATGCTCCTAGCTCCCCTACCCGTCCTGCACTCATTACGAATGTTTCGACAAAGAAGGGCATACATGTTGTGGGAAATATGGTTTTTGATCCAACCCGTATGTGTTGGTTGCATAGCTCCGAAACTTCTGATGAAGAAGATCCCTTCGCCGACTTCGATGATTTACAAGAAAATGAAGTTAGCTCGTCCGCCTCTAACGAGTCCAGGATCAATTTTTCTTACAGTTTGGGTAACAATGCCAGTTACTCCGATGTTAGCGAAATCTTTGACGTTGGCCCTGAGTTCAAACGAAAGCAGCAGACGGAAGAAGTCGTATGGCGCAAATGGGTTGACGGTTGGTACCTGTCATCCACTCATCCGACACGAGCGAAGTTATGGGAGCTTTACGATATGTTAAATGCTGAGCACTAATCTTAGTGTTTTGATACTAAACCACTTATGTCTCCACTTTCGTCTTCCTTTTTTTTATCCCTAGTCGTCCGCAGCCTCCTCCATTTTTACCGTTAATGTTCTTTTTATTATCTGACTCTTCTGTTATACACGATATTTTACATCTTCCATCCGACGACATGATTTATTAACAAGAGTCCCCTATACGTTATGTCATCTTCCCTTGCCGAGAGTCAATATTTTTCTTCCCTCTACTAAGGCAGTTTTGTTTTTTTCTCCATCTTTAACCTAAAATGTTTCCTTAGCAAGTTTTTAAATTCCATCCTTTTTTCGATACAAGCTGTGTAAATTTGGTAAAGTGCCACCAACAGGCGTAGATAATCAAGCTGTCATATCTCTCAACAAGAACTACCACTTAGGTAAGGTGTCATTGCATTACGTCTACATCAAAGCTACATTACATACACAAACGAGAGCCAGACAGGAACGATTTACCTACCATAGCGTACATACTTAATGCTAGATTTTATAGTAAACAAAAAATCGAGTACATATACAGAACATCAACACTAGCAGATAAGGAGGCCTGTGAATATGCAATGCCAAGAAGATAATCTGTAAATGTATGATGTTGACAGTGCATAACAAGCATGAAGAGGAAAAAAAAAGGAAAGAACGAGGGCTAGTAATAACTAGGAGTTTCGGATGCACAAACACGAAACCCATTATGCACAAAGGAAATAGCTACACAAGCTTTCTGTTCTTCGTGAACACTGGCTTTAGCCTTTGCAATATCTCACATTAACATATCCAATATCTTGTCGCTGAAACAGAACAAGTATGTTTAATGAGATTGCCAAGGCGGCTGAGAAACGGGTCCTGGTGGGTACGGTGACTGATCATAGTTTTGGAAGTTTGAAGGATGAAATGAATTACTTTCCATTGAATTACTGTTCCAGTCATTGCCTGCAGGCTCGTGGTATCTATCAGCAGGACCAGCAGCGGAAGCAGCTTGAGGGCCGCGAGGAAATCTACGTCCACGAAACTTCTCGTCTCGTCTCATAGCCAACTCCTTACCTCGCTTGCTGATAGCTTTAGAGCTGATGCCCAAACCAAGTTCAATGTCGGGCTCATCAACAGCAACGCCAGGCGTTATGGGAAGCCCACCTGTACCGCCATACTCAGCAGTTACAAGCCATGTACGATCTGCGTCCGTAAGCAGGCGAACAGGAATTACGCTTATGCCTGTGGCAAAGTCTATGCAGTCCTTTGGTCCAAAACCTACACCCCATTTCGTCTACACAAACATAAAGTTAGCAAACATTCAGAAAAGTACAGCAGTCTGTTTGCACAATAGTCTATGCTAGTGGCCTTCATCCCACACAATGACGGGTCATTACAGAAGCAGCAAGACACCAACTTGCGTCTAACGGATTGGCAACACTGAAACACTAGACACCAATACAATGACGCTTGGATATAACATACACGAATGGTAGTATCAGCAAAAGGGACATTTTCCATAGCCACCTGAGCCTTTTCGGCAGCATCACGATGGAACATTTTAAGGAATCCGTGTCGCGAATTGTGATTAACAACCAGACTCTGAACAGCTCCAAAACGTTCGAACATTGACCGCAGAACATTCTCACGAACAGCACGAGTAATTCCACCCAAAAACAATGTACGACTGTAAACTAAATCGGCAAGTTAGTATATCAAAGTCACAGTTACTACTAGCTGATAGAAGCATACCCATGATAGAATCTGGCGGGATCGTAGGGTCCAGGGCATAACGACGCGGGAAGCCATCAGGCGACGGTTTTGGTGCTCCGCTTGCTGGAGCATTGTAAGTAATATCTCTTCTGGGACTGGGTGACCTCCGGGATCTACCACCGCGAGGACTGGGACTTCTTGAGCGTTTAGGAGGAAGAAAAGATTCCAGATTAATAGACTGTGAAGTTGTGGGAGCGGGCAGAGGAAAACCAGTAGCAGAAGTTGGAACCGAACTAGCTGCGGCAGGCGGGTAGTCCGGAAATGCAGCTTTCAAAATGGCATCAATTTGGGCCGGAGGTACATTTTGGGATGTGAGGACACTCATCAGTGCCATTTTTTGTGCTTGAAGAGGATTAATGCCACCATCGATAGCACTGGGTACAGCAGGTCCAGAAGGCATGGAACGAGCAGCTGATGGGCCCAAGGGAAGTGAAGGAGCCGCATTCGAGGAAGTAGGAGAATAATACGGAGCAGTGGATGAAGACTGAGTTGGGATAGAGGGAGGAATGACAGCTGGCTGAGCGGGTAATTGACGAGGATCATTAGGTGAAGTGTTTGCAGTAATATCGGTTCTGTTACCGTGGGCGTTCAAGTCGTTAATGGATCCTGCAGCCGAAGGTTGCGCGATGGGCGCTTTTTGGGCAAAAGCAGCAAGTGCTTCTAAGATGGACGCTGCGTTGTTCTCAACGGGAACCGTGGCGGCGCCATGACCTGGCATGGATGATGAATCACTTGTCACATTATGCGAACCGTTATCCCTACGTTCAGCTACAGAGGAAGAAGTAGAGGTATTAGGAGTGGATTCTGTCAAATTATCCTTCAATGCAGTACGTAATTTTTCACGCAACGAATGAATCTTTTCCACGGGAAAGGTTCCGGCCTTTTCCCAAATGTCAAACAGCTTCACAACTTTCGCGGCATTAGCCCGAGGTGAATTTTGAATTGCATCCAGAACAAGCGTCTCCATCACCTCCGATGCCTTACTCCAACCGCCGCTGTAAGATTTGTCTACAACAGCTTCAAGGCTTTCGTTATTTTTTTTGGCCGCATCTTGGTAACTACGCACGATAGAATCCAAAATATACAATGCACCCAGCTTATGCGAACCCGGCGCCTTTTTTGAGTACTTGTACACCTCAGATATAAATTGATCATTCAGGGCAACATGATCCATGGATATTTTGGTTAACTTTGAGATTTTAGAACCTGAGATACCAGTTCTGGACTTCTGGAGCGACTCCAGCGTAGCCTCAAACTCAGCGACCTCAGACATTTCTCCAAAAGTGTCGTGAAGCGACTGGCACAACGTCTCCCAACGGTTTCACGATATAGACGCCTCGACGTGCGAATGCTATGAAAAATACCAGCTCTTAAGTCTTAAACTTAATGCTACGCTCAACAAAAAACAGAATACAAGTTTACGTATGTGTTTGGCTAAGGGGAAGTGCTCTAGGACTGCTTTCTTGTTCTGTGCCTATGCTCGGAGATAGGTAACATTAAGGTAACACAGCATTGACCTAAAATTGAGAAAAGGCAAAAATATATAGTAAAAACGGATGGGGATATTGAAGTAAATGTATAAATAAGATTGCATGTATATTAATATCTCGGAACAAACAAACAATGATCGTTCACATGTTGCGACTAGCTTCAAATTTTGGTTGGCCCTCACTCGATAACTTGTAGCCTTTTGTTCCACCGGCAATGTCGACTTTTTCATTGGTTGACAGCTTAGCCACTTTTCGAAAATGGTGTCACTGAAGACTCAGGGTTAGGGTTGTAGAAGCTATAAAAGGGCATCGTTCGCATCCTAAACAGCATTCTCTCTTTGCCTTTTGGCTTAGATCAAGTGTAGTATCTGTTCTTTTCAGTTTAATCGCTGAAATCACCCCATCGGGGTGTTTCCGATTATTCTTGTTTTTGGGAATCGCCGAGAGACCTATGGCTTGCTATGTCTCTTGGCACCGGTGTCCTTGCCGTTGCACTCCTGGCATGCGACGCCGAAAACTCTTCTCTTCTTAACGTGTCTGTGTCTCATGGTAGCGATAAGATGTGTGGGGTTTTGTTAAGGTGCTCAGTAATATTCATCTTTCGGTAGTTTAGATCTTTTTGATTGGTGCACTGCTAGAAGTTTGCGTGGGATGGGTCCGACTCTTTGGGTGCTTTTTGCTGTTGTATTGGGTATGCCCTGGTTTAAAGGTTTGTTTCCTGTAAGATTATAGATAGCACTTGCTGTTACTTTAAGATTTACTACTGTTTCTGTAATGGAGTCGCGGGAACTCGGCATTGACTCTTAAAACAATATCAACTTAATCTCCAGAGTTCTTTGGTGTTGAGGAAAGAGACACTTCTGGTTTCACAAACGTCCCTATGGCGAAATACCAAAAAACGAATACGGATCCGGTTAATATTGGCTACTTTAATGCAAAGGAGACCCTCTAAATGAAATAATGAAACGAGATAAGAAAATACCGTTAAACCAATGAATAAAACAAAGCACGCCCACTATTGTAAAACTGTCTGAGATAAACGTAATGAAACCAAAAAGTTTAACAAATCCAATTGTGCAAGTATCAAGTAATTAGATATAACAAAAAACCCACCCCAAAAACCGTAAACGTTTTATCTTCTTGTCGTCTTGCCAATACCACGCTTGCCACTAAGCAAGTGCTTAGGACGAGAGTCCATAATGTGTCTGTCACTCTCGGAAGCACGAGCCATCCGATTACGATGCTGTTGTTTGAGGCGAGCGACGCGCTCGGCGTGAGAACGTGCGGACTCGGCCTTGATACCGTCCTCCCGACGATTGCTTTGGGAACGAGCAGCCATAGACTTAGCGCGAATTTCAGGCGCTTCACTCAACAAGACATCAGCACCGGAACGTGCGACACCAGCGGTGGCATCACGCAGCTTAGAGCGAGCACGCTCCTCAATAGACTCGGTGGGAAGGCCAGCTTCGTTAAGAGACGACTGAAGCTCGTCCAAGGTGCGAAGACCAGCAGTACGAGGTAACACGGGTCTGTTTTTGATTTTCTTGTGACGAGCTGCAAGCATGAGCAGCTTGTTCTTTTCGCGAATTTTTTGTGCTTTGTCAAGAAGAACCTCCTCTTCCTCGTTCTCCATCTCCTCGTCAGAGTTGTAATAACCTTCACGCTCCAAGCGCTCTTCCTCTTCATCAAGAGCCAAAAGTTTGGCTTCAATTTCGGGATCAACGAAGTCAGCAACGTTCTTTCCGTCCATGATTTCAGGAACATTATCATTCTTCCATTCCTCATTGGCAAGAAGATACTTCTCGCGCAAGTTGACGCTATAGACACCAGCACCACCATTAAGCTCCTCAATGTCGCGGGCAAGGAGACGACGCATGGGGTCATTGCGATCGTAGGCACGACGAGTTTTTACGGCATCAGGGATGAATGCAGGACGCTCCACCTCATCACGAGCTGATGGCTCAGCGAGGTGAATACGGTTCAAAATGTTGTTAACACGAGTTCCCTTCAGCTTTTGCTCGACACGAGCGGTCAACAATGCCTCGCATGCACTGTTACGGACATCCATAACACCGATGTCGCTGACACAACTTGTTTGCACCATGCGAACATTGCCATCGGCAAGGATTGAATTGAGCATCTCTTGTTGCTCGGGGTCCAAGTCCTCGGGTTTTACGACATCGATTTTGTTTACCACAAGAAGAATGACCTTGTTAGCAAATAAAGGCTTGATGTTGTGGTAAAGCTGGATCTGAGCAGCGACACTGTAACCACATTGTTCAGACAGATCCATGAAGTAAAGAACTGCCGCACGAAGATGAGCCATAGCAGTAATGGACTGCATTTCGATCGTATTCATCTGCTCCAAAGGATGGTCCAAAATACCTGGGGTATCAATGACTTGCCATCTGAGATATTTGTAGTCAAAATGACCAACGTAAAGAGATTTTGTTGTGAAAGCATAGGGCTGCACATCGACTTGAGCACGAGTAATCTTGTTCATAAACGAAGATTTACCCACGTTGGGGTAACCGCACACCAACAGCGTACGCGTGTTGGGATCTACGGCGGGAAGACGAGACATGTGTTGACGGACCTGCTCTAAGAATTCGAGAGAAGACTTCTGACGTTTGATGATAGTTGCCATACGACCAAGGGCAGCACGCTTCAGTTGCTTACACCGATACAAACTGTCACCATACTTGAGAAGACGAATATAATCACGAGCAACATTTTCGATCAAGTGACGAGCAGTGGAAAGTTGCGAGAGGGCAATTTTCAAATGATCACGATCATAAAGAATGTTGAGAAGATCTGCGTGGAAAGGATGAATGTCATTGAGCTTGGGAAACTCCGTCAAAATGGCATTCAATTTTTCACTAAAGGTATCCTCGGTGAATTTGACCTTGCGAGCGTAAAAACCACGGATACGAGAGATCTATGTGTGTTAATCAGCGATTCAGCCAAATTCAAAATTTTCTTACCTTAAAACCAGCACGAATAACAGTGGGTGTTTTTCTCTGTGTACGAGAAAGTACCACGTCCAAGAACGTGTTAACGTCAGGAATAGGCGAGATGTTCTACAAAATGTCAGAAAACTAAACCAGAAACAATGCAATTTACCTTGAACACTGCCGTCGCCATGGTTCTTGTGGTTGGTAAAGGACAAAATTCACCGGGGCTGCTTAGGGGCGAAAAGACCCATGCTCACCACCAATTGTTTTACGAGACTTAAGTTCAAGTGTGGTAGTAGAACCACTGCTACAGTTTCTTACAGATGCACTGATAATATGGAAAAGAAGAATATGAGTGAACTTAGTGCATAGATTATCTTTGTGTGATTTCCGTAATTAGATATCCCATTTGTTTTACAAGTACCTATCATTTTCACGGAGATTTAATTAATTACCTGGTCGCAAGACTTCAAAATAGTATCTATCGTGTTGTTATATCTGCATCATTCTCTATTTTTTATACAAATTATTAGGCACATACTAAAATTATATTTGCATTGCTTGTTCTATTTACAGAATGTTGGCCGCTATAGCTCAGCTGCAATCGACCAAATCTATTTTTCGTAATTTGGCAAAATGCAAGGAACTGATTATTGAAGCTGCTGCGAAAGGTGCATCTTGCATTTTTTTTCCAGAAGCATCGGACTTCATTGCAGAAAACGTAAGTAACGAACACAAATGCAACTCAGTGAATTTAAATATATTTATAAAGTCCTTTTATTTATCATATTGTATTGTTGGGACGGTAAACTGACTGTAGGAAGGTGAATGAATCTGTTGAATTAACTTCTACGGAGGAGAACAAAAAGTTTCTCCAGGGTATATGCGAGCAGGCAATACGATCTAAAATTCATGTGAATGTAAGAATAGTTTGCTACTGCTTGATTGCAACTTTATTTTTTTGTTATGTTTTGACATATGCTTACGTTTAAAGATTTGTGTGCATGAAGCCTCGGAATGTGCAGGGAAAATTTATAATTCAAACATTTGGATTGAACCTACTCGCGGCACCATTGCAGCTCGCTACCACAAGGTGCATTTGTTTGATGTTGATTTGGGTCCAGGGAAGACATTCAAGGAATCAAACTCAACTATGCCAGGAACAGAAATTCCAAGCCCAGTGATGACACCATTGGGTAAGGTTGGCCTAGCTATTTGTTTTGACCTTCGGTTTCCCGAATTGGCTCAGCACCTTCGCTCAAAAGGCGCTGATATTCTCGTATACCCGAGTGCTTTCACGGAAAAAACTGGGGCTGCTCATTGGGAAACGTTACTCAGAGCTAGAGCAATTGATTCACAGTGTTTCGTTGTTGCAGCTGCTCAGCACGGTGCTCACAACGCTAAACGTACTAGTTATGGTCATTCCATGGTAAGTAATTTTTCCTCATTATCGAAGCTAACTTGTGCGGTACAGGTGATTGATCCTTGGGGTACGTTTTCATGAACATATCAAAAGAAAATGATGAGATAAAGCAACCGAAGCTATACATACGCTTATTCCTCATTCATTTTCTACCCGTTATTTTCTTGTTACTAACAATATAGGCACGGTGATTGCTCAATACAGTGACATGAATACTCCTGAAGGACTTCTTCTATTTGATGTGAACCTTTCCATTGCTGAACGAGTTCGCCGAGCTATACCGCTTGCAAGACGAAATGATTTATACCCGAAGCTTTAAACGCATAATACCGACTTCGTAAAAGGCATCTTTTTAGTTATCAGTCCTACTTGACGAAAACAAGTTTGTGATTATTAGTATTACTTTTCGTAATTTGCTTCCCAGAATATAGCCGATTTTATTAATTAAACAGAAACCAAGAAAAGCGAGCATTAAGCTTTGATTAAATTAAAAGTGTGCCTTAACTTGTTTACAGCCGCTGTTCAATGCAGTGTAAGCGGAATAGAAAATAAACCATGCACAGTGTGCTATACTGTTCAGGAGCAAAAAAATACAAAAAAAGAAGACAAAACAAGAAACAAAACACGTCCATAGATGGTACTTTCCAGTGTGTAGATATGATGAAACTGCGAAGCAAGAATAAGAATAGCAAGGATACCGAGGTAAGGAATGCATGAGCGGAAATGGGTCAAAGGTATTTTAGATTACATGCAATCCTGGGTATGACGAGTGTTTCCACCATTAAGAAGGGTTCTGACTCGTAACGTACTGTGACGCTACTATTCCTATGCCAATGACAGTAATAGCAGCAACCATACTGCGTCCTGAAACTCGAAGATCCAAAGGTAAAAGCGAGTTATACTTATCCTTGGTAATAGACTTTGACGCCTTCAGATCTTCACAATGCATACGGAACAGCATAGGGCCATCAGAATTATTCGCCAATTCCCAAGATTCCCCCTTCGTTCGCAAACAACTATATTTCGAAATTGAACAGGAATCTAAGTCAAGCTTAGGAAAAGGAAGTGTCCGACAAAGAGAGCAAGTGTGGCGTATTAAAGTTTCAACATCAAGCTGCTGCGGCAACTTGCACAGAAATGTGTACACATTATCAGCTCCCGATCCGTTTCGTATCATATGCTTTAATTCCAAACTATTATCAAGAACAAGCTGAGCACAAGCATAAACAACTGTAAGCGGATGGGTTGCGATAAAGAAGTCAAATAAGCGACAAATAGCACCAAAATCCTCAATATCATGAGAGAACCACGTAATAAGCCAAGACAGCGCGAAGTAATTTTGTACACCCAATTTGACTAATTCTGAGCTGAGCTCGGGATCACGCAGCTTAATTATGTGCATCATTAATTCGAGTTGGTGCAAAGTTGGTTCCAAACTTGGCAACAAGAAGTCTATAATAGTTCTTAGTAAAAGTTCCAGGGGAAACCGGTAAGGTTTTAGCACATAAACATACCTCGCAACCGAAAAAAAATTAAGTGTTCAAGCAAACGTAAAGCATGAGAAAAGGACAGCGTCAAAAGGAGGACTTGGGCGATATCATGTAGGCCTTGATAGTAACAAAGAGCCGGATGCGTCTTAAAGATGATGTCAAAGACCTTGCTTAAACGAGAACGTTGTTTTCGTAACCTAAAAGGATGTGTTTTGGAATGAAAGTAAGAACGGTTCATATCCATTTCGACCTGGTGCTTGTCGGCATACGAGTCGCCTTGTAACAGTGCTGTTTCGCGAGCTGGCGGGGTATGTAATGTCAAACCACATAATTGAAACCCTGTAAACATACGTTAACGATAAGCCCAAAAACTATCAAATACATACACGCTGGTTTTCGTAAGCTCTTAATTAAAAACCCATGACCGGTTTGGCCGATACAGGACAACGTCTCGCGATCACTATTAAGTAATGCGAACTTAACCTCGCTCTGGGCTTTTTTGATTTCGTCCCTGTGCATCACATAGGCACCACCGTTAATAGAAAAAAAACGAGAAATCTTTCCAAGGTATATTGTGCTGAATTGTGATGAGGTCTGCTACAGTGAAGAGCAGTTTTATACGGCAAAAAGTATCCTTCTGTTATAAGCACTGTTATGCAAAACGAAGTCACTCAAAGTCAAGAAAATAAATACAAAGAAAAACTTCTGACCCACAATTCCCCGAGTGTAATTTGGGCGCTGGGTAGGATGGTGTGTGGTTGCGTCGTACAACGCAGACTATATGAGGAATAGTTTCAGATATGGTGGTAGCAGTACACCGAGAGGCAGTGAATTGGTGACACACGAGAAAAATAGCTCAAAACAGATAAAGCTAGTGCAATTATTCAATCGAGATAAGGAAATAGAAGTTTCTACAAACCTACTGCGAACATTTTGATATAATAAAGTCACTATATCTCGCAAATAAATTGGGCTTCCATTTTTTGAGCTTAAAATCCACGTGATCACTATGTTCCGGCACTATGTAAGTGCGCGCGTGTTCTCCTTCTACCGTTACCAAGAACCCAATGAAACGAAATTGTCTGGGAACCGTAGACATATCAATTCGCACTGAGAACTGGAATTTTTGGAACTTGGAATGGAGAAGACGTCTTTTAGAATCTCAAGAACTTGAAGGAATCTCTCAATTGCAGAAAAAACCTTTTGTTTGTATAATAAAGTTGGCTGGTAAAATGCAAAGTGTCTGTCTTCCTGAAGAACAATCTCGAGGATCGCCCTCAAATACGAGAATGTCGTTCCCCATCACAACCCACACGTCTCCCCTCGTTTTGGATGTTTCATTACTATGTCAAACGGAAACAATGCCTGTTGTTGTAGGTGAAGGCCGTGTTCCACTCGACAATGCTATCTCTAAAAGTCATGATGAATGTATATTACCGCTTCGTAATGCTCTGAATGAAACAAGTGCTTTCCTGAGACTACAGCTATTATTTTCGCGTGAACGCAGATCGTTGAGACATCCAATGCGATCAGCGTTCTATATTCAACGTTCCAACCGCTCTCTTCCATATCGACCAACACCAGCAATGTCAGAAGTGAGTCTTATTACTCTTCCACGTCCACAAGAAGCACCTGAACTTGTGCATGTGGACATTCAGGAAAAGGAAATTGAGTCAAGAGGGTGGCAGCCGTACCGATATGTATTCACAACAACCCCGTATTCCCCAAAGTCATTTGAAGTTCCTTCTCGCTAATTTCAGATAAAGGGTATAAATGTTCATAAGGGGTGTAATGTCCATAATATCCAACCGCAATTGGGAATGCTTAACGCAAAATCATATGTATACATAATTCCCAGGGAATGCGACGGATCATTTAACTGCGTTCTAACAGTGTACTAGCACTCCAGTATTCGGGCTGTTTTGCTTGTTCGTCCACCCAAACTAAAGACTTGCCTACCAAATCTTTCTACAGTTCAATTGTTAGCTAATAGCCGAAAACTATTCAGCGAGGCATATATTTGCAAACGTACCAAAGCACACTGACATCTATACAATTCCCAACCTAAGTTGTCCCGGAGCATGTCTACAGTTATGTAGCCTAAAACTTGGGCCGCTTGTAACACCTTTGTTTGATCGCCACTCAATTCAAGTGGTAGCGTCCGCACATACTGGGTTTTTCCGAGATTCTCTATAACACAACCTGGACCCAAAACCTTTAGGTTATTTACTGCGCGAACAATATCCTGTTCCACTAACCATTCCTGCCCAGAGGCTTCATTTTCTTGGTTCAAATTCTGGCATATGGTGCTCACTGACAACAATCCTCCATTTTCTTGTTGTGTTGCTTGACACACCTCAATCACTCGAACTGCAACTTGGTAATCAAAGTTGCTCATACCAACTGCAGACCATGCGGAGGCCCCAGGTCCACTTACCAGTGGATCCAGCCCTGCTTCAATAGCCATTTGTGCAAATGTTTTTCGAAAGGATGCGTTCTGTCTTAACTCTGCTGCATGCTCACGTGCGAATGCCTTTAAAGCTTCCTGAAAAGTACTAAGTTGGTTGGTGAGTTCTGATTTTTGCTGGTCGTTAATTTCCCGACCAATTTCGGCAAGCCTTTCTTCCATATCATCTGCAAATGCGCTCAACCCATAACGGCGGCTCATTATTTATCTTGTAATAACTCTTCACTTACCACCTCTGCAGTTATTACATGAAGTCAAGTTTGGTGGAGACCCCCGCGTATGTACCGCGGCGATGTTCTAATTCCCGCGGTAACTCACTGCACACAGGATGTCAACTTGTGTCTCTTACCAGCACATTTTTGAAATTGGGTAGCATTCTTTAAGGAAAAAGAATCTTAAACAAACTTGTAAAGTATCTAAAAGTGCTATGCCGCACAGAGCCGTTTTATACAGAGGAAGTTCGTTTGTTTCCTTCTCCAGTGTTAGTTCATCCGACGAAAGTACGGCACATGGTGACGAATCTTTGGGAAAAGCGGATGAACCATTGACGACTGGTATTTTGCAAGCTTGGACGTCTCAGTTCTCAAAGAATCAGACTAGAAAATTTCATAACGATTATGTGGGCGCATATGTGCAACTTCAACAGGCCTATGCCAATCTCGAGCAGCTGAAAGAAGAAAGCCTTGCCGTGGAACGTGCTCTTAGTCAGAACCATAAAGAATCAGCACCTAGTACTGCTAGCAGTGTTGGAAGCACTCGTCGATTGTCAAAACATCTTAAATCTCATAAAAGCAATGGTCAGTCTCCCAACAAAACTCTTGAATTTCGCAGTTTGCCTTATGACTCCATGACAGAATCTGCCCCGCCGTCTCCACTACGAAATGGTTCTTCGTCGTCTACACTTTCGCGCCTATTAGACACTAATCGAGATGATACCGACTCCTTGGTATCTTCTCAAAAGATTTTGAGAAGGAAGGTTGAGGACGCAGAACAGAGTGTAAGTAAAGCACACTCAGCAATGAAGGACTTGTTATTACGACAACTGGACGATGCTACAATGTTTCATTCTCCTTCAGAAACAGAGTCGGAGTATCCGCCACTGCCCGACTTGCATTGATGCATGAATGTATAATCAGGTTCCAAACTTTCATTCCGACACTCCTTTTTCCCCTATGGTCAATCTTTGGTTGTATTTTTGTTCTTTATACTTACCGCGGAACATCCGGTATGTAAGCGCGGAAGTGCCTCTCGGCGTCAACGAACTAGCAAACGCCATACATGTATAGGAAGGAAGCCCCTTGATCCGCGTACCAGGATTCAGACGTATTACCTCTTTGTCTGCTCCGAAGAAGACAATCATGATGGAAATGTAACGCTGGTTTCGTTTGTGTCTTTACTCAAAGAAAAAATGTGCTAATTTTTCTTGACAGTGAACCTGTTATTCTCTATGAAGCGGCTAGCTTGTATATGCGTTACAGCTGTAATGGTTCTTCTACCGATGACATTTTTGCTCTTCTTTATGGAGAAAAAAGAACAAGCTCTGAAAGTTTTGAAGTTTGTAGTATTACCCACTTGATTGAACTTCTTGTTGAAAACGGTCAACTGGACGATGAATTCTATCAAGCTCGAAGAAGACACTGTATGAACCTTACGCCGAGAGTCATTGAGTTGGGTCATACGGCATGTGTAAAGTTTTGTGAGTTATGTCTCAATATTTATTACTTTTGTATTGATGACCCAGTTCGTGTACTCTTTGCAAAACTCGTTGAAATTCACTGACAAGTAGGCGACAACCTTAACCTTACCGTTCTTGGGTGCTGTGTTCTGGGAGAACAAGTTACTCCAGTCATGTATTCTATCATTCAAAAAGTATGGACTGTTCTCATCATCATTTTTGATTCGTTTTAACTAATCTTTGTCTTTTAACAGGTACAAAATCTTACCGACAATCAATGTATTTTCCTTTTGCTCTTACCTACGGATTTTAACTTGGAGCAAATGAAAGTTTTTGCCTTACCACCTACTACGTCTTCTGTTGTCGAGTCTCTTCAGTGGAAGCAAATCCCTTGGACCGTTCGAAACGCCCCCAGTGGATATTATCCTGCACTCCATTCGTTAAATCAAGCCCTTCAATCCTCATCTTCACGTGGAATCTCTCGTTCACATGCCGCTATAGTTGAGTCTTTATTCCGTAAAGCCGAGCTTCTGAAACACCGACTTGTTTATAAACCACACACGCTTTCAAAATCCGACCTTTGCAATATCTCACACATTTGCCGGCTTATTGACTCTTTGAGTGGCTCATCCGTCATGTTGGATAAAGAGCTAGGACATGCAGAATCATTTAATACGTTATATCGGGTACTTAACGATGTTGGGCTTATCGAGCGCTTTCTTCATCGAGCGACCTAAACAATAAGTCGGCACCTAAAGATACATTTCAAAGAATCCGTAAATGTTTCCATGTTTCCTGCAATATCTTAATGTAACCGCTGAAGCGGTATCACCGTCAACGATCGCATTTTTGTTTCATCATTTTAAGCATTGAAAATGTAAACTCTAGTTTTCAGTTTCTATATTCACACTGCTACTTAAAAGCATAACCATATAATTATGATGTTAGCAAATTGTCCTACAGCTGCTAATAATACCATCTTTTTTTACTATCGGGCTTCTGGTATTGTAATTACTGGCAATAGTAACTGCATTGTTATATGAACTTTTGGTTTTCCTTTTTTGTCTGCTTGAGACAGGCGTCATTTATCTCGTGTTATGTGTGATATGAGGGAAGTTACAAATATACGTGTCATGACCTTCCCGAGAGTTGCTTACGCTTTGCTTGAGTGTATAAGGGTAGTTTAGTAAAAACCATCGAGCCGTTGCTCATTACCATGAATGTTTTTGGGTTTTTGTCAGCACAATTTCATAAATACAAGAAATTCTATGCAAATTATTTAGTTTAAGTCTTTTTTTTTCTTGGTATCATCATAAACCCTTTTCTTTATAGATTACCGTGTATATAGTTCGTAATTTCACAATAGTCAATATTATCGTTACTAATCACATCTGTTACAAACTCGAAAAAAATAGTAATATTACGAAGAAACACTGGCTTCGCCTGTTCGCCAAGAGTGTGTCACTTGTTCATATATATTACTAGCAACTGCACAATTAATTTTAAGTCCTATTTCAATTAATATGTTCAATTAACAAATCTACTAAACACAAGTTGAAACTTAATTACAACTTGAGATACTAGACATTCATAGTTAATAAAATTTGTTATTATCGAGTTTTTCCTGAATTTCTAATCATCGTCATTCACAATTGTACAGCCCGCTCATATTTTATTATCATTCCAGCATTTATGTAAATAACGGATCCATTAATGATCTACTTACATTCAAAAAGAATAACCAATTTACCGTTTACCCATTTTCAAAAAAAAATAAAAAATAACAATGACATCGTCAATTGAATCACCTCAATAGAGTAACTTTATGTTTCAAAAAGGAATGTCGCGGGAAAAGTCGGAAACAAGCCATCTAACTTTCGACCTGTAAAGAAGGCAATGTTGGGTTGTCAAACAACAATTTCTTAGGCTCCTGGTCGTGAGACTCTTCTGTTGTTCGGATAAGCTGGAACACATTAGTACCGATTGGTGCCAGTTTACCAAGCACAATGCATTCACTAATTCCTTCAATAGAGTCCTTAGCAAAACGTGCAGCAGCATCGAAAAGATGATCTGTTGTTTTTTCAAAAGATGCTAGTGACAGTACACTGTCTTTCATTTTGGCAACTCCAAATCTAGTGATACCGAGAACTTCACCTTTGCAGGTCATTACGTCGCCCAGCAACATAATATGACGAGGGTCGACAGTAAGGCCGTGGTTTCTCATGGTACTGTCGATTTCGTATATAATGGATTGACGAGCTGCTTCAATACCAAGCACAGCATTCATTTCCATTACGTGATTCGTGAACGTTTTGCTGCCGACAATGCCTTCTGTATTCATAACTTCACGAAGGCCATAACCCTCAACAACAAGCTGCTTCTTTTCACCCTCCTGTAAAATAATAGCACGGGAAGTTTTCGGGATACCCGAAACAACAACATTGGGAAGCGCCCGTTTATAGGTTTGCAAGCGGTAATAGACACTTGAATTTTCAAAATCTTTTGTGTCGGGCGTGACATGCACACGAATCTCGTTTGCGGAGTCGTGAACGGTGACTTGCTGCATGGGAATTTTAAGTTTTGGTGCAGTCCAAATAGCCGAAGCAATATCTGCTAATGTCAAATCAAGTTGCAATTTCCGAATAGTATCGAAATTGACGTGGACCGAAATATATGTGTTAGTGGGACCAAATATTTCTTCCAAGGAAGAAATAACGTCTTTTAGATATGTTTTTTCAATTCTGCCCTTGACAACACGGGCAGAGCGGACATCCTGATCATTGACAAGCGCGCCATAAATGATAGGTGTACTGATTGTTTTAGCTGCGTTAATAATTTCTTTGATACGGGGAACACCGAGTGTAGTTTGAGCAGCGACACCTGCAAAATGGAATGTTTTTAAGGTCATTTGGGTGCCTGGTTCACCGATAGAATGTGCACCAACAGCACCGACTGCGGTACCTGGTTCAACCTTGGCCTTCATGTATTTTTCCCAGCAGAATTGCAAGAACGTATATAGTTGCTTTTTAGACACTCTCAAAACATTATCAACTGATTTTCTAGCAGCCAATGGCGCAAAATCGTCATTTTCAAAGTCATCAAAATCGTCTTCTGAAGGTCTTTCCAATTTAGGAGCCAGTTGTCTATTTGCTCTAACCTGGGCCAATTTTTTGGCTAGTCTCTCAATTACGAAAGTCCGAACTGACTCAATAAAGTTTTCTGTGCAATTTGCTGTAAATTTCCGTGAAGATAATATGGATTCAGTTTCTTCAATGATCTTATAGGGCAAAAGGCCACTATCGTCTTCGTTGTAAGTTATATTACTGCTGTGACTCCAGCAGCGTTCAAACGCAACAGGAGTTCCATCACCTTCGAGATAAGTAGGATCCAAACCATCATCACCGTAGGTAAACTGTACAATGGAGCTATTTGAGCTACGCACGGTGCCATCGTACGCAGATGTAAGATCTTCAAGGGATTTCATAAGACGCCGAGACATATAACCAGTTTCGGCCGTCTTAACAGCAGTATCAACCAAACCTTCGCGACCAGAAATAGCATGGAAGAGGAATTCCGTAGGTGTAAGACCAGTGTAGAAGCTGTTACTAACGAATCCCTTTGCGAGTGGATGCTTCGAATTTTTCCTAAAGTGAGGGAGAGACCGATCTTGGAAGCCATCAGGAACACGTTTTCCACTAATAATTTGCTGACCGACACAAGCAACCATTTGAGAGACGTTAATTTTAGAACCCTTTGAACCACACGTAGCCATAATTAATGGAGCATTTCTTGAACCCAGCTCTTTCATACACGTTTCACCAACATCATCACGGACCTTTGAAAGTGTGCTAGAAATTTTTGATTCAAGTGTAGCTTCTTGGTTCATACCAGGCTGACATTCAAGAGTACCCTTAGCATATTGCATGATCAAATCATCCGAGACGCTGTATGCTTTCTCAACGAGTGCTTCTTTCGTATGATACAACCTTTGACCGGGTTGCACATCATTAATGCCAATCGAAAATCCGCGATTGCCTAAATATCTCGCACAAAGCTTGGCTAAACGATTCATTGTCGCAGCTGCCTCTATGGGACCGTAGTCACGAAGAATGACATAAAATAATGAATTTTTCTTACCATCACCAACGATGGACTTATCGACCACACCTGCTAACAGCTCACTGTTCTGTATCAACAAGTAGCCGTCATTCGGACACATCTCAGGAGGACTGCACTTTCCTTTTGCTATGGAGCGCGTATTTGCGGCGAGATTGACCATTACCGGTGACAGATGGTTTGGGCGCATAAGTACACCAAATAGTTGTTTTCCGGTCCAAAGGCAGCGCGGTTTTAAGATAGCAGGAGGAGGAATATCAATATGGACAGAAGCATCAACCATGAAGCAACACAAATTACAAAATGTTTTACGGTCCAAAAAGCAATCCTTTAACGACAAAAGATAAGAAGCAGTAATAAAATCTTGTGTCGCTGCAATAATTGGTTCACCGTTTCTAGGAGTTACCAAGTTGTTCTTAATACCCATGAGTTCAAGTGCCTCAGTGCGTGCCTCTTCGGTCTGCGGCACATGAAGGTTCATTTCATCGCCGTCAAAATCCGCATTGTATGGTCCGCATACACATTCGTTAAAACGAAGCGTACGCCAAGGTCTAACTTTTACCAAGTGAGCCATAATAGAAAGTTTGTGGAGAGAAGGTTGACGATTGAATAAAACGACATCATTGTCTTGCAAATGGCGTTCAACTGTATCACCAACATGCAGCTCTTCGGCGATACGTTTTCTATTTCCAAAACGTAGAAAACGTTTGATACCAGTATCACGATCTACCACATAATTCGCACCAGGATGAACGTCAGGTCCATTTGTTACACGAGTACGAAGTGCGTCAATGTTTTGATCTGTAACCTTCTCAGGATACGTTAAAATTTTCGCAATACGCAAAGGAACCGCAACCTGATCAATCTGTAAATTCGGATCAGGCGAAATAACGGTACGCCCGGAAAAGTCAACACGCTTTCCCGAAAGGTTTCCACGAAAACGACCTTGTTTACCTTTAAGACGCTGACAGAAACCACGAGTAGGCTTTGACGGCATGTCCGGAGGTCGTAAACCAGGAAGTTCACTATTAATGTACAAGGCCACGGATAGCTGTAGGAACTCCCATTGTTCCATCAAGCTGTTAATTGGCGTGCCTTTATTAAGAGCAGCGCGTATGAGTGAACTCGTCCAAACAATCTCGGTAAGTTTGATGGTAATATCATCCTCTGTAGTCGCTCCCTCTTGAGCGACAGTAGGTCTAATTGTAACAGGTGGGGCAGGCATATACTGCCATAACAGGTTCTCCGGGCGACCTTTTTCAGGATCCATTCCCAGCAACTCACAATCCATCGGTGTAATTTGTTTGAAAAGATTTAGAACTCTTAGTGGATTTAGATCATCATGGGCTTTGTGCAGATGTGGCCTTAGGTCAGGCATAGCTTTGAGAGCTTGATCAAAGGACTGCCGAAATTCACCCCCCTCTTCTTGCATTTTCCTATTAAAGCGAAAACGTTCATGAATAATCTTTAAAGGACCCGCCTTTTTTACTACACCCTGAGTTTTGTTGCAGTAAGGACAAACTCGAACTTTTTTGCAAGCATCGTTTAGTCTCTTGCATATCTGTGTTCTTCTTAAGTTGTCGATGCCGGGTTTCCGCAGCTCTTTCAGAAAATTTTGTTTTTCCCGTTGAGAAACGAGGACTGTAGCACAATCCTTACAGATATTTTGCAAGATAGTAAGAGTTGTTTTGAAGTAACCAATGTTAAACACTGGCAAAGCAAGTCTGACATGACCAAAGTGACCGATACAGTCTGCGACTCCTTCACCGCATGTTGCACAAACAGCATTTCTGTCAGTTGTACCCATACGACGATCAAGAGCACCGTGCTCTACAGGTTTTCTCTCAGTCATCGTGTATAAATCACGGGTTGAGACTTCAACAACTGCATCTTTAACAAACTCCTTTGGTCCGCTCAAACAAAACTGTAGATGCCGGATTCTTTTAGGAACCTAATAAAGTGTTAATTGATGCATAGGAATTATAGAAAGTCACAAACCTGGTCGTCCACAGGTTCTTTCATTTTCTTATTGCTCAATCTCGCGGATAATTACCGAACAACAAGCAATTTTCGATCAAATTGGTTGCAACCTGTTGGATGAAGTGGGCACTAGAACAAGTGGCTAAATTGTTGTTCCGCGGAAACTTACCGGAGTTGCCGCGTTTATTTACTCCACCATAACTTCGACTGTGTAAAATGAGAATAGTAGATTCATAGGATGTTATAATCATCGGAAAAAATTGGGTCTAAAATGAGTCTATGATAAATAGCACGATCATAAAGTATGAGATCTATAACAAAATACACATTCAATTCAACAAAGTCGTAAAGCAGGTCTCAACTCCCTGCAAACCCAACGAGTTTTTGCTTGGTGACTATGAAGAAATTGACAAAAACTACAAGATGAGTTTATGAATATTAAGGTTAACAAAAAACGAACATAAGCCTTTTTTTCGATGTCAAAGACTAGTGTTTTCTAAACTCATGGAAGGCAAATTTTTGTGAAGAAAAAGACAAGTCAATCTAGGTAGTTGCATTTATTAAACATTGAGCTCTAGATATCAAGCTCAATGTCGAAATCCATGTTAGCAATTAAATTGTCAACGCCATTAACAGCTTTTTGACGGAGAACAGCGTTTTTCTCTTTCACTGAGCTGGGGAGCTCCACAGCCGGTGTGGACGCCTTAGAAAGTGTTTTTGGTGAAAGTGAAGGTGTACGCTCAGGAGTTTGGTGGGTAAAAGGTGAAGATACATTGCTAGGAGCATTTGTAGAGGGTTCAGTAAGTACATCGGTTGCGACTGAGTTTACAGATTTAAAAGTGGCCATTGCGGTCATTCGACGACGTTCATCATTCATGCGTTTTTCTGCAAGACGAACTTCTTCTTGATTTTTGCGGCGGTTTCGTTCGTTAACTTTGCTTAGCTGATCCAATGTTGAAGTACCATTGGGGCGAGAGCCCATGGACAGCTCCTCAAGTGTATTAAGACGTTCATCTAACTCTTGGACCAAATCCATTTGATTTGCAGCGAGTGCTGCTTGTCTTTTCATACGAAGGTTTGTTTTTTCGGCACTGATGTTGGAAGGAATGCGAGAAAGTTCGCGTTTAATTCGCACGACTTCTGATACTTCAGTATCATTCAAGATGTAACTTGCCATACGTTGTAGTCCTTCCAGATGTTTTTTGAAAAAATCTTTGCGCGGAGGACGAAGATGATCTTCCTCCAATTGATGTTGCCAGCGGTCAAAATCATGCTGTGAGAAGGGTTCATTCGATAACACAGAAATATCAAATGCTCGTCGATAGCGACCATGTGTGCATTCTAGCATTACATTCGTAAGTGAACCTTCAACTCTATAAGCCTTCTTTCCTTTGGAAATTCCTACGGGGTTAGCCACAAATAACGAAGTTATAATTATGTGTGCAAACCTTTAATTTGACACAATCTGTAAACGCTTTCACCATGGCGTTCTCCAATTTTCACACGGACGAAGCAACCAACGGTACATGATTCAAATAATGGATGGAACATGTACTTAACGATATGTTTCCGTCCCAGCCTGATAGTATTCACGTCATCTAAAGTCACCGCAGATTGTGTTTCAACTATCCGTGGGCTATACCCCTCTGAATAGGCATCAGATTCCTGCTCGCTATAAGAAGCCTCATCTTCACTAGTAGAATATGCTTTCTCTGTGACCTCTTTTCTAGCTGATGTGTTGACTTTATTTGAGCGCTCCTGACGTCTTTTTTTAAGCTCTGTAAGTTTGTCTCGTTTGCCCGCGGTTTCAGATGTTAGCTTTTCACGAGTCGATCCTATAATGATTAGGTGTTAGAGTCCGCAAACAATGTCAATTTTACTAAAATCATACTTCTAGCGGATGTTTGAGAGTATTGTTCTTTCTGTTTACGAAGACGAACGGCAAGCTCGCGTCGTTCATTCAACTTCGCTATTTCCTCTTCACGTTCGTAAAGAATACTCTCGCGCTCCACCTCAGTCATAGCCATTAACCTATATTAACACGTATTAGAATGGCATTATACAGTAAATTCTTAGCATACCTGGCACGGTCTTCTTCATCTCGAAATTTGCCTTCCAATCGGTAAGGATTTTCAAAAGCTAGTAGCTCCTCTTCATAAGTGTTTTTTTCATCATCTTCTTCATAACCCTCGTTATCTGATGCTTCAAAATCGTTCAACTCGTTATTATGTTCCTCATCCGAGTCACTAAAACTGTCATCTCTTTAAGGTAGTTAGAAATCAAAAACTCCTCAAAAAGGCTTGATAAAAATAGTCATACGAATTGTCTAAAGCTCTTTTTCTGCTTTTAGAAGAATTAAGACTGTCATCCACACCAGCTAAAGCTAGCAGTTCATCTTGAAAATCTGCCATGTTGGTTCGTGACAAACTAATACCAGCGTTCTCCAAACTTTTGTGGACTCATTGTTCCTGAGGAAGCGGCTTTATGACAGTCCAAAGCTGTTTAATAAAGCATTCTGAAAAGGCTAAAGTTCATTTCATCAAAGAAAAAGAGGAGTAACAGCAACAACTATATAAAATACTGTGTAAATATTAATATTGCTCCACCTAAGGTATAGACTTAAGTTAAGATCTTGATTGGGTCTTAACTCATTAATTACGATTTTCAATCGTCTTTGTACTGTTTTGTTATCTCAGGACCGTACGCTGAAGCTGTATCATCAAGCGTTTTTAACCACATCAGTAAAGGAAGATTGAGTAAGTAGTTTTTTTTAATTACTTCGTGCGATGCAGAAAGTTACAGTTTCTGAAAGTTCTCGTACGTTGAAGACACTTGTTGAACTCTGTTTGGAGGAAGAATTGTACGAGAAAGCACTTTTCTTGTTAATTCATGCGGTTACAACAAATTATTCCACAACATTTCCAGCATGTTATGTTCAGTTATGTGCAACTATGCTTGTACATCCTTCTTTTGATGGAAATACAAAAGTACTTGAAAGTTGTCGTATTCTATTACGACATTCACTTGCCCTTCCAGCTGACGTTCAATACTCTGCATGGTCTCTTACTTACAAGACCGAGGGTTATCATGCTGCAAAAGATACAAGTATAAAATTAATGCAGACGGAATCTCTTTTTAGACAACCCGTTTCTTTTTGGGATTTAATTCGTTATGTGTCGGCTATTCCTCCCGACTTTGACAGATGGATGTCACTTCTTGAGCACTGGTCGACCGTACTTAAGATGGATAATGATGACTCATTTCGATTATTAAGTGAGTACGTTGGTACAGATGAAGATCAAATTAAAGACACTTGCTCCGCTGTGTTTTCAAGATGCACAGAGCGTAAAGACCCGTCATTTCCTTTCGCTCATACTATTCATCGGACATCTCCAGAAAAGAAAAATATGGTTTTCTTGGATCATCCAACGGAACATCAACTTTCACGATTGTGGAAACTTATATGCTTTGTACTAAAACTTATATGGGATATGATTCGTTCGACATCAAAACCTATGCCTCCACTCGACTTTTTGCTTCATTTACATACTAGTTTCGAAAAGTTAGATGTCGCTTCACAAACAAAAGTCTACGAAAATTTGGGACACTGTTCCTTACGTTATAGCCTTGTGCAATACGTGATAAATGACTCCGTTGTCAATGCAGTCCCTACTACTCTTAATTACAAATTACCCATTAAAACTTTCAAAACTATTATCGAGAATTGTGGGACGATTAAGACACGCTGCTCTAAAACAAACTTGAGTATCGCATGCAAATTTTTGTTATTGGAATATTTGCTTGAATCAAAAATTACTGGCTCTGTTGCCTCTGAACTTAGTTCCTCCTTAAAAAAAAGCATAAAAGAGAGGAACAAAGACTCAAACTGGAGGGAAGACGCCAGGGAATATGTACAATCTGAAAAAAACTTATACAAACTTGCACAATGTCTCGATCACATAGCAAACATTGCTAAGAAGCGAAGACCTACAGTCACAATTGCAAGTATGTTCGCACGGAAAAGAAATGGAAAATAAAACAGTTTATTAAGTATTCTGATCTGGAAAATAATAACTCTCTCTCATACCCAATCATCATTCAGCTTAAACTTCTTGAAACCGAACGCAAAGCTCTCGTACAAGCGTACTATACTTAATTCCCTTAAAGGGCTTGCTCTCCTTCTGATTAAGCACCCGGATATTGTCAATTTTCAATTGATTTGACGATGAAAGAGGGAAGGCGTATTCAAGTACCAAGTGAGTTAAACTACGTTCATCTCCTTTGTCCCCATTTGGAAGTAGTATTTTTGACTCCTGTAATTCTCCTTTCAAAGTAATAGCAGGAGAAGCTCTTTCAAGTTTTTTTATGGACCAATGCAGTTCTGGATCCTCTGTTAATATGTTTTTGGAGCTGAAAAAGAAGTCTCCCGAAGTGCATTTAAGGTTTTTGAGTGTGAACTTAGCTGGAATCCTCACAAGAATATTTTCAATGGACTTGGCTGAACTTGCTCTCAGAGATATTTCGAAAGATGTGTTATTGAACAGTTTTGCATCAACCACAACCGGCAGTGCATTAACACTCTTAAACTCACTTGCAAACGAGCAAAGAGTAAATTTTCCGTCAGGTGGAATAAATTGAATTTGCTGATGGTTTTGTTTCCAATGTTGAAGATTAACACAGCGGTGAAAGAACGGTGACTGAAGTTTACTTGCGTTTTGAAGAACCATACTAAGATCTGGTGTGCCAGAAAGTCTTGAACGACATTCGACGCGGGTGAGAACTGATCCCGATACTGTACGCCTTTTAGCATCGACTGTTGCCTTCAAAAAGTCAACGACATGAACGAAAAACTCATTAGTAGAATGTTTCACATCTGCTGCTCTCCAAGGAACCGAATTGTGTTTCGTATAAGACTGTAAGACAGACGAGGATCCCATTGGTTGTTTCAGAGGTGAAAAGTTGTATGCCTTTAACCGTGTGGCATTCATTATTTTGTTCATTAAACTTGGAAGGGGGACAAGTTGTTCTAGAGAACAAGCTTCCATTTGTGCTGGATAGCCATTGTCAATCATTTCTAATAGAATTTGAATAATAGTGCTAGAGTGAGCCTCTAAAATAGTGGATTTGAACCCTCCAAAGTACGATTTCAGTGTTTGAACAATATGATCCATAATATCTGAAATGAATAAAGGGTCTGTATCATTTATAATAGAAATACAGATGTGAACATCTTCCACTCTGCGCTGAAAAAAAACAATACTTTTAGCGGAGAGAACGAAGGGAAGTGCCTTCGCATTGCTATTCCATCTTGTAATCTCGCTCCATATAGTGCTGGCGACGGTAGCTGATGTACGACCCTGTGATTCTAATTGTACAATTGCTGAACTGCATAAAAATGTCAATAACTCAAATCCACAAAAATGGGCATACCCATTACTATTTAATAAGTAGATCGCCTCAATCGAAGCCATACGGGTCAGGCTTATATGAATAGATTTGGAGAAAGAGTGTGGTAACCACAGCCCGAGTTGATCTGATTTGGCGGCTTAACTTAGTGTATGTTCAAGTGTATCGAGTATGGTGTAAGCTACGTAAGACGTAGAGAAGAAAAACGCCAACACATAATGAATAATCACGAACTTGTATCTCCTCTATTATACTCGGCTAATATGATATGAGATTCACTTTCTTTTTCATGACAATTGTGAACTCTAAATAACGTGTGATAATACTCAAAACTCCTCATTACAACAATAAAACGATCAAGTTAATAAACATTGAAAGCTTACGAACTTTTCAAGTGCCAATTTGTGCTTTTTAAAGTATGAATTTTGTTTGATACAAATTTAGCCCGACGCTGCAAAAAACCCTCATTCACCCGCAATTAGCATTCATTAACACGGAACATGTCATTGGTTCATATGCCGTTAATACAATACGGTGCAGCATTTCTTTACTTTTATATCTGAAGTTACTGTAGTAAATGCATTAGGCATTCTTTGAGCGTACAAGACCTGCTTAAACATAGAAACAGCAGACAGTAGACGTTTTTTATTGAAGAAAATTGTCATAAATGTGGAACGTTACATAGCTTGTAAAACTTACAAATTAGAGCGGAGTAGTCTTTATCGGCTTAAACGCTTTCATACGGAGGCTCTGAAACTGGGGAATAAAGGGGTGATCCGCAGTGCCTAGGGACTAGCAAATCAACTGAAAGTGACGGCGATTTACTCGGTTCAAGTGTCGGAGACGGCGATTGTCGACAGATAATGGGCCGCGGTATTGTGGTTTTCGGCGACATGGACGCAACGCTTGTAGTGTTTTTATGTTGAGAATGACTGGCGAGAAGTTCTTGAAGATTCTGAACTGCTGGGATGGACGAGTTTGCAATCGAAGAGCGACGTAATAAACGAACAGGTTTTCTCAGTGTTTCGCTGCGAGATCCTTCGGTGTGTTGAGAAACATGTGTTCTGTTTGTTCTAGGAACAGTCAAAGCCGTTATATTAGATACAGTTGACATCAACGAATGCGATCGACGAATTGGTGCAGCGGGCTGTTCAGAATTACGAAGTATATGTGTTCTTGAATTGGAACGTTTACGCATCCATTCAACAGTAAAGTCTGGAAAAATGTCAGGACGACGTCCCGTAAGGATACTGATAGTGTTGTCCAAGGTGAACGGTTGCAAAGATTCATCTTGTACGGAACCGATGTCAAGTTGACTCCAAAAATGGTCAGCAGAAGGCACTTTAGAGCATGTAAGGAAATTAGAAGATGTTTTAAGTTCCTCAATCCAGGCGCCCATTAGCGTTTTAAGTTCTTGAATTTCAAAACGTTCAGACATTAGGGAAAGAATAGATGTTGTTAATGATGCGGCAGCATAGCGGAACTTTGCCGCTTGACAACCTTGAAATAGAGCAGGAAGCATCGCGATAGCCGCGATAGAACCAAACAGTTCCAAAAGTTTAGAAAGTAAGCGGTGCATCGTGTAGTATTCACCAGCGCATTCGGCTTTCGCCAACCACTGTTGAATATGATCGCACATAGAAAACAAAAATTTGCAAACGACAGTGTAGGGTGACTCCGTATGTGAGTTCTGCAACTGTTTTACGTCTACATTAACCGGTTGAATAAAATTATTCAAGAAATAGTATAGGACCTCCGCGCATTTTACTCGGACGTGCAAGTAGGGCGTCTCATGTAAGCGTGCTGCAGAAGACATCCATGCTCGAAGAATGACATTTTCCCTCGCAGCAGATAATTTTGTAGGAGAAGAAGTCTTGGCAGCCGACATTTTCGTAACCAACTGCAACACGGAAAGAACCACAATTTGATGGGGACAAGGAGCAGTATACGGAGCACTTACATCTATGTCAGTCCATATATCAGCAAGTTGTTCACCGTAGTATTCATGTTTGGCAAGTGAACTGGCACAGTAAACCAACAAGTATAAACGTCTGGGAAACCCAGTCTCAGGAGTCAAACTGCGTATATACCATTCGAGATCAGAAGCTGTGTTTGCTTCCACAGAGACGTACATATGCGTCTCAAGGTGACGTAGCACATCAATGATAGAAATGCTAGACATGGTATTTTTTGAATTAAGAATGGTATAAACCATGGCCGGTACAACAGTGTTAGATTCAGAATGCTCTATACGTTGGCTGTTAAGACATTGGAGACAGCATGTGAGAATAATATGGCGCAATTGAACAGGAGTCCAATATACTACACGCAAAAGAACAGCCTGCATCCACTCTTGACTCTCTTTCACATCCTTTTTCGTAGCTAAGAAGTGAATCAGAGATTTGGTGCATTCGGCCAAAAAGACAGAGTCACTTAATGAGAAAACATTAAACAGAACATGAATACCAAGCCGCCAAACAGCCATCTGTGCTGTATCTCCAGCCTCCTCATGTTCCGGGATGAAGACGTTGGAATGTCTAGCTGAAGGTTTTGTGTCATTATCTAGCTTCAAGTTCTCAAGCAGATTGACAAAGGTTTTTGACTCGGACGGGCTTTCCGACCAGCAAGAAGTAAGGATGGCGTGCATTACCATGTGAGATTTGTTTCCAAGTTGGACAGTACTGGCTAGCAAACTGGAAGCTGTCAAAGCATAAAAGGCTCTTAGACAAACATACCGAGCGACTATTGGGTCTGGATAAGAGTTTGTTATACTTAAACACTGGAAAGACTGTACAAGCTCTGTAAGGGCTATGTAAAAATCGTTATCAAAAGATGCACCGTTATCATCCGTACACTCGCAGTACTGAGCGAAGCAATCCACGCAAGCTGTGACAACATCAATACTTTTATGTACTGAGGTAAAAAGCATAATGCTTACCAGATTTGGTGCTATAATGTTTATATTGTCCTTGCATTTTCCGGTAAGTTCCTCACAAATTTTCAGAGTAACCAAGAGTTCACTAACATATTAGCATCTTTGGAATATAAACTTAGACATACGTGTCTTTTCTTCTGTGGAGGTAATGTTTCGCTCGTTTTTCAATATAAAGCATAACTTTTCGAAGCTTCACCGAGTTTGTGGCAGCATAATAACATAAGTAAGATAAAGGCGAAGAGTTTGGTTGAGCTCCCGATCTTTTAGAATTTGGATAGCATCGAAGAACCAGTTTTTTGTGCTTTGCACGGAATAGAAACCACATCTTAGAGTTAATTTTTGAGTTTCGATCGATAATATAACAGCGTAAAGTTATTTGTGAAAATGATGTTATAAAGCAATTGAAACAAGCCCTCTTTCAAGGTTTGTACTTTTTTGAAGATAGAGAGTCCTATGCCCTTAATATTTGGAAGAGATTGTTTTAAAAGAGTGTTGCTGACGTTCTGTTAAATTAAGAGGGCGGAACATGCGTTCACTCATGCAAGATTAAAGTGAGCCAATATTCGTTACAATACGATTAGAGAAGGAACGAGTGAATAAAATTCGACAGTAGATGATGTACTTTATGACAAAAATGCTCATAAAGCGTAAAAGCGAAAGTAAACAAACCAACCAAAATTGGGAGTGTGCTGTATTGCAGCGGGCTTTGGGAGACTACCGTTCCGCTGCGGTCTAGGTGGTGAGGAGTTCGCAGGATGGTTCAACAATAAAAACGCTTTGAATAAGCCAATTTTTCCAAAAACATATACGCTGCTGTATGTCTATGTATCTTTACTATGCAAAGGAAACGTTCCGCTATAAACAGTTGTCTAGAGTTTTATCGAGTTGCAACATTATAGTTAATTATAAGCGAAATTCCGTCACGGGGCTAAGAACTTTATTTTAAAGTCGCAGAAGTATCCCAACCCTCTCAGTCGGGTAGGTCCCTTAATGGTAAAGCTCATGTGGTTTGTTAAGCTGTCCATCACCCTGGCTCATTGACCGCAAGTGTTCTATACATTATTTCTTACACCTGTACATTCTGTTACTATGATTTATTGAGTTTCGTACATAAAGTTTTTTGTGGGTGTCCTGCCGGACATAAACGTTTCATTGAATGCTAATTCGTCAACGATCAATGTTTTCTTCCAAAATAATGTATATACAGCGCTATTTACTTACTTTGTCGACTCAAGGAAAAAATGGAATGAGGGCTTCGTCTTCACCATATTTGCTGTGTTCGTCTGTTCCAGTTGCGAGACGGCCCACTGTAAACAGAACTTTTCATGTGAATGCAAGCTATAGAGCGCATGTCGGGGAACAGGCGAATAAGAGTTCGCCAATTATATACCCTACCAAGTCTCGAGCTTTTTTGAGAAGAAAGATTATAGACGATTCTCCAAGTCGAACTCCCGTTAATCTATATTTGGAAGCAGAACAATTGCTTCAGCAACCAGCTTCTAGTGATGTTAAATTGGATTTCATTAAATCAATAAACGAAGTAAAACCGGAAAAAAGTGAAGTTACCGAAACTCAATACGATGCTCTGCTAATAATGCTGGAAAACTCCTTCTTAAAAGAGCAGTTGCAGCACTACGTAAAAAGTTTTAACATTAAAAACTTTTACCGACTAACAAAACGTGAACTTGTTGTTCGCATTTTAGAAGATGTTTGGCAACTAACTTGCATTAAGCGAGTCAATGAAAAATTGGAAGTTTCTGAGATTCTTAAGCTATCTGTCGACGAGCTTTTTCATATATATGTCATTAGAAACACAACGCTTGCTCAATGGAGTGCTCGGTTGAATTGCCGCGCAACTTTTAACTTTGAAACATTGCAGCTCATTCTTAATGGAAGAAAGAATGATGTCAACGCCCTTCAATCAAAGATTGCTTCCTATTTAAAGGGAATAACGAAGCTTTCTATCACATCTAAAGCATATGAATTTGCTCGCTCTAATATCCGCTCATTCTTTCAACGGTTTCGAATTCCTATCCGTTTTCTTCCGGATAATCAAATTAGTGTTTGTACACATGCATCTACTGTTCATTCATCTAACTCTTTACGGCGTTGCCTTAATTACGCAGCATTTTGCGAGTCTAACTCACCGAACAATGTTTTCCTTGCTCTTTCACCGGAAAAAAGTAACATGCCTCTGCCATTAATGTATGATTTTTTCCCACTAACTTCATTTCCGTGGTATCTACACAATAAAATGTGGAAAAGGTGGTCGTATCCTGCGACTTTAACTGGGACTAAATTAGTGGATGTCGATCAAATTCCATTTACTATTGCCGATGACTTACAATCGAATAGTCCAAAATGCTACTACAATGGTCTAACAGAAATACTGAAGGTAATTTCCTCGCCGCGAATTGAGCTTTCAGGTGAAAATAAAGAATACGTAAAAATAACACTTGGCAACTTTTTGTTTGACGATTACTTCGCCAATTACCAAGGAAAATATAAGCCAAATACAACATCTAGCACAGAAGTCGTACTAGATGAGGGCCGGCCACATTCGGTATTCGTTCCCTGTTCTGGAGGTTTAGCTTCAAAAGTTCAAAGTTTGATTGCCTTTAATGATACACGCTTTTATCGTGAAATTATCCTGCTACAGGACACGTTCGAACATAATTGTGCAGAAACTATTCCTACTTACCTGCGCTTGTTGATACCGCAAGGAAAAGACCTTGAGAGCACACTCCGTGAGACACATTTTACAGCCGTTTACACCCGTAAAGAGGTGGTTATGGCTCTGACAAATTGCGATTTGGACATTAAGGTACAGTTTCAACAGTATCAATCCCTTCCTATCAATGAAGACATAATGAAGTTAGTCGAGTATTTAATTGCACCAGTGGCAGGTCTAAAAAGTTTAGCAGATTACTCGTACTCTTTCAACACAAAGAAGGGCACACTACATTATGTCTTCGCAACTTCAAATAAGTTACAAACTCGAGAGGCTTTCAAGGATGCAATCTGTGTTTCTCTCAACTCTAGTATCCGAGAATGGGGAGGAATTAATTCTAGCGTTTCAATGACTAGCGCATTGGTGTCGCAGCCTTTTCAGTCTCTTTCTAATTTTGTTTCTAGTTTTCTAAATTGAGCGTGAATAAATTTCATGTTAAGTAGTATGAGCCATTCTTTTCAAAACTTCAAGTGCCAAACGCCAACATTCCTCTTCCAAAGTACTCAAATTTAACGATAAACAGTACTTCAATTAATTATTGCAGATGTAGCGTTAATTGAGCAGTACGACTAAACAACTAACAAATGGGTGATTAAGTGGTTTCGGTGTTTTTAAATCTTCTATTTTCAAGTATTAATGTAGATCTGACACATATTCATTACGGTATTAATTAATTTAGAAATAAAATTTCGTAAGTAACGACCACTAGGCTCCTTCTGTATGTGAAAAACAATATCTAAAATTGATAAAAAATTTCTTCTTTTTTTTATTCTTTGGGCACATATTGATTAGATTCTTTATCATTATCACCAAAATTATTTACGGACTGATATGGGATTACTAGCTTCCCACAATGTCGTTAAAATGAGTAAAATATGGAAGTGGTGGAGATATCAGCCCTTTCTTATTCCAAAAAGAGCGATTTATCTTTCACCGAAACTTACCAAAAACCAGCAATCGTCCCAATTAAATTGTTTATTTAATACTACCTCCAAAGGCTTCTATTCTACAACTATGCGTCCGTCTGAGTTTCAGATCAACGGGTTTCCCGTTGATGGAGTTGTTCCAAAGCATGAAACACAAGCAGCAGAATTTCTGAAGAAATATCCTGATTTTGATGGCCGAGGTGTTGTTGTAGGTATCCTCGATACTGGCGTTGACCCAGGAGCGGCTGGTTTAAGCATTACTTCTGACGGAAAACCCAAATTCAAGAATATCGTCGATTGTACTGGAGCCGGTGACGTTGAGACGTCGAAGGTTGTTGATGCAAAGAGTAACGGCGAATACCTTGAAATTGAAGGTCTTTCTGGAAGAACACTTAGGCTTTCAAAAGAATGGAAAAATCCGACTGGAAAATGGCACATTGGCTGTAAGTTTGCTTATGAACTTTACCCCAAGGACTTAGTCAAACGCCTGAAAGTTCTTGAGACAGAGGACGTAAAGAAGAAAAACAATGAGCTTCTTGCTCGTGATACAGAAGCTTTGGCAATCTACAAATCCCAGGTGCCCAAGCCCTCTAACTCTGATGAAATTACGAAAATGAAGGAGCTTGAAGCTCGCGTCGCATCTTTAAAAAAGTTATGTGATTCTTATGATAATGTGGTCCTCTTTATGATGTTGTTACGTTTCATGATGGAAATGATTGGAATGTCGTTGTTGATGTAAATCAAAACGGTGAACTGTTTAAACAAGCGCCTATGAATGACTTTGATAAAAAACAAGAATGGTCTACTTTTGGGCCTGTTGACTTGCTTTCCTATGGGGTACATGTTTATGAAGATGGAAACATTACTTCAATTGTCACTGTATGTGGTACTCACGGAACTCACGTTGCTGGTATCATAGGAGCGCATCATCCAGAACACCCAGAACTTGACGGTGCGGCACCTGGTTGTCAATTGGTTTCTCTTATGATTGGTGATGCTCGTCTGGATTCTTTAGAAACAAGCCATGCCTTTTCCCGTGCTTGTGCTGAAATTGTAAAGAACAAAGTTGATATAATTAACATTAGTTTTGGCGAAGATGCTGGTCTTCCTAACCAAGGTCGTGTCATTGAATTACTTCGTGATGAATTGTCTGGAAAACGCGACGTAGTTATTGTTTCATCTGCCGGCAACGAGGGCCCGGCTTACACAACTGTTGGTGCTCCTGGCGGTACGACGTTTGACATTATTTCCGTCGGCGCCTATGTTACTGGCAATATGATGCAAGCTCAGTACAATTTGCTTAAGCCCGTAAATGACACCCCATATACCTGGTGTTCTCGTGGCCCTACTCTTGATGGAGATGTTGGTGTATCAATCTATGCGCCCGGAGGTGCAATTACATGCGTACCTCCTTACTCTTTGCAGAACTCTCAATTGATGAACGGTACCAGCATGTCATCCCCATCAGCTTGTGGTGGCATTTCCTTAATTTTATCTGCCTTAAAAGCACGCGAAATTCCGTATTCGGCATCGTCAATTAAAAAGGCTGTTACGTTCAGTGCCAAGAGTGTTCGAAGTGAATTTGAGATTGGTATGCTTCAAGTGATTGAAGCATATAACTATCTCGTGGAGACCAAAGACACAATTGATCGTGATGTGTCATTTAAGGTTTCTGGCCCTCAAGGAAATCGTGGTATTTACCTTCGAGAGAGTGCAGACTTTCAAGAAGCATCCCGGCACACGTTTACTGTTTCTCCCGTGTTTTATGACGGACAGGAGTCACTGAAGGCTCACTTTGAAATGCAACTAACACTTTCCGCTACGGAGCCTTGGATTCAGGCAACAGAATACATTATGATGGCCGGAACTGGAAGGTCATTTGCCATTCGTGTAGACCCAACAAGTTTAACGCCTGGTTTCCACTTCGGAAAGATTCGCGCATACGATGCAAAGTCTCAACAGCGTCGTGTTGTCTTTGAAATTCCTGTAACTATCATGAAGCCCTTTGAGGTCACTGACAACACGCTCTCTCTGAAATCATTGACGTTTGAACCATCGAAAATTGAACGACGCTTTATTACCCCCCCTAAAGGAACTACTTATGCCGAAATTCGGATTCGGCCATTATGCAAGCTTGAGGCCTCTAGCATGCTTTGGATTTGTACGAATCAACTGTTGCCGCAAACCAAGCATAAAGATTCTTCAAGTGAACTTATTCTTGGAATTGTTGAAAATGAAGTCACCTCTAAGACATTTAAGGTAAATGATGGATACACTTTGGAGCTGTGTTTGGCACAATGGTGGAGCTCTCTTGAACCCATGCTACTTGACATTGACGTGACTTTCCATGGAATCAAATCCACTGCGGGTCAGTCTCTTTGTCTAAATGCTAGTGCAGGTTATAAGCGCATTGACTGTTTTAGCCTTAAGAAAGAACCTTTCAAACCCAAGGTGGTTTTTGATAGGTTTTCCGATAGCTATAGACCTGTTTCTGCCGTTATTAAACCGTTGAAGTTTAGAGACGTGCTTCCGGACGGTCAACAGCTATTTGAGACGGTGATTACTTACAAATTTGATATAAAGGAAAAAACTGAAGTTACTCTGAAATTCGGTGTTCCTGAACACATGTATGACAACGGTTTTAACGGCATATTCTTTATGCTTTTTGATGCACAAAAACAGCTTATTCACTATGGTGATATGTATCCTCGACCCCACGAGTTGTCAAAGGGTGAATATACTGTGCGCCTGCAATTAATAAGTGTCTATACACAGGTTCTCGAAACCTTTAAGGACGTGCCTTTAACCCTTGGCCGGAAACTAAAAAAGGAGATTACGCTGCCCTTATTTGCCAACCATATTGACTTCTGTGATAATAAGAAAGCAGATTATGGCAATGCGACAATTGCTCTAGATCGCCCAAAGTCTTTCATTATTGGAACCGATCTTTCAGCCGATATTTATCCATCGGATGTCAATCCTCACTCAATCCTTATGGGCTCAATGAAGTTCAACGATAAATCATCCATTCCGGCATCAATGTTCCTTCCTCCAAAGGTTGTTGAAGAGAAGGCGACAACTGAGGATGAAAATGAAGAGAACCTAGTTAGACTTGAAGTTGACATTCTATCTAAGCTTAAAGGTGCAGAGAAGGACAAGCATCTAAAAAATCTGCTTTCAATGCACCGTAAGAGCCTCCCTGTTCAGCTTGCAAAGTTAGACAATGCCAAGGATGATCAAGAACGTCTTTCTACGGTGGATATGATTTTGTCTCTCATTGATGTCAGCGCACTTTCGCAATACTTTAGCAACGAAGCTAAAACGAGTGAACTCGCCGTTAAGAATGTTGCACTAGAGAACAAGATGAAGGAGGAAAAGGCTGCTTACATAAAGGCTTTGCAAGTTAAGAGTGAAGTATTTTCTCGGCAATCCAATGTTGACCTGGAGGCTTTTGGCAAAACAGTACAGACTTTGATGAACTGGGTTGAGGATTCTGACACAAAATTGGTGAATGCTAAAAGAGCGCTCTATACTAAATCTGGCCAACCTGCTCTTGCTTTACAGAGCCTTCTCAAAGCGCTAGAGGAGAATGGTAACTCTCGTGAGGGTGACGTGAAGACACTGTTACAGGAAGCTATTACACTGTGCGAGGAGTTAAAATGGCCATTCTGGAAACAGGTCTTTGAAAAGCTTGTTATCAAAAAGGCTCCTCCTTACGGTTACGCTCTCTTTTAAGACTCGTTGCTGGTATCACTCAATTAGCATTACAATGAAATTATTAGGAAATGCTCAAGAATTGTGTAATGATTGATTTATTACTAACTATTGTCAGCGAGACTTTAACCCGGTGAGTGTCAAAAAGAGAGGGGAGGCTGTTTTAGTAACCTGAGACAAAAGAAATTGTTATCACCAAAAATATTCACTGAGCAAGCACCAACTACCTTGGCACAATCGATTTGTCAAAAATACAATACCTGAGGAATATAGTTTCGCCTAAATTTTCTAAAAGGTAGATTGGATAGCGTCGACCAAGTAGTCGTAAAAGGCGGTGCTGTTTACCTTAGTAACGAACTCGACCTTTTGAGCATCAGCTGGTTGGTAACCGGACTTCCAAACCATAGAACGACCGTAGTAGTTTCCGGTATATCCAATGTCTACGTCCATATAGATTTCCTGAGACTCGAGGACAAGTTCTGGATGGACACTGACAGCAGCAGCGACTTCGTCCCAAAGAGGAATGTTATAAAAGAAGGGGTAATAATTCTTAATAGCAGTCGTAACAGTTGTGTTGCGAGAGAGAATGCGATCGCCGATCTCCTTTGTAAGAAGGATATCATTACCAACTTGACCAACGATTTGAATGTGAGGGAAACCAGCGTTCAAAACAATTTTAGCAGCTTCAGGGTCAAAGAGGAAGTTGAAGTCCGAGCCAACGTCCTCAGCACCGAAACCGAGAGTCTCGGATCCAAAGGCTTGATAAAGATTGGTGTCAACATATCCGCCTTGGATGACAAGCTTCTTTGTTGAAGAAGCGAAAGTAGGATCCATGCGCACAGCCAAGGCAAGGTTAGTCATGGTACCTGCAGCCACAATTGTTACTTCATTAGGGTATTTTTTAACAGAGTTAATGAGGAAGTTAATTGCCGACTCATTTTGAGCCTTAGTTTGGGCATGCCCTCGATTTGCTTGAATGCGGAAGGGATCACCGCCGGTAGGGTTGGCCCTCAGCATCCAAGGTTTCGTTGTAAGGAGCAAATGCGCCTAACCAAGCGATTTTACCGTTGATTTGTTGCCAAGCGACAGTGCGCGTTTGCGTATTCACCAAGGGATACACGGCGCCATTGTAGACGGGATAGTCAGTCAAGTTGGCGAATTCGAGTTCGCGTAAGAGACGTTGAGCACCCTGGTCTCTCCAGGTGTTACCCGTAACAGTAGTGTAGCCCAAGAAATCATCTGTGCTGTTTATAGCAGCGGGAATCATGGTAACCAAACCCATTTCACTGCCGCTCCAATCATTTTCAACAATATATTTGTCAGCAGCAGCCGAAGATGCGAGCAACAAGAGGGCAGCAGCCTTCAACAAATGAAACATTTTTTAAACTCAAAGACTTATCCGGGTAGCTACAGGGTTTACTGACTTTTAAAGCAGAGAGCGATCGGTTAAAGCGGATACGCAATTGTGAAAACGAGTCACAGCGCGTAACCATAGAGAAGGACTGGAAATTCAACGCGCTATCAGGCCATTGGAATAGCCGGCGTTCTGCAAAAAGAGACGAATTAGGACTTCACGCTTGGCGCTCCATTATTCAGCCATCTGGTTGCTAAAGTCACAGGAGCAGTATAGATACAGGCGTGACTCGTTTTCCTTTCAATTCTATTGGTGCCTTATTTGTTTCCCTTGTGGGTATGAAACTAGAGCAAGTTTTGCTGTGAAGAAAGACTTACTATTAATCAGAATCCCCAAGGCTCAAAAAAAAAAAAAAACCATTATTCAATGAACTTGTTCAACATGTAATTTAACAAACACGCGCCTGATTATTATCGTAAACGCGATCATAATGGCGTTGCAAACTCAATTTTTTGACAGCGTGCGACTATGATAAGTTAATGCGAAATTATTCGCGTGGCCGAAATCGGGTATCCCGAGAGGAGCGGTCTATAGGAAATCGACGGATTGCGGAGAAAGTCTGGAACATTGCTGCTTGATTACAACAAGCGCTGAAAAGGATGTGACAATATATGCTAATAAGAATATATATTTGATAGAGCGCTCACGGTAATTAAATATGATCCCGCATGGTTTAGAATTGTATAGTTAAACGTTCGCGAAACGGTATAATGCAAACTGTCTAATTCTTCAATTTGCCAATATCTACAGTTTTGTTCTTGATATTTAATTGAATCAAACAAAAATTCGGACAAACCCGAAACAAAGTTAACCTGATCTTCTAGTACTATTAAGCGAACAACTATCCCCGGGTGAAAGGCGGAAACGAGTGAAGGGTCTCGCGACAAGCGGTAAGGCTTCTGGAAAGATTAACTTCATTGAAAGTTATCATATTAAAATTAAGCAAATTAAAAGAAGCCATTTGGTGGCCGTTTATTGTTTTTCCATTTTAAATCTGGCGATGGTATCTGAACGGTTATTCAGACATACCGAAGCCTGGAGGATATAGAAATGCGAAATTTAAAGAAATGTGACTTTTATTAACTATGCTGACAATTTTTGTATTGCGATATGAATTCACTTGAATTGGTTCTGTCAATTTAAAATACTTCATTCATTTGCAATTAAATCGTTATCCACGATAAGGGAGGGAACGCTTATTCACGGCTACGTAATTATATTATTCCGCATAGCCATCGACCGCGATTAAGTGGTTAGTTCCATTATTGAAACAAAAAAGAACACAAACATATGCACTTTAATGTTAATTAATGAATGTACATGAGAATGAACTCATAGTAAGTTCTATATATTTATCACTTCCTACAGTCTTAGTAATTATGTGAACGAGCTCTTTTCTATGTTTTATATTTGATATGCATCGTAGCTGTGTCTATTTCTTGTAAAGCACAACTGCCACTTCATTTATCAGCAATTCAATAAGCAACGTTTTCACTGGCTCGTAGCCGTACCCCAACTCCTTACTAAGGGGGCCATTTCAGTCCAATTGGGATATCAACCCCCCCTAGGCAAGGAAGAAGCGTCATGTTTCGCTTATAATAAAGATTAAAAAGGGTTTATCAATTTAGTTGATTTTCGCTCTCCCTGGACCGAAACTGAACCCCTCCCCCTGAGTAACCCGTGTTAATAATGGGGTACGGTAGGGAGACGTAATTGTAAAATTCTATAGTTGTTCTTGGAACAAATGTCCAGTAATGAAACATGCAGTGAACAAAAAATATTCACGAATTAGGAAGGCGACACAAGTGGAGGCATGTAAACTCACTAATAAAAACGTTCGCATCTAGCTTTTACAAAATTGTAATTATATTTTGCTTCGTAAGCCACAAACCTCCAACCAAAAGAATAGATACACCATTTATAAAACAAAACTATAACATTATAAAATGAACCGTCAATTTCGAACATAACGCTTACAATAATAAATTCAGCTCTCATCTTTATCTGTTAAGGTATCCACCTTTAATATTTCATGGTGTCCCCGCAAATCTAGTAAGTTACTTCTTGCTTTTACTGGAGGCGAGACCTTCCCCAAGATCGATGAAATATGCTTTTCATCAAATTTGACATTTCTCTTTCTAATCGATACTAAGATTTGGAAGTGTAACAAAGACGAAGTTTAACAATGTTTGCCATGGATTTGCAAACGCAACTAAGCAGTGAGCCAACTATAAAAGATGTTGATATTCAACAACAGTTTTATAGAACATCTCCTGCTGAAGTTCGTTTGTCAATTGTTAAGCAAGTGACTAATCAATTGGAGTTTTACATTTATTCCAATGTTTCTATTACCCATATTTGGTTGAATATTGAAGACTTTTTCAGTCAAAAAAGCAAGTTCCCAAGAGAATATCGTGAAGCTGCCTATGCATTATTAAAAAAATATGTATCAACTCAACTAAATTTGAGTGTTGTTGAAAGATTCATTTTCTTTAAGACCATTGAAGGTGACAGCAATGATAATACCGAAATTGGTGCTAGATTACAAGCACTCTCTGTCCTAACGGACTCTGGTCACAATATTACTGGTATCGAAAATAACGTGTGCCCTTTATTGGCAACATGGTTACAGGCTTGTCATGATCAACTTAACATGAGTAACGTGAAAAGCAAGCCGTCTTGTCAAAAGAAATATTTGAAGTTATCACACAGTATATTTTGTTACGCAGCAAACCTGATAAAGTTTCAGTTTTCCACGATTAAAGACGAATATGCGCAACTGTTAGTTGACGTTATTATACATATCTGCAACACTACTACTACACAGGAAGTTATCTTGGATGGTTTAAAAATTTTAGATGCTACAATTCGGTATTGTTTTGTTCCTAAGGCATGCATTCCAGACCTTGTAGTCTTGTTATGCAGTACGTATGTCGGCAGTTTATCATATACAAAGCAAAGTAAAATTGCATCGGAAAATTTACTGCGAAGCCATTTTTTCAATGTTGCTTTGGATACTCTCTTTCGAATTTTGCGAGACCATGACACCTCAGCCATCTCAATTAGAGGAGCTGTTTGCATTGTTCGTTATACCTCTCTCCACGAAAGTCGTTTTGATTTTGCTGTAATCAATGCTAATTCCGCGATCAGCATCCTTCTCACCTCTTTAAATTTCGACGAATTTACTGACTTAGAGATTGTTGGTACTGTTTATGCTTTTCTAAAAAATGAAGCTATTACAAAGGCCTTCGACCATTACGCTTGGAATGGAATATTCGAAATTCTAATAGCTTGTACTCGTTACTTGCCATTTTCGTCAACGGGTACGAAAGAAAAACTGAAGTCTTATAGTACCACAGCGTCGTTACTTCATCTTTATGAATTAATTTTGGAATCTGTCGAGCTTATATTTTCCCCTACTATGCTATTACAGTTAAATGTGCCACTTTTTAACTTTTATTCCGCTATTTATCCGGTGCTTAAGACGACCCAAATATCTCATATCCTTTCTTTGTATACTACTCAACATGTTGGCCATCCTCTTAATAGCCACTGGATTGAAAATTTAATATTCTTGCGAGATCACATCCTTTATAATAGCCAGAATGATGAATTGTCACTTCAGGCTATGCAAATTATTGTTGACATATGCTCTTACCTTGATGAAAACAGTGTAATCGACTTTAAAGAAACAGTATTCAGGGAAATACTCGAACATCTTGTTTCTGAAGAACGCAATAACATTGCAAGCTTAATAGTCAACGTCTATTATTATCTATATGTCAAATTTAAGGTATTTCACTTCGAGGACCTTGTTAATTTCTCAAAAACCATGATTAATGGAGCTTCCACCGAGCACGTTGCGCTGATTGGTACGAGCCTTCTTATGAAATTGTTTTACTACAATTATGACCATCAAAATATTGATAGTCTCAAAATTGTGTTTGAAGAGATAATGGTTATAGCTCAGTCTCAGAACTTACTATGTTCTTGTCGACTTCTCTGTTTTCGACTTCTTTGCAGGATAAGGGCAGATGTCGCGGGTGTTATTTATATAAATGATTCAAGCCAGGCAAAAAATGAAAGTCATTCCGGAGAAGAAAAGGAAGAAGATAACCTACCCAATTTGTGCTATATCTCTTCGTCCGTGATAGATGGAACCAAGCCTCGTATACACAGATGGGGGAGACCCAAATTAAAAAGACTCGTGTCTATAGAGTCCAAGGACGAAGATGTAGCACTTTTTCCTTCCTCTTGGTTACTACAGATTTACAAAAACATCATTCTTCACGAGATTGACTGGAGAGTATTCGAATACCTCACTTTAAATCTCTCTGAACAGCTGATAAATCGTTCTCTTTTTGAAAATTCCTGTTATCAGGTGCGAGAGTTTACTCTTGTTTTATGCGATATTCTTATTGAACAGGACAAAACCTTAATGTGCAACTACCATCTCATGTTAGAAAGGGAAACGCTATCATTTTGTTATTACACAGTCTTTTGTCGTGTGTAACTTACCATAACGAATTTCCAAGATCTCTTGAAGATGCAATAGTGAATGCGTTTTATATCTGTTTACAGAAATGGAGCCTTGCTTGTAAGGTTTGTATTCACGCCTTGCGTATATCTTGTTATGAGTTCCCTACATCAATTAGTAAACTGCTTTCTGCTATTCTGATGCACTTATCACGGTTAATTACAAATTCTGTATTGAGTGTTCATATCCTAGAGTTTCTTTGCAGCCTGGCGCAGTTGGATAAGCTTGTAAGCAACTTTACAGATGCTGACTATCGACAAGTTTTCGGTGTCGCACTGAAGTATATACAGCACTTCAGTTCCTCAAAGAATGATGCAAATGCACACGATACCATGAAGAAGTCACATTCTGCGTATGTACTAGCATTGGCATACAATGTACTTCAAATTTGGTTTCTCGTTCTCCGTTTGAATGAGAGAAAGAAGTACGTTCCATTTATTATTCGAGGATTAAAGCTCGCCTCCGAAAACACTACAATTGATGACTTAAGTCTTGTTCAGTACGATATGATGCAGCAGTTTTGTTACTCAAATACTTCCATTCATAACTACGCTTCAACCCCTACCGATGATAAAACGGAAAGCAAAACCTGGGTCAGAGGAAACACATTACTAACTATACGGTCTATTTGTGGCTCTGGCATAATGGATATTATCGTTCGTCGACCAACAGGCACGATGCAATATACTTTATACAACAAAACCAATTCTCGTCAAGATATGCTGCGTTCACAAATGTACAGCTCACAAACTAGCCTTCCTGATGATTTTTCCTTCTGTTATCCAAGCGCTGTGTTGGCATACTTTACTAACTCAAACGGCATCTCTGCAACGTCACGTCCTTTGGCCCTCGCGAATGACGATGCCGTTCGACGAGCTATTTCTGTTTTTGATCGTATTCCCGTTATTGAATCTCATAAAGCCGGCCTCGTTTATGTTGGTTATGAACAAACGAATGAAGCAGACATTCTTTCAAATAACAGAACATCTAAAAACTTTGATTTGTTTCTCCAAAAACTAGGCAATGTTTGTGAGTTAAAGTCTAAAAATGGAATATTTGCTGGAGGATTGGATCGTGAAAACGATATTGATGGAAAGTTTGCATACTACTGGCGCAACAGAATTGTACAGTTAATTTATCACTGTACTACCTTAATGCCAACCAATCTAGAACGCGATCCGCAATGTACTTTGAAGAAACGTCACATCGGAAATGACTTTGTTAGCATAATATTTAACGAGTCAGGGGTCGACTATGATTTCAACACAATACCTGGACAGTTCAATTTTGTTAATATCGTTATATCTCCGGTATCTAAACCAAGCGGTGCAAGCAGCGCTAATTCAGAATTTTATAAAGTGCAGGTGTTAACTCGTCAAGAAGGCTCAGACTTCAGTCCGTTTATTGTTCCAAAGGTTATATCTGCAGATGCTCTTCCATTGATTGTTAGAGATACTACACTGAACGCGGCCATATTTTCACACATCTACCATGAAGGTGCTGGGGAATATGTGCATATATGGGTTGAGCGTCTGCGACAAATTCAACGTTTGCATAAGAGAGCAAGAGAATCACTACAGCAAACATTGGGCAAAAGTACATCACCAGAAACAACTGCCGCCTTAGAATACTCATTAGAAGATATTATGGTTGACTTTACCACCTTCCTCTGAACATAGTCCTTTAAGTGAAATAAACATATGCATGTATTAAATAGTCTATCAATGTTAAGTATTGAACAATGCTGTCGTTTTTACTTGGAATCAAGGATAAACAAAAAGCAGAAAAGTACTAAAGGAGCGGCCCCGTTCTTTAAAAGCTCCGCGCTCGCCAATCTCGTGAGTGCAAGACATTGCTTACCATAAAGCTTAAAACGCTTCTTTTGGGAAACGTGGATTTTCGGGTCGTATAAAGGGAGGAGCGTCCTCATTTGCTTTGATAACCGATAATTAGCAATGAGACTGTATAAGAAAAAAACTCCAGCAATAACCCCGTAAAATATGTATATGTAGAGTTGGCTTGGTACCAAACAAAGTTTTGTCTGGAGACCAGTGTCACTGTGTAAGTCATCGTTGTAATTTGGATAATAGAGCGAAATCAGTTGGTAACCAGGCTTACGAACTTTCATAGCAATAGAAAGAGACTTCACATTGCGCTCGATAATAGTGTGTCGTTTAGAAAAAAAGTCCATATACTCATGGGAAACCTCACAATAGTCATGGTCATCGCCAGCAAAAGCTGCGACGGGCTCCAACTTCTCAAGAATATGCTCGGATAATTGCGAGTCGAGCACATTTTGATACTGATAGCCACCGTTGATTTCAAGGGCAGTACCTATTTCACGCATCTGTCCGCAGTAAGTATTTGGAGGACGATATAACGGAACATGGCCAAGAAGAATTCGTGGATACAATCCCGTACGCATGGGTTGAAAACTTTCAAGAAACTCTCTGGCAGGTTCATATACAGCAGGATCTTTGTTATTGGATAACCGAATTCCATCTAAGAATACAAGGGTATGATTGCCGGCGTCAATGACTTTCGAAGTAGGACCAAAGTACTGTTCGTACCTTTTAACATTCGCGTAAGACACCCCGTTGCCAAAACCCATTTCGTGATTGCCAGGCAGGTATTCAACTCGTGAGGCGAGTGAAGCATCAAAAACTTTCCGGAACCGTGACACTTCTTGATCATACATAATATCACTCAAGTCTCGACCAGAGTCTAATAAGTCGCCCATAAAGATAGTCATATCAGGTTTCAAAACCTTGTGCATTAGTCGCCAATGGCGACGAAGGTGAGTGTCTGTAAAAAGCTCTGTGAGCGTGTTGAAAATGCCATGTCTATTATAACTCTGCTGGTCGACCAATTGAGGGTCAGCAACAAGAGCAATGTGAAACGGTTTAGCTTCTTTTCCCCAAGTTTCCCATTTTGACCAATTACAAGATACATGTGCAGATTTTTGTAAAGTCCGTTCTAAGAAAAAAACAAGAAAGCAGATAAGCACAGTTCTAATTAAGAAATAACGCTTCATTGTAATCCAAATTAATATGATATCGCGTCCACGAAGAAACGTCCTCTTTCTTGAGTGCTGTAAATAACCAAGCCGTCTAAATGTCTTGTTTCACAATAACACTAATTGTAGCACAGCGTAAGGATAAAGAACCCACTATTATAGTAAAGCTAATTGGTTGAACACATGAATTGTAGATGACTCCTGTCTTGAAGTATGTACGCTTTTGCCAAGGAGTGCCAAGGTACACAACCTCTTCTGGAGTAGGGAACGGAAGAATGTGTGGCTCACTTTAATAGGCTACAACAGCAAATCAACACTAAAAGCACCTATTCAATTGATGATAACGATAGCTTAGTTAAGAAAAATAAAGACTTTTAAGAATTTATATACAAGCACTCTCGTTTTCCCAGCTCATTGTTATATCTTTTTACTAATAATTTCCTTAACAATGCACCCGACAACAATGTATCTAACCCTTCAAGAAATGCTACACCATAAAATAATACTCCTTGATATTAAGGGTTAGCTAACGATCCCTTTTTATTATAGTTCCTCAACGAACTCAATAGTCATTTGTACTGACCTTTCTGACTATCCATATTTAGCCGCTTTCACATTCTTCAAACAAGAAACCTGCTTTGAATTTTGGAACCGTTAACAAATAGCAGCCAGTGCCTGAACAGTTTTCTATCAATCTTTTGTCGTATCTGGTAGAGCACTTCTTTATTGGGTTAACGTCTTTATTTGGAAATACTATAACTAAACTTTTTTCTGTACTTTTCAGAAAAAAAACGCTTAAATATGACTGAGATTCTTGACCCTGAGTTGTCAGAAGTTTTGGACTTTGACAAGTTCGGTTTTTTGGAGCCTATTCCGGACAACGATTTTGATAATGCTCTCGCAAAAATCATATATGATGATTGCTACAAACAGGGCATGGCTTATTTTAGAGCTATCGTAAAGCAAGAGGAGCTTTCGGAAAGGGCACTTGCTCTTACCAGTCTTCTGATTATGTTTAACCCAGCTCACTACACCGTCTGGTCATACAGAACGAAGGTATTACTTGCTTTAGGAGATGAGGCCATTCAAAACGAATTAAGTTGGATGGATCAGGTCGCTCCCCATTTTCAAAAAAACTATCAAGTTTGGCCTCATCGCCAACAACTTGTTCAAAGAACTGGCGACTACAAACGTGAAATAGCGTTCACGGAGACAATGCTGCAGCTTGACAGCAAGAATTATCATGTTTGGTCACATAGACTATGGCTTGTTCAGCAAACCCGTGAATTTGCTGCAGAGAACTCTTATACTCAGGCAATGATTCTTCAAGACCCATACAACAACTCTGCTTGGAACCATCGTTACACTGTTTTGTTTGAACTGAACGCTGCCGAAATGGACGAAGCAAGCTTAACCACGGAGCTTCAATATATCAATGAACAGCTTTTGAACTTTCCAGATAATCAGAGCGTTTGGAATTACTTTTTTGGTGTCATGGATTACGCTCCTAACCACAACTTTAAAGAATTGGTGATCTCACTTGAACCTACAATGTCTAGTACCAATGCTCTCTTTTTGGAAGCTAAGGCGAAGGTTTTACCGAAAATTGAAGCCACAAAGATTTACGAGTCCCTTGCAAATGAAATTGATCCGGTGCACGCTTGTTATTGGAGATATCTTGCTAAATCATTAGACGACGAAGCTTAATTGTTCTGACGATAATGCACTTTTTACTTTCACATTGGCCTTTAGTGAAACCAAAGATTTCTGTCATTTCTGTACCCATGCGAAGCGGTCTCCGCGATATAACGATGTCATTATGAAATACTTTAACTAAGTATCAACTGCATTTTCCGACCTACTGGCTTCGTTCCAAACTTTGTCTTGCATGTCGACCGTAAGCACCTCTTTTTTGTCATGATTGATCTACTGCTTATTTTATACAGCCTTTTGAAGACAACTTTGATTCCGGGATCTAAATTCATTTCACGAGAGTTGGTTAATTGTACCTTGTTTACTATTTTTGTTTGTTTACCCTTAAGAATCGCTTTTTGCAATTACGTAAATACAAGTGTAAACAATAAACAAATGTTTATTAACGCAAGGAATTGGTATAAATAGCTGCTTATGGTTCTCTTCTCCCTACCTTTTACTTGTTTCTTCACAAACGTAAAAATCATTTAGGGTTTCTATTACTTTTCTGTATATTCAACAAAGAGGTTGTATACAGTAACAATATTCTTCGCTGCAGTCTGTTCATTGCATAAGTGCGTAATTGAATTGACCTGCAGTAATTAATTTCTTTGCAAAAGAATATTTGTAAACTATTCAAGGATCTGTTCTTTCTTATAACATTACCCTTGTGAGGTCTCAATACTTGTGAGCTTGAGCTTCCATCTGTTGAGTTTAAATATTCTGTCTTGTGCTACGGGAGAGTTGTTCTTACTGACTCTCGATCTTGTTTCAAAACAAGACTTTTTATTCTACCATTCTTGTGTGCTTAAGAAGTAAAAGCAGCTACTTGCCTTTAAGGTATTGTAGCTGATATCAATCTCCGATTACCTATAGGAGTTTGTGACAATATTGACTTTGCTTACTTTTACTGGTCTAATCTAATCTTGGTAAAAAAATGTTTCGGATTATTAAAGCTTTATGGTCATTTATTTTGAGCATCTTCCGGGCTGTCTTCGGTCACAACAAATCGAAGCAACGTGATGTACAGCTTGAGGAAGGAATTGTTTATCAACAACCTCGAACTCACGTATCTGCATCAAGCACGACTTCGAATTATTCATCACCGCTATCCGAAGAGCTTAAAGCCTTGCCTTATTCCACTTTGCGACTCCAAAAGGTTCCTAATTACGGAATACCAGCAGTTCATCAATGTCAGCAGCACTATGCTTCCGCTGCTGCATCCGTTCATTATTCTTTAACTTCAAATGAGCGGTCATCAACATCTGCCTTACACCCCTATGAGATCAAGAAACCGCCTTCAGCAGTTAAAAGGGACATCGTCGTTCATCGTTCGTCATCTTCATTGCCTTATGGGGAGCCAGCACCTGTTAGTCTTAGTACCAGCAAGGTACGTATGGACCATCATGTAATGTCAATCAATAACGTACGTGTGGAATTGAGAAATACGAAGGAATCTCTATCTTCAGAGTCATCTTCCTCACAGTTAAGGTCTCCTCTAGAAGTGGAGGGAGCTCACAACCTTTCCTCCGTCTTGGCAGTTGATTCTCAAATGAGCAATTCTACTCACTCACAAACGAAAAATCTTCAATGCAATGAGCAAAAAGTTTGCGACATGAATTTTATTTCGAGCAAAGCATCATACGAAAAAGAGAACCTCACGAAAGAAGATTCTTCGTATACGAGAGATACTATCAACGTCCGCAGCAACCGGATGAATGAAGATGCTAAACTTTATATGTCCGACACTGTTGAGTCCAATGACTTGAATGATAGATTTATTTCCATGGATGTCCAAAACAAGGGTCACTTTAAGGACAACATGGGAATCGAGTCACTTTCGTCGAACAGTGTACATCTAACACTTGCAGATTCAGTCGCTCAATCTCCTGAGAACCCATCACCGGCAACGCCGACTGCTCCAGAAGTGGTTCAACCTATCCTTGTTCATCCTTACTCTGCAAGTGTTGACTCACTCGATCTTGTACCCGTCTCCTATCAAGTTCCTTTTCCTTATTCAAAGTGTTTGGACATTGCGCCGGTACAAACACCCGTTGAAAAAGTTGATGCCGCGTTTTCTACTTGGGAAAGAAAGCGCTACGCTTCCCGTCCGATTTACCATCCTTACGCTGACCATTGCGATGAACGAACACGCCATTTTGAAGAGTTTTCCCATCTAACTGACCTTTTAATGAGGATTGATGAGTTTCCGGCGGAGCTTACTCGAGATGTATTCACCAAGGCTCTTGAATTTTTCAACGCAAATTCTATTCTTCGCATTTACCGAGACTGGCTAAAAATGCACCGTGAAAGAATGCTAGCAAAAGGCAGTTCTCATCTAAAACTTCTACATGCTTACCGGAAACAGCACCCTTTACCAAAGCCTACGGACTCTACAAGTAGGCGATCAGTATCGGGAATTTATAAACATTCTCCAATTAAGACCCGGAAAGTTGTTTCATTTTCAGCTGAACAATTTGACTGTAAACCCACCCCTTTGTTCCCATCAAATGATGATGAAGAAATATATGATTCAGAAACACTGGACAAGGAAACAGACGACCTTTATATTCCGCGAAGACGACTTGATGTTTTTGATGAAACACTTGCATTTTTGGCCCTCGCTGCTGAATTTCAAAAAGTGTCCGGTGAAGCAGTATCTCTTGCTGACAAACCGGGTCTTGATGAACTTAAAGAGTTCTGGTATGATGAACTTCCGTTTGTTACAGAGTCTCGGCCTGGAAGTTCACAATCTTACAGGAAAATTCAGAAGTTAAAAAAAGCACGCAAAGATGAAAAGGAAACACTACGAGGAGAATGCAAGCGGATTATTGAAGAAGACCGCAAATTAATGGAGTTAAAAAGCGTGTTTAATCTTCGTGAACTCTTTACAATTGCGGAATTACTATCGTTGAATACACCCACTGAAAACGCAAGAGCATATTATTATAACAACTATCTCACTCTTTGCCGAAGAAAACAAGCCGATACTGAATTTGATGTTAACCGTCACTTTAAAATTACCTTTGCCAAGCTTTACAATAATGGCAGCATTTATGATGTCCCTTGTCGTGAGGAACGTCTACTGCACAAAGAAAAGTATTATTCTTCTTTTGCTTGCTCAAATCTATTCGTCCAGCGGAGCATCGTTCAAACGAAAAACTGGAAACAGGCCTTAACAATTGGAGTTGACCGTTTAAGACGCGGCCTTAGCATTGATATTGAAGGAACTTGTGACAGAATTCTTGAAATCTTTCAATTGGAAAAACCAAGGAAACCAACCCAGGAAGAAAAACAACAATTTGAGGAGTTCATGACCGGTCTGAACACACTTGAAGCGTTGGAGGGTGAAGATTCCGCATTCCTCTTTCAGTACTATGGAACACATTCCCGTGCAAGGCAACATGCACGTGAGTTTAAGAAATGGGAATTATATTATGCCGCTGAAGAATTACAATCAAGCTACATGATTCGATTTGCAATTATGTTAGGAACAAGATTACCAATCGTCAACTATTGGACTCGCTACTGGAGCAATCTTCTAATCTCTTTCTTTGAACTACAAAGTTCAATACTTCTTGCCGCTGGCATGCCAAGCAAAAGTCTTCTGTTTTGTCGTGATGTAGCTGTCCGTGCTATTCCTGGAACTGGCGTTTATGGACTACAAGCCGACCAAACCTGTCCTACGTTTACGGAATGGTTTTTAAAATCTGCTTCTGACGTTGCTGATGATCTCACGAGGGTTCAGGCGAATTTCGCAAAGTCTGCCGATATTGACTTGGAAAAATACGAGCCACTCCCCGAGTACGCATTTCCTTTGCTGTTGGAGCTGAGATTGATTCGCAGTCTTCGTCATATGTCCTACGACTCATTGTCTTTTCTATCTGATGATGAAGTATTAATTTACGAGCAATTTCCTCGTAAACTTCAAATTCTTTTTCCAGCACAAAAACTATTGGACTCAGACGTGCTAGAATGTGTAAAAGAGACACTTCAACAACGGAAAGAACTGCCATGGGACAAACCTATAATATACACGAGCTTCTATAGAGCGCTGGACAAAATTTACAACAATACCCTAAAACTTCTCAAGGAATCGGAGGGAAAGTTTTAACTGGATCGCGATAATTTTTTCTTGTGATTATTTTTGGAAAACCGAAACATTGTGAGCTATTGGGAAACCTGTCATTTTTCCTTCCTTTGAGAGGCAATTTTAATAAACAAAGAGATAATTGTTATCGCCTTCATTACTACATTAGAACCGCTTTGTGATGAGTTTATGAGTTATTATAATCTGCAAAAAAAATAGAATAGTTACGTGAGTAAATCATGAATGTGCAGAGCAACTTCATTCGTCATTCGGTCGACATGTAATACCGGTGAAATAACATTGTCTCTACGTCGGTGGTGATAGCTGAAGCGACCCACTAGAACGCTTTCTTTTAGTGATATCGCTTGCTTTGGAGTGTACAGAGGAAACAGTGAACATCAAATTCGCAATGGGAACATCAGGTGAGAGTGAGAACTTATAAGAGACCAAGTAAACTACTCATTATAAATCTTGATAGCTCCAAATTCTGGCCCGAAGATCACCGCTTCCGGTGGCAAAACAATTTCCAGTCGGACTCATTGCAACTGAGATAACAGAATTGTTATGTCCTTGTAACGTGGCTTGAGATTGGAAACCATTTGGATTCCAAAATTGAACAGTCCTATCCTTAGAACCACTAACGATCCATTTACCGTCAGGAGAAAGAGCAACACTAAGAATGTAATTTTTATGTCCTGTAAATGTTTTTTTACAGATTCCTCCAGGCTTGATTGCATTTGTAGGTACACCAGCAGCTGATTGTAGTTCCCAGAGTTTTATAGTGTTATCAAGACTGCCACTGGCGAGAGTAAGACCGTCTGGCGAAAAAGCAACGCTGTAGACACTTTCTTGGTGACCTACAAGTTGCTCAAGAAGCGTTCCGTTAATAGACCATATCCGGATAACTTTGTCGAGGGAACCAGCAGCAATGTACTGAGAATCAGGAGAAAAGGCTACAGTGGTTATCCCATCATCCGTATGTAAGACCAGCTTTCGTTGTCCGGTTTCAACGCTCCAAAGATAAACAGTACGGTCTCCACTTCCGGATACCAAATACTTCCCATCACGGCTATAATCCAAAGAGTAGATTTCCTGTTCATGACCAGAGAGTAGTCTGTGAACGCGTTTTTGAGCGATGTCCCAGATGCGAATTTGGCGATCTTCAACACCAGTAGCAAGGTACTTTCCATCAGCACTGAAGGCCACGCTTCTGACGTACAAATCACCTTCTTTTTCGGATGACTCTTCTTGTAGATGAGTCAAGAGTTGTCCTGTTTCCACGCTGAACACAAGTGCAGCACGGTTACAACCGGTAGCAAGAAGCTTACCATCATGGCTGAACTTAACACAACAAATTACACTGGTATGCTCTAACGTATGCAATAAATTTATCGCAATGGAAGGAGTCACGCCCTGGGCGTACGTAACAGACCAGTCTGTTTCTTCCTTTTTTACAACAGCATTCTGCTCAGCAGAACCGTTATTCAACGACGTTTCTTGGCCTGGTTGAGAGAGAGAAGGAGTAGAGGATTTTGTAGTGTTTTCGGAACCAGCAGCATTATTAACATATGCCGAGGAAGAACCCATGGGTATTTGAGATTCCGGAGCTGGCGGAGCTTGTGAAAAAGCATTTTGTGAATAAAGCTGAGCAGGGGGTCCTTCTTTGGGCTGAACGGATTGGATAGGGGCTAAAACACTGGACTCTGCATTTTGAGACATCCGTCGATTGGCAGAGATGGACGGAAGTGTGTTTGATTGTGCATTTGCTGACAATTTTGCGTGGTTTGGCATCTGGCTGCCAGGCATACCGTTTCCCGCCATGGGCGAATTCATAATATTTGACCGTGTATTCGTCGAAGCCATTGTGAAAGAAGGTTGAGACGACTGGCTTGGTGTGGAGGCTGTTTTAGCATTGGCTGCTGGTGTGGAATCTCGTCTACGCTTTTGTAGCTCATTTTTTAGTTGGCTTATTTCTTCTTCGTAACTAATTATCAGTCAGTAACTTCTAACATCCCATATTTGATTTCGTTGCGTGCATACCCTTCTTTAATCTTTACATGTTGCATTTCTAGTTCCATAATGGCTTTTTTTATGCGGTGGATTTCTTGTATCTGAGAAGTAACCACTAGACTTGTTAGTAACGAAAAAAAGACATAAATGTTTGAAAACTTTCAATAGAATTCCTCTTTAACGTACATTTGTAACCATAATCATCTGGATGAATATCTCCTTGCAGATTTTGTTTAAGAAACGTGTCGAGCTCTGTCCTAAGAGCTTCTAACAGCTCATTGAGCCTAGATGTTACAGAGCTTGTTGCCATTAGGTATTAAGGACCTGTTTCACCGTCTTTAACCAAAAACTTGGAAAAAAACGTAAAGTTGGCGCAGCCTCGACGTTCACGTGGTGTTTAATTGCAGGGGTTACGCGCACAATTATTTCTGGTGCAGGGGGTTGGTTAAGAGTTTAGTGTGTAAGGGTGCAAACAAATTAAGAAAACGCAGATCAGTCGGCAAAAAAGGTCTTGGTGTGAAGTCATCGCTTCTCAGATTGTTAGTACATCAAGAGGAGACAATTTTGAACAGGTTTAGAGTTAAGAGCTAGTAGTTCGAGATTTATCAACTTGTAAAATGCCTAAAGTGGTATTTATAAGACATTCCGGGTTTTATATCGAGTTTTTTGTTTAAAAGGGTCCGGTTGGAATAGATGAATGCGCCATTGTTTGTTTAACAATGTTTTTGGTATCTTCATAGAGCTGTTTTGATATGCAAATATGAAGGTTTCATGTTTAGCGCCCGAAGAAGTACTTAAATTTCGTTGCTTGAAAGAATGTGCGAGTTTGAAGTCTGTTATAGACGCGTTAGGCGTGGATAACCTGTCCTGTGATAGGATGATGTCTTATAATTGTCGCAGTAGTACTTAAAACGTTTACAAGCGAGAGTAGAAAATGGCGGATTGATATCGATGTCACGATGCGGATTAGGAGGCGGATACATGCAAAGGTCGTTTAATAACACAGGATCATTAGAGCAAGGAGTTGAATCAGAAACATAAAATCCAGTGCCAAAGTCGTATTTCTGCAGCTCGTTTGAGATTGACGCTTTTACTTTGTCGGGAGGCGAGGATGAGCTTGCACCAGCATACAGAGTGGGATAGAAAGAGACTGTATGATTAAAATTCTCGTGATCTAGACAATTAAAGGAAGAATTGTCTTCGTAATTTGGGAAAGTTTTGGGAAGAAGTTGATCGGCGTCGTTGACAACCATGGATGAGGCAGTAGGCTCAAAGTTTAAAGGGTAGTCCACAAGATTTGACTCGAGTTCTTCCATAACTGGGGGCTTTAAGTTTTTGAAAATTATCATATCGAGTAAGTTCGGGGTTTCTGTTGGACAGTTGGTATGGGCATCTATGGAAAGATAGTTCACTGGGTCAGGGTCGTTTTCTTGAAAAGGGGTTGCCTGAGTTTTATTGTCAGCTGGTTTCATGGTGTTTAATGTTAAACCAGACTGCTCATTGTCTAACATTGTTTGTTGTTCCTGTATAGAGGTTGATATGCTCTCATAAAACTGTTTTTTCTCTTTCTCCACAATTGGGGAAATACGAAAGTTTGAGCCTTGGAGAAGTTCGGTTGATACTTTAATGTCCTGAAACTGTGGAAGCTCACTCGGAGAACGAAGTTTTCCTATGGCAACATCATTGACGGAATAATAGGAAATTAAATGATGAGGTCGGCCAAACAAACTTATAGTTATTGTTTTCTTTACCAGTCCGTCAGCCTTTAGACGTGAAGATTGTGTTTCATTATTTAAAGAGTGGTTTCCAATATGGCCTTGGGTGCGTTTTGAGCCTACAGGATAAGATACTCTCTTTCTGTAGATATCTTTGTTGTCACGTTTTTTTGAGATTGTATTGTCCAGTTCCTTGTAAAGCAAAAAATTGCCAACAATTCGTGATGGCGACCAAGTTAAACCGTCAGTCCATCGCTTCACATTGCTGCATCCCTCGTCATATATGAAAATGCTTCCCGAATGTATCAAGGTCTTTCGCTCATGACTTGTTAGTCTTCTTTTTATAAGAGAGAGTTTTGATTGATAGCAAGCTTCAAAAAGCAAGAGTGCATCAAACGTGGAGGCAATGTATCCAATGAACGTAGGCTCCATTGACTTGTAACTCTCTATTTATGGTAAAGAAAGGTTCGATGTAGTCAATTCCTGACTTCCAAAGAGTACGATGGGAAGATAAACTGAAAAGAACGCGTCGCTTTTGACACGTAATTTCCATTAAACGCGTTCCCAATCCGGATTCTCCGGTGAACTAGAGCAAATAGTATTCACCGAAAATTGTGACCAAGTCGCCGAATAAAGTTACCGAATACCGAGTTGGCTCCGAAAAGTTTACCGAAAGAGATGAGGATTCAGCGCTGCTTGTGAAGCTCTGACTCGCCTACCGCTGTATCAAAAAAAATCATTACTGCGCTAAGCATTGCAGCAGAATATGGCAAAGAAACAAAAGTCAACTCCCTCAGATGGAAACAAGTCCAAGACCCATACCACTCGCAAACAGGTAAGCGTTGGCAAATTTGTCAGCCGTACTAACTACTGGTAGCCATTTCGAGAGGACGAGTTGGAGATTCCAAAATTAAATACTTCGCGTAATCCTCAGTCTATTGTGCGCAAAAAAGGAAAGAAGAAAGGAAAAAAGTTTGCAGAATCAACCGTATGTGTGGCGACAAGATCCCTCGTCTGTTTTGTATAATTCTTTTAACAATTTTTACAGGAGGACTTGAAAGCAATCTTGGGTCAAGTGAACTTGGAGCTTGACGACAAAATCAAAACAAAATTGCAAATTGCTGTAAGTGAAAGCTACCATTTTGATAACTAACGCGTGGTAGCATGAGCGTGAACAAGCCTTTAGTCATGAGGTGAATAAACCAGAGCCAGTGAGCAAGCGTGAAGCAAAACGCTTAAAATCCAAGGGAAAATAGACTCTTCATTTTTTGTTCATGCCTTAATGAGGGGCAAACGCACAAAATGAAAACCAAAATAACATGAGATTTTTGGCAAGTGGTTTTCCAGTCAAGAATTTATTGTCGGGAACAATAAACCAAGTTTGGCAATCAGGGAATAGGCTTTTGAATACATAAATTTTAGAGTATCGAGAAGGAATAAAAAGAAGGATGAAAATGTGAATCGTTAGAAAGAATACTGTAAGTGCATGAGATGCGTGTAAATGTGTTCATAATTTCACTTGGAGCAACTTTGGGGCACCGTGTTCAGCGGTTTTTGGTTTTTCGGTAAGAAAATGGTTTCCTCGTAAGGGAGAACTCGCCAAGTTTATGTCCTACCATGTCTTCTGTTATATGAACTTTGGGATATGCCTTTCCATTGTGAACCATGAAATCGGCTCTTGCTCAATAGTTAGCAAAACAAAACAAAAACAGTCAGTCCATACCCAACCATTTGAGGCAGAATCGTTGCAGAACGAGCCTTTGTTTTTATGGGGATCTTCTTGAGAATATGTTCTCGTATATCAACGCCGAAGTCAACGACATTGGGTCCTTAGTAAGAGTTAATCGTGCATGCTTTTTAATTAATTGTAACGTTACCCTTCCAAACAGATCGTGACAACAGAATACGAGTAAATCTCATGTGTAATTAACTTAAGTCCGTTGCTTCACAAACGACCAGCAAGCTTACTATTTGGCTTTAAGGTTTAGCGAGACCTTAACATTAAAAATGATATACATAAAGTTATATATTATTAACACTATGAAATTCTGAACAGTAAATATACATTGAAAAGCCTTCATTTGATACATTTTTTACGCATATAGTTTTGGTGGAAGCTCAGTTTTGTTGAATGCCATTAGCTTCCTCCAACACCTAGCAAATCTTGTCTTCCAGGCAAGACAAGGGGAAAGCAAAAGATTGCTAGTTTTTTCTGTTTTAGAGGTCCGCTGTTTCTTCATGATTGGTTTTCCATGTTAAAATGAGTCATTCTACGGATGCCCCTGCTCGCGGGTACATAATATACGTTTCTTATTCTTTTTTGCACTCTTACTAATTTTGTACAAATCATCAGAAAATTGCCATTAATGTTGACTTCCAAGGCCAGACAGTCAAGGGATATACGGAAATTACAATTAATAAAACGAATCCCTCGCTAGAAACTGTTTTGCTTGATTGCTATCAAATAGGTAAAGTGACTACCTGCACCACAATGTTTATACATTTTGAGTGAACCTCTATATTAACACTGTTTAGACGTATCTCATGTTACTGTAGATGGAGCGGAGGCAGTATATGAGTATAGCAACGCCCTGAAGCGTATACGCCTTAGCCAGACAAACAGTAATGTTCATCAGCATCATCAATTGCAAAGTCAAATGACGGCAATTGCTCAGGAACTTGGCGGACTTACTGTTCATCTCCCAAAAACGGAAGAAGAGCATGCTAAACCATTTCTTATAAAGGTCGAGTATGAGTTACGAAAGCCTATGTGTGGTCTAACTTTCGTGGGTACTGACGTTGTCGACAAGCGGTATCCGCATCTCTATACTTCCCACTCTACGTTGCCGTACAGTGCATCAGCTTGGGTTCCATGCTTTGACAGCATTTGGGAGCGTTGCACATGGGAGCTAGAGGTTACCATTCCAAAAACACTACTTCTTGTCGATGGCGTAAGTACTGTTGCTGATCTGGATGCAGCAGAAAGTCATGACATTGAAGTAATCTGTTGTGGTGATTTAATTGACCAAGCTACTCATCCGGAGGATAACACGAAAAAAACCGTGTACTTTACGGTAAACACTCCTGTTTCCGCACAATATATATGCTTTGCGGCTGGCCCATTTCACCACATCAACTTAACAGATTTTCGGGAAGCCGAAGATGACGACGCTATGGGATCCAGTGCCGTCGAAATCTCTGGTTATTATTTACCTAAATATCTCGACGAAGTACAAAATACGTGTGCTTTCATTTACAAAGCAATGGACTTCTTCGTTCGCGAGTACGGATCGTATCCTTTTACTACATTTAAACTCTGTTTTGTTGATGAAATCACAATTCCGGTGATTTCATCTGCTTCAATGGCTATTGTTGGCAACAGTTTACTTTATCCAAAAGATATTATTGAACCTATTTATGACTCAACACGCACACTCACTTGGGCCTTGGCAAGTCAGTGGATTGGCGTATACGTGATCCCTAAACATTGGCATGATTTGTGGCTGATCTACGGACTTTCCTTTTACATCACGGGTTTATTCTTGAGGATGTTAATGGGAAACAACGATTATCGGTTTCGTTTAAAAATGGCAGTATACAAGATTCTTGAACTAGACGTTGGGCGGCCGCCCATTGCTAGTACTGATGTTTCTCTTCCCATCAACTTAGCAGCGTTAGAGTTTGTTGCGTTGAAAGCTCCTATGGTTATTCACATTTTAGAGCAGCGTCTAACCAAAACTGGTGGTTCACTCGGTATGTCAAGAGTTATACCAAAGTTGTTACTGCAAGCAATGAGTGGTGATATGCACAATGGTTGTTTGAGTACGACGCATTTTCTCAAGACATGTGAAAAAGCTAGTCATATTAAACTGGATGTTTTTGCTCAACAATGGATATATGGATTTGGTTATCCTATCTTCCGTGTTGTGCAAAGATTTAACCGGAAAAAGATGATTATTGAAATGGGTATCAATCAGGTTCAAGCAAAAGAAATGCCTAAACTCAGTCGTAATAGCTTGGATTTTATGGATGAAGCAACCCGCCATCTTAATGGGGAGACTGTCAAGCCTGTAATTCCGGTATTCAGTGGGCCAATGACTATTCGAATCCATGAGGCCGATGGTACTCCGTATGAGCACGTTGTAGAGTTAAAAGATACGTTCACAAAACTCGATATACAGTATAATACCAAGTACAAACGTATCAGCAGAAATCGTTCAAGCAAGAATGTTCGGAAAGAAGGTGATGACCACGGCGGCCTTGATTCAGACTATGTCATTAAAAGCCTGGGTGATATTCTTCAGACGGATGAGGATGTTGAGAATTGGCACCTTTATGATTACACCAAAGAGGATGAAGACGCTATGGCAACTGAAGCCTTCGAATGGATTCGAGTTGACGCCGATTTTGAGTGGATTTGTGGACTTCGTGTTGGTCAGCCAGAACATATGTATGTCTCCCAATTGCAGCAGGATCGGGATGTCGTTGCGCAATTGGAAGCCATCCGTTACTTCTGTAGCGACAGTTTTAGACCATCACGTCAAGTGTCTACTGTCCTACTAAGAACACTTATGGATTCTCGGTATTACTATGGCATACGTCAAGAAGCGGCATTAGCTCTAGCAAAATGTGCTACAGAAGAATTGGAGTGGATTGGACATTTTCATTTACGTAAGGCATTCCTTGACAAATTCTGCTTCGAAAATTCAACTATACCAAAGAGCAATGTTTTCTCGAGTATTATTGATTATTACTTAAAGTGTACAATGGTACATGCCTTTTCAAGAATTCGCGATCGAAAAGGAGATACCCCTATTACCGTGAAAAAGTTACTGCTTGACTTGCTATGCTTTAATGACAATGCAAATAATGAGCTTTCAGACGCTCACTACATTTGCCATTTAATTGAAGCACTTGTTGATGCATTGATTCCACGTGGGGAAACAATGCAATTTGCTTTCAGTGATGCCGGACATATGCAATTCGTAAAGACCGTTATTGCTGAGATAGATCGTTATTTGCGTATCGACGGCTGGATGCCGTCGTATTGTAATGTTATCTCACGTACGGCTCTTGAAGGAAAAAACAAACTATCACAGGTTTTCCACTTAGGCTTTGAGGTCAAAGATCTATTTCCTTACGTGCAAGAAGGAAACTTCAATTTGCTACGGAGCAAGGTATTTGACCTTATGCTTAGCATTGGTGCTCTTAAGGTTTCTTCTTTGATGAAATACATGTTTTACATGCTGGTCAATGATCCATCGCCATGCTTCCGACAAAATCTCGTTCGTTCTATCAATTACGGTTTTGGTGTCATTGCACGAAGTAGTACGAAAGCAGAAACTGTTGACAACGATTTGGTTGTGGAAGAAGATGTTAATAAGGCTGTCGAAAAACGTATTGATATCACTTCTCGAGCCAGCATCTCTGGCGCCATTGAAGCTTTACGACATGATATGGGGAAAAATGAGGAGTTAGCTAATACTCTTTGGGAAACAGTAAAGTATGTACAGTCATTGTATTTTTATTGAGTTGAATTACTAACGTTAACTAGTAGCACAAAGATAGACCTAGTGACGAAACAGTCTCTGCTGAATATCTGTCGTGTTCTTTATGAGACAAAATCTTCGCTAATAGTCGTCCTAAAAATTCCTAGTTTGGTACCGCATCTGCGTGCAATTCATCTTGGAAAGGTTTGTAATCTTTACTTGACGTATACTAATACTTTAAGGGTAAAATTGTTATCAAAAAGGCACCGCTGAAAACTCTACCTACGAAACCTGCGAAAACTCCCCATGTTATAATAAAAAATACTCCTCCGGCGCCTCCAGCAATCAACACGAAACCTAAAGGACCCACTTTACGGATAAAATTGACTAATTTACGAAAGAGGTCTCCATCGCGTTAAGCGTTTTACGTTCTTTCCCTTAAAAAAATAGAAACAGCGACGATAATGTCTTCATTTATGAAAGACATGAAATGAAGTTCAACTTTTTTGGATTCTGGAGGTGTATTTTAGTTGTGTATAATGATGAATGTAAATCGGAAATATCACTCTAGTTCTAAACTGTCTTGTTAAAATAAAAATGCCCGCGTATATGAGTAGAGTACTTCTTTGAACGGAATTCATCCTTTATAAGGGTTTTATTGTCCCGTGTTAAATACTCTTTAGTTTTCCTTCACACCCCGAAGCTCATTAAAGCTTACCGAGCTTAAACCAAATAACGAACAAAACATGTTTATAGATCTCAACGTGGTTTGGCCTTCACTGGGAGTTAAGGATGTAAATCTTAAAAAGACTGTGATGATGCTTGAAAAGCTCGGATACAAGGCAGTTGCCTTAAACTTCCAGTTTGATGGAAAATTGCAAGGAATCATACACAATCCAATTCCAAAGGAATTATTCCCTGATCAGAAAATAAAAGTTTACTCAAGGATAACAGTCACCCTTGAAAGTACGCCTCAAAACCGAATTCTTCATGACTCTACAAAGGAATTCGATATTTTGGCTGTTCGTCCAATTGGTGAAAAACTACTTCAACATGCATGCACAGATCTAGAAGTGGACATTATAAGCTTGGATATGACACAAAGGCTCCCATTCTACTTAAAACATACCATGCTTGGAGTTGCAGTTACTCGTAATGTTGCTCTTGAAGTTTCGTATGCTGCTGGTCTTCGTGACAGTTCTGCTCGAAGATACGTTATCAATAACGCAGCCAGTTTAACGAGGGCGACTCGTGGTAGAGGTATTCTTGTAACTAGCGAAGCTCGATCTCCTCTCGAATGCCGTGGAGGACATGATGTTGTTAATTTGGCAACTTTCTGGGATATGAAACAAGACAATGCACGGAAGGCAATTGGGGAATTCGCCCGTGCTGTTCTTTTGCACGCCGATTCACGCCGTAATACTTACCGAGGTATTTTAAAAGAAATTAAGGCGGAGGAGCGACCTGTTAAAAGAATAAAAGCATAAGAGGATTCCTAAATGTATTTCAAAAATCTAAAAGTGTTTCCTTTTATAAATCCTCATTATACCATCGTTAAAAAGTTTCGTCATGTTTTGGTTTCTTGTTTACATTCTTGTTTACGGTATATTTAAACTTGGAAGTTATTCACTACCACCTTACTAACCATTTTAGCTTTGTCTGTGCTATAGAACTTTTAAGAAATAGAGCAGTTCTCCTCTGCGGTTCGGATTCTCTTTCTCGCCCCTCGCTTTACAACAATTTCTTTATTTGAATTTGGTATAAACAGTGTTGGATCTTTACGTTTACCAGTTTCGTGGCGTCTGCCCGTTATTTACAAACTATACTGAACAGATGGGTGTCGCTTTGCCCTCCTCATCTCGTTCAGTGGAGTACGCCTCGAAACAGCTGGGTAAAGAACGCAATCAAGATGCCGTCGTTCTTGTTTTGCTGATGATAGTTGGTATTGTATTCGTTAATGCTTGCATCGTTTTTGCTTTAAAGTACTGTTTATTGTTCTGGCGTCTTCAAGTCGCGGAATACACAAATGATGCTTCAGCTGAGGAACGCAGAAATTTTGCTAGACGAGATACCAGAATGCAAAGACGTGTGTTAACGCAAAATGTACTAGAATGTTTATTTCCTCGTATGACCTATGAGAGTTACCTACGTGCGCAGAAAAAGCATGCGGAGCTACGTCTCCATCGTCAGCAAAAATACGGCAACACGAATCCAATTATATTAACTCCAACAGCATTCAACCCTACGATTACATCCAGCAATGTTCAGCAGTCACCCGCAGTTCATTTTCTGCAGAGTGATACAGAAGGGGCAAGAAGGGATACCACCGCAGACGAAAGGAAATATCTTGTTGAAAGAGAAACAACACCGGAAGAGGAGTTGTGTGTTGTCTGTCTGGAGAACTACCAAGGTAATGACTTTATTCGAATTCTTCCTTGCGGGCACATATTTCATGCACATTGCTTGGATATTTGGATGACGCGTACATTTGCAAATTGTCCTTTGTGTAAGGCAGATTACAGCATGTTGCAACATTTGAATGTTTGGAACCAGTATCGCAATCCTGGCGAGTCCTCTATTCGACACCTCTATGGCTACCGAAACGGAACACTATACTTTTTGAATTCTCGTTCTAGATCGATAGTCTAAGAGGGTCCTTTTCATACCGTATTCGTTCTAACACAGTTCATAATACCGCGATCCTTATTTCAAGTGTCACATGCCAGTTCTTGTTTGATCTTATAGTAGTGACCTTGAATACACCGTTGTAGCCTATCTATCGTGAATAATTGATGACTCAGGCTTTTTTAAAATAAATATTGTCACACCCTGTACTCCTATATTGCTTTTCCATCTTGGAATTAGATTCAGACATGCCTGAATGGAGACAAGGTGTCAACTCTCCGAATCACAACATCTCTGTTCCTAGACTGAAGATAAAGTTTTAATAAAAGGTGTTGCATTTTATAACGATATGAGAAAGAGGTAGTCATTAGCTAGATTTCGTTTCGAAAGATGTGCATCATCATATGAAGAATTATGTAACTAACAGTTATTTTATCCTAAGAAGTATTCAGAATACAAGATAGCTTAATTGTATAAATATCTCTGACTTCGGGAAACACCGGAGAATATGCGACTACGCAGCTAAATAGTTTTAGTATCAGAAAACGTTCAGCATAGTAGCTTCTGGAAAAGAGATGCATTTATCGTGCGACCACCAAACCACCGTTGTGAAGTCCTTGAATGGCTTTGTTGCCATTTCAACGTTTCAAACTTTAGGAAAATCTCACCTTATCACTAGGAACTACTTGTAAATGAGCAACGTGACCATATTTTTCTTCACATTCTTCACGAACATCCAGTGCTAATTCTTCCATCCAATGGTCACCAGTTTCCCTTTAACATTGTTAGCACATTTCAAACACTAACGGCAATGAGATAGAACACTTACTCCTCGGGATTAAACATATTTTGAAGTAAGACACAGCGTGTCGGAGGTTTGCTGAGTGAATCGTCACTAACAAATACGATTAGAGAACTTGAAAATAAGAATTAGTCAACTTACGTAGAAACAATTTGTTCATTTCTGGCCAATTTTTTCATTAATTCGTCACGGGAAATAGCCGGCCGAGAGTCTTCGGAAGGTGAAAGGTTTCCTTCATCAAGATTGTCACTAGATTTAACCAGACGCTGGTGAGAAGCTTCATCACTAGAAGCAGAAATTGAAGGAGTGGGTTGAGAAACATGCTCGTGCTTATACCGGCTATAACTAGAATCAAATCTGCGAAGCATAGAGGCAGTAGTTTCTGTAGCAAACTTATCAGTACCAAGACCTACACGCAACTGACGACCTGCAAGGTCAAAACCGTTCATTTTTTCTAAGGCAATACGTGCACATAATGGGTCGCGAAACCTAGGCAAAAGCGTTAGTTGTAATTTGCAAACAACGACAATAAACATACTGGATGAAGCCAAATCCTTTGCTTCGATTTTGATCATCCCGCTGAAGACGGACGTATTCTAATTCACCAAATGGTTCAAAAATCGCCTTCAAATCTTCATCTGTAATGTTGAAGTGTATATTACCGACACATAGCCGATGAAACGGAAGTTCGGCACTTAAAGCACGATTTTGTCTGAAATAATAATTAGTACAATGGCTTAACCAATAAATTGTCTTGACATACTCTGACAGCTCCCTAGCCTTTCGATTTTTCTCTGCCTCCGTAAGCTGGACGATGACAGGTATGCCCAAAATACGCTTACCAGAAAGCGTCAAGGCAACCTGTACAGAATCCTCACGTCGGAACTCGACGTAGGCAACACTTATTTAAGTTAGTATACTTACATTCTCAAGTAGTTCAACATACCCTTTTGATCTACCAGTGACACGGTCGCGAACAATTTGGGCATCTCGTACAGCTCCGGCCTGTTCAAAAAACTCCCGTAATTCGTGAGTAGTCAAACGATTAGCTAACTGCGTAACAAACACAGTCCGCCGGTCCCGTTCCTCCTCTGAGTAGTGTGGTGAACTTTCCCTTCTGCGGCTTTGCGGTGGACTACGGCGACGAGAACGTGAACGGTTGGAACCATAAAAAGCGCGCCTCTGTCTTCATACTCACGTTGAAAGTAATCTTCATCTCGGTAACGGTCATTAGGAGGCGAAGGACTTCTCGATTTTTCTTGGCGATGGGCTCTGCGTCTACGACGAGAGCTGTAGCCACGAGGACTTTCACGCCGCCAAGAGTTATTGGCATCAGAGCCGCGCTCACTGTGATATGAGTTTCTACTCGTATGGGACATTCCCCGATGTCTGCTTGAGCTACGTCTGCGATCATAATCAGAGTAACTCGAATCATCGCGACGATCCCATTCGCGATCCTCACTCAACGGTCTTTCGTGCGAGTTTCGTTCCCTCGACCGTTCTCTTGGTTTTTCTCTCGTATATCCGTTCTCACTATTATAGGAAGTTAGGTTGGTATTTGGTTCATGCTTTGTGTGCTTTTCAACATCGGCTCTTTCCTTCCTTAGAAATGATTCATTCTCAAAAGAATCACTAGGTTTTCGACTACCGTCGAATGATTGTGTTTCATCACGCTCGTTCAACTTTGAATTTTCCACTTTTGTAGCAACATTTACGGCTACATCATGGTTCTGCGATGTTAATCATGCTGTTTTAAAGATGAATCTGCAGTGAAATGAGAAGTAAACCCTAGACTTCTGTTTTCAATTAATATACAAGAACATACCTGTTGATTGCGAAAAGGCGCTTCCGCTAAGTCTTCTGCATCCAAAAACATCATTAAATACCGTTCTACAAAATTTTATGAACGCAATTACCCTTCTTAGGTGTAGATTAAATTTTTGTGGTTATGGCGGAGGATAACTTAATTTTGGGGGCGATAATTCCACTCCCAAACCCCACTACTTAGAGTTCGCCGCTTCCGTCGTAAGGGGTCTAATATAGCCGCATTGTCCGTATTTAACCTGTCAACTCCCAAACACGCACACAGTTATCAATTAAAGAAGTGGTCTTTAATTAGTGCTGGTTTTGGGCTTAATTCTCTTAATTCTTGCTGTATTTTACTTGTACTATTAGTTATGACTGGTAAGTTTACGAGTGTAGTGGATTAAGATTTGCGAAATCCCCTTGAACCCCCCCTCCAATTGGTACAGTTTAGTCACTCAATTTCTTCTGTACTCGGGTAACGCGATGTATTATATGCCTTGGGGTGTTGGATTAATTATGCTGTTCCATTGTCAGATAATTAGGCTGCGGAAATCTAAAATCTCTCAGCTTGGTTTCCTTAATGTTATTAACTCATAACTAACAATTAACAGAATCTATTGAAGAAGTCCGTAAGCCTGGAGGCGCCCAGGAAACGATTGAAACGAAAAGGATTGTTGTTCAAGAGTTTGTCTCTGAAACTCCAGTTTCGAATAGAGATTTGAACAAGAAACTCGTGGACCAAAACATAGGAGAGGGCTATGGAAATGAATTTAAAGTGAAGGCTACTGATCTGGATAAGGATTATGCCAAAAATCACTTCATTGATCTGAGAAAGCCAATGCTTCCACAGATTCTATTCAATTCTAACCTAACAAAGGAGGTGTATTTGGACCAAGTTCATCGACCTCGTCATTATCGAGGCTCCGGCTCTGCTCCATTGTTTGGCAATTTTTTGGAACCTCTTAGTAAGACTGCCTGGTATGTAATTCCCTTGGTATGGGGCCCATGTGTTGCCTTCGGCATACATTACGCTAGTCAAGGAATGGCTAAGCCTGCTTTAATTGCCTCGGTCTGTTTTGGTCTGTTCTTATGGACATTAATTGAATATCTAATGCATCGCTTTTTGTTTCATTTGGACGAGTACACTCCCGATCACCCTGTGTTTTTAACAATGCATTTCTTGTTCCACGGTGTTCACCACTTTTTGCCCGCTGATCGTTATCGTCTTGTTATGCCCCCAGCCCTTTTCGTTATCCTTGCTACGCCTTGGTTTCGTCTAGCATTGGCTTTGTTCCCGTACTATATGGCGGTCGCCGTTTTCAGCGGTGGTGTTATGGGCTACATTTTCTACGACCTAACTCATTACTTCCTTCATCATCGCCGCATGCCGGGTACTTACTTGAAGCGCCTAAAGACCTGGCATTTAGATCACCATTACAAAAACTATAAGTCGGGATTTGGTGTCACAAGCTGGTTTTGGGATACTGTTTTCCATACTGAAGGTCCGTCCTTTGCTAAATTCGCAAAGACGGGAAAAGCAGTTTCCAATTAGGAAATTGCTCGATATTTGGCGTTTATACTCTTTTATCCTTTTTTGACGGGAACCTTTAAGTACCATTCTTATTAAAAAATGGAAGAACGGCAACGAGCCTTGGATTGACTTCCTCGAACTTGTTCAGTTACTCTTTGTAACATTATATCTCTTCTTTCTTCTTGGAAGGAAGGAGTTCTTTGTCGGTCTATAATGGGACATTTGTCCCTGCGAGACCGCACTGTACTTTTTAAATTTCTTACGTGCTCTAATTCTTTGTATTCTATATCGTCTTCTTTAACAAGGCCATCCGGCTCACTACTCCTCTTCAACCATTCAAAAATAGGAGATTTTCATTGATTTTTTTGCTCCATATTGTCGACTTTTCTCTGTAACGGCAATACATATCAATTCAACACTGATTTTATCCTAATTGCTGTGAAATACCATCTCTAAAAGTATAATTGTTTTCGTTTGTGTTATGTAGTTGTTAATGTTCGTGCCTCAAGGTGCAGGTATCTGTTAAGATGTTATTAGCGAGGGAGTTTGTTTGTTATTATAAACCGTGATATGAACGTTTTGATGTTCAATTGAATTGAGTCCTCAGTCTTGCTGATGCTAGTATATGGCAAACGATTAAGGCGAAAGGTTTAATTTATGTGAAACCAAAATAAAAACCTCGAATGCTATAAAACGAGATCGGATGCGTAGTCTATATAAAGTTGTGAAAGAGGTTAAGACTATTTTGCTAATTCTTGATTCTCTGTAATATATGCTTGTACTAACCACCAGTTAACCGGTAGACGAAATTACAAAACCTCGAATTCTCTTATCTTTTATGCTCCTCCAAAAGTGAAAGATTGCTCTTTATCAAACGTATTTTTTATTTAAGAAAAAATGGCAATATCACCTCCCGCTATTTATGACTTTCCGCCGTTTTTTACAAAACAACTCAATGAAAACACTTGGAATTTTCAGAAAAGAGCATGGTCGAATTGGATACTGATGTGGTGTCGGGAAAATCGAATCACAAAGCTATCGTTAAACAATGAGTTAATGGATTCACCACTGCTATTCAACGCAAAAATAGATCGTAAATACCAAACCTATGGGTCAAAGAGATGGAGTTACTAATGGTTGTTTATGGTACAGGTCAACTACCGTTAGAGGTTTTTCGAGAAGTAGTGGAAGAAATGACAAAACAGAACCAGGCGGAATGGGTGTCGTATGGAAATAGGAATGCTACAGATACAGCATGGATATTCTGGAAGTCGCCCGATGAATGGGCCACAGTTATTAAACAATGGGTACGGTCAACTAAAACATTATTTGCAGTGGTGGAAAGCATCACAAAGCATGCAGAAACTGACACACCAAAAAGCTAAGTGATACAGGTCGTGACGATAGCGTATGCACGTTTTACGAATTACAGGAGCAATGTTTAGACGTCGAATGTATCGACGAAGATTTACTACTCCGGTGTCTTGAATTGCTTGATCGTCAAAAGACTATCGCATTAATGAAGGGGAAAAGTGGACGTTATACAGGCTTTAAAGTACTTTCCTTGCAGTAATTGACAAAGAATGAAAGATTTAGTGTCGTACTTCAATTCGGCAAATGCTTAAGACCCGGGTTTCCTATTATTATTTTTTTGCTTGAAAATATCATACGCTTTGCGACTATGAAGCTTTCCTAGCAAACGAGACCTTGATTGACGTTTCGCCCAGGAGCATACCAGTAGTACTGTCCCTAGCAATTGCAGCGTCGTTTTCATTTTCGAATTCAACGAATGCAATTCCTCGACGACCTGGAACCATACGAACTTCAGTAAAACCTTGATAAGTACCAAAAATTTGAGTAAGTACCTCTGCATTTGCTTCAGCCGGCAGATTCTGCAAAAGCAGCAATTTGTTCGGGGGGAGTAAATCATCAACAACGTGAGGCATCGGTTTTTCGCCTGCATTAACCTTTTTATTAGTTGCCTTGCGATGACCGGACCGCTGAGGCATAGGCCGTAATTCTCCCTGTTGTCGCATTCTTTCTCGCTCAGCGTGACGCTTTTTCTTGTTTTCTTGAAGAACCAATTCTCCTTCATCACGTTGAACAACAATATCACTTTTTGAATTGCTAAACTGAATTAACATCGGTTTCCCATACAAAGGGAAGCCTTGTAAATCTTGCAGAGCTTGAGCAGCACATCTTCCGTCTTCGAACACCACAAAAGCTTGTCCTCTCATCCGTAATGTTTTTCTCGCGTAAACATGAAGTATCTTCCCGTATTTTCCAAATAGATGTTCGAGAATTCTTTTCAACATTTCTAACTTAATTCTTTCCTCTAGATTTCGTATGTAAAGAGTTTCAGATAATTGCTGACCATTCGTAACATCATTATCCGTTGCCTGTTGTCCGTTCGTAGTCCCGATTTCCATGATTCCAATTTTGTCGCGTCAGTGCGTCTCTGGCTGTGTTTGCGTGAAATGACCCCAGACGCGAAAATTAGACTTTTTCGCTAATTTCTAATGTTATTACTAAGTAATCATTAACAAGAGTGAATCGGCAGGAAGAATCAATTGGTAAGCTGAAACATTAATTTAAAGGGACTGGGATGAGTATGGATAAAACAGAGAAGACGCTCGGTGATGAGTTATCTAAATGAAATACCTTGCACAAATCAAATAATATGAACAGCTTAAAGTGCCCGAACGGATAGAAAAAAAGATCTAATACGTATTTAATCTTTGCAAATTTCCAAAAATTCAAAAAGTAACAGTAGACACGAAGATTAACGGTAAAAAAAAAAAAGAGTCTAAATAACAGGATAAATGAGAAGTAAGGCCACCAAGTAAAAGAATAATTGTTACTCTAAAACGTAATTAAGATTTCGCAATTTCGAGGTGCGACCAGAGCATACGCTGAAGTTCGGTATTAGCAACGCGATACTCGTGAACGGATGTGTCTTGCAATTTGGGGCCAATTGAGCGTATTAAGTACCGATAAAAATTCGACATCAACGTGATGAATTGGTTCCTTCATATATGCATAGGTCTTATCATCAATTGTCACCAGTGGATTATTCGATGAAGCACCAAGCCCCAAGTTGGAATCATGCTCCTGCCTTTCTTGCAAACTGTGCATGTACACGCGAGCATCGTCCAAATCAACAGCAAAAATAATAGCATCCGGATTTAACGAAAGAGCAAAATCGTTGCTTGACGTACGACTGTCCTCCATGCTGGAAGGGTTCCAAGAAGAATACATGGATGAGGAACGATAGCTTCTCAGCATACCACGCCTAGTATTAGCTAGCATATCCGTTAGCGCATCGCGAAAGAAATCCATATTGTTTGAGTAAGCAAATGCATTAGGAGGGGCGGCTTGCAAATCAAACGCCGGATGTAGACAATTCAGATACATAGCATACTGTGTCAAAACAATATCGTTGTTTGTGCCAGTACAATCCAGCGATGTCGAACTACTTTTGGTAGAAAGAGGTGTGAAGGTGTTGTTAGGAAGAGTAACATGAAGAATGCCATCCATCGAGGGTTTGGCGCAACTCTTGGTCGAAAATGGGAAGGAGGCGAGGTTTGAAAACGAAGAAGATGTAGAGAGGGACGGTGAAATAGGAGGTGTGTTTCTGGGAGCTGAGCGAGAAATATTTTGGAAAGCTTGATAAAAGTACTTACATCGCCAGCTGCCTGAGGAACCAACGGTAGGCGAGGATCGCAAGCTGTCAAAATTCAAGTTGTCAGGCTTCGGAGAGGAGATGGGAATATTAGAGCTAGCAGCGAGTTCGGAGGAAAAGGTAGAGTTTTCTAATTGTTTAAGTAAAGAGGGAAAGAACAAGGGTAATAACAAAAACAAAAGTTGACGCGCGAAGTTTGATCTTGAAGACTGAATCATAAACTTCGCCGGAACACCCATTTGTCGAAAGCAAAGACAAGAAAGTGCTGCAGAGAGAGCAAGTCGATAAGCATGTACAGATTTAAGGAAACTAGCGGATTTGTTAGATGGATTTGAATGAACAATTCCATTTATAAGTGTTTTCCATCGATCTTCGTTAAACATGCATGGTTGTAGCAGAGGAGCACTCCAAGCTTGCAAAATGAGATTCCGACATACGCAAAAAGCAGCCTTAATTCTTGTGTTCTCTTGCAGTCTCAGAAAATTGAGCGGAAGCTTGCCAGAGGGCTGCTTAGAACAGGCATCTTGTAACACTGTTGCCTCTACATTCAGCAAAAGATCGGAAAGGATGCTCGTCACTTTCCGTTGCAAGGAGTATAACGAAGACGTCAATGCATGCCAATAAGTCGTTAAAGGGTCAGCAGCTCCCTCAGCCGGCATGCTAAGAGTAACAATCGCACCTATAGCCAGCGTACCAATCTGAAACCGTACATTCCGTAACCCCTTACTAGAAATCTTCGGCATAAATAAAAGTGTTAGCAAATATGAACGTGTGCATGGTGATGAAGACTGCAAGTTATGAAGCTTTACAGTCGACAAACTCTTGATTGATAGTGGGATAGCGCCAAACATAAGCTCAGTAACTAAAGCAGGAAGAGAATGTATAGCAGGACCATTAGCAGTTGTTGGACGTCCAGCTTTGGAGGAATTACCGAGTCCAAGTGAATCGAAAAGCAAGATTTTCTTTCTGTCACCCAAATCCTGCACTAGTACTAATTGAAGAGTTTTATCTTTGACAACAGAAGCCTCTTCAAAACTTCTACCACCGCTCGACCCATGGATATGGCAGAATGGCTCTGGTAGTTTGGATGTACGTGTCGACTTCGTTCGAAAAAGAAGATGCAGCATTGCGACGCTTCACAGAAAATTTATTAATTTAATATTCACGAGTTAGCAAGAATTGTCGTTATAGCAAAGCATGGATGTAGGGGGGAGATTGCAAAGCTCGGAGCTCAAAAGTTAGCCCAAGGAGAGCAACTTTTCTCAGTGACAAAGTTGCCGTGGAACGTGATGCTACTCGTTAATCTCTTTAAGCCAATTTAAAGAAACTTAGGATATTGCTAGGAAGCTCTTTGTATTCTGTTAAGTTGTGTAGTAATACAGTAAATACAATAACGAGATACGAGATAGTGTAAGGAGAAAAGCTTGTTTCCGTTCATATAACGCCTGACACATAGACTTAGCGTGTTACTACATGACGGCTGACCCTGAACAATTGATGAAAGCCGTAAGTTAGACGTGCAGAGTTTTGGTCATATCTTTGCTAAGATTATCAATAATAGGCTGCCAAAAAGGCTAAAGGAGGCAGCGGCTTCAGCGCCTTTTTCGGAGGTGGAAACAAATATGACGAGGCAGGAGAACTGTACATGGATGCGGCGAATGGATTTCGCTTGCAGAAAGACCGTATGTATCTTAGGAACAAAAGAATAAGCGTGAACTGCTGCGTCTTTTATTGGTGCAACTTCATTAACAAGTTACTCGCGTAGTTCGATCTGCTGGAATTGCTTTCGAAAAAGCTGCTGAAATGCAATTGAAGACGGATGAGAAGGATGACGCTGCCAATACGCTCGTTGAAGCTTATAAAGCCTATCGTAGAGACGAACCTGCTGAAGCAATTCGTGTATTGTCGATGGCTATTGAACTTTTTACTAGACGTGGTAACTTTCGGCGTGCTGCCAATTACAAGATGGATATTGGTACTGTCTTGGAACAAGACTTGTCTGATCCCAAAGGCGCTCTTGCCGCTTATGAGGAGGCCGGAGAGTGGTTTATGAATGATCAAGCCGAAGCGTATGTTTAAAGAGGCTAGAATCTAGCAGACCGAAAACAAGGGATCACTACTTTGTTTTGGAATGCATTGCATTTGGTTTTATCTGTGATTGACTATTTCTTAACTGACATTTTATAGATTGGCAAACAAGGCTTTTCTGAAGACGGCCGACTTGGCTGCTTTGTGTGACGAATACCAGACTGCCATCAACCGATATGAACAGGTGGCAAAAGCAAGCGTCAATAACAATCTCCTCAAGTGGAGTGTTAAGGAGTATCTTCTTAAGTGTGGTCTGTGCTACATGCTTATGGGAGACGACGTTGCCACTCGCCGTGCATTTGACAGCTTTACGGCACTCGACTTGACGTTCCAGAGCACGCGCGAATATCAACTTCTTTGCGATTTGCAAGACGCAATTGAAGCATCTGATGCTGATATTTTTGCGGAAAAGGTCTTCCAATTTGACCAATTGTCGAAGTTGGACTCTTGGAAAACTACTGTTCTGCTTAAGATTAAAAACCGTATTCAAGAAGCCGAGGACGACCTTACTTAAATAATGAAATTTTATGGTTTTGTAGCATCGTCTCCTCCACATCTTTAGCTAATGGCATACATTGTATGTACGTCAACAGTACTTAAATAATGATGTTACAAAAGATACAACAATAATATTTTCTAAATGATTCAAAGATAGTCATGAACGGAAGATGCATTCCAGTTCAGTTACGTTCTTTTATGCTGCGCAAAGCGTGCTAACGCAGGTCCCCATTTTTCTTTGAGAGCAGGTAGTCCTTGCTCACGACGAACACGAGCAGCCCGCATTTCCTTCTCTCGGGCAAGAGCCTGTTCGACCTTGAGTCTCCGTTCGTCAACAACGTTGTGAGCTCTCTTGCGCAATACACGTCTAAGAGCAGAATTTTTACCACGAGCCCTATCCCTGGGTACCCATTTTTCCTCCTTTGGCTTCTCCTCCTGAACTTCCGCCTTGCGAATACTAGGAGCAGCACGATCGACAGTACCGATGAATTCAGGAGTAAGAGATATCATGTCAGGGCGCAACTTCTCAAGTAATTGTCGAACCTCAGTTTCTTGGCGTTGCTTCTTTGAAGCGAAGGGATTGTTCTCATAAGAGTCGTAATTAGGTTCACCAGATCCAGGAACGATGAGGCTTTCAAAACCATTTTGATGACCCACACCAAGGATATCCTCGTAAGGACAGTAATGCAAGTCAACGACGCTTGATGAAGGAAGTAAATGATTCATGTAGGGCGACTTTTGTTTTGTACGAAGAGCATCCTTCCACATTGTTACATGGGGACCCCAACCGACCGCCAAAACGCCTCGGTCACTGAGACTCAATCGCTGTGAAGGTGTGGGTGTATAGTAAGAATGGACTTCCTTAAACGTGCGAACATCCCAAACTTTAAGCAGGCTATCCGCACCAGCCGTGACCATGTACTTGCCTTCGCGATCGATGGCAACATCTCTAATGGGACCACGGTGGCAGAGCATCTTGACAAGCGGCGTCGTGGAAGTAGGTGCCCACAGTGTGACCTGACCATTTGCGTGACCAACATGCATAACCGCATTGTACGGATTTTGACGCAGAACATGACTAGCACCCAAGCCTGTACGCAGTTCACTCACGAGTTGGCCGGTGGAAACATCTTGATACTTTAGATAACCTGCGTTACCAATGGTCGTCAATAGTAAGTGGTATGGTAAGAAGTCCATAGCATTCACTTCAATGTGACGTTTTAAGCAGTGAATTTCAGTACCAGTATTATCATATACATAGACATATTTTTTCTGGGCAACAGCGAAGTACTGGTGATTATGGAACCATTTAACATCACGAACTGTTTCTTGCAAATGAAGTTCCGTCTGGAGTTTTCCTCGTCTCCAATCAAAAGCAGCAATGTGGCCTTTTCTGCCGCCCATCAAAACCATAGCACCGTCACGAGTATAATCAAAAGTGTATCCGCCAAATTTGTCCAATTTTAAAGAAAAGCCCTGTTCCAAAAGTCAGTTCTATAGTTCCGTACGTGACGCCGTTGACATAAACGTAAAAACATTTTACAAATCATTTGTCAAAGCTTATGTTACGAACCTTCTGAGCAGTTTCAATGGCAACATTGTCAACAAGCTCTTTTTGTGTAAACTTGTAGGTTTTTTCCAAACCCTCAGCTTCAAGATAACCAGGTTCGTCCACCTGTAAAAATTCAGCGCCGGCTAATGCATTTTCGGCAACATCAATCCTTTCCTCGATTTTTTGAATATTACTACGCAGCTTCTTGTCTCTAATTTTCTGAAAAAGAAGTTAGTCATCTGAACATCTTTTAGGTATCAACACCATTGGTAATATATTATGTTCGCACATCATTTCTCACCGTTTATGGCTAACATACCTTGTATCCAATTTTTTTTCCCCGCGAGTACTTTGCAACAGCACCAGTTTCCGAAAGGTCTAGCTTCTGTATTTCAGACATTGTAGCGTATGATTGTCGAAGTAACCTTAGACGAGTATATTATCCAAAAAAAAGTAAAAATTTCCCCAGCACGGAATTATGCCAACAAACCGAGATATAAAGACAAATATAGTACAAAAGAGAATAGAATCAGCGTGTAATGTAATTGTATAGGTAACACGCTGAGTATTCCGCTAGTCAAAGGCAGGAAAGTCTGGCTTTGAGGTGGATGGTGAAAGTCAGACGTGGACCAGTAGCATAATAAATTAAAAGCACAAAAACACTGAAACCAAACCCGTTCGGGAAAGGGATCCAAAAGGAGGATACATAAGAACACACATTTTGATACTCCGTACGGTAAAGAATTGCCCACAATTCTTCAAAGTTAGCCTGACGAACCTAGCTTAAGAGGCAAAACTGAAAGAGTGAAAAACCGACCAAAAAATCGTAGTTTTATGGCTTCTTGACTGAGAGTTTCTTAATAGACGTTTCCATATTTTCAATGTTTACTTGATGTTTTTGAACGACCTGTAAAATTTGCTGTGTGTCATTGAAATCGTCAATTTGGTTAAGCAGTATAGAATTCTTCGCTTTTGAAGACTTCTTTGGTTTCAAATTTGTTTTAGACTTAACATTCTTACTAATTCCCTTCGATTTAGCTGAAGTAGAACTCTTTGTTTTCCGTCTAGGGCCCATGTCTGCTATATGGTAGTAAGAGACCAAGAACACCCAGCTTTAAATTTTTGGTTGAGAACGAAACGAAGACTTATGGCAACTAATACATCTCCGTTTCAGCCTATAGAAGCTGTAAAGGCAAATAAGCACAGTTCTTTTTATGGTCTCATAAAAGCCGTTGAGTTAGACCTAAGATTAGGTCACCAGTGGACCGAACTGAATCTTCATATGATTGACAATTCTAAGGGCCATGCTCGACCACTCTTTTCTGGCATTCCGGGAACAAAACTACTAAAGAAGAGAACTAATCTTGTTCTGCCATTGTATCTGCACGAAACAGTGTCAGTTGAGTTTCTTGCCTCAGTTTTCGATTCAATCAAAGAACTCAAAATCAACAAACCAATTGACGAACGTGGTTTGGAAAAAACGGAGCTTTACCTTTATTTAGGAATTATGTGCGAAGATTCAACTATAATTTATTACAAAGTTACAGACGGTTTAGTAAAGCCTAGACAAAACGACGAGGAATAAATAAACAAAACGAAGCGCATCCATCATGAGAGGGTGCAATATATATTAGTCTATGTATCCTTTCTCTTTTTGTTGTCATTTATAAACACTTGATAATTGCCTATAATGAACTATACTATGGAATTCTCAACTCCATCGTAGGTTAATTGGTTAATATAATCTATTACTAGTATATCTTTTCTGGACAAGCACATCTATCCAATGTTTTTTCGGGGTATGAATTACAACGCTGTTTAGTGTCGTATGTAAAATACATATTGTACAAACATGAAGACACATCAGACCTGCTGATTGTCAATGAAAAAAGATCGGACTCAGCTATAATTCAGTTAGTAACGCTGACTGAAAATGGAGTCTAATTCCACATTGGTTAAAGTATCACTTACTCCACCGATTGTAGAACAATGCTGGACTCTCGACAAGCTGGAACAAAGTGTTCCTGATGCTTTTTTCTTTCTGAAAAGGTTCCGTTCTAATGAGTCCATTGTATGGCCAAAGTTTGCAATAATGTGTAGTATTTTCAGAAATCCACAAACTCTGTCGATTGATTTGGAGCTTATTTTGTTCTGCAACTGCTATAAAAGCCTTTTCAAGTTCGTATATTCCTTGATGTTTGAACTCGCACTCATATGTTGCTGGAGCTGCATACATGTTTGATGCGAGAAATGATTGAAATAGATTTCTGGAGTAAAAGCATTAGTAATTGATGCACTTCAATGAAGTTCTCAAACTTACTCTCTGATGTCACAATGAATCTCGATACCTGGTTCTATGCGCCATAAGACATCAAAATTCTGTAGAAAGTCGTTCCGTAAGAATGTATTCAGCAACCATCTGTTGTAGTTGCGAAAAGAAACAGAATCGGGGTATGAAATGTTTTCCTCTTGAGATTTTGCCATTCCTTGTTCGAGGAGGTGATTGTCAATGTTATTCAATGGGAGTTCAATATTGGCGGCAGTAACTAGACTTGTTAGTCACAGTTACGTGTCGTTATAAAGTACCATAATTGCAGTCTCCAGAAGCAAACGAAATTGTGTAGTTAATGAACGCTTCCGAAAAACCTTCTTGACTGACAAAGGTCCATGGATAATGGAATCGATTGTTAAACCGATCCTCGATACTTCGAATAGAATGTAATACCTCAGTCAGCTCTGCATCACTGCATAATGAATTAGACACCCGCGTAAAATTAAATGGTTTCTTACTTTGTGAAAACAAGAAAACTGGCCTTCGTATCTGGTTTATCAACCGGCCTTTTAAAAAGAAAAATATCGTTATAAGTTACTTCTTTTCTTGAGAAGAAAATGGCCAGAAAGACAAAAACAATTGATGAAATCCAAACCCAATTCATTTTCGTTTTGATATTTTAAAGGTTTTTTTTTTTTCCTCTTACGTACGGCGAATACTGGCCGATGGGTTTCAACTTATCTCAATCAGTAAACGTTGAGGCTAGATTCAAGTAAATCCAGTTTCATATTCGAGAGTTGGCGGGTTGCAAGTTCTCAGGAACCTGGCAAGGACCATGTCTCAAAACCAACTAAACATGTTCAGTGTTCTTTAGTGGAGAGCGAAAGGCGATTGTAACCTTTTCATCCCAATACTATTATACAAATTTGTTTTGGAAATATGATTTCATATTTCTTTTTCACCAAGTTCTAATCTGTTAAAGTTAAGCTAAAAGATCTATGCGAAATAAAGTACTTAACTCTATAAAACAATAACGATAACAACAAAAAGAAAAAACTGTCCTGAATAACAGGAATTAAACAAGCTTTGAGTCATTGGATATTGTAGACACTTGGATCGAGTTTTGCAGAGCATTGTCCTCCTGCATACGTTTTTCCACAACACTCTTGGCATAGGCCACGGAATTCCATGGCTTAACGCCTGAAGTGTAAAGTGTGTTGATTTCCTCCAATGTCAGACCCTTGGTCTCCTTGGCAAAGAAGAAAATCACAAACGCAGCAGCCACATTACAAGAGGCAAAAACATAGCCGTACTTGAAACCAATTGAGGCCGTGATGAAGGGAGTAAAGAAAGAAATTAAAAAGTTGAGAGTCCAGTTCGCGGAGGTAGCGACTGCACTGCACTTGTTTCGATAGCGAATGGGATATGATTCACCGACGATAATCCAAGCAGCAGGAGCCCACGTACTGGCAAAACTTAGGATGAAAAGACATGAAAAAATAATCATAACAGTACCAGCATTGTGATTTGATGTTCCGTCTTTTCGATAAAGAGCTCTATCTCCAACAGCAGCATAAACAAAGTAACATGCGGCCTGCCATGCAGCACCCAAAATTAACGGATTACGGCGTCCAAACTTTTCTAATACGACGACGCCTAGAAAAGTGCACGCACTATTAACGGCACCAAGAATAATTGCCGCGACATAGGGGCTGCTGATGCCTGTGCCCTTGAAGACTTCTGTGCCATAATAGAAATAGTAATTGACACCAGTCAGCTGTTGCAAGGCCATTACACACACACCGAGAAGTGTGCGATATCGAATTTCGGAACTGAGGAGCTCGCTCCAACCGGCTTGACCTTCTTGTAATTCGGCAGTTACGGTCTCATCGAGTTCTTTGAATTCCTTCTGAATCATACTGTCCTCTGGAGGAAGACCACTGGTATTGCATAACACGCGAAGGCATTCTTCCTTCTTACCAAGTGAGATGAGATATCGAGGGGATTCAGGCAGGCAAAGTGTGCCTGCGAAACAAACGACACCCCAAAGTAAATTAATACCAATGGGGATTCTCCATGAATTCGAACCTTTGATACTGTGTGTACCAATATTAATAGCGTATCCAACAAGGATACCGAGAGTGATGAATAGCTGGTATGTACAAACAATAGCGCCCCGAATGTTAGCAGGCGATGTTTCAGATTGGTAAGACGGAGCAATTACCGACAGAGCACCAAAGCCAAGACCTGTCCAAATCTTTCCGCACATAAACTGGACCCAAGATCGCTGTGTCGTTAGCTGGACGAGAATTCCGGAGAGGTATACGACTGACCAAATGAGAATGCAAATACGTTTACCCCATTGATCTGCTAGTGGAGAAGAGAGCAACGAGCCCACGAATGTGCCCGTGTTGACCATACCCACCAACAGACCCTGCCGAACAGAACTGTAACTGTATGTATCTGTGGTCGCGTTGTACTTATCGGCGAACCGTTCTTGAAAATCTCGCATATTAGTAAGACCTCCAATGGCACCAGTGTCTGCACCAAGCATCCAGCCGGCCATTGACACGAATGTCAGCATTACAATGGGCAACACACGAGCCATCGGTACAAAATTAGAGCTGAAACAAGGCTACTACAAGACTAGAATTGCTTAAAGGAAAATGCACATCGAGGACCTTTATTTATTTATTAGTCGCAGTAGCTTAAAAGAGATCGACTTGAGATATAAAAAATGCTTATGTAAAGAAACAAAAAAGATAGGACCATAACAAAATGACTAGAAAAAATATTAAAAAATTAACAAATAATTAAATAGCCTGACGATTTTACGTGCGAGAACTACGATCCGTAATTTGACATATGAGTAAATGATGAACACACCGACGAACCCAAATAGAAAAAAAACAGAACAGAAAGTTCAGAGAAATACCGCTAGTAAAAATTGAGCGTACACCAGAAAAAAACTTAATTGACTATCTCCAGAGCCGTGCAATGCAAAACTTTATACAAAGCTTACCAATGGCAAGTTCTAAGTGCCGACGCCGACTTGCACGTGCAACCTTTTAGTGTAGCAAAAATAGTGTTTACATTCTTGTCACAGGTTCTAGTCCTAAAAAGCATCAATAAAGTTGCCGATCTTCCACCAATAGGAATTTCTAACATTTAGCAGTCACATGGGTTAGGGTTTTTTATAGTATATAAACCGTTCATTTATCCCTACTGAAAACCATCATCAGGCTTGAAAGCCTCGGGTCAGATTCACTTGTGGATCTCCTGGGACTACTCTCGGAGTGAAGAAGTTGACGCGAGTATGCTGGCGGTGGGGATTGTCCTCGTTTCGACGGGTTGAGAGTTCTGCCATCGTCGCCAGAAAGCGGCTCAATGATGCTGCAATTCCTATCCGACAAGCTTGTTATCTATTAAGGTGATCCGCGGGTAACCGTGTTGATCCCTTGACGTCCATATATTCCTACATCCTTCGCTACATGGTCTCTGGATCCTTGCAGTTGGGTAAAACCATATGGTCGACATACATAGTGTTATAGCTTATTTGTAGTATAATTTATTGTCTAAAGCTTATATCTCGATGTTTGTGTGCGTACTGAGGTCAACGATATTTCGTCTTGTTGATTCGCGTTGTCGTCGTTCCTTGGAAAGTTTCGTCGTTTTTCAGCAGATTTAAGCACTCACATGAGGAGCACTCACATGTGGGTTGGAAAGTGTATGCCCAGCCGTCCGTTTGTAACACCCATTTGCTGTACCACCAAGGAAATCCAACAAACATTGCACTGCACAATTTAAAATTCTAGTTTGTTCTCGCCAACACCCCAATAGTCTTATGACAAAGTTGAAACAATTTTAAGATTAATAATAATGACACAAACTTTTGTATAAGTGAGTCTAAAAAGTCTAGAGAACAAAAAAGGAAGAATAGAAGAGACTAACGTTGAAGTACGCAATTCGATCAACGAATGCAGTAGTAGCAACACGAAAGTTACCGATTACTCGTGGTGCAATTTTGACCAGAGCATTCCCTGGTAATGGACCGTAGGTAGTGTGGGAGGTAAACACGATGTAACTGGCAAGAGGAGGGTAGACCTCTAAAATGTCGAATCAACACTTTGTTTCTCAATCATCCTTAGGAAGGATATTATCTCCTTCAAAAATATTTATCAAAAACTGACGGCGAGTTGACTTTCGAAGAACATTCCGACGTATAAGGAATACAATGAAAGGAACAAGAAATATCACAAGTGCCATCAGCGATACCAAAAACACATGGGCCAAGAGCCAAGAATGGCTTAGTGTATTGCCAAGCCAACTGTGTGAGGAAGAACACAACCCGTTTCCAGTTAACGGATATGACGGAAGCGACATTGGGTTCTCAAGTAGTAAGACTAAAAGTTCGTAAAAAGAAGTAGCGTTAAGAGAACCATGCTCGGAAAGTTCATCCGTGAAATCCGGAGCATAGTAACGGTTCGTATGGAGATTGACTATGCGCACAAGGGGCTGAAGAGTCGTAGGCAACGATTCACCAAAGATTTTCTCCACCCACTCCTGGTGATAGGAATGATCCATCCAAGCAAATAAAACTCGTTCCTGAGGTTGGGGAACACTGATAGGTGTTGTCCTGAGCCTGTTCACCAACCGTTTATTCCCCCGTGATTTAGCACTCTCTATGGCAGCGTATTTTTGACGCCGGACTTCGGCCAATTCCTCCTGACTCTGTTGGATATTGTGCTCCATCCAGCCGCGAGCAATGTTGCGGAAGTTGTGCCGCGATTCCATGTACGAGTCCGAATCAGGATGAAGAAACATAAACACAGCAAGGTCTTTACCACGTGAAAACTCGGTACCTTGTGCACCGTTACAGTTCTCCACGGAAAACTCAGACAAGAGGGGCCGTGAGTATTGGCGCAACCATGGCAGTACGGTTTTGAAGTTTCTGAGATCTCCAGGTTTGCGGGAACCAAATGTTATTGGTATACCATCGCGAACAGCAACAAGAGATGGCAGAGAAGTAATTTTGTAACGCTCATTTATGCTCTTAGATGATACAAAGAACAAGGGCGCGAAACCAGTAAGTTCCAGCATCCAACGCTTAACAGCCTCGAAGTCCTCAGTAGTAGTTGCATAATCATAAGCGTACAAGAAGAACACTGGATAGAGACGTTCGACTTCCTCAAGGTCGCTGTCCCGTAATGCGCGGTGCGAAAACATTAAAGCAGCATCCTGCGCGTATTCAGAAGACCACGATACGTGCGACCGGTATACGGTAAATGCGCCAAAGTCAAACAAACGAAGGACATGTGTCATATCAAAATACGACACAGACCAGGATTCCGATCGCAATCGGTATAAGCGACCTCAACACTCTCCATCGTGTTGCGAGCTATGTTGGTGAGTATGGGCAGCCACTGAAAGCAATCACTCGACTGTTTTTTTGAAAACAACATCAACAAAGTGGGAGTATAGGGTTTATGAGCGAGATTGTCTGCGAGATCAATCTCATTCAACGCCACTGCAGATCTAAGTGAGTCTGTGGGCTGTTCCCATGAACTATCCTGGTCAAAATGTAATTGTGTTGACTGGTCGATGAAACGCTGAGCAGAAGATTCAGTCAACGGTTGGAACCGAAGCGTCTTCTGCTGCCAGTCACCGTTGCGTACTACACGAACTTCCGGATATGTGAACACGCCGAGTTGTCGGCATAGCACTGGATCATTGTCACAAAACACAACAGCAGTTAGAAGTGACGGCCTACTCAAAAGAGCTGCTGCCCATGATGCGTCGAACGACACTGCATGAGTTGATAGTGGCTTTTGTCTTGTGAAATGGACGAACCATGTCTGATCAGAAGAGTACAGTAGCGATAGATTAGAGCGTGTCAAAACAAAAGCACTGACATTTCTGCCAACTAGACAACACAATACGAGTAAAAAGATCGCTAACATCTCCTGTGACAGTGTTGGCCGACAACTCTTAGTGCTTGAAACCAGCAGGAGTAAAAACAATTTCATGTAAACAAACAAAACATTGTTTACACTTAAAACCCAAAATTGGCGAATAAAAATAACATCATAAACAGTACAACTTGCCACAAATGACGGTAATACTGTTAGCGGAAGAATCAGAGAGGTTTTATGGTATTAAAAGGTGATTCCTGCTGAGTGTAAATGTAGAGATGAGGAGGTGGTATCCAAAAGCAAGAATGGGGAATTCGGAGATCAGAACGTTTCAGGGAGCATTGAAACAGTTGATAAACTCAAGCTTTTGATGGGGCTATCTCTTCTGGTGGACGGAAAGACTCAACATCATTTGTTGAGGTCGGTTCGCTATAGCTAATACGATCCAAGTCCAGATCAACATTGTTGAGATTTACAATAGGGGAACGGTCGTACAGTTTCCAACCAATGAGACATACAAGGAAAATGACGGCAGAAAGGTACGAAAGGAAGAAATTGTTCACGCTTGGCTTTGCCCCGATAGGCCAGACAGCAATATAGAACTGAGCAGCCAAACATAAAACGTTAAGGATGACACCGATCCAAGAACCGAGCTCACCGAGGGGAGCACGATAGGGAACATAGAAGGAGCGCTTTTGACGCTTGTAAGCCTGGCGGAAGCGAATGTGAGAGAAGCAAATCGTACCCCAGCTGAAGAAACAGGACAAACCGGCAAGCGAAAGCAACCAGTTAAAAACAGTGGTGGATGAAGAAGAGCAGCCGACGTAGGCAATGCAACCAGCCAACAAAGTGACAAGCATACAATAAACGGGACGACCCTTGGCGTCAACGTACATTAAAAATCTGGGCAAGTGACCATTTACAGACAAACCTTGCATAACACGACTTGTCGCATAAGTACAGGAAGAACCGACCGACAAAGTAGATAACAAAATGACAGCATTAATGATGTCAGGGAGCACACGAATGTTGGCGAGACGAACGGCAAGAACAAAAGGCGAAGCAGCCGAGTTAGCGCCGCTGGCGTTCAAAAGATCCGGCATGTTGCTGGGGATGATAATGGAAATAATGAACACTGATAAAGCGTAGAAAATGAGGAGTCTCCAGAAAACTTGATGCGTAGCCTTAGTGACATTCTTAGCAGGGTCCTTAGCTTCACTAGCAGCAATACCAATCATTTCAGTTCCAGAGAACGAAAAGGCGGCACTGAGAAACACGGAACAGAAACCCTTGAAACCATTGTTGAATGGACCTGGGTCTTTCCAATAACGAAAACCAAGATAACCGCGCGTATCTGAGCGGACACCACCACAATTGATGACGATACCAAGGATAATGAAGCCGATAACAGCAACCACCTTGACCATACCGACAACAAACTCGACTTCGCCATAAGCGCGGACGCCGAGGATGTTGACGATAATCACTAAAACGAAGAATATACTAATCCATACAGCAACATTGATATTCGGATGCCAGAAGTTAATGACGATAGAGGCTGAAGTCAACTCAAGGGGTAGTGTGACAATATAGTTAATCACATAATTGATACCGACTGCAAAACCCCATGCACTATCAATTAAGCGGATGCTGTGCATGTAGAAGGAACCAGGAAGTGGATATAAAATAGCAAGCTCTACCAGCGATGTCGTTGTCGTGTAAATCATAATTCCCGTAATCAAATAACCGATAAGAAGACTGACCGGACCACCTGTACTCAAAGCGGAACCTAATCCAATAAACAAACCAGTACCGATACTACCTCCAATGGCAATCATCTGCAAATGACGGTTTGACAATTCCTTTTTGTATTTGTCGACGACTTCGGCTGCGCATGTTTTTGCACCGTCTTCGCCTTGTATCTCATCGTTGCTGGAGACGCTGAAGACTGTGTTGTCGCCCAAACCGACTTTTGCGTCGTTTAACTTCTTTTCGTCCATAATCATCTCGCGGACGGCAGTGCTTTGGGCTGAAAATGCAAGAGGAGCAGCGTGCTGGTTTTGGGAACCCTCATCCTGCGAATGATGGCCTCTCGAGCCATCGATGTATAGGTTCGACTCCATTACGAGAGAGAGGGGTTCGTGTGGAGGTTATGTAGACGGAGACTGAGTTGGGAAGTTTACAGCGTAATATCGGGCAAGTGGCGGCCTTTTGGTGTTGAGTTTAAATACGATAAGATAGCAGCAATCGGCTTGAGACGGGTGCTGTGGTACGGGCAGTATCAGTGGGGAGCGAGATGGTGCGATGACAGAGGAAGGAAGCGAATGGAGATATTCAACAGTGAAGATATGTGTGAGATACCAGAGGAGATGAGTAGGATTAACCGTCTAAGTGCAATTAAGGCGTCCTGATATAGCCCAGTTGTGATTGGGTTTACGGTATTAGAGTTAATAAGGGATTTCGGCTAATGCGCAGTCCACGAATCAATGGCCTGCCAAACCGGTTTAACTTTATCAAAATAGAAATCATGAACGTCATCCTATCGTGTCGTTGTTAAGATACAACGCAAGCGAAAAAACAAGTGGTTACTGTTTACTATGCCTGTCGCACGAGTCGCTTTTCTCAGGATGCTTAAGCATTTGAGCCACGGGATGCAAATCCAGACTGATGTGTTAGGGGATTTCATGGTTTAAGTTTTTGAAGAAAATTTTTATGTTTTTTACGTAACTGTTCTTGTTGTTTCCATGCCGTTTTCTTCAAGGTATCGGATTAATTGAACGAATTTAGAATAATTTCATCTATCATATGTATTTTAAGAAACATGGAATTCTGTCATTGAAGGAATTGCGACATTAAGATAATTAAACGAGGTGAAGAAATGACGAAGCTTAGTATAAATCAGATAATCGCTTCGATGAAAACGTGTCTAGTCTAACAGTATTAAGGTTTCATGATCTGCGTGATCGACACAACGGGAATCCGCAAAAAGTCGCATTGCATTTAACAGAACATTCATTTGGTTCGCATTCTTGTATGTGAAGGTATTGTGCTCATTATGTGATTAGTTGCTAACTACTTGGTACGATGGTTGAGAGGGCTTTTTACAGGTGTCGCATTAGAGGGGAGATATTTGCGAAACCTTATTTTAAAAATGGAAATTCTTAACAACCCCGGAGAACTGTAATTTTTAGGTAACATAGACAGGCTTTCTTGTGATTTTTTATAATTGTTGATTATTGTTGCATAGAAGAAATGAATAGATAGTAGAATGTCCGCAAATATCACAACATATAATTGAAGCATGCATTGTCTGCGACAGTTATGGCACAACATACCATGAAGCAGTTTTTGGTTTACCGATAGCTAGTTAGTCATGTCGCTTATCGTTACTTTAAAGAGAAACAGTTTGGACAGAATGTTTGAATGAGTGTGACATAGTGTTTAGCTGAATCTTCGTTTGTACAGAGGATTAAACGATAGGATCGTATATGTAATCCGACGGCTGTCTATGCCAAACGAGTTGAAGTACATTCGCTTCCAAAAACAGATGCTTCTATAAATATATTTTAGTTCATCACTAAACTTCAATGCAAAGTGGCTTCTTCCGTTGAAAGATAGTAAAACAGAACACGCTACACGCCGAGATCAAGAATTTGTTTCATTATCAAACAAGCCGGACTCTCGATTGCTCTGTGTGATTGCAAAAGTGACACAAACAGTCCAACGATCTAAAGCGTAGTCCGCTGCTGTTACTAGCCTTTCAATTGAATTGGAAAGTATTCAATATTGAGAATGCCGTAGGCACGCGGTGCTCTAAAGAAGAAGTGAATAAAGATACTATATGAAATTGGTATTGCACCGTTCAACAACAAAACACCATTTAGTGAGAGGACGGGTTGAAAGTGGATCGCCCTTCCTAAATGGAATGCTCCGTAAGCCATCTAACCCAGGAATGTGTATATCAAAAGACAGCTGCTGGTCTTATAAAGAAGCAATACAAAACTATTTGAAGCTAGCTTAATCTGGAGAATGGAAGATTTGTTTTGTTGCAACGAGTATAAATGCCTGTGGTTGTCGAACCAGCAATTCGGCTATCGAACCAAAAAACGTAAAATTGTTTAACAATTCATTCTCCGTGACATTAATGACCTAAAAATATTAACCATTTGATAAGTTCCCCTTAGTTGTTGGCGAAAACAAGTTGCGACCTGATGGATTCGAGAAGTTTGCCTTAGCGGACCAATGCTAATAAATTGGTTACAACAGGTTACGAGCTAAGAATGATTCAGAGAACGTGTACGAACAAAAAGGTGCAAACCTTTAAACAAGGACGATCTGCTTTGCAATAAAATTAGGTCGTTTCCAAAAATAAGTTTCAATGTTTAAGGCAAATTAAAGGCATGCATCATTTTTATTATTCACAAGAACTAAATACAAAATCATACTCAATAGGATCCGTTAGCCTGAACTTATTTACACTGCTTATTTACTAAGCCAACGAATCAAAGCATAAGATAAGTATTATACAGTTTGTGCTACTTGTTCATGGCGATTTAGGTGTCAGAAAACTGTCGATGACTACAGGATCGGACCTTCTATGTAGTAGAGTCGTCCTGGACTATTATCTTTCTTTCATTGATTTTTGGTAAGGCTACTGATGAATAATGTACGGGCGCTATCAGTGTGTTATAATCCGAAGGTCTCAACGGGACGCTTAAACGATGTCTTGGAAAGCCATCCTTAAACACAAAAGTGTCATTTTTTACTACTACTTGTCATCATAATCTAAATAATAAAGGATCACCCAAAGACATATTGTATAATTAATAGAAAAAAGATTCGGCTTTTTCGTAATTTCAGTACACAATAATTTCTAGCTATGATGATTCTATGAACAAACGTATGAGTTGTTGCCGAATATGAGCATTTTGGAAAATTGTACTTTAATAGAGCTTAAAACAGTTAAAGCTATTCGATACGCCTACTCTTAATAATAACTCGTTTAAATATAGCTTAACTGATGAACTTGCGACAGTAGCTTAAGAAGGAAGGTTTAATAAGCCAACTGAATTTGTTTAAGCTATAATTGTTTAGTAAAAAATTCATTATGACTATTTTTTTTCTTCATTAATCATCAATAAAATCTTAATGATTAGATTGTGTTGAAGACGCTTAAACATTCTTGAAACCTGTAATAACAACCATATTGCGATTAAAATTGAACGATTAAAGCTTAATTAAATTACTCTATAATGTGCTTAAACATGCGATTAAGTTACGCCTTAAGCACGATTGGCGAAATATGATTTACTATAATTTGATCTCAGATGCTTGACAGTTCAAATTATAGCTAATCTGTGATTAAACAAACATAAACAATCTTTAATTCTTTAGTTATTAAGTTTTTATGCATCCCGTTTAATTTTTTGTTTTTGGTTAATGTTCAATATAATGCAGCTCCTTATAATCCTTATCTAGGAATTAAAATTGAAGTTCGTTTTACTATATCGGTAATACAATTTAGTCTTTAGCAAATCTTAAACAATATCCAATCAATGGACGAAGTTGTTTTCGTTTATTAAGAGACTTCAAGGTGTAATATCTTTGGAATAAAGTTTCGCAACATTTACCTTAATCACTAAACAGAATAAATTGCGAATAAAACAAGCTAAACTGATGAATGAATTTATAGTAAACAACAAAGTTCTACTAGCATATTTGCAAGTATTCATGTTGATTATCAAGGAGACCGTCAACGAAGAAACTGTCTATTTCCTCCGAGGCTAGTCAATTTTTTGGCTGCTTCTTTCATATGTCCAAGCGCAACAGGATCGGTACTTTGTCGTTACTGGTAGCCGGCTTGGTTTAATTTTTTTGATTCTTTCTTTTTAACCGGGGAGTCAGTGCTATCTTCTTGGGAAGCCGTACATTACGGCATAGAATTATGTAAGATTCTAGCAATTCAATAAAATACAACTAGCTAAATAGCCTCAAGGACACAATAACAATAAATTAATTAATTAAAGCGGAAAAGAGGTATTTAGCTATAAGTACTCTTGGTTTAAACTCACAGTTTCACGGCTTGATTCGATTGTTTAACTTAAAAATCCTTATTTATAAATGTTCGCACAATTGTTTATTGATTGCACGCTATGTACTTTTCTATTAGAGACAATTGGATTTTGTTAGGTTTTCAAGGGATATTATTGTTGAGAAGTTACAGGTGTAAATTTTAATAATAAAACTGGTTTGAAGCCACGTTCCGTTATCCTTACTCCCTTCTTATTAACCAATTAGATAAATGAAAATAATAGCCACTCCAGAAATGATATATGGAGCAGATGCTATTACTACAGTTCCAATCATTGATTTAGGAATTAGTGTTTAGTAGTCCAAGTACAATAGATTGTTGTAACGCGCCCAAGAAGCATTCCGACTTCCAAGCTTTAGACCGCATACGCATATTTAGTTGCGTATGAAAATGTGTTCCCTATAACAGAAACTTGTAAAAGGCTATACGACGTATAAGTTAAAAATCCTAAACCAGCTTCTGGATCAATAAAAATAAACGACAGCCACACAAATACAAAGAGCGAAATAATATAAAATTAAAAACTCGCTGAAAATGCAGCTGATTGACTTCATATCTCTGTTTTCCTTCAGGCTCCTCTCCTAAAGACACTTGAGCAAAACTTTTATTTTTAGGTTATATAAATAACAAGTATCACACTTAATAACGAGGCCTAATAGTGTAGTGGTTAACATACCTCTTTCGGGTTATACCCCCCTTCGGGATTAGAGGTGATCCCTGGTTCGAATCCTGGTTAGGCCCTTTTCTCTTCTCTCCAAAAAAGCTCGGGTCAGACAATCGTCCGTTAGACTATACCCTTGACATATAAGGAACGTCTATATTCCAATGCTCCGTCAAGTTGGAAGATCTACCTTAAAACTTATACCAAAGAAACAAATTTCATTTGATTACTTGTTCGTAGATTGCTCATAGTAGTTAAGACATTAACATAATTTAAATTCTCTTCATAATAGTTCATTGAATCATTACACTATGAAGCAGTTCTTCGTTTACTTACAAATAACCGCCCCAAGTCGCGAAACTTCCGGGTGTGCTCAGGTGTCAATTCGAAAGAAGTCTTAGCTTTAGCAGCGAATGAGTTTTGCTCTAAGTATTGGAATAGCGGAAGTGAATCCTGCAAAGATTCGTTACCGGAAACCTTCTTGGAAAAACAGCTTAAGTAGCCTGCCTGCTCACTTTTCCCAATTCCCTTGAACTCTAAAATAGTTGAGAAATTTGATATAGATCGATCACCAACCAAGAACAGGTAACTATCCACTAAGCCTTCTGTTGGATGAGCAGGTGTAAGTAAGGTTTTAAGGAATATTTCCACGTAGCGACAAACATTAGATACATAACGCACATACGCTTCCGTTGGTTGATAATCCGGTTTCTTTGAAGGTAATGTGAGAAGAAATTTCTTAATTGAATACGCGTCAAGAAGTAACTGCTCAGCTGCTACCTCCGGAATTTGCTTCACTCGAGTTAAACTGCCCAGAAACTTAGCAACAAATACATCGCTGACTCTGTCAGAAACGTTACGAACGTAACGAGTCTGTTCCAACAAAGGCAAAACTTGATCTGCTAATTGATCAATGGTTTCAATAGTAGTGCCAATATAAGGACTTTGATCGCCAACTGTCTCCAGCTGCTTCCAATTAATTTTTGAAATAGCTTGAAAGCTCTGCTCAAAAGCTCTTTCAAAACGAATTGTAATTTCCTTCAGAAGTTTGCTCACGCATTCATTTACTTCGTCAACGACACGCTTAAAAGACACTTGATCTTGTAATTCAGAAACGCAGATCTTCTTAAACTTATCTTCCAGCTGTAAAGTGGTAACACAAATGTAATCCGATGTGTTTATACGAACAGCCAATTCTCTGATGGGAACGGTCAATGAGTTCAACAGTAAAACATTGCGAATGTATTTACTCAACCAAGATGCGAATAGTTTTGCCAAGGACAGTAAGGCCTCAGATCTACTGAACCGAACGAATTGAGCTAATATACCCCGATAAGCACGGAAAAGATCAGTTGAAGACGGAAGAACCAAGAGAGATTCATCATGCGCATTAGACGACTGGGCCTTCGTTAGAATAGACTTTAAAAGTAACTCTTGTTGGGCAAAATATATGTCCACGTAAGGTTCGAAAACCTCTGAAATGATTCCATCAAATACTCCATTTGAAAGATCAATGCTCATGGTTGAATCTAGAGACAGCCGAGAACGCTCCGATGTTTGCCGACGACCAAAACGGTTTTTAAGTGAATCTTCAAAAGCTACAGTATGCTGTAAGGCACCGACAAATACATCATATTTCAGCGAGTCTTTTTTCTGTGATAACAGCATCTTAAGATTCGACTTCGTGGAATCACAGAAACACATGCAAAGATGATAGTCTACTCGCCAATTCTCTGGGAAAATATCTTTATGTGAAGTGTCATATGTTGTCAGCAGCTTCGCAAACCATGTATATCTTCGAGACAAGTTTTCTAAAGCATTTGCCTCCTCATTCTCTTGGAAAAGACGTAAAAAATCAGACAACTGGTGCTTACAGTACCAATCAGTAATAGCTTTTATGGATTCCTCACCCAAGACGTCAAAAAGCTTGCAGGCATCCTTCATATTTTTTATAGTGGACGCTGAACTCCTGTCTGGCAATGACTCATTTTTCTTAAATAACAGCTCAAACATTTCCCGAATTTGCAAATCATAAGAAGTTTTGAAATTTACGATACACTGAGTAAGTGCAGCAATTTGGTCCACACTGCGATACTGCTTGAAATACTGCAACAACTGTAGGACGACTTGCATCATTCCCACAGAATCACCAATGTTTCGCGTTTGTCGAAAATAACGGAGCTTTTCAAACGCGGTAACAAGCATCTGTAATCGCTTCAAGAGTGTCATGGACGAAGTAATATTTGTTTTAGCCATATCCAAACTTTTGATTTCTGAGGTCATTTGAACAATAGAAGTTTGTGTGTCATTGGCGAACATGAAGAGTTGCTTTAGTTCCATTAAAAGATTCTGAACACCCTGTTTGATAGCCAAATCTTCCTGCTTCTGTTTTTGTTTCACTTGTTCGTACACCTCATTCTCGTGAGCAGTATCTTCAGAAACGATTCGCAAACAATCCTGCAATAAGGTACGTGTTTCACTCACCCCATCCGATGATGGAGACGATGCATCCTTAGGAATGAGTTTTTCTAATTCCTCTAGAGCGTCAAAATGTTCGTTACGCAAAGCGTCATAATTCAACACTTTCTCAACCATTGGTTATCGAGAAACAGAATGAGTTTATAATGGAATCATGTAACAGCTTTCACTATGAACAAGGCGAGCTGCAGGAGTTATCCACTGGACCAATTCGAACTGAGGAAAAGCTAGTACAAACCCAAGTATCTAAGAAAAGAGAACAGTTCCAACGAAACAGTAGAAAAAACAAGAGAAAATGCTACGTTAGCAACAACAAGCTCCTGTGTACCGAAAGGAGGAAGTTTTTTATATGAGAAACGGAAGAGGAGAGACACTTTCGCTTCGAGGACCCCGACGACGTCCAATAAAGTAGTGTGAGCCAAGAGAATTGCTACAAGTTTTAGAAGAAAGCCGACATTACAGAATTCAACCCACCAATCTACTCTTTTAAGCAAATCACCTACAAAGTAACGTCTCTAGACTACTGCTGCAAGAGATACGCAAAACGATCCCCTCCGTCATTGATCGGTAGTTAATAATATTGTGATATGCATGTATGTGATTTGTAACATATAAAGTTAGATTACCTGCAGGCTACCTCACGAGTCAAGGGTCTGATCGGTGTACCAAAACTTTTCGACAACACGACATGGCCAAACCAAAAGCACGTCAAAGGAGCACAGGACCCGGGAAGCTAATAAGAACGAGGTAAAAGTATTCAACATCATGAAAGACGAGAAGAGAGAACTCGGCAAACAAGCCATTTCTAGACGAATCAACGAGGCGCCAATCACAGACAGATTACATGCTCGTCTGTAACGTGCATTGGTAATAACAAATGTAAGCACTCAAGCCCGTGTGAATGTATACATATATATATATTGGAGAATGAGGACACTACTTGGAAGAAATAACACGAGCAAACTCCTCATAGTTAATGACACCGTCACCGTCCGCATCGGCCTCGCGAACCATATCCGCGACTTCCTCGTGCGACAAACGTTCACCCAAGCTCGTAAGAACGTGTGTAAGTTCGTCGACGGTAATGTAACCATTACCGTCCTTGTCGAAAACCTTGAACGCCTCTCGGACCTCCTCCTCATCGTCTGTGTCCTTCATTTTACGAGCCATCATCGTAAGGAATTCGGGGAAGTCAATTGTTCCGTTTCCATCAGCATCAACCTCATTAATCATGTCTTGGAGCTCAGCAGCGGTGGGAGACTGTCCCAAAGAACGCATAACGACACCCAATTCATTAGATGTGATGTTTCCATCTTGATCTCTGTCGAAAAGCGAGAATGCTTCCTTAAATTCAGCAATTTGTTCGTTCGTCAAGGTTCTTTCAGTCTAAATATCCGCACAGAACGTCGTCCCCCTTTGGGAGCCGTCATTCACGCGTTTCTGTCAGTATCAAAGTATAGCCGGTATTTCGTATAGCAAACACATACCATTTTGTGGTCGTTTAGACGTCGTTCTCACGGTTATTTTTATAAAAGGGTATGGGGGAAGGCAAGCACGGCGCTGCACTTTTAGAACGGTTATAGACTATTTACCACTCACCCGGAGTCGAACCCGAGACTGCTTTATGTGCATGATGTAGGCATGATGTCATTAACTTTAAACGAGTTGACACATCTAAGCTTGTTTAAGCTGGGGTATGACTTTTACGGGGTTTGTGCCTACAGAGGGCAGGGTCATGCAGGGTGAGGGTATAGCAACAAGTGGTCCAAGAAAGGTTGTTGTATAGCGAGAATTAGAGACTAAAATCAAAGGAGAAGATGATTTTGCATGGGACGCATGGAGGCATGAGAGTATATCGCTGTTTCCGATCTAACTGTGGGCTGGTTCCCAAAGTTCGCACATTGAGAAGAACGCGAATCGACCTAACGAATTGGTATGCATGATGATTAGTGGTAAAAGTGTGCCACAAGATTTTAGTAGAATACTCTCCAATTGTTGTACAATATTATTCCGGTATTGACCGGATCTTTCCTTCTTTCATTCGTCATAATTAATTCTCCCTGAAGGAACCCGTGTATTATCTCATTGTTTCGTATCTTACAGATACAATTACATATACTTTATTTCAACTGTCTAATGCTTAACAAAAGCAGCAAACTTCGTTAACGAGAGAGGCCCCTGTGAGTTTAAATTATCATCACAATAATAATAGTCGCTATTCATGACCATCTACAATTTGACTCGCAGCTAATAAAAAAGCCTCTATACCAAAGTTCTATATTACAGAAACAATCATCTTTCCATTGGGCATGAATTGTGTCTCCATCTAGTGGTTCACGCTGGCGTGAAAAAAAATTCACCATCAACGCCTTCGACTCCTCTTTCTCCAACCCGCCCATCTCGTTCTCACTTCACCAGTACTAAGGAACAGTAGAAAAGAAGAAACAATGGATAGTTGGGGTGAGTACATTTATGGGATTTGTTGAAGCGTTGGCTGACATAATATCTGTAGAGGATTTTTTGGTTGATGATAAGGCTGCAGAGGATTTCAGCTTTACCGGAGCTGCTGCTAAATCCAAGCCTGCAAAGGCCACCAAACGATTTGATGACGAAGAGGAGGAGCAGGAAAACCTGAGCTGGGAGGATCAAGTCAAGTCCTCTACTTCCTCGGAGACTCATGCTTCTGAAAAGAAGCAGTTGAGTCGTGCTGAACGGATGCAGCAACGCATCCATGAACGAAAGCTTGAGAAGGCCATTTCTGAGGCTGAGAAGTTGGCAGCTGCTGAACAACAAACCGTCTCAAAGAAGGAAGCCCAAGCTGCAGAAATCGAGTCGGACTTGGCTAATGCCATGGACCTTTTCGACATTGTCGACCAAAACACCGCCAGTGGTCATAGAGCTCGTGCTGCTGAGGCTCGTGAACTCAAAACAGCCGCCGACTTTGCCAAGTTCCAAGCGGAAATTTTGAAGAAGCTTCTCAACACACATACTTCCAAGGAATACTTGAAGTTTTGCCAGGACCTTATTCCTTTGTTGTTAGAGACTCTCCCTGCGTCTGAAATTAAGAACATCAACAAATCGATCAACAAGCTTGCTCTCGGAAAGGAGCAAGAAGAAAAGGCACGCAACAAGCCTCGTGGTGCCCGTGCTCCTGCACGCGTTTCTGTTCCCGCTTCTTCTGCAGCTAAGAAGCCCGCTGGTAAGCCTTCGCTCAACCTTAATGCGAAGAAGACCGCCGCAGACAAATCGGTTTACGAGGATTATGTGGCCGACGAGTATGACGACTTCGCCGATGACTTTGACGATTTTATGTAATCGGACCTATTGGCTCGTGCGGTGCGTTTATTCGACCATTAACTTATAATTCGTGGGTATTTGTCCGTGTACTCAGTGTACGCCGCGAGATTTTTATTCCAGCATATCCATGTCTTCAGCCACTTGTTTAAGATCGTACTGGCATCCATCGTTAAATGAACGAAGCATCTCTAACCTACGTCTTCCCGTTATCGATGTGTCTGTGCTGGTGAAGAATTTTTGCACTCCGTGAAGTAGTATTTGAACGTCAAGAGCGCTGATGGACTTGTTGGGATCAAACTCGCTGAGCGTGAGCACTATCTTTTTTGTTTCTGATAACTCTGGAAAATGCAGAACAGTGGTGTGTGGAACTGCATATTCACGGCGAAGCTTGTACTCAAGCAACGTCGTCAGCACAAGATGTGCTGTGTTCTCCTGTGGAAACAACCATTGTAATATATGCGTTTCTAACCCTTGTTGGCCTCGAGGAATTGGCAGCACGAATACTGGGTATCGTTTTGCCGTTTCCAGCATTCGTTTATACATCGAAGCTGGCAACACCGCCCCCACAGTACACGGCCTTCGTAAACAAAATTCTTTCCACAATTCCGTTGCTTGTTCTGTTGTTAATGTTTCAACTTTATCAAGATCAACAAAATCATGTAGTTTTTTCAAGTTAGTTGTTGAATCCAGTCGTTTTGTTGAACTTTGTGTGACGTGAGTCGTGTTCTTTTTATCAATGGCATGTAACTTTTCTGCGTCCCTCAATAGTTTTTCCACTGACACGTCGGACTCGGCTGCTTTTCTTTTTAGCTTACTAGCGTAACGATTGAGCACAGACACGTCAACAAATAAGCGAGAAGATGAATGCAGAAACCGTCGTGGAAATGCCCTAATAGCAGGGGTGGACCATACGTATTTCATTACTCGCTTGCAAACCACGACCAGCGGTTCGGTGCTCTATTTCCCTCTCTCTCTCCACTAACGAGACAAAGAGGCCTTCTGCGCATTTCGTGAAGCCTCCCTTTTTGGTGGTGAGTTTTGTTCGCATCAATTAATAAGACACACCAAGACTTGAACAACCACCTTTTTGCATCAAGATACCTAAACGAAAGCCAGACTGTTTCGTGCTCAAATAGTACCTACGACACAACTCTACCATCCCCCTCACACGCGATCCAGATGAGCAGCTCGTCTCCAGCTTTAGAAACGAGTTCAATTGCTCAGAATGAAACAGATCCCGAAAAAAAAACAATGACAGAAACGTCAGATGCATCAAAAAGTCTAGTTTCAACTAAAAAAACAAAAAAAAAGACGCGTCCAGCTCGGAAACAGGTTGAAACACGAATGGAATTTGAGCAGGAGGCTCCTGAACCTGGTCAGGTTTATAATATGTATGTAAATACACGTCAGTCTGCATAATGCTAACATTACTGAAAGATGGTACGGAAAATGGAGCGGAGGTTCGCGTCGTGATCCCCTGAAAAGTCAAATAAAATCAGAAACTCGTTGTGTTATCGAACGCGATTCTGGATACACGAAGGCAGATAAAGTTCTCGGGTCTTATTTTTGTCTTTTTTTTGCTCGTGGCATGTGTTCTGAAGGGTATGTCTTATGAAAATACTCACTACAAGTTTTTTATGTACTAATTGCTCCACAATAGTTCTCATTGCATTTACTTGCACAGGCTGCCAACAGAGAACGATATCTTTAACGCTAACGTTGATTGTTTTGGCCGCGAAAAACACGCCGATTACAGGGACGACATGGGCGGTGTCGGCTCCTTTTTACGGCATAACCATACGTTATACGTTGGCCAAATTAAACCAACCGATGACATTGAAGAGGTTGTTGCTCGTCATTTTTCCGAATGGGGCGACATTGAACGTATTCGCGTTCTCAATTCAAGGGGCATTGCCTTCGTTACATACGTGAATGAAGCTAATGCCCAATTCGCGAAAGAGGCAATGGCACATCAAGCGCTCGATAACGATGAATGTCTTAACGTTCGCTGGTCGACGTTTGACCCCAATCCGGCTGCCCAAGCGCGTAACCAACGACGACTTGAAGAACGTGCAGCACAGGCAATTAAAAGGTTACTCCCAAAACAGTTTCTTGATGACCTCCGTGACATGCGCGATGGAACTTCGGAGTCGCGGAAACGGAGGCAGCGTGAACAAGCGTTGGGCTTGGAGGGTTATACTCCAAGTGATGAACTATGGTACGCCGATGGCACCAATTCTATTCAACATCAACTTGAACAACAGAAGGCAATCACAACTAGTGAATCGCTTCCGCAAAACAGTGCCGGAGCACAAGCACCTGAAAGCACAACAAATAAGTTTGTTTCAGACGACGTGCTTGCTGCCCTTCAACAAGCTGCTTCCACACATACACCGGATGCTGAATTAAAGCCAGTTAATTCGGCTGTTTCCGGTGCTCTTGTTAGTTACGGCAGCGACGACGAGGATGACTGAAAACCAACTCCAAAGACTCCCCTTGTGTTACACCCAACCCCTCACCACATTAACCGCTGACATCTCTGAACTTCGCCAAGATACTCACAACGTTCACCTTGACCATTTACGTAACACACCCAAAAACAACCCTTTCTAACCCTCCACCTGTTTCTGTTACCGATGGTTTTGTTCTTGTTTTGTACATCCTTGTCATTGCAATGAAGCAAGTTCCTAATAAAAGGTGTTGGGACGTTGAGCAGCGAAAAGCTTGCTACCGAAGTCGCGTCTATGAGGAAGAGGGAACTTCAAACCAGGCTCAAGAAGTTGCTTAACGTAGTTACGACGAACGTCAGCCTTCTTGTCGACAGTGACGACCTTAAGGATACGGATGCTGCGGAAGCGAGCACGGTGACGAGCGGCCATATCAGCGTACATGGACTCGACGGCACCAACACGGGTAGTGTCGCGGTACTCCTTGTACATGTTGTGGGTACCAGAGCGAGAGTCGTAACGAATCCAGATGCCAAAGACCTTGGGTTGCAAAGGACGAGCCTCCTTAATTTCATTGACGGCGACAATCTCACCGGTGGCCTTCTTGACCTTGTTGATCATCTTCAAGAAGTACCAGTAACGAGACTTGGCAACAGAAGCGTTAGGTGCGAACAAACGCATGCGGAACAACTTGGGCACGGGCTCGTGCTCAGTAGGAATCTTGCGACCAACGACTTGGTATTCCTTCAGTGCCATTTCTGAGTCTCTGGTTCTGGGCAGGTTGCCTAGTGTGGGTTTCGCTTCATGTTGGTGTTCTCTGTGTGACTGCTTTCTGCATCTCAGAAACACAAATAACAAAAAAAAAGTATACAACAAAAAGTGTCTTGGAATAACCGCAAAAATTTAACAAAAAGATGCATACATTGAAATTTATCCCGCGATGTTATTTGTCTATCTTGCTACTATTTCGCTGATAACCTACTTCAAAAATGTGGAGGAGTTCATTAGGAAGGGTGAGACGCCCCTGTACAGATTACTACACCAAAAATGACCAGGACGCTTGAGACTGAAAAGCCGCAAGCCAGCGTCGGACTGTTTGAACTTGAAAAAGCAGGAAATGTTGAGACTGTTCGGCGTATCAAGTTTACTTATCCGCTGAAATTAATTGTACCAAAGTCGACCTCGACGTTTACAACTCTTTATGTGCTCAATTATGGTGGTGGACTCGTCGCTGGCGACGAAGTTCAGCTTCGGATTTCTATCGGAGATCTTTGTGTACTGAGTATCCAAACACAGGGCAGCACGAAAGTGTTTAAGACAATTGCCGGTAAGGGACCTTCAACTCAAAATATAAAAATCCGCATTGGCTCACAAGCGACATGTCTCTCACTTCCCGACCCTGTGCAACCGTTTGCAGACAGTGTCTACACACAGACACAGGTTTGTGAATTAGCAGATGATACTTGCAGTTTAGCGTTACTCGACTGGATGGTGAACGGTCGCAGCTTGCTGAACGAACGATGGGATATGACTTCCTACGTCTCCAAAAACATTATTCAGAGAGATGGAAAGACTCTGGTCCGAGATGTGCTTAAACTTGTTAAACAAGACCCACTCTCGGCTTGTCCCATTGCGGATAGAATGGAACATTTTGAGTGTGTGGGCACGCTTTTTCTGGTGGGGCCACAGTTTAGACAACTAAGTGAGCAGTTGTTAGAACATCAGCGATGGAAGCTTGACCGCTTGAATAAAACCATGAAAGCAGAAGAACGGCCAGTAGTGCTGTGGACAGCTTGTTGCATTCGAGGAGTTACTATTGTGAAGTTTGGCTCACTCGATACCCAAAGTAGTCGAGACTTTCTACTTGACCTTTTCAAAAATTATGCTTCTCATATCAGTTTGGAGGCATTGCGGGCATTTAGGTAAAAGGGTCTCAAAAAGCCGATATTCTTATTTTTTCTTGGAGTTTCATTAAAATGTCACTCTTGCATTCTTCAGTGTCATAAATTCACTACGCTGGCGTAGGAGACATTGTCTTGTCGACAGCCTGAGCCAATTTTTGTCGCTTAGCATCATAAAGTGTAGCGACATTATCGCGAACGCGAATAAGCACCCAGGATCCGGCGGAAATGGGTTTGTAGTATTGAATACCGTACGATGGAATCGTCGAGCGAAAGTCTTCATGGTACACAGGATCGCTTGGCTCCTGAATCTCATCAAGCGGTTTTTTTGACAAGCTCCGTGTTGTTTCTAAACATTCGATCAATAATGTTGCAATTGCACCGCCGTGAGTCATCTTCTGGTAACCAGACATGGCCTTTCCCATTCGCGCAACACTTATCCACTCGTTCCTGGTGGGATCGTAGAACGTCTTGAACACGGGTTGCAAACCATCACGGAACGATAGAAAAGTTGAGACGTAGTGCGAGCGAAATAGAGGTTCATGTTCCTGAACAGAAATTTGTTCCTTCATCTCAGCGTATGCATTGTTCACCATGTCAACTGCCTTTTTTGAATGAACCATGTCTGCAATGTTCTTCCCACTTGAAGACAAGCTTCTTGAGGCATGGTATACCCGGCTCCGTCTGTAAACAGAAGATGCTAACCCTGCCAAAAACGGCATTACACCGTACATAGCCCAATGAATGGCCATCTGTGGATAATTAACTGCACCGGCACTCACTCCCTATGCCGAGCGGAATGCTTGGTTGGAAGGAGGTAAGGTATTAATGTATTCGTGGGGGATCTGCAACTGAGCACGTGCATCGGGTCTAGTTGTTTCCCGCAACACTAAAAAACGTTAAAAACTGAAACAGCCCAAAGATATACGAAACATTGCGAAATTACTATGTAGCGTCTGTCGGATCCTTCTTTAAACAATTGCGTATGTAATGTTTCTTTTCTTTTTCCCACATTGACTATATATTCGTACGTAAACAATAATCGCTATCGGCCGCAACTCGCTTCAGAATTGCTCAGCAGAGACTGTTGCACACACATGCAACATTCTATGAGAAGTCCATTTCGACGCCTTCGTCGGAAATCTTTTTCAGCTCCCATTCTCGAGTGAAGTTTACTTTCAGCTGTTCAAGAACGGTAATGAGACTTTTTGAGGCATCAATAATTGCCTGTTTTGGTGAACACTCCTCCGTCGTTTGAACCCGGAGGATGAAATTGTGATTTAAAGGATGGGGGACACGGTAACCCGCGAAGACAACTCGCTCATCGTACAGCAGTTGACTGGAAATATGAGTATTAACATTTCTATTCGCGAAAGTGTTCGACAGATGAGTCCTTACGTGCGGAGCATGTTTGCGAGCGTGTGATCTTCTTTTTCAATCGTAATATTAGCCGTGTTTGGGGATTTTGTGTCAAGCTCGTAAGTGACCCTGTTTTGTTAGTAAATAGATCTAACCTCTACGAGCAATAACGTACTTTGGCAGGCCCATAAGCTCAATGAGCTCGTATCTCTCGGGCTGATTCATGGCGTATTTGTGTAAACGTAGATGTTGTGTGCAATGTAACTACTACCGTATCCAGCAGCGGACAGGGAATATTAAAAATGCAGATGATTCACCCAATGAAGAGATATCACACAGTTACAGATTTTTCACTAGAAGCGCCTTCCAACAGCAAAATGGACGTCGTTCTATCCTATGCAATAACCAGCACTGTGGCCGATGTGGTTCATCGTCTCGTGGAGTTAGGTTCTAGCGCGTTATTTCGCGGTGAAGTTTCTTATCATTTTTACTGAACTGCATTAAAACCCGTTATCACCTTAAGGATGTATAAGAAAGTGTGTAGACGTGCAACGAAGTGGTATGCACTATTAGACGCTACCGAAAAAAACACTGCTCCACCATAAATTCGGATAGTGAACTGTTACAGCCACTCACTATCCCCCACCTGCTCCTTTATTATTTCCTTTCCGTTTCCTTTTCGCGATCCTCTCCCATTACTAGAATGCGCTTCTCACAGATTTTGAAAGGTGCTCGTCGCCTTCCAATGACTTCTAAAATGGGTCATAATTATTACAAGGGAACACGAACTGGAAAAATGGGAAATATTGATAAACACGGCAGGTTTACTCCGGATTACGCGCGTATTCGCACGTACGTGCCTCCACGGAATTTATGTTCAGTAAGTAACGCAAAGATTAATTAGTTTGCAGGCTTTAACTCATTCTTTTCATTGTTGCTTTTTTCCTAACCCACAAATTTAGTTACAACCCTTTGTGTCCAGACGCGTTGTCCCCCCTCGACCCAAGTACCCAGCTGGCGCGATTGGTTTAGATGGACGTGTTTTCCTTTCGCTTGTGGGCAACCACGATTAGACGACAATCATCGGATTGTAGATCCTATATAATTATGATCTGCAAAAGCATTCGCTTACGTCGTCAGTTCTCGCTTATGACTAAAGTTAACACGTGAGTTCTGAGCATATAATGCCTTGACGTTTCTGCTGTATTGGTTAACAAGAGAACGGCACGAAGCATCTGATTTTTTGAATTCTACTTGTGCGCGTGCCCTGCTGGTAACAAGGACGTTTAGGATGAATTCTTTGATTGTCCCTTGGAAGCATCAGAACATTCGCTCTGGGCGTAGTTACTCGCTGGTGAAACGACGAGTTGTTGCTTTTTTAATTTGGGCTCTCATTGCTGTCGTATACACCGTTTTAAAGCGACAATCGTCAAAAGGTTTTGCCAATTGGTATTCTCCCTCGAGTTCTAGCGCTCGTTTGCCCGTACTCACTCTCAATTGGAAAGAAAGCTCGTCCGATTTTCAAGCATCACATGTGGACTTTGGCGATGAGATTGCATGCAGTGCCATCCGAAATGTAGCTCGTTCGGATCAGTGTGCTTTTGCGAAGGCTTATTGCAGTGGTAAAGACAGTGGAGTGATTGATTACATCGAGTTCTACTACTGTTATATGACAAATAATCGACCACTGGCCATAGCGCTAGTTTTATGCTGGCTAGCATTTTTGTTCAGTAACTTGGGCATATCAGCAAGCGATTTCTTTTCCACCAACCTTGTTACAATATCATGGCTCTTGCAGTTGCCGGATTCAGTTGTCGGCGTCACATTTCTTGCTCTAGGCAACGGATCTCCGGACGTGCTGAGTACATTTGCAGCCGTCCGTGTTGATAGCGCTGGCCTAGCCATAGGTGAGCTGTTAGGTTCTGCTTTGTTTATCTGCGCTATTGTGTGCGGAACTATCTGCATTTTGCAACCCTTCTGTGTGCCCAAGCAGCACTTTCTGCGAGATGTATTGTTTTTCACTGGTGCTGTTCTACTCGTAATCACTTTTCTAATCCATAATGGCTGCCTAAGCTTGTGGCAGAGCCTTACCATGATAACATATTACACAGCGTATGTCCTGTTCGTCTTCTTTTTTGGCGGCGACACTGCTGTTGAAGAGTCACCGCTTCCCGTGGATAATCACTTGTGCTTGCCGCTACCTGCATACTCTCCACTAAGCAGTCCTTTGCCAGATAACATGTCCATTGTATCGTTGTTTTCGGAACAGTTTCTTGGAGACGATGTTGAGGCGTTTCCTTCGTCCTCTTCCGCTGCTCTTCTGACTCGAAGCAACCCTCATCTTATCGCCGTAAGCGACGTAGGAAGTGGTTCTCATGAACGGGTACCATTGTCTCCTAGTGCCCGTACTATACGGCCATCACTGTTAGGCGCTCTTGAAATGAAGTCGCATTTGAACGAAGGGCTTATTCAGAATTCGTTCGCTTCTCCTACCACATTTGGGGATGACTTGTCGCCAAGCCAACCAAATGAATCGAACAGCGCCGTTCGTTCACCCTTCCTTAGTCCTTACAGCGTTTCTCATGACGACTTTGCCTCGTTGCCCCTCCCTCCAACCGCGGATTATTTGTCTGTCACTTCAACTCAACAATGGTCGACCTCTCGCTTCCCTTCGCCAGAACCCTTTCAGCCTTCTTTGTTGAAACTGCTTTTTCCCACCCTGTGCAATTTCTCAAAAAAAACCGTGTTTCAGCGTGTGCTTGATATCCTTGCCGCACCTTCTGTTCTCCTGTTTACCCTGACTCTTCCTGTATACCAGTCTCCTCGTCACCCCATAGAACCAATTGGGCCGCTAGAGGAAGCCACATATCCTGCTGGTCAGGCGTGGAATCGTTCACTACGTGCCCTGCAGTGTTTTCTATCACCCCTCGTTTTTGTTTTCATTACCTTTTCGGGAGCGACTCTATTCGTTGCGATCCCGGTGTCGCTTATTCTTTCTACAGTTACTGTTTATTTATTATACAAGCACACAAGTCCGACGGAGCCGCCACGCTTCCTGCCATGGGTTAGTCTTTTGGGATTCTTCATGGGTATCCTATGGATTTCTTCAATAGCCAACGAAGTCGTTGGTATTCTGCAGGCACTTGGAATTATATTTTCTTTGAACGAATCAATTCTTGGTCTTACAATTTTTGCCGCAGGAAATAGTCTGAGTGATCTTGTTGCTGATATTATGATTACGCGAGCAGGTTACCCGGGTATGGCTATGGGAGGTGTGTTTGGTGGACCCATGCTTAATATACTACTGGGTATTGGAATATCCAGTTTTTACAGTAGTTTAAGTCATCAAGACAAATCCTGCACGGTAGAGTTTCCGGCAGCACTGAGCATCACGGCTGTCTTCCTTCTCCTATGTTTGCTGACAACTCTTATTTACGTTCCAAGGCATGGGTACCAGATGGACCGGAAGCTTGGCGTGGGACTAATCTTGTTGTACTGTACTGGCACCGGACTTTGCATACTTCAACTGTTGTTGAAGTAGTGTCACTTCAATATAAAACTCTGCATTTAGCATTAAACTACCTTTTAAACGATCACTCTTTACGATTACAACTCAGGATACGTATAGGTGGCTTTTGTATTTCTAACACTGTTACCTTATTATTATTATTATATATATATATATATTATCAACATCAACGTTTTATTGGTGATTGTTTCTCTACAAGTAAAAACAAAAGCCTAAATTATGAACGGCCGTATCTGGGGAGACTATGTGAAACAGAAAGTAAGAGCGGTTTCAATTTAGGTAACACTACACCTTGAGACACAGCGAAGGCGAAATTGCCCTTGTTCACGAATTTACACTTCACGACATATTCTTAGCGCCTTAATCCCCTTCCACCAAACGGCTCCCCCATTACTGCATTTTACTTCGTTCAGTTTGCCCTAGAAACTCGCGTAATATTCCGTTACGAGGAACATGCTTCGGTTATTCACCAGAGTAAGCGAGGGGTCCGTATGGTTGCAGGTCTGCGTGAAGTTCACCCTCCACCTACCACCGAGTTTTCACGAGCCCAGTTCCCGTTGAAATTTCGAGTTCTCGACAGAAAGATGGAACAAACTTCGGGAAATATTCTTTTTGTAGAGTCCTCTATTGAGGAACAGGTAGGTTCAGTTTTTTACGAGCTTTTTTGATCGATTTTGCTAACCTATTATCGTAGGTCGAGGAATTGGCCGTTTACTTGGACAATATTGGTGAAAATGAGCAGAAGGTTCTGTCAACGAAATGTGCGGAATTCCTTACCGCCGAAAACGTTCAAAATGCAATCAATTTGCTGTTGGACAACCTCGCTTTGCTCAGCAAGGCTCCTGAGAAGGGTATGTTAGTTTTACGTTGAGAGTCATTACTCGAGGATGTAATTGCTGGAAGGAACATTTCGAAATTGGTTATGATTCAGCTGCATCTGGATTGTTTTCTTTACTTTGCGTAACTTTTTTGACTTTATGCTTTTGTTTACTAACATGCTATTTTGAATAGAGTTCGAACCCGTGTTTAATGTCATGTTGAGCTTGTTGAGCGAATCTACTGAATACGAAAGCAGTGTTAACAAAATTTGTGCGATTGTGAAGGGTTTCTCCGAGGCTAACTCTGTTAATCCCACCCTGCTTTTGGCCGTTCTTTCTACCCTCTTCAATTCCATTCCCAAGCAATACATTTCCACTCGCTTGATCATTTTGACCACCATTGTTTCCGTGGCCTCGAAGGCTTCCCTGTACAACTTGCTTACTCCTCACTTGCCCTACCTTTCTTCTTGGCTCCAGGAAGCTGGCGTGTCCATGGCTGAACAACGCGCTTTTAACGTTCTCGTCTCCAACTCTATTCGTCCCTTCAGCGAGGAGCAGTCCTTCCAATTTTTGTTGGAGGCTGTTAAGTTGAGCGAGGATACTGTTGATGAGGCTGCCCGCGATTTGGTCAGCCGTGCCATCAACTCTCCCAAGATTCTCTTCTATGATGACATTGTAAGTCTCCCTGCTGTCCAACGTTTGGATCAATCCATCGTTCAGTTGCTCGGTATTCTTTGCGGCGGTGTCCTGGAAGATTACCTGTCCTGGAAGGCTCAAAACGCTGGCTGCTTTGAGCAATACAAGTTGGACGAAGAGGCTCTTCTTCGTAAGATGAAGCTGCTTACTGCTGCTTCTTTGGCTACCGCAGCCTCCAACAACAAACTTTCCTACGCTGAGATCGCCAAGGGTCTGCAGATTGACGAGAGTAGCGTTGAACTGTGGATCATTGATGTGATCCGTGCTGGCCTCGTTGAGGGACGTATGTCACAACTCACAAAGTCCTTCCTTGTGCACAGAAGCAGTTACCGTGTTTTCCAAAAGCAAGAGTGGGTAAAGCTTCACGAGAAGCTTGCTGTTTGGAAGTCAAGTCTGCAAGGCATGTTAAAAATTATGGAGCAACCTTTATCTAGCTTCTCTATGCCCTCGAGAAAGTCTGGAAAGGACGCTTCTATTTCTGTTTCTGATTAGATAGCCTGATGGTAGGAACTAAAATAGGGTTATGAACTCTTGAAATTACTGCACCGGTGCTTTAGTAATTAGCAATTCTTAGGGACATCGCATCAGGGTTGAACTGGCACGGTGATATGCGGTGCAGTTCGCTAACCATCATTAAAGCTCGCAGTTTTTCTGTCGAGTCCCTTATAATATTATTTGATACTGCTCCGTACTACGTTAAATAGATATAAAGATGGCTTACGAACGATAGTGCATTTCCGCCAAAGTATTCTCGCGTTTTCTTCCACCGGCACAAAAGTTGAGGGGCAATCATATTCATATAACTGTAAAATGAAACTGCTAACAGGTACGTGTGCTCTACTTGGGCGGCTGGAAAGTTTCTGACTAGACAACTAACACGGGTAGCAAACTTTCTTACTTGTGCAAGCAAAAAGTGCAGCTCTTCTCCCGATGCCTTTCCTTTGAACATCTCCGATGCGAAAATTGCTATTCAGGAATGTGAAATGAACCCTGAGTTCATAAAAAACGTGATGCTGCGAGTCGAATGGCCAGCATTAGTTAAAACAACGCAGCAGGTAAGTCTTCACGCACATGGAAAATAATACGGAACCAATATCATTGCTGACATGCTTCTGCATCTAGTTGGGAAACAACACATTGCCGATGGAAAAACCAGAGCTGACAGATGAATCGGATGAGCTCCTCTTCAAGTCTCTTCATAATGTTTTGTTGGAAACTGAAATCACCGAGGGGAAAATGACATGCGGCAGTTGCGGCCATGTTTATCCTATTGTTGAGGGCATTCCTAACATGTTGCTCTCCGAAACTGAAGTGTAAACTATAATCTCTTAGCTAAAATATATATGGGTTTTTTGGATACTGTTTCATGCATGATCTAGTTAGTTGACTGCGACTCTGGTTACTAAATCCCAGTTTTGGCCTGCTGAACATGCAGCACTTGAAGGCTGGTCTGCTATCTAAACTTATCTTATCTTTCGAGTCTATTGACACAAGAAAAACTCCCCGACTCCACGTGAACTCGCTTATTTTTGGGCACAACCTTATTATTCTTTAAACAGAAGCACAGCAAAGAGGTAGTCGACCAAAACGCGTGCATCCCAGCTCCAACATGAGGCCTACTGCGATGTTGCGTACGTGGTGTGGATAGGAAATCGTCGTTTTTTATATCATTAACAAAGCTCTCTAGAAAAAACATGGACTACCTTGTTAAAACCGGCTGCATCTAGAAAATCCATTTTACATCACCAGTACACAGCCGCCTTACAAGCTTCACCGAACTTCCTTGTGCTGCAGCACAACAACCTGTTGCCAAGCGAATGGTCAAATATCCGTCTCGGTTTACGGGCCATTGCACCTCAGCTGCAGTTGCGTGTGGTCAAGCATCTCGTTTTTCGTCACGCCTTGCGTATCCTCGAAAGCTATGGATGGAAACAGAACGGCCCAGCACTGACGGTTTCACCCAGCGAAGCTTCTAGTGTCGAAGCTCACAATCGAGTAAAGAAAGTCACGACTGACATTGATCCATTGCTCGTCGGTCCAATCTGTGTTTTGTACTTGGGACAGCACATAGAGCCGCCAACGCTGAAAGCCGTGTTGGGATTGCTCAAACCGTACTCGCGACTCCTTCTTTTGCTCGGAGGTCGATTAGAGCACGGTGCAGCAGACGTTGACGACATTACACGCGTTTCCAAGCTATCATCGCTTTCTGGGCTCCAAGGACAACTCGTGTCGTTGCTTTCACAACCCGGATTGCATCTAACGCAAAGGCTGCAGACAGCGTACGGCAGAATCGCCCACATATTAGAGCAAAGAAAAGCATAACGTTTGGGAGGATATCATAATCGTAAATGTGAAGAACGGAAAATTCAATTCTGATGTATAGCGATCGGACACGGCTCGGGCATTTGTAAAGAAAGTAAGAAAAAAACTCATACGTACAACAACGACGCAGTCAAAGAGAGCGATAAGACCACAACGCGTCCCGTGCAACCCGCCAATGCATAAACGTGAATCTGGAAGCTAAAGAAGTGCAGGGAATAGGAAGGAGGAAAAGAAGGACGAAACGGAGAAACACGTTACAATGATCTAAGCAGCAATGTCAACGGTACGGATTCCGTTTTCGTCGATCACCTTGCAAATGAAACCCTTGTAATCGATGGGCAAACGTTTTTTAAACTCGGCAAAACATAACTTCATAACGTGAATAGCATCCTCAAGCGAGAGGTCGGGTCGATAGTAGCGGTCAAAGGTGGACATGCAATAAAACATGGCATAACCATGACTGGCATACGGGACGGGAACACAAGATGCCAGGTAGTCCATCCAGTAGAGCTTGGGTTTTTTCTCTCCCTTGTCGTAACCAGCAAGCAGAATGTTTACTTGGTAGGGTTTTCTCGAGCGAAGCGACGTAGCGAGCTGTTTACGCGTAAACGATGCTGTGGCATCGGGTCCCAGAACGAGATCATTGCGCATGGTGTATAAGGCTACATTCGCTTTAATGTATTCAGCGAAATTAGTCGTGTCACCGGCCTCGCCAGAGTACAACATAAGATTGTGAGAGTTTAGAGCGATAGACTTGTCATCTTCATCTTTCAGCACAGTAATACCGCGAACGGCAGACTTGGAAGATGCAGTAAGAACGAAATCGCGTCCCCGAATAGCCAGAAGAGCTTCCATGAGAGAGGGAGTGGTAGAGGTTAAGAGGTCGGCGTTGTCGCGGTGGAACTGGAGTGGGTTTAGTGAGCAGAAGCGAAGTCTAATGAGATGTAACGAACTATAGCGTAGCACTAAGTACTGTAGTGTTTTATAACGAAGTATTGAGTGTTATTTTGTAGTTCGTAGGAGCTCATTATAGCACCTCGAATTTCCATAAGCTTCCTTATTTGTTATACAGAGACGTACTGGAGTGGAATGTAGTACATAACACTCTAGTGCAATTCCGTCCTCCTCGTCTGCACTCACCTGTTCCATAGCGTTGATTCCACGACGTTCCACGGCAGGCGAGAGCCGTCGCGTATTAACCGCGGAAACAACATAATGATGCGCGTACGAATGAAATGAGTGCCAGTACAAGGAAACAATTGAGGAAGTGCAGAATAATGATGTGTATTCTTACTTTCACATACACATTTTACGCCATTTGCTTGTATATGTTGATGAGTTGCGGGCCGCTTTTGTCTGCTTTTTCGTATGACGTAAGGCCGTCGCCCGCTGCAGAATCGTAACCTGCCTCACCCATCCCCGTAGTGGAGATGAAACATCCTTGCTTCGACGAACGTCTCTTCTCCCAACCTCCACCAGCTACGAGCACGACAAGAACATCAAATGGACAAGTTTAGAGAAGTATGTCTACTGAGGAAAGTGTCTGAGGACGCTGAGAGCAAACTCTCGTGCAAGCTTTACTAACCAGCATTCAATCAGAAACTCAACAGCATTCGCGCCGAGGCCGAGGAAGCTCTGGCCCGTGCTGAGGCAGCTGAAGAAAGCTTGAAAGAGAAAGAACATGAATTGGCCCGGAAGGACCAAGAGCTGGCTTCCTTGCACAAGAAGAACGAGGATTTGGAGGAGCAGGTGGATCAACTCGAGCAAGAACTCAAGGATGTCAAGGAACAAGCCGAGTCTGAATCGAACCAACAGTCTTTGATCGACAGTCTGAACCGCAAGATTGAGTCGCTGGAAGAGGAACTCGAAAACAGCGACAAGAGCCTGCGCGAGACAACGGAGAAGCTCCGTCAAATTGATATCAACACAGAGCACACCGAGCGCAAGATCCAGGCTTTGGAGCACGAGCGTGATGATTTGGAGGTGCGTCTGGAGGATACGACCGATAAGTACAACAAGGTTAAGGCCGAATTGGAAGAGGTCAACCAAGCCTTGGAGGATTTGTAGACGGATACGCTTCTATTTCGAACAACGAATGCCGTCGACGCGTCTTACTGTTCAGCGACTCTTGTCAGTTTAATTCTCGCTGTTGGCTATGTCGTTCTATTTTGGTCCTTTTGGCGTTAATACACATGAGCGGACTGTGTTTTGTGCTTCTCATTGCTCATCTGCACGATCTACCCTTATTTACACTCTATCTTTTTATATACACTCACGCACATGTTTACATTTCACATACACCCACCCATACAACTTGTTGTGCTAGAATAGGTTAGTGTTGGATCTGTTAATCCAATGTCTTGCTTAGTTTCTCGACGTAGTGTCGTGCGCATGTTCGTTCTCGTAGTTCCTTTGTAACGTTGGCGCGTACACAAAAGAAGATGGTTGGTCGTCTTTCTTCTGTAATTGCTTCTACGACTACTTATGGATGGCTACGGGCATGGTGGAGAAGGAGGGAGTATGACGATAAGTAAACCCCTTGGTCTTCGCTATGTCCAATGAACTTTGTCACCGACTAAAGCCTCGTCGCAGGATTAGCAGAATGCGTATCGCTTAAACCCACCCCGGCGGGCAATGCTCAGGAGCTGTTTCACACTCATTGGTGCTAGCCCTGCGGGACTGAACAGCTTATAAATAAAGTTGGTTTGTCGACGTCACTAAGCCGCAGCTGACCACTTTAACTGGCCCGCTTATCTCCGGCTCCTTAACACGAGTAAGACGGGGCTTCCGCCTGTCCGTTCTCTCCCTTTCCCATCCACCACAAAACCATAGCAACAGCTAATTTGTATAGAACAGCATCCGTTGAACGATAGACGCCTTTAGTATTCCTTACTTTGATTTCAAATTGAACAAATGAATGGCTCAATGTATGGATACGGCGGCAACGGGATGAACCAACAAAACATGATGGGTTCTTACGGGATGCCTTCAACAAACCCGGCGAGCTATACAGGAACGCCAGGAATGGGTTACCAAGACCCAATGACCGGCATGTACGGCCAGGTACCGCAGCAACAGCAGCAGCAACAGTATCAACAGATGCCTGCGACCGGTGCTCCAACTTACACCGATGCCAGTTACGGAATGATGGCGAATAATGACCCTTTCTCTTACAGCAATCCCGGCAGTGTAATGAGTTATGACCCTATGAATCCTTATGGTAACGTTGGGATGCCTGTTCAACCGTCGCAACAGCAAACGTACGGCGGGTATGACCCAATGCAAGCTGCTGGTGCATATGGAATGCCAGGAATGGTTCAGCAACAGCCGATGCAGCCCGATACGTCTTCGTACATGCAAACCCAACAGACGGGCTTCCAACAAATTCAACCACAACAAACACAAAATGCCGTTGCCAATCCTTTCATGTCTTATCAACAAACAGGCATGCAACAAAACATTCTACCTCAACGTACTGGGACACAGTACAGTCAAATGACTGGCGGAGCAGGTGTGTTGGGAGGATATAATCCGTTTCAGTCGGCAACTGGAGGTATCGTTTCACAACCAACGGGTATGGCTCCGCTAAAGGCGCAGAAAACCGGTCAAATTCATAGTAGCCATGCCATGGATACTCGTTTATCGTTTGTCTCAGCTGCTGATCAAATGAAGTTTGAGCAGCTGTTCAAGTCGGCTGTGAATACGGAAGAATCTATGTCTGGAGAAACTGCCCGGGCTATTCTTTCGCGCTCTCGCTTACCTAATGATGTACTTGCCAATATTTGGCGACTTTCTGACACAACACGTTCTGGTCGTCTCTTATTCCCACAGTTTGTTCTCGCGATGTACTTGTGTAATTTGGCTCTGACTCGTAAACCTTTGCCTGACCCTGTACCAGAACCGATTCTCAATGAAGTTAACTCCATGGTGGACGCCATTTCTTTCTCGCTTGGTGATGGCTCAAACCAATACTCTCTTCCTTTCACGGGTTCGGCTTCTATGCCAAATAATGGAGCACAACCCATGCTACCTCAGCGCACAGGAATGCAGCCTCAACCTGCGGGTATGCCACCAATGCTGCCCCAGCGTACAGGTATGCAGCCCATGATGCCTCAGCAAACGGGTATGCAGCCCATGATCGCTCAGCGTACAGGTATGCAACCTGTGATGCCCCAGCAGACGGGTGTTCAACCTATGGTGGCTCAACGTACAGGTATGCAACCCATGATGCCTCAACAAACGGGTGTTCAGCCTATGATGCCTCAACGTACAGGTATGCAACCTATGATGCCTCAACGCACGGGAATGCAGCCTATGATGCCCCAACAAACGGGTGTACAACCTATGGTGGCTCAACGTACGGGAATGCAGCCCATGATGCCCCAGCGCACGGGTATGCAACCTCAACCCGTAGGTATGCCACCAATGCTGCCCCAGCGTACGGGCATGCAGCCCATGATGCCCCAACAAACGGGCGTTCAACCTATGGTGGCTCAACGTACGGGAATGCAGCCCATGATGCCTCAACGCACGGGAATGCAACCCATGATGCCTCAGCGCACAGGAATGCAACCTCAACCTGCAGGCATGCCGCCAATGCTGCCCCAGCGTACGGGCATGCAGCCCATGATGCCTCAACAAACGGGTGTCCAACCTATGGTGGCTCAACGTACGGGAATGCAACCCATGATGCCTCAGCGCACAGGAATGCAACCTCAACCTGCAGGCATGCCGCCAATGCTGCCCCAGCGTACGGGCATGCAGCCCATGATGCCCCAACAAACGGGCGTTCAACCTATGGTGGCTCAACGTACGGGAATGCAGCCCATGATGCCTCAACGCACGGGAATGCAACCCATGATGCCTCAACGTACAGGTATGCAACCCATGATGCCTCAACAAACGGGAATGGCTCCACTCGTGGCCATGCCTACGGGTAAGCCTGGAGAATGGGGTTTCGTAAATGCACCATCTGCTGATCTTCCTGCTATCAATGCCCTTGGACAACAGTTGATGCCTAATGCACCTATGAATCAGCATCTTCAAAACTTTCAAACGAACTCAGACATTCCTTGGGCTATTTCGAAGCATGAGAAAAAGGTTTACGATCAAATTTTTGATGCTTGGGATAAGGATCACAAAGGAAGAGTCAGCGGCAATGCAGCATTGGAGATCTTTGGACAAAGTCGTTTGCAACGTGAAGAGCTTGAACGGATTTGGGCACTCGCCGACAATGGAGATAAAGGACATTTGGATCGTGATGAGTTCGCTGTTGCTCTTCATCTCATTTATCGTAAGCTCAATGGTTATGATATTCCTGCAACGCTCCCCCCTGAACTCATTCCGCCTTCCACGAGAAACTTCTCCGATTCACTTAATCGTGTTAAGCAATTTATTAAGGAAGACACTAGTCGAAAAGGTGCTTTTGACATTTCAAATCAGAGTCGTCTACGCCAGAATTCGTTTTACCAAAGCAATGATGAAGCACCCGCAAAAGATCCGACACTTTATCGATTCAATGAAGATGAGACTGTCGGTTATGTGTCAAGCGCTAGAAGAAAGTCTGGAGCGGAGGCTTCAAATAAGCCGGATACTGTTGACGCTGAAATTGAAGCTATGAAAGAAGCAGTTCGTCAAAAGAAGATTCTTTTGGAGGCTTTGGAAGTTAAGAAACTTGAGCAAGGTGCAGACGAAAAATCCGTCACACTTTTGCGTAGTTCCATTGCAGATCTCAAGAGCAAGTTGGATAAACTTGATAAATCCGGTGATCGTCATACGGCAGCGTCTTTACAGCAGAAGTATGAGGATCTTGTTAAGCGTATTGACGAGTTGCGTAAAAGTGTCCGCAACGCCAATGATAACTTGGTGGACGCCGCAGTTAATGTCGTTAAAGATGCATTCACTCGGGAAGCCTCTGAAAAAATTAGTGATGTTGACCCAAGAATTCTCGATGCTTCGAAGGCCTTGAAGAGACGCATTTTGGAACTTACCGGAGTTCCTATTCCCTCTTCCTTGGGTGAAGTGACATCGGCAAGTACTGTTAAGCGTTGTATGGATAGTCTTGACGATGCCGTAACTAAACAAGAGAGAAACCGTGAGGCAGTGTCTGGCCTGGAGTCAAACATTTCTTCCTTGCAAAATGAAATTCGTGAACTGCTCAACAAGCCAGTCATGAGTACTGCCCCTGTTACTCATGTTAAGGAAGAGGCACCCGTTTTCTCTGCCAGGAATACTCAAAGCGCTCAAGTTAACAGCACTACTCCTACTCCTACTCCTGCTCCTGCTCCTGCTCCTGTTAAAGAGGAGAAGCATGCTGAAACAGTTGAAGAGCGCTCAGCACGAATTAAAGCTGAGGCTCAGCGACGCATGAATGAACGTTTGGCCGCGCTCGGTATCAAGCCCAGACGCGGCTCTGCTGCTTCACAAACCTTGTCTCCTGCCAATAGCAGCACTAGTCTTTCGAGTTCTTTTTCTAGAATGTCAGTGAATGATAAAACGGAAGAACGTACGCAGTCGCTGCAAAAAGAGTCCTTCGCCTCCAAGCAACCAACTGCTAATCAGCCAGTAATGGCTAAACAGGCAGCACCTGCAGAACAGCCCGTACCACAGATGCAAGCAGTTGCTCCTAGAGCAGCTGAACCTATGCAACCTGCCAAGCTCACCGTTCCTTTAAGCTCGATTCAAAGAGAAAATAAACTGGAACAGAATGAGACGGCCCGTGCACCTGTGTACTCTCCTGCGATGAATGCACCCTCTATCGGTGGAATCGTTGGTAACGCCTCATCTGACGCTCATTTGTCTCGTTCGTTGCAGCCGTCTTTAGGTACTTCTGCTGCACCTAGGGATAATGTTAGCAATGTGCCAACAGCATCAACTCCTAGTTCGTCTGCTCCTTCGGGTTCTTTTTCAGCAAATGCTTCCAATTTTAGAAGGGAGGAGGCTCCCAATGGAGTCTCAATGACTCCTGTTCCGTCTCAATTCAGTCACCAAGTTACACCAGTGGTGCAATCCCAAAAAGCCTCTCCTCAGCAGCAGTCCGTTTCCCAACCGGTTGTATCACATCCTCCCCCATCTGCACCTCCTGCAGCACCGGTGCCTTTAAATTCGGTTCCTCGCAGTGTAATGCCACCTGCAAGCGGATCGAGTCAAAGCACAATTCCCCCCTCTTCGCATTCAACTCCCTCTTCAGAAGGCGCCCCTGCTGCCCCTCCTCCCCCTCCAGTACCTTCAATGGCACCGCCCTCATTGCCTAAGGTTGCTGCATCTAACGTTTCGCAGTCGAATTCTCAAACAATGTCCCAACCTGCGTCGGTCCCTTTGAGTGTGAATGGTCCACTGAAATCGAATCCATTCTCAAAGAACACTGGCCCAGGTGCTCCACTGGCTCCTCGTGCAATGCACACTTACCAGTACACTGATAATGATAACTGGAGTCAAAAATCCGATGAGGAAGAGGAGAGTGATGATGAGGTTACGAGCAGGAAAGATGCCGCTGCTCTGGCCTCAAGATTATTTGGAGGAATGGCGCCCATCAGACCCATGTCCGCATCTGTTACTGGCGGTACAATGAGTAAACCGCCTACACCTCAATCGCATCCTCCCCCTCCTCCTTCTATGGCTGCACCGCCAGTGCCTCCCGCTGCTCCTCCTGCTGCTCCTGTACCTCCTCCTGCACCTTCTGCTTCTGCCCGTAATGTGTCCCCCGCTGTGGACCCGAATACTCGCAGTGCTCTTCTGCAGCAAATTCATACTGGTGCCAGACTTCGGAAGACTGTCACTAACGATAAAAGCAAGCCGATCGGTGGTCGTGTAGTTGGAGACACAGCTGACAGTAATGCTTGGTATGGAAATTTATCATAAGCAATAAAGCATAACCGTACTTTAGGCACGCAACTCAAGAATAATTATGTGGATTGGGTGTTGTTGGTTAAGATAAACCGTTCCGTCTTAGTCTATCAGCAATTAGTCTGCACGATTACACGATTTTGGAATGAGTCGAGCGGCCTTGACCTCAAAGGTCTGGCTGTACGAACACAATAGCAACGTTTTACTATCTATTTTAATTTGTCAATATTACTTTCTTTAAATTATATCTCTGTTAGTTGCAGCACAAGGTTTGGGATCAAGCTTGCGGCCGATAAGAGTGGAAAATGTGACCTCGTAACCCTTGCAAAACGGTATTTAACTACTGTTTGTATCACACATGGAGGGCTATGCTTCTACTTACTAAGTCTTGAACTTTTTATTTCGGTAGTTAATCATTTCCTATTTCTACTTCATTAATGTATTGCTACTTTCCTGTAGGAAAAAATTGGTTCGTTATTCACTTCAAAAGGCCTGCCATAGCCTTATATACATGCATTATGGTATATAAAATAATAGTTTGAAAAAAATGCTACATATCAGGTACCAACAAGCATCCATATATCCATACTAAAAAGCTATGAACAAGTTAATATGCAACAATGGTATTCGTTGTAGCGACATGTGATAGGAAAATTTAATGAGTCGGTAACTTGGAACTTTTGGCTGAATAGTATGAATACAAACAAAAGAAAGTTGCTTTAAAACACAAGATGTAAATTATCACAAGCAAGAACTACATTTTTGGGTAATTTTGGAAACAGTTTTCGTATCACGTAGTCGCTTTTATATCGTTGACTAAAGTGAGTTAAAACCGTATTTTGAGACTTCATTTTTTTAGCAACTAGTAAGGCTTCAGAGAATGTACAGTGTCTTTTTTCAACTGCCAGCTGAGAAAGACTATCATCTAAAGTGGCCTCATGAATCAATAGTTTAGCATCACGACCAACCTTTATTAGAGAAGAATTCGGTCGAGTATCTCCAGAATAAACAATTTTACCTAACGACCGATGGGATAAAACAATCGAATACGAATTTTTGGTGTGTAGTGCCTGAACGGTGGTCCAAGTCCAAGACGGTTCAGTTTCAAGAGTTTTTGGAATAGTCGACGGAGTTGCAAATTGAATTGCTTGATGAATGGAAGGAAAAAGAAAGTTACACCAATTCTTTATATCTAAGGGACAAATAAGAAGCACCTTATAAGGAAGATGAAAAGAAAGAAGTGCCTGGATTATAGACGGCAACCCATAATGATGATCAGCATGAGAATGCGAAATAAATATACACTTCAGACGTGAAAGGACAACATCTGTGTTTGACCCATATTGACGAGAGAGTTGAGAAAGTGAGCCCTCTCCACAATCAAGCAGAAAGGTATCTTTCCCAGAACTTAGAAAGTATCCGGATACATTACGAACAATTGAAGCGCATGATGAGCCGGTTCCAAGAGTATCCAGTGTTATTGTGCTGTGTGATGTGATAATTTCACGGCTCTTCATTGAGTTTCTTGTCTCAGACTCATCAAACGACTCTTTATGACCTGAAACAGAACACCCATCTGTACGTAAAGCGACTGACAAACCCTGCTGAGCGATGTACGTATCTTTCGGAAGAATGGAACGAGCGTGTCTAACCTTGGTACTCCTCCAAGGGTAAAATTGTTCACATACTAGGGAAGACGTAAACCTTCGGGAACGCTGAAAGAGTGATCGGTCGTACAATAACTCTGGTGCCGATATGATGTTTGTTATATTTTTATGTTTTTTCATCACATTATTAACATACTCTGAACTCCAAAGGCCACGGGGAAGAATATGAACGACGCAGTCGTTCTTACTGGGTATGAAATTTAGTTTCAAGCAATTTAATGCATCATCAAACGCTGTTTCAGAAATGTCTCGAGTTCCTAGTAATACAAGATTCTTTGGTGGCTTTGGCGAACCCAAAACTTGTTCTGGATGTACGCGTGTAAAGCCATCAGATGATAGTACACTCTGACCTTTTGTCAATAACCCGAACGCTGGGCCCGGTTTTACTCCAAGTTGAATTGCTTTTTCAACATCAAATACGCCAGTCGCAACTGGCGTAGAAACGTGCAACGAACACCAGGAGTTATGTCGTTTTTGCTTTATAGAAATAAAGGGATCTTCATAAATTACCATAGACGAGTCATTTTCGTAAGGAGTTATATGGGAATCTGGTGCTCTTGACTGTGTTCTTGAAAATGAAAGGGCTCGAAGAAAGGCTTTGCAAGTGAAAGCATCAGCATGAAGACCCCAAGGTTGTGATAATGGAAAAGTAAGACTATAACCAGGAAGTCCGGCAATAGACGACCACTTCTGATAAAATTCATGTTCATTCAAAACTGGAGGAAACACAACGGCGCTTTTGAGTTTTGTCGAACAGCGAACTTTTTCTAGCATCACACAACGAAGCGTTTGCTCTCCAAAATCCCCAATTAGAAACCGTTCTGATGGGAGAGCTAAATGAATTAGGGGAAACGCTGATGTTTCGACACCAGCGGCTGTAATGAAAGAAAAATGAATATCATTGTTTCTGAGAGATGCCTGTTGCTGAGAATAATTACGGAGTGCCAAGCGTAAACATTTGAAAGAATGTAATAGTTGTCGACGAGAAACACTGAACATAGACAGAACAGGCGCTAAAACAAAATTCGAAATATGCTTTGAGACCGAGTTTCGGAAACTGAACACGTTTAGTCACAATGTTGTTTAATCCGAGATATATGGCCGAAACATAAATATAAAACCATTAAAATTATGGTTTCTTGCTGTTTTGGAAAGTTAACAGTAAATGGAAAAATTATTAAATGAACGAGAAAATTTTTCAAAATAAAGTAGGTTTTATGAAAGCACAATATTCTTTAGTGCTAAAGAACTTGTTATACGACAAAAATCTTTTGGCGATAAAGGCAGACCGAATTAAGTTGAGCTAGATGGCCGAAAATTAAATAAAAAAGCGCACAAATTAAACTTATGACCTTGTATTTTCATTTCGTTCAATAAGTTCAAGTGTGAGTGCAGATAATAGACCCGGAATCGTTTTTCGTTCTTCACACCAAAATTTGACCAAATTTTGTATCTCAGGACTTTTTGAAGAACCAAGAATTTGCATAGTACTTGATTCACCGTCGAACTGAAATGAGTTATCGCCCTCTTTTGCGTACATAGACGTCACTCGCACACAACCGTTAGACATGAATTCGAGTTTATAACCCAATAAGGAGTATACAGCTTCTCTTATTTCAGAGGATTTTAGAGCAAAAACTTCTTTCAAACGTTGCATACGTTTTTCCCTTGACTTTAGCTCTATCTCAAGTTGCTTGCATCGTTGCTCACTAAGTGTAAGCGACTCTAAAGGCACTGTGTCACATTCCCCTTGAGTAAGCATTGTACGAAGGTTTGCATTTTCTTTTTGCAACAATTCAAGAGTACTTTGTTTCACTCTTTCATGACAGAGTGTTGGATTATCTCGTTGTTGCAGAACACGCGCGTTCAAAAGTTCAGAGATTTTCAAGTTTTGTTGGCGAAGCTCTGCCATATTGCGTTCAAAGTTCGCAATTTCAGTCCGAAGAAACTGTTCCACTTCCCCTTTCTCCTTCAACTCAAATCGGGTGCGTTCTAAATTTTCAAAAAGCTCTTTCATTTTGTCCTTCAGTGAATCTGAGAAGTTGCTTCTTGAAAGTCCTAGAGATTCCCGTTTTCTTTTAACAGGCACATCCATTACCTCGGGCTTTATGGAAACATTTTCGAGTGTACTTTTATAGTCATCAATTAGCTTTGTCAAGGAATCAATGCGCTCCGTCTTTTTCTTATCGTATGTCTCTGGCGACAGGACGGACTCTTCTTCACTATAACTTTTTAAGTTCTCACGGAGCAAGTGGACTTCTCGTAAGGCTAAGTCTTTCTGCAAAGTTAGCCGCCGCAACTGCATTGCTAATTCGCGTTGTGTCTCGTTTAAGGATGTAATTTCTTCTTCAAGTTCAGGCACAGAATTTGCACCCGCTAGTTCAGTTTTCAATTTTGCGACAGTTTCCGTTAGTCTATTTGATTCTTCACGTAAGGATTTGTTTTCCATTTCTAAAGCTGACAACTCGTGCAATATGTCGTGGGGTTCTCGTTTTGTCTCTCCCAATAGCTCCAAATATGGTCGTAGTTTGCCTTCTAATTCATTGTTTTTTAATTCAAGAGTAGCAACTTTATCCCGGAAGCCGTCCAACACAGAAAGCTTGGTCAAAAGAGACTTTTTTTCTTCTTCTAGCAATTTGAAATTATGCTTTTCAAGGGCATTTGAAGAAAGAGTGGCAGACTGCCGATCGACCAGTTTTTCCAAACTATTCAGTTTTGTCTGGAGTTGTTCGTTTTGGATTTGTAATGCTTTTATGCTTTCTGTATCTTGCGCCTTAACACTTTGCAGATTGCATGCCTCCTCAAGAGACGTAACGGTGTCACGGAGTTTGTCACATTCTTCAACAACTACTTGATATTTTGTCTGTAATTCCTCCTTTCTTTCGTTCGTCAATTTCAGTTGCTTTTCTAGTAAAGTGTACTGTTCCTCAGACGATATCACCTTTTTTTCCATAGCTGCCACATTTTGTGTCAGTTGTGTTATCGTGATACTTGACTGGGCTTTTTCTTGCTGTAACTCTTGCTGAAGTGATGCTTCTTTCTGTTGAAGCAATACTTTCTCATCCGCAAACTGTTTCTCAGACACTTTAAGTCGAGTAAGTACTTCACTGTTTTCCTTTTTTAAAAGTTCAATCTGTTCACGAAGCAGCTTTTCAGAAGAACATTGTTCCTGCAAACGAGCTTCCATTTGACTACTTTTTATTTCGTTCGCAAGTTCTGCTTCCTTCAGCGCAGATTTGCATGAGTCAAGCTCATGTCTCAGCGATTTTATTAACGATTCGGACTTCTCGCGAGCGAATTGTTTAGTTCCTGCCAGTGACTTTACAACAGATGTTGTAGGGGATGGTCGCACGTTACTTAATGGCTTTGGTTTCGATGTAGCGGAAGAGAAGAATCTTGGAAGATGCGATTTTGGAGCAAATGGGTTCGGAGGAGAGTCTGACATGTCTGGTGTGTATTCGTTGAACGCGACGCGTAGCAAGAAAACCTTAAATTAAGAGTGACGTAAAGGTCTGGAAAATGTCAAATAATACTGAACGCAGTAAGCCCAAATAAAAACAAGAATAGTTTATATATATTCCCTGCAACTAATACAGGTTTGTAAGCTATATATTTGTTTGGTTTTTATGTGAACGTTTGAACTATGTCTCGCGGTTTTTAAGGTTCGCTACCTTCGATTGTCTCTCGTGAAGTGTGATACAAAGGTCAGTAATGTTGCAGCAAGTTGTGTTGTGAAGTTAAAAAGTTGTGATGAACTACATAAAGAGGCTAATATTTGCAGCATAGAGCCGTAATATAAGTACTTTTGATTTAGTTTTAAAGAGCCTATGATTCAAACTTCAGCTTTCCCGTTACAATTGTATCATTTCTTCTGACGCTACAACAATACTCGCACTCCTTCCAACTCGGTCAGTGCATTTAAGCTATTGCACGTGTTACGGTATCTTATCGAGCGAAGGATACTCACCACCAAAATAAATGACTTTCGGTTCACTTCTCTGTATTCCACAACTAGGATACCCACCAACAACAAGCCGTCTCCCATATCCGTCGAGATGTCAGAAAAACGTCTAACGTGGTCCGAGTGGTCGAAAAAACACGAGATACCCCGGAAAGCTCTGCACACCTCAATTGGTACGGTTCCCTGTTTCTTCAAAATACTAATAACTAGGTTTCTGCTCATTAATACTTCAGAAACTGGGAACTGAGGCTACCGACGTGACGCCATGGTTGGAGCTTTTTTTCATTCCCGCGTTTTCCTGTGATCTGCTTCGTTTCAACTGGCCAGCTTTTAGTCGCCTTTTTAACAAGCTGTTTGGCCCGTTAATGCGTGAATCCGAGTTGAAGAACTGGAATGGTCTTATCTTTTATGTTGTGGGTGTTTGGGTGGTACTCAAGCTGTTTCCTAAGGTTTGTTATTCCTTCGTTGTGGTTACTGCCTTGTTCACTTAATGCTAATACTTATATAGGAAATTGCAGCCATGAGCATTTTACTGCTTTCGTGGTGCGATACTGCTGCTTCTACGTTGGGTAGACGGTTTGGTAAATATACGCCGAAGATTGCTAAAAACAAAAGTCTTGCTGGAAGTATGGGTGCATTCTTTTGCGGTACGTTTTGCGCTTATTTGTACTGGGGTCTTCTCTTTAAGAGTCCTGACAGTCTTGCTGCTCGGTCATCAATTCCATTTCCCCTCTTGTGTGTTATCAATGGTCTCATTGGTGCCTTTGCTGAAGCAATGGATATTTGGGGTCTCGATGATAACTTGGTTATCCCTATCGTTTCCGGTACATTGTTATATCTGATTTTGTAGACCATTCATCCAAAGCAACAGCCGTAATGGAGGCTTTTTGTTGATTAAGATACTTCCCGTGAGAAAAGCCCGCAATAACTTGCATGATTTGCGCGTGCGTATACATAATCTGGCGGTACCTGTTTCCCTGTTTCTATTCCCTTGTTCATTTTCCCATCTATACACACATACACTTTGATACGCACATACACTCTCTTTACCGCTTACGCTTTTTAATAGGATATTTGGCACAATCGATGTTCAGTCGAGTCCAGAGTTCATATGTTTAAAAAACACGCGCAAAATACGAAAGCCATAAAGCGCCGAAAAGATTCAATGCCTAGGTTGCATTTCTCTCCATGCTAATGCCTTTGTACTTAATACCAATCTCATTCAACATGTGTAACAAAGACAAGTGAGCCACCTGACGGTATTGAAACACCCTAAACAGATTTTTTTATTGTTCTACAAAAGAAACCAAAGAAGGACAGCAAACAAGTGGTTTTCCCAAAAAGACAATAACTAGCAGCCAGCTAAGCGCCATAAGCACGAAACCGAATGCTTCCAGAAAGCAAACATAACTAGTAAAGCAAATTGTTGCGTTTGTACAAAATAGAAATAGATTCGCCATTGTGAATACGGCGGATGGACTGTTGTGCTGGTTAGTATGGTGTATTTTGAAAACTTGAAGACAAGCGTACCTCGGCAAACACTGGAGCAACATCAATGACATCAACATAATCCTTTTCGGTTTCACCTTGGGGAGCAGAGTTGGTAACAACGAGCTTGTCAATGCTAGAATTCTCTATGCGTTCCAAGGCATTGTCGGACAAAACGGCATGTGTGACAAGAGCGTAGATAGTGCTAGCACCGTGCTCCTTCAAAAGTTCTGCAGCACGAACAAGTGTGGTTCCCGTATCGACCAAGTCGTCGATCAGGATAGCAACTTTATTACGAACATCACCAACAAGCATCAACGAAGTACCGAAAGCATGAGGACGATTCTACTGGTTAGAAAGATAATGTTTTTGATAATAATGGACAGTAAGTCACATACCTTATGAATAAGGGCAAAATCCATCATCATACTGTCAGCAATAGCGGTGGCACGCTTGGCACCACCAGCATCAGGAGAGACGACTACAGCGTCTTGATAATTGGGAATATGAAGCGAAATGTAACGCTCAAGCAAGGGACGACCATACAAATTATCCACAGGGACATCAAAAAAGCCCTGGAACTGGGCATCATGCAAGTCCATAGTGATGATATGGTCCGCGCCAGAACACATCAACAGGTCGGCAACCAGCGTACCGGATTGGGCGATCCACTCACGGTATGCAGTAACGGGAGCAGGTGCAGATTTGGTAATCGACAATTGATTCATAGCCTGCACGGGGGCTCCAGCACTGGAATAACGTTGATCGGGTTGACGGCTGTAGGGAAAGATTGGAACGACAGCGGTAACTTTTTTAGCTGAAGCAGTCTTGCAAGCAGAAATCAAAATGAGCAATTCCATGAAATGATCGTTCACGTCACCTGCAGCAGGACTGATGATATAAACGTCGCAGCCACGAACAGACTGTTTGACCTTGACAGACGTCTCACCATTGCTGGAAATCAGCGTTAGTAATTGACACGATCGGATGAGTTAGAAAATGCGTAGAACGGTAGCAAAGCGAAAGCAAACCCACAAGATATAGAGAAAAAATCAAGAGACTAGACGGTAACCATTACAAAATCTGTATAAGATGCAACGGAGTACCTGCATGCTTTTTAGGAATACACAATCTACTCTCCTGTGTAATGACAAGCAAGTCCACAGTCAGGCTCTCCAAACACAACGAATGGTACGTATTGAAGTCACTAATCCGTTGACATCGCGTCCAAATTCATAGGAGTCGTTTGCTTCGTCATTTTACTCGCTAAACACGCTCTCATAAAAACATACCTAAATTGACCCAATTCCACGTGTCCAACTGGAATAGAAAGACGTGAGCAAATGGCTTTTGTAAGCTCTGGGTGGGCGTTTGTTCCGAACACAACAAGATTCTTCATTTTGGTTTCTTTCTGGCGCAGACGAAGCTGGTGCTCGGGTTAAGTGTCTTCGCTGACTACCACATCTTATCGAAGTTGACCCTTCCCAGCATGGCAAAAAACGGATCCGCGGCAGCACCTCGGAAGACCAATTTATGACTTTTAACTGCCGTTTTTTCGATATTTTCAGCAAAATTGAGACACTTTCCGATTGATTAGCTTGGCCCTAGTTGTCAAAGGAATCTTGAAAGAATGTCTAAATACCGACATTGTGTCGGTTTCACAAAAAGTGTTTAGTGTGTTTTAATGCTATGCGATGAAGTGTTAGACACTAGAACGAGGCACATGTTTAATTCGAAGAAAATAGGAACTCAGTTCATTAAAAAATGAAGTATAAGAAAGAGGTAATGCGGTAGGGGTTTTGGTTTTGTCGTCTTTGTTAAAGAATAATGATCATTATCGTAAGAATTCTTTAAGCTTCATAAATACCTACATTCTTAGGATTAACAAAACTGTTATGCCTGTAGTTATTTATTGGTTTCGATTTCTTTCATCAAATAATATTTTTATTCTTCGTTTCTCTTTTTTTATTATGATGATTACTATTATTGAATTTCAAAGCATGCTTTTCTTTACGAATATTCTACCATTGAATTGGTAAATCTGCGTAGAGTCTAAATCTTCATTACTGTCTTAACTATATTAGTATCGTAGAAAAAGAAATAGATGTACTTTCGATCCTAGTGTTCAAGTATTCGTCAATACATCAGTGGTAACATTGATTGAAGTAAATAACACAAGAAGCCGGTCCGTTTTCAAAATCAGTTCTTAACACCAAATTTTTTGCTTATGTATACGCACTTCACACAATTTTCTTCAATTGTAATACTTTTTCCATCTGTCTAGCACGCTCACTGCTTTTGTTTACGCGTACCCTGTTAACAAGTTCCATGCCTCTGGGATACACGATCCCGCAGTAAAGGCTGTATATATCACGATAAAAACACAAAAGTAATACCCAGAATACAAATATGGGTTACAGGATAGCGTAAGTTTGTTTTTGTCTCATTTTGTATGCCGTTCATGCAGCTTTTTGCTTAAAAGATTATCTATTAAGAAGAGTATGATTTAACAACTCTTCGCCCTTTAACGAAGGAAATGGACAACCATGCTGTATCAGTTACTAACGCTCTCATGAACAGAATGGTTTCGGACTTCTTTTTCCCCCAACCGGGAGGAATTGAGTCTCATATATTCCAGCTATCACAGAGACTGATTGATTTGGGTCATAAAGTAATAGGTACATTCTTTATCAAATAATTGTTTCGTTTACTGACCGTTAATAGTAATCACACATGCATATAAGGACAGGACTGGAGTTCGATATCTCACCAATGGTCTGACTGTATATTACGTTCCATTTTATGTGCGTTGTAAACGAGTGCGATTTAACTGTTTTTGATCTAACATTATTTTCCAACAGACTATATATCGTGAAACCAGTTTTCCTTCTATCTTCTCTTTCTTCCCCATTTTCCGCAACATCGTCATCCGTGAGGGCATTGAAATTGTCCATGGACATGGAAGTTTATCTTCCCTTTGCTTAGAAGCCATATTACACGCTCGCACGATGGGTTTGAAGGCCTGTTTCACAGATCATTCATTGTTTGGCTTCGCCGATGCAAGCAGTATACTTACAAACAAACTACTGAAATTTATTCTCAGTGACATAGATAATGTTATCTGTGTATCGCATACTTGCCGTGAGAATACTGTATTACGTGCTGTGTTGGATCCTACAAAAGTGTCCGTTATTCCTAACGCCCTTGTCGCTGAAAACTTTAAACCGGATCCATCGAAAGCATCTAAGGATTACAGTATGTTTAAAAAATGTTTAAGTACTCTAACCTGTTATAGTTACAATTGTTGTCATTTCACGTTTATATTACAACAAAGGTATTGACTTACTGACGGCTGTGATTCCAAGAATCTGTGCAATGCATCAAAAAGTACGCTTCATTATAGCGGGTGATGGTCCAAAAGCTATAGATTTGGAGCAAATGCGTGAAAATTGTATGCTTCAAGATCGCGTCGAAATGCTTGGAAGTATTCGACATGATCAAGTTAGAGATGTATGTGCATTTGCTGGTTGAAATGTTTATGAATACTAACATCAATGCAGGTAATGGTTCGTGGTCACATTTATTTGCACCCTAGTTTGACAGAAGCATTCGGAACAGTATTAGTCGAAGCAGCTAGCTGTGGTTTGTACGTTGTCTCAACAAAGGTTGGAGGTGTTCCCGAAGTTCTTCCATCTCACATGACACGGTTTGCTCGTCCGGGTGAAGACGACCTTGTGGAGGCTTTATCAGGAGCCATTATTGATTATCAAAATGGCAGGATCCAAACGGACAAATTTCATGAACAAGTTAAAAAAATGTATTCCTGGCTGGATGTTGCGCAGCGTACTGAACGCGTATATGATCATATGTATTTGGAGAAACCCCTTCCATTGATTGATCGTTTAAAATTATACTACGGATGTGGTCAATGGGCTGGCAAACTATTCTGTTTTGTAATGGCCATTGACTACTTACTAATGGTATTTCTGGAATGGTTTTGGCCAGAAGCCGACATAGATCGTGCCTCGGACCGAGCTCCCAGAACACATTCTATTAAGCCAAATAATGATGAGTAAATTTATATATTTAACCTTTCTGGAGATACCTGCACACGCTCCTTGAAACACGACATTCCCCTAATTTAACAAAGAATTATTATCGTTGCCTATCAGTATAATGTCCTGGCTACTTTTGGATAAATGTGTTCATCCTAAATTTCATAAAACACACCTAATCATAAATGATACCATTAAGTGAACGTATTCTGTCTAATACAGGTCGTCATTTACAAAATCGGAACTGAAACCAAGCGAGTGAAGGACCTTGTTTCGGGCTTTAATTTGCTTTTTCTTTTCCTCCTTCCGAGCTTTAACGATAGGGTATAATTGCTCAGGAAGAACCGGTTTGAAGGGCCTTTCAACTTCAAACTCACGTTCAAGATCCTTGTCTGGTTAGTACCGTTCATGTGAGAATATGTAAACACTGCTAATTGTAATGCTTGACAGTAAAACGACTTACTATTTCCCCTAAGAGAACAACATTTTCACCACGGACAATATACACACCACGTTCGATATCACCGTACATTCCATCTTCATAAAGGCGTTCAATGGTGCACTGGAGCATTAAGTTCGCTAAGTATGAGTACGTGCCCGATCGCAATTATAATAATAATGTTTACGTACCAAATTGATCAAAAGAACGCAAAATTCCAATGAGCTTTTTCCCGTCCCTGAGAATTACAATGACCTTTCCTAAAAAGGTTACTATTTTTCCAATCCATAACAATAGAACTAAAGTAAACCGAGTATCTCCAAAACATACGGTCAACATAATCAACCAGTGACCCAGATGTTGTGAACGGGATCATCTGTCCCGTCTGGCTCATTTCAAGCTGGTTTTTTGGCCAAGAAGCCATATTTTTCGTAGTTTGGTGGTTGAAGCTTTCTTGATCGTTTTCCTGAAACCAATCCAGTTCAATAGCTAAGAAATTACCTGGATGAAGTGAAATACTAATGGCATTTGAATCAGGGTTTTAATACAGATATATTGTTGAGAAATTTTACATCTACTAAAGGCCAATACCTGCGAATCATTAAAATTTAGATTTCTGCGGGTTTTATATCAATAACATAAGTTGAAGCTAAACTCGTCATTCAAAACGAATAACTGAAAAGAGAGAACTGATCTTTTACTCAAATAAATCATTTGTACAATATACCTTTCAACAGATACCTGGAACTATAATGGGCTCAAAAAAAGAAGAGAAGGTTCTTATCGATGACCTTTTGCTTCCAAAGTCTATCATTTCTCGAATTGTCAAAGGTGTCTTACCGCCAAAAACAATGGTTCAAAGGGATGCACTCAAGTCGATGTCCGACTCTGCAACTGTTTTTATTAACTATTTAGCTTCAGCGTATGCCCAGAAACTTCTTACAAGAAATAAACAGTTAACAGTATTTCAGGGCAAATGAAAAGGCGCTGTCGAATTCTAGAAAAATTGTGTCACCGCAAGATGTTTTGTCAGCTTTGGATGATGTTGAGTTTGGGGAATTTCGTGAAGAACTCAATGAACATTTCCACGGTATATATAGCGCTTTGCGTAAACAGCACCAGCTAATTTTATATATAGCATATGAGGCTCTTTTGAAGGAGAAAAAAATTAAAAGCAGTGTCATTTCTGAAGCCATTGATACTGATGAAGTTCATGTGGGAAAGAAAGCTCGAATTGACAGTTTTCTGCAAGTAAAGGAAGTTACAAATAAAGTTGAAGAGATACCTCAACCAGAAGTTATTGAGGCTCGCGAAACCATTGAAGAATCACTGGCGCAGGCGTATGTCGACGAGACAATTACTTCAGATGTTGAGGAGTCCGATGAAGCAAATGAAAAGAAAGATGAAGTTTCAAATCGAAAATCAGATACTATTCTTTTAGCTACTGCAGACGGTGAACCGGTAGTTTCAGAAACGGAAGACGAAAGCGGTGCAGACTTGAGCGATCAGAATTAGTGAGCTTCTATTATTACCATCATTCATTTTATAATGTCAGAATTGCTGCTACTAGTTCTTTTCATTGTACATTTTAATAATTCAAGCTACAAATAAAATAGGCAGTCAACCGAGTATTACTTTGTGAAACCATCGTATCAATACTTCTATGAGAATTGTGTGTATTTAATGGTATGATATTATTATTTGCTGTGTAAGAAGTAAAAAAGAATACGATTAATCTGCACAAAATTATTATCGTGATAACAAAAGCTTCAAATGCTATCCATTACAAGTACCAACCTGTTTTCACTATTGCCAGAATGAAAACTAGTTTAGTTAAAGAGTGTGAAGTTAATAAAGAACTGATTCAATTCAAGTGAGATTTAATAATTATAGAGGAACCATTTACTCGGTTTTCAACTCTATTCAATTAATACTAAACAACGTTTCCAATTAAATATTTATCTATTCTAAATCGCTAGAACATATATAACAATAAAATATATGCAAAACTCAACAACTTGGAGTACTTCTAACAATTCTTTACTTATTAATGGTTATTGTATTTATATAGAGGTCAATATAGTATCAGTTAATTACTGTTAAAAGAGAATCATTACTAGATTTACAAAACTTGAACAAAACAGGTTGATAAATGAAATGAACTAATGTGTTTATTGACCTTTTTTTTTTTAATTTTTCATCAAAACAGAACTGGTTCTAATCAATTATCGCACTTATTCATTCAGCACGTTTTGCTGCAATGAACGCTTGTAATTGTTGATTTCGGATTGTCACAAAATGAATATTAGTTTGTGGCTCCTTCGTTATTTACCGTTAATTAATCCTTCAGCATCTGAAGATGGTCATCTGTATATAATTTTAATAATGCTATCCGATCAACTGAGCAAGATTGAATTTTAGATTTAAATGATATTCAGGTTTGATAATAAAGTCTTAGCAAATTATTATTAGCTTGGGCTTAATGTGCGTGAAAAGTACGCCTATCAGTTTCTTAGGTATTTTAGAATGAATATGCAAGAACTAATGACTAATTTGTTTTTGACTTTTAATACATGAAAGTGGTTAATGCTATCATTAATTGTTTCTTGATTTCTTCCTAAGGTGCCTTATTTTATCAAAAACGTTCCCATTGCTATACCAAAATAATTTTGTACCGATAAAATAGACGAAGATCACATAAATTATGATAAAAAATGCGATCTTAATGCTACGCATGCATTCAACACCAATGAGCTAAAAGCGTAGCTTACTTCTACGTAACTTTTCAAAAACTTGCCCGTCTGTTTACACAAGCAAATTAATTTCCGACTTAGAAGTGCAAACAACATTCTTGTGTTGCGCGAAGCCATACTCTTCTTCAATATACTTACTAGCATTAACTATGCTTCATCTAACAGAGACCGTGTTAGTGTCATTAAGATTTACTAGCTTTTACAAGAAAAAGGAAGCCTTGAGCTAAAAAATCAACAAATTTTGGGAAATACCTTAGAGACTGAAAATAAAAGAAAGGATAGAACTTGGTGTAACATAAACTGTCTCGTACAGTAATCAATACCAAAACGAAACAGCGCGAATCCAAGTGAAAGACAATTAGGAGCGTATTCCCGGGAACGTGAAGGCATCGAGCCAAATGTGTGAGGAGGGAGGAGGAATCGTCAACACTATACATACATCACTTCATATGTTGTAGACCACCGAATTCCCCATTCTTTACCCGATAACTTCAGTGACTCTCTAGCGCACAGAGGAGGATCAAAAACAACAAAGTCGTAAAAGCAAATATCAGATGACTCAAAGTCATCACGAAGATTCCAGCCAGAGCTAAAACTATTTTGAGGCAGCACGTAGGTACGAGGCTTTAATTTGAGTGCTCCCAAGATTTTTAAATCTTCATCATTTTTTTCCGGACCCGTTTCATACAGCAAAACTTCCCGTGTGTATACAACACCGTTAACAACAACACTCGGGTTCTCATGCTCCAAACGAGCATATTCCGAAAGCGAGCGAAGCGGCAGGCGACCTCTGCGTTCGGGAGGAACGATGGACCCTAAATAATCATTTATCATTTGCAGCACCAAGGGATTTCTAGGAGTGGCCGCGATTACACCGTATCCAAGCAGCTCGGGACCCAATAAAATTTGATGAAAGATTGTTTCCTTGTTTTCAGCATTCGTAAGGCTCGAGGAAGACGAGGAAAACTTTGCATCCATAGTGCCATTACGAAGAATTTGTCCGCCGACGATTGTCGTATCATTTTCGGCTAACTGAAGAATCGTTTCCAGTCCTTTAAACAATTCGACAGACCGATCGACCCATATACCACCAAACTCGTAGAGTCCCAGTAGTGAGCCTAGTTGACGTTTTCCTTCAGGAGTAAGTCGATTAAAGACGGCCGCGTATGCCGGTTGATATTTGCGTACCATGGGCTCCAAATGCTCAAAAAGCCAGAACACGTATGGACAAGAAGGGTTGTACATACGCCAATTGACCTCAAATTCGGTAAATACTGGTGCCTCGTCGCTACGGCCAATACCGTGAACAACACGAGGGATCTTATTGTTCCATTTTGCGAATACCACTTGAATTTGTTCGGAATCGTGTTGTGACATATAAGCGTCACCCATGACGGTGGGCTCGATTCCCAAATGTTTACACCCTGCACCTGTTTCTTGCTGTTTCACACAAATTTCTCGCTCAAAAAATGTCAAGTTAGGTTCCAGAACATTGTCGAGCACTTCGTCAGGCCAGTAGGTCAAGTACAAATCCACATTGCCACCTTTAGCATACAGATAACTCCAATAGCAAAAAACACCTAGCCCAAAAATGACAACAACTGTGCCCTTCAACCAGTTGATTGTGCCTTTTTTTGTGAGAAAAAACCGTGCAAATGGTTGAAACATCGTTCATGCACGCTGCGTCAACAGAAGAAGAATCCCAAAGAAAATCCAAAAGAAGGGCAACCGTGTAGGTTATGGAGGAAGATACTGAAGAAAATCAAGCGCAGCTGCAGGACACACGAAGCTCAGCTTCGTCATTGCCGCTGTGCACAAAAATGGTGTTGTCAATTGAGAGTCATCATCTTTAACATTCGTTGCACCGCGTTATATTACTCCACCAAAAAAGAACCCACGATCATTAAATGTTGGAAACAATGACTAATTGCTACTAATTAAACGTAAAGGAAATGTCTTAAGAAACGTAGTGAAGAGTGAGCGAAAAAATTGGTTGATTATAGCCACAAAAATCATTGAAACGGGATTACTGTATTGTTTTATTTTCTCTTCTTTTTTCGTAAGAACTGTAACCATTAACCTAAAAACACTTTATGTAAGTGAATGTAACAAAGATTTGAGGAAGAAAAATATTCAAGCTTCCTTTTAATTACTATGAATCCAAACACTTTCTTGAGATCTACTTTGAAAAATAATAAGCCATTTTTCATTACAACACCGATATTCTATGTAAATGCACGTCCTCATGTAGGTCATTTATACACGCTGCTACTGGTTGATGCGATAGCCCGGTACAACAAACTAAAATCCAACGTGTCTGTCATCTCCACCACTGGAACTGATGAGCATGGTATGAAAATACAAAAAGCTGCACTGGCAGCTGGTATGAAGCCGCTTGAGTTTTGTTCCCAAAATTCCCAACACTTTGCAAATTTAGCAGTGAAGGCTAACACGGACTTCACTCACTTCATTCGTACTACCAATAAACATCACGTTTATGCAGTACATAACTTTTGGGAGGCGTTTAGTAGCAAGTGGATGCGTTTATACATCACAACATTCCAGGTTGGTATGCAATTAACGATTGAATGTTTTTATCCAGCCTCATCAGTGACAAGGATGATCAAAAATGCTTCAAAGGCAAGTGTAAACGAGAATGGTACGGAATGTGAGTGGACACAGGAAAGAATTACCATTTTCGATTAAGTCATTGGACACAAACATTATTGCGACACTATCATCAACATCCTGACTTCGTGCAACCCGCTGTGTACCACGACGCCGTGGTCGCTGAGCTGGAAAGGGGTTTGAAAGATTTGAGCATATCCCGGCCAACCAGCCGCATTCCCTGGGGCATTTTGACTCCAGGTGATCCAACCCAAACAGTGTATGTTTGGTTAGACGCTCTTGTAAATTATGTCTCTGCAATTGGTTACCCTTGGCAATTCTCAATTAATGGAACAGACCAGTGGATGGCCGGCCGATGTGCATGTCATTGGGAAAGATATTGGTGCGGTTTTCATTGCATTTATTGGCCAGCATTCTTACTTGCTGCCGGACTTAAACTTCCTAAACACATTCTTGTTCACGGCCACTGGACGATGAAAGACATGAAAATGTCCAAGTCGCGAGGAAATGTCGTTGATCCTTTTCAGTTGCTCGAACGCTATGGTGTCGATTCCGTGCGATATTACCTACTGAAACATGGCCGACTAGCAAACGATGCAAATTTTGACGAGAACGGTATTCAAAGCACATTGGAATCGTGATCTGAAACGACAACTGGGGAATCTTCTTTCTCGAATGCAGTCGGAAAAAATCAGCAATATCAATCCTGAAATCACAAAGTTAAACAGTGGCGATCTTCTGAAACACCCAGATATCCAATCCGTTCACTCGGATTTACAGTCTCTTCCACATCAAATTGATGTTGCATTTCAAAAGGACGTGTATACGATGTTCTTACACTAATAATGAACAATATTGAGCAGGCGAACCGTTATTGCAAACATTAAGCCTTGGAGTTCCAGATACAGATGCTTCGTTACGTACTTGCACAATTAACCTCGTTGCGCAACTTCTTCGTATGTGCGGAATCTTTCTTCAACCAGTTATTCCTCAAAAGGCAGAGGAGCTCCTTGATCGTTTACATGTGCCTAAAGACAAACGTACTTTGGTACATGCTTGTGTGTCGGATGCGCACGCTACAATAAATCTGAAAAAAACGCACGATGGTCACTTATTTTAGTGACAGTTTTTAGTGAGTAATGAATGACGAACGAGAGCATATTTTTATCTCAAAATGCAAATTTACTTGGCAGTTTCTGACAAGAAGTTTACAGTTTTAACCTCGAGATTTTTTAAATTGAGCAGCACCAGAGTACCCGTTTCGCTGAAATTAGGTACCGAGATAAGCCGGCAGTAGCCACCATTTGCTTGTTTTATTAGGTTTTGTTCCAAAGGAAGGCTGATTGCCGCACATGTATACGTGAGGCATCTTATCAATGATAAACACATCCTTGTCTGGGAATGGGTAACACCCTAGTACGTAGTTAGTACAATGCATTGTCTCAAAACTAAAAATCGAGGTTACTTACACAAGGTATCGGGAGTCGTTGGGGCAATGTGGTTCCAGTTTAAAGAGGCTTCCATTAACGCAAGAGGGCTGTTGTCAGGATAATACTTGTGCAGATCCTCTATGTTTTGACCACTAGTTGCAAGAATGGAGCGCCCTTCTATCTCAAGCCAGGTAGGATTCGTCGTTGTCTGTAACGAAGACTGAAGCCATTCTTTGGAACGCGTCAGAAGAGCTGGGTGCAGGGGTTGTTGGGGAAGCACTCTGGTGGAAAAATCAAATGCACCAGGCATTAGTGTGACATCAATAGAAGAACAAAGCTCGTATAAAAGATTGTCTGTATGCACCATGGGGTTGGGGTCGTATAGAGAGGTATCGTAACCGTAACGCTTCGGTTGTTTCTTTTTTGATTTGGCTAATTTCGTCAATAAATTTTCACGAATAACTGTCGGAGATGCGAGGCAATTGCCTAAGAGCAGAAGCCTTGCAATCTGTGAAGCTTGCACATCTGCAAACATTGGTAGCTGACCTCGTAAGAACTCAACTGCTAAGTGTACATGAACATGTTCGAGGGTGTCGCTAGCCAAACCTAGCCCGCTCATTAAGGCAATATAGCAATCCGTTTGTAGTGGTCGAGGAATAGAAATGTTTCCCATTCCAGCCGTACATACATCCTGCACAAGGAACAGACCTTGTTCGTCCTCGTGGCCCAATGCTGCCACTACGACGCCTGTAACAAGGTTGTAGGGTATGACTGAAGACAAAACACACTCTACTCGTCCAAACCCATCTTCAATGAAACATTTCATATTTGATGGGTCTGCCTCATTCGGATTAACATAAAGAGAGTCGTCTAATTCTGTATTAATTGTGTGTGTAGAAGTCACGTCTGCCAAAACATTGGGTTTCAAGGCAAGCGAAAGATACACGGTACCAACGATCCAAGCAACTTGATCTTTTTTAACTTCCAAAACACGATCCAGCTGTTTGTATTTTGGCCATTTCGTGCGCGCCGCGTCAATAGTACGAGGCATAAGTTTGTTTAACCGTGCAAAGTAAATACTAGCATATTGCTGATTGTAAGAATTCGTATCCAACACAAAGTCTTTTTTTTTCAGCTCCAAACACTCAACATTCGTTCTTTCAGTCATCTTAGAGCATAAGGTTTTCGTTTCGAACAGAGAAATCAAAGGGAGACGAAGGGAAGGGACCTATGAAAGGAAACAAACGTTATTGGATATGCGAGGTAATACTAGGGATATGTGTAGAAACTTTAAAAATCTAGACGACGAAAATGCTATGGGAGTATTCAAGGAGTTTTTAGGTATTGAGCTTAGGTTAACCGAAGAACGTATAGAAATTTAATTTTTAGTAAAATTCAAAAACAAACCAAAAAAATAAAATAAAAAAAAAATAAATTGAAAATAAAAAAATAACACAAATGATGCAGTACTGTAAAACAATAAAGTGATTTGTGTTCAATTACCCGGGATTGCTCTAGTTATTTGTTGTGTCGACACAACAATTCGTTAATATTGAATCGGCTTACCTTCACGGACAAACGCGACGCGACGCGTTAAATGAAAAAATCTATAAAAACGCGTCTACTCATGAATAGTGCAAATTTCTACGTGCAAAAAGAGCACAAATCGTATTGATCACGACTAATAAGAAATCGTTACGCCACGCAACAGAAATTACCGAGAGTAACCGAGCTACCGTCGGTTACCTGAAGGCGTACGTACGTCATTCCTAACCAGGCGTTGAAGACAGCACATGTAGCTCACCGCAGCCGCTTAAACCGCGGTTTAAGTTTTGGGTGCATTTTTCAGCCAATGAGCATAATTCTACTACGAAGACAGGGTGAATAAGATACCATGGAATTTCGGTGTAACAGTAGAGTAATTGGTGCGGCAGATGGCTGTCAAATCACGAGACGCTCCCCAACACTCTAACCCGGATTTAGTTGCCGTTTCCTTAGGCAAAATGCGGGGTAGCCATGTGTTGCGTAAGAGAAAGCACATGGCGAATGTAAAACACGTCAGAAAACCGACGGATGTATGTTGCAAAATCATTTACACACTTACACACCATCAAAACATCACTTCCGATATACTAAACCTGCACTGAAATCGCACGCTCAATACAATCGCTCATATTGTCACCAGTTATGGCCTTCTGGCCCGCTCGTAGCTGTGCCAGCATGTACTTCAGCGGCTTAACAGTCAACTATATGAATTAAAATATTGTTTGTTTATCAGTCCACCCCTGTTCTACTCGCTTTCCGTTGATGCAAAGTGGCTTTGGCCAATCCCAGCCCGAACGCTTAACCCCAATCTATTTTTAGAACTGCGGTTGACGTGGAGTGTTATCATTCGCTAACAGAGAGGGTTAGGGTTTGGAAGAAGGTATATAAGGATAAGAACTTCCACCCAGTACATCAGAAACCAAAGCACATTTGCTTAAGCGAGACACATCTACTTCCGTTTCAAACTAATTCAACACTTCTAATTCACAATGTACTCCAAGATCCTTGCCGTTGCTGCTATTGCCACCATGGCTTTGGCCGTTCAAGCCGCCAACTCTACCGCTCCTTTTGCCAACGCTACTAACGGTACTACTCCTGCCAACACTACCAACGGCACCAACACCACTTCTGCCACCACCTCTGTTCACTCTGGTGCTTCTATCACCAACTTCTCCGCTGGTGCCTTCGTCATTGCTATGATCGCTGTCGCCTGCTCCGTCATGTCTCTTTAAATTTTTTAAAGAGATCTGAATAGAATGCGTGTCTTTTTAGCAGCAACGATTCTTTGAGTCATCGCTTCTTGAAGATGTACAGTCGTTTGGTATCGGATTGACAATGGTCGGTTTTCTATATAATTGGAAGATCCTTATTGCATGGTGAACACTGAGCTTTGAATCCCCGTTAACATCCTTACGAACCTTATTAGTCACTATTCTGTAGTGCGCGGAGTCGGTTACAAGGCTTTGGAATACTTTTTTGTTTCTTGGTCCTTCTGACTATTGACATCTCGGCGTGCTCGCAATTCCTAATGGGCGTGTGTTCTCACGATTCTCGCGAGGTGCTGCCTGTATAGTTATTATTATAAGGGTCACTAGCTTGGGTGTCTATAATTAATTGCATAAAAAAATCTGACGTGCGGATTGTAGTGGTGTGTCTGGGTGTTTTTGTTTATTGAGTTCTTTGTCTGTGCATTTATTACTTGGTATTTGGTACATCGTATCTAACAATTTCATTTCTACTCTGTCAAATATCTTCATTTCGGTGTGACCCCTAGTTGTTTCTTCGAATTGTGAGATATGATTGCAATGGGTTCGGAGAATTATTTTTGGTGTTTCTTTTTCAAATAGACGAGTGGTGATTGATGTAAAAGTAAGGGTAATGCAGTCTGGAGGGGTAAAAGTTGGACTGTGTATTACAACGTAACCAGAGCCAACACCTGTTTGTGTAGAAACAAGTCGTGTAAGTTAAAAACGTAAATTAAAAGTGTCTGTGAGTACGTAGTGCTAATCCTTGTTTGTATAGGAAACTATACTCACGTTCTGCTCCTCTCAGCCCTCTTTTTTCTTTTTCTTTTTGGCTACGAACGAGCTTACTCGTCCCTGCTCTTCATTCCCCCCGTCTACGGTGTTCATTTTCAGTTTTTCGCGTTTGTAAAATGCCTCCCAAGAAAGTGGTTCAAGAGACCAAGGTCCAATGGGGCCGTCCTGGTAACAACCTGAAGGCAGGTATTGTTGGTATGCCTAACGTTGGTAAGTCTACCTTCTTCCAAGCTATCACCAAGTCTGTGTTGGGTAACCCTGCCAACTACCCTTATGCCACCATTGAGCCCGAGGAGGCCAAGGTTGCCGTTCCTGATGAACGTTTCGACTACCTTACTGAACTGTACAAGCCCGTGAGAATTGTTCCCGCTTTCTTGACTGTGATTGATATCGCTGGTTTGACCAAGGGTGCCCACACTGGTGCTGGTTTGGGTAACTCCTTCTTGTCCAATGTTCGTGCCGTTGATGCTATTTTCCAAATGGTTCGTGCTTTTGATGATGCTGAAATCGTTCACGTTGAGGGTGATGTCAACCCTGTCCGTGATTTGAGCATTATTCTTGAGGAGTTGCTCATTAAGGATGCTGAGTTCGTTACCAAGCATCTTGAGGGATTGAAGAAGATCACTTCTCGCGGTGCCAACACCTTGGAGATGAAGATGAAGAAGGAGGAGCAAGCTACCACCGAGCGTGTTCTTGAACACTTGACCGTCACCAAGCAGCCCATCCGTAAGGGTAACTGGACTAACAAGGAGATCGAGTTCATCAACACCCTGCTCCTTTTGACTGCTAAGCCCGTCATCTACCTTGTGAACATGAGCGAGCGCGACTACTTGCGCCAAAAGAACAAGTACTTGCCCAAGATCAAGGCTTGGATTGACGAGAACTCCCCCGGTGACATCCTTATTCCTGTGTCTGTTGCCTTCGAGGAGCGTCTCACTCGCATGCCTGAGGAGGAGGCTCAAGAAGAATGCAAGCGCCTTAACACCAAGAGTATGCTGCCCAAGATTATTATTACTGGTTACAACGCACTTAAGCTCATTAACTACTTCACTGTTGGTCCCGAGGAGGTTCGTGCCTGGACCATTCGTGACGGTACCAAGGCTCCTCAAGCTGCAGGTGTGATTCACACCGATTTCGAGAAGGCTTTCGTTTGTGGTGAAATCATGCACTACGACGACCTTGTTGAGTACAAGTCCGAAAACGCCTGTCGTTCTGCCGGTAAGTACATGACTAAGGGTAAGGACTACGTGATGGTGTCCGGTGATGTTGCCCACTGGAAGGCCGGTAAGCGTTAAGCAGTCGCTGAGCGCGCCTAGTCACTGGCATTTAAGAGACAAAAATAAGATTACTGAAGGCTACGGGAGGTAGGAGGGGTATGGTTTCTATGTGCGGGAGTGGGAACAGAATTAGATGATGGTAGGGCAAGTGTGGTGCGTTGCAGTTATAACAATGTTCACTGAGTTTTAGCGGTGATGTTTCTTTTTCTTCTTCGAGTCATGGTTCTTGCCGTTATGGTTAGCATCTGAGGATGCTTGTTCACAGGCGCCAGCAAGAAGTACTGCTTCACGGGCAGCTGAATTAATATGTTTGAAACGGTCTGGCCCAATATGAACACCTCCAAACCAGCGATGAACACAGACGAAAACGTCTTTAGCGTCCTTTAATTTGTTAGTAAAGCATCTGATGGACGTGACAAGTTGTAGAATGGAAGCATACCATCATGGTTAATAGATGACCCATACGAGAGCCAGCTGCTGTCTCACCATCATCGTCGTTGTCCTGTACAACATTGCCGTGATCGGAAATGAAGCGATAGGCATACATGTTATGGGAAGCCTTGCATTGTTTAGATTAGTCAAGTGAAAAAGAAGCGGAAGAAAATAGGAAAAGACCGTCATGATTGCATGACTCATGAAAAGAGAAAGAAACAGTGTTGCTATTCTCCTCGTATCAATGTCGTCCCCCCTTAACATCTCTTACCTTGGCGATTTTCTTGTTCATATACAATTCAGCTAGTGCATCTTCGACGTCTTCAACAGAGTGAATTCGAGTAGCGCTTGCCATGAAAGTACTTTTACGGTCTGTAATGGCATCCGATTGTTTCCAATCAAACTTGGGCTTCCATTCATCATGTTCCTCTGTATGTTGTTTAGTATTATCGCCATGTGATTGTGTCGAGTTTATTACTGGAGAGTGCTTTTCTTGTTCTTCGTGCCTGCTGGACTCTTTCACGCCGACTTGCTGGTTGTCGTCTACTTGCGGCGATTCCGGTAGTTTGTCCACTTCTACTAATTCCTTCAGCATGTCTATAAACGCAAACACACATACATCGCCTGTAGCAACCCCCAGCAGAACGTCTTCTGCCAGTGCCTTGTCAATACCCAGTGCATGGAGCACAACGGGTGGTTTTTCCGGGTAGTCTGGGGTAAATTGTAAATTTAACAAAACAGACGTGTCCGGGATTTTCAGAGTGTACGTCAGATTGTCGTGTGAAAGAGGCACCAGGCACGAAGGGTATATACTCTCCAGTGCTAAAAGCTCATCTTGAAAGGCTTCGTTTTGCTCCATTCGTTAGTTCAACGAGATGCTAGTAATAAAAAATACCGACTTCACAAATTCGGTTGAATGAGAACAGAAGAAAATAAGAAAACACACAAAAAAATTTCAATGCAGAAACCCAGGTTCGACAAAACTAAAAATTCGACGAACTTACAAGGAAAAAATAGATCGATGGGATCTGAAAAATAGAAGTGTAAAGATCCGAAAATAAGATTTGATGTAAAGGTAAAATACAAACAAACTAAATACAAACTCTAAGGAAACGTGTGAAAAATGTTTAATAAAGTCATTAGGTATTCTCATTTCACCGATCATTTAAAAGATTACACTGTGTTTAAACAAATTTGAGTCAAGTTTTCAGTTTCAAAAATTTCTTGCAAAACCAGAGAAACAAAGGCCGCTTCACATTCTTGGAAACAAAATGTCCTCAGGCCAGGCACCAAATCCACACTCCTCACACCGTACACGGGTTTACTACCTTTATAACGGCAGACTAGGACGTTCCTTAACTGAGGTAACAATGTTTTCCCCAATTGTCAAGCACCACCAATACTACACCAAAACGTCTTCTTAAATGTTCAAAAAGTGGTAGTAAAACAGCGGGTGATTCTGCCATGGTGACTCGATTTATCGGGGTTTTTAATGGATGCCGGGTTCTCTCGACCGATTCCGATTTTATAATATCCAATTCTTCCCGTTCCCCATCGTTTGTGGCAGAGAACTCGTACTTTAAACGGCCTTCAAAAACTCCGTGAACCTGATTCAGTGGTAAGATTATAAGTAGGGTCCCCGTTAGTCAGCTTAGCGTTTGTTCTCGTTTAAGGCGTAACACGGCACGACACTAAATCTCCTGTACACACGACAGACACATTGATAATGTACATACACAACACACACCTAAACGCCAGTCGGCAGTTGAGTTTTGCCGCCAAGAAGGTGTGCATTCTTAAACATGTAGTAAAGAGACACGGCACAAAACAAGAAAACAAAAAATAAATAAAGATTGAACCCGTGTTTGCGTGCGCACGTAACTCCGCAAGCCTGCAATTCAAAGTGGAGCCGCAGCAGATCTCTTCACCGTATTAAGATTTTCCGCTTCTTGCCCTCCTCCCCCCATATTTTTTACACAAGGCAGTAGTGTACCAAGAGATTTAACAACCGGTTGCTATAAAGCCAAAATCACAACACACGACTAAGTAGCTGCTGCAAAGAATACATAAACATACCAAAAAGACCAGCATGCTTATTTTCTCCGCAAATACAGACTGTTTGCCGTCGTTAGAGGAACTCATTCAAAAAATCCCTTTAACGCCGAAAACAATCACGCGGCTGAAAGGATTGGGTAAAATCCTTGTTGAGTATGAAACAAAAGACGACGAACGAAGCGTGCAACAAGCTATAGACGGAACCTTTCTGCAAGGCGGCCGACCTGTACGCTGTGAACACGACGACACCACTGAATGGTTACAAGAACTACGTGGGGCGATGGGCGATTCGCTCGTCGTCCCAGAGCTTGAAAAGAACTGGCTCATTAGCCCACCATGCTCGCCTCCTGCCGACTGGCAGCCTGTACGTGAAGAATCGCCAAACGCCCGGCACCTTGCGGAGGATTTGCAGGCCCGGCTAAATGAATTGGGTGAGTTGAGAATCGGCAACAGCTGTGGCGGACCTGAAATTATTATTTCGGCTGCCGTGGAAGATGACAAGGATTCTAGCTCCGCGGACAAAGGAGAGACGAGTAAACTGGAGCGAGAGTAAATAATTGAAATGTATATTATCCCTTGTTCGTATATTGGCAAGGAAATTGAGCAGCGCAAGAAAACAGATCAGTGAAAGAAGGACATGACAGGAGGTGGTGGAAGGTGTGAGATGGATGATAGGGTAGACGACGAAAAGAGGAGGAAGTGAAAGAAGTAGATAAAAAAAATAAAGAAATGCTGAACAGTCACACGCTTTCCTGCTTTCTTTTGCTCATTAGTGCATGACTAAGGAAAGGCGTATGATCAATGAAAACCCTTTTTGGTATTAGCGTGCATGCTGCCATTGCAATATCCAGCTTGGAAATACATTCTAAAAAAGACACGGAGAAGAATTGGAGGTGTGTGTATGCGGAATTGAAGACGGAAAGGACCTAAAAACAAGGAAAAACGTTCATCTGCACTGCTGAACGCAATCCCCAACTATTGCTGGGTACAGCAGCAAAAAACAGTGCAGTAAACTTAAGCGCTTTTGTCGATGGAGCTTTGCTCGAGGGCGGCTAACAGGTCGCTTCGGGCGTTCAGGGCTTCCCTTGCCTCTGAATATGTCATCCATCTCCGACAGCGCTTGTGCATTTCGGGGTATTTGTTTTCAAGCCGTTCTACGACAACTTCAAAAAACTCGCACTCTGCACGGGGAGGAAGTACAATTGGCTTAAGAGCTTCGCTCGCATTGAGCGTGCCATCCCGGACAAGCTGTTGATGCTGTACGAGGTACTTTTTCCTACGGTCTAAAGTGTCTGCTGGACGTTTGTCCTTAAAACAACCCAACGAACAGGTAATGTGACCAACAATACCACCTTCCTCCCAGCCTTCACGCAATGCAGCTTGCTGTACAGTCTCGTCTGTCTCCCAACCGCCCTTCGGCACCACCCAGCTGGGGTATTTTTTTAACGTAGAAACCATAAGAACACGACTCTTGTCCGGAGACAAGGCAACCACTCCCGCAGCAAGCCTTGCCCCCGTCACGGGGTTGAACCGATTCTTTGCTCTTCCCTCCCGTGAAGTCATTGACCGGTCGACAGCCGTCCTGGCATACTCCGTGTGTTCGACAAGCATTCTGTCAACTTTTGGTTGTGATTTCTCGTCTGCACCGACTCCGGATGAAATACTTAACTGCAAATGCTGCTGGCCGCCTAATTGATTCGGTACACTGTGACCGTTGCGTTTATCGTCCTTAAACGAGGAGTATGTAGAGGTTTCAGTGAGACTGGCAGGCATGAGTATGAAACGCGTTTTCGGTAGTAAGCGATAAGTTTTCGGCAAATTCGCTAACACTCCGTAAGCGAATACGAGGAAAAAACAAATAGAACGAAGACCGGGGAACGGGAAAGCAAAAATGTGTCGTTCAAATCACTCGTAACCCTATACTTCGACAAATTGACCAAAATGAGTGCTGTGCGGAGGACAAGTTCGATGGTTGCACTTTCTAAGTTTTTTCTGTGGGGTTCTATTACTTTAAGCTCCGAAAGCCGGACCGAAAAATGACGTTGACTTTATGGGAAGGATAGGAGCGGAGAAAAGGGTGGAAACGGGGACACCGTTTTATTGTGAAAAAGGACGATGAATGGTGAGAAAAGGGATGGTAAGAGAAACTGTTCACGCCTGAAAGAAGCATGTGAAGCACAGCAGAAAAAAATAGACACTTGATTATTGGTCGTTTACGCTAAGTGCACGTTGTCGCAAAACACGGGATGAAAACGCTTAATTTGAAGCTATTTGTTCATTGGGTAAGCATCGGAAAAAGTGTTTTATGGGCCAATCATTTGTATTCATTTCAGGCGGTGAAATGACCATCCCCGCTCCGGAGGGATCTCGTTGTCGCACTTTCATTAGTTTGCTGACACATACACCTGCTGTTCGACTTCTTTACAGCTCGCTACGACTCGTTAAAAATACGGAACATTAGTGAGAATGCTAGAGGTTTGTTATAGTCGTTTAATGAAGTTTACAGCAGTCCAACGAGCTGTTTTCGAAAATAAACAGTACGAAAGACGTACATGAATGAAAACGTCAACGCTTTGTCGAAAATTTAATTGTCTTTTAAAAACCCTGTGTGAATTACGAACACGTAATAAGAGTTTGTATCAATATCTGACGGGGGCTCATCTTATACCTTATTGTACCTTAATCGCATCAGTTCGGCTGTATACTAGTATCCCCGACATTGCCGATAGCTGCCAGAGAAAACATTATTGAATTGGACATACGCAAACAGTAACAAAATTTTAATTTGCAATACACGAAACCCTCGAGATTACGGGGTTTTTCGTTGTCTGTCTCATATTTTCATTGCAATCATTTGGGCTTGAGACTTGCTCACGAATTGCTACACAATTTTGTTTGGTTCTTCGCTTAATTTAGGGGTCCTTATTATTGCGTTCATTTTATGGTTGCTTGGCGCCGTAAACCTTTGCCGCAATCTCCAATTGCTCAAGAAGAAGAGCGTGTTGGTCTCAGAGTTGTATCACCTAGTGCCGCAGAGAAATCGGCTAACTCTCGCAATAGTTTTGACCTAGCAGATTACTATGCTGATGGAACCGAGAAACGGAATGGCGAGGAATTCGCTTTCGACTTGGATGATTACTTGCACGATGAAGCAGACGGTTCAGAAGCATACATACCATTTGAAGGTATCACGGCACAGCCGTACTGGGATGAAGATGGAATTTATGATGTCTCCCGTACGGCTGCCGCTGTAAACACTTTCAAAGAAAAGTTGCGAAAAAGCAGTATGCGAAGAAAAACAGTTCGTTGTGTCGAATTGTTTCGAGGCAATTTGGTCCTCGATTGTCCCGTACCGCAGAAGCTTCTTGTCACATTGCCGCAACAAACCGACCGGGAATTCACGCATATGCGCTACACGGCTGCGACATGTGATCCAGTGGATTTTGTTTCTAATCAATTCACTCTTCGACAGCCGCTGTATTCGCAACCGCGAAAGACTGAGCTATGTATCGCCATTACTATGTACAATGAGGACGAGGGCCTCTTTGCAAGGACCCTGCACAGCATTATGAAAAACATTTCACACCTTTGCCGACGCTCTCGTTCGTCTGTCTGGGGCGAGGAAGCATGGAAAAAGGTGGTAGTGTGTATTATCTCTGATGGAAGAACAAAAATCCATCCTCGGACACTTGCTTACCTAGCTGCTATTGGCGTTTACCAGGACGGAATTGCAAAAAATGCAGTCAATAACAAACCAGTGACCGCTCATATATATGAGTACACTACTCAACTTTCCATTGATCCCAGTCTGAAGTTTAAGGGTTTCGAGCGCGGCATTATGCCTGCTCAGATTATCTTCTGTCTGAAAGAAAAGAATCAGAAAAAAATGTATGCCATATTAATTGCACAAATCGTTAAAGTTATCTAACTAATTTCTGCAGTAACTCACACCGCTGGTTTTTTCAAGCTTTCTCCCAAATTTTGCAACCTAATATATGTGTTCTTATAGATGCCGGAACACGCCCGGGTGATGAATCAATATACCACCTATGGAAAGCATTTGATCTGGACCCGAAAATTGCTGGAGCATGCGGAGAAATTGTCGCAATGAAAGGACGTGGTGGGGCTAACTTGCTGAATCCTCTTGTGGCTGCTCAAAATTTCGAATACAAAATGAGTAATATTCTTGATAAACCTCTGGAAAGTGTTTTCGGTTTTATTAGTGTTCTTCCAGGCGCTTTCAGTGCGTACCGTTACGTGGCTCTGCAAAACGATGCCTACGGAAATGGGCCCCTTGCAAGTTATTTTAAAGGCGAAATTCAACAGGGTCGCGGCTCCGGTATTTTCGAAGCGAACATGTATTTGGCTGAAGACAGAATTCTCTGTTTTGAACTCATCTCTAAACGTTCTGAAGCTTGGAAATTGCACTACGTAAAGTCGGCTTATGCGGATACAGATGTTCCTGATCGCTTACCTGAGTTTATTTCTCAGCGTCGAAGATGGCTCAATGGCAGTTTTTTCACAGGCTTATATGCCGTTTTTCACAATTATAAAATATTTCGCAGTGCGCACAGTCCATATCGCAAGTTTTTTCTTGGCGTCGAAGCATTTTACCAGTTTCTTACAATGCTCTACAGTTGGTTCAACTTGGCTAACTTCTATATTATATTTTACATTCTCGCTAACAGTGTTGCGCAAAGTGCCGCGGATTTCGCTCCAGGGGCGGTACTATTCCGTGTGACGACATGGATATATACTTGTCTTCTGATTGCCTGTTTTGTTCTGGCCTTGGGAAATCGGCCTCAAGGTTCAGCAACGCTGTATGGTATAATTGTTTTATGCTATGCATTATTAATGTGTTATTTACTTTTCTGTACAATATGGCTATCTTTTAAAGGAATAACAGCAGCAATTATATCGGCTCAAGCATCCTCTATGCCATACGGAAAAGCGCTTCTGAAAAATACATTTTTTGTCAATCTCTTGCTCTCAATGGGATCGACGTATGGCATGTATTTTATCGTGTCTCTTATTAGTTTGGACCCGTGGCACATGTTTACATCATTTATACAGTATTTACTGTTATCACCAATGTATACAAATTTGTTGAATGTGTACGCATTTTGCAATACTCACGATGTTTCGTGGGGGACAAAAGGTGACAATGTCATGAACACAGACTTGGGTGTAGCAACAGCAGGACCTGGTGGAAAAGACGTTGAGCTGGCCATTCCAACAAAGGAAGCTGATATTGATGCTGCATATGAACATGCAGTTCAGCTTCTCGCACAACGGCCCTTAAAAACTAACCCCGGTGTCAATGCCAAACAGAAGCAGGAGGACTACTATAAAAATATTAGAACGTACGTCGTCCTTTGCTGGATATTTTCAAATTTGGCATTGGCCGGTTTTATTCTAAGTTTTCAATCGACAAACTCTATGTCGGTAGAAAATAATACAACAAGTGTATATTTACAATTCATGTACGCACAAAAAAAATCTTAACTATGACTCTAAATGCTAACAGAAAAACAGCCTCTGGAGTGTTGTCGCATTATCGGCATTTCGTTTCTTCGGCAGCCTGGCTTATTTAATAATTCGAGTCTTTCAAGGGGAATGAAACAGCCGAATTTCCAATAGCACATCCTGCTTCACTCTTTTACGTTTCTTGAAATTAAAACTGTATCCATTATTTTCGCGGTTTCCATGTCCGTTGTCTTTAATTCGTTCTTCTTGCGTTCTTTTTTGTGTTTATCCCTACCCTGGACTAAAAGTACATCCTCATTTTCTCCATTATTGACTATTCTGCATCATTATTCAACGTTTAACCGTCAAATATGAATTAAAAACTTAGACCAAGTGCATATTGCAAAGTAATAATCGTTGGGCACTATCATAACTCCAAAAATTGAAATCGAATGTATTCATTAAAGTAAATTACACAGGCATGGTCTGCTCATTATGTACACATGCATCATATTAGTCCATGATGGGGGCGTTGAATAATTTTCCAATAAAAGAAGTTGCAGCCATTGTTGCTGCACCCCAACAAACAACACGGAGAGAGGCACGAAGGGGTTTAGCGTTTCCTGCCTTGGCACCAACCACGCCAAGAACAGCTAACTCAATGAGAGATGTGATGGACAAAACCCAGTGCAGCATACTCAAAGGAACCAGTAAAACAACTAGGACGGGAACAATTCCTCCCAAGGAAAACGAAAGTGCAGAAGCTATGGCTGCTTGGAAAGGTTTGGCCGCAGTAAGTTCAGAGATATTGAGTTCGTCACGAGCATGAGCTTCAAGAGCATTATGTTCCATTAAACGCGTAGCAACCTCACGAGCTAGTGGTTTTTCTAAGCCCCGATTCATATAGATTCGAGTTAACTCATTAACCTCTGCATCCCAATCCTGTAATAGCTCTTGTTGTTCCAAATGCAATTCAGCAGACTCGCTGTCTGATTGCGAAGATACCGAAACATATTCACCGGCACCCATGGACATGGCGCCTGCAATTAGTCCAGAGATACCTGTTACCAGAACAATATTTCGAGATGGATTAGAAGCAATGACACCCACAAGTAAACTTGAAGTCGAAAGAATACCGTCGTTGGCACCCAGCACCATTGCTCGCAACCAACCGAGACGACCAATTTTGTGGCGTTCAACTGGTTCGGAATGTGCCATTCTTAAGTTAGGCAAAATATTAAGAAAAAGGAAACCCAAATTATTGCCAAGTTTTTTTTTAGCGTAAAAGCCTAGGAACAGAATTCTGTCTTTAATAAATAGACCCGTAAGAAACACGAAATTTATAGACAATATTGCTCTAACAAGTAATGTATAGTTCCAAAAAGGCTTCACTACAAAATTCCTTTTTAGACTAGCGCAAAAATTGCCTTACTCTAGTTAAAAGCGAGAACTAAGCGAGTTAGTCGGGTTTATCACTAACTTGTAAAAATCTTACAGTATGTTACGGTTTTGCTTTGTTTTAGTCCAACGTCTACTTGTGTTAGCTCGACTTAGCGGTCAGCAAGGATAAATATGTTACTCAGACGTCATCTTGTATTAGTCCAAAAAAACAACACAGGAAGCGCGCTGTTAAAGTCGCAAAGATGAAAATCAAGGTCGCGATGCCATCGCTTAGAAACTTTAATAGTCGCAGGCTTGTAAACTTTTCGGCAAAGGGGTTTTTGAATCCCTAGGAGGACGTCTAGAGAAAACAAATTAAAAAGTGTTTTTCGGCATTTGACGCATGTATGCGCAAATATTTAACAGTAACTATATTGAAAGTAATCGTAGAGACACCGAGTCATATTCTTGATTTTATATTAATTAACACCATGTTAAACATACGTTTTACTACTCTTATTGTGCTTGTAAATGTGTTCTGATATTTATTCGATTGAAAAGGTTTTAACAATCAACTTAATCAGCTGAGTGAATTTTAGTTTAGCAGTTGATGTTTGTTAAAAAAGAGAATCAAGAATCAATTGGCATTCAATTACATAGGAATTGCAAAGTTGTATTTGCATATGCGAGACAAAACTTGTCTTAATACTACAAGATATCTGGTATACATAGACGAGTCCATTCAAAAAGCAAATAAGAGAAATCATGCTGTGCAAGCATAAGCCTTAACAGGACAAATGCACGCAACATTTAGTTACTCAAAGATGTTGGAAGCTTATAAGTCTTCGGGCTCAACATAGCGAAGTGCATTACCATTGAAAAGACCACCCTTTTCTTTAATGGTGTCTTGAATTTCGGCAATTGCCTCTTGCTTGCCCATAGGGTCCTTTTCGTCAGGATCGAGTTGCCATGTCAAATAGCCGTTGGTACAGTTGGGTTGGAAGTCTTGAGGAATGATGTTAAGGCGTTTAGAGTAGGCGGTCACCTTATTCCAGTCACGGGGAACGTTGGAAATGTCGTGCGAAAAGTAAGCGAAGCATCGTTCGTATTGTTCACGATGCAACGCAGTTCCCATTTCAGGCTTAAAGTGGATGTAATCCTTAAATGCCTGGACGGGGTCGTTGAGCATATCGAGAGTGGCAGAATGGATGGCACGAAGGAATGCCTTAATCTTTTCGGGGTGCTTGGCAATAAAGTCGTCATGAGCAATGTAAAGAATGGTGCAGAAGCAACAGCATCCAAGGTTGGCAAGACGGTCAATACGAAGCATTTGGACGTCACTACGGGGACGACCCTGAGCGACGAGCCATTGTTCAAGCTCCACCTGTTGCATGCATTCAATCCCAATACCACCATCAATTTCACCGCTGATCATGTATTTTGCAATGTTCATGCCGCAGCGGATAGCCGTGTAATCAGAAGGCTTCATGCCAAACTTACTAGTCAAGTCATCGAGTTGGATCTTTCCAAACTCACCGACGTAGCCAATGCGTTTTCCCTTAATATCGCGAAAGTCTTTGATGCCCGATTCCTTCAGTACGAGGAGACCCGTAAATGGTTCATTAAGTAAGGACCCAAAACTGGTAACGGGGTATCCACGAGCTTTAGCAGCAAGAGTATGGATCATGGCTTTCAATCCCATGTCCACTTTTCCGGAACCGATCAAGGCTGTAACGTCTGAAGGATTAGTTGGTTCCAAAATGGAAACTTCAATGCCTTCACGTTGATAGTAGCCACGACTTTGCGCCAGGAAAATAGGTAAGTGATAAGGAGTAGCTTCCCAATTTAGCAAGAAGGTGATCTTGTTGGTGGTCATATTGTAATCTGAAAAGTAATCGCGAACTTGATGATTGACAGAAAAATCTGTTAATAACTATTAAAAGCTAATAGGTATTGTTGATAGTGTTGAATAGTCGATATTGCAAATGGTATTCAGTATTGGTTTATATATCTTTTTGGGGGAGCTGTCATTACAAGTAGCCGATAGCAGCAACGAATTTCCTGCAAGTTTTCGCGTGCAAGATCCGTAAACCAGTACCGTAATGGCAATGTTTTTGTCGGAAATTAGTGACCTGCATTGGAGCAAAAGTCAATTGGTTATACCGGGAACCAGACTTCCAAGCAAGTGAGACCTGTAGTGCAATTAACCGACAGATGCAATTGAACAGATTGGTTGGCAAATAGGGGGATGGTATGAAGGCTTGAACGATTGACGCAACTTTGTATCATCAAGTCAAAAATCATATGAAGCTACCCGATTGTAAGAAGGCGGCAATTGTAAAAAGCAGTTGTACAGCGGTGTAAACTCGCCGGAAGATTGGTTAAATCACACAAATACCACGGCTGCATACTCGAGTCCACTTGAAAAAGAGACACGGGGCAGTTGGTTACTGATTATTGGCCAAAATGAATAAAATACTAAGTTCTACATCACTAAGCAGTTTTACAAGATGTGCGAGAATTCGTTAGAAACCTCAGTTAAGTTTCACGTTTCGATGTACAAGGGTTAATGACTAAACAATGAGTCAATACCTAATGAAACACAAGTAACTTTCAGTTGACCTACAAATAAAGATGCTCTTAGAAAATGAAATCTTATAGTATTCCGCAACTTCATGATGATTACGTTCCCTTCTTCAATTGAGTATTGCTTCTTTAAATTGATGAAAATAATTGTAACAAACGTTTAGATATAAGTTACCAATAAAACTTCTTTTACCTTCTCTGAAGTGAGCAGAAATCCTACAATATATTTAATAATTGTTCTCATGTACAGCCTAGCTTTAAGGGCTGAGAGCTTCTTGGACATGTAAATGCTTTATTCTTAATTATTCTCGGCCAACAGGAAGATTATCTTAGTGTTAAGTTGGCAATTTCAAGTATCATTAAACTACCTGATTGGATTTTATAACTCACTCGTACAACTTCTTTTCGAAGTTTACTGTAACGCTTGAAGGTGACATCCGTTCTTATAGCCAGAGAGGGCGATGAAGTTGTCTATATACGATAAAATTAAACTTTAACTGTCTAAACAAGTCTGGAGATGGAATAGAGACTATGCTCAGCTTAATCGAAACGAATTTACTAAGAACAACAAGCGGAATGGAAAGCGAGCCTGTACATCGATAAAACGACTAGTCTTATTTAGGATTCCCTAAACTTGTTTAAATATTTCATTAGCGACAAATCACAGTTTTATTACAGATATCACCGAAACAGACGTGATACAAGCAATCCAACATAAATAAACTTAACTCATCACGATATCCTCTATCCTCTACTTCCGCTTATTCGCGATTCCGGAAACTAAAACTATCTCGTTTCGTTTCCGCATTTCCTTTGCTAGTGCGTACTGACATCTCATAAAATAACCTCATTGTATTAATATGGAGGTAAGTCTGATAAGGCTTAGACTTCAAAGAGAATGATGTTTTGCTGCTGTCCCGTAATCATGATGAATAAAAGCTATTGATTCGACAACATTGCTATTAAATGAAAAGCGACTAAATCTGGATTTTTTATTACTTTTTATAAATCCTTTCTTTATTGAATGACCCGCAATGAAATGCAAGTTTTTCCGAAAATTGATCTCAAACTGAAATTAGGCGTAATTAATAGCCAATTATCCATAGCCTCCCTTTCTTATGACGTAGTGCTTAGAGCTAAAATCGTTTCTTTCACAGCGACGCGTCTTAAATGAAAAATGCTTCGCGAAAATAAACAGTAAATGAAGACTAGTGTTGCAAGCAACGTTATGACAAAGTTTTTTACGAAATCCACAAGAAATATTCATATACTTATCACATATTACTGATGGCTGGTGATGAAAAGGTCGAGACCGGTTTACATCGTACCAGCCATATGAACATGAATCTTTCCCAAGGCCCCAACCTTCTTTCCTTCTTCCAAACACGCATCAAACCCCTGTCAAACCGGTCTCAAAAGTCCTTTTAACAGGCGTATATAACTCTTTCCTCATGACCATTACTTCTGCCCCAGGAAAGCTCATTTTATTCGGTGAACACGCTGTTGTTTATGGAGCTGTAAGTACTCGACACCAAAACAGGATGTCTACTGCATTACTTGTCACCTATCCAGGTTCAGTAGTGAATGTTGAAGCAGTGATGCCCTTATCTCGTCTCTGTTTTGCCACTGCGTTCAGTTCTTTTTCATCGCCCCCGACTTGTTTCTGTTTTTTCTTCAACTCGCAAATACTAACCCATTGAATAGCAAGCTGTTGCTGCCGCAGTTTCCTTACGCACATACTGTTTCACTGAACATGTTTCAGAACCAATTTTGAAGGTTACGCTTGCAGATGCCCACACAACAGCATCTTGGTCTCTTGCTGACCTGCCATGGTCCCTAGTGCCAAAAATAGACGTTAACAAAGCGCCAAAATCACTGGATCAGAAACTTGTGAAGGGTGTCCATTCATTGTTGGAATGCTACGTCACAAATCCTCTTATCCACAGTGCCTTCTTTTGCATACTGTACATGTACATGTTTCTTGGTTCTTCCAGCGAGGGTACCGCAATCGTCATCCGCTCAAATGTCCCTCTTGGTGCAGGACTTGGAAGCAGCGCTACCGTATCTGTGAGTGTTGCTTCAGCTCTCCTGCTCAATAAAGGCGTCCTGTCTTTCCCATCTAACCCTTCTTCCAAGGACTCAAACAGTCCCACTCAAGCTGCTAGTACTACCGTTGACGGACATACTGCATCCCAAACGTCGCAGTGTACTTCTCCCGGTCCTAGCGACAGCGGTCGGCTTATTGAGGCTTGGTCCTTTGTCGGCGAGTGTTGCATTCACGGTAATCCTAGCGGTATTGACAACGCCGTAGCCACGCACGGCGGCGTCGTCACTTTTACTAAGTCAACGAGTTCGCAGCCGTCGCGTATGCAGGTGCTGCAAGGTGTTACGAGCCTCCCAATCATGATTACCGATACTAAGCAGCCCAAGAGCACAAAGCAGCTAGTTCAAAATGTTGCGAAGCTTGTGCAGGATATGCCTGCGCCTATGCGAGCCTTAATGGCTACTATTGACAGCGTTTCCAAAAGCGCTGTGGAGCTTCTTTGCTCGAGACAATTGGCTCGTGAACAACTTCTGCCGAAAATTGGTCAGCTCGTTGAATTGAACCAGAAATTACTCGAGTGTCTTCATGTGTCGCACCCCACTCTTGAACGTGTAATAGATGCGGCTAAGCGAATCGGCTGGACAAAGCTTACCGGTGCTGGTGGTGGGGGCTGCGCCTACACAGTGCTACGCGGCGCGGATATTGAAGATGACGTCAACGAAGTGATCGAGCAGCTCCGTTCTCTTGGCAACGAGACCTACGCGGTTGAACTGGGAGGACCAGGTGCAGCCGTTTGGGTTGCACCGATCGACGAAAAAACAAGTACACAAACCGACGCTTTTTTTACGCGCATTCAACAGAGCGACCAAAGTTGGGCATATTGGAGTTAAATTTTATGTATTTTGTGTGTTGTCCTTTTTTTGAACTATAAAAAGATCTCTTCCCGGCCCCATCTTAACCTCCGCCAAACTCCACTGCAGGAACCTGAATAAGTGATACCAGTCGGTTCAAGGTCGTATACTGACAAGACGTTCTTTTCCTAGCATCCATACCAGCTTACCCACTGCACCTTACCTGTGCACTTTCACTCTTTTTATAAACAAACAACGTTCCTTCGCGGATACCACACTCTCTTCTTTATAAACTACACCTCTGCTTCGAGCATATAAAACTCACTCTTTCTAAAGAACCTTATCGATCTTTACTGCCTAACTTATACAACATGCGTACTTCCATCCTTTCTACGCTTGCTTTCGCAATTTTGACTGGCAAGTCTTTGGCTTTGCCCCGTGGTCATCGCCATCTTCATCGTCGTGATCCCGAGTACGTGACGGTGTACGAGACCATGTACGAGACTGTCGTTACTACTGAAGACGCCGACAATGCCGCGTATACCGTCGAGGCTACCGTGTATGCTGCTGCTGCCGATGCTGCCGCTACGAACTCTCCTAGTTCCGACTCTGCTGTTACTACAACCTTCGTTACTGCCGCCGAGTCTATTCCTACGGCCGAGTCCACCTCCGCCTATTCGTCTTCCGACGTTCAACAGGAGGTTAGCTCCGATCCCGCTACTAGCTCTGATCCCGCTACTTCCACTCCCACCCCCACCCCTTCGAGCACTTTCGCTACATCCACTACTTACAGCAGCGAGGACACTGCTTCCAGCTCCTCTGCTGCTCCCGCTGCCACTAGCTCGGCCGTGTCCTCCGGATCTAGCTCCAAGCGTGGTTTGGCCTGGTTCCCTACCAACCCTTCCTCCTGGACATCCGCCTTTGACGGTTACTCCTCCATTTCTTGGTACTATAACTGGAACCACTACACTTCTGGTTTGTCCAACGAGTTTGTTTCTACTCAACACGATGCTGGAGATGTTGCCTCTGCCTCCGAGCACTTCTCCAATGGCGTTACTGTCATTGGTTTCAACGAGCCTGATCTTGGCAATGCCATGTCTGTCTCTGATGCTGTTTCATACTACAAGCAATACTTGACTCCTCTTCGTCAAGCTGGTACTATTGGTAAGCTTGGTTCTCCCGCCATCAGTAACGTTGGTTTGGACTGGCTTTCTCAATTCATGTCCCAATGCTCGGATTGTGCCATTGATTTCGTTGCTGTTCACTGGTACGGTATCGATCTCTCTACTATGGAATCTATGATTTCCACCCTTGCAAGCTCCTACAGCCTCCCCGTCTGGTTGACTGAGTTTGCCTGCACCAACTGGGATGTCAACAACCTCCCCTCTTACGACGATGTCGTCGCCTTGATGAAGGAGGCCGTTGCTTGGCTCGAGGCTGAGTCCTCTGTCGAGCGCTACAGTTGGTTCGCTCCTGCTGCCGACTTGGGCTATGGTGTTGGTAACAACAACGCCTTGCTCGACTCTAACGGTGCTTTGACCGAGTTGGGTCAACTTTACGTGTCTTTGTAAGATGGGAATTTGATTGATATGTCTGGATTTTTTTAACGCTTTTCATGCGGGCGAGGTTCCCGCTTTTGCTTTGCAATTCGTGGTCTTTGTTTTATTGGTGCATTTACTTCCTTCTATTGATGTTGTCACGGAGGTTGTTTCCGATATTTGAATTTTCCGACAAGAACGCCCGTTGCGGCGTATTATTTTGTCGGCGGGGTGAGAGCGTACTCCAATCGGCGTATTGGCTTTGACTGATACGCTGCCACTTCTAGGGTCTGCTCCCGGCAGTCGATTTGCTTTCCTCATTTCCGTATTTGCACTGCACGTGTATGCCGCCGTGCGCAATTGGGGATGAGAGGGATCACTTCGCCTGTCTTAGCTTTAGATGCTGTTAACACATTGCTGTGTTGTCATGCATGCACATTTTCGTGGGTACAGGCAAAGTGTTGTAGTTCATTCATGTGGTCGGTTAATTCAATGATATTGGTTTTTAATTATAGAGCAAGTATTATGCAATGGGGATTGGATAGGTTGGTTTGAGATGTTGTCTTGCTGTTGGAATCTGAGTTGTACTATGTAAACGGTTCTAATGCGCTAATTCGGCCGCGCACATTGGTAGCTGTAGGAGGGTAGGTATACGTATGACCTATTACAATAGACCAAAGCTACTTCTTGAATAACAATCTAAACACATTACAAGTCGATACCAAAACACAAGATGTTTCATAAAAAGAATCATTTCGTTTTACATGAGGGATTCATCGAGCCGGAGCGCACTTGCTTATGCAGAAGAGGCTGCAGCTTGTTCATCATTAGTGGCCTCTGTAGCCTCTACAGTAGCAGTAGCAGTAGCAGCCGCAGGCTTTTCAGAAGTGGCCTCTTGAGTACTGGCCTCCGTCTCTGTGGGAGCAGGAGCGCTTGTCGGCGCAACTGTTTCCTCAGCGGAGTCAGCGTCTCCACTAGGTTTGGTCTCTGGAACAGATTTCTCGCTGCTTTCCTCGGAAGCGGGAACAGGAGCAGCAGGTTTCTCTTCCTCTGCTTCGTTCTTGGAAACGGCAACCTTGACAACGAGATCTCTGTCTTCAACCTTCTTTCCGTTCATCTCTTCGATAGCCTTGGCTTGATCCTCCGCAGTACCGAAAGAGACGAAGCCGAAACCGCGACCACGGCGTTGTTCACCGCGGACCTTAATACGGCGAATAATGTAAGGGGGAAGAGCGCGAACGGCCACACGGGCACGAGTAGGATTGTAAGCAGCAAAAAGCTCTTTCAATCCTTCGTTCGACAACGTGGGCGAAAGACCGGAAACGTAAATAGAGTGAGGAGGAAGAGGTTTTACCTTACTAGAGCTCTTGTTAGACTTAGGGGAACGCTTTTGTTGCTTCTTCTTCTTAGACTTCTCGCTGTCGGCGGAAGCCTCTTCAGATTTGTTAACAGCTTCGTCCTTCTCCGTAGCAGCAGTAGCAGGGGTGCTGACCTCTTCCTTGCTCTTCTCTTCGTTTTTAACGGTCTCCGTAGACTCCTTAGGAGTCGTTTCATCGCCTTCTTCCTCCTCCTTCTCTGCCTGTTTAAAAGTTAGCAAATATTCAAAAAGTAGCAAGTATATCGACAATAACATACGTTCTTCTTTTTTGGTTGAACTTGAACAGGGCGAGCAGGCTGGACGACAATTTCACGCTCAAGAAGCTGTGACTTGTCCAACTGCTCCACGGCTTTTTTCATCGTTTCTTCCGAAGTGAAGGACACAAATGCAATTCCGGAAGGCACCAACTTGGTTCCCTTCTTAATTTTACGGAATGGAATCGTAACTTTGCGACTAATAATAGTTAGTATATCTGCAAAGAGGAATACGTAAACACAGGACTGGTATAATCGAAGAAGGAAAAGTGTAAAAAATGAAGAAAATGATAATCTGTTAGATTGTATCTCCGCGTAGTGTACCAATCTTTCATCCAAGCGCATTCAATACTTAATCGCAAGGCTGAACTGAGTTAAAGGCATTTTCATACCATCTCACTCAAAAACCAGTCTCATTCTAGTAACAATACCAGACCCATGGAGACGAATATTGCCGAAAATACTTACACTTCACCAACGGTTTCAAAATGTGCACGAATATCAGCCTTTTTTGTGCCTCTGTTCAATCTTCCAACAAAGACGCGGTAATCACCAGCAGGAACGACAGTATTAGCGGTCTCTGCAGGAGCAGGAGTGGTGGGTTGCTCTGCAGGTACGCTGACGGTAGCGGTTTCTTCTAAGGACATGAGGATATTAAAAGCTAGTTCAACTTTTCAAAGTTGTGAGTAATATAGGATATATGCAGAAGGATAGTTGGGGTGGTGACGTGAATAGTGGAAGTAAGCGCTCACCGACCTATTGGAATTGTTACCTGACACACGTCATGGAATGTGATAGAAAACATATGAAGGTAACAATAACCGGATGTAAGCGAATTTCGATACATATTCGGCAGCATAGTCATAGGTTGAAAACAGGGCTTTTTGAATAGTCTATAGTCTTTTTTATGTAATTGGGGAACTAAATTTACGGCCATCCCCCACTTGCTTCTGTTGTCAGCTACTGTTATTTGGGGAAGTTACCTGTAATGATGATCAGATAAGATATTACCCAAACTTTAGTTGCCTAATTATTGACTATGGGCTCTTGCCAAAGCAAAAATAACAGATTCATAAAAAGTTATCGTATTGTAGTAAAGACTTGACCATCAATTAAAGTGTACCTAATTGATTTCCTCGCGAAAATATCGCTCACGATCATGAGTTACTGGGGCAAAGGTATCCTTTTCTAAACGGCAAACGGCCTGGCCAGCAGATAAACGTCGTAGTACAGAAGAGTAGTTGAACAGTAGCTGCATAGGAGCCTTTGCGATTATATGCTTATCACGGAACATATGCGGCGGATTAAATCCATTGGGCAGTTGGCCGTGTGTATTACCTAACCGTTGTGAAGGAATATATGCGTCCTGTAAATCTGGATTGGAAGCCTCAGTTGTGATCTTTGCATCCAGAATCTGTTCAACAGTCCCGCCACGTTTTCCCACAAGATCTTTTATAATAGTTCCAACATATTGCTCGCTCACTTGGATATGAACCTTCATGTACGGTTCCATAAGCAAAAATGCATTCCTATTTGCCTGGTACAGTTCATTGAGCGCCTTTTTGGTTACTTTAAACGCGAGTTGACATAGCACGGGGTAAGGTTCAGGAAATCCTTCTATAACACAGCTTCGGACAGAAAGCTGTACATTCTGAAGAGGTAATCCCATCAATGGACCATGGAATAAACCCCCAAAAGCGCCAGTTTTGAGTGCTTCATTGACCTGTTTAAGTGTAATTATGTCTTTTAGGCCAGCAGGCAATTCTTTTAAATTCTCAAATGAACAAGAACTATCGTGTGCCGTTTCCCTTGCTGACAGAACAAGAGTAATCGACGCTTTTTGAATCTGGTTATCTGAGTCTTCATCAAATAGGGAGTAAGTAGTATCTATACTGGTCCCTTGAACTGGTGCTTCTTTCAATGCAACACGTACTTTTCCGAGTTCAGCATTCACACCGAAATCCTGCACAAGACGATCGAAGGTGATCTCTAAATGCATTTCGCCTAATCCCTGTAGTAACCATTCATCGGTTCCTTCATCACGGATATACCGAATGGATGGATCTTCGCGCGTAATGCATTCAAGTGCTTTTAGCATGGGTTTTTCGTCTTTGACAGTTTTGGGAAGCAGTGTTGCCATACACATTGGCTCAGGAATATTCACCCGACAACTTTGTTGAAATACTTCGGCTGAAAGATTCAAGTCAGGACCGCAACCACGGGAAGGTGCAGAAATTAGTACATCTCCTGTAGAGAAATGCTTACCGCCTCCAACAATTCCGACGGTACCCAGTTCAAGTTGATCTGTCTCATCAAGAACATCCGCGAATACACGATATAAACGCATGACACGCTCACTGTCTCCACTTCGCGTGTTTAAGAGTCGCATTCCTCGTCTTAAGGTACCTGTGTGAATACGAACATAAGCAAGAATGCCACGCTCAGGTGAGTGAACAACTTTAAAAACAGATGCACATAACATTTGCATTGAGTCTTGGACGTTCAATTTTAACGAGCGGATTCGATCAATCGGACTAGGAAGGTAATTTACAATGGAATCCATCAACGGTTGCACGCCGATGCTATGCAAAGCAGAACCACACAAGACAGGTACTAATTTTTGTGAAACCGTCGCGCTTCTAATAGCAGAACGAAGTTGGACAGGGTGCACAGCTAATGCGTTTTCATTCTCTAAATACGCATCACAGATGCTTTCGTCACAATCAGCCAAAGATAGAACGAGTGCAGAACGGGCCCTTTCATATTCGCCGCGCATAGCTTCTGGGACATCACCAATGTTAACAACGGTACCGTCATTCCCACTGTTGCGATCCCAAATATAAGCTTTTGCGTTAACAACATCGACAATTCCGCAGAAACTAGATTCGTCCACATTTCGATATATGGGCAACTGCAAGACCATCGTTTTTGCATTGAGTTTAGAATGAATAGAGTGAATAACTTGACCAAAATTTGCACCCGCCTTATCAAGTTTATTAACAAACATAATGCTAGGAATGTTGCGAGCAGCGGCTTGAGCCCAAACAGCCTTTGTCTGGATCTCTACGCCTGCTCCTGCATCTAGTAAAGTTACTGTTCCGTCAAGTACAGCGATTGACCGTTCAACCTCAAAGGAAAAATCTGCATGACCAGGCGTGTCAATGAGATTTATCCGGTAGTCTTCGTTCCATGGGAATGTGATAGCAGCAGCGTTAATTGTAATTCCACGCTGACGTTCCCTTCTCAGGTAATCCATTACAGTATTCCCAGAATCCACATTTCCCAATTGCTTTGTGTAGCCAGAAAAATACAGCATCCGTTCAACGACAGTGGTTTTTCCCTAGATTGGACATCGTGGTTAATTTTTGTTCCATGAATCAAGAACGTTCGTACTGCGTCAACATGGGCTACTATTCCAACATTTCTAATTTTTTCTGTAGTGCACGACACAGAATTTGAAGCAAATCGTCGAATACATAATTGAAGCTTTGAATACCGTTTCATAAAACGTTTCATCACTAATCCATAGGACAAGGTCCTCAATGATGTCTGCAAGTTGTTCAATAAACTCAAAAATTACTGACGAACGCTGAATGAGCAACGGCGACGTGGGAGTCACAGACCTGTACAAAAATATATATCATGAAAGGAAAAACTTAAATTCTCTCAATCAAAACTTAATTTAGTACCATAGTAAAACTAACCCCTCAACAAACTCATTGTCACATGAAATAGCATTGCAAAACTCGTTAATTGATTATACATGGACCCTATATAATTATGGTTAAACGGAGTTCCACTTAAAAAAAGAAAGCCTCGCTATCTAAATTCAACCAACATTAGTGAGACTCGTAGTTCTTGAGAACAAGAACCGACGAATATATAACGCTTAACTTCCTTGGAAGAGGCTAGTAAAATGTCAGTTTGCACGTTCTGACCGAAAAAACCTTATAGACACTTTGAAAAGCACCTATACAAAACAAAAATGAGTACATACTAACGAGCGATCTGATTCTGATACTTTTCAGAATTCGATGGTGTCAATCCAAGACCAGGTTTCGTAGCGTCATCATCGCCGAACTCCCGTTCTGGTCGAGGTGCTTTAGAGAGATTCAGGATATCTTCCGCTTTCTTTTCGTGATTTGGAGGGAAAAGGGAGGCGGGGCAATACGGCTGTTCGCTTTCTACGAGATCATCCTCATTGTTCGAGTCACTGGGAGAGAGATTTTGAGCATACTTCGAAGGTATTTCCTTCGCAATCGGTTTAGCAGAACTCATATCAGTTCACCTTTACAAAGCGGTATTGGTAAATCAGTTGAGCGTATGTATATAGATTTGGAACCTTTTAAACATTGTGACTATAGCTCGACATCACTAACGCACAATATTTATTGCCATCGCTGAGGGAAAGGTTGGCTCTGACGTATATTTTGCCGCATGCGTTAAAGCGCAAAAGGATGCGTGTGAAACGAGAAATGAAGCAATTGACTCTCAAATATCTGCTGATTTTTCCAATTAAAGCTTCGTTTTTGTTTGTAACATTCGATTCGATTATATCGAATAGTTTTAGAAAATTGTTGATTGCGCAGGCTCGCACGTAAAAAAGAAACTTGAGGGGAATCTCGAACGCGAATTAGCATTACACTAGTAAAAGCTCGTAATGTCTTAGATAGGGCAATTAAATAGTTCTCTGTTTTAATTCGTCATGTCATGAAAAATATTAGGACTGTGTTCGCTTTAGTTTCTGTAATTGGTTTTGTAAAATATGGACTTGATGCTCTAAGTCTTCAATCTTTTGCCGTGAATCATGAACGGCGGTCAGATCAGTGGATGACTGTGCCTTTTCGATAGTACTTTCGACGTTCAGAGGTTTCGGTACATTGTTTCTCCTTAAACGAGAAGAAGAACGGAAGAACGATAAACTCAAACGTGGGCGAGAAAACCGTAACTTTGAAATGTGTTTGCTCTTTGATTCTTCGGGAGTTGGGTGATGAAAAGGAGCTGGTGACTCATAACTATCGTGTATCGTCACCGTATCTTCTTGAAGAAATTCATTTGACAGTGAACCGGTGTCTCCTCGCGGATACTGGTTACCAGGTTTTGACTCACTTTCCAAAGGTGAAATATGTGGAGGAATATTCAATGTACCATTCACATAAGCATTGTCGACATCCATGTCATGCGGATCCACAATTAAGAAACTTTCATCAGAACTGGGGGAATTTGAAGGTGATGTTGAGTTCGACTCCACGGACGTAACTGCATATGCAACAGGCAGGCCAACCACGACTGACATTCGCTCAACACGACTCTGAAAACTAACATATTTTTGTCGCTGGCGTTCTGGCACTTGATCAGCCGGTTCTAGACGATCTGTACAACTGGCCGAAGTAGATTTCATGCTTTCTGTGTGTGTTCCCAGCGACACAGGGTATCGATTGGACAAACTAGAAGCCAATAATGGAGACAATCGTAGAGACATACACATAGAAGAAGACGCAGTAAGCGAATAATTGCTCTTGTTTCCTTCTGAAGCGCTACTCGAGGCCTTATAAAGGCTCTTCATGTGCTGTGAACGCTCGGAAAATTCTTGCTCTAGCAGAAGAAGTGATTCACGTGCGATTGCACTATGTGTTGCACTGTATGCTTTCCTAAACAAACCTTGAGCGAGTATATAAAATTTGGATGCTTGAAGTAGATTTCCCGCCAACTCGGCTTTTTCTCCATCACGAACATAGCTATGGGCTTTGTTTAGATATGACTTCGACATTGGACATATTCACGATGACAAATTATTAAAGTATTTGCATTGAACCATACAAGACAAAACACTTTTACAACAACCCACGAGCAGCGTCAGATCTGAACCAAAATGTTATAAACAAAATAACTTAAAGCTGTATTAATGTAAGAGTTATTTGTAATAAAAGAGTCTTAATCAAGCAAATTGACCAAAAAATAAAACGTGTTTGGGAGAGGTTAGGAGGTCGCTTCAAGGCCTATACACAGTAAAATGCGACAACCTTAATTTAATAAATGACGTCATCGAATAAGTGAAGGCATTTTGGAACAAGCACTATCGATAGGTATTGACGGAAGTGGATGCGTTTGTAGCGTAAAGGGATCAAGAATAATTACTAGCAGAATGAAAACGCCCCATTCACGGGGTAAAGAGACCAGTGTAGTGGGAAAAAAACGCTTTTATAATTATGTAAACTTAAACAGCACAGTGTTATAAGATAGTTCAATAGTTTAATTTTGTCATTTATCATAAAGTAGAATAGCTATACTACAGAACAGCCATCAATTTCCTCATATCTAGTTCTGACCGAGAGATAGGTTTTCAAACTTTGGTAAGGACTCCTCCTTGACACCGCTAAAGAAGACATCAGGTTCTGTACATGCTCCCAACGCACGGCGCATATGAGAATTACAGAAGGTAAGGCCAATCTGGTAACTAGCATTCACCCATCCAAAGCCTTCTCTAGCGACACCCATAATGTCCACGCCCTGGTTTCCGTATTCAGCCGTGACACGATGGGGATCATGCGCCCTAGTTAAATCGTATTTCTCAACGACAATGCCATTGAAATCGACGAATGCTTTGGTGATTGTGTATAGCCAGCGGTACACCAAGCGTTTCGCTTCATCTTCATAACCGTAACGCATTAAACCATACCAAGCGAGGATTTGTTGAGGACTCCAACCGTTGGGATAGTCCCATTGACGACTCGGGTTATCTACTCCAACTTGACCAAGACTGCTTTTTGTACCGGCGACAAGACCTCCAAGCACTTCGAACTTGGGCAAAGACTTGTCCACAAATTTCGCTGCTTGCTTTGGAGTGGCAACTCCAGCCCAGAGGGCCCAAAAGGCCGTGGCACTTTCGTAGGAACTCTTCGTCTCAGTCTTCGTATTGTAGTCGTACCACATTCCGTCTTCTTCTGACCAGTTGTATCGCTCCATGGCATGGCGACGGGCTCGGGCTCTGCGGTCCCAGATGGCAGATGATTCCACACTGCCATTGGGCATAATGAAATGATCGTCGAATTCTTCACGAATGACACGAGCGATATCAGTCTCATATTTATGAAGCAAAGAGTTAAGATCAACAGTAGCAAGATCGGCACAGACTTTTTCCAACCGATATGTTGTATCATGGCCACTTTCACGGACAGCGCGATCATGCAAAAAGTACTCATCAAGAGCGGGTTCCGACACCTCTTGATAATTATAAGCATGCGTAAACTCTTCAAGTGTCATGTTATACTTTTCGGTGTAGGGTTTCAATAAATGCTCAAAATGAGCAGCCTCTGTCTCTGGCGGGATACCCAAACCGCCGGGTCTATACCGAGAGAGACCGGTTTTTGGATCAAGACGAGGAGGACTTGTCCACACAGTATGGTATTCCTTAATCGCGGCACAGAAAGCACGGTATAGGAAATCCTTTGCATCCTTCGGATCCTTCAACCGTTCATACACGCGAAGAGCCATATCGGTAAGGAAGGGCGGTTGAGAACGCAGAAGGTAGTACGTACGATTGGCGTTCAGAATCTTTCCGTAATATTTAATTTCGAAAATAAAGTTCTCAACCATCGAACGCGCCAAATCCACACGCCCGTCAATCAGCAAACCAAGAGATTCGAAGTAAGAGTCCCATCCATAAAGTTCATTAAACCGGCCACCGGGGACAACAAAAGGAACTCCACGAAGTTCGGTCTTGCCATTCTCATCTGTATAGCGCTGCATAGCTAAAGCCAACAGACCAGGCTTGTCATTAACATCTCGTACCCATTCCGGAGTAATGTCTTCAGGCAAGTACTCGACAACAAGGTTCAGATCAGGCTTCTCGTTTGCAACTTTTGCATAATACTCGTACATTTCCTGCTCGGCCTTGGGTACATAAATACGATTCACCCTGCCACCAGAACGATCCTTCGTATCTTTGCAAATGGTTTCCAAAGAACTCGCATCGATGCGGCGGGTTAAGGCATCCCAAAATGTGCCCTTGATGAGCCGAGACAAACGATTCACAGGGTTCTCATTGAGCCGACGTTCGTCGATCAAAACGTAACGGCGGCCATAGTCCTTGGCTAAAGTAAGCTCCTGAAGTAGGTTGGAAAGTTGATATGTTCCACGGAGCTCGTACAAGCGATAACCGCCCGAACTCGCACTGCCCAATGAAACAACCTTGGGTCCAGTGTCCTCAATCGTAATCTGCATGTTCTTGTCCGTGTCCTCTGATTCCAGTAGAGATTTTAGAGTTTTTTCAACGTCAACCAAGAACTTTCTGGGTTGCTTGTGTTCGTCCAAACTGCCACGACGGCGAACATACTGTTGGCGCAATTCTGCAGCAGCTTCTAAGCCTGCATCTGCCGAGGTGGAAAGAGTACGAGCACGGTTCGACTTGATTCTTGTCGACAAGTCTGTATCCCGGGAATAGTATTGATTCGCATTTGCGAACGGATTGTCATTGTCTACCGCACTGTCTTCGTCGCGGGGATCATAATAGCTTGAAAATTTCGGAGGCATGAAATACGCTTTTCCGAGAATACACTTGTTAAACAGAGAAAAAAACCGCAACAAACAGTAAATGTCACTATCAAAGTAAAAGGAGATGAAGATGCAAGAATTAGGCAATCAAGATGTTTCTAACTTGAGAAACGCGTTTCAATGCTTGCTATTTCCACAGAAACGAAAACTAGCTATTTAGGAAATGTTAGCACTGAAATGCCTGTAGATGGTACGAAAAGGTGTTCGAATAGCAAATTGGGTGAAGACAATAAGCCACTGGCCATTAACCTCACTCTAACGAGTCGATTGACCACTTTTTTGCCACTGTTTCATGAACAAGTCACCAAACTAGCGTGCAAAAACTTTGTTGGTCACTCAACTCCTCGTCTCGAATTTTTGCTTTTGCCTCAATTTCATACCTTCTTTAAAGTAAATAATAATCAACTCAATAAAACCAATGCCGAGCCTACAAATCAGTTTCAACACAAACAGCAGCAATAGGTGATGGAAAAAGGAAAAAGTCGTGCTGGCATGTTCAAGTGCTCGAGTGCTCGGTATGTGCTACGTCATTAAGAAACCCGATATGACGTCACTTTCGGCGACCAAATTCGACAGCCATTATGCTTTAGGAGGGGAGAGAAAGAACCAGAATGTGGAGTAGACCTATCTTGCTATATTCGTTGGAGTTCGGTAAGTTCCTTTATATTATTTAACGTCGCAATTGTCAGATTCGTTATTCTATTTTGTGGATTCTACGGAGAACGGTAGACCTCGTGCATTAGGGGCGCTTGATGGCACCCATTGACAATTCAGGTAAGAGAGAAAGGAGCGCCGTAGAATTCGCAAGCCAATGCAAACAGTGCGATTATTTGCGACCGATTAATGATTGAAGCTGAATTTATCCAGCTCGTCGGCGTCCTTCTTAAGCTCCGTGCAATCAAGCAATCCGGACTTATCTATTGTTATGGTTACTAAAGTAGCACGCGCCGTGTGTCGGCCAACCCTGAATTTCTATCACACCTCATAATCGCTTATCATCCCACTCATACGTGGGGGCCAGCCGATTGAAGGGTGTATATAAGCAAACCTAAGAACGACGCGTTTGGCCCTCTCTCTTCACGGATATTTTTTTTGCATTTACCCTAAAAAGAAATATCCTGCATATAATTTCGCTCATTTTGTTGTCTACGTCTTTTGCTGAATATGTCTCTGCAGAAAATCTATGAGCTGTACGTTTTTTGGGCGTTTTGCTACGCGTTTTGTTCTTGGCAATAGTAGGCTAATGAATGAATAGGATCGATTCAAAGAAGCAGTCGTACATAGAACGCCTGCATAAGGCCGTTTCCATTCCGTCTGTCTCTGCGGACGCGTCTCTTCGGCCAAAGGTCGTCGAAATGGCAGACTTCATTGTTTCTGAATTCGAAAAATTGGGAGCTAAAATGGAGAAGCGTGACATCGGCTCTCACGTTATGAATGGAGTTGAGGTTCCTTTGCCTCCTATTGTTCTGGGTCAGTATGGTAATGATCCTGCCAAAAAGACTGTTCTTATTTACAATCATTACGATGTTCAACCTGCCAAAAAGTCTGATGGTTGGGACTCTGAACCTTTTGAGCTTGTCGTTGACGAGAAAGACCGTATGCTTGGTCGCGGTGTTACAGACGACAAGGGTCCTTTGATGGGCTGGATTGCTAATCTCGAGGCTTACAAGGAAGCTGGTGTAGACTTCCCCGTCAATTTGTTGATGTGTTTTGAGGGTATGGAGGAGTATGGTAGTGAGGGACTCGACGACTTGATTGTTGCAGAGGCCAACCGCTACTTCAAAAAGGCCGACTGCGTTTGCATTAGTGATACCTACTGGTTGGGTACGAGAAAACCCGTCTTGACCTATGGTTTGCGCGGTGTGTCATACTTTAACGTTACCGTCGAAGGTCCGTCTGCCGACTTGCATTCCGGTGTCTTTGGCGGAACTGTTCATGAGCCTATGACCGACTTGATTGCCGTCATGGCTTCGTTGGTTAAGCCTGACGGTACCATTCTCGTTCCCGGTATCGTGGACGAAGTAGCCCCTCTGACGAAGGACGAGGACAAGTTATACGATAACATTGATTACTCTATGGATGACCTGAAACAAGCTGTTGGAGGTGAGATTAATGTTTACGACTCCCCGAAGGACACTCTTCAGCACCGCTGGCGCTATCCTACTTTGTCTCTTCATGGTATCCAGGGAGCGTTTTCTGAAAGCGGCGCCAAAACCGTTATTCCCGCCAAGGTGACTGGTAAGTTCTCTATTCGTACCGTGCCCAACATGACGGCTGAACACATCAATAAGTGTGTGAAAGAGCACGTTGAGAAGGTGTTTGCTTCTCTTAACTCGAAGAATCGCGTGAGCGTTGAATGTTTGCACAGCGGCAGCTGGTGGATTTCTTCTCCTTTCCACTGGCATTACACCATTGGCGCTAAGGCTGTTAAAACTGTTTATGGCGTGGAGCCAGATTTGGTGCGCGAAGGTGGTTCTATTCCTATTACATTGACATTTGAAACTGCTCTTAACAAAAATGTTCTCCTTCTTTCTATGGGACGGGGTGATGACGGAGCTCACAGTATCAACGAGAAACTCGATGTCGAAAATTATGTGAACGGTATCAAGCTGTTCGCTACTTATGTTGACGAGCTCTCCAAGTCGGAGCTTAAGTAGAATGGGTATTATCCAGCCTTGATTCTTTATGAGCTTTGTTTGACCCGTCTCCGTTCTGTTCGCTACTAAAATTCCGCCACTCAGTGTTTCCCGTGACGATCTGACCAGTCAATTGAGTAGCACATAGCCACGTACCTCACTCGTATAGCAATTGATATATGTCTTAATGAATGATAATTCCTACATGTTTGCAAAGCTGCTATGCCATTGGCAGGGCTATTTTCATTCGCTCAATGCGAATAGTGAAATATAGTGCATTGTGTGGTTCGTTACGATAGAGTGCTTCTGCATTCAGTTGAACCTCCCTGTTTTGCCCCTTTTTGAGCGAAACTCTATTTAACAAAATATCCGTAATAAACGTGAGCACGGCTTGTCGTTCCCAAACAAATTAACAGTTGAAGTGTTTCCATTGCTTTTCTACAGTACGGCTTTGGTAATTTTTTATGATTATAAATCAGGAATTCTTATAAACGCTCTCAACTCCTTGTATTATAATGGGCATTGGTGCGAATAGACTTCTCCGTGAATATCGCCAATTGCGACGTGAACGGATTCCCGGTGTTGTTGACTTGCATCCAATTTCAGAAAGGAATATGTACGAATGGATAGCATTATTAGAGGGACCTTCAGAAACACCTTATGAAGGTGGTACGTGGATTTTGTTGCTGTCCATCCCGAAATCATATCCCATTGAGCCCCCTTCTATCCGTTTTTGCAACAAGATCATTCATCCTAACATCTGTTGGAAAACCGGAAAAGTTTGCATTGACATCCTTCAGACTGGTTGGACTCCGGCTTGGAATCTTCAATCAGCTTGCCTTGCCGTTCTTTCTTTGCTCGACAATGCTGAAACCACATCGCCACTTAACGCAGATGCAGCGAAGCTTCTTCGAACTGGTGACAGAATTGCGTACAATAGTCTTGTTCAATGCATGACTCATTTACACGCTGGAGAGAATATAACTCAGGACTACATTCATGCAAAGTTTTCCATGTATCAACACTAACTAATATCCTCATTCCTTTTTGCCCACTCCATTCATTACTCATGACAAATTTCATTCATAATTCATCATTCGTTTAACATAACAACATACCCGCCGTCCTCGGAAATGGAATACACTCTCGCACGTTCGGTTCCCGCGCCAAGTAACTAACGAGACGTTCAATGCCTAAGCCAAATCCTCCATGAGGAGCACTTCCATATTGTCGGAGATCCTTGTACCATTCTAGTGCCTTGGGCGCAGAAGCAAGTTCCTGTTTTGCGTCTTTTCGAAGCGACCCGCCTATCACTTCTCCAACTTCTGGGAATAGTAGATCAAAGCATGCACTTTTCTTAGGCGTTGAATCCTTCATGTAAAAGGGCTTTTGTGCTGACGGATAGTCTGTTACGAAAAGTGGTTTGTTTCCGACTTCATGAGTGAGCCATTGTTCATGTTCACTTTGTAAATCGGTACCCCATTTTGGTTCAAAATTCCAGCATCGCGATGACCGCTGCATCATATGAATTGCATCGTCATAACACAGTCGATGCCATGGGTTCAACAAGCTTTGCCAACGGTCTGTCAAGTAACCCTCTTTACTTTCCATATACATATGCTTCGTTCGCAGTAATTGACGTGCTACCGACTTTATTAATGTTTCAGCCAGATGTAGCAGAGGATCCAACTCATCGATAAAAGATTGTTCGAGTTCTAACATCCAAAATTCGGCCAAATGACGGCTCGTTTTGCTCTCTTCCGCTCGGAATGCAGGCGTAACCGTATAAACGCGATTTAATGCCAACGCCAGTGCCTCTAAATGCAGTTGCGTTGAAACGGTTAAGTGCGCCGGACGGTTGAAGAATTCGATAGTTGATGGTAAATCATCCTCTTGCTTTGTCGTGCCGTTCCTTTTGATGTTTTTTTTTATGACTTGGAATGTTTCTCCAGCACCCTCACAGTCCGAGCTGGTAATGAGCGGTGGATTGGTTTCTATGAAATCACGCTCGTCCAAGAAACGTCGTAATTCCCGTAATATTGAAGCCCGAAGCCGCATCGTTTGTGCCATTGTTGACGTACGAAGGCGAAGGTGGGGAATGCTTCGCAGGTAGTCTTCTGACATTGGTTTTTTTTGGATTGGATAATTCTTTATGTAATTAGTTCATCGCCTTCAATGTAATAGAATCATTATAGTTAAATATACCTTCCAATTGTTTTCACCGAGAAGGTTTACAAGCTCAGCTTGAAGTTCTAACTGTGGACCTCTTTTATGTCCCAGATCCTGATTCTGTACCCTGTCCCTGCATTTCAGGGCCCCCTTGACGGATATTGCACTTCCATATGTAAGTCTGTGTCTTAATGTTAGGATTTTTTGTTGTCAAGAATGGTTGTGTCGTGTATTTTTACTTGGTATCAGGCTTTACCAAACAAGATGTTCATACCCATCATTTTGACATTTCGGCAACACAACCTGTAGAGACTTGTAGCAACTTCCATCATTTAACATAATAAATGTCACATTTTTCATCTTTCGAATTGACCGAATCCACCCATTGATCTGTAATACTTCGTTTACTTTGGGGTTTAAGAATATATTTTTTAATAAAATCATTAGTGAGCGCTCTAAGCAAGTAGAGTGGGGTTGTATTAGCGAAAAAATGTATACTTGAAGCAGACTTAATGATGAAAGTCCAAACAATAGATGTGAGAGCCGAGGAGCGCCAGAGGATATACAAGTGCGTCTGTAGAAGAAACGAAAACGTAAATGACAGAAGAAGTCATCTCCATTATTTACTTCGTTATTAATAAATTACTTAAAATTGAGATATATTATTTTCGTTTTAACACTTGTAAATGATACAAAGGTTATAAACAATGATAAAATCATTAAACCTTAACCAGTTCGCTAAAGACTACGCGCATGAAGAAACATTAGTCTATCATGAAAACAATACTTGCTAGTAACCCGAGAGCAGAGATTTTAAATTTCTTAGTGATGTCTGAATAACATCGGCAAGATCACGCTTGGTATAATCTACAACGGACCTTTTTAATACTTCCAATTGCGTTTGCAGTTGATCAGTAGTCCAACGGCCTCGTGATGCACTGACAATTTCCTCCCAATGGATTTCGCCAGCGTGTTTTGCTAAGTTGTCAAGCAAGCTAAATGATTAGTAAACGGAAAACTAAATATAAAGAGTAAATTTCCCTTACCTTTCCAATAGCCAAACGCTATCAGAAACCTCGAATTTTTTAGACGGTTTCGTTAATTGCTGGTATTTATACCGGCATTGCAACCGAGTTCTGGTTCCAAGCATTTGGGCCACAAGTGTCCAGTTTATTTCATTATTCGTCTCATCACCAGTCTGAATGTCATGGACGATACGAAGTAACTGCTGTTCCTCATCACTAGACCAGGCGTTACGTTTTAGTCGATCACCAAAACGAACAACATCACGCCAACGGTCCCTACAGTCATTAGGCATACGCGCCATCTTCCTGCCAATTTTTGCCCAGCTTTTTCCATGTTCCATAACGTTTCTGTTAATGTTAGTAACTGATGAATAAGGTGACGCGCATGAGACTCAAAAAATGGCACAAACCTTTTTAATTCCTCATCATCTTCTTTACTCCAAATGCATCTTTCTTCAAATGGATTATAAGCTCTTCGAACATGGTGGTAAATGCTTTTTGCATCCCTGTGTGAAAGTTTTTTGTATAAATTGGAATAGAACATTCGAATGACTTTAGGACACTTTCCAGCCCAAATTTGATTACAGAACTGGTACTTAGACCACCCTTGACTAGCAATAAAATTGCTGACCTCCTGAGAAATAATTGCCGTCTCTTGAATACCAAAGTCTCCTTTTCCGCTTGTGTCTTTGCGACTATATTTTTCATACCCCGGTATGTTGTAAAGAGCACGTAAATGACGAAGAATCGTTCGTCGCGTGAAACTTGGCATCTCCTCAACAAGAAGCTTAACGAGTGCAGATAACGGTCCATGTAACCGCTTGTCGCGCAATGTTTCAGCTACTTGAGCATGCGTAAGCTGGTAAGATTGACAGAAACTCTGCATACGTGACTCCAAGTATTCCCAATGTTCTGCAGTCCAACGAACTGTACTTTTACCAGAAGGAGGTTCAGAAACAGCGATAGTCGAACGCACAGGTGTTGGAGACAATGTTTCTGTTGATAATAAAATTGTGTTCGTTGTAGCGGTATTCTCCTTAGTAACCGTTCTTGCGGAATCAGCAAATGCATTGGGCTCTGGAGCCGTTCGAAGTGATAACGTTGTTGGCGCGATTGAGGACAATTGTATGGGACTCAAATGAGGAACAATCGGACTCTCATTACTTTGAAGCGAAATTAAAGCTTCAAAATCTCGAGCATCTTTTTGTTCTTCTTTCATTGAAAGAGGAACTAAACCATCACTGGTCGCACGACGATTTCCCTTTCTGAGTTTGGCCGTTTTTTGAAAAATAAATGTATCATCGAAGTCGTTTCTTCTTTTGTTTGACATATCTAAAGCATTCGAGTCGACATAGTCGATCAGCGAATTTGTATTATTTACCATATGATCATTCATATATCATGAAAAAACACGATCTCTCTCTGTATTAACACTGAATACACTTTATTTTGCCCTTTTGGAAGAATATCAAAGATGCAAAGTAAGGGTGGGGCAAAATTTGGGGATGGGTGAGACACTTTGGCGCTGTTATATGTGAAAATGTCGGTGGAGAAAAATATTGCCGAAATAAAAAAATTAAATGTTCTCAACGTTAAAATTCTAAAACATTCATCAATCAATTTATAACGGTTTTCTGAATTGATCAATATCCATTACCTTGATTCTAATAATTTTCCGAGTTATTAGAATCACACTGCGAGACGCTATTAATGTTGTTACGGTTAAGCCTTTCTACCGAGTATTAGCGTGGTGTTAATGATGCACCGTTTGAGTCTTGTCTACTAGCAGATTCACCAAATTGAATCGTTCGTCTGAAAATCGCGTTGTCATTTGCAGATGTTTAATTAATCATCTAAATTTACTTGATAAAAAAAACTTATTCCCCTTGACGCAGTTTTGAAACAATTGTCTACATATTGATTTGTTGAAGCTACGGATTCCTTCCTTTGCCTTTACGTTCTGCATTCAAGCAGGTAAATGTTCATTAAAACGATCCGAATCCAAATTACAAAATATTGAAGAGTTTAATTTGTCCACAAATTATCGTGTTTTAAGATTCTCAATAAATCTTAACACTGCACAGATTTGCTTTTAAAACCTACACGATGAATCAAACAAAACCAAGAACAAAGAGAAGGGAATACCCATCAGCCCAACTAAGTGGGTCTTACTATGATTCATCTAACGCTCAACCAGTTCCCAATCCTAATGTGTCTAATTCTCAAGAACCACAATATGAGACTAACACAGAGGGGAACATGTTACAGCCAGCAATGGTTTCTTTAATGCGGCCGGACGTGAATAGTCTCCATTCCTCTATCTCACAAATTAAACAGCCGGCATATGTGGTAAGAACTTAAACGCCTAAAATTTTGTCCGTAAACTAATGAGCTGCACGCATAGCACACACTCGTCCCCTCTACTGATGATAAAATTGGTGAAGCCGATTATATGTTTAGCAGTATGACTGTTATTCCAAGGCTGCGGTCTACTTTTGAGAAGCTTCATGCACCTTTATCTATTACTCTTCGACCCTTTAATCCGATGCATGAGGAAACAGTACATCATATACATGGAGCCGAGTTGTTTCGTTGCCGATGGTGCGGTGCCTTCATAACATCGTTTGTTGAATTCAACGCGGACCGAACAACTTTTTTGTGCTCAGCTTGTGCTTTAGAAAACAAAAGTATGTTTACAGTTTGACGTGAAACTAATTAATCTTCAGTTCCTAATGCTGCAAACTTAAGTGGAATCTCATGCGTTCAACCAAACCCAAATCTTCAATATACGTTAGCAGAGTATACCGGTATACGAAACGGAAGAGCTTTATATTCCAGGGCAATGCGACCTCCAACATTCGTATTTATCATTGACGTAACACTACAGGCAACTCAAGTTTCAGTACTCCATGTCTTAAAAGATGCCATTAGCAGCTCAATTAACGATTTAAAAGAGTCTTTTCGTTTGGTTTCTGTTGCCTTCATTTTGGTAGCCGATAACGTAAGTTTGCTTGTACCCACAACAAAAGACACTCTTGAACAAATTGTTCTTCCAGATCTTGACGATTTTTTCTTACCTTATCCGGTGGAACATTTTCTGCTTGATCTAAATACGCAGAGTAAAGCGATTGCTTCATTTCTAAATAACCTCCCCTCTTTCGGAACCACATCAAGTAGCTTATGTTTGGGAAATGCGTTAGAAGCGTGCAAAGAACTACTTTCAAACGGAGGCGGAAAAACTCTCTGTTTCTTGTCAAGTTTGCCCAATCTTGGATCATCAGCTCTCGCTGTCCGAGACAGTGTTGCTACCTTGAATTCCGTAGAGGAATCAAACATTTTACTACCCAAAACTGACTACTACAAAAACATTGCCCTTGATTTCGCAGATCAGTACATATCTAGTGATCTTTTCGTTTTTGGAGCAAGTTATCATGATGTGAAAACACTTGAGGCTTTGCCTCAACTTACTGGTGGGAAACTACACTGTTATTTTGATTGGAATGCTGCAACAGACAACTGTACTGACGCTTTACACAAAGACTTGCGCTTTTCTTTAACGAGCTTAAATGCTCTAGGATGTCTCATTACAGTCACTCCCCCTAAGAACATTAAACTACACTGTGTTCATGGAAATGTCTATCGTAGAGCAATTAACAAATGCTCTATCCCTTATGTCTCGTGTGATCAGACAGTCGTTTTTGAATTCGAGTTTGAAGGATCATTAAATCCCAAGCAGTTTGCTACCTTTCAGATTCAACTACTTTATACATCCCCATACACTGGTCAAAAGACACTCCGGTTGTTCACTTACGCTGCAGCTATAAATGAGGATATGCTATCTCTATATTCTGGAATGGATTCCTTTCCGCTATTTCACAATTATTTAGAAACGTCTTTTGCAGAAACTCAGTCCAAAGCACTTACCGACATACGAACAATGCTGTCACATAGATTGTGTGACTTTTTTAACGCTTACAAAAAGAATACTCAGCTTAGACACCCTTTTTCATCCATCGTTGTCCCCAACGCAATTCAGAGATTTCCTCTGCTTATTCATGCTTTACTTAGAAACACAGCATTAAGATATGCCACTAATATTCCGTCAGATTTTCGGTCATGTTTGTGGTTTCACCTTTCTACAGCAACTTTGAAGCGTTTGCGCTTTTTAATATATCCTTTATGTGTTTCTCTTATTGAATTCTCGAAAAATGACTTTACAACTCCTCATCCTGTTCCATTACTCTTTGAATGTATGAGGAGTGATAATGCATACCTTCTTTTTGATGGGATTTCACTTTATTTGATCGTTCGAAAAGATGTCACACCCGACGTTTTGGTTTCTGTTCTACAAAAGGACGTTATCCCTGAAGTATTTGGTGGAAAAGTAAGTTACATGAAAAGTTCTATCCTATAATAACTAACAAATTAGGTTAATTTTTCGCTTAAGAGCATCAAATTTGTACAGCAAATTGATGACTTTGTTCATAAGGTTATTGATGAAGCTATGTGCACTTCTTTACCTAATGTAATTGTTGTTAGAGAGAGTAACACATCCTCACTTTGGAACTGGATTAGACAGAGTCTTTTGGAATCATCCTTTAAACTTTTTCCTGGTTACTCCAATTTTCTCCAATTACTGGACACCCAAAAAGTTAACTTTCGAAATTCCCATTCATCCTAATTGAAGTATAAGCAGAAGTTCAACCCAATGACTTTAACGCTATTTTGCATTACAGTCTCAAAATATGGTGTTTAAATGTAACACGTTTTTGTTTACAGGCAATGGGTGCCTATCAAGTCGAACTAGTTGGCCTAGTAAACAAACATAAATCTGTTTGACTGCTTACACATCAGCGCACGCACTTTCAGCAAGCGTGGCATGATGATACAAGATGACGGTAATGAATTAGTAGTTAAAAATTCAAGAAATCACTCTGACAATACTGTCAATGTGCATCCAAGTGATTTCATTGAATTTGAGGGCAGCAACTCGGTGTCATCCTCAAGCTCTGATGTTGTCGAACTAGGCGATGTTGTGAGTTCTATTGTTATTCAACGACTTCAAAATTGGTGTTTTTATAAAGATAATCCATGGAATTCGAAGTTGTACTATGACCTTCCTAGTTCACTTACCTGTTATCAAAATAACGATGTATCTCATGTGTCACCAAATTATTTTCGCTCAACGTTCAGACGAGTACCGAAGGTATTTGCAGATTGTCCTTCTTCTCTTCCTTTCTCCATGATTTGTGAACCATTTAATGGACAAAAGAACTGTAATAATTATAGTGTTGCCCAACTTCGGGAGGGGGAAATAATGCTCGGCAGATGCCAATCGTGTGAGGGTTACATTAACAGCAGTTGCCCTTTTGTTGAAAACGGCAGTGCTTGGATTTGCAGTTTTTGTTCGAAGTTAAACAAAAATACATTCGCGCAGTCTAATTACCAACAGGCATTCGAGTCAGCTTCAGGAACGGGTACCGCTTCCATCGACATTACTGTTAGCATTGCTCCGGAAGATTACGAGTTTCGTGTTATTTTCATAATTGATACTTCTTTCGCTTCCTTTGAAAATGGCTATGCTCAAACTGTTCTAAATGGTATCTCTGAAATGATATTGAACCCAGACTTTTCATTAAAATATGAAAATACTAAAATTGCGTTTATGACGCTCGACAGTTGTATAAATATGTATCAAAGACAGGGAAACTCCTTTACTAAACTGATTATTCCTGATTTGGACGATCCTTTAATTCCTTACCATAAAGCAGTTTTTCTCGACTTGGTTAAGGATAAGGATGCTATTCTTAATGTTTTAGTGCATATCGGTCGAGAAAAGGGCTTATCCTCTGATGCATCGTTATCACTGAAGGCGGGGCTCTTTGTTGCTCAAGAATTACTTGCTCCGTTTGGAGGAAAAATTGTTTTAGCCTCCTTGTATTCTGCGTTGCGTAGAAGAGACAATGGTGTTAAATTCTTACTTGAAAGCTCTGTAGAGTCTGTATCAGGAGTTAGCTACTGGAGTAAGTTCAAGTCTTTAAGCCCTCTTGGTTTTGATTTTTTAAAGAAAGGCATTGTGTTTGATCTATTTGTCCTTTGTCAAGAACTAAAATTCTGTGACTTATCATATGAGCAGATGTGTTTTATGACTGGCGGCGAAAATAATTTTTACTTAACGAAACATGAAGCTGCTTGTTCTTTTTCTGCTGACCTCATAAAAACTTTTCTTTCATTTGAAGGTTTTTGTGCTTTATACTCGTTTTATGCACCCTCTGGCTACAGGACTTCGAAGGTATTAAACGGAATATCTCCCGAAAAAGAGGAAACAAACGAGTTTTTGATAGGAGGTGTGTCATCCCATACTTGTATAGCGCTTGAACTGCAGCAGGTAAAGGCAATTAATTTACCCTATGCATGCTTTCAGTTTGCTATTTATTACACTGCTATTGATGGCAGCCTCCATCTTCGTTGTCACAATTATGATGCATTATTCGCTAAAAACAAACTTGAAGTATTTTCTTTTGCCGACTGCGAAGCAATTATTACTTTTATTGCTAAAGATACTCTATCGCGCTCCTTATACAGTACAGCAACTAAACTGGAAAAACGAATTCAAAAGCAGTGTATTTCAGCTATGGTGGAATATGCAAACGCTGTCCAAGCAAATGGAAATCCTCAAAAAGACTGGTTTTCCCCAAACCTGAAAACATTTCCGTATTATATGTTTGCATTGAAGAAGTCGCCCATTGTTTCTTCGATTTTGGATTTTGGGAATTTCAGGAGTTGTTTCAATCAGAAGATACGTACGAATGGTATTACATACATTTGTTTGTTTCTGTATCCTTTACTGTTTCCACTTCATACGTTGAATTTCCAAGAGGGATTTTTTGATAATCAGAATACGTTTAACTTTCCCCAACTTCTTCCCGCGTCACGGAAGAACATACAAACAGATGGATGTTATTTATGCTTTACATATGGGAAAGTGTATATCCTTTTACAAGAAAATGCTTCAACCGCTGTTACTAAATTGCTTTGTCCGGGTTATCTTCACAACGAAAATACAGGGGGAACGGAAGTTATGTGCGAACAACCGTCAAGACTCTTTATACAAATCGCTAATATTTGTTCTCAGTTGTCAGCTATCACTTCCATTAACTTTAACACAGCAGAACACATTCGCAAAAATGTTGATCAAGTGGAGTACAAACTGTTTGAAAGTGCACTAATTGATGATGAAGCTAATGGGAAAGAAAGTTATGAAACTTTTCTACTTAACATAAAAAATACAGCTCAGGGAAAGGTAAGAACTGGATTTACTAAATTTGAGAATACTAACATTGTAGCTTCAGCATAACGGAATTATTCCGCACATCAACATTCGCAAGGTAACTGATGCTTTTCACACCATAAGGTTTCAAAAACGAGATGAATTCATAATGCTACCGTAAACATTTTATAACATCCATCCTTACGTAGTGACTCGGATAGTTTTTTATAGTGAGGTCAATTCCATACTTTTTTAAGGCTCATTAAGTAATAATAGAAGTACTGCAGCTCTGAGTCTTTTTCTTTAACACTCGATTGGGAGTTTGTTTATATGGCTCAAACCTGAGCTATTTCGAAATGCGCAATTAAACAGGTTCAAAAAGGCTGCTCATCTCGTACTTTCTGCCATCAAAACAGCAATTGTTTCGTTGGCTGTATAGTCAATTAAGACTCTTCGAAGATGGGAGACAGATTTATTCCAATTAGAAATGTTAGCAACGCACACGCCCAAGATTTTATAACTAAGCGGGTACCGAAGAGTTACTCTACCAAGCATATGGTAGACGAAGACTCTAATGAACGTAAGTTAAAAAAGTCTTCGAAATGTCAATTAACAAACTTAGCACGGAATCAATTCAACGAGTTGCTAACACGTGAGCTTTTTGGACATCAAATTACAAATCAACATAGAACCTTTCATTATGGTCGACAAAAGGAGGTAAAAGTTGAGCCCCCAAGTGTTGATAGTCCAATTCGGAAATCTTACTCTCTGTCACCCATATCGGTAGAGTCTCAAAAGATGTTGTTACGCCCTCAAAAACCTAAACGGGTTCTGTCAAGGACACCTTATAAAGTACTAGACGCACCTTATCTTGAAGATGACTTCTACTTAAATCTTATCGACTGGGGAGCATCAAATGTACTGGCTGTCGGCCTTGCTAGTTGTGTCTACCTTTGGTCAGCACATACTGGAAAGGTCGTTAAACTGCATGACTTTGGGCCCAATAACCATGTTACCAGTGTGCTGTGGACAGGAAAAAATAACCATGTTGCAGTGGGTACTGATTCTGGACTTGTCCACATTTGGAATGCCGAGACATGTCAGCGGACACGAGTCGTAACGGGGCACTTCTTAAGGGTTGCGGCTCTTGCTTGGAACAATAACGTATTGACAAGCGGAGGCCGTGACCAATTGATTGCTCACCATGATTTGAGAATGTCACAACATTTTACTAAACTTCTCCGAGCTCACGAACAAGAGATCTGTGGTCTTCAATGGGACAGTAGCCAGGGCCAACTTGCATCTGGAGGTAATGATAACAAACTCTTAGTCTGGGACCACCGCTCGGACCGGCCGCTGTATACTTTCAGAGAGCATACTGCCGCTGTGAAAGCCATCGGATGGAGTCCTCATCAACGTGGAATTCTTGCAAGCGGAGGAGGCACCATTGATCGTACGCTTAAGATCCACAACACGTTGACAGGAAAACTTCAAAATTCGTTAAACACGGGTTCACAAATTTGCAATTTAGCATGGTCGAAAACTTCAAACGAAATCGTGACAACACACGGTTATGCTAGAAACCAAATTTCGGTATGGAAGTATCCAACATTAAAAAATGTTGTCAACCTTACAGGCCACACAAATCGGGTACTGTACTTGTCCATGAGCCCAGATGGACAATCAATCGTTACCGGTGCTGGTGATGAAACTTTACGTTTTTGGAAACTGTTTGACAAGAAACCCACAACCATGGAAACATTCATTCGCTGAAAATAAAAATAAAGAAAATCAAAAAAGCTTTACGGAAGAAAGGTTTAAATGACGTCCAACATTTCGACGTTGTCATCATCTTTGTCATCATCATAATTTTTTGGAGACGTGGCACCTTGTTGGGATGAAGACGCAGCATTCATGGCATTTTGTTGACTTTTTAGCTCCATTGCAGCCACATTCATCGTTCCCTTATACTCTGGCTTCAAGCTGTACTTCAACGCATATGGACCACGTTTGTTTAGTACGGCAATGCTGTCAAGGACTTCTTTCAGGTACACCTAAATTGTACTAGTTAGTAATCAATGCATCCAAGCTCATTATTAACAGGCAACTATGCGTACCTCCGGTTGTTTGACATATTCACGAAGACCTTTAAGGGTCCAGTACTCGTAGTCCTCGAAACACTTGAACAGTATGTCAAGGAGTTCATTTCTGGGAATACGAGCATTCTTCAATACCTCACCGGTGCGAGGCTTAACATTTCGCTAAACACTGTTAGTATGAACCAAACAAGGACAGTATTTACTACACGTACAATAAATGAAGTAGTACTTCTTGAGCGCGCGCCTAGAGTACCAGGTGCCAGAAGGCTTCCGCCCCTGTCGTCAATCATTTGGACACGACGTCTGGGAGCACTCGCCGCCAGCGCACGCTTGTGCATAACACGGCGATAATCGTCGTTAATAACAGGTGACACATTGCATTCATGGGCAACAGTTCCAACGAGAGCAGTTTGCTTTGAACCAGAAGGTTGCTCAAACTCCCGAAAAACGTATGAGTTCCGTACATACTTATTCATAACCTTCAGGTTGTATTCTTTGGGAACGTCCATATTCTCTGCGCTATCACGTAAAAGAAGCTGAATTTCGTCATTCATAACACGAACACAACCCAGGTCCGCTGCATGATCTGGCGGAATAGAATTCCATTTATCAAGAAGAAACTTAGGGAGTTTTACCAGCCAAACTCTAGAAGCAATTCCAGAAGTATCAAGATCTCCTGTTTCATCCTCGTACTTGTCTTCTTCCTCAGCTTTAACCATTGGTTGCATTATGTTATAATTTGAAACGTAGGCTCTTTGTTCTCTCGTAAACAATTGAGACGGTTCAGTGTGAATTGTTAAAGGATAAAAGTTGGAACTTCGTTACTATCAAACCCTTTTCTCAAAATTCACTCGATGAAATTAACGTCTTATAAAGATCGTTCTTCAATCTGATAGTTTGATGCTAAGCTGAGTCAAATTTTCTAATAGCTTCTATGTGTATAAGAACCCCTTTCAACCAAGTATAGTGAATAATTTAGAGCAATGGTTGTATCGTACTCGGAGGGTCTGACATGTTCGACAGGTCGAGTGCATAAAATTACATTTTTGGTGGTGAATGACGTCCAAGGGGACGCATCCACTACAGCACAACAGCTACACCGTGAACTTCATTCTTTAAGCAATTTTCCCATTGTCAACAGCTCAATGCACTAGATGAAGTATGTATTAACCTCATAATATAAAACAGCTGTTTGAAAATGCTTATTATGTCTGCAGAACAGTATCATTTTAAAACAACATGCCGTATCTCTCCCTGTTAAAACTTATGAAACCAACATTAGACAAAGGCATATATAAGAATGTCTGTCCGCTAAAAAAACAGTTCTTCAAATTGAAGCAGTACTGGAACGGTATGTTAAGTACATTAAATGTAAAATTGTCTTGTGTGCATTTGTGTGTGTGGGTCCTTTTTTAGTCTTAAATTTATAAAAGATTTCTTAAACAACAGTAAGAACAAAAACATGATAAAAGCGATACATAATAACTGCGTATTTGAATACAACATGGGTTTTCAATGTTTTCTTTATGACCGCCACCGCTTTGTTTACCAAGCCTCCCAAATGCAATTGTAGACGCATACTCGTGTCCCCTTTGCCATTACCCATAAAAAATTGCCATTTCGAGCCGTTATTCATATAATTGTGCATATTATTTTCATTCATTTTATTATCTTGCATTTCTATCATTTTAGCCGTTGTTTTCCTCATTTGATTAAATCATGAAAATAACAACTGTGCTTCTTGGTTTTCTCACCTGCATTAGGTTAAGTTTTGCATTCTCTTTAGACGTAACCGATGAGAACTCTATTTTAGATGGGCTTAATATCGTTAAATCTGGTTTAATGAATTACTATGATTCATCAACAACCGTATTTCTCACAGTGTACTGGTGGATGACGGGTGCAGGAATGAATGCATTGCTGAACAACTATTATCTTACGGGAAACTCAACGTACAATGATCTTGTGACGAAGGTCTTATTGAGTAATACTGGAGATGAAAACGATTTTGCTCCTTCCAGTCAAACCTTAGATCTTGGTAACGATGATCAAGCTTTTTGGGCTCTTACTGCGATGTCTGCTGCAGAGCTAAACTTCACCGAGAGTTCATCTCAATCTTCATCATGGTTAGAGATGGCCCAAGCTGTTTTCAATGAACAAGTTGCGCGCTGGGACACCACGCTGTGTGATGGCGGTCTCCGCTGGCAGATTTACCCGTTTAACAATGGTTATACATACAAGAACTCCATCACCAATGGCCTTCTGTTCCAGCTTGCTGCCCGTATTGCACGATTCACTGCTAATGATACGTGTGCTGAATTTGCGGAGAAGGTTTGGGATTGGACAACAACGGTGGGTTTTCTCAATGAAAGTACTTTCACGGTGTACGATGGTGCTACCACTGCAGACAACTGCTCTACGCTCACGGAAACGCAATGGACATACAATGTTGGTGTCTTCTTGGGTGGTGCAGCTTATTTGTACAATTATACGAATGGCAGTACAGTTTGGCAACAACGATTGGATGGGCTTATTACCAAGGCTTCTAACCACTTTTTTTCCGGTGGTGTTATCTACGATCCTCAGTGTGAAACTTCGAACAGCTGTAACACAGATCAACCCTCTTTCAAAGGTTATCTTGCTCGATTTATGATGTACGCAATGCAGCTTGCACCATACACTTATGACACCATCATGCCATTAATGAAAACCTCTGCAACAGCTGCTGCTCTCGCCTGCTCAGGCGGCTCAGATGCTGTTACATGTGGTACTCGTTGGTACTGGAACAATGGTACATGGGATAGCAACTATGGTGTTGGTCAGCAGCTGTCCGCGTTGGAAGTTATTCAATCACTGTTGGTTGACAAAATGCAAGTTCCACTTACCCAAAGTACGGGTGGCACATCTGCTTCCAATCCGAATGCAGGCTCTGCTTCTGCCTCTTCGACCGTGGTCATTTCACCTGCTACGACGAAAGACAAACATTGGAGTCGTTTCTTCACTGCTTTGCTTGTTTTTCTGCTACTAAGTTGCTCTATTTGGCTGTTCCTTTAAATTATTGATTCAAAATTGTTGACATTATCTATGTAAGGCATTTTTTTCTGATTGTCTGCTCATACATGTGTTAACAGTGTCTGTTACGTTTCCAAAACTCGTTTTTTTCTCTCTCTCTCTTTGTCTATTTGTCTATTTCTTTGTGGCATTCTGTGTTTTTATCGACCATTCTTTTATCACCTGGAGCTACATACTGTGTTTGCATATTCTTTTGGTGTTAATTTGTTCTGATTTTGGCGCTGTTTCACGTTTGCCTATAAAACGCTCAAGGAACAGGTTTTGACAATTTCGTTCTTATCAATTGGCGTGATTTATCAATTATTTAAATGATCTATGTGAACATATTCGGCGCACTACTTTTAAAGCTATGTTCACTGCTCCTAGCAATACTGGAAACCACTAGGACGTTGGGTTTTTGGCCAATATATGCACATTTACGCGTTAAAACTATGTATTTACCAAAAACGCTTTCTGAGGTTTAAAACATGGCCAATTGAGCCCTACGACTAATTTATTGTTAGTTGACTTCTTTAGTACATGTTTGCGCTGACTGAATTACTTTGCAAACCTTAAATGCAATCTCTGCTCATATTCCCCGGTTTGTCCTTGATCCATTCGATGATCCTCGGCGATCCCGACCTTTATTGGACGCTGTCGGCTCTGTGACCGGTATATGCAGATTCAGCATCCGATCCCGTGGCCATTTTGGTGGGTCTTTTCTGGCATTCCGAGGCAATGACGTGTTACACTATGAATTTCGGGAGAGGTACGGAAAGGTTCACTAGAATGAACTCACCCACAGCCAACCTCCAATTCTTGCATAAACAACGAGAAATCGCCGCAAATACGCAGCGTTAACTATTTCAAGTACGACCTTTTACAAGGTTTTCTTTCTCTGTTGTCCTTGTCTGGACTTCTTTTGTCAGAAAAAGGAGAAATAGTCGACTTCATCAAGACGGCGTCTCTTGTGTTCCTACTGCGCAAACAGACCGTAGACAGAGACATTTCACGATAATGAAGTTTCGTCAATGGCTGAATTGGCTTCTCTGTACATCTTTTGCGTGGCAAACTGTTGTCGCGTTTGAATTAAACATTAGCAGCCTTGGTATGTGGTTCTCCAACTTACTCCGCACTCGAATGGACGAATTGTATTTGTGGTGCCGTTGAATTGCTCGGGTGCTTTTGGTTCACGTTTTGCTAACTGATTGTGTTCGCGCATATAGATTCCATTTATTCTGGCATAGAAACTGTTCAGAAGGGTTTAATTGACTACTGGAATGCGTCTACAGATTCATTTACACGTTCATATTGGTGGCAGACTGGTTCGTCTTTGACGACTATGTTAAACACCATGCTCGTTACCAACAATGAGACGTATAAAAGTCTAATTCACGATGCTCTCGTGTACAACGCTGGTGAAGATTACAATTATCAGCCATCATCGGAGTATTTCAACCTGGGTAACGATGACCAGGGTTTTTGGGCCCTCGCAGCCATGTCGGCTGCGGAGAATGATTTCACTTCTCCCGATTCATCGCGCTCGTGGTTGGAGCTTACACAAACTGTGTTCAACTTGCAAGTCGCACGTTGGGATATAAACTCTTGCGAGGGCGGTCTTCGTTGGCAGGCTTTCCCCTGGCTTAGTGGTTATACTTATAAGAACTCAATCTCAAATGGTTTACTATTTCAGCTCTCTGCAAGATTGGCTCGCTTTTCCGAAAACGAAACATATGCAGAGTGGGCCGAGAAAATTTGGGATTGGTCAGAATATGTTGGGTTTGTGAACACTACGGACTACTCAGTCTACGATGGTTCCTATATCACAAATAACTGTTCCGTACTCAACTTACGGCAATGGACCTATAATTTGGGTGTGTACCTTGCTGGTTCGGCCTATATGTATAACTATACGAATGGCAGTGATACGTGGAAGGGACGGTTGGATGGCTTAATTACGAAGTCGAATTATTTCTTTGTAGAGAATATTGCGCAGGACCCTCAGTGTGAGTACTTTAATAACTGCAATCTAGACCAGACTTCATTCAAGGGTATTCTTATTCGATTTTTTGGTTACGCAATGCAGCTTGCTCCATACACACATGATACCCTTATGCCTTTGGTCCAAGGCAGCGCGGTCGCCGCCGCATTGGCTTGTAGCGGCGGATATGATGGCGTTACTTGTGGTACTCACTGGAGTTGGAACAATGGGACGTGGGATAGCACGTATGGCGTCGGACAACAAGGAGCAGCTTTGGATGCGATAAACACCTTGTTGATTGATTATGCTCCTACTCCCAAAAAGCTTTCATCAGTTTCAGATCAACGCTCAGATCCCAGCGCTGGTGTTCATACTCATGGAACCACTGTCAATGTTACCATTACACCTGCTACAGAATCGGATCGCGGTGGGGCTGGTTTCCTCACTGCGTTGACGATAGCGATTTTTCTTCTTGGTAGTATCTGGGCTGTGTTCGATTTTGGCGGCTCTGGAAAGTTGCCTGCTCGGAACGAGCCCTATGTTACTTTCATTTCTATTCTTCGACCTTCATCCGATGAGGATGAGAAGTATAAGAGTGTTGACAGTTCAGACACTGGTAATAGTTCTAGGGAAAAGGCTGATGCCACCGGTGTTGAAGAAGCTAAACAAAGTGACACGGCGATCATTTCCCCGTCTTCACCCGTGGCAAAACGAAGTGATGCTTCGCTTTCTACCCTTCAAAATCCTACTCATCCAATCGAAAGTAACTCCAATACATCATTCTCAAACCTTTCAGACGATTCGCAGAAGCTCAGTGATGCACCAAATCACGGAAATGCTGATCGAGTTCTGTGAGAAGATGTTGTGTTTTCCACTCAATGATCAACTTTTCAGATTATACCCGAGTTTTATTAAGCTGTCACTTTGTTGACAGCTTTAAGCAGTTTTCGCTTTCAAATGCTGTAGGCATGTTGATGTATGACATTGCTTGCAGACATTAATACTCCTGAACGCTGTGAATCGCAAATGATTGTTCTCCTTATTCCTTATGCCATCATCTCGTCTCTCTTCTTTCCTTTAGTTCCATCCATACTTTTACCGTCCGTTGAAACTCCAATCTTCCTTTTAAGCTTAATAGGAAAAACACTAAACAGCAGTTTTTATTTCATCTTTTTAATGGATTCTGTTTCTCTTTCGGCTTAACAAAATTTATGTTCTTACTGTTAATGCAAAAAATCGTACTTATGTTTCGAGCTGTCAAAAAAACATATCCAGTGTGAGAGTTGACGAATAGACGAGCTGTAAATACATGTTTCTGTGAGTACCAATATGATTATATAACAGACATGAATGCGAATTTGACGTTTCCGTTGTTCATGGGTATGATTGACAAGTCCCGCGCTTTATGGAATTAGGAAACTGATGCATATGCTTTTGCAGTGATATTTTTTTTTTTAATTTTTTTTTTTGCAATACCATTGAAACTTTTTAATGTATCTAATGGGATTAAGTACTCTAAAGTCTTGCTGAATTGTATCATGAATGAATAAAAGGGCGTGTAATCCCTACTCATCCTTCAAGCAAAATTGCTCGAGTTGTTTGTAAGCAGTATCAAGGTTATCATTCACGACAATGCCGTCGAAGTTACCAGGTTGCTTGCTGTACTCGATCTCGGCAATAGCTTGAGCAAGACGTTTGCTGATGGACTCCTCGGACTCGGTACCACGACCACGAAGGCGTTGTTCAAGGCATTCAACGGAAGGAGGAGCAATAAAGAGGTAGCGAGCATTCAACTCGCTCTTCTTCACTTGCATAACACCCTGCATATCGATGTCCAGAAGCGGTGTTTTCTGATGTTGAATCACATCATCAATAGCCATGACGGAAGTACCATACATGTTGCCAGAGAAAACAGCCCATTCAACGAACTTGTTCTCAGAGACGAGCTTTTGGAACTCCTCCTTTGTAACAAAGTAATATTCAACACCGTTTCTCTCTCCGGGACGGGGTTGTCTTGTTGTATGAGACACTGAGAAACCAAAACGATCCTTGTAATTTTGCATCAAACGTTTTACCAATGTCGATTTTCCGACACCAGAAGGACCGAAAAGAATAATAGGACGTCTAAGAGAAGCCATAGTGTTATTTCTTGAGTTGGTTCTGAAAGAAATAACTATTTTGAAGGTTAGAAATCATGGATACCACTGAGATAGTTTAAAATACGATGGGCTTTATTAACAGACACACCGAAGTCAACTTACTGCAAGAGACAAAATTCACCTGGAGTTGGTTCTCGCTTGCTTCACGTTCCTTGAAAAAAAAGGCCGTTAACACCACACTCTAAACAATTTAAACAACCGATTCTTTAAGAACGTCGTTCAAATAGTAAGCGCTTTTTCAATAATACTAGGGTTTTATTAATTCTGTTTCTTACAAACTGCTAAATACGACTTCATATAGTAAACTCACCGTTTTTGTTCTTACTCCACTAACGTAACCAGACCCTAAGAGCGTATATTGAAGTTCCAGCTATTCTGTTGTAAGTAGATCGTTGAGATCGACATTATATGCCGCAGATCCCATCCGCAGATCATCTTAGAACAGTAGATCTCTAACAGAGAGAAAAAACACAACTTAACATTACCCTCAATGTCGTCTGCTACTTTCCGTCACCCATGCCAAACTGTACTGTGGAATAAGTTTAGCGACTCTATTGTTTGTTGCAGTGGGCCCTTTTTGAAAGAATTTGCATGTTCAACGGGCGAAAAGTTAAACGAGTATTCTTACGAAGATAAACTAGACCAAAAACATAGAGAAGCAGCAGCCTATGGACAAGCCGTGCGCTTCGTTGCTTATAGCAAGGATGGAAGTTTTATGGTGACTGTAAACGAGGATAAAACGCTTTGTTTATGGAACGTCATTAATTCTAAAATACAGCTCGTTAAACTTATCAAAGTTGCAAAGCGTTGTTCCGCTCTAGAATGCTCTGAAAACGGTGATATTGTTTATGCAGACAAATTTGGAGACGTCTTCCGCATTGAAAAGAACTGGTTGCTTGAGAACGGTATTCATCCTGAGGAACAAGCAGCAGCCGAGCAACAGGCCGCTGAGGCAGCAAAAAGTGGAAAGCAAAAGGCGATTGGGACGGCTGAGCATTCTAGTGTTGAAAAGGTCAATAACTTTCATCCTTTGTTAGGTCATGTTTCCATCTTGACCCAATTACTCATTTGCAAGGATCCAAAAAACCCATCTCGCGAACTCATCATCACTTCAGATAAAGATGAACACATTCGTGTCTCTCGTTTTCCTCAATCATATGTCATTGAAGGATTCTGCTTAGGTCATGAGGAGTAAGTAGCCTTTCATGCTTTAGGAAAGTAATGTTTGGGCAAGGTTAGATATTTCCCCAAAGGGAGATAACAACTTATGCCCGAGTTTTATTATTGATCCGGCATTGTTACTTCTTTTTATCTGTGTTCTTTACAAAACTAACAATTGTGCAGCTTTGTGTCTCGTATCTGTTTGGTCGACAATGACATGTTGGCGTCCGGAGGTGGTGATAACCACGTCTTTTTGTGGGACTTGTCAACATACAAGTGTTTGGATGCCTTTAATATCAAAGCTGCTTTCTCTAACTATCTCAACATGGAAACCTCCATGGCGCTTAATGTACTTCTGTACGTACCTCCGCTTCACATGTTGATGGTGGCCAGTGAAGGTAACTCGGGTGTTGTTTTCATTCGTATCGTTGATGGTCGGCGCCTTGAATATCATTCGGTACTCGCAACCCCGTACCCGGTCATTTCAGCTACACTTCGTGAAAGTTCAAACGGTTTAGGAATCATCCTCGCCTTGGACAACACAAAGAGCTCTGAGCAAAAAAATTTATCGTGCCTGCAGTATATTGACCTGCGCAATTTCGCAGCGCCCTTCACTTTGTCCGAACCTCCGTTTTTACAAGCCGCAGTAAATGAATTGCCCGAGGTAGAACAAGTACTTTGTCCCTTATCACAAGTTCGGCCACTCCGTAAGGCACATTCAAAATTCTTTGCTCCCGGAGAAACGCGTGCAACAGTTGGAGCAGACACTCCTTAGAAGGCTCTTGGAAAATCTGGTGATATTTGTGGGCACAAATCATAGATCATATGGAATATATAGTTAATTTCGTACAATTGAAAGTTTGATACTTAAGGCAAAAATAGTCGTAGTTTATCCAAAACTTTGTTGTTTTAGGTTCCATTCCCAAAAGCATCATCACTGAAGAGCTCAATGTATGCGATCATTGAATGTGCTTGGGCAATTTAAAGCTGTAATTGTACAGATACCAACAAAACATGTACGAATATATTACTATCATATGTATTTAATCCCAAACCCAGGCACCATTTGCTTATTTTTTTCTATGTTATGTGAGGCTGCTCACCATTTCTCTGTATTTTCTAGTCAATGATAGGAGCATTCAGTGTTTAAAATTGTAATTGAAATACGATCGCATAGAGTCTTACAACCAATCATCGCAAATTTAGTTCAATATAGCCTTCTGTCGAGTGGTATTTCAATTTCACAATTTGAGCAATCCAAAATTTCCGTTTCTCCTTTGGGCTTGTTACTAATTTTGTTTTTCATGCTGGGCCCAGCAAAACTCTAGATTAAAAGTAATCATTGACGTGCATGAGTGAAATACGATGACTAATCAAAGAGAGATCATTGCAAAAACTTTAGTCCAACATCGCCTGCTTGTTGAGAGAATTGAAAGATGTATTTTAAAACGTAAATGTTTAACGTTCCGCATATCGTGGGCGTTTCATTAGAATAGCCGTTTTCTTCTCTTCAACGAGTTTGACATTGAGGTACCCGGCCCCATTAACTCGTCCTCGTGCTTTCCAGACTTCGAAAGCTCAAAGCTCCACTCGCTGTTAATAAGAAGTCAAAGTAGTAAGCCAGAAAAAAACAGAATAGCACTCCCCGACGAACTGTCCATCAACAAAAGCTTCACGTCAATCTATTCCATCCACCCCACCAGGTACAAAGACATCTTGCCAAACACTACAAACGCGTCTAATCAGAGAAACCGCCATTAAACAAAGAACAACCCCACAGGTGAAGGAAGACCAAGCAGTAAAACGGTTTAGATACCCACAGCATAAACAACCCATTGCAATACCCAAAACACCATTGACACCATCTACGACAACTTCACCGACGATTGAGAACAAGAAAAGTAACTTGTTAAGTTATGACAAACCACCACTAAGTGTTCATTCGCCAAAATCTAATAAGCTTTTTAGTCGAAGAGACCGAAGCCCATGTCCTCATCGGATTCTTCCTCCTCCTCTTGCTTCTCCTCAGCGGCAGGAGCGTCGGCGGAAGCAGCAGCGGCAGCGGGAGCAGCAGCAACAACGAAAGCAGAGGGGTCAGCAAGGTAAGCCTTAGCCTAGAAAGGGGTTAGTAATCAGCTCTAAATACCAGACAACGCGAATGCTTTGTTGCAAGTACCAGCTCAGGAAAAAATTAGAGTGTTTTAACTTTTTGCTCATAGGCATCACAAGTTAAGAGACTCATCAAAACAGGTACTCGCAACAAAATCTAAAGGTACGCGTGTATGCAAACGGTCAACCAATACCGCTGCAGGGAATACATACCTTCTCAGTACCCTCGAAAGTGTACTCGGTAGCCAAAGAAACGCCAACAAGGTTCTTGTAAGCGTTGATGACAGAGTGCATGGCGGAGAGGATAGTGGGGTAGCTGGCAGCCAAAGAAATGCAGGTGACGTTCTTGGCGGCTTGGAGAAGGTGGGCAATAAGATCATCGTCCGAAATGTCAAGGATAGAGGCATCGAAGACATTACCTTGGTCGAAGATGGTCATGACCTTCATACCGTAGGTGAAGGGAGAAATGTTGAGCATGTTCAACAAAGTAGCCTCAGAGGGACCGACCTTGGTGTTCTTCTCGACCAAGTGAACCTCAGAAGTAATTTCAATAGTACCACGGGTAATCTTGGTGGGAATGCCCAAAGCTTGGAAGAAAGAAGTCTTACCAGGCTCCATACCGGTGTTACCAGCGGGAACGAAGACGTCAAGAGGAGCGATGGCACCGGGTCTGGCGGGAGCAGCAACGACGTTGTTAACGATGCTCTCACGGACCTCCTTCAAGTCAGCGTTGGTAAACACGAAACCAACATTGCCACGAACGGTGGGCAAAAGACGTTCGAGCTCAGGAACCTCAGACAAGACATCGCGGATAGCACGACGGATCATAGTGTTCTTACCCATAAGGATCTCGGCGGTACCGCGAAGCTCCTTACGCACAGTGTGCATTTGTTGGGAAGAAACATTGTCGATACCGACAACGAAGACGGATTGGTACTTGCTGATAAGCTCACGGAGCTTCTTGAAGTACAGGGTCTTGCTCTCTTTAGTGACGGCCATCCCGGTTATTTGTTTTTGGTGTTGGTTTGTGGAACTAGGAACGAATTTGTATGTGGTTTATATCAACGTGTGACTGCTTTTGGGTTATAACGATACGCGAGGATTCATGGAAATAGCCGATTAAGCGGTAGTGAGAAGCGACCAAAGTTACGGATGGATTTAGTGACCGCTAGCGATATTTGAAACAGATCGCGTTATATAAAATAATGATGCGTTAATCTTCACTAAACGCATTTCCCTTGCTGTAGTGCTTAAGGGAAAGCTACGTTACTGTTAGCAACATATTTTCATTCGTCAGTCATGGCACCGTTTTTAGATACAGTGTTTACCGAATGGCCGGCGGATGTGTGCAAGTTCTCAAAAGCATTTCCGGAAATCTGCATCGTAGGAACATACTTACTGAATGAAGAGACGCGTGTTCGTACGGGAAAGCTTATTTTGTACGACACGCGAAATAACAAATTGTATGGAAACGCACAATTGAAACCATCGTTTACTAACGAATTTCAAAGAAATCGCATATTTGAAACTGAATGTGATGCAATTTTAGATTTTAAATGGTATGTGGGAATGGTGGGTGTAGGGACTTCAAATATCAAACTGTACAATGGTATTCATACTCTCACTTTTCTTAACAATCGTAACGCTTATCAGCTAACGTGCATTCAGGTCACCGATAAAACCAGCGCTGTTATTCGTTGCCCATTCCACTGGAAAGATTTCTGTGTATGAGCATCACGAAGAGTCACGTCTTCGGCCACTTCGAGTAGATCAGCTTGTTGACGAAACGGTGCTGCTACTCGCGTTAGACTTCAGTCCGGAAGGCGACACACTGGCAGTGTCAACATCTGCTGGACAGGTTCTGCTCGTTGATGCTGAGACGGGCGAGCTCTGTGGTGAACCATGGTCAGAACATGGATTTGAGGCATGGACCGTGCATTGGAGCCGAGACGTCGACAAGTCACCAAACGTTTTGTACTCCGGCGGAGATGACGCAGCTCTCATCTGCTACGATCGTCGAATGCCAGGTATGAGCGTGTGGAAAAACCGGCGTGTACATACCACCGGAGTTGTGTCTATTCTTTCGAGACAATCTTTTGGTCCATACATGTTGACTGGCGAGTATGGTGACATTATTCATACGCTAGATGTCCGCTCTGCGTGCCTACCTCTTGCTGATAAAAACTTGGGCGGCGGTGTTTGGCGACTTGAGCACATGTATACAGACAGTGTTACACGAAGTCATGACATTTTGGGTATTCTTATGCATCGCGGAGCCCAAGTCTTGCGTGTGCCAGCAGGCTTTGAAGATATCGAGTTGCACTCGCAAGTTTTTGATGAGCACGAAAGTATGTGCTACGGAGGAGACTGGCGGTCGCAGGATAATACTTTTGCGACTTGTTCCTTTTACGATAAACGAGTGTGTCTCTGGAAGGCAAGTCCAATGAACGAGTCGAGCACTGCTATCGAATGAGGGAATACAAAAAAAAAAGAAAATGAAACGCTACAGAACAGATGAGGCTTTGACCAAAAAGCAAGAGTGCACTTGAGGGTTTCGATGGCAAGTACGAAGCTTTGTGTCTTTTTCAATACCTCCATTAAAATCAAAAAAGAGCCATTCTACCCGAGCACGGGATTATTTCTGCTCTTCAGCCCTAGCGGGTGACTTTGAAGGGCTCTGAAAGAAGCTTGAATGCTTGTATCGCTCGTAATCTGGACGGCTCAAACTGTTGTGTGCCACTTTTATATCAAAGTGAATGTCTGCAATTAGCTTGTCAATACCCTCATAATCAAGCTCTGGGCGAATGTAACCCATTACGGCCGCTCGAACTTGCTGGCCATAAAAATCTTGAGGAAAAGAATGCATAATATGTATCTCTGCCGTACGCTTTTCATTGTTGTAATAAGGATTCCATCCGACACTCATTACCATCGGATAAACCTCACCATCTGCGACCTGTGCAAACCCATAGTATACACCAGACTCGCGCTCTTTTAACAACTCCTGTACTGCGGATTCTAAGATATTGGCAGTCGGAATCCCCATTTCTCGAGAACCGCGCCCGAATCCATGAACAACTTCACCTTGGAAGAAAATCGGATACGGAGGTTGCACTTCTTGAGGGCCGACGATTTCGGGTCGTGGATTGGGAACCTGATTATTGCTCATTAAAGTGGTAGTGAAATATGGTTGGAGGAGACTGTACGTGTTGGCTTTTGGTGGTAAGTATGTTAAGCAGCTGCCTTTGTAATCATTGAAACAGTGTTAGACTAAATAATAATATAGCTTCTACAAGATGATACCGAACCAATAACTATTAATAAGGAAACGAATTTATTGACAAATAATTCACAGAAAGGCCGAAAAAGAAGATAAAGTCGTTTCTTGTTTTGTATCATCTTTATTGACTTGTGCTTTTTCATGAACAGAATTTAGTTGGAAAGTTTTAGAAAACAAACATTTCATGTCAACGTAGGAATAATAGAAAATTCGTAAAGAGCGTAAAGAGTGACCAGAATGATAAAACGAAAATTGGATACGTAAGATCGCGTTGAAATTAAGCGGTTTTTGCAGCAACACGGGGTGAGGGTGTTCCTGAACCGTATGCTCCTTCTTTCGCGCGCTTCAGAATAGGCTCACGGAATTTTCCAAGAGGCAAACTCTCACCATTGTTTGAATGTTCCAGCATAGTCATTAATACTTGATATTTCAAGACAATAGCCTCGTGCTCTCCGCGCGTGTCTAAAAGTTCAGTGAGTACGCGGGCATGTGAGGCAACTTGGATAGGCGAGCGTTTAGCTATGTGAAGGATGCATTGGAATGCGAGCTGCCGCATCCGCGCAAGTGGTGAATTACTTTGTCGCATAAGAGTAATCATAGTATCATGAGGCATCCACCGCCATAATTGCATCCACTGATCAGGGTCGGACTGTTGGAGCGCATGCGCAAACGCACCCAACCCCGTCTCGTCTACCAAGAACTTTCGGCAGAGCCAAAGCGGCGCATAGCGTTCACGTTCATCCTGAACGCCATACTTGTCACGCAACAAGGAGCATGCCTCTTTATTGCCGAGCAAAACACCATATGCGATAAAAGCAGTGTCGTCAGACCCCTTCATTTTTTGTCGTATAACATCGAAAAGATGAAACTTGGAGTCAAGGTGCTTTAAGCAAGCAGGCTGATGTGTGGTCAGTTGAGGTAAAAAATGCAAAGCAACGTGATTGACATATACAGTGTTTGACTCGGACACGTAACGCTGAATAGTGCTGTCGAGGAAACCCGACTCGTCTGACAGGAAGTGAAATGTGTGTGGTGCCTCAACCATTCTTCCTAATGTGTCAATATAGCACAATTCCAGTAATGCATCATTATGAGTGCGTGAAAGGTCAAAAACATGTTTTGTTTTCAACATTTCAAAATGTTTTTCTGAGTTAACGGAAAGTCTGGTAAACAAATCGAGCCAACGGACACGAAGCTCCGAGTTCATGATTTCCATGTCAAGAGGAACGAACGTGCGAAACAGTACATCGAAGTAGTGTTCATATTTGCACGCATCTTCAACCAACTTTATAGCTGTTTCGGCCACTTTCGTTTGTTCGCTATTAACGCTCGTTAACACTGTGGTGAAGAGTGAATCAGTAAGCTCCAATTTTTCAAAACTCGCTCGTCTGCACATTTTTAAACAGTATAATTGCAATTCTGGAGCCGGATTCTGAAGACCTGTAGCCAGGTAGGAATCAATGCCGAAAGCTTTCAAGTCCTTCCATGACATTGGTTCGACTAATTTGTCAATCACTTTCACAATCGGTCCCAAAGGCAATGGTAACTCCAAACAGCTGAGAATGGTTTCCAGCATGCCAAGACAGGCACCACGGTTATGAGAATTGATGCTGTCTTGAAAATCCAGCATTGCGTTAGGAATTTTTCCGAGAAGCTCATAGGGGTTCGACGGAAGATCTCGCAAAAGTTGTAGCAAACGCCGACCTTCATCGGGCAGGCCGGGAATAAGTGGAATTGAGTCAGACATGGTTCACCAGCGAGAACTGAGAAAAACGCAGACGTTCTTTTCTCGCGCGTTTTCCAGCCGAGTTACAAGCAGGAAAAAAACTCAAATGTAAGAAAATAGGCTCGTTAACTTTAAGCAACAAGCAGTGTTTCGGATATGGTTGTTGGCAGGTATTTCGGAATCCATTATTGCACTACTAAGCAGGGTTTCAATTTCCCCGCCTCTTTGCAATAACCTTTTTTGATAAGCGAGTTTTTACGTAGAAGCAAGCCGCCGGAGAAATTAGGAATTCCTGAAGCCTGTGAAAAAAACGGAATCGCATTCTAGACGTTATTCTGAGTTTGCATTCTTTCTAAAACAGGGAGTCCATTTTTGCTGGTAAGTATTAGTGTATAATTTTAAGTGTTCCTTTTCCAGCATGTGGACATTAGCTTTATCCACTAAGTGTGTTCAACACGTACAAAGTACCTCCGAAAAACGCACAGAATGAGTTGATTATGTTAACGTGCTACCCCTAATTTGCATACATAGTCCCAACCCCCCCCCCCCCCGGTAGACCCCTGCGTTAATGCTATTTTTACAAACAAAAAACTGAACACACACGAGTCACCGGTATTGAGCGGCATAATAAAAGGCGATTCTCATAGATTTTACGTTTAACTTCAGCGCACACAATACACTTTTTCGGCTTACTCGGATATGCGTCTTTAGTGTATCAATTTATTAAACAAAACCAAGGACGATAACAAAGTGCGACGTGCCTGTTGCGCCGTGGCACTGGAGTGTTGTCTATTATTAGCATAGTATGCCATTAGCTGTTAATTGGGGGAGCAGAGGGATAATCGAAAAGAAAAACAGAATTGTCTACGCACAATTGTCATGTGAATAGGGGCACAATTTGAACCTGTTTGGGGAGAACGAATTAAACAAGAAAAAGAGGCAAACGGGTTTGCACGGCAGAAACATAGTTCGTTGCTAAAAGTATCTGATGCTGCCCGTCTAATTAGAAGAAATCATGTTTTCTGGGCGCACCCATTGGTCAAATTGCTGAGCGTCGCCAAATCCTAGACGAATAAACTCATCCTTCAATGTGGTATTGTTTTTCAAAGCGCTCTTAGCAATCTTGGCAGAATTGTCATAACCAATACGTGGGTTCAAAGCTGTCACGAGCATGAGGGACTCGTGCATCAGCTTCGATATCCGTTCGCGGTTGGCTTCCAAACCAGCAATACAGTGTTCCGAAAACGATTCACAAGCATCACCCAAAAGACGAATACTATGTAACAGCGTGCGACCCAGTAAAGGCTTGTAGACATTCAATTCAAATTGTCCAGACATTCCGCATACGGTGATAGTCGAATGGTTGCCCATTACCTGAGCGCAGACCATCGTCATAGCCTCACACTGTGTAGGATTCACCTTGCCAGGCATAATTGAACTTCCTGGTTCGTTTGATGGCAGTGAAAGTTCACCATAGCCACAACGGGGACCAGAACCAAGGTAGCGAATATCATTAGCAATTTTCATAAGAGAACAGGCAATCACGTTCAAGACGCCGCTCATCTCGACAACGGCATCATGAGCAGCCAAGGCCTCGAACTTGTTGGGAGCAGGGGTAAACGGATGGCCAGTCAACTCAGAAACCTTTTGTGCAATTTTCACGTCAAAGCCCTTATGCGTATTAAGACCTGTGCCGACAGCGGTACCGCCTTGCGCAAGCTGCGACAAACGGGGGAGAGCGTCGTGAATACGTTCGATAGCATTTTGCACTTGTGCAGCGTAGCCCGAAAACTCTTGACCAAGAGAAAGCGGAGTAGCGTCCTGCAAGTGAGTACGGCCAATTTTAATGATGTCGCTAAACTGTTCTTGCTTGCGACGAATTCCGTCAAGTAGCCGCTGAAGAGCTGGCAATAAATGGTCGTTAATTTCACACACGCTAGCAATATGGATAACGGTGGGGAATGTATCATTCGAGGATTGTGACATGTTAACGTGATCATTAGGATGCACCGGCTTTTTAGTACCCATCTGGCCCCCAAGCAATTGAATGGCACGATTGCTGATGACTTCATTGGCATTCATGTTTGACTGGGTACCGGATCCTGTCTGGAACACTACAAGAGGAAAATGATCATCCAGCTTTCCTTGCTGAACCTCGGTAGCAGCCTCAGCAATAGCATTGGCAATTTTCGGATCCAATCCGTATTCTAAATTGACCAACGCTGCGGCACGCTTCAACACGCCAAACGCATGAACAAGAGGAAGTGGAAGACGCTCGCGAGGGCCACCGATGCGAAAATTCTCCAATGACCGTTGCGTTTGCGCGCCCCAATACCTGTCTGCGGGTACGTTTTTGGGACCAAAGGTATCTGTCTCTACCCGGAACTCATTCGGTTTGGGTGTTGATGGAGCAGACATAGAAAATGACTTAATTGTGGTGATCGCACTCATTGGGACGAACTGTAAACGTGTTAATCATCCGCACAAGAAGAGGATAACAATAAGAACGAGAACCTCCGAAAATTAACGGGTAGACAACCTGACCGATGAAGCGAAGATCATTGAAGCCAATTTCTGGCATAAACAGAACGAGCTCTCCGGATAAATCGAAATCGATGGTCTGTACTGCGACGCACGTCGCGAGTCCAAACGCAAAATACGCAACGAACGCGCCCAGCACGAAACAGGCGCATTCGTTGCGATAATTACGTTACAATACACACGGAGAAGTTACTACTGGGCCAAAGGCAATGGTCAAGCGGCGATTGCGACGGTGCGGTACAGACTAACAAAACGACTACTAAGAAAAAAATTTAAGACGACATCCCGGTAAAGAGCATCACCAGAAGGCTAAACAAATGAAACAACTGGCAAGCTACTCCACGAAAGATGCTGTTTTACTTAATTCTTGATATATCCGGAGAAGCTTCAAGAGTCACTCAAACTCTGCATCAATTCTTCGTTCTTATCTTTTGCTCACAAAACATACCTTAAAAAAATGTGAACGCTTGGTCAGCAGCGTGGAGGGAATGCGCATTTAAGTCTGAATCTCAACACGAGATGTTGTTGGTTGTGGGCAAATGGTTTAAGATGCGATGGTGGTTATATAACTATATCAGCTTCCAGACCCATCTGCGACGTCGCCGTGTGGGGTGTTCTGCATGATGCAACCGTTAACGCCGAGTGTGACCGCAACTCAAAAAAAAGCTAACCGGTTTTATGGTATCAATCAGGTAGCCGTCGTTATCACTAGGGAAAACAGCAATCAGTATCTTCTCCCTCGCCCCCATGCCCGAGGGCCAAGAATGCCGGTTTCGAATTTCACCAGAATCCCGTACCGATGATGACCCTAAGAAAAACCTGAGCCCGGAGAAAATCAAATGGCCCAATACGAGTCCCTTGTAATGAGAATACAACAACCACTCGTAAACACCCTAGCTGTCAACACAAAAATTAATTCATCAAGTGAACTTCTCATTTAGACTAGTCTATAATATTCATGCCAAAAATTTAAACACGCTTGTTGATGGCAGCAGTGAGCTTAGCTTGCTCGACCAAGACGCGAGGGGCGTCAAGAAGGGGCATGTGAACCTCAACCAATTGGATGACATCAGCAGCAGCGAACTCCTTGTTTTGGAAGAGCTCGACCAACTCCTTCTCGGTGTGGATGTTGTAGGAGCGGGAGTCCTTGGCACCGTAGTCCTTGAGGAGGTTTTGGTAGTTCCACTCAGTGTTGATGTCGTTGTAGACGGCGTGAAGACCGTGGATAAGACGCTCAATGGTGTAACCGTTGTTGTTGATAACGAAGATGATGGGCTTGAGACCTTGACGGATGCAAGTGGAGATCTCTTGGACAGTCAAGGCAAGGGAACCGTCACCGACGATCAAGACAGTACGGCGGTCGGGCTTGTCAGAGTCCTTAACGGCCAAGCAAGCACCGAACAAGGCACCGACGGACCAACCGATGGCACCCCAGAGAACTTGAGAGAGGTGAGTAGCGTTCTTGGGCATACGGCAGTCGAGGGAACCGAAGTTGGAGGTACCAGTCTCAGTGACAACGACATCGGAGTCCTTGAGGAAGGTAGAGAGAGTGGGCCAGAACCACTTTTGGGTGATGGTGCCGGCAGGGTAACCCTCGGCAGCAGTAGGGGTGGGGACCTTGAAGTTGACGGGGGCAGCCTTGGCTTGAACGGCCTTGAGGTCAAGAGCAGCAATGATCTTGGGGAGAAGGGCCTTCATGCCAACGTTCTCGTACTTGGCAGTACCAATTTGAGTCCAGGTGGAGTGGAGCTCAATGGTGTTGGTGACGGGAGTACCGTAAGTGAAGGTACCAGTGTTGAAGTCAGAGCGAAGGGCACCAACGTTCAACAAGAGGTCAGCAGACTCGAGACGCTCCTTGACATCGGTCTCAGTAAGAGAACCGACGTAGACACCATCGAAGTAGGGGGAAGACTCGTTGATGGCGGTCTTACCCATGGGGGTGACATAGGTAGGGAAGTGGGTGGCATCGACCAAAGCTTGGGTCTCCTCCTTGGCGTCGAAGCGGGAAACGCAGGCATCGACAAGGATGGCAGTCTTCTTGGCGCTGTTGATGCGGCTGACGATCTCCTTAAGAGCCTCGGCCTCAGCAACGGGGCAGTTCTCGGGGTAGCTCAAGTTGAGAGGGGTCTTCAAGCCAGAGGCATCACAGCTGAAGTAGCCGGAGTCGGAGGGAATGGCAAGGTAGACGGGCTTCTTCTCGCGCCAGCAAGTCTCCAAGATGTGGTCAATCTTTTGGGGAGCGGTCTCAGCAGAGTCGAGGAATTGGACCTCAGCAGAGATCTCAGCGGACATGCGCTCGAAGACCTTGAAGTCACCGTCACCCAAGGTGTGGTGAAGAAGGGGCTTGACGGCCTGGTTCTTGGTGGAAGGAACACCAACGATGTGAACAACGGGGATGCGCTCAGACATGCAACCAGCAATACCGTTAAGAGCGGAAAGCTCACCAACACCGAAGGTGGTGATAATGGCAGAGATACCCTTAACACGGGCATAACCATCAGCGGCGTAAGCACCGTTCAACTCGTTGGCGTTACCAACCCAGCGGAAGGTCTCATCACCGACCTTGTCGATGAGGTCAAGAAGAGCCAAGTTGAAGTCACCAGGAACACCAAGAATAGACTTGATGCCCAATTGGAGCAAACGTTGGAAGAGGTACTCACCAACGAGGATCTTTTCAGAAGACATGATGATTGTGTGTGTAGAGGAAGACTTGTCCGAAGATAAGTTGATGGTTTGACGGGAGTGAGCTTCCTCTATATATACTATCTGAGTCCGGCTGCGACCGCACCATACCGGCGCCGACTGTCGGCTCGATGAACACCTTTCCCAAGGCAGGCGCCAGTCTTTCTCTCTGATTGGTCGGAAAGTTGCAGGTGGCTCCGGAACTAGGTTCCTCTTTGCGAGCCTAATCGGCGGCTTTCGACGGTTTCAGCCAATCATACGTGCGCGGTTGGTACCGGTCTTCAAAATGACAGTATTAATACGTACATACAAAGACTAAATCGGGAATATCAGGAGACAAATGTGGGGTGGCAAGAGACGCGCTCAGGGGACGCGCAGAACACGCCGGTAAGCATCACGGTTGGAGGTGTGCTGACAGCACGGACCGCTGTTTTTCGTTTCCGGTAGGCGTGTTTTGTCAGTGACTGAACTGTTCTGGCCGTTTTCTGTATACTAATCTTCCGTCGTTTGGCATGAAGAAGGAAACGCTCGGCTCACACCATATGACAGTTTTGTCAAGTGCAAAAGCGGACACGATTGTCTCGCCAAAAATTTAAAGTTACCGCGAAAATACTAGACGAGCGAGAACGGATCCGAGAATCGAGTGGCAAACCCAGCACGTGGTTGGCGTTTCCTTTGTTTGATTGGATATGGCTTCTGTACTCTTCCTTGTGCGCGATGCTGGGGGTCCATCCAATCACTGCCGCGGTTTCGACGGAAGGACATGTCACTATTCAACTGCCGAGCAAGGACTCACACAGAAGTCAATGGAAGAAGATGTAGTGCACTGAAGCAATACCTGGTATGGTAAAGGGCGCTTGCGCACTGTAGCATCAATTCATCGTTGCGTTATGTATCTTAACACACTTTAACGCAGTTGTACTATTTCAGTGTGTGTGAGTCTGGTCCCTGCTGGGGTTTATATGCAGTTAGCACGCAGCCGAAAAGAATTCTCAAACAGGAAGTCGGTTCTGCCGGAATCAGATATCCTTGTTATACGGTGGGTAATGGAATGAAATAACTGCATCTGATTTAAACGTGTAATTCTAGCGACCTTCATTACGTGTGCGACTTCAAAAAACTGTATCCCACTTATTCACCAAAGAGTCATTTGTAATTATTGCGCTCAATGTCTGCCATTATGTTTTTTGCACAGAAGCGATGAGTATGTAAACCAATAAACAAAGTTATAAACATATAAATGAATTATTTCATGCTTATTTGGAAGTGTACTTTTTTTTATTTATTTGCGAACGTATATTACATTTAAAAATTAAATTACAAAAATTCTTAATAATATAAGTGTAAGATAAATACTATCATTATCATATACAATTACATAATGACGGAAAACGAAACCGTATAATAGTTAGCACAACATTTTTTGCAATTCCGTAAATCTTCTCCACACTCAATTAAATTATAACGCAGATAATGATTTCACTGTACACACCCCACAGTTAATGATTTCTATAACTTTTGAAAACAAAACGATAAACCCGACTAAGCCTCAAAAAACTCCTCAACATTCATTCAAATCATCGAGCGAAACCGGACTCGAACTCGACTCCCGTACACCAATTTACCGCTACGCCACCGGACCCCAAATAAAATTCTAGGGAATAAATAATAAGTACAACCTCTTACTCGTGATGCCTTTTTCAACGGTTGAGCGCAAACCATGAACGAAACGTACAGTTCATGGCGGAGAATGCGGTTTTGCATTTAATTCAACTTTTTAAGAATAATGGTACGTCGCAAATTCGGTCTCTCATGTTCTAACGATAAACCAGCCGCCGCGGAAGCTAGAATTCAGGGTTTGGATGCATTGCGTTCCTATTTAAACAAAAACAACATATCGGTAACTTTCGTAATTTCCCCAGCAAGAACCTTTGTTTACTAACAAATTATGATAGAGTGATCAAATTGGAGTATATATAAACTGTTTTCAGCTTGCTCTGGAAACGGTCAATCCTCTTCTTCTTCGTTCAGCCTTCGCTTGCTATGAAACTTTCTTAAAACGACTGCGTGCTCAGTTTCCCAATTGGGTTAAACACCATGTGTCACAGTTAAAAACTCTAGCGTTAGATCACATAGCATCGAAAGACCTCCGACGACGGGTTTTAAATGTACTGCTTGAGTTATGGCACATGAACCATACAGATGTCGAACAATCGATGCACCAAATACTTACAACAAACAAGAACCCGGATTCTCGTCTACACTGTTTGCATTGGTTTACGCTTGCACAAAAAAGCGGATTAAATGTTGATCTCAAGACATTGCGCCCTGCACTTATTCGTAATCTTAGTCATGCTGATCCACATTTACGTGAGGAGTCAAAGAACGTACTTATTTCATACTACAAGGGTACTACAAAACAGACTAGAGCATTACTGCAAAGGGATCTTTTGGACCACAATGTGCAAAAGGATCTTGTGTCAAGTATTGCGACCGAACTTGGGTTGGACTTGGCGTCAGGCTCAAATAACCAGAATGGCATTAATGACACACCCACAATGAAAGTGCTACTCCATACATATCCTACAGCTGAGCTTGAAAAACTGGAACCGCTTGGTACAAATTTTTCAAGACAATTGGACCAGGATTTTTCCCCCTATTACTCTGTTTTTGAAGGCAAGGAGACCGAACAAAACTGGTCTATCCGCCAAGAGATGATTACAAAGCTACGACGTTATTTACGTGGCAACGCACTTGACGATTTTCATAGTGAATTACTAAGCGTCGTCAGAAACCTTCGCAACGGTATTGTGGTTGGACTATCATCTTTAAGAACAACACTAAGCTACACGTCCGCACAGCTTTTAAAAGAATTAGCGATCCTTTTGAAAACCGAGATTGACTCTATGGTCGATATTTTTTTGCCAAATCTTCTGAAGGCATGTGCTCTCACCAAAAAAGTTATATCTCATGCTGCCAATGTCACATTTGCTACTATGATAGCACATTGTGGATCGCCCCAGAGGAATTTTATATTTATAATGCAGGCTTCACAGGATAAAAATGCGCAATTACGAATTTTCTCTGCAAATTGGGCGGACTTAATGCTCAATCTAAAAAAAGATGTAGGCCTAAATCTGGACCCTCAGCTTGCTTCCAAGAACTACGAAAAAATTGTGATCAAGGGGCTTTCCGATTCAAACTCTCAAGTTCGTGAGCTATATCGCAAACTTTTTTGGAAAGTAGTAGATGCGTTTCCATCCACGCAGTCAACAATGGAGGATAATTTATCGCCGACAATACTAAAGCAATTGGAGGCACTAAATTCTCGCAAATTGCCGCTTTCTTCTTCCTACCCAAATACATACAAGCGTGGAAACTTACGTCCCATATCCCTTCTTAAGAGTTCCGCAGTAAGGGAGCCTCTTCTAAAATCTAAGAAAGAGGAACACCCTTCTTATGCTACTGCCAACCAAAACGGAATTCGAAAATTGGGGTTGCCTCAACGTTCAGCTTCTAATCCCGAAAAGAAAAGGTCCACCTCGAAGGTTCCAGCAATCACACAACTCTCGTCTAACTTTAATCATAACTCTTCAGAGCGGACTGTAACTTTTCCTTCTAACGGTGCACAAAGAGTCCTGTCCTCCGGTGCTGTAAGCGGTAATCCGAACGGCACTAGGCAGAAACTATTGGATCTATTGGGTTCGGACATGGATAAGAAGCAATATGAAGGTGTGAAGCTCCTGCTTTCGAAATTTAACAGATCACAGCGTTCATTCTCTGTGGAGGTGCCTCGAAAAGAATATATTAGTCCTTACCTTGGGAAGCTTCTGCATAATGGTACTACATTGGCATATTCACTGCTGTTCACTCCGGAATCTTTAGAATGTCTTTTGCTATTGTTACCGGCGCAAACTGTAATGGCTCGTCTACTACTCGCAGTTCATGACAACACAGACTTAGCCCATGCATTCTCAGCACCCTGCTTACCGATGCTTAAAGAGAAACTTTCAAAAATACATGCTTTTCAAGATCTATACCAATTGTTAATGGACATATCCAATATGAGTGCTGTTCCAAAATTATTCCCTTATAAAACAGACCAAAAACGAATTATAATTTTTGGCTGTTTAACATGGTTACGCGAGATTTTCAATGAGGAAGTACTCTTAACCAAAAACCCAGAGTTTCTTAAAGAAGTATTCACAAATGTCTCCGTAAAAAATTGTGCAGTAAGCATTCTACCTATGGTAGCAAAAACCAAAACGACGTCCAGAAACTGGTTGCCTCTCAGCAGTTTACTCAAAGCTTTCAGTGATTATGATTCAACTATATATGAGGCAGTACGTTCCCAACTCGATGTAACCTCTAGCACAAAATTACTTGACTCTTGGAACACTAATGGGGGAGCAGAATGCACTGACGAACCAAGATCTCCATCTTCTTCTTTAAAACCCATTTCGAATACAGGTGCGTCCATTTTGTCTGAAGAAGGTCAAAATGCGACAACGGATGTTGCGTCAACCGAGAAACAGGAATTTACCAAGAAAGAAGGATTGAAGCCTGATCTTGACGTTGCAACTAATAGCGAGGCCATGCTTAGTAAATCTATTAAAGATGCTGGGCTAAAATCAAATGGGAATGCTAACGAAAACACTCCGGTTCTCTCCATTCAAGAAAAACTTGATTTGACATTCAATGAATTTAGTGCTTCTGAACTGCAAGAAGTATATAATCAAGATGCCGAATTAACAATGATTGCTCCTAACTTTAGGGTTGAAGATATACAAAAAGTAAACATTTTGCACTCACCCAAAACTGAGAGCGTTAATTTCGATGATTCTGATCTTGACGAAATTAAAAGTTCTGACGAGGGCAAAGATATATTACCATCTCTCGATAATCTATTATTGCCTGTCGATGTTGATGTTGCTCATACTGACTTGTCGAACGGAGAAAAGAAAAGCGAGCACAAAGTTACTCTGTCTAAGCAGGGATCACCTGCCCTAGACAGTGAAGACAGAATAAGCCCAATCCCATCAACGCCAATACCATTAGATGTTGATATTGCTCCCAACAAGTGGTTAAAGTTTCGCTTAGACAAAATGACAACCAGCACGCCTCTCTCCAAGTCTTGTTCTGAGGATCTATTGTATCAGCTTACTGTCGCATTTGAACGAAAGCAAGCGCCATCTCCGTTATTAAGACAGGTTCTAAAATTAGTCCAGAAACAACCAGAACTGACACTGAACAACATAAACTTTGCCTCAAGTTTGATGAACTATCTAAGTGATGAAAGCGTAACCGCCAACATTGCGGACATCTTGTTATTATTACGCGAGTATCTACTCGTAGCTTCAAAACAACTGCACTTTGACGCTTGCTCTATTGTTATATCTTCGTTACTGAAACGTGCAACAATATCTGAAGATGAAGATGCTGTTTCTATTGGAATTGAAGATAATGTCGTCATTGTTGGTCGCATCGCTAACCCGTTTAAAATTATCTTCTTTGTCAGGGAAAGGATTCTCGTAAAACCCAGTCCTTCTGAAAGGCATCTCGTTCTTTTGTTGCAATTACTTGCAGAAGGTGTTAAGCGTTTTGATTTCTTCTTATATCCCGAATGCAATACTGCGCTACAGTCCATCGTTTCCGCATTTATTGAGCACCCTAATCCTGCTGTTCGTAAAAACGTTTTCCAAATCTGCATTGCCATGAATACTGTTACAAAGTCGTTCGATAAAACATTTGAAGTTTTGAACACGCTTACCGAGGGGCAGCGTAACCTTATAATTCATTTTTCTAGTATCGTTTAGTACAGAGTCCATCTTGTTTTATCTTCGTTGTTTTATCCGTTTAATGTCACTTCTTATTTTTATTAATTGGTCATGATTAGTTGACAGTAAAGAAGCCTCAAAAACACAAGCCTAACATTTTCTTCAACTTCAAAAGCTCAGAGTTGGCAATAAACGTGGCCTGCTCTGCTCCCTCTTTGGCAACTGTGTTTAAGTAATCTATATCACCAAGATATCGTTGAAAGCGCTCTGATATCGGACCCAAACATTGCGTCACAGCTTCTGCAACAGTGGCTTTAAGTTCAACGTGTGATGCATCAGCAAAGGAAGAGCTCAGGCTTGTAATGTCTTTGCCAGTCGTCGCGGAGAGAATGGCCAAAAGATTGCTGATACCAGGACGATTTATTCTGTCGTAAGTAATACCACTTATAGAATCAGTCAGTGCTCGACTGATTTTACGTGCTATTATTGATGCCGTATCCGTCAGTAATATATAATTCTCTGTATTGTCATCGGACTTTGACATTTTTTTCGTGGGTCTTCTTAATGCCATTATAGAGGAGTAATAATCTTTTCATTATTGTTAGCACACAAAGTTAAGAAAAGAACTTACTTAATATGGGTTGGGGTGGGTTCAGTACAGGTTTTTTTAGTATGTTGTTGATGGAGTTAGCAATTGTTCGCGTTAATTCGAGATGCTGAACCTGATCTTTTCCAATAGGAACATGGGTGCCACTTGCTGTATTAGCTATGCAGTAAAAAAAAACTCACCGATACAGAATAATATCTGCTGCCTGTAAAACCGGATAGGCAAACAGCCCTAACTTTAATCTTCCACTAGTTGCTTCATCCAAGTTTAAAAAAGATGCAAAATCCGTCTCACGGAATTGGGTTTTAGACTCATATGTCAGCCAGAAATCCATTGTAATTCTATTCCAATATTCTTACCTTCCACTGAGTCATTCTGTTTAAAGATCCCATAGAAGTGTTGCATGCGAGAAGCCACATAAACTCACAGTGTTGTGGAACCTTTGTATTCCGTTAGTTTAGAAAAAACCTTCAGACCATGTCAATGCTATCATACATCGCTTTGGATAAACAAAATGCTTTTCTTTGGGTCTATGCCTATAGCTAATAGCATTGCGAGCATTTCAAGACGCCGTCGTCTCAAAAGTTTTGCACTAACTGGTACCGTCAATGCATGCAAATCTGCCACGAAGAACAATTTCTGATTTTGCCCTTTAAATGCACAACGTTCATTCGTTCGTTGCTTTCGTAACGTAGACTCATTCTGTATATCGAGCCACTGTTTAAGAGAACCAAAATAGTTACCAATGTGAGGAATTCCCGTTGGTTGAATTCCAGATACAATACGAGGTAAAACAGCTGCCGGAAGATGACGAGTAGGCATCATTAATAACAAGTTACTCAATAGAACCGAATGTTAAAACACAAATGTTCAACTGTACAGAATAATATGTAAATTTATCCGAAAAATTACTAGCAGGTTTGTAAGGAACCATGGGCCTTACATATTCGACAAGATCTGGTCAAAGAAAGGCAAACAACTTCAAAACCAGCCCCCAATTTAGTGGAAAGAATATACAGCTTCAGGTATTTAAGCAAACATTATATTTTAATTTCATAAATAACAACTTCTTTACTTCATTACCTTTAATATATCATATAAAGCTGTTCTTATTTACGTTTGATCGCTTAAAAAAACATCACTACACTACGTTAACATGCCCCACCACCAATCCACCTGCACAGCGCACTCAGTGCAGGGATGATCCTTACCATGGAGCCTTTGGAAGCCCGGTTTGCCATTGCTCGAGAGGAGGACTTCAGTGAAGCTCTCAGGTTTAGTGGCGACTCTGAACAGGAAAGCGAACTTCGTAGACTAGCTGTGGAATATGATGATTTTAGTCTTGATGAACTTGCGAAAAAATTGCGGCTGCATCACTCCGTTGCTAATGCTGAAAAGCAACGTCAGATTTTCGGATTTTGTTGGTTGAAGCGAAACTGTGAGGCACAAGCAGACGCTGCAGTACAGCGGAATCATATTTACGCTCAATACGTTGATTCTTGCAATGCCCTGCGGACGAAACCCCTAAATCCGGCGTCTTTTGGCAAACTCGTACGCTTGTTGTTTCCAGCTATAAAGACAAGACGTCTTGGAACACGTGGGCATAGTAAGTATCACTATTGTGGCATCCGGCTTCGAGGAGAATGCTTTCGGCGAGTTAAAAAAAACGGAAGTGGAAGCCCTCAAAGCGGTATAGTCCATCAGTCTGGAATTGATTCTACACTGATGCAGTCGAAAAATGTGCCTTCCCCGCCAATAATTAACTCAGCTTCAAACTTATCCCTGTCCATAAATCCATCTGTTGATACAGCCGCATTAGACGTCTCAACACAAGAGCGTTTCGTCACAGAAACTGGTAATCATAATGCTTCTCATTCTTCGTTGACTGATTCGCACGGTGGTACTACGCATTCACAATCATCTCATCCACAATCCCACAGTCCTCGCTCTACTCTCCCATCTATTTCCACTGATCCCTCTCTCATTTCCCCTGTTGCCTTTGATTCAATCCGTTACGTCCCCTGTCTTCATCTTGCATTTATCCCTCCTCACCGGCTCCCCTGGATTCCTAATTTGAACATCAAGGCCTTCACCCTCCCTCCGTTGAATGTACAGCTCCCAGAGCCCTATAACAATGAAGATGCTAAACGTGCTTTGTCCACGGTGTATGCAGCCCATTGCACTACATTAATCGAGTCAGTCCGGTTTATGCATTTAAAACAGTTTCTCTCCCAAATTGCTAGCTTTCCATCAACACTTTCTTCTCCGTTGCTCACACTACTTAGTGCCCCGGAACTTGGTCCGTGGATTGAACAAGCTGATATAGTGATGTATCGGGTAATGAACTTGTCGCAATAGCTAATTGAACTTTTGGTTGGATGTACTAACACACATAGGAAATTATACGTCTCCTCTTCCCTATGACTTTACAAGTTGTTCCACCTCCAGTGCTTGTATTACTTCGCCATCTAGCGGCTAATTTGGAAAGTCATGTTTCTTCCATTTATGCATCGCATTCTAATTCTTTGAGACAAGCTAAAGTTATGACGGCTACTGTTTTTGGAACGCTCCTCTCTCGCTTGCTTCGTGTAAATGATACCGCACATGCAGCGGCTCGCTTTTTGGCCAACCCTGCTGATCGTCAATTGATCTGCGGCGATTGGAATCGCTTTATTGACGTGCAATACATAGTGTATCGAGAACTTTCAGGAGGTCATAAGGACGCAATTTCAGCAATCGATGAGTGGTACAGAATTTTATCCAGCTACAACACTTGCGAAGACGGTATACCTAAGACAAAGGAAGGCGAAGTAGGGAATGGCAACTATTCCGTAAATCGTGTGGAGCTACGGCAAATTGATGGTGTGTTGGATCGAATGGCTGACTTCTTCCTTGAACTGCCTTCTCGATTCCCTTCATGCAGTCCCAAACTGTTCCTGTTGAATTTAAGCGCCCTGCTTACAGGAATATTGCGTGAAATTACGGTATCTGGGGGCGAGGCGTTTGGTGCCTTATGGGTTATACGCTGTTGGATTGATGAGTACGTCACATGGGTTGCTGAGATTGGAGGTTATCTAGAGGACGACCGTGATCATGTCAATATCCAGAATACTAATGTTCATGGAAACATTATGGAGTCCGCACTAAACATTGCTTTAGACTCGGGCTCTTCATTAAATGGAAATGTCCAGGCTGGTACTCAAAATGTTCCGGCAAATCTTATGGCTAGCATGGTTATGAACAACGTCCAGTCTGCGGAGCGTTCAAACTCTCAAACGTTTCCCCACATGACTCTACATCCAGAGTTACACCCTGGAAAGGAAGCTTTAATAGATCAATATCGGTCGAAGAAAGATGAAGAATACATGAGTATTGTGTTCGACGGACCTTAAGGGATAGCTTTGCTTCCCGTGTGCATATAGAATGTATAAAGTACGAATTTATATTTCTCATTACTTCCGTTTTCATCCATACTTGTTCATAGTCATGCAGAGGATAAACTTCTTAACTACGAACAATTTTTAATTTGCGTACGAGTGTGTATTGATGTAGTCAATTAGCAAATATGAAACAGAAAGGTAACCAAAAAAGACGTTAAAACGACATTTACTAGAAATGCAAAAATAGTACAAAAACGCAATAGCAAACACATAGTTAATGACCCCGCAAACATCTAATTGGAAATCATTTACATGGAAAACAAAAGCTTGAAGAGAGATGACATTTTTTACTTCATTTTTTTGTTTTTCTTTTGTTTTCTCCTGCCACTCATTTTTTCTTTTTGAATATCAAGATACTTCTTCTTATAATATTTACGTCTTTCAGTATCATTGAGCACTTCATCCAGTATAGTCTCCTTGCGCTCAGCCCGTGTGTATCTGTTGCTTACAAAGTCAAAAGGTCCATCCACAATACGGCCCATTTGGAAATACTTAGGCAATGAAGTCGATGTGTCACGACGATAATGTCTTTTGGGGTCCAAAACATTACGCATTTTCAACAATTGGATGTCTCTTTTGACTGATTCTGTAAGTTCTCCAGCGGGCATTTCGAACCAATCAGAGCCAGCGGTATCTCTTATACCTTTCTTCTTCTGGCCATCAGCAATGTTTTTGTTGAAAGACGTTTGAAGTTCTGTCTCGCTTTGAATTTCAACGGCAATTGCATCTTGTTTTAACTCTGGAGTTTCCTTATACTGAAAGTACGAAGGAAGCTGTACAGTACTCGGAATTATTTTTGGAAGACTATTCCGATAAGAGTCAGCATAGTAAACTTTAGATAGAAAAAAAAAAAAAAAAATTCAAACTTACGTTGCAACAGCATTATTGGAAGGATTAATCACATCATTCTCATCCGCGGTTTGAGCATTTAGTTTGTATTCTCTCAACAACTGAGGAATCACGGCAAGTCCCTCCATTCCCAAACACAATCGAGATCAGGACGTTTTACGTGGTGAACTTCAGAACTCGGTGGCTTTTGAGTAAGCCGCGGATTTACCGAAAAGCGGTCACGTGCCATTAAGGTTGATAACCTTAATGGCAATACTCATAAAGGTAGCACCTGAATGTTTGGTAATTGATACATAACTTGTGTTTTATAAAGAATATGAGCAACCGAAAGCTTTATTCATTTCCACTTGCTTTCGCATGCATAACGTCTTATTTAAAACAACTGATCTGTTAGCACTTACAAAACCTAATATATCCCTTTCTTACCTTAGTGTGCGAACAAATCGATCTAGAGTTGCATCAAACAATCGATTTTGTATACGGACACTGAAATCTTTGCTTTTGCCAGAGTAAAGTGGATACTTTGCAACAAATTCAACGTAAAGCGTAGCATACACCTGGTGCAACACGTAAACCAAATTTTCAACGTTTGGGCTTGTTAATAAAGCCATGCGAATATTGGAAGGTGTTTCGTAAAAATGAAGTTTGTACTTTGATGTTGAATATGAAAGAAATTCCTCGGAGTTTCCAGCAACCTTCTTTACCATGTTTCGAAGACTGAAAACGACACCGAAGACTAATTTCTCTTCGTCATTGTTAGTGCTCCTCGATTTTTCTTTGCTGGAATCATTTGAAACGGCTGATGACGAATCAGAAAAAACATCAATTTGATTCCATTTTTGTCGATAAATACATTCACCTGCCACGTTAGATGATTCCCACGGTTATTTAAACCATACAGTGCCTATCAAATATATAAAAACCGTAAATGGTCATCAAGGAAAGCTGTTCCAAAAGTTGAATGCCGATATCAGTGGTGGTGAGAAGGAATTAGTCTCATAACTCCCTAGTGTCTACAAACACATGTCATTCATTAATCCCAATTAACAACTTCAAATTTTTAACCAGCAATTAGTAAGGAAACCACAAATAAACCTAAACTGAATATCAATGCGCATCGAATTGAATTTATGTGTTTCTGCAATCTGTTAGCACTGAAAGTGATCAATTATCAATAGTTAAGATATTTATGCATTAGTAGTGCCTAATAATGTTTTTATTTATGTCCAAGGATTGTCCAAAAAAAAAAATTCTGTTTATAAAATTAGAACTCATTAAGTCTTTTACGTAAGGCTCGTTGTATCAATAAATGGCTTACGATTTCAAAATGGGTCAAGGAAATGCCTATTGGGTTTTATATATACGTATATTAAAACGTTACTAAACAAACATACCAACAGAAAACACTACATTTGTAGTCTATACAATTAATTTGCCAATTCCACCAGATACTAATTAACACTTTCATATCAAAGGAAAACAACAAAAAAAAAACGATACATATACAAAAGTGTAATCACCCCCTCAAAGACAATCTGAAATATTTTAGCGGAAAACAAAGACGTTTTCATGATAATTTATTAATAATGTTATCTCCAAAACTAAATTTAAGCTTCCAATAAAACACGTAAAACAACAGCACAAAAAATCGATCCCGCCAGGGCATGAATCAGGCTAAAATACAACTGCACCGTAGTCAAGCGCCTTAACCATTGGGCACGAGACCTTAACATTCGAGTACATGAAGTTGAGTAATAAGAGAGTTTCTTTCATAGAATGCTCGCAAAATTTTGGCATGTTTCGTCTTTCAGAGAGCATTTAATAATACTACTTAAAATATCGCTCGAGTATTTGGAATCCCGTTCATAAATCATGCAAACGTGCATTGAATGAACGCTCAAGAGGATTATTTGAAACAACAGTTATTAATAGCTAATCTAAAGCTTGTAGCAACATTTTGATAAAATAGGTATCTCTGTTGGTGACAAGGTAATGTAAGGTCTTATAACAAGTGAACTAAGTACAATTTCTATGTACTGAAGAGTAAAAGAAGAAAAAAAAGAATGTAGTGACTTAATATAAAATCTCCAGCCAAGCAAGTCCCGTGTGCTCAATCGGTTTAGAGCGTCTGACTCTTACGCAGATCAATCAGAAGGTTGCGAGTTCGAGTCTCGCCATGGAGGGCCTTTTCTTTTTCCACTGCTCAATAGGACATGGGAGTAAAGATGAATAACCTGTCACTGAACTACAAAATGTAAGCTTATGCTTTGGCCGGGAATCGAACCCGGGTGATTCGATGGCAACGAATCATTATACCACTAAACCACAAAGCCTATTACGATGGTGTGTGTCCTATGTCAGTTACAGCCTGCAAGTACTTGTTCAGTACGTTCATGGCAGGATAAACGATAAGACAAAGATTCTAACACTCTTCTGTTATGTACTATATAGAGATCATTGATAAGTATATTTACTTAAGAACGTACTATTATATCTATCGTTTTTTAATTGTCAACATATGACACTTCCAATTTCAATACTTTCCATAACTTATTATGTTTATACGTCAAATATACCTAATATAGTTCATTTCGGTCTCTTGGTTAACTTGCGGTCGCATGATGTAGTCGGTATCATGTCGATCTAATAGCTTTAGCTGTGAGTCGAATGTCGCCGGTTCGAGCCCGGCTGTGACCATTTTGGTCATAATTTGAAAAGTTGACTAATTTGAAAGTTGACTAATGAAAGTCGCATTAACATTAGCATGTTCCATGCTACTACCTACAATGTGATTGTCACTCTAGTTTTAGAATTCTTAGCACAGACTAAACTTTTGGAATTTTTGAATTGCATTGCAGTAAAGCAAATGCTTAGCACACAAAAAAAAAAGAAAAAAGAAGCGTACAAGACGAAATAAGTAAGCGGTGATATGTTCAGGTCGTACTGGGAATCGAACCCAGGTCTCAGGAAATTTTCCTGCTCAGCGCGAGCATCAAATCCTACGTGCTAACCATTACACCATACAACCACTATGGCTAGGTGTATAGAGATATAACCCACATAAAATATTGAACAGAATGAAAGTGAACCTCGTTTCTTTTTCAATTTTGAAGAAATATGAGCCTTTGCTCTGTTAGTCGTACACTAGTGCCCAAACGCAACAACACCGAGATATTAAGTGTAGTCGAAACTTGGTATAAGGGTTTTTTAACAGTATATAAAAAATTTTTTAAAAACCATCTACGGCCACACCTAGGCGAAAACACCAGTTCCCGTCCGATCACTGCAGTTAAGCGTCTGAGGGCTCGTTAGTACTGCGGTTGGAGACAACGCGGGAAT